TCTGGGTGTCGAGTTTCGGTGACAGATGAAAAGAAACGAGCTGTCTCTGCTGGAATCTGAGGCCGACCTCCTCACGCCAAAGACAGGGAGGGAGGGAGAGTGGGAGAGGGCGGAGGTCTGGATCTGGTTTAAAGCTGCTGTCTGATTGGCTGGCAGACTTCAAAAGGAGCAGCAGACCGAGGCTTTCGCCCACCAGTGTGTTTCTGCTGTTTGTTTAGAGGAATGTGAGACTTTATACTGGGAGGAATGGTCATCCTTTCACAATAAGAGCACAAATATGTATTTTTAAATAGTTTGAGTTAGTCTTTAAAATGTCAAACAGCCATTTAAAAAATGCTCCTCATGATTTTTAAAAGCACAAAATTCATTCTGCAAATTCCTCTTAGTCATGTCCCAAAACTTTTCTCCTACAAAACTTCTAAAAACATACATTTCTTACGTTTAAGAAACTTTAACAGACATCAGGTCTAAAAAATGCACATCAAGTATCCTTTTTGACTGATTTACTTGAATTTAAAAAGCAGATTAGTATTTCACAAAACCTGACAAATTTAACCTACCTGAGTGACTCCAGGCTCTTTAATTTAATGTTATAATCTGTAACGTGACAAAAACTGGAATATAAATCAAACCAGCATTCAAGACGCTGTTTTCTTCAGCAATGTTCATTTCCCTGCAACTGTGTAGCTGGGTCATTATTTATCCGTTATGTGTGAGTAATTGGTACAGTAATTGATCCATGCTTACTGTTACATGAAAAGCTGTTAAGATTTGGACTACAGTGCCCATTAAGGTCAATTGAGTCAGTGTTTTTTGACCAAAAAAAAAGAATCACGGTAAACAGAAAATATCCTACACATAATTTACATAGACTCAGAGGTCTAATACTTAAAAAATATCCCATAAATTCTAATTTCACATTTGGTCGGGTTTGGTTGGAGGTAATGTGGGCTGCACTTTGACACAAAGCAGTAGCTTTTCTGGCGCCATCTTCTGGGTAAAATACTTATTTATAGCAACACAACACCAACACCTATTTAATTTTCAAAAACCAAATCAAAAGTTTGTATTTTTAAACTGAATGCATTTATAAAAAGTTCGGTTTTGTGAGAAATGGGTTTTGTATAGGACTGTTGGAACAAGTGGTGTTACAATATAAGCTGTAGTATCCAAACAATTTCAATAACACTGTAGAGGTGAAACCAAATGCCATTTTTGTGCCATAAAAGAGTACATTACTGCAGTTCTGTCCTGCTATATTTGATTCCTGCCCCTTCAATCCCTTCCTGTAGAAATTTAGCAAAAGGTTGTGATGGTCCAACCTCAAATATAGTCTTCAGCTCTCCTAACCTTAAAATGTCCAAATGTTCTTCATATGCAGATGTTTAACCCTGAGTGTTAAAGATTAAGAATAATTTCACATCTTTTTAAACCGTCATTTTAAAGTCCAAACATCCCAAAGAGAGCATTTGCAGCACCAGCAAAGGGTTAATGTTTCCTCCTGGCTGCAGCTCTGAATGGCGGCTGAAAGCGACAGGGGCCCCGGGATAAACACACACAGGCCCCCATTCATCCGCTTGCTGTGTGATCACCCTTGAACAGTGGAAGACGTGTTATTGCAGCAGAGAGGGGGGAGGACGGGGAGGGGGGGGGGCGGTGACTCAGGAATTCCACCGAGCAGCACGTGACCTCTGAGCAAGGCATTTATATCCTTGCTCTGCTTCTTTACTCAGGCCAAGGCCACATCAGACTCCTCTACTTTATTTTCCTTCCTGAGGGCAAAAAGCAGCTCAACGTGGCGAAGAGAGGAAATCCAAGAGTTAACGACGCACATACTTTTACAATAATTCTGTTTTAAATGCTGTCAACTTAAAGGATAATTCCACAGATTTTTAAAGCAACATAAGAGAAGACACAAAATTTAGATTTAGAGAAGAATGTTATGTTACGAGTGTAACGTTAATGTACTACGAGACTAAAGACAAAAAAAAAGAAAAAATATGTATAGTATTACAAGATTCAAACCATAATAGCATGAAAATTCAGTTGTAGTATAAAACTTACCCAAAGTCTCAATGTAATAAGAATATCAACTCTGACAGGATAGGGAGTAAAGAGACAGACAGATTTGTGTCAAACCACTGAACAGTATAACAATTTTGCTCTCATAACATAGCTTCATTGAGTCTTCCTACATTTGTTTTCATTCTTTTTACATTTTGACTATTTTTGTAAAATTTAAAAAAATGTAATTAAATGAGTGTTTTCAGTTAAATTAACTTTATTTTTGAAGGAATAAAACTTGATTCTCATAACTTAAACAACCCAACAACTTTGTTCTCCCACCATTACTTGTTTACGTGACTTTATTCTTTTACTGTAAAAACGTCATCTTGCACAATTGCCCTATTTTTGCTATGAAATACCTTTATTCTCATAACATGAATATTTTTGTTCTTTAATGTTTATCTGTTCTTCTGAAAACATTACTCTTCTTTACCACTTTCTCCTTGTAAAATGAAAACTTTTACTTGCATCATAACTATATTGGCTTGAAAACGACCTTTTTAGTGAAACAGGTTTATTTTTGCAACTTCATTAAAACCTTGTAACATCGATACTTTGATGAAAGGCTCTAACTTGTGATGTAAAAACTTCATTTTTGAAACATTACTCTATTTTTTGTGACTCTTTGAAGGTCAAACTTTACTCTGACAACACCATGTTCTTATATCATCACATCTTTATTCTATTAGTGTTCATCTTGATCTTGCAAGATTACTCTATTTTGTTAAACTACGTCTTTTTTCTTGTACCACGTTCTTGTTGTCAAATCGGACCCCTTAACTTCAATTTTGGGGGTTTTTTAATAACCAAAATATTTCACCCTACAGCAGTGAAACAGGCTGTGATGGATCCTGTAAAAGTTCTTGGTTTTCGTCACTGACCTGCTCAGATTGTCACTTGATTTGTCTGACATCCTAACAGAAAAGATCTCTACAGAGATTATTAAAAGGAAGAGCACTTCTTTAAACCAGAAGCAGCTGTTAGATCACCCTCTATATACACTTTACTCCATAAATAACAGTAATTTAGTCTCTTGGCTTGTCTAAACTCTGCAGCAATAAGTTATGTTTTTGAGTGTTTGCTTCATACTGAACTTTAATACTTCACATTTAAAACAATATCTGCTAAAACAAACAAATATGGGTTGGGGTAGACCAACAACGCCTATTCTGTGAGGTGATATTACAGTGTAATGTTTATGCAGCATGAAACAACCATTTCTTGTTAAATCACAGTCATCCAGTGTCAGTTTGTCCTGTGGTGTTCCTCAGGGGTCAGTTCCAGGACCACTCCATTTATTGGGCCATGTTATCCAAAGACAACAAAATTACTTTTCATTCTCATGCTGATGACACTTCGCTTTAGCTTTCTTTTAGTCACATCATTTCACCGTTGCTGTCATATTTTTATCTGTTTAAAAGGACTGTCCAGTATCAGTTACATGCTTCCAGAGCACATCTAGTATCAGTTATGCCTGCCCTTATTCACTCTTGCTTAAATTATTGTAATTCATTGTATTTTTGTTTGTCAAAACAAATCCTGAGTAAATAACAGTTCATCCAGAATAAATCAGCCTTACTTTACTGGATCCTTTAGACAGGGCTAAATTTTAAACATGTGTACATAATTTTAAACTTGTTTTATGAAATGTTTATACTTCATTAACTTTAAATGGGTTTTGGTTTTAGTTGAGTTGAACTTGTTTATACTCATTTCATCAACTTTAAATCAGTCTGAGTTTTAACCAAATTAAAACAGTTTGAACTGCGATGTAACTTGTTCATCAACTTTTATACAGTTGGATTTTTTCTGAGTTTTAACTTGTTATATCAACTTTCAATAGGTCAGTGTTTTAAGCACGTTTTAAAAGCTTTAAGTTGTTTCAATAATTTTTTCAAGGTCAGAGTGTTTCTGGATTAACAGTTTTTACTTGATTTTTCAACTATGAATAAGTCTGAATTTTATCTTATTATATTAAATTTTAACTTGATGATATTGACAGTTTTAAAAGTTGCATGTCCTGTTGTAAGGGATTCTTCCTGTGCACTTAAAAATAAAATCTGAATGTGTCACGGAGGAAAACGGGAACTTATAGAGGAAGGTAAATTCACCAAGTCCACCAGTCTGCCATTAAAACCTGTTTCCCTGCAGCTGTCTGAGAAAAGCTATGGGAGAAACTGAAGATGTTTCTTTTCCCATTTTTAATCAAGAACCCAGAAGTATCTTAAAATAGAGTTGAGACTTCAATTTTAACAAAAACATAGGAGCCAAAAATCTCCTGTTTGGTATGAGAGCGTGAGAGCAAGGAAAATGAAAAGAATAAATAAATAAGATTTAAGGCTCATCCAAATCCCCTCAGACAGGAGCCATTTTGTCTGATGAAGCAGCTTTGTTGTGGAGCAGGATTCGTTCCCCGGGGGCCAAAAGAGAGCTTGGAGGAGTCTCTGTCATCCTGTCAGCTTGACAGAGCAAGTTATATAGTAAAATTCAGTGACTAGATGCTCACAGCATCGCAGATACAGTCCCAGAGGGCTCACAACCTCACGTCAACAGCGTGCTTTCACTGGAATCGGGGCGTCGACAAGATATGATCTGCTGCCAGGATTTGTTTTTAAGCATAACAGAGGAAAGTGACGAGGTGTCAGGCGAGGAGAAAGATCCAAAACAAGCCAAACAGGCTGAGGACGAGCTGTCACAGAGGGCACATTCAGACATTTGAGACGACTGCAGACGCCTCACTGCAGCATCGCATTTCCCTGCAGACTATTTTTAGGCTCGGGTTATCTCTAAACGCTGGCAGGACACGAGAAAGCAACCTCGGCCCGCCTACGTGTGATTTACTGTACAAAACGTTTATGCAACACGCTCCTCCCCGCTCCCTCCCTCTCTCCTCAACTTTTCTTCCTCCCACTCTTCCCTGGAAGCCAGTTTGTTCCTGCTGGAAGGTATTGCATCATGAGTGAATCACTATTCATCGTCTTGCTAGCTGAGTGTGGAAAATAAGCAAACCACAGAGACACTGGAGGTATTATTACAAGGTCTGAAACTGTATTTGGCAAGTTTTTTCTTAAACAAGTGCATACATGTACAGCTAGAAGCATTTTCTCTCTTTTTTTTTTAGAATTATTTTTGTCTTTTTTCACCAAGTGCTCAGATTAGTCACATTCTATGTTTGACAGGGTCAGTCTCCAGACCTAAGGTACACCGAGAGACTGCAAAGAAACAGGTGTGATGGGGCGTCATGACGAGTACATACCTTTATCTTGAAATTATAGAAACACAATGTATTGAAAAACAAAAGATCGAAAAAATATACAGCCAAGTTTACGAAGTGTTCACTTCCCTTCTGTCCAATATGTACATGTCCTGCATTTAACTGGGGCTTCCTGGATGTTCCAAATCTGAGTGTGTGTGAGTTTTATCCCGTGGTTATTGCCACAGTCAGGTAAGAAAAGAAAAAGTTCCAGAAAAAGAAACAGCTGGTGAACTTTTTACGGGTCCCTCTCCTTTTTAACCTTTATGTCCCCGGCTAAGATGGTGGCGATTTCCCCCTGCATAAAGGCCCATGGCACATTAGAGCCCACCAACGGGCACCGCTCCCCACTGGGACAGTACACCTCGCCAGTGGCGCCCTGCTGCTTGATGCTCTCCCGGGAACACGGGAAGCAGAACTTGTGTGACGGCACCGACGGGCACTGAACGAAGTGAGTGTCCTCGAGCCGCTCGTGGCACAGCGTGCAGCAGAGCGGAACGCTACCAGGAGGCACGGAAGAGTCTGGAATGCTCTGCTGCGCAGCGTGAGGGTCCATGCTACCGGAGGTGTGGAGGGTAGAGGTGTTGGCGCTCACTGGCCCATCCCTCCCTGCGAGTCTCCTCTGAGAGGCTGAGGATGGCGAAAGAGGGCTGCCACTGTTTCGCCGCGCCACCGCTGTGGTGGAGTGTACCTGCCCACCATCTTTAGGTGAGCCTGTGTTGCCTGCATTGTCAGTGGCGAGAATGAGCGCCGCCATGGGGGACTGGCCATTCTGTGCAGTGGCAGCTTCAGGGGGCGTGGTGCGGGAGTGGGGGGAGATGGTCGAAGGGGGTGCGGCCATAAAACCGGGAAGGGCTGCAGGGGGTATCTTCAGGACCTCAGAGGGTGACGGGAGCCATGGCTGACCCTCGCCGCCATTCATCTTAGGGGTGCTGCCTTCGCCATCAGGCTCCGGGGACGCCTTCCTCTTCATGCTGCGTGGGTGCTTCCCCCGGTCTGTGGAGAGGAAAAGGAGGAGTTAATGCAGAACTACGGAGGCCCTGAGCGATGACTCAGCAAACCTTTAAATTAAACAAAGACATCAGAAAAAAACATTTAAAAAAAAAACATTTAACTGAAAAGTTTTCATACACTTAAAAACATTGTAAACACAAAATACAACACAATTTAAAAAATGCAAAATATCTCACACAGAATAAAAAGAGTTTTGAAAGAGTATTTTTAGAGTATGTATTTATTTTCTACCAGCTAAGAAAGTACAACCCAACAAAACACAGATATATCTCACAAGTGACAAAATGAAAGTATTTTACAAAATGCATAAATATATCATACAGACCAAATATTTTTGTTTTTAGACATTTTTATGGAAGGAAAGACGTTTTGCAGACAAATTGCTGTCACACATTGGACTTACAGTAAAGATACCCTTAAAAACAAAAATATATTTTTGCTCAAAACACAAAATTATTTTGCAAAACGAAACAGTATTAACCAAACACTAAAATATTTTTGCATAAAGAAGTTACAAAACAACTAATAAACACAAAAATTATTCAAAAATAAATAAAATATGTTTATATAAAGCTTCTTCAAAAGCTAATTTAGCTTTTTCTTTAGTACATCAATATGCACACAATATGTCTTGTTTTGAACCGTGATTTTGCTCAATGTGAAATATTTTACAGTCTTGTGAATGTTTTCTTTGTGTCCTGAAATGTTTTTGATGGTTAAGCTAAATGTTTTCAGTGGTCCTGACATGTTTATGCAGTTTCCCTTCAGGGCCACCGTACAGACCAAACAGACTTGCACAAGCATGCTGCTCAGAGCACAATACACACAGGAAACTTCTCATACACACACACACACACACACACACACACACACACACACACACACACACACACACACACACACACAGCCCTCCGCGTGCATGGAGGTGAGCGGGTCCGAGTCAATGCGTGGCCTTACCTCGCTGAAACACGTCAGCAGACCCGGGTGGTGCTGACACACTATTTCTGATGTTAAATGTTCCTGGTTTTATCCCGCCTGTCACATTAGTACCTCAGCTCACCTGAAAAATATTCTCACCTGTCTTTGAGGAAGTGGCGCTGGTGTCGTATCCCATCACGCGCTGCATGGCAGCGTGCTCCTTCTTAAACCTGGAGTCGAAGGTGTGCAGCGCCATCAGGTCCCTCACCGTTCGACTTTTGCCCATCCACTCCTTGTGGCTGTCCGACATGTCTGACAGACTGTCCGCTCTGTGTTTGTCTTTCAGGTCCTCCGGCCGCTTCCCGTGGTCCCCGGGGCCCGGTGCGGTCAGAACCCCGGGCAGACCCATCTGCGTGGGGCGGCCGTTCAGCGGGTGTACGGTGGGTATGCCGCCGTTCACAAGGGGCACCAGACTGGGAGGAACCGTGCTAGTCCTGCGGGGATTGGGGCTTTGACGGTTCAGCTCAGGGGGCTCGTCCGGTTTTGGAAATCCGTTTGGCACGGGGAGGCCGTTCGCCGTCCTGCCCCCGTGGTACTCCGGTCCCAGCCGGGGCGGCCGATCAGACAGCGGGTAGCGGTCCAGGGGCTGCGGCGGACGCGAGCCCTGCTCTCCGGCCGAGTGGTTCATGTCTTTCCCGGCGTGTTGGGGCTTCCCCGGGCCCGGTGAGCGGCCGTCCTGGAAGCCGTGCGCTCTCTTGAGCTGCCTGGCGGTCTCGATAACGAACTCAATCCGGTCGGCCCCCTCGTAGTTGACACATCCGCGGCAGACGGCCTCCGTAAAATCCCAGATCATCGCCCACGGCATTCGGGGCAGGTCGCACAGATAGCAGGACTGCCTCCTCGAGGCAGCAACCGCCGCGGAGGACATGTTGAAACCCCAAAACGAAAATTAAACTCTCCAAAATGTCGATCGGTTTGTTCGCTTTGTCGTGTAGAAGAAATAACCAGGAATTGCTAGAAAATTTAACCAGTAAAATCCTCAAAAAGCAACAGAGTCACACCGACTGGGGCTCATCGTAGCTCTATCTGTTTCCTCGGCGCGCCTCCGTCTGACGGTCGCGCTCACAATTCAGCCTCAGCTCTCAATGTAGGGCCGTGACGTCAGCGCCAACACTCTGCTCGTGCTCCGGGGTTCTATTTACTGGAGTCTTCGACGACCCCTCAGGCGCATGCTCACCGTTTCTCCGTCTTTATCCAGACCGCTTACACACAAAGACTGTCTATGTCTGAGACGAGACCTCACTCTGTGTCGACTTTACGCGTCCATAAATTGGACGCTCCAATTTAGTAGACGCATTTAAGTAAGCGAATTCAGATAATTATGGTTGTCTTAAGGAACAATTGGACAAATGTTTCAAGACTGCCACCAGAATTTCATGACTTATCTGTGAAATATTTCATGAAATGTAACGATATCTGTGAAATGCAATACTGCAAAATGTATTTAATGATACACAAAAATACATAGCATGTATATATTTTGTGATTTGTAATTTTTGGTTTGGCTTAACATTTCTGTTCGATGCTGTTTTAATAAATTTTTTGTGTGTTTTACAAATTAATATTTTGGTCAAGTGTTTTAAAAAGAATTTTATATATTTAACCTTAAGCATTTTTTAAAACTGTATCTTCAATCTATTTTGTGTTCTGCAAAATATTTCTCAATATTAAAATTTTTTTCCCTCAAAATGTTGTCTTGTAACTATTTAACGAGTAACTATTTAACAAAATGCTTCTATGTATTTAATTGTTTTATGAATTGTACAACTCTTTTTTGTTTGTTTTTTTTGCTTTTATAAGGATTTTCCTTTAATTGACCTCCAAATGGGCCACCATGCATGAAAGATGTTGACAGTGGATGGCATTTCACCCAATGTTAGGTTTGTATGTTAATATGCTGATACTTAAAAATAAATAAATAAAATATTACAAAAACACCTCTTTTTAAGTAGGAATATTTCAGTGAATTGCTGGCTTTCTTTAAACTAAACAGCTTTTATCAATGACCCCTGTAAAGATCAACCAGACTCATCCCTCTAACGTTATTTAAGGACCCTTGGTGCTGACTGTTGTTAAGTAGCGTTGGAACAGACACTGAAATTAAAGAGCTATTTTCTAGTTTTAGCAGCTTTCAAATACAAAAAAATATACAAAATGTTTCTTTATTCAGCTCAAAAAATCGCAAAGTTTGCGAACATGGCATTTCAAAATGTAATTTGCCATCATGGCTTTGCAATCGTATCAGTGGAATTTGAGACAGAGTGAGTCCTCTTCTTGTTATTAATCACTCTCTGCTCTCAGTGAACCAAAGAGCTTTTATAAATACCCGAAGCCTGAGTGGAGACTTCAGCTGACACACACACTAATCCAAATTTAACCACAGATTTTATTTAAGATCACATTAAACTCCATTATTACATCGTTTTTTTCTTTATCTGGATATTTTTTCTCGCTGCGATAACAGCGTAAAAAATAAACCACAAAATAGCTACATAAATCGAACTGAAAAGTCTCCGTACAATGACTGAGTAGTTTTAGATAAGAGATACAGCAGCATGAACGCGGTAAATCTGCTGAGCCTGTTCATCCTGCACACTCAGTTTCTGCTCACTTCGTCTGATGAATTCCAGTCCCCGTGCCAGGTACCTGTGACGTCACAGTGCGAACAGCCAATCACAGAATTCAGGCGCTGTTACCAAGCAGACTGTACTGCTGCCTCCCCCGCTTCAGGCTGTTGCCGAGCTAAGCTGACTGTACTCAAGAGGACATACGGAGAGCTGAGCAGGACTAGTAAAAAGCCCCGTCACTCTGGATTTATCACATATTCTCGTTTGACATTAAAACAGCGTTTGATAGTTAGTGAACTATTCTAAGACTGAACTTTATTGAAATAGAGCAAAATAACACGCCAGCTGTCTAAAGTGTAAAATGTTACTGTTTTACAAGGTATTTAAGTTCACTTTAATTTCAATGTTAGCAACATATTTCAAAAAAATTGTTATGGGAACTAAACAAAATGTTTGTGTAAAGCTTAACATTCCACCAGAAACATCTCCTACTAGCTACTAAGGTTAATTTCTAACAGGTTAGTAAGACTGGATATCAAAAGGACATTCAGTGAGGCAGAGTACTTTAGACGAAATGGTGGGAAGAGGTTCACCACTCTGTGAGATGTGTATCTGTATGTAATAAGAATCACATTCACGGTCAAGTTTTTTACAGGGAAGGAGAGCAGTAAGGGTCAAATTTAGGGTCAGAAGAGACTAAAATGAAGGATTCTGGTGCAGAAATAGCAACTGTAGGGTGATGGTTTTGGTGTCTGGCCAGAAGTGACTCAGCAGCATCATCTATTACTCACTGCTGCTTCGTCTACATTTGTCCCTGTGCTTTCAGGCCTAACGGCATCATGACAGGGCCTGCCTCACACCCAGCTGATGGAAAAAAAAAAGAACAGAAGAATAAGAAGAAAGGAAAAGGAGAGGAGGAGGATGTTTTTCTTCTGGTTCAGACTTGGTGGCTGCAGGAAAATGTGCAGAGCAAAGACCTGTTTGCATCCTGGGAAGAGTTTGTGTGCTGAGTTAAGTCAAATCTATGATGAAGGAGAGGAAATTCTTACAAAGGTTAAAGGTGATGTATAACAGCAGCACATAAGTCTGTATAAAAGTAAAAATTTAAGTTTTAAATTCATCTGTATCATTGTCTGTGATTGACTCCAGATAAGTACTGCTTGTTGCTTGCCGCTCCTTAAAGCACTGGGCCCTAATTTCAATTCAGTGAATATGTTTTCCTAAAACGTAAATGTAAGCAGTCATGATAGATATCCCTTTTTTATCTACAGAAAGAAATCAAATGGCAACCAACAAACAGAAAAAATCTGGGTGTGGTGGGAGCCCCGAGCCACCAGGTCATGGTTATCCAATTCTCTGTTGAAAGGGCAACTGAACTTGCTTGAGTTTCTTGAAGACATTTTGCCTCTTTTTCAAAAGGCAGAACTAAAGATGCCTTTTGGAAGAGAGGCGGAACGTCTTCAAGAATCTCAAGCAAGTCTAGTTGCCCTTTCAATGAAGAATTGGATTCTGCATTATCATTTCTAAAGATCAGAGGCAGCCACTTGATACAGAAAGATAAAGCAAGAACCAAAAACACATACTTAACCCAAACATCATTAGAAATCAACAACATTAATTAGCACAAAAACTGTAAAATGATGCAGAAATTTTTGAGTGTTTAATAAAGTTGAACAAGATGAAAGCAACAGAATGTGATTGAAATAAAAGAACGAGATCGAAGTAATAAAATGAGATCAACATGATAGAATGAGATCAATGTGAAACAAAGAGATCAAAGTATAAAATGCGATCCAAGCGATAAGTAATAGAAGTGACACAATGGATCAGCTACTCATACTACAAACAGAGACAGGAACACTTCTGTACTGGAATCCAAATCCAAACTACTTTCAAATTATTGTAGATTTGAAAGGAAAGCAACTGAATGGTGTTCCTATCGCAACAACTTTGAAATATCTTTGCTGCATTTGGTCCAGTGGTGGAGATCAGCATGTCTGTTGTCGGTCTCAGCATTTCTCCTAATAATCTGCAGATTTAACCCCCCGCCCCCAAATCCCCTAGATCAGCTGACTAATACCTCCCATGGTGTAGAGGAGAAGAGGGAAATCCTTCATGTGATTTCATTTCTCAGATGGAAACACAAACATGAACAGGAGCGACATTTCACACGTCAGTCATTCTGCACTTAAAATACACACCAACACACACTGGGCCTGATCTCTTAAAGGTTTGCCAACAAAAACATTTGCAAATTTGATAGCACGCAAAGCTCATCTACTAACAGGGTGTACTGAGGATTGTGCCTGGAAAATGAACAAAACAGCATGCGCGATCGATGTAGCGTGTTTGCCTTCACGAATATGCAGAATGTACGTAGATTATCAGAACACGCAAAATTCAGGGAGGAGCAGATGCAAATGGAATCATATAGCACCCGCAGTGTGTTTTATGAAGCCCGCAAACCGATCGCGGTCACTTTTTAGTGTCTATATTTAGCATATTTGAAAGGCACGTGCAAACTGGCACAGCGTTAAGCACAAATGGCTACAGTCATTTGGGGAGAAAGAGGCGAAAGTGCAATGATAGACGATGGAGAGAAAGAGAGTCTTCCGTGTGTCAACATATTTGGACTGTCAGAAATAAAAATAGTAGAGTAATATCAATAGTTATGCCATTTTTGAGCTGCTGGATGACCTAAGGGCTTATTTGGAGCCAGTCACAAAAATGATCAATGCCATATCTCTTATTAAAAAACTCCCTGTAACACTGCATTTTCCTGTGTCTGGATCATTCAAGCGCACCAGCACAGTTGGTGCGTCTCCCAGAATAATTTTTCTGGTGTGCTGTCCCAAGTGTTGAATGCTATGTCACGCAGGATGGGCAAGTACGTCCAGTTCTTACGCATTCAGAACGCAGTAAATCACAGAAAACTTAGCAGGTCTTGGGGGCTGTTGAGTCTTGAAGACTGGGGCTGAGTGCTACAGAGCTCTGAGATTAAAAACCTGTGATTTATAGTTTTTCTGATAAATGACAGTTTTCATAAATAATGAGATTTAAAAAAATCATCTGTTTGTCTTATTGATTTTAAATTGTTTTAATCCCTTTTTTGATTTTGAATATATTTTCTTGCATCTGTGAAGCACCTCAAATTGCCTTGTGTATGAATGGTGCTACATACAAAAAACCTGTCTTGCTTGCCTTGCCTTTTATGCAATTCCCCAAAACAATACGTGCAACTCCATGGGTTCAAACTTTCATCACCCACAACATGCCCACTAATGGCACGTGGAATTTCTTAGTTTGCACACGCAATTTAGCGCTTGTGATTTGGGAGCTCAGCAGAGCAGGCCCACTGTGTATATTTTATCATTTAAAGCTCAGTTTTACACCAGAATCAGACAGGAAATACAGGTTACAGGAAATTTTAAAAATAAATTCAGACAGAGAGGTGAGCAAATTTTTAGTCTGCTCGGATTCTAACATGTTACAGTGACTGCAACAGTCTATCAGCCTGTGAAGCGGTAATAGATATTGCTTCAGGCTCATGAAGTTTCATGTCAGCCATGTTTTCTGCCTGATAAGTGCCTCTTTAAATAACCTCCCTGTGGGACACTCACAGATTTGCAAACTCGGCCTCATGTCTTCAAGGGTCAACCCAGCCAGTTTACTTAGCCCAGCACTTTCACATGGAGGGAGGGGGGATTCTGCTCAGTGGGAATCCAGCCCAGAAAGTGGCAGAGATGAAAGTCACGTAGGGGTCAAAGTAGAACTTTTTAAAGGTTTACAGTTCAAGACATGGACTCATCATTCATTTGAAGCTTTTTTACCTGAGGGTTTCTGGACACATGAAAATCACCCGGCTTCAGACAGCTGGAACAAATAGCATCGTCAAATTGAGTAGATATGGTTACGGTTGTTGACATCCACATGTAGCAGCTCAGTGCAACATGATCCTTTTTTTGGGGGCTGTGTTCGTCCGTGTGATGAACAGGAGCAGTGCCAATCTGCTGGAGGAGGTTCAGGGGACTTCCCTTGCTGCAGCCGTGGAACTATTTTTACCTCCAGCGAGACTAAAATTAATCCTCCCTTCCCTATGAGATTAATGCTGCTTCAAAAACAGAGATAATATGTAAGGGATAATGTACAGTGAGCGAGTGATTATGCAAATTAGAACCCACCAGCGTGAGACAAAACCCTGATGGTTGTATTTCAGGTCAGGTCAGCCGTACTCCTAATTATACAGTTTTATACATGTAATATCTTAGTGATGCAAAACACAACATATTAGTTGTATCAGCTATAGTGATACAGGGTATAAAAAATGTATCTCCATAAACAAAGGACACTGTGGGTCGTGGGCTCAGCACTTACCAACCAAATGAAAGAGGGAGAGAGTCCACTGAACGAAAACCTCAGAGCTGACTGAACTAAAGTAAACATCTGTCAAAGTTTCTGGTGCTGCAAAAACAGAGAGGATGAACACTTAAACTCCCAGAATCTGTCTTCTGACAGCCTTGAATATTAACAGCTAATATTGTGTCCAGAGGTTGACTGACTAAAAATTATTCTGTGTCTTTTTGTGTTTTGTGTTTTGCAGATGCTCTAACAGTGTATTTTGTCTTGCATTTCTGCGACCACTGCTGAGCTGTTTGCTGATTTTGTCTTTATAAAAACAGTGTTTGGCAGATCTCTCCGTCCGCTCTCACAGACATTGTTAATTGCCAACAATTTGACACAGTTTCAAATGTCTTTTCATTAAACGTTGCGTTTAAAGTCCATCCTACAGGACTGCACTGGCTAATCTGATTCTCTGTTTGAATTTGAGGCCAAATCTTAATTATTTGGATGGCTGACAGTTCCTGTGATTGAGACGAGATAAAACAGAAATGTGATTTATTTTGTGCCCTGAATGCATCATCTGTTTGCTGCCATCAAAGCCCGCGCTGCGTGCACGGCGGCGCTTCATTTACCAAACACTGTGTTTAAAAATTAAAGCTGTTTTAGCACATCAAAGCTAACGCTACAAAGCTGTTTGCTCAATTATTAAGAGGCTCCCTTCACTGAAGCCGAGCAAAACGTCCACATCAGGAGGTGGGTTACTGACTGTGAACGCAACAGGACAAAAAGACACAGTTTTAAGTTGCTATCAGGAGAAACAAGTGCTCTAAATGTGTGAGTAAATGTTCTTTGACCTTGTCTGGAGTCACAGTTTTGAGATTTAAAATAATAAAAACCCTTTGGTTTGATCTGAAGTATGACATTAAAATATCTGTAAATACTTGCCCCTTCATTCCTTAAACAGTTTTTCTTTCTGTTGGGCCAAGCAGCAGCTTCTTCTGTTGAAAAATCAAACTAAAGTGGACTTTAAAACACCGGCAGTTCCCCAAGTGTCAGCAAGAGGCTGTCTCCAAATGTGAGTTACTCGCCATAGGTAACTATGTCCAGTCACAACCTCAATTTCAGTGCGCTTCACAGCGCTGTCCAGCTGGTGTTGCAAAAACTCAAATATTAGCACCAATTTTCTTGAGGCAACCTCCCAAAAGGCTAAATTCAGCTGTATCTGAGATGGTCAAAATTTCTGGGTAAATGTGTAGTTAAGCCTAATAAGGACTTTTTAGAAAAAGTATAAAAGAAATACAAAAAGTTTTCTGCAGTGTAGGTCCTGATAGTTGCACTTCTGCTTCCGCTGGCAGTGTCTGGAACTGTGTACATAATATTTGCTGCATTTTGATGGAATTTTACGAATTTAAGTTTTATAGATTGATAAAAGTTGTGTCAGCAAAATCATAAACATGAACATAAATAAATAAATACATATTAGCTTCCCCGTCAATGCATAGACTTCTTAGTTAAACCCCTTTAATGCAACATTGTATCTCCTCCTGTCTGTAATTTGCGAACAGACTTAGCACTTCAGTCTCTTAACTTTATGTTATTGTCAGTAATTAGCCGCTTCCTGTTTACTGGGACGCCGTAGCTGCTTTTTTCTTCTTCTCCCTCCTCCAGCTGCAGGACTGTTGGCACAGCACCAATAACAGTCTGTTTACCATTTCAACAAACTCATCTCCATCTAATTTATATGCCGAGAGCCTCTCCTCAGAGTCAGACAGGCCTTGCTGTGCAGGAACAGACCCCATCACAACGACTCATCAACCTTCCTGGAGAGATAAAGGCTCAGGAAAAAAACTCGCTGATGTGCTGCTTTAAATCAATAAGAGCCGCGAGCCAAAGGTGACGCAGTTTATGATCAGCTTTTCCCGTCAATAACTGATTTAAATATACTCCAAAATGTTTAAAACATTCTTTACTTTGCATAGGTCTTACGTAGCAGACATTAGCACCTCGATGAAACAACTTCAGGCTCAATAATATAAAACTGCAATTCCTTGTGTGCCCACTAGATGCTGGCTCCAAAAGTGAGTCAATCCCCATAGAACTCCATGTTAAAAAGTCCAACTTTACAGCAGAATTAATCATGTTTACAGCCTTATTCAAAAGACAGCCTTGAAGTTAATTTCTTTCATCAGTCAGGGCCAAAAAAACACATTTTTATTGGCTTTGTAAAAAATATATATATAAAAAAAAATGTCAGCACAGCACCCTCTCAATATTTTATATTTTTTAAACCTTCAGCCCTCCAACTTACATGCATGATTTTTGCACATTGCAGCGTGTTAATGATTGTGCTACTTTCTCCTCCAAATTTGTAGCTGCCACACGGGCAGATCCTGCTGTACGTCTACAGAAGTCCATCATCCCTATATTGTTATGAATTGTTGTGATCAGGGGCTGTTTTAAGGTCCACTATGATGCAAACAAGTCATTTATAATAAGGGAAAAAACTTAAGAAACTTTCAGTGTCCTGTTGCACTTTTTTCCCGTTATGTCAGAAGAAGATTCAACAAGATGGTCGTTAGTGTTTCTGTCAGATTGTTATTCTGCTAAAGGTGCTTTTTTGAGTGTGTTATCCCATACACCATCACCAGAGATACGGCACCCATCAGACATTTTTAAAATGGACGTCCGAGTAAAAAAAAAAAAACAGCGGAAAAACTCTTTTGGACGCCTCGCATCTGGAACCAGAGCTGTGTTGATGTCACTGCAAGGGGACAAGAGGAAAACAACGAGGCTCTCTTTTTCCCTTCGTCTCTCCCCCTAATCCTCTTTGCTGGCCTGCAGGGAGCACTGGGATGACTGCCAAGGCAAGGGCTGCTGGGAAAACGAAGCTGCTGCCAAGTGGGAGCGGTGGCGGCAGCGTTGCACTCAGCTTTGTTCTGCCAGAGGCCTTGATTCAGACTTTATGATTGGGCTGGGCCCTCGCCAACCTGAAGCTCCGCCCACCTCTCACTCTTACTTTATTTTGTTTACCCACTTTGACTCTGTCACACACTTTTTTGTTTTCTGTTCCTCTGACACACACAAAACATCTCTCTCTCTCTCTGCAGCCTGTACTCGTTCGCCCCGGCTCAGAGCCAAGGACTTCCTGCCAAACATTCGTCAGTTGCCATGGCGGCAGAGAGAGCAAGGAAAGCAGAGCATCAGGGCGAGCCAAGAATAATGAGTCACTCCTGGAGCCAGATGTGCCACATCTGCAGCCACGAGGGGGTTCTGTCTGTGTTCAAGTGCGAGCAGAGCAGGGGGTTGCCAGTTTTGGAGGGGGATGGGGGTCAAATGGGGGAGAAAGGGGCTCTGAGGCCAATTTGGGTTTCCAAATAAACGGAGTGGGTGTTTGGCGGGTAGCAGCTCAGGCCTCTGTGGAGGAAATGATCGGAATTTCCCTGGAAGAAAGAAAAGAAAGGAAAGTAAAAAATTAGATGAGAGGGGATCTGTGCCTGGGAATCGGCCTCGTTACGGGGCTGACATGTTGACAAAGATGATGAAGGCAAAGAGGAGGCATCCAGCAGTTCAGAGCAGAGCCAGAACCTCCTGAGAGGGTTCCAGACCGCAGACGATTTAAGAGGCAAAGCCTGGAAGGAGAAAATCTGTGAAAGCAGTCACAGCAGCGCTGACTGAGACTCTGCAAACTTGATTTTTTCCGTCATTGGCCACTTTTTCCGAAGACGTCTGCGGGGAAATCTGCTAAACTCATCAGCAGGGGAGCGTTGAACATTAACAGCCCAACTGGTTAAAGTTCCTTTCACGTCCCCCCTCCTCCTCCTCTTTCTTCTTCTTCTGTTTTTTTTTTTCTTCCCTGAATGTCGTGCCAACCCTCCCTTATTCAGGCACTGCTTCGCCAGAAATAACATCAGCACCACATGGCAAAGTTCAGCCATGATGTAACTGAGGCCCCCACAGAACCAGGCTGCAAATAATGACAGCTTACATAATGTCCCAACAAAACCACAACCAAACCTCAGGATCAGGCTACTGCCAGGCTGCCTGTTTCAAACGCCCAGCTTGCCATTAAGTTCAAAGGCGGCAAGCATTGGCTGAAGACAGATGGTTGAGTGTTTGAGGGAGTTTCTCCTCGATGGTTTGGAGACAGAGAACATTATAAGCAGCCGTAGAAGAGATGTTTGGTGCTTTTGAAGATCCGTCATCCTCAAGTTTGGTTGCATGATGCAAAACGTTTTATCTAAAAAAACTCACACCGAGAATCAGAGACCTCATTGATCTCAGATAAGAGGAGTTTGAGAGTTTCAGCCATGAATTTATCATCTGCGCTGGTGTGAAGGGTAAAGCTCAGAAGTAAAAAACAGGCAAAAATATTTAGAAACCTCTTCAAAAGTCTTCATCAAAACCAAAACAAGCTCCGTGCAACTTCGTCTTTCACCAAAGTGTTCAAACAGGCTTCTGAGGAAAGGTTTAAGATGTTATTAACACACAGAAAAATGAACAGACCGACTGAAAACTTAACCTGTTATCAATGATTTAGAAATTATTTTTATAATAAGTGATGCAAACAAAGAGACAGCACGCCTTCCAACTAAAGGTGAAGCAGGTCATTTGGTCATTCATTAAAAAGGACATGAACATACCTCCAGACTAGAATAAATTAAGGTTAGGATGTATTGTCATAATTTCTGTTAACAAAATTTATACTGTTGCTCAATGTGTTTGTATTTTACCCATCTATCCTTAATTACAATGACTGTTGTTCTCAAAACATGTTCTAAAAAAGTACACTGAGTAGGATCTACACTTTTCTAGACAGTTCCCCAGATCGCAACACCGTATATTTTACCAACAACATAAGAAGTGAGGTGATCCATAGATTTAGGTAGTTCTTCTTTGATTTAGCCAATGTGTGGTTTCCAACTGGGTTTGTGATAAACGATAACTCCAGGAAATGTATTTCAAAAACTTGTTCAATCTCAACATTATCGTTATTTTTAGTTCTATCACAAAATCAACACCCCCCCCCCAAAGACCATAAACTTAATTCAGTGATTACGTAACTAACCATGTTTTTAATCTTGTCAGTCCATTTTCTCATGTTTACAGGGAGTCTTTTATGTCCTCCACAGAACAAAATAAGACGGTATCATCTGCAAATGTTACAAGGCCCCTGTGAAAACTAGATGCTATATCACACAAGGCTATCCTTGAACACATATAGATTCAAATTCACACAAATTTCAACTGATCTGAATATCCGATATCATTTGAATTAAGTATGAATAACTCGGGCCCCACTACTGATCCTTGTGGCACACCACACGTTACTTTTCTTTAATGTGATTTAGTGTAATTCAACTTAACAGGCATGCAAACACTGACAATCTTGATAATTATTTGCAACTCTCCTGATCTGTAATTTTGTGAATTTTTTTTTTTAAAAGGCTGACATTGCATTTTCTGCGCAGTGTATATTACTGCGTCAACAACTGTCATATCACTAAAATGTAAGTTTTTGCTTTCACGACATGTTGAAACCACAAAACAGAACTAAAAACTCCCACATTCGTCTGCTTGTAGTATTATATCATTTCAGGGTGGAGAAGCTTGTATAAAAGCAACAGCCCGGTCCCTCCCGAGTCCTGAAGTCGCAGGAAACAGTTTTATGGCGTCTAGCGCATGAATCCTGTCCCTGATGCTTTTTCAGTTTCAGACTTTTTCCAGGACTCCACCCCACCACTTGGCTCCCAACACTCCCTCCACCATTTCTGTTTTCGTCCTCTGATGCTTCGGCTGGACAAAGTTACAGAGGCAGATGTGTGTATTTATGTGTGCGTTTATGAAGACAGTGTATGTTTGATTGTCCACAACAGCCAGAGAGGGTGGAGAGCATCAAACTCCTTCATCTGTGTTTATTTCTAAATGGTTATCTTTATAGTTTCTCTGTGTAGTATTGTTCCTGGTCCTTCTCCTATTTCATGTGCTGCTCATAAACCTTTGAACCCTCTAAAGTGTTGCTTCTAGGCCATATGACTCACATATCTAAGCCACAAGTAAACACTAGAATTTTTACGAGCAAGAAGACAACAGAAACATATAAGCCTCTTTTAAATGACTCACTGTTTCTGATAATAAAGGATTCTTGAAACTTTCTCTGGTAAGGGTGTTAAAGTGTTGATCCTTGAACAATGTTCAGGGATATCCTTTAAAACTGATGACAATCGTGCAGATTCTTGAATTATGTTTCTGAATGAACTTAAACTAACTTTAACAATTCAACATTGTGGTTTTGCAGCTTTCCTGTAGCTCTGATTGAACTTGTACAGCGCCTCAGTCTAAAGTTGGTATCTGTGGATGTGATTCGATTTGATCATCTACCTGCTCTGCTGCTCTGCAACCTGTTTTTCACTCCATTTCACTTCCTCCTAATGGATGTACACTCAGACTGCTTATCTACACACACACACACACACACACACACACACACACACAGTGGGTCAGAGTACACTGGGTGCCCTTGGCGAGACAGATAAGCCGGCTTTATGTGATTACGCAGCTCTGCTATTGTGCAACCCCATGACTCAGTGCTCTAATTGGAGATGGCAGAGGGAGAACTGGGAGCTATGACAACAGAATAGTCAATTGATTAAAATGACCTCTTTAAAAAAACCTGACACTTTCAAATGCTTTTAACTCTGTTACTTCATTACAGTCCAACACAACCAAAAAATGTTTACTTCAAAAGGGTCTGCACAACTCAGACTGATGCTGGTAAAAGACAGCATGTCAGATTTTTAAAAGTTTTCTTTAAATAGAGAAAGTTTCATGGTCACGCCAAGAAGCTGGATTTTACCTCATCAGAACTCCTTAAAAAGTCAAACTTTGTTGGAACTAAAAGCTCAAAAAATGAATGGCTCTGTGCAGCATTTTTTTTTCACATCATCTCAATTTGTTACTTTTTACCTCCAGTGCGAGAAAAAGAAATGAATCCAGAAGTTCTCCAAATGTCCACCAGAGGCTCTCCCCAAAAGTGAGTCAATCCTCATTGACCCTCATGTTAAATTGTCCAACTTTACAGCAGAAGCACCTTTGTCAGCAACATGACAACTGCTGTAACCATCACAGCAGAGACCACATGTGGAACCAGTGGGTGACTTTATCAATCATTATCTTTATTTGTCCCCAAGGGGGCGATTAATTTTGCAGAAGCAGGAGCACACAAGACAAAATATAAAAAACACATGGCACGATAAATTACAATATATTACAAATCACAACAAAAACCCAAGATAAGTTAGGAGGGAAGGCTTTTTCACCCTGACTACCTTTTCCTCTTGGCATCCAAAAGAAGAATGGCGGCGGGTACAAAGGCGTGTTTTTATCTGTTTGTCTTTGCAAATGGAAGTCTAAGCAGTGAACCTGAAGGTAAAAACTGAAACTGTTGATGTAAGGGATGAGAGCAGTCAGACAAGATGGAGCTTGCTTTCTTAATCAGCTGTTTGTTGTAGAGTTCTTGTAAAGGTTGTTATGCAGACCCAGTGATTTTACTGCTAACACTGACAACCTTGTTGAGTAGGTTTCTGTTTTTAACTTTCAGAGATTGAAACCAACAAATGAAGGAGAATGTGATAATAGATTCAATAAAAGAATGATAAAACATTGTCATCAGGGATGAATCAACCTGGAATTTGGAGAGTTTTTGAAGACAAAAAAGGCGCTGCTGCCTTTTCTTATGTAATGAGTCTGTATTTTTTATCAAATGGCAGTTTATTGTCAATAATAGTGTCTAAATATTTATAGGACTCAACAATTTCAACTTCTTGACCATCAGTTACTTTACTGACAGGAGAGGGCTGCACGCGTCTAAAATCAATAAACATATCCTTTGTGTTTAAGACATTCAACGATTAAAAGGATTCCTCACATCATTTCAGGAAATATTCTCCCATGCTGTGCTATCAAGACAGCCTTGGAGAGTCTTCGTGGCCTCTTCTGACCACACTTAAATGTTTCTGGTCGTCACCGTCCCCCTCTGAAGACACGTTCGGTATGATGGAACCAAGGCTCTGGAGGCTACATCTGTTATTTACACAGTCTAAGACTTTTTTTATAGTTCTTTATGGAAACTTTCCCCAAACTGAATTTCCATACTTAGTTCATATTTCAGCTTGTTTTTTATTGTGATGGCTGTGCAAAGGCATGAATGTTGTGAGTTTTTTTCCACAGCTTCAAATAAGAAAAGGGGAAGAGGAACTTTATTCATCCCTGAGGGGAAATTTGGTTGTTTTTGAATGAAAATTTGGATCAAAACCATCACAGTGATGTGTGCACAGTTGCTGTGAACTGGTCTAAATGATATAAAATAGCTACCATCAATAATTAGGTTTTAAAGGGTCTATGAGTATCCGCATTCTGAGCTGGTTAAGGTATGTACAATGTTGTTATATGGACCTATCAGCACTGATAAATGACAGTAAGCCAGACAGGACTTCTTTCATTGACAGTTAGACTGCAGAGGGTGCCTACAGGGATGCTTGTTTACATACTTCCTAGGGGATAGAGCTCTTTTGTCCGGCCAGTTCCTGGTTGTAGTGGACCACATGTTTGTTCTTTTACACTCAAATGGCCAAATTCATACAAAGAAATGTTGAAGTATTCACCCCTTATTGTGTTAGTGACTTTTCTGAATACAGACATCATGTCCGAGAGAAATGGAGACAAACATAATGACAAAAGGGCATCAGAGATGAAACATTGTGCTGGTCTGCAGGGTGTTGGCCTTGATAAATCTGTGCTGCTGTAAAAATAGAAAGCAGGACAGCAAGGCAGGAGCTGAAAGGAGAGAAAGAGAGGATTAGTGTTAACAGATGAAGAGGAGGTTTTCCTCACACTTTTCTGTTAAGGTGCTGCAGACAATCTGCCGTGTCATTAGAGCAGATCAAGTGATGTTCCGGTTATGTAACTTCTGACCTTATCGCAGCGTCTATCTGGCTGCTGACTAGGTGGAGGGTCACATGACCTCACTGGGGATTCTGTCCTCTCTCAGTAGGGAGATGGCAGGTCCTGATTTGAGGATGTCCTAACATCACTTTTGTTCTGTGATTCACAGCCTGTAAAAGGAAAAATCAGATAAAGAAAAACTGTGTTAACATAAAAATTATTAGCAGTACTTACAGTGAGGTACAAACCCTGCTGACGTCAGCATACTAGCATTACCACTGTTAGTATGACGCTGTGTTGAAGGTGCACACAGCCCAGCTGCAGATGCTTTATCTCATACTCTGGCTTTCTGGCTCGGTGAGTTGTTGATTTTCTCTGTAAAGTGACTCACAGTAATTTAGCTCTTCTGCAGAAAGGTGTGTCATCCTTCTGCCCCTAAAAGAACAGCTCATCCATGTTTGAGTTTGGCATCCTGCCCTCATTGTAGTGTAGACAGGGCGGTTTGTGTTGGCACCCAGAGCAATTAGCAGGATGACTCAAACATCCAGACTTAACCTCGACAGCTGAGCTTCAATCACCTGTTTCTGCGCTGTAGGAAACCGAGCATGCTCCAGAGCGAGTATGTCAAGATCAAACAGAAAAAAAAATACAAATGAGAAATTTAAAGAAATACCTGGTGCGTCTGCAGCTGAACACTCAGGGAACTTCATTATTTAGCACTTCCACATCAACTTCATTACTCAAAACCAAATGATACCACAAGAAAGAAAATAAAAATATATAAATTTGGGGGCGGTGAGATTAAAACAAACAAAGAAAGAAATCAATAGATAAATAAATAAAACGTATAATAATCATACAGAGAGGAGACCACAAAAGGACTTGTGAATCAAGGATTGGCCTGTTGAGCATTAACATGATTTAAATAAACGAAACATTTTTCTGCAAAATACGTTGACCTATGAAAATCCAAAATAGGTTTTAAAAAGTTAAATAAAAGCAAATCTGTAAAAGTGAGTCTTAAGAGGTAATTTTAAAATGTCTGTGAGTCTCATCTCTTGAGGGAGGTTGTGCATAATTCAAAAGGCTCTGATGGAAAAAAGTACCATATTCATTCAGTTTGAACCTTGACTTTGAGATGAGCAGGAGCCCTCTAAAAGATCTAATCCCATGAGAAGACACATCCAGTGCTTACATTTCTACTTCATGAATTGGAGCAACCCTCAGAGGAGCTTCAATGAAATCTGAAACTCTTTTTTTATAGTGCACAGGGAACCAGTGGAGTAGTATTCATTGACATTGACTCATTCTGCACAACTAAATACAGACAGTAACATTAATGGTTCGCAAACCGATTATAGCAGATGTGGCAAAATCTTGTTTATAAATGCTCTGAGGAATAATCCTGTGATGAAATAGCTCTCTCTGGGTATTACATTACTGTTTGTATCTTCTTTTGTCCAACTTATTGCAGGAAGCACTGAGTTTGTTCTGAAACAGTCCCAGACGACTTGTTAATGAACTGCTAATGAGTCATCTCCCCTCTACATGACATCATCTGCAAACATTGTTATCAGCATAGATGATAAAAAAGGCTAGATGGCTCAAGGCAGAGTCACCAGCGTCCCTTTACAGCGGCCATCTTACCACAGTATACCATTCTGGTATGCTCTGTGGTAGCTGTTAGAAGGTGAAATATCTGCATAATTAAAAATACTTTTGACTTGCTAAAATCTTGACAGATTTACGAACGGTTTTGGTTGTAAAACCAGCTATGAGTCGAGATGCTTGGACATGTTGAAATTGCAGCTTTTTTTTTTTTTTTTAGAAAAAAAAAGACTGAATCGTGCAGCACAGTTGTTTCATGTGTTTTTATTTGTAATATTCTCCCTAAGGTGGGTTATTCATTTCAAGCATGTGGTGGACAAATCCACACATCTAACAAAAAAAGGTAAAACATGAAGATAGGAGATTCCTGCATGACATTAATGAAATGCTAGATATAAATTTCAAAGAATGGGTGGTAGTCTGTTATAGGGGGTACTTTGAACCAGAACCTGAACAGGAGTTACTGAAGCAAAAACAAAAAGTTAGAGAACAACTTCTCTAAGCCACTGTTTCCCAAACAGCGTGTATACATACATACATACATACATACATACATACATACATACATACATACATTCATTCATACATATATGTATAAATATATGTATATGTGTAAAGAACGGATATACAGAAGAACGGATATACAGAAAGAAAGGCAACACGAGACAGATATTTATATCTATAACCATTTGAAAATCTATTAAAAATTAAGCAATCAATGGTTATTTAAATGATACATGCACCGTAGACTTTAATGTTATGGGTGGGCAAGCTGCCTGTGGCAAGATGGTCGCCATTCGAGGACCTCCATCGGCTAACAGAGTGCATGAGCCATCTTGCGTTTTTATATATGTCTATGGTTATCAGACCAACACCAAGGCCAACAGCAGAGGATTGTGGGTAAGTTCTCTTTTCAGGAGAGAACTTAATGTGTCACCAGATTTCCACAGAGCTTGCAAGGCTTGGTGTTACATGTTAGTCAGTGTTTATTTGCCGTAGTTAACCTTTAACAGCTGAACTGGAGTCACAGTGAAATGTTAATGATACTATGAGGAAATTGAGGACACATCAGGCGGCAAAAAGTGACTCACCAGCAATAAATTCTGACATTTCAGGTTCACCTGCCTCCTTAAAAACACGATGGGGTGATCTGCAGGGCGGAGTTAGCAGGGAAATCCCACAGCTTCAGGGCAGAGGTGCAAAGATAAACATTTATATAAGTCATCCACTCCAGCCGCTGTCACAGCCAAAGTTCCTCCTACTGCTCAGAGCAGGTTGTAAAGTCATTATTTTTACCCTCAGCCCTCTGTTACTGAACCTTCTCCATGTGTCACATATTACCTGTCCAAATGTATTTATATGTTCGCACTTTTGTACAGTGGCCCTAAAGGGTCACTGTACAACATTTGGAGATTAAAAAATAAAAATCATTCCAGTTTCAACAAATTAATTTAAATCAAACACACACAGAAATTTACGTTTTTTGTGTTTCTGGAGAATTTTTTTCATTTGTGTGAGAACTTTGTCGTATTATTTAAACATTTTTTTGTATTTCTTGGAACATCATCAGCTTTTTGATGATTTTTTTTGCATTTCAGAGTTTCTTAAAGCAGCTGGACAGGGTTTTCATTTTCTGTTGATTCTGGCAGCCACTATGGACAAAAGTGGTCCTGTTTTAGCTCATATTGGCGTACTGACACTAATCTGGCATGCACACCAGGGCTCCAGAAATGAACCTTTTTTGTGAGTAGTTTGAGGCAACTTACTTTGTAAATGTATTTGAAATGGGAAGCGAGTCTGGGTCAGTCCACTGTGGAGTGTGAGACAGATGTGGAGCAGCAGGACTATTGAGGTTAGTGACACAGAGCTGCTCTGCCTGTCTGTCTCCGGTGTGGAGGAGCTTCTCACTCCGTAGCTGCAGCTGTAGCATAACACGGTGTCTGCAGGAGTCTCCTTCTGCAAGATGCTGTCACTGTTTGTGTAGTGACAGTAATATGCATGTTTTCAGTGCAAAATAAAGAGAGGAGAACGTGTGTGTTGTCTCCGGTTTGAGTGCCATAAATCGTTTTGTCTGTGGTCCCAACCTGCCCACTGGCTCCTGTTTCCCCGTTTTCACTATTTAGAAATAGCTTATCTTCACACAGACGGGCTCATTCGCTGTTGCAGGTGACAGGGAGACATTAGCAGAAACAAGAGATTATTTCAAATCCAGTTAAAAGTTCCCTACAGGAAATATAAAGTGCTCTGAATTTTTCTGGAATGTTTCTTTAACTGTTTTTTGGTGTTTCTTCTTCATTTTAGATTTTTTCAGATTTTTTTTTTTTAGTTTTTGTCTAATGCTAATGTTGTTTCTGGAAACATTTTAGAGTATTTGAAATGCATTTGAGCTCTGAGTTTCAGTGGCCTGGTGGTCACGAGGGAAGAAAACACCAACATTTCGGTTTAACATCCTGTTTGTAGTTTCCAGTCAGTGCAACACTGCGGTGCATTTCAAAGCCTTCCTGCTCTCAGATGACGTCACCCTTGGCAAGGTCAGTGTCCAGTTTATAAACTACCATTCATGTCTCCATAATAGCTCACACAGCAGTGGACACACACACAGACATGAAGTGGGCTTTGTTTGTGGAGCCAGAATAGAGGATGACCTCATTGTTCCAGGGATGAATGGTTTGTTTCAAACTGAAAAAGCGTCCCAATCAGCTCCAGCTCCTCTGGGACAGGAACACAGAGCCAGTGTTTGTGCTGGATTTCCTGCCATTGGCACCCTGACAGCAGGTGACCAGCTGCTCCTCCGAAAACCTTCATCAGCTCGCTTGCAAGTCTCTGACTCTAAACAATGACCCACAATCACAGGAAGAGGCAACAGAGGAGGAGGAGGTCATCACCACTTCTTTACTTGTATCCGTCCTCCTGACACTGATATTATTCAAGCTCAGACCCTAAGAATCCACATCAGACACAGAAAAATGGGGCAACCTCAGATTTTCCACTTTTTCTGTGCTGTTGAAAATGATTTGATAAAGACGTCAACCTCTTCCATTTTAGTTCTGAGTTAATCCATCAGCTGTAGTCTGACAGTCCTCTGCACTCAGAGGTTAGCCTCTTAGTATCTGGGTCATAGCTAACATTTGGCAATAAACAACTTTGTTGTTGGTTTGTTTGTGGGGAGTCTCAGTTTTACTGTAAATGTTCAGTACTAATGGGCTTGACTCTAGATCATTTCAGTGTTATAACTCTCAAACAGAAATAATAATAATTTTTGTAGGTTTTTCAACACTGAGAAATGAGAATTTCCTGCAAAAATTAAAACATTGATGTAGATGTGTAATGACAGTGAAACTGAGACTCCCTTTAAACAGACCAATGGGCTGCTAGCTTTTTGAGATGTATCTTTAGTTTTTACAATTTTGTGAGTTGTGAAATTGTGTCCAACCATGAAAAAGCTTCTTTCTTCAGCCAATCAAAAAAGCTCCACCTCTGGTATTTTTGGTGAGAGAAACTTAAGGTGAATACGTTTAGTTTTGATCCAAGCACGGCTTGATAGCTGAATGATCTGAGAAGTGTACCGAGTGGTATGGAATATTAAACTATCATATGTCCTATTTGTACCAGCCACTAATGTGCTGTCAGATTCAGGTCAGTCAAAAGTCGCTCTGACGTCCCATGATGGTGTCCCTCAGTGAAGTTAGCTGATTTGCACACAGCATCAGTTTGTTCTGCAGTATAAAGGCTCCACAAAGCTCTCTGTCTACAGTTACCAACCAGCAACACTGTCCAGACACTGAACCTGAGACCCTCATGCTGGTTTCTGTTCGATTCTCGTCCTCTTCAATGCCCGCTCTGTCTCTCCGTGTCCATGGCAGCCTGGGCCTCTCGTCTGTCCTGCTCCCTTGGTCCCTCCACTATTGAAGGAAGGAGTGTAAACCAAAACTGGCATTCCCATTCAGAGTCAATGTTGCTGAGACCCGACACCATGTGAAGCGACGGCTCGGCTTCTCTCAGACAGATCTGGTTTCACAGGTGACAAAAAAAGTAAAAGTTACCTGGATCTGAGACAGGGCAGTGACAAAGTGAAACACTGTAAACTGTCTTTCAGTGGATTTCACCTTATTACAAATAAATGAAACAAAAAACAGAACTCACAAATAAGCTGTGTCCTCCCTGCTCATCCAAATTAAACTACTTTCAGGTTCTGAGGAAAAAATAACTGCTAAGCTAAAATGAATCAAACTCTCGGTGGGGTCTTCACACTGTTATAAAACTGGATGAAGATTCTTGTCAAAGTTTAACACAATCCTAAAATATTTCAGGGATGTCTAACATGTGAGTGAAGTATCAGCTTGAATGCCTAAACATTTGATTTCACCGTCGTCTTCTGGTGTCTACAGATCAGAAATAATGAGAATAAACTTAAAGTACAATCTGGGTTTTGAATTTTACATATTTTTAAATGACTCATAGAAAAGTCAAGTATTTCAAAACCCTATGTAGATTTCTTCAGCTCTTAAAGAAGTTATACTGGCAGTAATGACACCTATGCAATTCTGGTCCTTTTTCTGGATTTTGGATTTTTTTAAATGGGGCCTGAGCCTAAATAACGAGAAAGTCCTATTGGAACCCCAAGCTAGTATTCTTTCTTTCTTTCTTTCTTACTTTCTTTCTTTGACCTTACTATGCCCCAAAATGCGAGATTTTTGCATTCATTTTTTTCATTGGTTTTTGTGAAAAAATGATCATAAATCCATCAACAGTACCCATTTAATTTAAGTTTTTGAACATTTAACCCCATTACATGGTTCAAATTGCATTTGCATTTTCTGCTAAACATATGTATAACACCACAGTCTACAAAAAGTCCTCCTACACCGTACCCGTAACCCAACAGGAAGCCCATTATTTTGGTTTAAATTCAATGCCATTAAACAGGGAGTTACTTTAACTTCTTCATACAATATTGAATCTTTTTGATATTCATTTACAGGATTAAGGTCAATCCCAAAACACATCTCTGTGCACACTTCTTAACTCCAGACATAGCGCCACCCTGTGGAAATACAGGGTACTGATTTTGACATACATCATCTGATCTGCGTCAAATTTCACTACATCAATAACAGTCCCAACTTGAACTGATCTACAGATATTTTTGTCATCGTGATAGTGCCACCAATTGGACACAAGTGTTATTAACTCAGATACGAAAATTAAGACGACCTTTCACTGTTTGATACTATACTAATGCGCTGTTACGAAGTTTTCCTAAGATTATAACTTTGCCTTAGTCATAGCCCCACCTACTGGTAGAGCTATACAACTAAATTAATTGTAAACCTATTTTTGATCAATTTTTGGCTTAAGATTTTGTGTCATTGTGTTTGATGGTTTAATGAGTTTCCAGGAGGGTGTTTATTGGCCCAATTCCAAATCACCCCCTCACTGACTCATTGACTTAGGTGCGCGCTCATGTGAGCTCTGTAAGGGCTTGAGGGTTGTTCCAAATGAAATCGGTAAGTCAGCGAGGGCTCGGGAACGCCCCTTTCTGCACCCTTTCCGTAAGTCCGTACCGTTGAGGACTTTGGCTATGAAATTGCCCACAATTCATTGCGTTGTGGGCGTTACTGGAGGACAGCGACGCAGCCGGGGCCAGGATTTAAAAAGGAACGAGGCCACGAGCGTCTCAACGTCCGCGACAGACACCAAAAATGACGGAGATCATGGCGAAGAAGCTCAAGAAGAAGCAGTTCATTTAGGATCTAGGCGCACCCTTAATACTCTAACATGGATGTTCCGCATCGTGTATGGTGGGCGCCGGAATGCCAAGATGAACAAGAATGCACTACATTAACATGGATATAATATTATATATATATAGTACAGGCCAAAAGTTTGGACACACCTTTTCATTCAATGCATTTTCTTTGTTTTCATTACTATTTAAATTGTAGATTCTCAAAACTATGAATGAACACATGTGGAATCATGTGCTTAAGAAAAAAGTGTGAAATAACTGAAAACATGTTTTATATTTTAGATTTCTCAAAGTAGCCACCCTTTACTTTTTTGATAGCGCTGCAAACTTCAGCTGTTCTCTCAATGAGCTTCATGAGGTAGTCACCTGAAATGGTTTTTACTTCACAGGAGTGCCTGAAGTAACCCTGACAAGGAACTACTGTCATCAAGAGCAAAGGGTGGCTATTTTAAAGAAACTAGAATATAAAACATGTTTTCGGTTATTTCACACTTTTTTTATTAGTACAAAATTCTACATGTGTTCATTCATAGTTTTAATGCCTTCAGTAATGATCTACAATGTAAATAGTCATATAAAAAAAAAAGAAAAGACATTGAATGAGAAGGTGTGTCCAAACTTTTGGCCTGTACTATATATATACACATATATGTGTGTGTGTGTGTGTGTGTGTATACATACATATATACACACACACATACACACACGCATGCGTTATTCTTATAACAAAGAAAATTGATTTTTACTTCAAACTTTTATCTGAATCAATACATTTTATCCTGAACTAACACTCTAAAGCAGTGATTACTTTCAGAATCTAGTGCTTCAACCTTTTAACCATTCAATATCACTTAACCTATCATTAATGCTGGTTTTATAATTTATCAATCTAATCATTATTTACCAATTACCTGTTGTCTATGTTCAAGAGCAAGTGTGTGCAAAAGGAGCGGAACAATGTTGGCCTTTCTTCTGCAACGTCGCTGGCCGCGAAATAAATGCAGAATTAAGAGCCCAGAGAGGCAAGTGTCAGTCGCATCTTTGGTTGTCAACGTTGTCGTCTATCGTCAAGATAACGTGGCACGTCACAAAGGGCTGTTCCATTGCTTTTATACCCTTTTGGAGCCCTTAAACCCTCCCACACTCAAGCACTTACCAGCTGACTTAACCTAAGCTAATGAGGGTGCAGGGCTTGAGGGCTTAGGGTGGAGTTTGGAATTGGGCCATTGAATAGGTGAGTAAGAGAAACTGAGGCTGTCAAACGAGCGATACTAAATAAGCTCCACACATCTCTATCTCTCCTATTTCTTTACTAAGAGCAGACTGTGACATCTGCTGTTCTAGCTTCTAAATATACCTTTACAAGTCAGCTGGGTCACTGGTCTTCTCTGTAGGATAGAAAAGCTACTGGATGTCACAGGAACATAAAAAGTTCACGATCAGAAAGCACCTAGTCTCACACAGTGAATGGATTTTGCAGTGAGTTGCCACATAATTCTGTTTTTAGGGCTGAAAGTGTAAACATAACTTAACACCTAAAAATGTCAACACTTGTCCCCAAATACACACAATCCCACTTGTTTTGGGGGGAAAAACTCGCTTCATAATCTGGTGGATGTGGTGTTGAAATGAATAGAAATCTCACTGTCTGTTGCTGTTTTTACCCACATGTAGGCTTGTTTTTTCTGACTGAAGTTTCTTTAATGAAGCAGAGGAAGTATTCCTGAGACTAGTAGACAAATCAGTAGAAAAATTAAAGGGATGTAAACTGCCAGAGTGTCTTAAAGGTTCCACGTGTGACCCAATTGGGTGTTGTGAGGGAACAAAGTTGAAGTTTCCACAGGGCCCTGCTGACTGCTTCATGTTTGATTAAATGTTGGAAAAATGTGCCTCATATAATTTTTTCCTGTATTCATCTTCCAGAGGATTCAAACAGCAGCTGAGCAGAGGCAAACCGGCTGCAGCTGAAACACTGAGGCAGACCTGTATTTAAATTACAAATGATAATATACTTCTTTTTCTGGTTTCTGACAGCTGGTATTTTGAACCTTTTTATCAGAGCAGATTAAAGTCAGCCCTCAAATATCTCGTTTTCATGGTGAGATGTGACTCTGACAATCAGAGGCTCAGGTTAAAAATCTGTCCCCGATGTAAGTGAACTTCTCAGTCAGATTCCTCTCTGATTCTCCATCAATGAGCTCCAGGAAAGTTGTAACCTCCATGGGGGAGAGTACAGGAACTTTCTGCTTGAATGGAAATACCATAGAGCTCTGATTACCCATGATGCATTATTCAGCCAGGCTGCCACTGAGCCAGAAAGATTCAATGAGCAGGGCAAAAGGGAGGCCTGACCAGAATGATCAGCACACTTTTTCTCAGTATGAACTCTTTGCAAACATGAATGAAGATGATTTCCTCAGAACATGCACTCAGATTTTAGATGAATTTACAGACACAGTGTTAAGCTCGTGTCCTGCAGGTGCAGCTGTATTTTAGTACCACGCAGGTGCCTTAAAGCGTAACTTCCCCTCTTCAAGTGTCAACACAGCTACCACAGGGTTAACACTCGTAGGAAAGCACCGTCAATGCTCTCAGCTCTATTTTTAGGTGAGCTCAGCCTAGCCCCTTCGTTTCCCATCATGCCTCAGTGACATTCGGGCCTGTGGTTGTGTCGGTTGGCGCACCCAGTGGCCACGCCCTCGTGTTTCTGTTTGTTTGTGAAGCAAAGTAGGTCAGAGCCGAGCCGGACAAACACACTACGTCAGCAGTAAATATATGGCTCTGTGTGTGTGTGTGTGTGTGTGTGTGTGTGTGTGTGTGTGTGTGTGTGTGTGTGTGTGTGTGTGTGTGTGTGTGTGTGTGCGTGTGTGTGCAGGTTTGCAGCCTGAGTCTTTGTTACACCTGTAACACCATCCAAATACAGGTCGAAGGTCAACCTGTAGTTTTATCTGTAAATACATAAAAATCTCAAAATTAAAGGTAGGGTTGGTAATCTCATTTTAGATACACTTTTTGTGGTTCTGGTTAAAATTATCTTTATGTTCCAGTGGAAATCAATACATGATGTGTTCTTAAAAAGAGCAAAACATCGCCACTGTCTACAGCAGGAGTAAAACTGGGAAAACACTCATTTATGGTGACCACTCCTCTTGCATAAAAGAGCAAGAAAAGAAAGACACAGAGAAGGCTGAAGCAAGACAGAGTTTGGAAAAAGCACAGGCAAAAACGAAAGTCAACATCAGGACAGCTTTTCAGCGATAAAGAGAACTGAACGAGGTCAAGGGCTTCAAAAACGATGCCATGGTCGCTCATTTTCTGTTGGAAAGGTACGTTGAGGGTTTATTGCAGAGTGTTTTTCAATCTTTGTCAAGTATTTAGCCATGTTTCTAGATATGTGTTCATCCCAATGCTAACGTTACTTTCTTTGTCCCTGCTGTGCAAAGACTTTCCAATCTAAAATCCCAAAGTTTTGCATCTGCGGTTTCGAATCAGCAGACAGCAGCGCTCATGCATGTGATCGGGGGCTACATTCAAATTCATGCTAGTTCGCCGCGATTACCAACCCTACCTTTAACTGCTTCAGTTTTCCTTACATTGCTTTTTCTACTCCATCTAAGAATTAAATATTTTTTTAGTTTTATTCTGGCTGTAATCGAATTCTATTGACAAAACAAACTTTCTCCAGACAGAGCTAAAATACTGCCTGTTCACACCTGACTAAAGCTGCTGGTTTGATTTTGTGCTACAGATATGTTCTATTGGAGCTGAATTGACCATAACGACTTCTGAAACTATACAACTATTGACAAAACTTAAGTGCTAAACTGGCCTGCCTGTTGATTTGTTAAAAACATGTGGAGCATCATGAGACAAAAGTAACAAAAAATGAGACACAAAACTGTCTGGACATGAACCCTTGAAGATGGACTAAGAGGAGTTCAAAGCCAGTATCCCTGATGGAGAGTATTCACAGTATGAACCAGAGTGTCTAAATTAACATTTATAATCATGAAACACTGAACATCATTGAAGCTCTAGTGGAGTCTGGAGTAGAGGAGTTGAAGCTCAGCCTCTTGTTTGATTCTGTTAGTAAGTCCTGAGGCGTAAACATGTGACAGAGGTGTTTTAAATTAATGACTTTTCTCTGCACAGGCCTGAGGAGCAGGAAACGCTTGTTTTGTATTTGAAGTGTGATAACGGGGCGGGGGGACTTGCACACGTGTAAACCCACATACTGTACACATACTGTACTGTGTGTAAACGCACACTAACACACACACAAAAACACACTCTGAAGCCCTGTCATCGTCAGTAATGAAAACCAGCAGCAGCCTGAGGGGACGTCACTGCTGCCGACAGAATGGACAGAAAAACGACAGAGGGAGGAAATGTGAGGGAGATAAAGAAAGAGACCTCATGTCTGCCTTGGGGGGGTGGGGGGGGGGGGTAAAGTGGGGAACAGAAAACACAACACTGTAAACAAGATGTAGAGCATGGTGGCCTGGAAGGGACATACTGTTTACTGTTCTTACACTAGAGGTGCAAATAAGCCAAGTGTTTGCACCTCTGACCGGTGCGTGGCATTTTCATTCATGCATTTAGCAAAAAGAAACTCGTTTCAGCAAAAGCCCCAGGGCGGATGGCGAGGATGTTACATCACCAACTCTGAGAGAGGGGGGAGTGATGGGGGGTGATGAGATGGATGTTCCTGAGAGGCCGAGCCTGAGAACAACTTGTAGCTGCGGAGCTATTTCTGTCACAGCACCCGGAGAAGGGTGTGTGTGTGTGTGTGTGTGTGTGTGTGTGTCAGTGGGAGTGTAGGGATTGTAGTTAATGCAGTGCATGCTGCAGAGCGAGATATGCACTTGCATTCCAATGAGAGCGTGGATGTGCAAGCCAAGGATCTGTCCTCTTCACACATCTCGTCTTTATCTGCAGCACACGCACGCACACACGCACGCACGCACACACACACATCACATCAGACCTTTAATTAAATCTAAATCTCCTTTTATAGTTTTTCAACCCCTTTTTTAAATTATCTGCTAAGTGATCCATCTGGTTATCAATGATATTAATTGTATTTCTAGCATCAAACTTTAAGTTCGCATTTTTTATGAAATAATGGGTTTTTTCACATTTTAACAGTTATCATTCTTGCCCAAATTTCAGTTAAATATTACCTTTGAGCGATAAGCAAACCATCAAAATCTGTTGTTCTCCACGTTATACAGCTTATAAAACTTTTTTAAGCGGTGTTGCATCTGCCAGAAGGACCCTTGAATGATTCTGCCCATGTTCTTCTGTCTTTAATCGATCAGGCTGCAGAGAGAAATTTCAGGTCTTGTCTGTCGGAGGAGGATGACGTTAGCAGCTGTTGCCGTAGTAACCAGCTGTTAATGGATGTGGACAGCAGGGAACAGACTGATGTTTTGTGGAATCGAGTGTACAGAGAGTTCAGTGTGCGGTTGCTCTGAAGTGCTCTACTGTAACACAATAACAGCATTCAGAACATGTGGTGGTAGGCTGAGGTCTCCAATAAAGGTTTATCATTGAGCACTAAAACCTCATCATCTATTCTTACAGTACAAGAGTTTGTGACCAAGTGAGATAAACCGAGGGCACAAACTCAGCCTCTACTATCAATTAATGCAGTAGAAACACTTGCTGGCAGCGCCACAAACAGGAAAAACACCAACTAATGAGGCTAGTTTGCATTCATTAAACATTCAAGTGAACTCAAGATGGATTTCTGCCGAACAGAAATCCTCTGTAGTCCAAAAGATGTGACATTCTTTGTGGAAATCATGGACATTGCTCTCAAGAGTAGAGGGATCACCTGGCTTTTTATCAGCACCCAGTCCAAAGCCAGCATTTCTGATGGTATATTTCAGCAAGGTAAAACAGAAAAGTTCTGCAGGTATTACAACAGCATGACTCTGAAGTAGGAGAGTCCTGCTGCTGAACAACAAATGATTTGCAGATCATCAAAATTTGTTTTCATTATCATTTTACACAGTGTTCCTTTTTTTGTAATAAGGGCTGTATTTGAATGGAAATCACAAACATGTCCATGCTCTGATACTGTCCACACACTCCTCCACACACACACACATACACAGGGTCACACACAAAAACACACTCTCGTTCGAAGTGTACCAGCAGTCCGTGTGGGTGAGAGAGGTCATGCAGCCTCCTCATGCTCCCTCCTCAAAAGCCACTCATTTGAAAAGGCCAGTGCACTTTACTATCTCTCTCTCTCACGCACAGAAAACACACACACACCATCACACACAAACACACACACGCACACAAAATGACTCCATTATCCCGCTCCTGTGTTCCCCTCAAACAAGGCCATCCATTCATCCACCACGCAGGTCGACGTGCCTGGAATTACATCACAGAGAGGAGTCGCACAATGACCTGTGTATGTGCGTGCGCGCGTGCATGCGTGCGTGTGTGTGTGTGTGTGATGTGTCTACACTTGAATGCTAATAGAGTAGCATTACATTGTGTGAATCAGTGAAAGGGCAGGTACAGGAAAAGGACTGTTGTGTGGTTTGCCTTGACGGGTGAGTCAAACATCAGATTTAAAGCTACAGAGAGAGAAACACTCTATGACAGAAAAGCACAAAAAAAAAACACAAAGAGAGAAAATTTTGAAGAGAAAAATGCATCATTTCTGACACTGTTTACAGCTCTCTTTCACAGTACGAACCTGTGAGTCTCAGTTTTACTGTTAACACCAAGTTGCACAAAGCCTTCAGTCCGATAAATATTAGCAGTATGAACCTGGTGAGTCTCAATTTGACTGTAAAAAGTTAGTTTTACAGAAGCTTCTCATTCAATTTCATTAGTAGGGACCTGATGAATCTTACTTTCACTGTGAATAGTTACTCAAGCTTAAAATTGAGTGATCTTACCAAGTGAGTCTCAGTTTTACTGTAAATAATAATTTTAAAAAGGGTTTTGCTACAGCTTACTTCATTAAAAATCACTCTTTTTTGCAATTCACTCCCAATCAGTGTGAATTTAAGTTACCTCTTACAACTTTCTGTCAGTTTCATTATCTTTTAACAGTAAAATGATACTTCTTCAGTGCACATGTGCAACCTGTTTGTTTAGAAAAAAATCTGTTTTTAAACATATTTGGACACATGAGAAAACAACTACAAACAGATACTAGAACCTTCTGTTCAAACTGGAGCCTCTGCCCACAGACTCTTTATATTTGGTGGTGTTTATGTGTAAAACGAAAGTTACAGCAGAGCTTTCCTCGTGAACTTTCAGACCCTGAGGCTTCATCTCTTCAGCTTCTCTCCAGCAGGCATTGACCTGTGTTAACTCTGCATCTGAACATGATTTGCATACATGCTGAACATGTCTGTGCAGTCGCTCAGTGAAAACCTGCTGACAGCTCGTTCAGAGGAAATACTCCAGCGCTGCAACATCAGCCCGAGCAGGTTCTGCTTTTGTTTGCTGACAGTGAAATGTGGCTGAACCAGCAGTGACTCATCCTCTGAACTCCTCCACACAGACACACAAACCGTCTGCCACACATGCTGACACTCAGAAATGAGCAGCTCCAGAGAGTAAGCTGTGAGATCACTGTGGGTGTAGTCTGTCGTACGGCCTGCAGGCAGCATTCAAGAAAACATTGAATTCAGATGAGTTCCTGCTTGTTGTGTCAGCTGGAAGCTAAAGGTCAGAGCGGCTCGGATCAAACAGGAATGTTTGTATAACCCCATGTTTCATTCAAGTTTTGTCAGGCGGAAGATTAGAATAATGAAACTCCTTAAAATGTCAAAAATAATCTACCTCACAAGTCAACTGCAGCAGGTACTTGAAACTCTGACTTTTAAATCAATTTAAAACATGTACACTCAGGCTGCAATGGGATAAAAAAATATTAACAGTGAGATTATAACAAACTGATATTGAGGTATAATGTTGGGGGACCCGGGTTGTGGTCAAGTCACTGAACCTCAAGTCAGAGTTATGTCCTGATTCTTCAATGTTCAAGTCCATGTTAGGTCCCTGTCACCAGAAATGATCTCAGATCTCCAAACCTCAAGTTTAAGCTGAATCTCAGGTCTTCAGTGTTTAGGTCCAAGGTGACTTCTAGTCACCAGGAGGAATTTAAGTCACCCAAACTCAGGACCAAATCAAGTCTTGAAACCACAATGTCCAAACCTTGAGTTTGAGTTTGAGATCTTCAAGTCTTTAGGAGACATAGTCACCATAAAGCAATTTAAATTGCCAAGCCTTCAGTCTGAGTCTCGTCTCAAGTCATTTTAAAAACCCAGTTGAGTTCTTGTTACCAAGGAAAATTCTAATCATCAAAACTCCAGTCAAAGTTAAGTCTTTAGACCTCAATGTTCAGGTCTGAGTAAAGTTCTAGTCAGCAAAAAAGGTATTCAAATCATTTAACATCAAGTTTAATCTAAAACAATAAATCTTTGGATTTTGGTTGGGTCTTCATCACCATGCAGGAACTTAAAATGCTAAGCCTCTAGTCCAATTTTTTGCCCAAGTCACCAATTTTACAAAACCCAATAGGTTCCTTGTCACACAAAAAAATTCAAATGCTCAAACCTCCAGTCCAAGTCAAGTCTTGAGTCCTTAATGTTTGAGTCTAACATGAGTTCACCAATTAAGATTTCAAATCACCAAACCTCCAAGTGAGCTAAGTCTTGAGTCCTCAGCATTCAGGTCCAAGTCTTATCTAATGCATCAGTAGAGATTAAGCGGATCAAAAAATCAGATTTAGGACAAGTTTAGGGCTCAATGTTTGGGTCAAAGTTGAGTCAAGCTTCCAGAAGGGAATTTAAACCACCAAAGCTCTAGTTTGAGTTTAGTCTTGAGTCCACTCTGTTTGAGTCTGAGTTAAGTCCTAGTCAACAGAAACAAATCTAAATCAATCAAATTCAGGTATGAGTTGAGTCCCTCATCTTGAATGTAAAAGTCTAGATAAGTCATAGCCACTAGATAGGAATTTAAGTCACCAAATCTTCAGTAAGTCTCTAGTATTTCATGTTCAAGCTGTTGAGCCCCAGTCAGCAGAGAAAATTCAGTGAACCAAAACTCTAATCAAAGTCAAGTCTCTAGTTCTCAATATTAAGGTCTGATGTAAGTCTTTGTTACCAGAAGGGTTTTTAAATCACCAAACCTAACCTTGAATCTAAATCGATTTTTAAGTCCTCAATGTTTGAATCCAAGTCAAGTCCCAGAAAGGAATTCAAATTCCCAGAATTCTAGTCAAAGTCGGGACTCAACCAATCGTTGTTCAAGTCTTAGTTGAGTCCTTGTCACCAGAGAGGAATTCAAATCACCATACCTACAGCTTGAGATGAGTTTCGAGTCCTGGATGTTTACATCATTGTGGAGAACGAGTCACCTGAGAGGAATATGAGAGTATCCTTGGTCCAATCCTCAATACCTGTGTTGGATTTCAAGCCAAATCCTTGCTTCCTGTGTCCAAGTCCAAGTCAAGTCCACCTTACCTGTGTCTAAGACCAGGATGAGGATGAGAGTTCAAAAGATTTCCAGTTGAGTCTTAATTTAGTCCCCATTACTTGTGTTTGAATCCAGGCCAAGTCTTCATTACCCATGTCTAAGTCTGTTTTAAGTACTTAATGCTATTATTTATCACAAACAATGTGTCTCTCTCAGTACAATGGCCAATGAAAAAGTGACCTCTCTCTGAAATGAGTCATGATTGGTCAAAAGCATCTGTACCCATTGTAAATCAAAAAATCTGGATACAGAGTGAAGAAGAGGTGCCAATGTTTCTTCAGACCACTTCAGGCACTTCAACCTGACTCTTTTCATAGAGTTTTTGTCCAGTGACACACAGAATAAACCGCTGTAACCTGGGCCCTGCACACTTTTCTGTTTTTCTTCTTTCCTAAAAGCAAAACGGACAAGCATCTGTGCAGGTTAACACAACGTACACATTCAGACATGTGCGATAAAGGTGGAAAATGGGACTATGTCTGACCTTAGACTTACTTCACTTAAAATATTATTACAGCAGTTTTTACACAACAGTACGAACATACAACAGAACGAAGGAGGGAAAAAGTAATGAATCAGAGGATTGAAATAGTGAAATGATATTTTTGCTAGTGTAAAGGGACTGACACCAAAGAAGCAGACATCATATTAGAAACAGAGATGTGTGGTGTGTTTAACAGGTGTTTGTGGGAGTTTTGTTCTTTGTGTCCAGCAACCAAACAAAGACACAGATGTGAGTGTTTGAATCAAACTGTGTGGTGTCAGAATTAATTATCCGTCTGTGTAAATCACAGCCAGAGAACAGGGTCCCTCCTAACAACACATCAAACTGAGGGACAAACAGAGGACGGGTCCAGCAGGGCGGAGACAAGAGGGGGAGCTGACTTCACTCAGATTTATGAACCCAGTCTGCAGGTTACAGCGGGGAAAGTTCTGGAGCTATGTATTCAAGGACCAAGTCTGCAGATAGAAACCCCAGAGGCCAAAGAGATGCCTCAGTCAGAGGAGTTTTCGGTGCAGTCTACCCTCTCCTGTTTGAAGAAACACTGGGCTGTTTGTGCATCAGACTTCTTTCCTGTTTGAAATGTGCAAAACCATGGAGACAAAGAGCAGAAGCAGAGGTGTGTAGCTGGAGGCTGAAGAGCTCCAGCTCATTGGTAAAGCAAACATGGCTGCCGTCAGTCTGGAGAAACTTCAAAGCTCGGCATGACGCCTCAGATAAAGACATCAAACGGAGAAGACAGAGCTCGTCTCCGCTCTGCACAGACCGTGCTTTCTGAAAAATACACACGCCATCACAGCCTCTGAATCTGTGACATGACTGTGATTGCTCATATTCTCTGATTTAACAAGTAAAACCAATGAGTTATAGATTAGAGGAACACAGCAGCTGGAGCCTTCGTGAGTTCAAACTCAGGCCCGTGTGAGGCTCAGACTGGGAGAGGAGTAAGAGGACGCAGGTAAATAATCAAACACACCTGTGCACACTGGCTGAAAGATGTGGGTCTGACTGAAGAACACCAAACGTTCTCATCTGTCTCTCTTTAATTCAGCCTCTCTGGACTTCAACCTTTTTCACTGCTGGTACAGTGTAATGAATCTGGAAACTCAACATGTATTATAATGTACAACAAAACCATCTTTTAGGTAACATGGATCTTAGGCCATAGAGGCTACAAGGCAAAGTAGTGACTCAGTAAAGCCTGCAAGTTAATATGATAACAGTCAAGGCTTGACTAAGTTCAGAAACCTTGTTTAAGACTGTTTAGAACCTGTTTTAAACCTTGTTAAAGACCCTGTGTAAGACCCTGATTAAGACCCTGTTTTGGGCACAGTTATAGGTCCTGTTTTAGACCCTGTTTCTCGCCTTACTTTGTTTACACTCTGGAGCTGTGGTTTGTGGACCACAGTGATGGAGTTGGCTGCTCCTGTGTCTGCAGAGGAAACCATTTCTTACAGGTCGCCTGCTTGTTTGACAGCCTGGTTCGTGTTTATGGGGAATTTCCTGCCCTGAGTCACGCCTGTCAGGCAGTTGTGATGAAGCATGTGATGACAAACAGGATGACACAGAGGTGAAGCCTCTCCACAGCAGACATGGTGGAGGTTTGGATGATTTCTCATAGCAGATTTACAACCAGCAGCAGCAGCTTCCTGTATATGAATGTGTGTGTGTGTGTGTGTGTGTGTGAGAGAGAGAGAGAGAGAGAGAGAGAGAGAGAGAGAGAACAAAGAGAGAAGAAGTAGAAAACACAGATTGGGAGGAAGTAGAAAATGCAGATTGGGGGTTCGCTTGTTTTGATGCTGTTGAAATTAGAGCATATACAGGAAGCAGGAGTGTGAGAAAAAACAGTGAATGAACGAGCAAGAGTATGAGAGAGAGAGAGAGAGGCATGGAGGTCAGATTGCATCACCACACTTTGTCTCTCTGGGCGAGGGTCAGCACTTCACCATGTAAACAGGAAACAGAGAAATTTAAATGTGCTGTGAAGAGGACTTATTTTTAAACTGGGCTCTCTTACAGCATATTTTTAGGCCTGACTGAGCATTGGGTACAAAAATCTGATGATGTGATGCGTCTTTACAGTGCTTTTACAGGCAAATGTACTCTACAGAGGTGGGGTTTCCTTTACGCTGTTGGGTGATGACTGATTTTGCCTTAGAGGTATTACTGTTACTGGAGCCGTCGGGCTGATGGGGCCATAAAAAAAAAAAAAAAAAAAAATCCCGTGACCAAAATCCATGTGTATCCCACAGGTACAGTCAACCTATCAGAGGCGAGCCTTTAGCCTCCCATAGCTTTAGTGTGTTTGCCTGTCAGCCTCTGATTCGCACATCTCAAAATCCAAATATCTGTAAAACAAATGCATCACCACACTCCTTGTACTGTGGGTGCGTGCGTAGGAGTCCTGACCAAACCAGTTTTTTGAATCAGGCTGTAAACAAATGTATTGTTAGCTTTTGAAATAGGCTTTTTTTGAATTAGTGTGTATGTTTTTTGTTGCCTCTGCAGACAGCCTCTAGTGAACACTCAAGGAATTGCAGTTTTTAATATGAGTATTGCAGCAAATAAACACTTAGCTAGAATAACATTGACGGCACATTTTTGTTTGTGATGCAACTGGAGACAGACTGAGATGATGTAAAACTGTGATTTCTAAAGTACCATTATTTCTCTACTAAGTCTGTAGTAGTCACTAAATAAAAGCTACAGTTCAGCTTCTCTCAGGTCTCTCTCAGGTGTGTGTTTCCAAATTGGGTGTAAATTTTCTTTAAACCCTCAGGATCAGAGGAAAAGTTTAACGCCAGAGACGACAGCTGATGAAGAAATGTTCAGATATAAAAATGAGACTTTTAGAGGTCACTGTTTTCCCTCCGAGACTCTCTCAGATGTGATGCTACAGACTGAACTGCTCTCTCATAGACAGAGAGGATCCTGGGGTGGCAGACTACTGCCTGGACCCACAGTGCCCCCTGCAGAGCCGGAAAGGAGCTGCAACCTGGGCTGTAGGAGGAAGCACCAATGTCTGCATCGGTTTATTTATTTACATTTATATTTGTTTTGGGGTTTGTAAGGTTGTAGATTTTCAGATTTTTGCAGGCTTGTTGATATTCTGTGATAATGATCAGTCACCAGTGTTTGTATTTTCCTTATTATTTCTAAAGATTAACAACAAATTCAAAAACTAAATTTTTAACAAAAAAAAATTGAATTTTTTCAAGAAATATTAGTAAAGCAATAAAATGCAATTCAAAAAAAAAATTTGTGTGATGATTACACAGGAATATATACATAAAATGTCTTGTGTTAAACCTTGGGGACTTTTTTTTCCCTCCCTGAATACTTGCAGATCATGATTTGCAAATTGTAATCTTGTCATTCTCTGAAACAGTGAAAACCATCTACACCAGTGATGACGGCTTTTAAATTAGTAAATGAAATAAACTTTTTAAGGCTTTTCTAACTGATGAAATTAATATTTATAGATAAATAGGACTAAAACTCTGGACTGTATCCTTTTTCTTTTCCTTTTTTGGATCTGAAATTACAGCCTCATGACAAAACCTGGACTATTTTTACATGTTTCATGACCTCCACTGTGACCCCAGTAAAACAACAGATAAGGAGGATGAGAAGAAGGAGGAGGAGAAGGAGGAGGAGGAGGTGGAGGAGGGAAAGCGGGCAAAAAGGAAACTGAAGCCAAACAAGGACAGAGTATAGATTGTTGGAGGTGAGCGTGTCTGTCAGAGGAGGAGGTGGTCATGAATATTTAAACCTCATTCCTGCAGGGCCGTGAAGGGAACACATGAACTTTTAATGCAGCAGCAGGTTAAATGGGACATTTTATGTCCGTTAATGGCTCATCGAGTCAGGCCTCGCTGTTCAGTGAATATCAATAAGGCCAGAGTCACTTCTCCTCTCTAAAAATTACCTGACTACACACCTCTAGCTTTCTTTCTGGAGTTACTGAGTTTTACTGTCTGTTGCAGTTTGAGGTAAGACAGTCTGTGGAGTTTATCATGTGGATGTTTTCAGGCCTTGAATTCAGACACTGGCACATTCGAAGACTCTGTGTCTCTGTGTGGACACAGGTGCATCATTTAGATGCTCCTCTCATAGTGAAAAGCTTCACTGGCTGATGAATCTGATCTGGATTTATCTGTTAATGAGCTCAGAGGAGAAAAAGAAGAAAGGAGAAAAGCTGAGATGATTATTGGTGATAAACAGTCTTAAACTCAAACACCATCTGTGTCAATATACAACTCCCTAAACACTAAACACCAGGGACTTCAAAACTGAAGTCATTGTAGGAATCCCAAAAACTGCAGTTCTCCAAAAGTCCACTAGAGGCTATTTGGTGGACTGAAGTGAGTCAATCCAGGTAGAGTCCCATGTTAAAATGTCAAACTTTACAGCAGAACTTAAACACGTTTATTGGCTGGTACAAAAATAGTTTTGGTCTCTGTAGCTCATTACTCTGTTTCAAGATGATCGTACAGACTAAATCATTCACTTATTGGTTACAATTTTAGAAAGCTTATTAAACCTTGCGACCTTAATATCTTCCAAACCAATAAGTAATTCCTCCATCCCTCATACAGCATGTGCAGAGAGAGAGAAACGAGCTAAAACTGTCTTTTGAGCTGGGCTGTAAACACATTTATTTTGCTCTAAAACTGGATTTTTTTAATGCGTGTGTATGTGGTTTCAGGTGTTTCTGTAGCTGGCCTCGAGAAAACACTGAGGGGGAACCAAATAAGGGATGAAAACAGATTCCTGCTTCAGAGGCTTTACTATCTGAAGGAAACTAAAGAGAGATAATATAAAAATATCTTGTGTACCAGTTTGCAGTGGCTTGATTTCCCCTCTCCTAACTCCAGAGGCTGCAAACTGATGAGTCAGACAAAAGAGTCATTTCCCAAAAGAGACCAAATGAGAGTGAATCCAGACAGGCATAATGAGTGTGTGTGAAGTTAGAGCCATTACGGCTGCACAACAACAGGCTTCATTAAATGCAGTGATTGGCCCACAGTAACTGGCTGATTGCTGCAGGACATTATGCAGAACCTCTGACTGTATTAAAGGACGTTTTCTCCTAAACTGAAACACAGAGGATTCCACTCTTACAACCAGGTCATCTACACAACAGTGTGATTAACCTCTATTCAAAACTTGCCTAAAGCACGCAAATAAATCAAAACACCTTTCATTATTCACAGGTGGCTTTTTAACAGCGCGATGAACCAAATGTCTACACTGAGATATTTTGGTAAAAGGTTGGTTAAAAGATATCAGACAACCTGATCATGTTTTTCTTTGCTGAAGTGTCAACTGAATTACTCCCACAGATGTCCTTTTTCCTTATTCAGTTCCTTACAAATTTGGACAAACAAGCAGACTAATGCTTTAACTGGGCCAGTACAAACCAGCACTGCTCACCCTGTTGGGATTTTAATTTGCATAACCACCCACTCATTATACATTATACACATTATCCTTCACACATTGATGTTATACACTGAGTAGCAAACAGATTATGACATTTGTTATCAATCAATGGATCAACTGCATGTCAATATTGTAAACTTGTTGCTGAATGGTGACAATCTTAGTGAGAATTATGAGAATCTTTCCAGGTGTTTGGTCTGATGCGGATAATTTTGTTAATATAATTATCAACAATGCACCTCCAAAAACTACAGAAGGGCCATGGATTTTTCTTTATTTTATGTGCTGTTATCTTATAACAACTTATTATCTCGATATAACAAAGTTCGTTTCCTTGTGATAACGTCTTATCTCATTATCTTGACACAACAAAGATCGTTTTCTCGTTTTCAACATATTAACTAATAATGTGTCTGTCATTGTCACTGTTGTTGTCCCATTCATGCAAAGCAGTTAAATGTTCCCAAGTTGAAAGTGTAATGTGCATGCATGGAATGTCACGTCAGTGTTTTTATGTAAACCCTGCTTGCTGTTGACAACGGTGGCTGCTGCATTTCAGAAATATCCTACTCTGAAGGGCATTTTTAAAAGTTGGAGTTTTAGGTCGACGAAATAATTAGTTAGATAAAGTTAGATAAAAATCTAATCCAAAACTGGAACTGATTGGATCATGAGATAATTAAAGATTAGCCCTCCAAATATCACCACTTTTTTCCTTGAAATTCTAAGATCAAAAACGGAGTTTTAAGATTAAAGACAGAATTCAAACATCTAAAACAGAATTCTTTGACTTTGATTTCAGGATCCCATGGGTAAGTTGAAATTTCAGGAAAAAAAAAAAAAAGAAGAAAAATCCAAAAAAGTTTATCGGCTATTCATTGTCTTACTGAATTCAATTTTCTTTTTTTTTAATTTGATAAAATTACCAATTAAGGCTTGAACTCTTAAGAGAATGAACTCAGGGATATTCATCAACATAAAAATAACTTCCTAAATATTTAGAAATATTGGACTGAAGTTCATTTGAAGTGGGTGGAGCTTATGATCTGAAGGGTATTTCTGGATATTTTGACTTCACCTTTGGGATACTGTTGTGCTGTTTATATTTTATCCAGTTTTACATGGACCAGGGAGAACCCAGTGCAAAAGTAACATGCAAACTGAAAACCCCAAAACAACAAAAACACAGTGTAAATATCAAAAGGTACTGCAAACAACACAAATGTAAACATCCTTTTACATTAGTATTGAGTAAATGGTGTTAGGTACCAGTTTTGAATGTGGTTCTGCTGTCCTCTCTTCCCCTCTGTGCTGTTGCAGTGTTTGTAATCAGTTTTAATTCCATTACAGTTAATGAAGCGAAAAAACTATCATCCAAACTTCCGAAACTCAGAGAAGCAAATAAGATCCACAAAACCACTAATGATGTCTGTAATGAAATCCAGTTGAAAAACGGTCCTTAACCACTGCAGGACTTTTCCCAAGACCTGAGAGCCTTTCCAGAGAGGTCTTCCCTCGAGACAAAGCAGGAGCGCCTCCCTGTGGACAAAACCAGAGCCTGGTGTGGAGAAAAAACAGCTTTGTGGAATTGCATCCACAGCTTTCCCAAAGAGAGTTTTAATGTTTATTCAGACAAAGAGGTGGGGGTGTTTCCTCAGACCACGGGGGGCTGTTAATCCCTCAGTTTCTCACAAATATTTATTTTTGCTGCTCTAAAGTACACTGGACAAAAACACCATCCACCTGTAAGCTGATTAGGTGAAAGTGTTGCATTAATGGAGTCACTCGGGGCCTCACAGAAGTACTGTACTTAAGTACATACAGGGGACAAATATAGATCAGAAAAAGCTGAAAGACCAGATTTTTTTTAAACCTTTATCTATCACTCAAAAATGGGTATGAAATAAGAAAAGACAACAAAGGTGGACTTTGGGTTTTCTTCAGTGGGTCACTGCTGCCATCTAATGTCACATTCTTTCTCTGTTCACAACAGAAATGTATTGAACTTAAATATACCAACATATTTCTACTTTAGTACAATTTTAAACACAGAGCTCATGTGTAGTTTGACAACTACAGTGATTTCCTTAAGTCCTACATTTACCTTCACCTTTAAGGTTTTATTACTTTAGTTCTCTATCCTCATTTTTATGATTTTTCCTTTATAATATTGGTATAGGATCACTTGTTTGGAAGGATCTATACAAATCAAGCTAACAATAATACTTACTATTATTATCATTGCTGTTATCAATGGGGTAACCCTCTTTTACAATGATTTTGAGTCAGGGTCTGTGAATTTTTATCTGTAAGTTGAATTGAATCAGGAAAATTCAGGACAGTGTGATCAGCTGATGTTGTAGATGTGCATCATCATTTAAAAAAACTGGAGACAGCTTTGCTATTATAAATAGTAAATAAAGATGGGCCTAAAAATCAAACCTTGTGGAAATCGTTCAATGGTTAGATTGTTTGGTACTAAGCTGACAAACAGTGCAGCTCTATCCTTCTTTACTTTGCAATCTGTGATATACCATTTTTTCCAGGTCTCAATTTTACATCAGATTATCATACTTAACTATTATCCCCAAATATTCAAACTACTCACCGAAGTGGTCTTCTCTTACCTTAAATGAGTGTAGCAGAGGCTGCATGACATGCTGTGGTCCAAGTTCAGTGATTCAGGGTCTGATCCTGTCCGGAGGCTACTGTCAGAGGGTGTACGTTATGAGATTATTCAGATATTTCAAATAATTGATTCAGGTGGCCTTGTGATATTATATACAAAGAGCACACTTACAAACATCCCTTTGTCAAATATTTATGAAAAAAAAAAAAAAAAGAAAGAGCCGGAGCAGGAGATGTTTGAAAAACTCAAATTTTCATAGTTTTTTTTACGACTTATGTCACAAAATTAATAGAACACCAATCAAACGGCGTGTTTTGATATATAATTTGTCATACAACTCTTCAAGCTGTAGGAGTAGCGAATCAAAATTTGTCAGGAAGAGGAATAAGAAGAATTCCCAGTATAACAATTGTGCCTCAGTGAGTTCGCCCCCTTGCCCTGATTACTTACCCATGATTCCCCCACAACTGAAAACCATTCATCCTGTTTCCTGTGTGTTCAGAAAAATCACACTTTTCTTTATGATATCGCTTGTTCAGAAAAAAGGTAACATATCTGAAAATTTTTGTGTGATTCAGGGATAATTCTTTCGTTACTGTGTAAACTCAAAAAAAACTATTTTTTCAGAACTAAAAGAATTATTTCAGAAAAAAAATCTGCAAAAATGAATGAAAAATGAAGTTTAATTGAAAAAAGATCTCTTCCAAAATCATAATCCTGAGATTTTTGTCATTAATTTAGAAAAAAGTTGAGACCTTTAATATAGGAAAACATGGAATTATGTAAGTGAATGAAACATGCTTTCATTTCCTAATTTTTATTTTTTATTTTTTTTACAGAAAACTTTTTCTCATAAACTTGCTATGATTTTAAAAAAAGGTTCTTGTTTATTCAGAAAAAAGGGAAATTTTTCTGATTTTAAAACTTGCTTTTAATTTAGAGAAGTTTTCTTTACTCTGAAAAACAGGGTTTATTTCTCTCCTCAAGACAGCTTCTATGCATCTAGAAGCCTTTTTGTGTCCCTTCAGTTTGAACCCGTTTCACAACTTTGTTGAGTTCGGAGAAGATTAGCTTAAAAGTTTGTGTGACTCAAACATGAATCAGTCAAATGACTGATTTGTCTCTGAAGTTTGGCTGAGACATCCTCTTGAACTCAAATTTTAAACGCTAAAGATCCTGTCTGTGATGTTGACTCGATAACCTGAACGTGTCAGACAAAAACAAGAGCGTTTGGTAGACGGACTTTGATCGGAGTTGTTTCCTCTGGAGGATTATGTTGCAGCCGTTTGAGCCCCTGTTGAAATTTGAAGTGCCTCCAAAGCTTTTTCAGCCCATCATCTTTTTAACAACAGCACATTCAGTAAACAGCTGAGATTAGAAGTTTCCCCCAAGACTATCACAGAGACCGTCACTTTGACTAAAGTTTGACTTAAGATTTATTGGATCCACATACTTTCATTAAAATCCATCTCATACAATCAACATATACACCAAATATTACAATATATACAGATTATTTTCAATGTACAGCGGATAGAGTCTTTAACAGAGAATAAAATCTAAAATATTTAGCAGTTACTGCGAGTGCCCGAAGACCTCCTGCGAGGCATAGGTCATGTAGAGGAAGCCGTCCTCGTCCTGGTGGTCTTTGTACACCTGAGCCATGGTAAGGGACATGCTGGCCAGCCCACTGTTGTTGATGAGCAGGTAGAAGGCCTGAGTGGGCAGCAGAGCCATCCGGTTCCTGAGAGACACGAGACACAATGCACAACTAATGAGGAGTCCTACTGGGGGGAACGGAGGAAACTTCCTCAATCTGATTCTGATCAAGTCTGATAAAAAGTAGCCGGTCAGAAGTTTCAGTGAACAGAAACACAGTCCTCGGAGTATTTTAGACCCAAACTAAAAGACATTGATTGTGGTACTTTCACTAAAAGTACCACAACTACATGAAAAAATATCACTCTTAGAAATCAGCTTATTTTTACTGAACAGAGAAAAAATAATAATAAAAAAGTCAAACTCAAACAGGTGGACAGCTGGAGCAGTAGACGTTTGAAAAATAATTGCTCTTTTGTCTCACTGACTTCAATGCAAAATTTTTCCATCATTTTTTTTGCATGGGAAAATTCTCAGGAGGACAAAATAAAAACACTTTTCTATAAATTCAAACAAATCTGCCAGAAACATTTGGACTTTGACGAAAACACACTCAGATACAATCAACTGCTTCAAGACATGAATTTTTCTAAATATTTCACATTTAATCAGCCAAATTAAGGGGCCCAATCTCTTTTTTTTGGTGATACTTTTGTTTTCCTTAATCTCCACACAAAAACAACTCTCATCCTCATCCAGCAAAAAGCAGGTTTGGAGCACAATTTAAATTCCCTCTTTGTTGTGAAGCATTAGAACTTAAGCTATAAAAACATTTAGCTGGTAAAACTAGTTCTTGTTAGTATCTGCAGTGCCTTTTTTTCTGGAGCAAAACTATTTATGACGTTCACTTTTTGGACACAGAAAACTTGATCCAGAAAAACGTTATGGTTGAGTTTAAAAACTCTTTCAGCAGCCTTTATGCTCTCGGTCTTTCCTTAATCTCCTGTGAAATTGTTAAAATGATTGAACCTTAAAGCTTTCCCTCACTTTCATTCTCTCTGTATAATTTTTATAAAGTCATTAACAGTTTAGATCAAGCCGAAGACGCCTAAAACTGCAGTGAAAGACTGAGCTCCTTGTTGGATTATTTGCTGAGTCCAAACTTTGTGGAGAAAGTTGTTTGGGCCTGATCCCAACCTCCACCCTGGCGTTTGAGGGCTAAACCCTTACAGATTTCACTGATGCTGAGTGTGCAGTGTGCAAAAGGGAGTTTATGAGAGCTCCAGAGGGCTTAAAAATTGGAGGGGGGTGGGGGTGGGGGGGGTCACCTGAAACAAAGACAAACACAACCCTGAGTATCAAGTAAAAAAGACACCTACAGACGCTAGAACAGCCACACATTTAAACTGCAAAGAGTGAGCATTTGAAAAGTAGGAAAACTAAACATGTGCTTACACTCACAGATAAGCTTCACAAACTGGCTCCTCCACTATCAGTCACTGACGCTGCTCTGTTCTGTACCCTGGAGGGTCAGTGCTACTTCTCCCCCTGCACTAGCTTTAAATGTAGAGACATGAAACAGAGGGAGGTGTGCTCTCCCTGCCTTAGGCTTTGAAACACTTCATCTGTGAACTTACAATTAAATGCAAATCCCTAAACAAATCATCTCAGGATACTGTACAATAAGAGAAAATCTAGATGGTACCCAAGACTGGACTTCAATCCAGCATGAGCAAGTAAAGACAGGCAGAAACCTTAAAGAGAACCAGACACACTGGTGGCTAAAAATCTGCCATGATAGATAAATATAGAAATATTCCTTAAAAGAGCAGACTCAAACCATAGGAGGATGGAGGATGATCTGCTGCAACCCATGATACAGTTGTTTATGTCCAATACGGGACATGATTTACTGCGTCCTATAAAAGCCAAGTTGTTCTCATCTATGTGGTTGTATTTTGTATTTTGCAGCCGTTTTTGCAACTCTGGTCCAATCCTGTGCACGGCTTAATGTGTCACAACTAAGCCCCAGTGCACGTTCAGTGAAAAGGACCTAAAGGAACCAGTTTACAACACTAATCTAAAAGTTGGCTAAATGGACCAACAGAGCTCAAAGTTAAAGGTCCAAAGTTCTGATAAAGCAGTTTGTCCAAACTGGTACCTAAAGCTCGAGTGGGTATTCATACAAATGAGTTTTCTGCTTTGCCAGGTAGATGTGAGGTTCACTGGTATAGGAAGAAGTCTTAACCCTGTGGACTGATTTCATAAATGACAAACCAGCCTCTGGTCAGCATGTTGGGACAAGTGATACATTTTAAAATCTCATTAGGTACATAAACGAGTGGAGGCAACTATTCAACCATTCATCTGCATTTCTGTACATCAGTTGCAAGCTGGTGGATATGCACCAAACTTTGCAGTTTCACCAAAAAAAATAAAATAAAATACAGGAGGCAACAAACCCAATAAATACATACCTAGACCGTCTGAGCACCAACATGAGTTTGACTCTGAAAACTGACTTTTCAGTCCACTTGTCATGAAGTATTTTCAGCCTCACAGACCAATACTGCACTTGGTTTTACAATCTTTAACCGACAGAATTATGTAACGTTCATTCCAAGGTCAAGGACACACAGAAGAACGGGGGTCAAACTCCAGCAAAACAAATGACAGTTAAATCTTCAAAATGTCAAAATCACCCAATCATATCCATCCACATGTCAGCCAATCACACGGCTGCAAAGATGAACTGGGCTTACAGTCATGAGGCTTCAAGCCCGTTATTGTTTAGGCCCGTAGTTGATGTTTAGAGGAAACTTCAAGTGTGAAGGGGAGATCTTTAAACACTTGATAAAAGGACCCTGAAACCTGGGTCAAGAATAAAGTTTTCTTCTGCTGCAGGTGTTGCTGAAGTTTCAACTCTTTCAGACTCGCTTTCCTTCTCTTTGACTTCAGCAGATGGTAAAGTTAAGGATCCTTTGCTGCCTGATGATCTGTCTAAAAACGCACAACTATTTTAAGGGGAGCATACACAAGCACTCAGACCTGTACCAAGCCGGGAGAACAACCAAACAAAACTGGAACTCCCACCATCTTGGCTCATAGCTGTCCATGACGGAGTTTGGTTCTGCCCAGACAAAGTACCTCTTTGTCTTGCTCAGTATGATAACAGGATGATAGAGCCTGGTTACACATATTTTAGATTATCACTAGGTCAAGTTTCACCTGCCAAAAGGTGGATTTTCTTTCTCATGGTGGATCACTGCTGGGTCTCTAAACAAAACTAAAAAGTACAGTCCAGACTTGCTCCTCTTGCAAACTGCCCTAAGGACCCATTTGAGGCTTTGAATAAACCTGTGATCTACAGACTCTTGAGACTTGCTCACAGTCTCAAGTTTTATCATTTTTTTCTTGTCAGACCAGGATGGACCCTGTAAATTTATCTGTGGATGGGAGCATTACCGAGCATAACCAGATAATGCCCCTTTAGGTAACAGTTAAAATCAGTTCTTTTTCCTGCTGTTTTAACTGTTTGGAGCTTTCATAAACTGCCTCTTGCACACTGCACACTTGGCTTTGGTTAAGTCTGTCAGGGTTTGGTGCTCAGGCTTCAGGGTGGAGGTTGGGACTGGGCCAGAATGTCTCCTTTCTTCAATGCGAAGTCAGTTCTCATGAATTTTCCCAGTCGGGACATAATTTTCCATTTATTCCAACTGAAAAGCTCCAAGTCATAAACAGGGAGAAAGTTCCCTCAAATCAGAAAAACAAGTCAGAAAGTCAGAAATTTCAGATCCTGAGCTCTTAGCTCAGAAAAGTTGGGTTTTGCAGTAACATGGGAAATAAAAGTTCATGTTAAACACTTAAGTTCTGTGTTCAAGATATGTAATGTACTGTCAGTGAAGACAAATTTCCCTAAGGGACAATAAAATTAGAGAAATAGCATAAATACCACGTAGCTGCAAAAGTAGATAAATGCCACAAAAACCCAATAAAAATAAGAGGAAATCTGTTTACGTTCTCATATGACGGCATTTTTAGCACATCCTACTGGAGGATCTCCAGCTCCTCGGTTTATAACCTCATCATCTGCGCTGTGATCTGAGTGTGCGGGGCTGCTTTGATAATGAAGGTGTGCTGTGATCATGCAAATACATGCACAGGCAGACATGACGCATCCTCTTGAAGGAGCACCTATGTCTGTGCAATACATGTCAGAGAGGGTTTTACTTTAGTAGCCATGTACAGAATATGCTGGCTGTTCAAGCTAAAAACCCTCATGAATGTGGTCTGGGGGGGTGCAGGCCACGCAGAGGTGGAAAAACACTAGAGGATCCTGCATCAGCAGATGATAAAGAATCAGAATCTCACAATAGTTGCAGATTAACATCACTAAATGTAGACACAGAAATACATAAAAACAAACTTTCCAAGCCCTCCAGAAGAACCTGCACCAGTACACTAGGCCACTATTTTCTCGAGTCCCTCACTGCCTGAACAGAATAGGCATTCCTGTTGGTTTTTGCATCCAACAACAGAGCAGTTTGGCGTCTGGCTCCAACCTTTGACATCTCAGCTTTGCAACACCACAGCAGCATCACACCGGTATTCGAGGAAGCAGAATTGCTCAAGGCAAGGGGACTTTTTGCAAATACATATTACCACAGGAGCAAATTCAAATCTCCTTGTAGAGGCGGTTTTCCCCAGGGGGACTACAGAGTCAGTACAGAGGCTTTATCACCTCCACATCCTCTGGGTTGCTAGGCTGGAGGTTGATCCAAGTTTATAGGTATGGAAATTCATTTTGTCCCCATCACACTGGATCTTTATAGCAGGTTTAAGAAATGATTTAAAAAAAAAAGGTATGTTGACCTTGTTGGATCAAAAAAAAAAAAAAAAAAAAAAAGTTGGGTTGTTCAAAAGTCAAGGGGCTCTGGTGGAAAGTGCACGACTCCTTTAGATTTAAGCTTCGACTACACCCTTTAAAATTCAGGGGTATAAGCTTAATGTCAGTCAACAGTTTACTCTTGCTTTAAAAATGATCAGTGAAATCTTTTTAAACTAACTGCATTCTAGGGTAGAAGCATTAGGACAGGGGTGGCATGATGTCTGCTAAACCTGTAAGAAGACCAACAAATTGAGCCTGATAACAGACTCTTTTAGGCCACAATAACTAATTATCTGCAAAAAAACAACATAATCAGAGGAACCCCGTTTCTTCTCTGCCTGTTGACACTGGCAGAGTAGATATAAGAGCAGTCTGAAGAACCACTGACCCCCTAACCATCTCGAACAGGGAGCACTCTGTCCTCCAATCCATGCACAGGGAGCAGAACTGTTCAGGGTCTTGCTTACTCTGTTAGGGTTTTATGTGTATAGCCAACTGTTCACTAAAATCACTAACTCCCCACTGAAAAAGATGACCTCCCATGTGTGAAATTCCAACCATCTGAGGAACACTTGAATGCAGTGTTAAATAAATCCGTTTTTACTTCCGTAGTTTTGAAGAGTTTTAATCCTGCTCATATATCCAGAATCAGATCAAAACTGTCCTCCTTTGGTGATAAACTGAAGCTTGAACGTCCCAGAAAAGAAGCTGATCACATGACTGGAGGAGAACATGCCGACATTTTCAGTTAAAATTAAGTCCATGCCCATGTCACAGTTACTGCATCTCTGGTTCCATTACAGCTCTCGTACAGCCATGTAGAAAGTAAGGGGTCAGTGAGTAGCATTGGTTTGGTTCCAGTCTTATTCGGTGATCTTGAGGACAGAGCGTGCTTTGTTACTTATGACATAATTTCCTGTAACTTGGCTTCAACCTCACAGAGCAGACATCTGACCAACTCTGCATCAAAACACAAAAACAACTTCTTCATTCCTGAATTTCTGCTGCATAATCATGACTGAGAGGAAAGTACCAAAAATCTACTACAAAACTGAAAGACTTAAAACGAGGACAGACCACATGGTTTCAATTCTGAAACCGTTATATTTAACCTGTTTATACATCCAGCAGAGACTCCTCACTTCTTATAAAAAATGAACCAAAGTTAGCCTGAAATCAACCATACCAAATCTTTCTGCCTGGATTTACAGCCTTCAAGTCTTAAAAATGAGTACTCTGTGTTAAATGTCAAACAGAATTTGATGGTTTATGTAAAGCCAAAAACAGTGCAAAGACAACGTGTCAAATATCTGAAAAGAAAGAAGTGTTTAATTGACAACAAAAAATCTCATTTTAAATTTTATGCAGCAACAACTCCTGAACAGGGACCACAAAACAAGTGGGTCAAGGACTAAAACCAATACTGGATGGTCCTGATCTTCAGGTCGTTAGTCAGCACTGCATCATAAACAAACAGGACTCTGTAGTGGAAGTCACTGCATTGGCTCAATCACTTGAAAACCATTGTATAAACACAGTTCATCACTACAAAACTGAACTGAAACATTCCACATCTGTGAAGGCTTCATTAATGTTGAACAATACATACAGGTTTAGGAGCAACATATGCTGCCATCCAGACGAAGACATTTTCAGGGAAGACCATATTTCATCAAAACTTGAGTGTCTGCTGTCTTTTTGACAGTAAAATCAGACTAAAAGTCAATTTTTGGCTCCAGAGCCAATGGCTAAAAAAGGTTTGGATAACATTTGTTTCTAATGTGCTTCCTTTGAACACAAGGTCCTTTTGTGAAATAGTTGCTATGAAGTGTAATATTAGTCAACAGATTATCTGTGAAAACTCAAAAACATTTTCTGGAAAGATAACCAAATACTTAAAATTAACATTTAATGCTAAATTCATCAAGGAAAGAAACTAAGTGCAAAACAGGAACCTAAGAATTAAGTGATTAAAAGAAAAATAAATCTGAGACTTCGCCTGAAATCCAGAGATTGCATAGCGCAGCTGTTGGATATGTTTGAATACTTCCAAAAGGTTTCCGTGTCAGATTGAGCTGCACAAAGGAGAGCAGGAGCCAATTTTTATTGTCCCTACTATTTTACAGTGAACCTTTTGAGCAATTAAACTGCGAAGCTTAACATTTAAGAATTGAAAAGGTTTGAAAACAGTACAGAGAAGGTCCACACAAAAACAGACTTCACTCAGATGAAGATAAACCCATCTACAAACACTAGACCACACTGACAAAAACAACAATTTTACCTTTAGAAAATGGAAGCTGCTGGTCTACCCCTGCATCAATTTGTTAGCTCTCTGTGTCAGTGCCAGTGAGTGACCTAAATTAGTTTAATACACCATAAGAAACTGTGACAGAGCAATCAAGGCAGCGGTAGACCAGCAACTCCTAAGCCTCTTCTGTGTCAGTGGTGTTTGGTGGTTTTGAAGTGACCAGTGTAACAGTGTGTGGTTATGATATACAGAATAATACTTACAATTTACCTAAACTAACTTTACCTTCTTCAGCCAATATTATTACTGCAACACAGACATGTTATGCAGGATTGAACAACTGTGTCTAACAGGTCTAGTTCCTGTAAGACAGCGAAATAATAACCATTTCTACCTGCTTTGATGGAGAGATCATTTCTGTGATGCTGTCAAAACACTAGAACAACATTCTGAGCCTGTAATAAAAACCAGAATTTTTATTCAAGTAATTCATGTTAAGTTTTTCTTTTTGTTTTGAAAATGTCACATGTCAGCCTTTACAGCCTGTTTTACTGCTGAAGCAATGAAACCATCTGTACTGTTGAAGAAGGAGAAGAAGAACAACAATTGAAAAGCACAAAAATCTGCCTTGAAAAAAAAAAAAAACAAGCACTTTCAGTGGCTGTACTTTGACCAGGCACATTTGCCCCCCAGGATTAATATGCAGCTGGCTGAATCAATCCACTGTTTGATTGTTAGCCATTTTTCAATCCAAAAATTAAAGCTTATTCCTAATTCCTTTTTCCACACGTTCCAGTGTTTACCAAGTTTCTTTGTCTCGTGTTTGGAAATATATCAATTTTAGTTTCAGAGCATTTGGGGGACATTTTACCCATTATCTGACTTTTTTAAAACTTTAAAAGTCATGCAGCCATGGAGGTCAACAACATTAATCAATGAGTAAGACCAGGTCTAGGTGCAGCTTTGTACCTTTAAAACCATAAAAATTCCATTACAGTCCCTTAAAAACATGAACACACATAGTTTAAGACACCCTGCCAAAAACATCACAATTCCAGCAAATAGCCATATCCAGAGTCAGTAAATATCCAGATTCAAAGCGCCTTCAGTCACTCATACAACATATTTATCTACCTTGTTCAGCCTCACACAGTTAAAAAGCATTAAAGTGAATTTTACCTGATGATGGTGACGAACTGAGTCATGGTGAGTTCGTGAGGAACCAGAAACTTGGTTTTATCCAGAGGAGGGAGATACTTTTCCTTATCGTACCGTTCAATGATGACCTGCAAAGACCGAGAGGAAGCATGAACACATACAAACACCTTCAAAAGACGAAAACAGAGCTGTTTTCTTCTAAATCATAATAATAATTAAAAAAAAACTTACTGGTATTTTGTTTGGGAACTTGGAGCGGATCCCTGCCACCTCCTGTTTCCGAGTAGCTGCACAGAGAGAGAAAAGTCCGTTAGAGAGTTTTAAGTTTTCAAAAAGCAACTTTCCCACAATGTTTTAGAGACATTTACCGAAGCTCTTCCTCTGTTTAAAAGCTTTAGTGTGCGGCTGGCTCTTATTGAACGGAGGCATGCTGTGTGTCAGTGAGTATGAGAGTGTATGATGGAGGAAGCGGCAGCTACGGCTCTTAGCTGGTAAATGTGGTTTTGGACCGGGCAGCAGTTAAATAGAGGCGGCTGAGACGCATCAGCTGATTAGCACATGGCCACAGCAGAAGCAGCATGAATCATCTGCGGGTTTAACTAAGTTAGAGCCGCCGAGTGGAGCTCCCACACACACACACACACACACACACACACACACACACACACACACACACACACACACACACATACATACATCGGGGTCAGAGGTTGCAGGATTAGGGTCTGGACATACGCTGTGGAGGAACATCTAAACGTTTGATTGATTAAAAAAAAACTGCGACAGAGTCCCTGAAGTACGGAGGCCGAGAACCGCCATTGCTGCTGCTGCTGCTGCAAAAAAAAAAAAAAGATTGCAAAAAAAAAAAAAAAAAAAAGAACACCGCTGCTCAAAATAAAAAAAGAATGCCAAATAAGAAGCCACAATGGAAGTTACCCATGCAAAAAAAAAAAAAAGAAACCAAGGCCCGCTGCAAATAAAAAAAGAAACAGTGCAGATAAAAAAAAAAAAAAGTATGTGGCGATGCAAACAAACAAACAAAAATTCTTACTGCGAAAACAAAAGGATGCAAAAAAAAAAAGCCACGATGGAAGTGAGCTGCCGGGGACCAGTAATGATGATGTGCGGATGTTTTATGATCTAGGCACAGGAGACAAAGGCGAAAAGACATAGAAGTAAGTGGAAAGGTTATTGTTTAATTTCGCTTTTCAATGCTTTTCAATGTGTCATATGGTTAGGCCATGTAGCGCCTGAGTCGATATGAAGTTGAATTGGAGGATGCAGGTGTAGTGTTAGCTTCAGTTCCATTGTGTTTTTTTTTTTATTTGCATCCTTTTATTTTCGCAGTAGGTAATTTTTTTTCATCGTCACTTCTTCTTAGCGCTGTTAACTTTGTTTCTTTTTTTATTTGCAGTGGGCTTCAGTATTTTTATTTTTATTGTTTTGCATTGGTAACTTGTTGTGACTTCTTTTTTTTTGCATTCTTTTTTTATTTTTATTTGAAGCAGTGGCAGTTCTTGGCCACCGTACTGAAGGCCTAGGTAGTCGTGTTCAGTTTGGATGGGCCTACAAGACCGGGTACCTTGAGCACAAGATAACTAAGATTGCCCTTGAAACTTATATTGTTTACACATGTTAGAATATTGTGGAGCATATCGGTATCTTGTGCACACAAGATATTAATAAGTGCAAACCACTTAGTTCACTTATGGGAATATGTTATTATCTTGTGCACCCATGATTAAATCTAGTAACAATCATCTTGTGCACAAAAAGTAATTAAGTCATGATCATGATATCTATGGGTGTAAGCTGTTATCTTGGGTGCACAAGATATTATCTAGTGAGCACAAGATCACTGTTCCCAAAGACTACTCTCTTGTGTCCACAGGTTAAAATCTTGTGCACTCTAGTTATTAGCATGTGCACACATTACCAATAACAATTACAGAGCTTGTGCACACATGTTCCTCAAGGTAGCTATCTTGAACACAAGTTCACATCTTGTGGGCACAGGATATAAGTTTGTTTGCTCTATAAAGCTTTTTTAGGGAACAATTTACGCATCATTTTGGCATGGTCAATAACTAGGGTGCAAGTTAACATGTTATTTTGTTTGCAAAAGATGTTCACAAAGATCTCTAAATTCAGTTAGAGTACTGTGGCAAAGGTCCATAACTTGTCCATTCGAGATAACAGAGGATATGTGAGGATTTAAATTGATTTTGAGCAGGAACCTTTATCCGCTCACACAGCACCACTGGACAATCATTTTAACAATTATCAACAAAATTCTTGCAATTTTGGGATAATAATCACAGATCATGCCATTAGCAAAGCAGCAGTTATTAACCTGAACAAAACTTCATAGAATATTTTCCAATTCTCTGTCAGAAATTCCCTGAAATAAACTTCCTATCTCATTTGTGACCCTGACACCCAGCTGTGAAAAAGTTTTATTACATTTCTGAATGAAAAAAATGACTTAGCTCCTCTCTGTTTTGTTATTCTTGTTGCTAATAACATTCATCTTCAAAATATTTTATTTTAAAAAAGTAAACAAATCCAGCCAAACAACCATTAACATGTGTTCAGAAATAGAATATAAAAGCCAACAACTTCCACTAACAGTATTTTCTTTTTTAAGAATTAGGCAAATATTTGAATTTGACTCCTGAGGCATTAAGCGAGATAACTTTCCCTTTTTTTCAATAGGGTAATGTTGTTAGCTTTAATTTTGATAAGCCAATGGCGTGAAAAGATTTAAAGTAGTGGGCAGGACTCAACTGATGTCACCTTTCAGGCGTGTGAAGCTTTGAACGTGAGCCCAAGTTGCTGTACTTTCAAAATAAAAGTCTGATTCTCTTCGGCTTTGAAGCTCTGTGGACATAGTTGTTTTATTTTTGAGAGTTTTATTATCTCTATTTTTGTGAAAGGGGTGATGTCTCAAATTGCTCATAATCTTGGTTGTATTTTTCTTTTTTTAGGTGTTTTTTGTTGTAATTATTGACATGAAAAAACCCAATAACCACCAATAAAAATTCAAATTATTTTGTGTTGTGTAGCAGAACACACGCACAAAAATAAGTGATTGAGAGACTATTAACAACAACAAACGGATAGACTCTTTTTCATAACCAGAAACAAAAGACACAAATCAATTCAATTTAATGAAAAAAAATATATATGAATCACATTTTGTAAAGTTTTTCTGAATTTGTGATTTATTTACTGGTTTTTACACACTTTTGCATTTTGTTATTTATTTTGGGGGATTAAAGAATTTTTTACCCCCATTAAACATTTTGTATTTCTTATAAGTTTGTAGTCATAAAATGGAATTTTGGAAATTTATTGATAATTTGAATCTTTTTAATTTTTTATTTCAAAGAACTCCTCCACCCTTTTTAGGAAATATTTTTGTGAAATATTTTTGTGTGTCATTAAATGTTTGATGTTCCATGAAATATTTATCTTTTTTCATCAAGGATAACAAGTTTTATAAGAGATTTTTTCTAATTTATGAAATAAACTGAAAAACAGTATTACATTTCTATGATACCTTTCTTTTTTCTTATTTTTAATGTGTAGGATTGATGTGAGAGGATGGGTATCAGATGAGCCGCTAAAGAAATTTTTATATTTCAAAGGTTTACAAAAAAGATCAATTTGACAATCAAAAACCATTAAGAGGGGGATTTTTCTTTTCGACAGAAGACAATAAGCATGTAAAGGATAAGATATGCAGAGGCTGTTTGTCAGCTCAGTGCATTTTATATATACTCATATGTTCATGTTTTCTAGTTATTCATCATCAAAGCACTTCATATTAGTGCAGTTGATAATGAGGAACAAAGCATACATCAAAAATAAGAACATTTTAACAGTAGAGTGATTTTTTTTTTAATAAATTACAATTTATTTTTTGCAATAAACTGTCAAATACAAAATAATTATATTTCTTAAGAGTCCTATTATGGGTGCCACTATTGTTAGACGTTTTATGACGAAATTGAATTATATGCTAAGATGAAGTTCGATTCGATTTATACGTAAACCTCGGTTTTATTTTGAAGGCCTGATGGAAAAAGCAGAGTTCCGGTGTGTCAGCTAGCTCGACGGTTGTCTCATCATCTGACAGCTGGTTTAGACAGGAGTTGAACGGGCCAGCAGAGGAGACTGTTGATGGACTATTTTTCCTGCTTGAGGATTTCCTACCGAGTCGGTTGAGAGAACCAGACTGAACCAGCAGCCACGTCGCCCTGGTCCGGCCATGGACGAGCAGGCGGGCCCCGGTGTCTTCTTCAATAACAACAACAACTCGGGGCTGCCCGGTGCTGGCAATATTAAGGCTCCGCAGACAGGGGACCTCGGCGGTGGAGAGGCGGCCCGGGCACAGTATAACATCCCGGGGATCCTACACTTTCTCCAGCATGAGTGGGCCCGGTTCGAGGTGGAGAGGGCGCATTGGGAGGTGGAGCGGGCCGAGCTGCAGGTAAGCACCAGCAGAGCCACGGAGGCTGCCATTGTCGGACACTGTTTTGGTTGCTAGCTAACCGTCCTGGATGGTGAGAACATTGCGCCAAATCTCTCGGAATATATGGAATTTTTTTGTCTGATCGCTTTTGAATGTGTGAAATGAGCTTTATAAAGTGGCATAAATAACTTCATATAAGTATGACAGAAACTCATATCAATTCGGCATTAAAATGATTAAATAATCAGCACACTCCTTTAAAATATTCTTACTTTTAGGGGTGCCACAAGCTGTTTGCTGCTGCCGTCAGTTGTGTATGTTCCTCAGTACATGGAGTGACGCACATTCCTCATGAAATACAGAGTGGTGTTTTGTTACAGTGTGCATTGCTCATTAATGTTATGCCGAATTAAAGAGCATGTACTTATAGATATGGAACATTTGCCAAACGCTGTCCTTGAGGTTCGTGGCCCAATATGAAACAAGACGTCATAGAATTACGTAATATTTAAATGGTGGTTTTGCTCAGTGTTGGATTCACTCACGTTTCTGCGCTACTTGCTAACCATGTTAGCTGTGATTGAGATTTCAGACTCATCGGATGGTGCGTTGTCGAGTTTAAGTAGTTTTGTAACAATTTGATGTAGGATCATAAATGCTTTATTTATTAAACCAGTCTAGTTCAGTTGCAGATGCTTTATTACCTGTCCAGCGCAAAAACCCACTGAATGACATTCATTATGGGACATTTCCCCTGTAGCCTGTGGATGTGTCGGTGTTTTCCCTCAGTCTCCCTATCATTATCATCAGCAGACCAACACAAAGCCATCAGTACATCCAGGTCATCGTGATGTCCCCCGAATGTTGCACCGCGCGTCTTGCTGGAATGTGTCCGATAATGGATGCTCGGTCTTTGTATTTGATGTGGTGCGTGATCGAGGTGAGTCATGAAGGGTAGGCGTGCAGGTGTAGAAGCTTTAACTTAATACAAGGAGCGAAGCTGAGGCTGTCTGCTGAGGGTGTCCATACTCTGAAAAACGTGTCTTTTTTCCCCCTGAAACGACGCGTTGAAGCCGGAGATCAGAGTTTTTATGGTTCCTGTCAGACAGAATAATGAAGAAAATACAGCGATCGCAAACTGAATCATGAACTGGTCTGCAAAACATCTAGACATTTTTTTTTAATGTTTGTTTTGGAAAAATACTTCGATCTTGATTCTGATTTTAGAACCATTTTTTTTTACCCATGCTTATTTTTTGATGCAACACAGAGGACATATACCAACAAGGATTAACACAAGATAATTAGGGAACTAATTTAAAGGATAAGGACCGGGTGAGAAGCCCCAACCCCTGCCTTCAACCAAAAACAAGGACCATAAACAGACTGAATCAGTGATGATGAGTTTATTTTAGAAAGTCACTTTCCTTAACATTTTTGCACATTGATACTAAAAACACATTTTGTTAATTAAATATTGGTCCAGTTTTATTCCGACTTTATCATTTCCTATTTATTGATATTCAATAACATGCAGATGGAGGTGCACCCTGTCAGCCTATTTGAAAGAAAACATCACCAGTAAATTGGGATTTGAACATTTCCAAGTCCCCCAAAAGGCTATAATATGGTGAGTCTTGGTTTCGCTGTAAATAGTGAGCTACACAGAGGTGTCACTCTGGCTTACTTCAGTAAAATGAACCCAATAAGGATCTTATTTACTTGTTATTGAGGGGTCAAAACCTTGCTGCAAATGAATTACAAGGTAATTCTCAGTTTTATTGTAAACCGTAAGGTACCATTGAAGTTAGCTTTACTCTGGCTTCCTTCAGCAGTATAAACCTGAAAAAGAAACTAATGTTCTTGTGAAGGGAGGCGAGCAGGAGAGACTTAGGATGCAAGTAGAGCTGGACAGTATGCCACAAAAAATTTAATCACAGTTTTTTTAAGCTTGTGGAGGTGTCACGGTTTATCACTTTTTTTTTCTGACCATCTTTTTTTTTTTTTTTTGGGGGGGGGTCAATTTAAAACTTACTTTAGCAGGATTTATGAGCAGCTCCTCACGATCAATGCTTGCATTCTGCTTGGCTTCCTTGTTCAAGTTTCCAAGATTGCACTTGTTTCAAGGAGACATGTCATGACCTGCCTATCAGATACCCCACGCCTGGCGCATTGAACACCACAGTGAACACTGCATCATCTGCCCAGCATCCTAAGTCTCACTTGTTCACTTTAGGTGGTTAGCTTGCAGTTGAAGAATCAGTATTGTGCTTTTATTTGTGTTTGCAGTTATTTCGCAAAATACAGTGGATGGCAAAAAACAACACCTAAGTCGAGTTGTTAAACTTATCTAGCGCCATATCTTATTCGGCAATGTAAACAAACACTGTTGCCAGCAAAATGGCAACCGCGGCCAACAATGCCTTGCGACATTGCATGCCCTTTTTAGATTTAATGTTACAAAATATCCTTTTTGCAAATATTTTGTCTCGCAATTGGTTATGTAGCACTGACTTTCTCATGAAGAAATGAAATAGGGTACGAATATAGATTAGTCGAATAAATGAAAGAAACAAATGTTAAGTAATTGAAAAATAATTCGTAGACGGAGCCCTAAAAAAGTCAAAAGTCAAGTTTTGTCAGGTTGGCCCTCAAGACGAGAAGAAAACTAGTTTGAAAATGTTTATTTGTTGTATGGCGATAGGATCCATTATTTCTGATGCATTCAGTGAAGTCAGGAAATCTAAACACAGAATGACTTTTGGGACACTACAATTATCAGATTTGTTGTTCAATTATTTTTCTACTGAAGCAGAAGTTGTTAGGAGCTGGGATGTCAATACAGTGGATCCTCCTACTTTTGCTCTCCATGCAGACTGCTTTCTTGCTGACACCTGGTTGGTCAATGCTTCTCAGTCTATAATAGAAACCTGAAAATTTTCAAACAATTAATTTCACTGTTTCTTTGTGGAAGTATTAGTTTTCTGCAGGTGCTAAAGCCTCAGCTGGACATGTCTACTCTTAGCTCAAAGTCTGACACCTCATTAGAGCTGAGGGATTAATTGCATTTGCGATTACATCGCAATATGATAAAACATGATTTTCTAATCGCAAAGGCTGCAATTTTGACTGGTCATGTTATCTGGTCACGTGACTTGCAAGCGAGTGATACGAAGAAAAATATAGCAGGTAGAGAGAGAAGTCAACACTACACTCTGTCGTACTATGGCCTAATTCTGCTGCAGAAGCTGACACTTCAGAAAGTTTAGTAATAAAGAGGGGCAGCACGGCAGCTGTGTGGATTTATTTTGGCAAAAAAGATTCTGCTGCGCAACGTGTGCAGAACCTGTCATGCTACTGTTGCTACATCAGGGGTTAACACTACAAACCTTTATCAACCGCAACAAATCTATTGACTTTAAACCACTTCTACACAAAGACGGGAAACACATCCAATACGGTTATTTGCAGCACACGTGAATGAATAGACTCCAGTGTTTTGGACACCGATTACATCTCAGCATTGGTATGTAGATGAGTATCATCAAGGTGTGTGCATGTGTATGAGCGATAGTGTGTGAGCAGAGAGAGTCTGTGTGTGTGAAATGATAATTGCCGGAAAAAGCAATTTATGTATAATTAATCTGATGTTGTTTACTATAATACAGATTGATTTATTGTTTGTGTTTGTTGAAAAATACATTAGAAGAGGACCTTGAAAAAATAATCGCAAATTAAACCGCAGTCGCAATGTTGAGGAAAAAAATCAGAATAAGATTATTTTTCCCAAATCGTTCAGCTCTACACCTCATCTATAAAACACCAACATCATGTTTTTTGCCAAATCACCCAGTCCTGCCGTGTCTTAGCTTCTTTTACCCTCTTTAGGCAACGTCTTTCTCTCTCTCTCTCTCTCTCTCTCTCTCTCTCTCTCTTCTCTTCTCTGTTGCATAAGATAGACTCATCATTTCACCTGAGCTGTGATAACAGAGCCTCCATAAGGAGAATCATTTACCTTTTAACTGAACTACAACCTCACAGTCAATCACAGAACAGCATCCTCTGTGCATCTTGTCTGTCTGTCTGATGAGTTTTATTCTTAAGGTGACACAGTTTACCTGAGTGCAGGAGGAGCTCACCACAGTGATGTTTGATTTTTCATTTTCCTTCCAGTCACCCTGAGCGTGATGAAGCCGACTGACTGCCAGGGCTGGAAACCAATTCCAGCCATAAATGCATCAGATCCAGTTTAAGGACAGACAGAGGACAGAGTTTAAAGGGGGGGGGTATCATGTAGGGCTGAAATGATTCCTCAAGTACCTTAATTACAAAAAATGGTCAGGGAATTTTCTCTGCCTCAAGTACTCGTTTATTAGCTCAAATTGTCACTGTTTCGCACAGATTATTTTCAAGGTGAAACAACGCACTACCGTCACCATGGTAGAAGGGGGAGTAAGCGTGGCTTTGGCTTTGCGGAGCAGAAAAAATGAAAGATGAGAGGGGAAAACAAGGGGAAAACACAAAAAGCAACTACGTAAGAGAAAAAGATACAATTGAAAAAAAGGCAAAAAATGTCCAAGGTGTGGGAGGTTAGTGACACAGAGCTGCTCTGCCTGTCTGTGGAGGAGCTTCTCGCTCTGTGGCTGCAGCTGTAGCATGACACAGTGTCTGCAGGAGTCTCCTGCTGCAAGACGTTGTCACCTTTTGTGTAGTGACAGTAATATGCACGTTTTGGGTGCAAAATAAAGAGAAAAAACACGTGTGTCTTCTCTGGTCTGAGTGCCATAAATCATTTTGCTCGTGGTCCCAAGCCGCCTACTGGTTCCCATTTTCCCCAGTTCACTATTTTGAAATAGCTTATCTTCACACAGATGGGCTCATTAACTTTTGTAGGTGACAGGGAGACATCAGCAGAAACAAGAGATTATTTCAAATCTAGTTACAAGTTCCTTACAGGAGTTTAACGAAGAAAAATTATGTTTCATCCAATTACTCGATTAATTGATGGAATATTCGGTAAAATACTTAATTACTGAAATATTTGATAGCTGCAGCCCTAGTATTATGCAATTGTTTTCAGACTCTGTAGTTCCTTTCTGATACCTCTTAAATAGCTTAATGTGATTTTCAGATCCAAAAAAGCCCCAAAGTTACAGATGACAACTTGCTATGACTAGTTGGTGGTTACTCAGGGCACGCTAGTGACAGACTTCAGTTTTCAGTTTTTATAATACAGTAAAATACAGTAGTTTCCCGGCCAAAACAGGATACTTGATACCCTTGTTGTGATTGTTTCTGATCAGTTGAGCAGCAAAGCAGCGTTACCCCTATAGACATCGTTATGTATATATGTATACTGTTAAGAGAGTGAATTAAGAGTTTTACAGTTTCAGGGCTTTTAAGTTGCACGAATGAGTGTGATGCAGATTTGTTATCATAAGTAATCTTTTTTAAGAGGGTGATATCAGTCAAAATTAGGCCTGTCGCGATAATCAATAAATCGCCTTATCGCTCGGTAAATAAAAACTAGGTCGGTCATTTTGCCAGCCTCGATAATTGACGTGCGTTTGTTTTCCTCCTCTCTCGCTACCAAACACGCTGGATGAGAGCAGAGGTCTCACTCTGCGCATTGTTCTCGGCACCTGGGGGCGTCAGCTCTATAGCGGAATGAACGGAGTTAGTGAACCCTCCTGTCAGTCATTCAGTATCTTTGTCACGGGGGGGCGCGCGCAGGTACACGTAGGCGCGCACAGGCACACAGACACAGACTTTTGGATACAGTGCTGCAAGTGAGCGTCGTGAGTGAAAAGCAAGCAAACAGAATGAACACGACAGCTTTGGTGTCTAAACCGAACGCAACAGCCCAAGTGTGGGAATATTTCGGCTTTAAACCAGTTTTGTTTTCGTCAACCACAAAACTCCACGTGTGTGTGCGCGCGTGTGTGTTGGAGGAGCACAGCAGGCTGATGAGAGCTGTCCGAGCGGACCTAAGCTGCTCCTATATGTTTAGCGTTTAACTGACTGGGTTTTGCAACTCTGTTCGTCATTTTCGTCTCGTCCCATCAACGTAAACGCACTTTCGTCTCGTCACATTTTAGTCATCTCCGACTTATGTTTAGCTCGTCTTAATTAAAGTTTATCACTTTTGACAGGGTGTACTCGCATTATTATGCCATTTAATATCATTATCTATAATTTAAAAAACGGTGTCAATAATATCGTTTATCGGCAATAATTTGTAGCACAATTATCGTCCAGCAAAATTTGTTATCGTGACAGGCCTAGTCAAAATATTTGTAATTATGAGTTTTGTCATAATGAAGCAGCTATACCATGAGACATGAAAAACATTTAAAAAACCAAATGAAAGCTTGTTTTTGTATTTCATTAAAACAAATTTTGTAAAATAAAACATTAAAAATGTTGTCTTTGCATTGAATGCAATGGTATTTTTCCACAAAGTAAAACATTTTTGGTGGATAGTGAAAGGATTTTTGTGGTCATGGAATGTGCAGCTGACCTTCATGGCCACCATAGCTGTGTTTGTTGTGAGGGGAAGCAGACCTCTTTGAGTAAAGTGATTTTAATTTGATTTAAAGAAGAAACATAAAAACCACCAAAGTCATCATACTACCACTTCTTACAGTCATCACACTGTCCATTACACCCCAAAGCCCAAAGGGGATTATATATGTGTGCGTGTGTGTGTGGGGTCTGCAGGTATGTGACATTGAGGTGAAGTCATGCATGTGCGGCTGTGTGTGCAGTTACACACTCATCTCTCCGGTTCAGGAAGATCTCCACTTTCTCCCTGTCCAGCCGTGGCTAAAAATACACAAACCCACACACACAAACACACATTTACTTAGGGTCTAAAATGCTCTCTGAGGACTTCCTCATGAATCACATCCAGAGAGTCGCTGTCATGAAGGATTTTGATGGTCTCAGTGAAGAAAAGGATGGATAATGATATTATTGATAATAACAATAACAACAATAATAATAATGATTTTTAAAGAGAGAAACTTTTAGTCCTTCCTGTTTTTACTGAAGTGTTTCACCCACTGAGCCCTCACAGTACAGGTGTTTTTAGTTTACCTGGCTTTTATCCCTGTGCATTAAGGTCAGTTTGTCAGCGTAGCTGCAACACTTGTTCCAATTACCTGACTTTTTGTTACATGCACCAAGATCAGGAATTTATGCAAACCTCAAACCAGTTTATCTAACCATTTAATCACTAGTCTGGATTATGCTACACTGGCCAGTGGCCAGCTGTATACTTGGATGGCCTGCACAGGTATCCTCTGTGTGTGAGAAACACCGTGCTATTTAAAGGTGCCTGATCTTTTTCATCCACTGTTCTCTCTTTCCCAGAAGAAGTCCCTAAAGTTCAATAAGCTAACTTTGCCTTGTAAATCTGAGAAATAAACATCCCTTTCCCTCCTTTAGCTCTCTGTTTGATACTTAGGTCGTGTTCACACCTAAAGGTCCGTTTCCTGATTCAAATCCAAGGCAAGACGATACAGTTGTTAATTTGTTTATTCGTTAATTAACCCTATGGAGTCTGGGATTCACGTCTACTCTGGAGTAGACGTGCTGCAAACAACAGACGGATAAAGACGAGACAGCGACAGGCATTAATGAGAGCCTACCATGATGCGTTTTCTCTTTGGTGTCAATCGGGACAAGTGAGGTGAGCGGACAACATTTATTTCACAACCAGCATTACAAATAGCCTAGATGTATTGTTTTTAATATATGTGTGGTGCGTTTCCTGTGATTGGTGTGGATGAGGTTCACACCAAAAATGAACCGCTCCAGAGTTCACTTGATAGCGGTCCAAGACCACCTCTTCGGGAAGCCTGGCTGGGCCATCCTGTTGCGTGAATCACTTGATGTTCCTTCTGACTCCAGAAAACCAACACAGTGATGACCAAGAGGGTGACATTACAGAGGCGAAAGCCATTTTAGATTCAGTCTTTGATGGAAATGCAGCCTGTAGCATCCTGCAGTCAAACTCTGTCAGGGAGTCAGTGTGCATGATGGAGTCAGCTGATGTAACTGTGATTAAACACAATAAGTGTTGGACAATAACACAACAGAGGTAGTCAGTGCTTCAGGCCAGCAGTCAGCTCGCTCTGCACTGCTGACAGGATGAAGATTAAAAAACAAACGGTTACATAAAACCAGAAATGTGGAGGAGGATAATTGTGTTCAAATGATTAGTGCATGTTATTTATTCTCACTCTGTGAACACACACACACACACACACACACACACACACACACACACACACACACACACACACACACACACACACACACACACACACACACACACACACACACACAGTTGCGTTGGAGTCGAGGTTGTTTCTGCTGCACACTTCTCACTGATGACTTCATATTCCCACACTCACAGGCAGATGTGCTTGTGTGTGTTGACAGTTTGACACATTGTTCACATTCCTCCACACCTTGTTTGTGCAGCCTGAGCATGCTTTATGCAGCACATACACACACATTCAGTGTTAGGCCTGAATTAAGGTTCATGATGTGCAGTTTAGTCAGGCACATTTCATTATGTGTTTACCCTGCAGCAAGAAATATCTTGGTTATTCTTTTCTACTTATTCCTTATCTCCTCTCTGTTTTCATGTCTTTGTATGATTTCATCACTTGTTTTTGCTTCACTGTGTCTACGGTCATGGTCAAAAATGATCAAATATAGTTTTAAGGTTCCCTGTTATCTGTCCTACAGTGATCCCACCTTAATTAAACCTTTTGAGTAGCAGTAAAACCCTGAACACTGTGCCTTCATCTCCTCCTTTTGTAATGAACTAAAGCCAAAATATCAAAAGGTAGAATTCTTAGATTCTGAGATCAAAGGTTAGTAGGGAGTGTGTTACCTATCATGGATTATATCAGTTTGAGTATATTCACATACATCATGTTCCACAAGCCGAGAACAGATCCATGTGTGATGGAGGGAGTCCTTGTTGTCCAGCCGAACACTGGTGTCTCCTCTTAAAACAACTGGACATGAACATGTTTGGCCCCCTTCAGTCCGGTTTCTCTGCCAGTGCCCTCTGTTACAGTCCTGATCCTAAAATCTAATCCATCTTCAAAAATGTGGCCCAGCCCCAGTTAAACTTCTCATACTTTGCTCAAACGTCACAGGGTCTAGAGGCAGCAGTACTTCAGAGCTTTGTATCTAAATAATGCAGCTGCAGGCCTTTTCAGTGTGAGGTTTCATGCATGAGAGGGACAGAAAAGTGTGAGTGTCTTATGTAAGCAGTGAACCTGCCGAGCCTCCATCTCCAACTGAAACACTTCCTCCTCTTCTTTATACAACAGCAGCAGGGACAGAACCAGCCCCAGGTCCTCAAATCCACCCCAACAACTGCCATTTTATCTCCTTTTTCTTTGACACTCTTTTTTTCTTTCCTTTCTTTTTGTCTGTCTGTCTTTGTGTCTGCTTGAAGCTGCCCTATAAGGAATGGCATGCACACCTGCTTGTTTTTCAGACAGGCATTTGGTCGGAGACGAATGCCACCCTGAGCCACGCCTCAGCACAGTACCCAGGCTTTGTTTAACCAGGCCTGCAGCCAATATTTTCCCCAAACAGCCTCAGCGTCAGCCTGACATGAACCTGCAAACAGGAACACTGATGCTTGCAACACAGCCAGGACAGATGTGCAGCATGTAAACATCACCTGGATAGAATAGAATCAAGATAGGTCAGTCAGGTTTCAGCTAAAGTGGCAAATTCACCTGATGCACTCTCACTAACAGAGACTTCACGCCATTATGAAACCTCTGTGTAAGTTTGTTTTTACAATGAAACTAAGAACACAAACAGATGAATGTGTTCTTGTGGGTGGTGATGGCTCTGCTCTGATTTCTGGCTGGGGGGAAATCCTCAGTTCTGGTCTCTTCACTCTGTTGTTAATTGGACTGTGAACAGTACAGCACAAGGAAGACTATACCCAGTGAGTTCCTAATAGATAGACCTGTATACAAAGATGATTTACCCTTCTGTTTGACCAACAAACAACGCCATGATGCTGCGTTCACTGGACAGTTTATCAGGAGGTTTTTAAAGATGACAGTAACCCAGGTCAGGGATGACTGTGGCTCAGTGATAGAGCTGTATGTCTCTCAGTTGGAAGGTTGGGGATTGGATTCCAGGTCCTAAGTGTCCTTGATCATGACTTTTTACCCCAGACTGGCTCACTCTCACTCTGCTGTAAAGAAATGACAGTATGCTGGACTTTATGACCTTTAACCTTCCAGTACTGACAGCACTAAGTGCTCCAAAGAAGGTGGCTGAGATTCACAGCCAAGTGTTCATAATACACACACACACACACACACACACACACACACACATAATGAACAGCAGCAATGTGAAGGGGAAAATTCCTGTTCTCTCCTGCTGGCTGAACACACACACAGCTGACACAGTGCACAGCACACTAACACACACTGACACACACACACACACGATCTCACAAACATAAACAGACTCACACAAAACAAGTGGAGTTTGTAAGTGTCGAGTGTAGGTGGTATCTACGGAGGCTGCAGAAACACAAATACACAGATTCACAATGAATTTGTGAATGTTCGTGTGTGTGCTTGTGTCCGGGCACACACGCGCGTGAGTGTATTTGAGTCCACATCAGATCAGGTGTGCAGGGATCCCGCCTACCTTGGACCCTGTGTGTTTTCTGACGTGCTGAAATGAAATCCAGTTATGGAGGACAGCCGTCAGAGGAGATGTTGATGATACTGGAGGATAACAGTCAATCAATGCCTAATGCATCTTACAATCCGGTGCACCTTATGTGTGAACATAGACATATTAATTTGTATTAATGCGCCGTATAATCCGGTGCGTCATATTGCTTGAGAAATACGGTAATATTTGTTTTAAAAAATCATACTGTATGTAATAGTACTGAACATTCTGTTCCTTGGCTTTTCATACATACACACATACACTGCCTCCCTCTGCTCCTCTCCCTTCTCTGATCTCTCCATCTGCCTCCTTCTGCTCCTCTCCCTGCACTCCTCTCTCCACATGCTTCCTCCTGCTTCTCCCTGCTCTACCATAGACTGTATATAGAAGGGACATTGTCTGCCTCCTCGCTGGGTGAAGCCTCTATGAGAACAGCACCCTCCAGTGACAGGCTGCAGTATAGGTCATAAATAGGTCATAAATCTCGCCTCCTCCAACAAGCTATATGGTGTTGTGGACAAACTTAAGAAATTTATTACACAGAATATACATTTTTCTACCCCCTGGTTGTGATGTTGACATGTAGTTACAGTAAGACTGGTTTGTGCTCAAGTCCTCTTTTTTCTGTACAGCTCCATTTTTAAAAGTTATTAGGGGTTCATGTTTTCTATGATTTCTATGACACTTGATACAGCCTATGGGCATATGAAGATTGTGTAGCTCATCCAGGGGATACGCTGTTTGAGTAGAGCGTCATCACAGCGACTCTTCTGCTGAATGTGTACAATGCTACTGCACAAGTGGTGGTTCCAGGAAGTGGAGAAAATCACGGAAATACCAAGAGTAAATTGGTTTCAAATGCGTATAATGATGGATGGCCAAGTTGTCCATAGTATGTACAGTTTTATGTGCTGTTCTCTCTCCACCTGCCTCCTCCTGCTCATCTCCCTGCTCTCATCTGCTCCTGTTCCTGCTAGAAACAAGGCCACAATCTTGGAGGCCACAAGCTTGACCCCGAGGGTCAGGACTAATCTTCATGCTCATCTCTTACAGATAAAAGCCTGCCGTGAGCCTTTATCAACCGGGTTTCCATGTTTATCCAGCATCTGTGTAGAATACAGCTTTTAAAGTCTATGTTGGAAAAACAGAGAGAGTTCAGAGTTGAGTCCTTTTGGTATAAACAGGTCAATGTGTAAATTGTGGATGGTGATGACTTATTCACAGGTTTCTACCTGATAAGCTCAAGACTATACAGAATAATCCCTCTGGTCATTTTCTGGCCAAGATTCAATGAAATTCTTTGACCGTTTGCTGTTCCTGCACAAATCTTTTTTGTAAAATCATTTCAAAATTGGCAGATTTTCCCTGAGAATGAGGATCTAGTTTTATGACAGTCAAGTTTATCAGACAGACCCCCTACTCCAGCAGCTTATCCTCCCCTCCACCCTCTCTTCCCCTCATCTCCTCGTCTCTTCATTTCCTCCTCTTCGGCTCCCTGAAAGAATAATCCTCTCTCTGCTCCAGATTTAAGCGGCGGGAAATCCCCCTCCCGGGGCTCTTCTTTGTGTCCCCAAATATTGCTGTCGACTCCTGAAGTGTTCATGCGACGTCAGCAAGGGGTCATACATAGTCATCAGGCTTATTATGGGGTTTTTGGAGGGGCACTGAATAGATGTAAGGTGGTTAAATGTGGTAACGGAGGCTCAGATGACAATTATGGAGAGGGAAAAGATTCTTCTATGACCTTCTGCTAGATGCAGAGAAATGAGTGTTAAAGGCACAAAAATTTCAAGTCCCCCTCAGTGTTTCAACATATTTGGACAGCAATCTGAAAGGCTGATGGGTTATTGTTTCCAAAGACTGCATCATAAAAAAACTTAGTGCTGTGTTGTTGGCTTTTCACTGTGTTGATGGTATGTTTTGGCTCCAATGTATCAGGTATTGTCACTACTTTGTATTGTCACTAGTGCTGTTCTGAAGGACAAATTCAGGTACCTGTTTTTTACTTTTTCTATGATGGATCAAAAAAAAAACAGCAAGGAACAGTTTATTTTCAACAGGAACACCAGCCTCTCTCACATTTACACCCCTAGATACCGTAAAATACCAAATAATAGCCGGGGTAGGATTACTGTACTGTTGTTATACTTTTTCCAATTAAATTAAACCTCAAGCCATCAAAGGATTGCTGAATGAATCACCCATAAATGCCAGTAAGGAACTAAAAGAACACAAAACATATAGCCTACTGGTACACAAGGCTGATAATGCAAGCACAAACTCTGAACAATAATGGCCATATCCTGGATATATATGTCAGCAACATGTCAAATAAACAAAACATGTGTAACACATCAAATAAAATAAAACAATGACAGCAACCTGAGTGGGGTAAATCAACAAGGCCACTGGCAGAACAGCCTGCTGTCAGACCAAGTCCATGTCCATCCTCTTAATCCTCCTCATCACCCTCATCACTTTCCTCCCCCTCCTCTTCCTCCTCCTCATCATCATCCTCAACTACCAGTTCATTGTTGAACTCTTCCTCCTCATCTTCCTCCTGCTGCTCGGCCTCTTTTTCTTCCTCTTCCTCTCCCTGTCTGGCCTGAGCCAGCATCTCTCTCCCTGCTGCACATGGCTCTCCATCTTTGAAACAGTGAATCAGGTGGTCCTCATCGCCATCAGCTGCCACTGTCAGGCCACACACCTTTCAGCACAATATTCCACAAATTAATATATTACGCCTCCACAGACTAATAATAATAAGATCTCAATCAATCAGACACACACACATACCTTGAAGGAATTTTTCACCATCTCTGTATCCAACTCCTCCCAAGCCTTAAGCACCCAGGCGACCAGTAAGCGACAAGCTGGGGCTCTCAGGTTTCCTCCAGCAGTGTAGGTCTTATCCACATCGCTGTCATATGATTCACGCAGACTGGCTTTGAATGGCTGATTCCATACAACATCAGGTGCCTGGATATATTTTGTGCATCCTCCCGGTATCACAGCTGTAGTTATCTTGTAGCCCTTCTTGAGCTCCCTTTTGGTGGCCTGGCTGATGTGGCATCGGTAGGAATCCCACACAAGGAGACGAGGGCCAAAGTTGAATTTCCCCACTACTTTTTGCAGCCAGTCTGCAGTCAGGTCGTCATTCATCCAGCCGTTTTTAGAGGAGGCTATCACCACTCCACTGATGTTTTGCATTGCCTTAACTTCCCTGATACCTCCTTTAAAAACCACATAAGGCTTCAGCTTCGTCCCGTCCGCTTTCGCCGCCAGCACAACGGTCAAGTGGCTCTTCTCGTGGCCTGTAGTTTTCAGTGGAACACTGCGCGTCCCTCGCGTCTCCACAGTAGTTGACCCGACCATATCAAACCATACCGCAGTTTCATCCATCGCTATGATGTCTCTTTCCGGTATCTTCATCCTTTCAATCATCCGCGATGAAAAATGTACAAACTTCACCAGCTTCTCGGTGAATTCCTTGGCGTCTTTCTGGGCAATAGTTGTACGTCTTCTGCAAGTAAAGTTGTTGCGGCGAAGGAAACGGTTTAGCCACCCAGTACTAGCAGAAAACCTCTCATCACTGCTGTCACTCACGGTGGCGAACATTTCTTTAGCCTTCGCCCTGATCATTTTTCGGCTCACTCGCTCGTGGCGCAAACGCTTACCGATGACCCATTCCCGCATTTTTAACTCCAGCTCCTCGCTAGCCTTCTTTCTCCCTCCACCGCGCAGCCTAGCCCTTTTGCTATCCTCCTCGGAAAGACGCTGAAGTTCAGTTTTATTTTTTAGCCACTCTCTCACTCTCTTGGGGTCAACAGAGAAGTGTCTCGCTGCTGCTTCTCCCGAGTTTTCTTCTGCATATTTGACGACAGACAGTTTGAATTTCGTATCGTATTTTTTATTTTTCCGCTGCACTGGAGCCATGGCGATTGATCAGTGGCAATGTGACATGTGACTTACGCCCTCTACCGGTAAATTAGGCAAGGCGTTTATTTGGAACAGGCGGTTATTTGTCAAAATGCATTGCTGCACCCTGCGGTTAATTGGGACCCAGCGGCTAATTGGAACCCGGCTGTTATTTGGTATTTTATGGTATTCCAGGAAATTCCAGGACAGCCTGCTCCTAAAATTTTCCAAAGCTGTTTTTTCACACATATTTCCTAGCTAGAAGTTGTTGCTGTCAGAAAGAGAAATGGGATTCAAGAGATACAACATGATGAGCAAAAGATCCAATCTGTGTGTGTCCACTAAGTCCCAGTTTCACTGTATTTTCATCGGCTTCTACTTAGTCTCAGTTTCACTGTATCTCCATTTGCTTTTGCTGATATCAGTTTCCCTCTGTGTTCATCCACATCTGCTGAGTCCCAGTTTTCCACTTTCACAATTTTATGTGCGTTTGCCGAGTCTCAGTTTTACCGTGCCTCCAACTGTTTCAGCCGAGTTTCAGTTTTACTGTACACTAGTCTCTTTCTGCTGAGTCAGTATTTGCTGATTATTAGTTTCATTGTATCTTAATTTGCTTCTGCTGAGTCTTAGTTTCCTTGTAAACCCCTTCTTTGTGTGTTTGCTTAATTCTAGTTTCCCTGTATCTCTATCAGTCTCTGACAAATCTCAGTTTAATGGAATCTCGATCTGTCTCTGATGAGTCTTTGTTTCACTGTATCTCCATCCGTCCATGTTAAGTCTCAGTTTTTCTGTATCAAGCGTGTCATGCTAAAATCAACTTACACCCTCCTTACAATAGAGCTTCAAAGCTGAGGTCAATGGCACTGATATTTAAGGACAGTTAACAGGCTGTTTAAGATAACAACATCATGATGCTGATTTGTAAAAAGCATATACTTGTTGGGTCTTTCTGGGAGACAATGAGAGAAAAGCTTTTAGTATGTTTTTTAGATGGAGTTTAATCTGACTGGTCTTGTCAGGAGGATCTGAACACTGATCTGCTGTTGAGAAGAAGCCTGTCAGTATTGGTGTCTTTCCATGTCTTATTTCTCACGCTTATGTTCAAACATTTGCTTCGAAATGTGCTTTAACTGTGTCTGAACTGTGTCACACCCTGTAGCCTGACTGAAGACAGCACCTGAACCAAAGAGCCCATACATACGCTCAGGAATCAGGAGTCAGAAGCTCAGTGCAGTGATTGCAAACAACTGAAAAGGTTGTGCAGACATCATCTGCGTGATGATTTGATCAGCTGTGTTCTCCCACGCTGCTTCTCTGCAGGACTGAGCTGTTGTTTGTTTCTTGCAGGATCCCAGAGGGGAAGAAACCAACTTCAGCAGCTCCTCAGAGTGCACCTGTTGTGCTGTGTGGGAACATGCTGTAGTGTAGAGGATATTTATTTTTTTTGTGACAGTAAAATTGGTAGGATGATAGTTCAGTTTTTGTAACATGAACACACAACAGCAACAATTCAAACAAACTCCAGGGGTGGAAACAGTCCATCTTTAGAAAGCTCCAACAGAGCCACCAGAAAGCAAACCACCCAATCAGAGGCAGCACTGTCTGAAAACCTTATAAACCTATACTATGAGGTTGTTAGGACACCATTTTTTTCTGTCAGTTTTCAAAACTTCTCTGTAACCTGAATTCTTCTAGTTTATATAATCCATCATTAATCTTTTAACCTGCTCTGAGAAAATTTTACTGGTTATGAAACATGATGCCTTCAAATGACCCACAAATGCAACCCAGACCATCAGGAATAAGATTCTTATCTCCCATACAGACAATTTAAGAGAAAAAAAGTTGTGCATGTTTACCAAATTATATAGACTTTATAAGTGTGTTCTATTGTTGCATTATCCTTGTTCATTTAGAGTTTCTGAGCTGTAAATAATCCACGAGTAAGGGCTCTCAAAGACATATTCTCATCATACATCTAACTGAACTCTTTCTTAGGGTAATTTCACTCTACCATGGCTATAAATGCAGCTATGAACAGGCTAGCACACTCACAGCCCATATTTTATTTCAAAGAAATGCACCGCCAGAGTTTTCCACGCATAGATGATACCTGGGCGGCACAATGATGGGCATTTAAAAACCACTTTACAAATTCTATTCCCTGAATCTATGTAAGATCACTTTCCTTTAATTAGATTATTTCTTTACCTCTACCCCCAGAGTAAGAGGCCGCGTCTATCAAGGCGTTTTCTTGCACCAGCAGTGCTTACATCTTGAATTTCCGAGCGCCTCTCACTAGCATGTCTTGTTGCTGCATTATGAAAGTGGCCCCTCTGCACTTCCACTTCCCTCAGTAATGACTGTACAGTTATTTTTAAAATGCTCTCCATGCCTTATGTTTTCTTTCATTCAAAGGAATTTTAAGTTCAAGCAGCAAATCTAGACCTGGAAACTGTACCCTGAAGTAATGTGTCTAATGCTCCTGCTCAGATCTACACCATTGTTGTTGACAAAGGAATTGTCAGAAGTCCAGCCCTCTCTTAATTCTGATTGATCTCTAATTAAGAGGTGATATTGATAAGCGTGATGGTGTTCATAAAATTAAACCATTTCTAAATGAGGGCACAGGGAGCAAAAGAAGCTGAGTCTGGGGGCGTTTTTGTACAGAGGATGTTAAGTGCTTGAGGCGCTTCACTGCATCAGCTGGCACAGTCCTTAATAGAAAGATTGCATTTTTTTTCCATTGACCATATTTTGTGTTGTTTTCATGAACTCCGATAGCTGTACCGTGTGGCTGAAGTAGCATTTGTGTCTTGTCAAAATAAAATGATGTTGTGGTGCAAGAAGTAAAAAAGACGCTGCAGGACTAGGCAGTTAGAAGGCAAAATAAAAGCATCTTTGATGACAGTTTAATGAAGTGATCTTTTCTCTGAAGCTGTGAATCCAAACGGGTCATGTACACCTTTAAAAATATGTTAATCTAGCTGTATCTCTTCTCCTTCGCAGGATATCATTATCCTACAAATAACCTTGTTAACTAAGTGAAGGAACCTAATGAAATGCAGATGGGTGAGGAAGGGTTCCATCAGATGGTGGAGTTTCCACTCTCAGTGAGCTGTTTTCTTTATTGAGGGCAGCTGACGGTGTTTAATCTCCCTGAGGCCTGTAATCCCTGTTATCATGAAGAAACACTGTAGTCTGACACTTCCTCTCTGTGACCAGCAGCTCAGAGAGGGAGAGCAGAGATCAAACATGATTATCAGGATAAAAAGTTCACTTTTCAGATTAACCTCCAGCTGCTGCATTCAAAACCTAACAACTGTTTTACAGTGTTTGACAACAGAAGACATCATCAGTGTCGCGTCCGTCTCTGTAGGAGTCCACAGATTATATCTATAACCTCTGCGCTGTTTTCATCTCTTTTCTGTTTTTCGCAGCAAATGGCATTAGAGTCACTTTTCTCTGAAGCATCTGCGTGGTTACAAAAGTCTGCAGGAGTCCGTTATGGAAGCAGTATCCATAGCAACAGTTCATTCTCAAAATCCATAAATTTCAATCATCAATGAGAATGTGTTGCATGTTTATAATTACAATATTGTGCATTGTAAACATTTTTTTTACATTTGAAGTGTAACTAAATCTTTAGTGTGATCCTGAGTTATCTATGAAGCACATTTGATTGTTCACTGACATCCATGGATCCCTGGTTAGTGCACCAGCGTTGGCACTTTTCATGTGTTCCAGTGTGGTTGGTTCCTCTGTTACTTTGATTTAGTTTCATCCACCGGTCTGCAGTGATTCACACACTCGTATACTGCGCTCTGTCAGCTTTGTGATGCGGCTGCTTATTAGCTGCACCTGTACTCCTCACCTGAGCCCTTTCAGAGTTTTTAGACATGGTGATTTAAAGCACAGTGGGGTAAGTATTTTCTGTCACAGTGGCAGCAGGAAGACTTTCACAGGTAAAACTACAGTGTATGAATAACACCTAATTTTAACTAACAAATGCATCAATTTTGTTCATAATTCTGGATTGTGTTAGGATTGACACTGACAGCCCTCATAACAACCAATCAGGTACTAAACAGGTGTAATAATAAACATAGCTCCTAGTGAAGCTATTGAATAATCCAATCAAGTTAACAGTCAACTTCACTGATAGTGTGAAATGGTTTCTGTTGGTTAGATCATAGTTTGGATTTGAATAAGTACCTGAAAACATATGTCAGTTACATAATTCGAGTGTTTTACATGAGATACGTGAGTCACGTGGCTGTAAACAAAGGTTATGTAACTAACATATGTTTAGAAACTTGAAGGGAATCAACTCTGACTTCTACTTAAAACATAAATTAGGACTAAATCTCTTGAAGGACAGTCTGTGAGAGAGTTTCCTTACAGTATAGTCCAGACGGTGGAGTGAAGTGGATCACTCTGCTGTTAGTTTTTGTATTGCAGTGAGGTGTTTAGTGAGAGAAAGGAGCCAGAACCCCAGGTTGTCAAAACCATCCTCCGCAAAACTGCCAGGGTATGAGTGGCAAGTGCTCGTGACCAGAACACCAGAGTCAGTGGTGCTGTAATGCTGCGTCGCATAACCCGGGGATTCCACTGCATGCAGATCCGCTCCGCCCCAGAACGGCATGCAGATCATTTCTTGCGAGACTGAACGAGATCTGGTGTGTTTCACTGTGAAATATTCAATGAGATACACAGTGTTTATAAACACCCACATCCCACAACCCTGGCCCCTCCCATTATCAGGTGAAGAACAGTACAATGTATTGACTTTATTTTATTTTGAAAATGAATCAGATATTTTATTCTGTAGCCGCATACAACTGCGCTGCACTGAATTGATGCATTGTGCTGTGGAATTGGCAAAAATAGAAGCCTTGTGTATCTGATTCGACCGCTGATTGCAATGCTTTAGAGTCTGAAATTGCGCAAATTATATTTTATAGGCAGATTTGATAAAAATAAAAAGTAAACGTATATATTGATCTTATCCAATTTCTGAGTTGGGATCTTGTTGGCAGGGCAGGGGTATTCGTTGCCCTGTCAAATACAATATAGGGGAAACACTGGCCTAGGAGTTTGGTTTTTATTGCCTCTGTAAATCAGATTCCTGTGTTGTTTGATTTTTACAGCAGACGTGATCGTAATGTTTGTGTGTTTCACAGATTTGTGTTCGTCAGCAGGCTCCCTCACTTCATTGTCTCTCTATGTCGATTGACCACTTCTCTGCTCTCCTTCTTCTTCTGCTTGTGAAGCTTTGAGCTAAAAACACAGCTGTAAATCTGTTTCTTGACACACTTTGGTTCTTTTCAACTCTGTCTAAATAGTAAAGAGGACAGATTTGAAGTATGAAGAGCAACAAACATTTAGCTGATGGTACTGTGCAGTTTGGTTATATTGTCAGGTATTGGCTCAGTAAGGCTGTCACGTTTCCACTGACGAGTCTACAAACTGAACAAAGACAGGACAGTTTGACAGTTTTCTAATATCAAAGCCTCCTTCTTGTGCAACTTTTTCTGAATCAAAGCAGCTGGTTAACGTGTCTGCTCCCTCTGTGATCTGACGTGGAGCTATGACTGGATCTTAAAAAAGAAACTGATGGGAATTTTTAATAAGTGGGTAACCCAGTTTTTCCATATTTGGAGCATCAGGATATTTTCTCTTTCAAAACTTCTCTGTGTTGATTTAAACTTTTAACCTCTAAATCGCAGGCGTAAATATCGGCGGTGCAACCAGTGCAGCTGCACCAGGGCCCAGACACCATCAGGGGTCCATGAAGGAGGGAGGGAAAAAAAGATATGCTGAAATATGAATGAATGACAGCGTGTCACTGCCCAAGAAAGAGAGAGAGAGCGAGATGGCCAGGTTATGTCAGATGATTTAGTCCTCTTATACAAACTACAGTTTGACTTTGTCAGTTTTTCCAGTAAGATGTAGTGAACGGGTGTAGCATAGGTGTCCAGGTTGTTTGGGGAGCTCTCCCCGGTGCTGATAGCCCACGGTGGATGCATTTCCTCCATGACGACGCGCCACGACCGGCTCTGCCTCTTTCTTTTTTGCCACCGGCCTTCTTGTTTGTGTACATTTTTGCCCTCCGGTTGATGACACGCACCGTCCCCTGCAGATTGGCAGCTGACTTAAGAACTTAATGCTTGTGGTTTACTACTTGGCATTTCCTTTTTCTGCTATAATAAACATTTGCTTATTGATTATGATACAAATAAGATGGAAACTGGTGAAAACAAACATGCATCAAAATTACAGAAAGAGGTGGCAGGCAGGGAAGTGAAGTTTTTCTCAATGGTACACGGAAAGACAGTGTGAGCAGCATGAGAAGAGAAGAGCAGCAGAGATATTTAGCCTTACTGCTTCACAAAATGACACAAACAGGGAAGCCGGTCCAGTCCAAAATTAGAATTCTTGGATTCCGATTTTAGCTGTTCGTGCGGTGTGCGATTTTGTTTAGGGCAGGGGTGGGGGCACAAAAAAAATATTTGCACCAAGGCCTATCACTATGATGTTACGCCACTGCTCTGAATGGTCCACTTACATGAGTAAACACAATGATGGCTGATGAAATCCTGCTGCATTTTTTAAGTTCAGGAACCTGGTGTTAATGAAAATGTGATCTGAAATAAAATGGAAGAAGGACATGCAGAAAACTGTCAGCTCCTGCTCTTTTCCCTGACGATAGGCCTCTGTAGATATGTGCAGTATAAACCTGAACACTTGTCCATTTAAATCTAATTACAACTTCAGTAACCTCTGGCACAGGGTGCCACGTCTTTGACTTTTTATAATTACATTCATGTTGAAGCTCAGTACCATTACCTCACACAGACTCAGTAACTTTCATGTCAGAACTTGTGTTTGACATTAATTTTGCTCTTTCTCTGTGTGTGCTGTGATTCCTGCAGTAAGCTGCAAACTTAACCCCGGTATAAATAAATAACTATCCTGCAGATGTGATGAGCTGTCAGCTGAGTCTAAGTTTGGCTTCCTGGCAGCAGACATGAAAGCTTTTCTCTTTTTGATGACTCCTTTGAGTTTCTCTCTTGTCTTTGAAGGATTTATGGGACAGAGGAGAAGAACAGGTTTTATCTGAGTCCATTTTAAACATCACTGTTTTTTAAAGAACCACAAAAATGGATTACCACTGTATTATTGGGCTAACCATGTCATAACCATGTGTGACGTCGTCTCACACATGCATAGCAGCTGCACTGGGGCCTAAACTGACTGTAACTTCACTCCCTAGGGAAATTTTCAGCTTTGGGAGAAATAAAAGGAGAGAAACATCTAATGTAGATGAGGTCGTGTGTAAAAGCCCTAAAGAGATCCCTGTGAATCAAGGAAATACGTCGAATTTGAGGTTTCACCAATGCTGACAGCTCTGAGTCAATGAAACCTCTGCTTGAGTCATGGAGTACAGCACTGAAAGTGACGTCATAAACACCTTACAGTTGCTGCTACTCTGTATCAGGCTAAGGAGATGGTGTAGTTTGCCACTGAAGAGAAATCGGCATTCAAGTCAGTGCCTCAAAACCTCCTTGAGCAATACAAGTTTCACACTTAAACTTATTTCACAATGAATGAAAGTCAAGACCAAAACCTGAAAGTCTGAAGGTCTGCTCCCTATGATGCGAGTCCAATAAAAGATTAAAATTCAAAAACATTTTATCCGCAGAGATCTACAGATTCTTGAGAGTCTAAAAACAAACTGTTATCCTGCTCAAGTTGTCTGTGATCCATCTTAACCTGTCAGAGCAGGTTTGATCTTTCTTCTTCGACCTCAGGTAAAGTACCTCAGTGCAGACGCTCCCAGTGATGAAAATTCTGACTCTTCTTAGTGATCCGGATCATGAAGTTAAACTCAATAGAACTGACTCTTTCAGCTCCCAAACAGATATTAGAGTCAGTTTTTAGAGCCAACTCTTTTGTGACCTACACATGCCCCTACCTCTGTGTAGATACTGTCTGCTGCCACAGTATAGCGCTCCAGCACTGACGTCAAGAAACACAAAAAGGATAAAAGACAAGTAAAAGGGAAGTAAAAGGTTTTAGTTGTGATTTTTTTAGTTAACCTCCAGGCTAATACCTGATAAAAATGTAAGGCCAGTAGTTTTGACTGACTCCTAATGGTTAATTCTACTTTGACTACAAATATACTATAAAGACGTACAATAGTAATGCATATTTGTTAGACAATCTCTTGTTTTATTGCCTCTCTGGTGGGGTTTCATGTCCTAGGAGTCAGCTGTGTGAGAGCATCAGGGGATGAAGAAACAGCTGAATGTACTTTCCAACCTGTTTAACATATTTGCTGCATCAGATGATTCTCAGACTAACTGGAGCTGAAACTAATGCGACTACTAAAGCAGAGAAGAGGAGTGGTGTGGGATCATCGGAGAGCTGATGGTCATGGACAGTGCATGGTGGATGCTCAGAGTTATCTAGCTGCCTTAAATCTGTGTTTCAGTCTTGACACTCAGCTCTGTAGATCGGCATCTGCTACTGCTGCCGCTGAAACGTTTGGAGATGTCAGTGAAATCTATAATTATGATGAAAACACCCCCAACATGCTGTTTCCTACACAAACGCTTCTCAAACATCACCCATCCAGTGAGTTCACTGTCGCCCTCAGATGCCATGGCAACAGAAGAAAGAGAATCACAGGCCGATGATGGAGTCACTGCAGATGTTAGAATAAATAATCACAATGTTCCTTTACCTTCTCTCTTTGTATCATAGTGAATCCAAAATGCTGGAGCAGATCTAATTCAAACAGTTAATTTGAGTTAATGCATCAGTGAAAGAAAGTCGAACAATGATCAAGTAGACATTAAAGCTTCTGTGAGGAATTTTTATTTGGTGGTCGAACCGACTGTATCAACACTAATACCTCCATGTGACCCACAGCCCATGAGCATCGATGTTGACAGTTTCTATAATGTCATTACTGATGTTTACAACAGCTGACTTATTGACTGTAAAAGTTCTCAGTGAGTTTGACTGAATTATGCAGGGGCTGATTTTTTTTTTTTTTTGCAAAATGTTCAAACAGTTAAATTGAAAAATTTGGCAAAAGATGAGAGGTACTGTTTTCACCACATGGGGTTGCCAAAATTAACACAAACTGAAAGTTTACTATAGGAGCTTTAACACGATGCAAATATTTCACAGAGATGTTGGGAAGAGATTTTGACAGTGACTGAGCTTAGTCGAAAATATAGCACTACTGTACAACACATCCAACCTTGTTACTACAGCAACAGCACTGATGCTAACTATAACAGTTAAAAGCAACCGAGTGGTGCACTATCTTTGAATTACAAACTGATCCCTGATTGATAGTTGGCTTAAATTTCAGATGTCTGACTGTCATTGAACTCAACAGCAGCCTTAGAGAGAAGATGATCAAACAGCATTTTTGTTCAGACAGAAACAGAGTCCTTCATCAAGGTTCAGAGATGAAAACGTCACCACCAGGAGCCAGAAAAGGACCAGGAGGCCTCTTGGCTGAAATCTGCAGATCATACTCAGTCTTTTCTTGTCTAATGTTTCCAGAATGCTGAGCTGGTCTAATTTTCAGAATGAGGCGTTTATCCTCTCAGGGAACTGCAGACGCCTCCAGTGAAGAGCAGCCTACTTAAGAGAGGGTTTGATGTGACAAAGGCCTGAGCGTCATACTTCCTCCTCAGTGTGTGTTTGTGGCCTGGAGGTGACAGTCATCCAACATCAGTGACCACTCTGCTCGTCACAATGATGATCTTCAAATTTACTCTCAAACCACAAATCCTTCTTCTGTTTTCTAGTGTCATCTGGAGATTTGTTGGGAAATAGTTCTGGAAGACACATTTTAGTTTTTCATGTTATTTTTCAGGTCAGAACTAAAGGGTGGAGCTGCAGGAGAGTCAGGGCTTTGCCTCACATCCAGTCATAGTCAATTAGATGAAAGAGGTTTAAGTGAGACCCAATTTAGCAGTTTTACCCTAAATAAATTGGATATTGTGTGCATTCATTCTAAGATCATTTTGATAACTCGCTGATGTTCAGGGATCTCGGGTTACTGGAACAGCTTTTGCACTTTTCAGGATTTCCACTTTAGCTGTGATTTACTTTCGTCAATGTGTTGAATGCCCAAACAAGTGCTGTGCAGGCTTTGCTGATGTGGTTACCTGCTGACACCAGTCAGATCAGCTGCACCTGTACGCTGCGCTCATAGATGGAAGCTCAAAGTCACTGTTTAGAGGACTGCTGTTCCCCTCTCAGTCCTCTAAACCAAGAGTGCTGCACAGCCTCATCTCCCCTGACGGCCCCCAGTGCTCGTTTTCATCTCGCTTATTAATTATAAGAGCTGACCTGGTTTTACAGTGACTGTACACAGAAAAACGTCAGTATGGGGAGGAGGAGAGTGGGACCTCATTGGTCTAGAAGGCTTTGGGGTGGGGGGTGGGGGGTTATGGGGTGCTGTTGTCATGAGTCCAGCTGGGAAACATCTGGTTCTTCCTACATCCCCTTAACCTACTGTAAAGTTACATTTAAAGATGAACACAGCAGTTCCAGCATCTTCATTTCCCAGTAAGACATCTTTCAAAACTTCTTTGAAGAATAGATGATCTCACAAAGAAAACAGGTTTAAGTTTTCAGTTGACCTTCTCAGGTCATTTAACCCTGACCTCAGCAGGTCACATGTCATCTTTTCCCATGCTGTGTGTTGTCTCAGGAACATTAAGGCAGATCAGGTTCAGAGGCTTTGTGTTTCAGATGGTCACAAGTTCCCTTTCAGTCCCTGTCCCATTTCCCAGCAAGCTTTGGGGCCCTTGGAATGCAGTACCTGCTGACCTGCTGAATGTTGGACCTCCCCCTCCCTTTAATAAGTTTGATTTTTGGATCCATAAATTGTGATTGAAAAAAACCTCTGAAGTGAAACAACTTCTAGAGTCATTGTGGATGCTGTTCCAGTGTATATGGGTAAAAAAAGCGGGGCTCAGGTATGCTTATTTTATGCTTTAGTTTATAAGATGTAGTGCATCAAATGTAAAAAAAAAAAAAAAAAAGCCAGAGCTTTACTTCATAAAAATAGTTGATGACATGTAAAGATACATGACTTTAAAGTGTTGGATGTTAAAGTTCCTACCTGGTTATCCTTCCAGTGGATAAAATTCTAAAAAGTGCCCTCTGGATGCTGCACCACTATATTTACAAGGTGACCCTGTAGTACATGAAACATTTTCAAAGGTCCTCCAGGGGACACTCTTTTGGTTTATGAAATGTATAAATAACTGTTCGTATTTATACAGCTCTTCAGTCCATAATGTAAAAAGTTCCCTCTGGATGCACTATCAATAAACTAAGTGTAAAAAAGTTCCCTCCAGTTGCCTTTTCAGTATGAAAGTTGAAAAAGTGTGACAAGGAAGACTATGTCGATTGTGCTTTATAGATGAACATAAACAATGAAACCGTGATGAAAACAATGTTTTTTTCTGAGCTGCAGGATAGTAACGTTATCAAATGAGAATTAAAAGACCAAACCAAAAAGTGAAATGTTGAACCAGGTTAGTGTTTTTGTTTCATTGCTGGTAAATGAAGGTTAAATATTCTGAGTTTATGTCTAATAGTTATTCTGTGGCCAGCATCCTGTGTGCAGAGGGTAAAAACCAGCCTGCTGCAGAGTCTGGGTTCAAACAAAGAAGTTTGTGAACAAGTTCCCAGAGTATTTTGAGGAACTGTTTCAGCCTAGGTCTTATCGTTTCATATGGTACAGTATGGCCTGGTATGACAGTGTGTTGTTTTGTATTATATCACAGTGTTTTGTTCATATTATTGTATTGCATTTCATCTTATCATGTCATAGTGTATCACACTTTACTATCAAATTTGGTCAATTCTATCCACTTTTTCTGCTGGAAGCTTGCACATTTTTCTGCATAAAATTGGATGCTCATATTTACATGGAGACAAAAATCTTCAAACTGCTCACATGTCTTTGTGCTTTATACGTTTTTCACAGACGTGATAAAAATGACAGTTAATCTTTTTTTCGTCATAAAGTATAGAAGAAAATTATAAGTGGAGATTGTTTTTATAGGCAGATGTCAGTCTGAAGCTGATCCAGTCTTGTTTCATCAGTGCCAGACCGTTATCATAGTCAGGGACTCAAATGAAACCAGGAGGGTGTTTCAGACTGAGATGATTTCAGTCAGCGGCTCTTCATCAGATATTTCTGGATGTTTTCAGGCTTTGGATGGAGGGACAGAGGCTGAGCTGGGGTTTGTGATTGTTGGAGTTATTTCAGCCTTCACAGCACTTCCCTTCAGAGAAATCACACACCGTTTCCTTAATCCATAAAAACCACACACACACACACACACACACACACACACACACACACACACACACACACACACACACACACACAGTGTTCGGAGAAGTGGGAGACTGAGCAGCAGTTTAGAGATAAAGCAAACAGAATGAGACTGTCTGAAACTTTAATGATCTCTGAGGGGGAATTGGAGCCAGACAGAGGAGCGAGAATAATTACAGAAACAAAGATTACAGCCAGTGAATGGATCCTCAGTCTCCTCTTTGATTTCCTCATCAGCAGCAGCAGCTATGGAGATTTGATGTTTTTACTGACCCTCTTTTAGTCTTCTCCGCCGTTTTTTCAGCCTCGAACAATTACCTGAATTTTGATGTTTTACAGAAACTCAGTGGAGATCAAGCCTAAAAGAAAAGAGTCAAGTTAAACCCTAATGATCGGTCTTTTCCTCTGTGTGGTTTGCAGGCTCAGATAGCCTTCCTGCAGGGTGAGAGGCGAGGGCAGGAGAACCTGAAGAAGGACCTGGTGAGACGGATCAAGATGCTGGAGTACGCCCTCAAACAGGAGAGGTGAGATCACCCTCCCTCTGTATCAGTGTGATTTTACAGTTTGGTTTAGCACCGTATGGTTCAAACCCTAATCTTATTTCACAGCAGACTGTACCCCCATCTGTGGCGTCATGCAGGAAGTGTGTCGGCTGTGTGATAGCTACAGGGGAGCTTGATTTTGGACATCCATTTAAAAAGATGAGACCGCTCAGGGCCCTGAACTGAAGGCTTTATTTGCCGTGCATGAGCAATGTTACTATGTTAAGACAGTTATTTGATAAAGGAGTAACATGCACAAAAGAAAAGGTCGTCATGAATTTAAGTCCTCGTCTGAGTGTCTGCTCTGAAGTGTGTCCGCTGATCAGCCCATTGGTGTGAAATTGATCCATCCACCTCACAGAGCAGCTGATCCTCTTATGGAGCTGTGGGAAATGATCTGGCGTCAGCTTTTTAACGCTACAGTTGTCTGATTGTTTGATTGGCACATCTAGATGCCACTCACTGACGCGTGTGGAAGAAGGGGATTGTGGGAAAACTCCAACACACACTAAAATATAAAAATATTTTAAAATCACACATCAGGGCTGATCTGAAGCTGTACAGAACACTAAGGCTGGAGGTAGTTTGATTCTCACAAACTGTTTAAAAGAGATCGAGCTCCATTGTGAGTTGAAATATACTGTCCTGCCAGCTTGCTGTGCATGTTGCTGGAGGTTTCCACTAGAGGCCACAGCAAAGAACTTGGGCCCAACACAAGAACCCCAACTTTAACCATACTTGATACAGAAATGGAACCGTAACTCACATGGGAAATTTCCTCAACATTATTAGTGATTTTTAATACTTAACAAATGTTTAATTGTGCATAACAAAAAAGTACAATTAAAAAATGGAAAACATTCTTTAGTGTGTGCAAAAGAATATTTGGGCCAACTGAGAAAAAATTTGATGTCTGACAGAATTCTGAATTCCAACTTTGATCTCAGAATTTCAACTTTATCTCAGAAACCCCAATTTTATCTCAGAGTTTCAGCCTTTGATCTGAGAATTCCTACTATTATCTTAGAATTCTAACTTTTATCGCAGAATTTCCACTCTGATCTCAGATTTCTGACTTTGATCGTAACCTTCATGTTGCTTCATTACTCATATATTATCATGTGTCATAATGCTGAGTCATATGTCACACAATGTGGCTGTTAGTTGGACAGGAGATAATGGTTGTTATTTTTGGTCGTTTGCCTATGTATATGGATATCTTCCTTAACTTCATACACTTAAACTGAGGTGGTGCAACAGGGACGAGAATTTTGAGATCTAAGTCACAATTTTCAAAAATATTTAGCCTGAAAAAAGTTATTTTTCAGTCTCCTTAATCCATTTCTGTATATAATCCTTGAAGGCTGAAATTTCAGCTCATAGGTGGCAGCCCTGATGCTGACATTGTGTGAACATGTCTGTTTGTGTGTGTGTTTTCAGGGCGAAATACCATAAACTGAAATATGGGACTGAGCTGAACCAAGGGGAGATCAAACCACCAAGTTATGATTCAGGTGAAACAAAGCTTTTTCTCTCTCTTTTTTTTTGTTTTGTTTTGTAATTTTGTTTCCTGATATAAAATAAAACATATCAATCAGGGCAGCAGGAGGCACTTTATATCACAGCACAGAGACAACAGGGGCTGTAAGCCAGGAGTCAGATCTGTTTACCTTTTAATAAAAAAGGAACAAAAAATGTTTTTTCATTGTTATGACTATTCCTTTGTTTTTTAAAGGTGCAATTTTAATGTTTTTGTTATTATTGTTATGTAAATAGGTGATTTTCAAAAATATTTAAGCCCTTTCAGTGAAATTGGATATTTAAGATAGACTTTTATGTTGATTGACTCACTTTTGAACAGCCTCTTGTGGACATTGAAGGTACTGCAGTTTTAACAGTTGCTCAGTCAGTATCTTTAGAGGATAAGCCTCATCTTGTATACTGATAGATGGACATTATGTTGAACATAACTCTTTGGGGTATTACATCCTTCATGGGGACCCTGCAAAATCTCCTAGGAAGAGCTGCAGGATAAGTCCAGGGAGATCAGTGGATGAGGCTTTGGGAATAAATGGATGGAAACAAAGTGAAAACTCTTTCTCTCTCTCCCTCTCTCTCTCTCTTTCTCTCTTTCACTCTTTCACTCAGATGATGGGAATGAAAGCGAGGCTCCCAGTCCTCCAAACAGCAGCCATCAGCTCAGCTGGAAACAAGGACGCCAGCTGCTCAGACAGTGAGTGAGCGTGCATGCACACCCACACACACTGACTGATTTAGACTTGACAGTGTCATGGGACGGTGGACTGAGTGTGTATTTTAAGTGTGTGTGTGACAGAGAACAAAGAGCTCCGGGGTCAATCCTCTTAATGCTGATTAACACTTTTAATGGGAATCAATAGGAATAATCCACTCTGACCAGTCCTTAACCAATACAGCTGGAAAAAAAGACATTATCACTGAACTCTATCTGCCTGTCGTATCCCCGCTATGAGTTTTGAAATGAGGCTAATTTTTGCATGAGAGGCGGGGCTTCCTTCACGCCGTTTCACTGTTTTGATCAGATATGGCAGAGGTACAAGACTCTGTGAGGATTGTTATGTTTTCACATCTTACCTGATAATCTGACCTCATCAGTAGCTAGCCGAGAGTAGCCTTACAATACCTCCATCTGTCTGTTATTGACATAAGTCAGCTGGGGGATCTCCAGGCTGATTGGTTGTCATAAGGATATAAGACCGGCAGCGCAATGAATGTCTGGCAGATTAGTATCAATGCATACAACTAATGACAATAAAATGCATCAGATGTTGTAGCGCTTTTTTATCACTAACCTTAAAACACTTTACATTGGATACATCATTCATTCGCTTACACAGTGACACCCTGGTGGTGGTTCACTACCTTGGTAGTCACAGCTGCCCTGGGACAGACTGATAGAAACGGGACTGCCAATTTGCACCTACGGCCTCTCTGACCACCATCGAAACAACACTCACAATCATACACCAGTGGAGGACACACACTGGGAGTACAGTGGGTTAAATATCTTGTTCAAGGACACAGAGACAAACTAGGGATAGGACGGAGCTTGAACTGCCAGCCTTCCGGTTACTGGACAACCGCTCGACCTCCTGAGCTACTGCTGCCCAAACTTGATCTAGAGGGAAAGATAAGCAGTGACTTGTTGACCCTTGGCGTTCTCTCTATCCAACTTATTATCAATTCTCCTTTTGCTCACATGTTCATAAGTCTCATTCGCGCATAGACTATTTTTTCATAGACAAAACACTTCTCTCCTTAGTGGCCTCTACTGAATACTTGGAAAGAGTGATCTCCAACCATTCGCCTCTAGCTTTGGACATGATTCTCAAATTGCAGCTTAGAGGATTCTGCCTATGGAAAATGGATCCCACACTGCTCTCTGACTCCCAATTTAACACTTGTATTACTGAAACAATTGACATGTTCTTAGAAACTAATTGTACTGGTGATGCTAGCCCTAGTTTACTTTTTGAGTTTCTTAAAGCAGTACTTTAAGAGAGCGGCAGAATTATCTCCTATTCTTCACATGTTAAAAAGAAGAAAAAGTGAAAACAAGAGCTTTTACAGTCATTTGTTGCACGTCAGAAGGAATTTCTTAGGTTGAGTAAAATAGTCATTGGAGACCTGTGATAACTTCTCTGTTTCACTAAACAGGCATGGTTCTCCCGGTGAATCGATAATGGCGATGGTTCACAGAGGCGATATTTTTGTTCCACCTGTTTAACTTTGTCACATCTGTGCAGCTGTGATAAAAACTTGACTCTGGATGTTTTTATGTTTAAACTGATGCATTAATGTGTCTGTAAGAGCGATGGGCTCTTTATTATTTATAGTTGACTGTGTATGTGTCTGCAGCGGCTGTGTGGTGACACTGAATGGAGGATTGTGTTAAGGCATCGAGGCCTCCTGCGATCGGAGAGGCTGGTACAGAGAGAGGGAGGCGGGCCTTCCCCTCTCTCTCTCTGTCTCTCTGTCTCTCTCTCTCTCTCTCTCTCTCTCTCTGAATAAACACTCTTGGTATTAGTCAGAATTAAAACCTCTGTCCACTGAGGATTGAACCTCTCCATTAAACGCTGCTCTCGGGTCATTAAGCTCCGGCTTCTTCGCTATCTCAGGGTGAAGGTAATGTACAAAGATCAGTTTGAGCTTCTTTTACATTAGTCAACATCTTCAGGACCTAACTTTGTATTAGATATTCAGATAAAAGGGGAACTGAGCCGACTTGATCTTACAAAAAAGATGCTGTCATGGGCATCAAAATCGGTCAACTCTTAAAATTAAATATGTTGTGAGCAGCTAACCAAATATTTACTTAAGTGCAGTGATGCTTCAAAAATGTCCTTTTTTCAACATTTCTAATAGATAGAAAGGGTGATCAAACTTATTTGTGCACAGAAAATATTACATGTCAGTGCAGTAAGCTCCTTAATTAGAAGAATCAGATTTATTTCATGCGAACTGCACTTAAATCTTTCTAATTTTTCTCAGTTTTTCCTGCTTTATGTTCATTTTTTCAAACACGGTTGCATTATGGGCATAACCTGAACTGAAAATGGTGGTGTTGCCCTTTAAGGATGCTCCGCCATTGATATAATTGTGGTGTTGTGCACTTCAGCGGGTACAGCATGGCACCAGAGGAAGAGGCTGAAAAACAGAATGAAGAGAGGCGTTCAGGGTCTGCTCTGGGATTTCTTGAATATAGAAGTCAAAGGAGGTCAATGGACTCTACTTGTACCTCAAACATTAACCTCCATCTGTATCAAACTGACTTTAAATTTGCAGGTGTTTCAAGGAGTTTGGACACTGTGAAAAATGTTTATTTAACCAGATTGTGAATAGTTTAAAATCCTTTAAATGGGTTTAACTGAAAATAGTGCAAAAGTTTTGGGGTTTTTTTTGTTTCAATGGGTAACAAGTCAGGACTACAGGCAAGCCAGTCTAGCAGCAGGACTCTTCAGCTACAGAGCCATGCTGTTTCACTACCTGCAGAATGTGGTTTGTCATTGTCTTGCTGAAGTATGAAGGTCTAACCTGAAAAGTCGTTGTCTGGTGGCAGCTCCTAAATCTGTAGTTATTGCTCAGCATTGAACTGTGCACTGGTAACAAGCCTGGTAATCCCTCTACTTTTTGAAGATGTGATGTCCATGATTTCCACAAAGAGAGTCAAATTTCAACTCATCAGAGCACAGGACAGCATTTCTTAATCACATTTATATCGGTCACAGTTCAGACACACAGATGCTTGTGAAAAAGTTGAGACACTTTGTAAAACATGAACAAAAACAGAATTTAAAGGTTTCTGGATCCTGTCTTTTGTTTGGTCCTCAGATACCTGCAAGAGGTCGGGTACATCGACACCATCCTGGATGTGAAGTCTCAGAGAGTCAGAGCGCTGCTCGGCCTCACCGGAGACTCAGGAGAGAAACCTTCAGACGCCAAAGCCGAACCTGTGGTCAACGGCACAGAGCCGTCCTCTTTAAAGGACAGCGGCATGGTCAGGTGAGTGACGGTGCTGTTGAAGGAAACAGGACTAACATACTATAGATCTACATAAAGAACATCAGACCCACCTCTTTTCTCTCCTCTGTCCCCTCAGTAAACCCGACATGTCCGACTCCGCCACCGTGCTGGAGGCCTTCAAGTTTATTGAGAGCGCTGCAGCAGAGTTCAGCGACGATGATGATGAGGAGGACAGTGAAGGACGGGACAAGACCATCCTGGACCTGGCTGCTGTAAGACAGGAATACACTACTGTCAGCTAATATCTTTACTGATTAGCGTTCTCGGTATTTTAGCGATAATACTCACTAAACTAAATGTCACATCTCTCCTGTAGTAAAGTATTTTTACACTGTGCCGTAAAATTTGAAGTATTTGAGCTTTTTACTGCTTACATTTTATCATAGACTGCAGATCCAACAAATCATTCGGTCTTTAAGAGCTTTTATAAAGTGTCCTTTCTAACATTGAGACCTGGGCTTGAATTTCTTACTGCATTTTTTTAATGCAAGCAAAAACAATATACCCTGATCCAAAAACCAATTTTAAGGTTTAATAAGACAAAGTTATTCTTTAAGAGATTCTCTCTTTGAACACATGAGTAAATGTTTTACCTGCTGTTGACATGTGAGATAAAAGATACCTGTGCAGGTAGAAAAAGGAAAATGAAATGATGTCCCTTTCCTGTCTGGTTTTTGTCATTTAAGAGTCAAGTTTTTAACGTTACCCTCTGTTTTTGACTATCAGCAGATGGTGAGAAAGAAACAGTCCTCTACACCTTCCTCCACGACCTCTGACCTCAGCGATGACCCTGACACAGAGGAGGCATTGAAGGGTTTTGATTTCCTGGCGAGTCCAGATGAAATGGACGGATCACCTGAGTCCAGGAGTGGAGAGGACAGCGGAGAGTGGGGTGAGACTTCAGATCAGTTTGCCCATAAAACTATTTTTTTTTTTTTTATCTAAACAGAAGTCAGTGAGGTCAAAAAGGAGGTTTATAAACCAAACACTTGCAGGCTCCAGTGATTACTTTATCCTCTGTGGACTGACCCATGCTACCAGCTTGAACTTTCAGTGAAGCAAACAGACTCGTGTCACCTTTACGCTTCTAATATAATGATCTGTCTTTGAAGATGGTTCCTGGTTTTGAACCTAGAATAGAATAGTCTTTATTGTCATTATGTAGGTTTGTACACAACAAAATGAGAGAGGCTTCTCCACTAGTGTGTTATAATATAAATATATATATATATATTTGTCTAGCAAACATCTTAAAAACAACAAATGAGCTTAAGTACGACAGACAAGCAATCAGCACTACAACAGTAACATGAAATATTATGGGAAACAATTTCACAGGATTTAATCAGGGCTCTAGTCTCTGTTTTTGTGGTCTACGGGACTTTTTTGTGTCAAACCTTCAGGAGTTGCTACAGTAGATTTTTCTGTCCCTCCACAGTGAAACAAACTGTACTGTCTGAATGTCTTAATCCATGGGACAGTTGAAACCTGTCCTCTCAGATTTCTGGTTCTTCACTGGTAGTGCAAAAAAAAGGGGAGCTCTCTGATGAAGATGATGATGTTAGTGGAACCTGAAACAGCAGTAAGAGTAAGAGCAACCAGACTCCATTGAGAAAAACTTCCTCAGAGATGATGGTTTGTTTTATGTAACAGTGTGTATGTTGCATTTCTTCAGATGAACCTGGAGGTCAGGGGTCATAGGTTTGGAAACTAAAAAAAAACTGCACATTTCAAACGGAGGCTGAAATAAAATGAGTCTTTGTATTTTCTAAAAGGTGTTTTTTCCAAAAGAAAAACTCCCCCTCAGACGGCCACTAATCTGATCACTATGATAGAAATGAAGTAAGCAGAAGGTGCTGATGTTCTAAAGGCACAAAAACCACCTGAACAGCAAAGCTCTGCCTCCTTATCACCTTCCAGCCTCAGCTGATTTCGACCTGATGAAGGAGGTCACAGTTGGACTAATGTGTTTACATGCATTTTAAAAATTCTGATTTACCTGGACTAAGGAAATCACCTTAATCCACAACTTGAGCCTGTGAGGGACAAAAACATAAACCCACTCTCATCTTACTGGTCAACTTCCTGGAACCTTGCCAAGGGAAGAGCCTGCTGTTATAGTAACAAAGACTATCAAAGCAGGAAAGACCATCTTGGTGCTTGCTGAAGATCAGCAAAGAAATCAGAGGTATCAATTTGGCCACAGGGGGCGCCAGAATCACCACAAATGGACAGTTTTAAAGCTTTGAAGCTGTGACACCAACTTTAAAATTTTGAATCAGCTGACAATGAGCAGGAATCACAGACAGATAGTTGTTTCAAGATATTTAGATTTGATAAGAGCAGCTTCAGGCCACCTGCACCAACACACTTCCTCTCTAAATATAAAACTCTCCTCAAAATTCAAGTATGCAGCTGGTGACCTGTCGTCCCCCGCATTTTTCACTCACTCCTTTTTTCCCACTGTTACCTAGCAACACATTCAGTGGCGTTTTGGCCAATGACAAAAATGTGAACCCCACGCAGTCGGTGACTCAACACCTCACAGTCCAGATAGCAGTGAAGGAGACATCAGTAAAGGGGGCACCAGTGAAGGAGACATCAGAGAAGGAGACATCAATTAAGGAGACTTCTATGAAGGAGACATCAGTTAATTATACATCTGTGAAGGAGGCATCAATGAAGGAGACACCAAGAAAGGAGACGATAGTAAAGGAGACTTCAGTGAAGGAGACATCAGTAAATTAGACATCAGTGTAGGAGATTTAGTGAATGAGGCATCAGAAGAGGAGTATCAATGAAGGAGATATCAGTGAGGACAGTTTTAGTTAAAGAGGTATCAGTGAAGGAGGTCTCAGCAAATGAGACATTAGTAAAGGAGACATCAGATAAGGATGTAATATCTGTGATGGAGGTTTCAGTGAAGGAGACATCAGTGATGGTGGTTTCACGTCTCTATGTTGGAGATTTTGAAGCCTACAGGAGCAGAAATCTGTGACTTTATTGAAATCTAAAATGCTGAATCTAAAAGTCTCTCAGTGTGCTGAACTGTGAGCAGGTCTTTGTCTCCATAAACTCACAAATATGTCATATATCAGAGGGAAGGGAAAGGGCCTCTCTGATTGGCTACGAGCCCCTCAGTTATGAAACAGGTTTTGTCATTTCTGAGGCTTTTCTTCTTGAACCCACGCCACCTCCTCGACCCAGCACGTCAATTGCCCCGGGCTTCCAGGAAGGATGATGAGATCGTCTCTTTGTCTCAGCTCGCTGTTATCATGGCAGCACTCAGTCCTACAGAATCACCCTCAGTAATTCCTCCATGGCTGTCATCTTAACCCCATGACCATCTGCACACCATCTTTATTTTGAGCACCGTCTCAGCTGTCAGGGAATGTGGGGGATTTTTTTTATCTAAAGTTTCTCGAAGAGATTGTACCATCATCTCTGTTATATTCTCCATAATGTCATGTTCACATCAAACTGGAAGTAAAGCATATATTTGTTTTATTAAAACAACAACATCATAAAGCTCAGTGTAGCTGCTCAGCATAGCTACACATCATGACCGTCAGGTTGTTTCTCCAGATGAATGAAGCTCCACGGCTTCACTAATGAACCCTCGCAATCTACTTTGTATTGGAAGCCCCGCCCCACTTTGGAGACAGTGAATGCAGGAGGGTCATCAATGATCTGGGGAGGGTAGATGGGGAACAGCTAAGGACCATGGAAGAAACCGGCTTGAGGAGAGACACGTGGAATACTAGATGGATGTTGAGGGAGTTAGGCAGCTTCAGTTTAAAAGAGGAGGGATTGATGATTTTATTAACAGGGAAAGGACCAATGAAGTGAGGAGCAAGCTTACGTGACACGACTTGAAGAGGGAAGTCCTGGAAGGACAACCAGACCAACTGTCCCAGCTAGTGGGCAGGGGCAGCGGAATGATGTAGAGCTTATGAGCAGGAGGTGATTAGGTTGATCAGGTAAAGGTGCGAAGGTGCAGGAGGCGCTTTGGCTGAAGAAGAGCTGCCAAACCTCTGTAAGGGGAAAAGGGAGACTCCACACACTGTAAAAACGACTCCATGGTGCCCTCAAGTGTTAAAACCAGTGTAATCATGACAAGGGACTGAAATTTCACGAGTTTCAAACTTGATGTAAAAAATCTGGAAGTGTTTTTTTAATTATATTTTACTGCACTTTTTGCCTCTAAGTCAAACAATTCAGTAGACAGAAGCGAGTGGCACATAAGACACTTAGCGGCTTTGCATCAATCTCCTGTACATCTGGCTGTTTGCACCATAAGCAACATGAACTTGCATTGCGTCTTTACATCAACTCTACATGTAATTCACTCGCTCCTTTAGTTATTTTGTATCCAGAGTGAACACAACATGAGAGGGCACTGTTTAATTTTCGTCTGACCAATTATAAACTAACGCCCCCATGAGCAAGAGAAAGGAACAGCAGCAGAAGTTACAACCTGGGCCAGGTTGATGAAAATGTTTAATCTGGATCAGAAAGATCTTGATCTGGTGAGTGAGGAAGAATTAATCCAATTTTTGAAGATTACCAAACAGGTGCTCTACATGGGGCTTCATTCTTAAGACTTTGTCCACAAGGGTCACCAAAATCCACACAAACTGAAAGATCTTCACAGCTGCTTTAACTAAACTGGATATAGTTTACAGCCCCATGTTCTGTTTTAACCACCAGGAGACTGCAGACATTCAGGAACTTTAGAGACAAACCATCTCAGATCGTGTCTTTAACATGATGCAAGCACGACAGTGGGTTTTGTATTTGTGGTCATTAAAGAGAGTGTCAAATGTGTTTTTGAAATCATGTTTTCTTGACTGTGTGGGCTATTTTTAAAGTGTTGTTCTACTGCATTAACATGTCACATGCAGACCTGAGAGGAACCATCCGACTTATTCACTCAATTTTAGTTTGTTTGTTTTTTCTGTTAATTTTTGTCTTGTCTGTCTTTGTCTTTGTTTCCACCATCATCAGTATAGACACGTGGATATGTTTCACCTTTTCTCACTGTTTCATGTTTGTGTGACTTTAGGAGAAATAGTCTCAGTGTTTCTTAAGATTAAACTTTAAAAATTGACTATTTTTAATGAAAGGAGTTTTTTTGTTACCAAAGAAATAGACTGACATCAATGCCTCTTTTTAACCTTTAAAAACAAACACATCAGTAATAGTGACAAGCAACAACAAGAGGAGAGGGGCCGCTTTGATCACAGGAGGCGCAAAAAAAAAAAAAGTTCCTTACTGAAGCTTCAAGTAGAGTCTCTGCAAACTCAGGGCATCCAAACTGAAAGATATTTCTGCTGCAGCCACCAAACGATTTGAAGAAGAATACTTTTGTAAGTTAGACAGGAAATAGCTTGTTTTTCTGGCACCTGTTTTATTGAAAAAAGGGGGAAAGTTTTCCTCTTTTTTGACACACACAAAAAAAAAAAACATAAAAAAAGACTGTTTCCCCCAGATCTCCCTTCCTTATCCCACCTGCCTTAGAAATTTGTTGTTTGATAAGTTTTGAAATGCATCCAACCACTCACACCAGGTTTCTACCTCACCCCCCTCCCCCTTCCTCCCCTGCTCCCCCCTCCTTCCCCTGCTGGCCTGTAGAGAAGGAAGAGCAGTCTCCTTTGGGTGAGCTGGCCTGGGACGTGGACCAGGGACTGATAGCCCAGCTCAAGGAGCAGTACAAGAAGGAACGCAAGGGCAAGAAGGGGGTGAAGAGTAAGTCCTGATCCAGGCCTGGAGCTCATCCTCTGTCCTCACTCACTTTTTACTTTTCCTTCTCTGCTTCTCTTTTTTTCTGTTCATCACTCCCCTTTCTTTGGAAAACATTTTAATCAGCCTTTTACTTTGAAAGTGCAGCCTTACACAGGAAGTCATACCAGCTAGCTTGAATTAAAAGAAGAGTTTGGAGTTTCAAGGTTTTAAACTTGAGCTCAATCTTTTTTGGAAGACAGACGTTACAGGCTGCAACCTAATCAAAGAGTTCGACAGTAAGAATTTTTAACAAAAACAGTTTTTTGAAGATAGTGATTTGCTCAACAGGGTTGGTGAAGTTGACCAACAGCTGATCCAGCAGTGATCAGCTAATCCAGCAGCGATCAGCTGACACACAGAGGGGCGCAGGGATGTGACTTTAGGGAACTGAGACATAGTCAAAGAAACCCAAACTGATTTTTTGTTCCAGGATGTAAACATGTTTATTTCTGCTGTCAAGTTTAATATGGGGCTCTGAGGGGACTGACTCGCTGTTGGAGACAGCCTCTAGTGGACAGGAGAGGAACTGCAGCCATAGAGACCTTGGCCTCATTTTCATTCACTTAATTACGCTCTCAGTTCAGAACATTGTATTATGATGTTCCACTGCCTCTTGTGGCTGAAATGAGCATTACAACCACAAATTCTTCAACAATTAGCTCCATGTTTTCACATACTGTATTTGGACCGTAAAAAAAATAATTGAAGAATTTTTTTCGACTTCTTTTTAAATAATAAAAACAGAAAAAAACTTAAGATTTATCCTAAAAAAATGATTTTTGCTTTTTTGGTGGAGTCTCTCTGTCTTACACTTACTGACACTAAACACAGATCTACCCTCCAGGGCTGATCGTTTTCTAAGACCATCAGTGTGTTTGAAGCCTCAAACTGAGGAAGAGTAATTCTTCATCTTTGAGTGAAGACGACAGTAACAGGATTCTTGTAACTGTGATAATGGCACATTCATGCATCTTGTATATCAAAGCACAGGTATTATACCCGGTAAAACATCAGAGCTGACCCTGTTTGTTTCCTGTCTGTTCCTTCATCTCTTTGTGCTGGGGAGTTTTGTCATCCAAACAGCAGCTGGAACATTTCCTCTTTTCCTTCTGCAGCGATTTCTCTTCTCTCTGTGTTTGCCGTCACTTTTCTTCTTCAGTTTGATTTTTCATCTTCTTTGTTCAAGTCCTCTGCAGAACTGCAGCTACAGAAACATCTGCTGGTTCATTTTCAACAGTCACCGTGAAAACTTAATTCACTAACCTTTTCTCCTTCTCTTTTCCTCCCTTGCTCCTTTCCTCACACCCTGCCTCCATGTTTTTTTCCTCCTCTGATTTTGTTTCCCATCTTCCTCCTCCTTTTCCTCCTCCTCCTTGTCCTCCAGGACCAAACCGGTCTAAGCTCCAGGACATGCTGGCTAACCTGCGGGATGCCGAAGAGATACCCACCATGCAGCCATCAGTTACACCCCCCTCTCGGCCCACTGTCCCCCGGCTTAATGAGCATGAAATAGGACGACCTGAAGATGGTAAACTGCCTCGCTCTTGTAACACATGTGTGTTAAAAGTTAACAAAAATGGCCTAAGGAGGTTTTTCTGTCTGTTTCCCTGTAGAAGCTATGACTTTCCTGCCATCCTCTGGGAAATCGTTCATCCTGGGCCGAGTGGACGAAGCGGTTTCTAATGAACTGGGTCTGGGAGAACTGGCCGGGCTCACCGTGGCCAATGAGGCTGAAAGTCTGGGCTATGATGTGAGTAAAAAAAACCCCTCAGACTCCATCTTCAGTCCTGCTTTAAGGACTTAAACTAAAACTACATGCCCAAGTTTGTTTTATGGATCTCTAAAATATGCTCCAAGTTTTCTTCAGACTAAATTAAGAATCTGATGAACAGCATTTCTGTCCTTGTGGGTTAGGTAGTGACTCCTTTATTTCACAATGGAAATATACAAACAAGTTTACCCAAAAAGAAAAATCAACAAAAATTCCTCCGTCACATGTCTTTGTCCAGAATTCAGTGAAAGCCGAGTTTCGATCTTCTAACTCTTTTAGTTTCCACAGAGAGTACATTTTTAAAACTGGTGACCTGAAGCCATGAAACAAAAGTGATCAGTTATCACTAAAGATCTTTCCATCTATCCATCATCTTTTTTTCCATCTATCCATCTATGTGTGAATTTATCATCCATTCACCCGTAAATCTCACAATCTCTCCATTTCCCTGTATCACTGTCATATGTAGAGCTCAGCTCACCTCGTTCTGTATTTACTGTCATCTTCCATCAAATTTCCTCATAAAAAGTCCCTCAAATGGCAAACAGTTGATTTCTGTTTTCACTTGTTTACAGTTTAACTTGTTCATTTTGTCTTTTTAGCTTTGCCGGCTCATTATGATGGTCTCAATCCTAATTGGCCTTCTCCTATCCTTCTCTCTTTTTTTGACTTTTCCTTGTATCAAATTTAGGTTTCAAAACACAGTGAAATATAAACTCCTTCCTAAACATGCATGGATGTATCACTCGTGTTTTTCTGCTAAATCTTACATTTAAATTCAGCTGGCACTCAGAGTTTTTGCCTCCACTGTATTTTTGATTCCTCTCACTGTTGACTGTGTCCAGAGTTTGTTTTTCTCTGTTTAAGGTTCAGACAAGTTGATTTTAGAAATAAAATGCCATATAAAATAGACTGTACCTCTCCTCATCCTTAGATCGGGAACAACAAAGATGCTCTGAGAAAAACCTGGAACCCAAAGTTTACTTTGAGGAGCCACTTCGACTCAGTTCGGAGTCTGGCCTTCCACCCAGTTGAGCCAGTCCTTGTCACGGCGTCCGAGGATCACACACTCAAACTGTGGAACCTGCAGAAGACGGCGCCCGCCAAGAAGTAAGAGTCTAAACCTGCAGCAGAGGGTTTTATCAGAGACAGGCTTTCATCACTGACTCCCATATATCTGGGTTCCCTGATCTGAACCTGTTTTCAAATGCTGATGATGCTGTCTTTGTCATCCTCCAGGTGTGCTGCTTTAGACGTAGAGCCCATCTACACATTCAGAGCTCATAGGTGAGATCTTGTTTGAGAATCTTCTCTTACAGCAGAAAGGTCTAAATTACATAACATACCAACTGTATTATGTTATATAATCCTGGAAACCTTGGAAAGAGTTTTGATTATTACAACCCCAGATCCAAGATGGTTGAGACGGTACATTTAATCTTGATTAAAAACAGATTTTGATCGTTTATTTAAATGCCAAATTTGAGTTTTTAAAAAGTGCAAAAAGGAAAAGTAGCCAATGTTGTGATGAAGTAAGATGTGACTTTGATTTTAGAAATCATGAACACATCCAGTGGAAAGCTTTTCACTGTTTCGCCTTGTTTTTTTCCAGCTCTACTAAGGGGTCATTCTGATATGAAAGCGTTAGTTTTGGCGCCCCCAGTGGACAGAGTGCTGCCTCTTAGAGTTTTGCTGACTCTTATCCTGTACATTTATAACTCATGTTATGGTTCATCTCTCTGTACAGTTAAGTTCTTTTCATGTTTTTCCTTATGTAGCGGAGCAGTGCTGAGCGTCACCATGAGCTCCAGTGGTGAGCAGTGCTTCAGTGGGGGGGTAGATGGGACCATTCAGAGCTGGAACACCCCTAACCCAAACATCGACCCCTACGACTCATATGGTATGATCTAGCGTTAATTCAGCAGCATGATAGCTGTTTCAGAAAACTGATTTCTGACTCCTCCCCTCTTTTCTTCCTGTATTTGGTTCTGCAGAGTCCTCTGTCCTTCGGGGGGCACTGTGTGGTCACACAGACTCAGTGTGGGGTCTGGCCTACAGCTCAGCCCACCGTCGCCTCCTCTCCTGCTCAGCTGATGGAACAGTCCGACTGTGGAACGCCGCTGACATTGCGCCATCTCTTGCTGTTTTCAACGAGCGAGGAGGTGAGGACCTTCTTTCCTGTTATTGACTATGGAGATGTGTTAGACATGAACGCTTCTGCTCACTGTCTTTCAAGGCTTGATAGTGTGTACCACGGGGCACTAAGATTCATTACCAACTGTCATCAACTTACTCACCATTGCATTCTCTACTCTAAAGTTAACTGGACTTCTTTATGCATTTGATGCCTCACTCACTGGTATGTCTTCATGAACAAAGCCATTCTGGGCAATATCCCGTCATATTTGTCTAGTTCCTTAACAAGAAAGCATGGAAGTTGCAGTCTCCGTCCTGTGGATGTTCTACAGTTAGTTGTCCCCAAAGTGAGAACTGAACTGGGCATGAAGGGTTTTAGGTTTTCAGCCCCTAATACCTCGAACAAACTACAGTTTGAACTTCACCTTCAAGCTCTTGTGATGCTAAATGAATTTAAAACTATAGTGAAATCATTACAATCTACCTCAAATGTGTGTAAGTGTTTTATGTGAGATTGTTTTAATGTTGAGAAGCCGCCCTCTTGGTCTCCCTTGTGAAAGAGATTTGTAATCTCAATGGGACCAACCTGGTTAAATAAAGACTAAATCAAAAATATTCAGCTCCCTGCTTCCCTGGAACTTTCCTGATTCATAAATTCTCCATTTCACGTGCACACATGAAAAGCCAAGGCAGGGAGAGCAACAGCAAAGACTCCCAGGCTCTGTTCTGAAAGTCTCCTCCCTTTCCTCATGTGTAAGTGAAATGCCAAAGCCTGAGGCTGAGGAGAGCACACCTTGTTGCCATTTCATGTACATACGTAAAAAGCTGTGGTGGACAGAGGAGTAGCAATGATCCCAGGGGTACAGAACAGAGCTGGCTTTAGTGACAAACCATACAACTCTTGTAGAAACAGATGCAGCATAAAAAGGAGGAGCTGGGGTGGAGGTTGGTTGCACAGAAAGTAGTTTGCTTGGTAGACTTTGTGGCCTGCCTGGACTAGTACTATACTCACTGTCTTATTTCCAGTTTTTCTTTCATTGAAGTCTGAGTTGACTTGATGTATTCTATGATGAGTCTCTGCTGTGTTTGTGTCAGAACTTGGCGTGCCGACCTCTGTTGACCTGGTGAGCTGTGAGCCGGCCCACATGGTGACGTCTTTCACCAGCGGACATATTGGACTCTACAACATGGAGACGCAGCAACTGGTCCTGAAGCTGGAGTCTGCTGGCCCCCCAGGTACAAGAGTCAGAGTACAGTTGGGCGGTTTGATCTCATTGCAGTGGCCACATTATTGTTGTTAAAAGCTCCAGATTCCAAATATTTTACGGGATACGGGATGAAGTGTGCAGCGATTTGAATTTATAATAAAAGTCCCAAGATTAATAATTGATCATAATCTTAAATTATGACATTTATGCACTTGTTGAAAGGGGCACCACCCTCCCTTAATGGTGGGAAAATAAAGAAAAACAAAAGTTCAATTCAGGAATCAAACATTAAGTCAATCTTGAATTAATTAATCTCTTATCTCTAGATGAAACTCTCATTTCAGGGACGGACACTAACAGACAAGAACTTAGAAAAAATAAATGATCTGTTTATTACAGGATAAATGATGGTACAACATACATTCTCTTAAGGAATGCAGTTTTTATCAGTACATGGTTGGTAAGGTTTTATGACCAAGGTCTGGAGGTCAGCATCCTGCTCTTCTGACCTTTCCTTGGATCCCGTGTGTTCACTCACTTAAAGACAGTAAATCTCAAATGGGAGACCTGGGTTGAGGCGTTAATGATTATTTACATGGTCAGTGTTGGGGTCAGTTTGAAAGGTAAGGGAGCAGAGGTTTCGGTCAACCTCAAGTTGGGTCAGTTGGGTAACCTAACAGTGCAAACAAGTCGGGAAAGATTTATATGATCCTGTGTCCTGGGACCAGATAAGGAACCTTTCCTGCAAGAAATGTGTGGGTTTCACACACAGGGTTGTCTCTATGCCACAAGTGTCATCAATTAAAGATTGTGTGTCCCTGGATGAAGTTTTTCTCTTCTGTCTTGATGAACTGAAAATCACCATGTTAAATGCTCAGGTTGTGTTTCTCACATCCTCCCCCGCACAGAGGCTCCCTGCAAGATCAACAAAGTGCTGAGTCACCCCACGCTGCCAATCACCATCACAGCTCAGGAGGACCGGCACATCCAGTTCTTTGATAACAACACAGGTAACACAGGAACACCACCAAGACAAGCACCACCTCCACTTCCATCACAGACACCCAGCTGCTGCAACAGAGCATTAAAGAGACATTACACTGATTTCACAGGTGGAACTCTGTCTCAGTAATTCTCCTTCAGCTCTGGGAATACCAGTGGGTAAAAAAAACGATTGTGTTATGGTTTGGGTCATCAAGGTTGTCCTGATTGGTTCAAATGTGCAGATCAGTGTCACTTTAATTACTTCAGAGAACATCCATAACTCTTCTGTGAATCAGAAATTGTGTTATATCAGTGTGAAGTGTGTTTTTTTCTGCTTTGGTGCTTATTAAGGAATCATCGTTTTCTGTTTTTTAATCATAGGGAAACTTATCCACTCGATGGTCGCCCATCTGGACTCTGTGACGTGTCTTGCTGTGGATCCAAATGGGCTGTACCTCATGTCTGGAAGTGAGTGCTCTGCTGCCTGTGTAGAGATCCTTTCTGCCACACACTTAAAATACTAACCTGAGCCTGTCATGCTGAAACAATAACTTGTAGTGGGTGTGTTTTGGTGACTGATCAGCAGCCTTTATGGCCTGTATGACGGCTGCAGGCTGAAACATCCACAAACACAAAGACTGTACTGAACCGTGTACTGCTACACCCCACGAATAATATATGGTAACAATATATAAGTGTCACAAGAATGGAAAGATGGATGCCATAGAAAGCAGGTTTTTCTGTAATCCCTCCCCTCCTTCTCATCCTCTCTTCCTCTGTCTTTCTCTCTCTTTCAGGCCACGACTGCTCCATTCGTCTGTGGAACATGGAGAGTAAGACATGTATCCAGGAGTTCACCGCTCACCGCAAGAAGTTTGAGGAGTCGATCCACGATGTGGCGTTTCACCCGACCAAGTGCTACATCGGCAGTGCAGGGGCAGACGCCCTTGCAAAGGTCTTAGTATGACCTGAAAACGATCCCCAGCTTTTCAGACTGTGGGGCTCAGAGGACGGTGGAGTCTTAGAGATAGAGGGGATAGAGTCTGGATAAAGAGGCAGGAAAGGGGGCAGTGACTCAGACTGCTCCTTTAAAATTTGTGAAATATTTCTCCCTACACCTCCCCCCACTTCGGACTTTGGCTGGCCCGGGTCTCGAAAACAAACCCACCTCTGGACGAGCCAATGAATGAAACAAGAAGTGGTGAAAAAAAAAAAGCAGGAGCTCTTAGTACACTACAGTACAGCTGGAATCTTTATATTTCTTTCTCTAACCTAAAAACTGTCAACCCATCACTTCCCCTGGACTCTGCATCTGCAGCCTGTGGTTCATAAAAATCATGATAATGTGCCTTTTTCGTTACCACAGAGATTCGTTTTGAATTTGAGGGAAAAAAGCAGCCAGTTCTTCTTTTTCTTTGCTAAATATCGCCATTGATCATTACATTATCGCTCCACTTTCACGTGACGATGGCCCCAGAGTGCACAGGACTCCATGGACTTCGAAATGATTTAGCCTTTTTTTGCTCTTGAAACAGAAAGTTTGAGTTTGCCTGCAGCCTGAAGAAGATTTTGATGTTTTATCTTGTAAACACCCACATGGGGGAAGGCAAGGAGTCAAAGGTCAGGACGTTATTTTAAAGCGACTCCTTCACTCATAAAGATCAGTGTTATATGCCGGGTGAAGCCTCCTCTTCCAAATACAGCATGTGACACAATAAGAGTTTTGAATCAAGAGCTTCCTCCAAAGTGAAATAACTGACGTCTTTGAGGTCGCTGCCGGCCTGTTTGAGGTGCAAATTGATTTTCCCAAAGTGGCTGTAAAATATTTTGGGTGAGATCTCTTCTGATTCTGTAGTTTTGCTTAATGTTGTTACTTGATTTGAAAACCTGCTGCTTGTTTTCTTTATTTATTCTTTATTATATATTTTTTTTACCAAAAGACGCCAATTTGAAGCCAAATGGTTCAACCGGATAAATGACAAGGCACTCCAAAAAAAACAAAAACAAGTATGCTAATGCTAACTAACTCCTTCAAAAGGGAAAGTCTGGTACCTCTGAAGCCTGTTTTGCATAGGCTCGGGATTTAGGGTCCAACTGGTTCAAAAAAGAGTGAAAGTTGCTTCAGCAGTAAATCAGGCTGTTATGGCTGCAGCAGAAACATTTGGTGCAAAAATACCCACTGAAAGTTCTTGTTTTGTTCCTGACAGGCTTAGACTATTACTCTAAGAGTCTGACAGCGTAAGTGACTCAATCCCTGCAGAAACTTTTGTAAAACACTGACTTTGTTGAGCTACTGTTATTGTGAATGGTCAGTTTCTTTTTGACACTGAATGACTGAAAACTTTGGAGATTTACGAACAAACAAACTGTAATATAAGCAGCTGAAGTTTTCTGCAAGTAAAATTAAGTGTTTTGTTAATGAAGTTTGGTGCAGTCAAGGCACTGATTCTGATCATCCCCTGAAAGAAGTAGGACCTTAACGTATTTTGTCAAACATTAAAAAAAACAGTGTGAGCCTTCAGGGCTGCTCCATTATGGCAAAACCCATAATCGCAATTATTTTGACTTATATTGATACCATGACGTTTATCTGTGATTTGGTCTATAATCATAGGTATAATTAAATTCTGAAAATTGCCCAGTTCTACCGTGTGGTATATCAAACAGGGATTTGGTCAGGCTCATCAGTCTCAGATGGTTTCTTTACAGCTATTACAGCCTGTTTGATGGCTGCTGTCTGGAGCAGTTGAACGTGTTTGCACATTTTGGCCACTTACATCCTAAAAATGTATAAAATATTAGTGTACATGTTAAAAAAAACACCAGAATTACCCTTTAAGTATCACCTGTCCCCAACTCTACACAGACTCCTCTCCAAGATGCTTTTATGCTGACTGCCTGAAAATATTGTATTTTGTGTAATTCTTGGTATTTGGACGGATTACTAGTTTTTTAAAAAGGACTCTTTGTGTTTGGTGATGGACTTGTACAACACAGGTAGATATTTTTTTAAAGACATGTTATCTGTTTGACTGGAAAATTAAGTTTGTTCCTTTGGGGGTTTTTTCAGGTGTTGTAGAATGAACAAAAACCACTTCACCTCTCAGCACCTCTTAACACTTTTGATTCTGCGTGGTACCAAATGATCATCTCATAAAGCAGCTTTGTTCCTGAATGGTTGAAACTTTGAGGGTGGAACTTTTGAGTGCAAGCGATGTAAAAAGGACAAAGATATGTGTACAGTTTTTAAGTATTAAAGCAGATCTATTTATATACCTGGTGGAATTAAGGGACACTTTAATTGCAATGTGCAAGTGAGCGTATTATTTATCTACGTGAGCAGAAAGATCAAATGTTGTCTGTGTAATCAGTAACAGAGTAAGCTAGAGGCTGTAGTTGAATCATGTAAAACCACGTAAAAATGAATGGAGTCTGGTTGTTTGGTTGGTAAGTTTTATTTTATAGTAAGCTGTTCCTTTAAAAGGCCTGTTTTCAGATAGTACTCAAACTGCAGTCTAAAGAAGGCATAATCCACCCATAGTCTGTCTATTCCAAAACCTTGGGTTAGCGTTTTAAAGTCAGCACCTGGATTTTTTAAGGCTAAAAGTGACCAAATTTGGCCAAGCTAGTGGAACCAGAGGGTCAGAAGGACCTGGTGAGTGAAAAGTTAGCAACTCTCAACTACGAGGTTAAGCTTTTGGAGTGAAGTTACCCCCTGTTGGCCATTAGAAAATACGCACTTTAGTGTTGTAATACCACCCACTTCATGAAATCAAAGACACAGAACTCCTTAGATGCTTTAAGAGACAGTACCAGAACTGTCCCGATGCTGGGGTCAGTCCACAGTCTCTGTATCCTTTTATGATGGTTGTCTTGTCAGATTTGGCAATCTCAGGCACAGTTCTGTGACTTTACCAACAGACATGTAGACTATACACTTGTACCCAACCAATCACATTGGTGACATTGAAAGAAAAAGGGGTGGGGCCAAAAATGCTAATGGAATTTTTGGTAACCCCCTGACTGGACTTACCTGAAGGCAATTCAATTTTTTCAGCATATCTGTTTCTTTCATACTTCCTAAGACATGAACCAGGATGGGTAAAGCGAAAACATACCAGACTCCATTCACATTTTCTACTTTTTCACTCTCAGAGCAATAGAAGTGATATGTTTGCCAATAACATAGTCTCACCTTACACATGAATGGTAAACCCTTCAGAGCTGATAATAAAACACGTCAGCACTAACACTAGCCTGTAGAGCATCAGCAGCTGATCTGTGTCAGTCATATTTAGATTTTATTGTCTTCAGTGGCCAAACGCAAAGCTGAACCCTCAACCTGAAAACCTGATCAAGTTCAGTTTGCCTGTAAATTATTGTTGTTCTTTAATGTGTACAGTGAAACTATGACAGAGATTATAGACACTAATTTGACTGTACATACAGTAAATACAGGTGTTGTTTTCTTATTTCATTGTTGTTCTTTTTATTTTTCAAAATGGGAGAGTGAGATTTATCAGTAACAATAAAGAAATATGTTATATATCACCATGCTGATGTGTTTTGTCCTCAGAAAGTCATGGAGGTGTATTTTAAGATTTCTTTGTTTTCTTTCTGTCTTTTGTATATAGCTGGAGGAATACCTCCAACTAATGAGGTTAATTGTAAACGGGTCAACGTAACTGAGTATAGGGAGGACATTCAGATTGGCTGAGTCTCTTAGAGGGAAAGAGGGAAGGGGTTCACCGCTTTGTGAGAGACTGTGTGAGCTAATAGCTCATCAATTCTTAAATAATGTTCCTGAGTGTAAAATGTGAAAGAATAAGTGGATTTCATCATCTTCAATACATAAATTTATTTAAAGAATCTGGAGAAATCTCTCTACAAAAGGGACCAGGACTAAATATTTGTACAATTTGTCATCTTAAATTAAGAAACATTGGTTACTTGATGACAACATTTTTTAAACTATACTCACATCGGAGTAGTCATCTAAAGTTCTGGGTCCCAGAATGCTGAGTTTTTAAAGTGTCTTACAGAGACAACAGCTGGAATGAGGATTTTCAAAGACACTAATGTGAGATAAGGTTTTTAATCCGGATATCAAATTGGCCCTCTATGAGCAATCAGAGGACCAACAGACAGCCTAAAAAATAGTTAAACATTCTCTCTTTTCACAAGAATAATATATAACTTTCAAGCAGATATAAGCTCTAACCATTTAATAGACATCTTTTTAATATCCTGGTCATACAAATTAACACCAAAGCCCCTGGGTGGCGGTAGAGCGCTGTGAACGAGTTCATGCTGCTGTAGATGTTAGCAGAAGAAGTTAGCTAGCTACTGTAAACAAAGCAGAGCCGCTGGACCGTAAAACTACTAAAAATCTATTTATGTGTGACAAGATATGACAACAATCAAGTTTGCATAACGCTCAAGTAAGTGGAAACGGCTGTATTTATCAATAAAAACAAGGTTGACCGTGAAATTAACTCCAAAACGTTCTTTTAGGTAGTCAGCTAACTAACTAGCTGAAATGTGCTAAAGTTAAAGCTGAAGGCTGCGGGTCCAAACTCTGACAGGTGAACATTAATGTTCATCACACCGGTGTTTTAATGGAAATTTGATATTGAGATATGTCAACCACAGCATAAAGGGGATAAACTTGAGTGAGGGAGACGAGCCTGAAGTTAGCTTATCATACTCAGCTGAGGATCGAGCTGTTCCGGAGAGGGTGTAGAAAACCACCAGAACTAGACTTCTCAGATCTGGGCGGAATTGTTCTCAAGAGCTTACAAATACGGTGTCCACTTGTAGAAACATTGTTTTCTTTGTATGCGACTATGTTATAAGGGCGATTTCACCGTTTTTGCTGTATAGGCTACATGAGATCAGGTCCTGATCCAGAAACACTAGAATCAGATTGATCATATCAGTAAGTTAGCATGTCTTGCAAACTGTGTCAGATCTGCAAAGCCATTATTCTGTTTGTAAAATGAAAAAAAGAGCTATCCTAACACTTTTTACTGTCCACACTACACCGGACCAGGTCCAGAACCAAAGCTTCTCATATCTCGACTAGATTATTCTTATGAGGCAACAAATTATTTCCATTATTCTACATATGTAAATGTAAGAAAGGTTCATTTAACTTTTCCTTTTTTCTGTGAAACTGTTACGTTATCTATGAGAATGCTAGAGGGGTGATTTCACAGCTTTTTAAGCCTAGACCAGGTCCAAGACTGAAACTCTCATACCTGGACTAGTTGCTTTTTCTAGAAACTGTAAATTAGTTACTTATTTCAGCTCTGTGTCTTAAAAGAGTCTGTTAACGTGTGTCCAGCTCAGGTAACCTCAGACTGCCTCAGTGAGTACCTACAAAACAAGTTCTAGACACAGACTGTTTTTTTCTTTTCAGGATTTGATTCATCTTAGGAAAATTGTGTCACAAAATGACTTGGAGCTTATCATTTACGCCTTTGTGTCTTCATGTTTAGACTATTTTAGCAGTTTGTTTTCACGTCTGAGCGAAAAGGAGTTGTCTTGTCTGCAATTAGTGCAAAACTGCAGCAAGAATTCTGATCTGTGCGAATGGAAGGACTCACATATCCCCTACTCTTAAAGCTCTACATTGGCTGCCTGTGTCCTTTAGAATCAATTTTAAACTTCTGGTCCTAATATTTAGAGCCTTGCATGGTTAGGCTCCATCTTACATCTGTGATCTGATCCAGCCTTACACCCACGCATAGGCTCTCAGGTCTGGAGCAGAATCTGCAGATAGTTCTGTGCACTTGTTTTCAGACCAGAGGCGATCTTTCTAGGCTGTTGCTCCCAGGCTTTGGGATGATCTTCTTCTCTCTCTGCGCTTAATAGACTCTGTTGACTCCTTTAAAAGTGAACTCAGACATATTTATTTGCCCAGGCCTTTGTTAAGCTGTTTTGGGGCTGCTGTGATTGTCTTGGCCTTTTAAATTTGTTTGTACATTTTTACTTTTGTTTGTGTGAAGCACTTTGTGACTTTTTGTATTTGAAAGGTGCTATTTAAATAAAGTTTACTTACTTACTTATTCGTGTCTCTTTCAGTTGTGCTCTCCAGACTCTGCCAGACTGCAGCAGTCCAGTTCGGCTCTGGATCTGCCATGAGCCAGCCTGCAGTCTGAGGGGAAGATAATGGCTGCAGAGCTGTACCCCACCAAGAAGCTGGTATCCTCTGCCTCACCAAGCAGCACTGCCTCCTCTTCCATCCAGCATTACCAGCAGCAGAACCTGACCAACAACAACACCAGCACCGCAGCACAGAGCTGCTGCAACTGGCAGGGCCTGTACCCCACCATCCGAGAGAGGTCAGTCTGAGCTTTGACCCCACTCAGGCTGATGGGGCTGTGGCATGATGGCATCTCAGAATGTTTAGTTCAAGAATATTTGGTTCTAGAATACAGAATTTTATGTTCCAGAATTTTGGGTTCTTAAAGTCATGTCCTTTAAAGTTTGAGGATTCACGAATTTTGGGTTTCGGAAAGCCAGGTTTTACAAGGTTCAAGGATTCCAGAATGCAAATGGGTTCTAGAACTTCATATAGCGTTCTAGAATGCTGTGTTTAAGAATGTATGACTCAAAAAGAGGGTTCTGGACATTTGAGTAGATGTAGAATGTTGGATTCCTGAATTCTTAGTTCTTGAATGCTTTGTTCTAACATGTTCTGGAGTTGTAATATGTTTAGCTCTAGAATGTTGTGTTCTAAAATGCAGGGAATAGAATTGGGGTTCTAAAATGTAGAATGATGGGCTTTGGAATGTTAGGTTCTAGATTGAAGGTTTAAGAGAGTTAAGGGATCCTAAAATCTTGCTTTCCAGAATGCTGAGTCTGAAGTGGGTCTGGGTCTCTGGGATGTTTGGTTTTACAAAGCAGGTTTAATATTCTGGAATGCTGGCTTTGAGATTGCCAGGGTTTAGACTGTTGGGTTTGGACAGTTAGAATTTCTAAATTTTGAGTCCTGTGGTGTTGGGTTTAAGAATGCTGGGTTCCAGAATTCTGTGTTCCAGATTGCAGCCTCTGGAATGCATTCTGTGTAGACTTTAGACCTGAGCTTTAGACAGAAATGATCTCTGATTGGTTTTAAGGCTTATGTGTGTATACTAAGAGCTGTTTCTGAGTCATTTTTTTTCTTATTCTGAAATGAAGTAAAACAGATTTTCTTTCCGAGCAGGAATTCAGTCATGTTCAACAATGAGATGATGGCAGATGTTCACTTTGTGGTCGGGCCACCTGGTGGAACACAACGGGTCCCTGGACACAAGGTAAAAATTCTGCCACATGAGGCAGATCTGGGGTCACATCAGAGCGGATAATTATCCCGGGGAAAACTCAGTGTGCCACTTTGCTGACAGAAACTTAGGTGTATTAATCAGAGTAACATTGAATTCAAATGAGATGAAGAGGCTGAAAATTGGAAATCAGAAAAGAGCAAAAGCAGAAAAATCCGAGATCCGGTCGAGATCATATACTGTGACGAAGTGTTTAAAACACGTTTGTTTTTCAGGCTTTCAGGTAGCTGTCAGACTTGGATCTGTGGTTGGTGTCAGGTTGTTCCTTGTGACGTTAACAATGTTCCTCTTGTTTGTTAGTATGTCTTGGCCGTCGGCAGCTCTGTGTTCCACGCTATGTTTTACGGAGAGCTGGCCGAGGATCAGGATGAGATCCGGATCCCTGATGTGGAGCCTCCATCTTTCCTGGCCATGTTGAAGTGAGTTGAACAGTTAATTTAGCTTCATAGACTATATTCCCATAGCTGACATCTTTCTTTGACATCACATGAAAGGTGGGAAGTTTATATATCTTGTCTACAGGGTTCTAAATTAACTTTTTTGATCACCAGCCAATGTGGCTGAAAGTGAAAAGATTTAATTTCTGAATCAAATGTCTTCTTAGGTATATCTACTGTGATGAGATTGACCTGTGTGCTGACACTGTGCTCGCCACTCTCTACGCCGCTAAAAAGTACATTGTGCCTCACTTGGCTCGGGCCTGTGTCAACTTCTTGGAGACGAGTCTGAGTGCCAAAAACGCCTGCGTGCTGCTGTCTCAGAGCTGCCTGTTCGAGGAGCCTGACCTGACTCAGCGCTGCTGGGAAGTCATAGATGCTCAGGCCGAGCTCGCTCTGCGCTCTGAGGGATTCTGTGACATTGACACCCAGACACTGGAGAGCATCCTGCGACGAGAGACACTGAACGCCAAAGAGATGGTGGTGTTTGAGGCGGCACTGAACTGGGCTGAGGCGGAGTGTCAACGGCAAGATCTGGTGCCGACCATCGAGAACAAGCGCCTGGTGCTGGGGAAAGCCATTTACCTGATCCGCATCCCCACAATGGCACTGGAGGACTTTGCCAACGGGGCGGCTCAGTCTGGTGTGCTCACACTTAATGAGACCAATGACATCTTCCTGTGGTACACCGCTGCCAACAAGCCTGACCTGTTGTTCTGCATTAAACCTCGTAAAGGCCTCTCTCCACAGCGCTGCCATCGCTTCCAGTCCTGCGCCTACAGGAGCAACCAGTGGAGGTACAGAGGACGCTGTGACAGCATTCAGTTCGCTGTGGACAAGCGCATCTTCATTGCTGGCTTTGGCCTGTATGGCTCTAGCTGCGGTTCTGCTGAGTACAGCGCCAAGATCGAGCTGAAGCGTCAGGGCGTGCCGATGGCCCAGAGGATCATCAAGTACTTCTCAGACGGCTCCAGCAGCACCTTCCCTGTGTCCTTTGACTACCCGGTGCAGATTGAGCCGGACACCTTCTACACGGCCAGTGTGGTGCTCGATGGTAATGAGCTCAGCTACTTCGGACAGGAGGGCATGACAGAGGTGCAGTGTGGGAAAGTGACCTTCCAGTTCCAGTGCTCGTCAGACAGCACCAATGGCACCGGCGTACAGGGAGGACAGATCCCCGAACTTATCTTCTACGCCTGAGCTGGGCCAGAAGTTTTACGCCACAGAGATTCCTGATTCACTGCCATTTAGACTTTTTCTTCGAAAGGGTGGAGAGGAGTTCTCAGGAAGCTGCTAGAGGCGGGAGGGAAACCTGAATTTACTGCTGAGCCTTTAGGACATGATGACACTTGATTAAAACATGAAGACAGAACTATAGAAGACCTCACATTCCTCAACAGCTCCATTTTTGTTGTGAGTGTTTTTAGTTTCAGTTTGACTTTGTTTTTATTGAAGCAGAATTTTTCTTCCTACAAAAAACACTGTCTTCAAGGAGACAATCAAAAGATGGCACGCAGGGTCCCCCTGGAGTGCCTGACATATGAAATCCTTACGTAGTTGGTTCTGACACGGGCGAAATAAGTGTTTTGGTTTTTAGACCGTAATTTACCAAGTGTTCAGCTTAATGTGTCCAAAAGAAACCAGAGAAACTGTTGTAAGACTGTTGTGAACATTAGAAAGAAGCAGTTAAGCCATTTGAGAGGCAGTGGGGTTCACTTTCTCTTAAACCAGGCCTTAACTTTCACTTTTGGCCCCAGCACACAGTTTATTCTGAAAACAACACAAGCTTATTAGATCACCCACATGTTTGTTATGGTCTGTCGGTTTTCCAAAAAATCAACTCCGAATATTAAACATGCCATGTTTGGAAAAGTCCAAACACTCGATGTTGGTGGCAAGACATCAGGTGATTCTGCAGATATGTCTTTGACAGGTTAGACAGCTACTTTGTCCTAAATGGACATACAGCTCCATCTTTGTCTTTTATTTGTCCACCTACAGTGTCGATCCCATAATACTTCCACTCAGCTCTGAGCAGCATTGCGAGATCACATCCTCCATTTTTGGAAGAATAACATTACTGTATCAGTTTATTGAGGTCAAGAGTGCCATTCAGTGATCAGGTTACGATGAGAGCGCCCTGTGCTAGATCATATGGTAAGCTACTTCAAGCGGCCTGACGAGCTGGTTAAATGTATTGGTATGAGTTGGACCAGCTTGTTAGTGGTTAAATTTGAACTTCTCCCCCAGAGATCAGATAAAAGTGACAAGAGTTTGTGGTAGTAATAAATGCTCAACAAAATGCTAAAGAACAGCTGAATTAATTTTAAGTATTGCAGCAGAGGTAAATACTTATAAACATAACATGGGGCGCACCCCTCAACTCTGCCCAACAGAGGGCAGAAAGCGCAAAATACAGCTTACTATATGACCGAAAAAGGCAGTTACTCTAAAAGAGTCAAAAAATGCAGTTACTCTGAAAAGCAGTGAGTGGAATCACTGACTTCACTGCATTTAGACAGTTAAATATCTTGTGTGCACACAGAAAAAGTTGGCAGTAAAAATAACATCTTGTTCGCTCAGGACAAAAAAATTGCTGGAAAAGAAACGGTAATGTGCACTCAAGATGATTATGTCCTCGCAAGATAAAAATTTAAGCACACAATAATGAGTTGTGGGTAAAAAAACAACATTTATGCTCATGATCATGATGTTGGTATGTTGTGTTCACAAGATTATTTGTGGTCACCTGATCATCACTTGTATTCAGAAACAGATTTCCCCTGGAGGACTCCCTTTTTGTTTCTTTGGACTCTTCTCTGCTTCTGTGCTCTGATGTCTTTCAGTTCTGGGTACTCAGCTGATCGGTTCAGTTTGAAGCCATGGAACAACTTTTCTTCAGATTTTTTTTTGTGTGTAATTTTGTGTGTGTGTGTTTTTCAGTTTTTAGTTAATCGTTGAATTCTGAGGAGATGTAATCATCTTGATCTTCAGTTTTGTCTGAACTGATATAACTAAAAAGAACTGAAGTTCACTGAACTTAAGGTCGAGACCAACAACACCTGAGGTAGACATCAGCTGCTGAGGACTTCAACTAAAACTAAACTCAATTACATGAAGATTCATGACAGTAAGTTTTTCATGTTAAGTGAAGTTACTCAAGAAAATGATTGTGTTAAAAAGAAAGACATTTTCATTTCTTATATTTATGATTTTTTCTGTCACTGAAGAACTGAGGACTTCTCTTGATAAAGCACTTCTTTAACTTTTTTAACTCTTGCAGGTGTAACTGTTGGTAGTTTTGGTGTTCAAAGTGAAATATCGCTTATATTTGTTATTTTGTAGCCAATGACACTTTTTTTCACTACACCTGATTGACTTCCCCCTGGTGCTCTGTCCAACATCGTAAAGACGGTTCTGGTGTTTTCAAGCAGTGTCATTTTGGTCTGTTGGAGGGTCTGAAAACCGTCAAGGTATCAAAAGTTTTGGGATTGTTGCGGTAGATTCTAAAAGAAGACTGAGATTTTTTGCCACATTGTCAACAGGCAGAGATTAACCGTGACTTGCTGTTGAGGATTCATCACCATCATTTGACCAATCAGATTTAGCTATGTACTCGAACGCAGCTGGTTAGTAAATACTTGAATCTGATTTGAACTGAGTATTCTAGGCGGCAGTAGAACAGTAGAGGTTGTGTGTTGAGTCAGTGGAGACAAGCAAATAAAGGCCTTTTCTTTAATGTAAAGCTCTCTCTCTCTCTCTGCAGGAATCCTCTCTGTAAAAGCTGTCAGGTGCTTAATGTAACAGTCTGAACTTGCCAGGGATGAAAAAAACTTAACGGACATAAACAGATGATGTTGCAACCATTACAGCCTGTTTCACTGCTGCAGGCTGGTGCAATCAACTCGAGTAAAACCGTAAAAAAAAAAAAAAAAAACTTTTACCTCCAAGTCACTCAGACACCAAAAATATGTTAAAACAGAGCCCAGGTTTAAAAATGCTGGAACGGACTTTTTACCCACAATCCACCTAGTGTTGTGCCTGTCCAGCTTGCAGTGTAATACAGCAAGTTTAACCTTGTATTTTATGAACTGAACTCATCGGATGCCACTTTTACTGATTCATCACTTATGTTTCTACTATGCTCAGATAAGAAACTTTTTTTTTTTTTTGTCAGAGTCCCTAAATTTCCTTGATGTTACAGTTCTGTAGATGTTTCAGTGATCATGTCCTGATGCTCTTCATCTGCTCATTTTTAAAATGAAAAAAAAGAAGAAAAACAGTTTTTGTATGAATCTATATTGAAGAAAAATATTTTTGGATGTCTTTGTTTCCTGTTGTTGGATTTCAGCCTGAATGTTGGTTGTTCGGTGGCCTTAAGAACATGTGGTGGTGACTACATTTGTAAATAAAAGATTCAAGTCTGTTTGCAGAGTCTTCTTCATGTTTGGTTCATCATTTCAAGCTGCAAAGACGTTTAATGTTAGTTCTCTGAATATTTTAGGGTAAAACAGTTTTAAAGTAGCAGTGTTTTTCTTTTTCAATTGGAGTTTTGGGTAAAGGACTTTTTAATGTTTGTAGAGTGCATTTTTTAACAATGTGTCATTTAACTTAAATTAAAATTAGTATTTGTTTTTCAAAAGAAGCTAAAAAAGATCAGATAAAACGAGTGTCTACTTTGGGGAATTAACATTATTGTGTCTGGCAGCTGTGAAGAATATAATCAGCAAAAGCAGCTTTTCGTCCACTCTACCCCCAAACCGTAATTTATATTTCTGTTATATGGTGGCTGAGAACCGCCACTGCTGCAAATAAAAAAGAATGCAAACAAAAGAAGCCACAACGGAAGTTGCAGATGCAAAAAAAAAACGCAGCCTGCTGCAAAATATAAAAGACACAGTGCAGATAAAAAAAACAAGCGGACGCAAAAAAAAAAAAAAAAAGTTACCTACTGTGAAAATAAAAGGATGCAATTAAAAAAAGCCACATCGGAAGTGAGCTGCCCGGCACTGATAATGATGATGCAACAGTGTTTTATGATCTAGGCACATAAGAGGACGACAAGAGGACGAGCAAAGAAGTAAGCGGAAAGGTTATTGTTTAATTTTGCTTTGTGTGCTTTTTAATGTGTCATTTGGTTAGGCCATGTAGCGTCCGAGTCAATATGAAGTTGAACTAAAGTTGAACAGGCTTTTTCTTTTTCTTTTATTCTGCACTGTTTCTTTTTTTATTTACAGCAGGCCTCAGTTTATCTATTATTTAATTATCTATCAATTTTTTGCATCAGCAACTTCCGTTGTGGATTCTTTTCTTTTCAAATTTTTTTTTCTAAATTTGTAGCAATGGCGGTTCTCGGCCACCGTACTGTTATTCAGGGTTAGCAACATTAAAAACGTCCATTTTTGGCGAACACGTTTTAGCGAAAAAGGGCATGTATTTTGTCCCTCTGTATTTGCCGTCTAAACAGCTGAATAACACGGAAGTGAGCTTTGTGACAGCGGGATCAGAGTCCAAACTGAGTTTTTTGACTCCAGACTAAAGCCTCCGGCGTTTCTCAGCCGTTATGCTTCGATTAAAGATAATCTCGGGACACTTGTCTCCCCGCGGCTCCTCTGAACGGGGAAGGAATCTGTGCAGGTCGGAGTGCAGGGCAGCGCAGATCAGCAGCCCGGAGGACGTGGTTGTGGTCCACGGACGGAGGACCGCGATCGGGAAGGCAAAGAGAGGCGCGTTTAAGGTTAGAGTGTGACCCTGCAGACCTCATACCAGCTGTACAACAGTTAAAGTTAATGAGCAACCAGAGATGAAGTCAAGATTATTATTATTGTTATTGTTATTGTTATTATTATCATTGTTGTTGTTGTTGTTGTTGTTGTTGTTGTTATTAAATGTCCACACCAACAAATGTGATTGTGTTATTTTTAAAAATGCGCTCCTTTTAAGTTTGAGTCCAGCAACATGTTTGTAAAAATTAAAGAAGAAAAAAAAAGGTTAAAAAAAACAGCTGGAGGACTATTTGGACCAAGAAGGAACTAGGTGAAGTTAGTTTTAGGTTGGATATTCGACAGACATTCCCTGCGGAATGTCAGCTGCGCGGTTAAATCTACTTTGCAACCTCGCTGTCAACGTTGGGTCTTGAATAAGGGACCATCAATAAATCACCGTTGATGTTCTCGAAAAAGGCTGTTTTCCTTCAATAGCTTCCATGTCATGCGACCAACATACCTAAAATTCATTTCAAATAATAGTTCTTATGTCTAACAATCAGACACACCTCTTATTTCCTAGTTTAGCCTCCAAAAAATTGATGCTAGATTTAAAGACAAATTTTGAGACTTTTCTTCAATAGCTTTCATGTCATGTGACCAATTGACCTAAAATTGATTTCAAATAATAGTACTGAGGTTGGATAAAAAGACACATCTCTTTTTTCCCCAAATTTGTCCTCCAAAAATGTCCCTAAAATGAAGTAAAAATTTTAACCCCGAGTTTTGCTTTCAGGACACGACCCCTGACGAGCTGCTGTGTGCAGTGATGACGGCTGTGATGGAGGATGTCGGTCTGTCTCCAAACAAGCTGGGAGACGTCTGTGTGGGTGAGAAGACACTAACTCTTGAAACCTTTACAAAACAATAGAGACTGTATTTGAGTCTTCCAGACCTTTCTGTCCTTATTAATCTCCTCAGGTTTTTTTTTTCTGAGTGTTTCAGTTTTTCATCTGTTGAAGTTCAATGTCTCTTTTAAGAGCGTCTGACTGGTGTTGTTTTGTCTGTTGTTTGTGAAGTCTAGTTGCTTTGTACTAACTCACAGAAAACTTTCTGTTATTGCTTTAGAGAAGAATCAAGTTATTTTCACCCCTGGTTAAACAAAAACTTAATTGTCATTAACATAGGTTGACTCTGGGGGAAAAGAAAAGAAATGCAAAGCATAGGAACTAAATTTAGCAATAACAGTTAATTAGAATTTGCAGGCATGCACTTGAATTTCTTAACGTTTGGTTTTTTTGTCTGTTGCACGAGCACACAGGACACAGGCCTGACTATCATAGATCTCAGGTTGGACTGAGCTGCTGTCTCTGCTGAAAGCTGACTGTTGTACTTTTGTCGGCAGGTAACGTGTTGCAGCCTGGAGCTGGAGCTCTGATGGCTCGAGTAGCTCACTTCCTCAGGTCAGACTGATCCTGATCGGTTGATTGATTGTCACGTTGACTTCCATTATTTTGTCCCGTTGTTTCTTATCCTTCTGTCCTCTGTTCAGCGGGTTCCCAGAGACAGTTCCTACCTACACTGTCAACAGACAGTGCTCCTCTGGACTGCAGGCTCTGTTCAACATTGCAGGTAAACACTCGATCATTAGGTGCTTTTAAACCCAAAGTACAAGGAACCATTGAAAACCAGCAGTGATCAGCTGATGCCCGCTTTACACATTCATTTAAATTACATTAACCATTTGTAGAGGTATATAATGTTGAATTATAAATGATGTGCCTGGAGATCAATAAATGAGTCATCAGATCTCTGTATGTCTGTTTTTCACTCTGTGTGTGTGTGTGCAGGAGCCATCAGGAGTAGATCTATCGACCTGGGCCTTGCATGTGGGTATGTTTTTTTTATTTTCCAACTGTAAGAAATATAGAGAAATTACGGGATGTTTTCCTCTTTCGAATAAAGTATAAACCAAACAAACATTAATGAAAACAACGTATATTTGTGTTTGTGTGTCAGTGTGGAGAGCATGTCTCTGCGTACGGTGGGTAAACCAGGAGATGTGAGCTCCAGGCTGATGGACAACGAGAAAGCCAGAGACTGCATCATCCCCATGGGGTGAGGCCTCAGCTGGTTAAACAACAGGACACAGACTGCAGGACAGCATAGCCCAGTTTTAGAATATAATCACACATTAATGTAGCATTAGCAAAAAAACTACTCCTCAACTATAACTTTTGTTGAATTCTCCAAACGTGTTTTGTTTCAGGGGGTCAATTTTGTTCAAATCTATAGATTTCCTGCTTAGAGTCTGGTTTGTGTCTCTGATTTCTGTAGCATCACCTCAGAGAACGTGGCAGAACGATTCGGGGTCAGCAGACAGAAGCAGGACGCCTTCTCTCTCAGCTCTCAGCTAAAGTAAGATCACACCTTTACCTGTGGTCCTTCCACTGACTTTCTTACAGAAACATGTTTTTATTTTATTTTGTGTTGTTTCCAGAGCTTGACAAGTCACATTTTTCCATCATCAAATTAAGAAGTGTTATGTCAGTATCCAGAGCATCTACAGTGACAGAAATCGTGATAGGACATTTAAGCAGAGCAGTTAATAACTGTGTAATTTGCTTATAAATGAAAATTTGCATCAAAACATGGCAACCCCAAAATATTGGTGGTCCTAGGATGGCTCCCTGAGGAACTATGTTTATTATATCAGAAATCTGGACGTGATGTCATCAGCCTGCACACACTAGTCTGTTTTATAGATATATTTTAGACAATCAGACTGCTGTGACTCGTTTTACCAAAATTAACCAGAGGTGACTTCATCTTCGTAGAGTATCACTGTGTGTTTCATGTTTGGTCACAATTAAAGCAGGCCTTGAGTGTGTCTGCTTTATATGTTCTTATTTCCTGGTTCCTCTCAGAGCAGCCAAGGCACAGAGCGCTGGTCTGTTTGAGCAGGAGATTGTCCCCGTCACTGTAAAGTCTGTGGACGAGCAGGGGACGGAGCGCCAGGTGACCGTCACCAAAGATGAGGGCATCCGAGCCGGGACGACTCTGGAAGGACTCAGCAAACTCCGACCTGCTTTCAAACCTGACGGGAGCACTACAGCAGGTCAGGATGGCACACAAACACACATAGCTAAACACACACACACAAACACAAACACTCACACGCATGTTCTGTCTTAGGCAATGCAAGCCAGGTGAGTGATGGAGCAGCAGCCGTGCTGGTTGGCCGCAGGTCTACAGTGGAGGCTCTGGGTCTGCCGGTCCTGGGGGTCCTGAGGGGGAGTGCGGTGGTTGGGGTTCCTCCTGATGTGATGGGGATTGGACCTGCATACGCCATCCCTGCTGCTCTGGAACAGGCCGGTCAGGACTCGGATCAGAAACATGTTAAATGCAGTAGAACATGAATGATTTCACTTCGAGCTTCACTGTAAAGCTAAGGCTCAGAGAGGAACACTGAATGCTTCGCTGTGCTGCACTGATACTGGAACCTGCCTCCAAACACCAAATGACCATTACTCACCGTGTTGTTTTCATGTTTGTCCCCTCATTGTCACCCCCACTCTCCTCTCAGGTCTTACTGTGGCTGATATCGACGTGTTTGAAATCAACGAGGCGTTTGCCAGTCAGGTGAGTTCAGACTTCATGTTCAGGGAAAAAAGGTTTTGCTGCCTGGACCTGTGGAGGCTGCTGTTGCCCAAAACAGTTGGGTGTTGTATGAAGATGAAACTTACAAAAAGACCAAACACAAAGAGACCTAAATAGGTCTAACTGAAGTACTCAAATCACCGAAGTTTTGGGGAACTAGAGAAGTTAATCCGAATCTTTAACAAAGTCCTTCAGATTTTTGGAAGGCCACAAAATTTGTACCTCTATGTCAAAAGTTTTCTGGTGTTGTAGAAGTTTCATAAGATCTCAACAAAGGTTCTGAGTATCTCTAGAAGGGCTCTCTGCTGTAGCTTTCTCAGGATCTAGAAAGGTTCCTTAGAATTTGGAAAAAGTAACTTAGGATCTTTAAAAAAAGCTTCTGGGGATCTTGACAAAATTTCTTGGGACCTCAAGAAAGTTTTGGTGGTCTTGATGAAGTTTTCAATTATCCTAAATGAAGAATACAAGATCTCACACAAATTTCTTTAGAGCACAGAAAAGTTTCTAAGGATCCATAAAAATAGTGTCTCAGGATCTCAGCCAATTCTTTCTCAGAATCTCAAGAAAGTTTTTGAGGTACCAGGAAAATTCCTTCACATCTTGAACAGTCTCTCAAGATTTAGATGGAGGTACTTGAATATTAAGTAACATCTCAAAAAGTTTTCCAGGATCAGAGAAAGTCACTCAAGGTATTGAAAAAATTTATCTGGATCTCAAGAAAAGTTTTCTGGATCTTGAGAAAACTTGGTAGAACTTCAAGTTTCTTAGGATCTCTGGAGAGTTTCTCAGGGCCATGATAAAGTTTCTCAGGATCTTGAGAAATGTTGTTGGAATATTGTATCATTTTCCCAGACTCTTTAGTCAGTTCTCCTAATCTGGAGAAAGTTTCACTAGAACTTGACAAAGGTATTTCAGGATGTAGGTAAAGTTTTTTGGGAAAGTTGCTTGGAATCTCATCATTTTCAACAACCTTAAAAAACTTCTCTTGATCTTGAAGTTTTTCAGGATCTACAGAAAGACTGAAGTTTCCCTGTGAAAACTGTGATGTGTCTTTCAATGCTCAGGCGGTGTACTGTGTAGAGAAGCTGGGCATCCCTCTTGAAAAGGTGAACCCTAACGGAGGTGCCATCGCTCTGGGTCATCCGCTGGGCTGCACCGGAGCTCGTCAGGTGGTGACACTGCTCAACGAGCTCAAACGCAGAGGCCAGAGGTATTCATCCTTCTCTTAATTTCCTCCTCAGTCATGGTCCAGCTGTATTCTGAACCTTTTTTTTTAAAATGTCGGCTGCAGGGCGTACGGAGTGGTATCCATGTGCATCGGGACCGGGATGGGAGCTGCTGCAGTGTTTGAATACCCCGGACCATAAACCACTCTGATTAGAAATCAATTCTCGGTAACTGTGATTAAAAACCCTTTCAGACCTGATGACAGATGATCTGTAAATGCTCTGGTGGTCCTCATTGTTGCCTATGTTGCTAGTTATTTTGGAGATAAAGTCTTTATATTTAAACAGCATGGAAACAAATAAAGACAAAGTAATGGTCTTTAAATTGACTTAAGTCCCCTTTACAGTTCAGCATGTGAAGGAGGACCATGAACTTTCAGTAAAACCTTTTTTTGGCTTTTGTTCGAAGGTAATTGAAATAATCGCAGAGCTGTCCTTTAGCAGCTTTTCTAGCTCCTGATGAATTTATGAAACACCCTCAACCAGGAGCAGAACACTGGTACTGCATCATCATCATCATCATCACTACATGATGGTTCTGAGACAGAGCTGAGATTCATCATCAAACACTCTGAGCAGTCAAAGGATCTGAAAGGGGAGCAGATATTACAGAGATACAGAATCAGCCCTTGATTTGAATCTCACTCTAAACTAATGCTGCTGATTTTGCTCTCAATACTGATACAAGTGACCTATTTAAGACAGCAGTAATTAAGGTGCCTTTAGCTGATCAAAAGCACTCACTAACAGGTTTTTCCTGAGTTCCTTCATCTATCGCAGGAAGGAGAAGTGCCCTTTGTCTTTTTTAACACCTTTTACTTAAAAATCTTTGATGCATTTCTGTAGCACATGTATTAACATGTGACTTTCAGCTTACTGAGTTTGACTGGCAGTAATGACTGCAGTAGGATCTGGCAAACTTAAGGACCAATCAGAAACAACCAGTTTGTTAAATCTTCAGGTGACGGACCTTATGCAAATCAGATTAAGTTCTGTGTGCAGATTAAAAAAATTCATTTTTAAAATGTTTGGGAAAAAAAAATGTTAATTGGCCTTTTAAATCAGAAAACAGAATTTTAAATTGTGCAGACTTAAAACACGTTTTTTTCCCTTAATTTCCAATACGTCACATGTATTCCTGAGCCTGTTGTTGCATGAGGCTTCAAGCTTCACTGTCATTATTATGTGTGTCTTATAAATAACTTTAGGACTTTGTACAAATGAGCTGGGAAGAATTTTCTGTAGAGAAGCTAAAAATAAATCATTTCAACATAATAGCAGGTCTCAACAGTCTGTTTTAACTGTAATTTCTTCTTGGTTATGTTTTCATTTTCATATACAAAGCCATAAAAAATGAAACCAGAGTTCATCAGCAGGAACTGTTTTAGCAGTCTGTGATTTCAGGAGGAATCAGAGTCTTTGTTTCAGTCAAAGCTACACAATTTTCTGCTTCTTGCGAGCCTGAAACTGCTCCGTTTTGCTCTTGATCGACTTGACAAGTAGAGACAGACTCGGGTCCATCACTTTCTTCGATGTGACTTCACCAGTGGGCGTGTCAGAGTCATTTTCTCGTTTCTTTCCTCCCGCTTCTTGCCTCTTGTCCTCCTCCTCCTTCTTCGGGGGCTTGACTTTCTGGACCCTGAGTTCACCCCCCAGGTGGCGCTGCTCTACCTCTCGTCGCCGCTGTTTCTCATCCAGGATGCTTTGCGTGGCTTTGGTCTTCTTGTAGCTGGGGTGGGAGGGGTCCAGGTTGAAGAGGTGGGAGGTGAACATGGCCTGGAAACGAGGGTCTTTAACATCCACCTGCGCGCGCGCACACACACACACACACACACACACACACACAGCCATTAGCATTCATTCATTTAACAATTATGGTACTAAGCCTAGAACGGCATCAGTGTGTCTTTAGTGACACGTTCACACACATTAACATAAGATAAGATCATCAAGATGTTGTTTTGTGATATGTCATATGATTCCATAGTGTTCTGTGTATGTTTTTTTTTAATCACATTGTTACGTCCACATCATTTCATTCAGTCATTTTGTATAATTTTATAACTATTGTCTCATTTCTTTTCAGGTGGTTTACACAGTTTGGTATCTAATATCGTGTCATTTTGTTACATATTGTTTTGAATTGCTTGCATGTGACGTTTCAGTGAATGGGCTGCAGCGTCCAATCAGTGAGTGATATGTAAGAAGGGGGCGTGTCTGTCAGTGAAAACACTTCTGTGAATGCTGCTCCTGAGAATGCTTTCTCATTGCTCCTCTGATTTCCCTCCTCTCTACTCGATTCTCTCACCTCCAGTCAGCCTTGACATGACGGATCCATAAGTACTTCTGCTTCGCCAGAAGAGACCGCGGTTAAGACTGTATGACTCACCTGAAAGTCGTCGTCCTCTATTGGCTCCTCCCCTTTCTTCAGCAACTTCTTCTTCTTCTTTTTGCTCAAGTTCTGCTGCTCCACAATCTTATCGTAGTTGAAGTGTTTGTGTTTAGCCTCGTCATCTTCGTCCTCCATCAGCAGAGCCATCTCAGCCTGAACACACAACCATGGACACAGCATTAGAGGCTGACATTAGGTAGGTACTTAGAGACCTATAAACTCTCGTGCAGCTGCAGCGTTGACCCCTGACCTTTCGTTTCTCTAGCTCCTCTTCCTCCTCGGCTGTTCGCTCCTCTTTCTCCCCTTTCTCCTTCTGCTTCTGCTTCCCTTTCTGTTTCTTCTTCGTGTCTGCAAACACATCACAAAGTTACTATTAATGAACTTAAATGAAAACCAAAGGAGGGAATAAAGATCATATGAGCATTTTTCTGAAAACCCTGAGTGACTAATAGCCTCATAACAAATTGATTGTATTGATCACCTGAAGCAGCGAGCTCCTCTGCAAAGAAAGGGTCATTAAGATCGACATCTGGAGGAAGTTCATCCTCGCTCATCTCACTGTCACCCTCTCCCTGAAACAAGAAAACAGAAATAGTTTCAATAGGAGTATAGAAACAAAAGCCAGCTCAGAGGTCACGTTATTTCTCTCTGTTTTTTACTCACTTGATTCCTCTGACTCTTCTTCTGCTTCTTTCTTTCTTTCTTCTTCTCTAAAAACTCCTCCCATGGGGTCAGTTTCTCCTTTCCATCCCTCTTCTTCTTCACCAGCTGCTCTGTCGTCTCCCTTAGACCTGCAAACACACAAATCAAAAAGGTCAATAAACATAGATATAACCATCCAGACCCTGATAGTCTGAATTCTTGAACCAGGTTTCTATTCAAACCAAAGTCCTGTGGTCTAAAGGTCTCCTCTTACCTGGAACCCAGGTGATCTCCATCTCCATGTCTTTGTTTTCCTGCAGCTCCTTCGATTTGTCCTGAATTTCACTCAGCAGCTCTCTGTACTTGGAGATCTGCTCGTCCATTTTCTTCTTCTTCTTCTGTTTTTTCTTCCTCTCTTCCTCTTCTATCTGGGGTTCCTCCTCCTCCTCCTCCTTATCCTCCAGGGCGGGCTCTTCTTCTTCTGTAACTACAGCATGAAAAACAAGTCTGATCAACCACAAACACAAAAACACACCGCGGTAACATGTCTCTACTTTGGTCTCACCTGCAAAATCTTCGTCATCTTCTTTCTCCTCTCCAAACTCAATCCCTCCTTCTTCACCCTCCTCTTCCTCCTCTTCACTGGAAGAGGCCAGGTAGGCGTTGAAGTCCATGTTTAGCAGCTCATCTTTACTGAAGTTTCTGTTCATGGCGGTGACTCGATCATGATCTGTCTCGTCCCACGTCAGCTGAACCTGGAGGATGAAACACAGAAACATCCGTTCTGCTGTCAGTCAGAGGAAGGACTCTTTTTCAGCTGCTGTCCACTGTTTGTAAAGATGGTTGATTATTTCTTTAGCTACAACGTTTTAAGAGTTTACTTCCCGTCACTCTGACTCTGTGTCTGATAGGATCCTTAGATGTCTGCAGATATCAAACATTAAAATCCATCCCGAAGAGGGTTGTGATGGAGAGGACGGTGAACTCACTAAAACTATCTCTCTGGGAAAAGTGAGGTGATAAACCTGTTCATTGAAAATCAAACTAAAATAACTCTTCACTCAGCAGCTCGGTAGGAAAGTTCTGATTCTCCAGCTGACCTGCTCTCACTTAATTGACATCAGCCATTGAAAAATCAGCTTAGGTCAAGAATTACACACATGATCATAAAAAATCAACGGACAAAATACAGAATGATATTTACAGCTCTGGCCCTCGTACCTTTGAGGTCGTGGTGCCTGATGAGGTGAACAGTTTTGGAGTGTAAGCTGCCAGATTCACATCCGTCGCCACGTCTTTTGGCTCCTCGTCAAAGAAGACGTCCTCAGGAATAAACCTGAGATGAGAAGTTTGAGATTCATCGACAAAATAACGAAAAGCAAATTTTATTGAGGGTTGAAATTGTTTTTCTCCCTGACCTCAGGTCAATGACGGAGCAGCTGCTCTCATACTCGTAGCCGTCACATTCCCCGTAGATTTTAACCGCCGTGTCGACAGAGTCACACTCCACCACGGCATAGAAATACTTCAGACGCTTGAACTGGTAATCACGCATCTTCTCTCTGTAACTTCTGAGAGGGACCAACATGGAAAACACAGAAAAACAGGCTTTAAGGTGCATGTGATGCATGTGTCAAATCTGCATCACACATCAAACTGGATGTCTTAATCCATGTAAACAAGTGAAGAACCAAAACCTCTGTTTCGAGCCACATATAAAGAAAGTGTTTTATCACCTGAAAAATATTGCCAGAGTACAACAGTTTCACTCTCAAGTCAATGCAGACGGTAGATCATGCCTTTTTAACCTGTAGAATATACTACTGTAACGCTCTTCTTTCTGGTCTCCCTAAACAGTTTCAGCTGCAAGGATGCTGATGAAGACCTGAAAGAGAGCCAACATTACACCCATTTTACAGTCTATGCATTGGCTCCCAGAGTCTTTTTGAATAGGTTTTAAGGTTCTTTTATTGATTTTTAAAGCTATTAAATGTCTCACACCAACTCATTTATTAGATCTGCTTTTACCATGAGAGACAGTGAGAGCCCTCAGGTCTTCAGGTAGAGACAAAGACTCACTGTGAGGCAGCTTTTTATTATTACTGCCCACGTCTGTGGAACATATCCTTTTATATTCTTTTTTAATTGTAGTCTACATAAGTCAACCATTTGGTATACATTTTTTATTTTTATTGTGTCTTGTCTCAGTTTATTTATTTCTCAGCTGATTTGCTAATGTTTTTTAGTTGTATTTTTGTTTTTATTATCCTTCTCTGGTTTTATCAAGTTTACCTCCAGTTTTTCCTCATGAAAGCCTTTCCTGTAATTGGTTCCTGATTTTTATTTATTTATGTTATTCATTGGTTGTTTTGCATGTGTTAACCTTGATCATGAAAAAAGGTTTTTTAAATTTTTTTATTTTTTTTGTTTATACAACAAACTGCACTACGTCTTGGTTGTATGAAAAGTGCAATACAGATAAAGTCTGATTGATTGATCAACATAATCCAGCAGCCCTTCATCCTGTTGGTTTTTTCAAAGTTATTCATGCATTTCCACATCTTAAAAAACTTTGGGCTGACCCTTTAAATCCCATCAGCGCTGTCCTGCATGTTACCTCTCCTCCTCTGTGTCGTTGTCTGAGTCCTCGGGCAGAGCTCTCAGCTCCAGGGGTCCCTGCGTTTCCTCCGCCTTCAGACGCTCTTTCCCAAACTCCGACGGGTACACCTGGACATACCCAGCATGCACTGTGGTTTATCTCTATCACTCACAAAATTCTCCTGTTACTCAAAAAATGCCACGTCTGAGGCACCCAAGCTTTACTTTTAACTTATAACTTTGTGTATTTTAAACACATTAATAAAAAGGCTTATATGTTGGTTATAAATTAAACATCAGATTTCAGTTATTTCCAGACTCTATGAAAACAAGCCATTGTCAACGCTAGGTTTTGTTTCTGGACCACAAACAGAACAAAGAATGTGAATGTAAGTGACTGCAGAGCCAGAGGCAGCTGGAGTTTTAAGACTGTGGTTCAAGGACTGCTTCCTCACTGTCTGACGTTTCAGTTGCCGAACAAAGAAATTCATAGGAGAACTTTAAAGTTTGAAGAGAAACGGTTTGTTTTCTGTCTCATCAGCTGGGTCAAACGTCTCCTCACTGTTGTTGTTGGTTCAATTTATTTAAAGCTGTTTTACCTTGACAGACAGCACGGCTCCTCCTTTAGGGACGAAAGAGTTCAGCAGAGCCAGAAGATCTTTGGCTTTCAACCGGTCCCAGTCCATGTTACAGACCGCCAGACGGGTAGAGACCTGAACACACACACACACACACACACACACACACACACACACACACACACACACACACACACACACACACACACACACACACACACACACACACACACACACACACACGCACACACACTTATTTGTTAATGATTTGGCCTTTACAACCCTCTCTAAAACATAAAAACACTTAATCATTTGACATAAGTGATTTTTTTTCTACCTTTTTTATTCATCAAAGCATGTCAGTCAACTTATTCTGTCCCTCAGCTTTCCAGACACACACACACACACACACACACACACCAACACACACACACACACACACACACACACACCTGTCTCTCCTGTTTCTCTACCTACTCTGCTCTCCTCTCCTTCCTCCTTCTCTCCTCCTCACCTCCTCACTCCGGGGAGCATCTTTGCACAGCTCCCCCCAGTCGTGCTCTATCTCCTCTTCCTCCTTCTTCAGGATGAAGTCCACATCATCTTCATCGTCTTCATCAGAGCTTGTCTCGATGTTTCCCTTTCCTCTGGCCAGATCAGGACCGCTGTCACTGTCCTCCTCTGAGTCCAGGCAGGACTCCTCCTCATCTAAGCTGCTTTCAACATCACTCCCTTCTTCTGCTTCATCATTACCATCCATTTCTTCTTCAACGTCACCCACGTCAACATCATCTTCTTCTGAGGAGTGCTGCTCCTCTTCCTCTTCATCTTCATCTTCTTCTTCATCATCTAAGATAAAGACATAATATTCACAGCTCTTATCACTAGATTTCTCGGTTTTGTTTTTTTCTACCTTAAAATTCACCTTGTTTAAAAGTTTTACTTCATGATTGTGTTAAAAAAAAATCAAACATTACTTGAGTTTATTTTTTTAACTACAGCAACAAGTAAGAATCAAATAACTGACTTACCCTCTTCAATGACTCTAACTCCACGTTCAGGCTGCTGCTCTTTCACTTTCCCATCTTTTTTCTTCACCTCTTCCTCAACCTTCTCTTTCTTCTTCTTCTTTTTTTCTGCTGCCTTCTTACTCTTGACATCCTCCTCCTCATCTTCGTCATCTGAGTCAGACACTTTGTAGAAGCGTTTCAGGTCCTCAGTAGAGGTGTGGTTGATGGGACGTCCTCTCTTGTCCACTGTGTACTTCACTTTGAAGCGACTGTCGTGAAACATGGACTGGAAACGTTTGTCGATCTTGATCTTGCGTTCTTTTTCAGGCATCTCCCAGAACCTGGGGTCCTTCTTTACCTTGAGGAAACGCTCATCCACATCCTGGTTCTTTTTGGAAGACATGCTGGAAAACTTAACGGGACACCTGGGGAGAGAAAAAATGCTGTGAGATAAAACAATGTGGACGAAGAGCAGGCAGGATCTTCCTGATAACATCTTTCTATAAGTCTTTGATATTCCATATTTCACATATCAACAGTACAGGATCTCTTTTTAGCAGCAGGACTCTTCTACTACAGAGCCATGCTGTTGTAATCCCTGCAGAATGTGGTTTGTCATTGTCTTGCTAAAATATGAAGGTCTTCCCTGAAAAAGCCATTGTCTGATAGGCAGCGTATGTTGCTCCTAAACCTGTAGGGGAGAGTGGGGTAAGTTGAGCCAAAGGGTAAGTTGAGCCACCCCCTGTTGCTTGGAAATGGTAAAAGAAATTGATCATGTGACCAAATATTTAGGAGATGGGCTTCAATTCATGGAGTCTGTGGAGGTTAGAAGCACATGGGTGAAGGGGTTAGACATTTATTTCCAAAAAACACATTTTTCACTCTTGAAAGTGAATTTAGTCTGTCATAAGTTTTTATAGAATTGTGTTCAGACCAAAAAAGATCATTTTAAATTTGTTTTATACATCAATGTTGGTATCTATGAGTTACAACATGAGGTCAGAAACCTAAAATAAAAGTCCACCATTTTAGCTCAGAGGACTAAAAAAGTCATAATAGTAGTTCAGGGGTAAATTAAGCCAGTGGCTCAACTGAGAGAGTAAAGGAGTCTGATGAGAGGATCAGAGTTCCAGTTCAGATTGTTGAAATGTGTTACTTTTTCTTTTCAAAAATACAGCTGTGAATGTTCTGAATCACTTAAAGGCAGTTTTATGCAATAATAATAAAAAGAGTTATTGTACCAGTTGAATACTGTGTAAAAGATGAAAATACACATGAATGTGAAGAAGTGACTGTTATTTAGGGAGAGAGAAGGTGAGGGAGGGCTGGGGTGGAGAGTCAGGGGGTAGTAGGGATACTGCTCAACTTACCCCGCTCCTATGGTCAACTTACCCCATACACGGGATAAGTTGACCATAGGAGACCACTTTTTTGGCATGCTGTATTATCAAGAGAGTTATGTTTACACTCATTCTGTTGTTTTGCAGGGATGCACGACATCCTGAAATATATGCAGATACACTAGTTAGAGACAAAACTATGATTTCCTTGATGTAGTGATCCGAAATATGAAAAATGGCTCATCTTACCCCACTCTCCCCTATATATTGTTCAGCATCAATGAAGGCTCCATCATCATACATGGAAACTAAATTCCTACAATTTTTCATGGTTCCAAAATTTGTCCAGGCCTGTAAACTATCTTTTTCTATTGCTTGATGAGGTTTTTCATATCTCTGCGTCCCCTGTTCCTTATTTTGGGAAATCTTAGTATTGTACACAGCTTACTCAGCACGTATTACAAATAACACGCGTGTAGAGACACAAGCAGACTAGGTAGTGTCACATATGACTGTGGTTCCATCCTGGAGTCGGTAATTTTTTGTTTATACAAGGAGAAAAGTCGTGAAAACATGTCAAACTGTGATTTTAAGACCGCGCTGACACGTAAACAAAAGGTCCAAACGGTAAACAGAGAGAGCAGCGGCGGGGAAACCTGACATCAACAAACACTAACAACAATAGCAAACACTCATCTATTACACATGTCAGGTAAACTCACACAAAAACAACGTTTTAAGGATAAAATGATCACTTAACTCCTCCTTTACCTCTCCAATCCACTGCCACACGTGTTTCCCCAGAATGCAACTCTCCCGTGACCTTTTCCTCTACCCGCCCATTTTAGGTAAGGCGAGTGAAGAGGGACAAACGGAGAAAAACGCGCGTCGGAGATCATTTTTGGCTAACGTAATATCTAGTTTGCAATTTTTATGTGATTTATCGATTTAAATGACCCTAGCTTAGCTTCACATATATACACAAATGACCCACTATAGATGGACTATTTTGCTGTCTACTCACAAAAGTTTTTTGTCATTTCAGCGCATTTTATTTTAATTTTTACTTGATCAGTCCGTGTTCATGCGGAGATCTAGATCCACAGTTTACGTCAAGCCCTATAAAATCCGGACCCACATTTTCCCTTCAGCACACCAGAGAGGTTATGAGAGTTGAGGGCAGGAAGAAGTCAGCCTCAGTGTAGTACAATGTCCCAATATTTACAAAGTTTATTCAACTTTAACTCTTAAATTATTTCTATTTAAACCAGAACCATGAACGGCGCAGTGAGCCGGAGAGCCCTGCAGAGGCTTCACGCCGCCGGCTCCGCTCCTGCAGCCTGTCCGGGCAGCTGGACCCGGATCATGCCCTCCTGCTGCAGACTCCAGGCCGGATCCCGGTTCATTTCAGGCCGGGGAGCCATGAATGTGTTCAACCGAGAGATGAAGAAGAAGCAGAAGAACTGGGCAGCTTCTCTACAGGATGGACACCAATTCGACTACCTGAGAGACGAGGTAGGAGACACAGAAAGGAGACTTCAAGTCGCACACTAAGACACTGGCGAGGTTCCTTTACCTTCTTCCTAAACTGATTAACTAACACTATTTGTTTTTAACCCGATATTATTTACTAAAAGGTAATGCTACATGAATATGAAGCAGTATCACATGAATTCAATGCAAAGATGCATGAATTGATTGATAAAAACAACTGTTTATTTGCATCTTGTGCTTTTATTACGATTATTATTATCATTATTATTATTAGTAGTAGTAGTTAATAATAATAATAATTATTATTATTATTATTATTAATTTTGTGTGTGTTTGAAAAAAATAATTATAGAAATGTCACAGCAATCTGACCTTGAAAAAATAAATATATTTTTTTGTTTTTATAAAGCACCGTGAAGTGAAGTAAAATTATTAAAAACATACAATTCTTAGATAATTTTGTTAAAAAAAATACTAGGCCTAAGTTATTACCACAAGATTTATTTCAAAATCAATTAACATTAATTAACATCATTTCATATTTGACTGAAAATTAAATGAAATGACTAAATCTATACAACAGCTAGTTATCTTTGAGTGTGTCCCTTCCCTTTATGACAAAACCAATACTTGTCCTGATCTTCAGGCAGCGCTGCATTAAAAAACGGACAGAACTTTGGAGTGCAAATCACTGCATGGGCTCCAAATGCAGGTTGTAATTGTATCAAGGAAACCATATGTAAACCATAGGAAAAAGTGGTCAGAAACTTTGGCAACCTCTTCTTTAAGTTAATAAATCTCAGTTTGGTTTCTGTTATGTTGGTTGCAGGTCGGCAGCAGGGTGGCAGATCGGGTTTATGACATTGCGAGGTGAGTTTAGGATAACACAGCTGGTTTCATGTGTCTTTAGTTTGCTGATCCTTTCTTCTACTCAAACGTTGTTCCCTCCACTCGCAGGACGTTTCCTCTGGCTCTGGACATCGGTGGTGGAAAGAGTCACATTGCAGAGCATTTAAGCAAGGTAACAGCTCATGTTGGTTTAGCTGTAAAACAACTGAAAAAGCTAAGATCATCATCTTAGTTAAGTTAAACTTAATGAAGTGACTCATAAACCTGTTTGCCTTTTCTTTTGCCTTTTCTGCTTTCTGTGTTTCAGGATGTTGTAGAGCGACTTTTCCTGACAGACATATCAGAAAAAACTCTGGTGAGAGTTCACAAATCAAACATAATAAATGAAAGAAGACAGATTAACAGTGACTTATGAACTGTTCAAAAAAAGGAATCCTGAAAAATATGTGGGTTTATGTGACAGTAACATAGACTGAGACGTGATACTAATTTAAATGTGTTTTCTGATTTGCAGAAACAAACGAGACAGAGTGAGATCCCCACTCACTGCGTCTTAGCTGACGAAGAGTTTCTCCCGTTTAAAGAAAACACCTTTGACCTGGTGGTGAGCAGCCTGAGGTGAGCAATTTTTCACATGTCGTACCGTTTTCTGTCAGGAGATGGCAGCTGACAGGAAACGAAAAATACACCACTGAACATTTTTGAAAATAGTTCAAGGCTCAAGGTTACATGATGTGTCTGCTAATGAAACTGTAACTTTGTAATATTGGACACTCAAATGTTGTTTAAAAAAAAAACAATGTCAGTCTGTCAGAGACCTAAAAACTTCTCTTCCCATCCCTCATTTTGACCCTAAAATATGTCAAACTGAGCCCAGGCTGAAAAAATAACTTCCTCTGGTGTTCTCATTTCTTCTCTGACAGTCTGCACTGGATCAACGACCTTCCAGGAGCGCTCAAACAGGTGAGTCTGACAGTTTGGCGTCTCTGAAAGTCCAGCAGGATCCCATACTTTCTTTTGTTGTGAAATGAAGACAGAATAAATGTGCAACAGTTTTAGTGTGACAGTAGTTTATCTGTATTGATGCCTGTGTCAGAGGTTTTATCTACTTTAAGCCTCATTAGGTTTAGTAAAGGAGAGCAGTTAAAGCAAGTAACCTCTAGATTTCTGTTATGACACTGCTTACTTATTATTGTTATTTAATTACTTACTTTGGCTCATTTTGACACTCTCAAACTCCAGTGTCTGTCCTCCAGTTTGATCCACACAAATTGGCTATTTTATTGTGTTGAGTTGTAAAAGTTTACTGCTTGTGCTCCTCAGATCCAGCAGATGCTGAAACCCGATGGGGTTTTCATCGGGGCCATGGTGGGCGGAGAGACCCTCTATGAGCTGCGTTGCTCCCTCCAGCTGGCAGAGACAGAGAGGGAGGGAGGATTCTCCCCCCACATTTCCCCCTACACCGCCGTCACCGACCTTGGCAACCTGTTGGGCCAGGCCGGCTTCAACATGCTCACTGTGGTCAGAAACACAAACACACACACACAATATACTCAGTTTACTCCATTAAGTACTAAATTAATGTGAAATCAGAGGTGACTTTGACTTTTCTTAACTCCACTTTCTGCTTTTACTCCACCCTACTTTAAGAGAACTAAACACAACAGAAGAAATTAATTACATTAAAAGGAATAGAGCAGTTAGAGGGAATAAAGGTGATAAAACAGATAAATCAATAAAAATTAATAATGCAGAAAAAGCCGATAAAGAAAGCCCAGGAGTGTAACGGGAATAAAACTGTGGGAGTAAAAACCATTAAAAGAAAAATAAACAAAGAATAAACATCACAGAAAAGATGATGTCACATAAAAACAAATCTATAAAATTGAGTTTAACAAAGATATTAAAAAGATGTAACTGATCTCTCCTCAGGCTGCTCAATCCAAAATCAAACTTATAAAACAGAGTTTTAAAAGGAGATACACTAGACAACACTGGGAGCCTTATCACAATCAAGAGGTCTTTCCAAGGTCAATCTTATTTTAAGTGGTTTTTTAAGAGGTTTAAAAGACATTACTGATTAATGTTTACTGATTACTGACTAAAGTTAGTTTAATGAGGGTGATCACTAATAAGGGATTTAAAACACATCACAGATTCTACAGGTGGATAATCTGAGGAAGGTCACTCCAAAGTTCAGTGCATAAAATTGAGTTTTTAAAAGTGATTGATAGGATTCACTGATTCTGTTTTAAATTCTGTTGCAGGTCTTTTTATTTATGTTTACTTATGTGAGATTACAGAAGTGACCAAAAAGTACCAACCCATTCTTTTTTCTCCTGAGGCAGGTTGTTCAAAAGCTAAGTTCATTTAGGGACATTTAGAAGTGATTCAAGCCTCATCTCTTCTAGCAGGTCATTCCAAAGCAAAGATGATCAAAGCTAGATAAGATGGCTTACTTAATTACTAGGAGATCATTAAAAGTTGTAGAATTATCTCATGAAGCAGGTCATGCCAAACTAAGTCTTTAAAGATGAGTTGTAAGAAGTGATTAAGAAAAAGAACACTTATTCTGTATTCCTTACCCTATTTAAGTAATACTTTGGAGGTGATTCAAAGTATGTTATTGTTTCTGCCAGTGTTATCACCACAACAGGTTAAGATAAGATAAGATGTTCCTTTAATAGTCCCACAGGGTGAAATTCCAAATTTACAGCAGCATAGTACAGACATACAAAGAGAAATTCAAGTATAAAGAAACTTAGAGTTAAGTTAAGAAAACAGAAAAAGATATGTACATGAGTCCTATTTACAGGTTGTGCCAGAGTCAAGTTTAATCAAGTGAGTTTAAGAAAGTTGTAGCATCTGTGTTTTCTGCTGTCATGTGTCATTAAATTCACTGTTTGCAGAGTGATCCCTCATCTCAAATATGAACTTGCCACTGTATGCTGTCAGTGTTGTCCTCATCATCAGAAAACTTTTCAAACAGGAGGTTGGTTTACTTTCTAAAATGTTAGGCTGATGAGGTGAAGAGGTGACCATGTGGGCAGGGTTTAACTTTACAATCAGGATGGAGCAAAAAGTGACCTCAGACAGCAGTAATAGCTCAAGGTATCCGTTTATCTGTGCAGGGTTGGGGAACTAAGACACCACAGTAAGGGAAGTCATCCTTAAAATCAGATCCCTCACTTCTTGTCTGTCTATTTCAGGACATCGATGAGGTTCAGGTTCATTATCCAGGAATCATTGAAGTCATGATGGATTTACAAGGTACAATGAAAATGTTCAGTACGACAACTCTGACATCTTAATATCTCTGTAGCATTAAAACAAGTTGAATGATTGGACTTAATGCTGTGACACGTTTGCCTCGTCTGCATTCAGATTGACAGTAAAGCTATTAAAGTTTAAACATTTAATTTAAAAACTTTGAAGGTGATTTTCCTTCATGAATCTTACAGTGTTCAACTGTTGACCTCTGTTACTGTTACCCTGTGTATACTCTTTCTTTGGCATCTGCAGGTATGGGTGAGAGTAACTGTGCGTGGAACAGGAGGTCATTGTTGCACAGAGACACCATCTTAGCAGCAGCTGCTATCTATAAAGGTGAGAGTTTAAAGAGAAACTAGATCCATTTAGGTTTTTTTACTTTCTAGATATCTGGACCACACTTAGCTCATCTTGAATGCCGGAACTTTGATGGATAGTTGAGGAGGAATTTTATAGCCAAGTCTCAGTACTTTGACCAAAGGAATCACTGAAAGTCTGTAATTACAGAGCAGATTACAGAGCCTGTGTGTAGGGTCTGGATTTTCAACCTGGGAATGTTCCAGTTTCTGTTTGTAGTCAGAATAGTATTGACCAATCAGGTGTCAGCAGGGAATGCTGTCTGTATGAAGAGCAAAAGTAGGAGGAACACATTCCCCCATAGTGGATTTACTCTGTGTTTGGGGTGTTTGTGGTGGTTAGGATTAAAGACTTCCTGTTCTTTGTGCCTCATTTTTTTACACTCCATACCGGAACTTCAGATGCAAATGAATCCATATCAAGATAAAATAACATGTCTGAAAAGGAATTGCTGACACCTGATTGGTTAATACCACTCTGACTACAGACATAAACCACAACACTTGAAAACATGACCAACAATGGAAAAAAATGAGAACCAAGAAAACAGAAGTGTTAAGAGTGGACATCATTTGCATATGAACAATTCTATTACTCAGGGTAGAAAAGCTGGTAACACTTAACTTGAAGGGGTATTTATAAGACTGACAGTATGGTGTGATAATCAGGGCATGACACCTGTCATTAACATGAATAAGGCTTAAGAAGGTTGTCATTAAATGTCATTTGGTAAATTATGACACTTTTAGTGCTACGTATGTTGACAACAATGCCGGCCAAAAGTGTCATAACTTACCAAATAGCACTTAATGACAACCTTCACTAGCTTTACTCATGTTAATGACAAGTGTCATGCCCTGATTATCACACCATACTGTCAGTCTTATAAATACCCCTTCAAGTTAAGTGTCACCAGCTTTTCTACCCTGAGTAATAGAATTGTTCATATGCAAATGATGTCCACTCTTAACACTTCTGTTTTCTTGGTTCTCATTTTTTTCCATTCTTGGTCATGTTTTCATCTCAGGGCCAAACGTGTTTTCTTCGTCATTTCAGTCCACAGTCTTTGGATGCTGGGGATTTTTACCTTCCTCTTTCTCTGACATGAGATATAGAGTTGAACCCACACGCAGAGAGCAGATAGGAAGAAAGTGTCTGTAATTTTCTATTTAAAGACCCTCTTTGATGATAATCCTGTTTTCTTGTTGTTGACATGTTCATACGGCATCTTTCTGATGCAACAGGACATATCATGAGAAAAATAAGAGCAAAATTGCATTTCTGAGTATTTCTGTATTCAAATCACTGTGAATCTCTGGCAGACCCAACAGCAGGCTCAGACACAGTAAGATTTCCAATATCATAAATCCAAGCTCCGCCCCCGGAGCCCTGCTTTGTAGGCCAGACTAGGAGAAATAGAGAGGACAAACATGGAACAAGCGTGTGCATTAGCGGATCACAAGAAAGCTTATTATGATATTAGCCAGAGTAGTACAAGCGTTTAATCGCATCTTTGCATTGACTTAATATGTATTTTATTTTATTTTTTTCAGAAATGTACGGTAATGAAGACGGGTCTGTTCCTGCCACTTTTGAGATCCTATATATGATTGGCTGGAAGCCTCATGAGTCCCAGGTAAGAAAGGTGTTCTTTAAGGACTAGACTCTGCTGGTTTTAAGGGTTAATCTGGTCTTTTCAAACATGGCCTTGTGTTTTTATCATTTTTAGCTCTAACTTTTGATATTAGAAGAAATTATTTATCCTGCTGCAGGGAATCAGGTTACCATGGAGACTGTATGACATCACAGAAATAAGAAACGTCTTTGGTGCTTATGTACATGAATGGTTCTGTATAGATTACACTGAGTTTAGCAGGAGGGGCAGATGTGTGTTAGTAAAGCAGAGGGACAGAGTGAGCAGAAGTCATAGGCTGGCTGATAGTTTTGATCTGCAGTTTGTGATCAAATATGAGTAAAACATGAACTTAGATCTTTAAATTTTTACTAACACACTGCAAAATACTAAGTTTTGTATTAAATGAAGTAATTTATTATTGTAATTTAGTCCAAGTTCATGGACTAAGGCGAAGAATTGATGCAGTAAATGGTCACAGTTACCTTAAACACATCAGCTTCTATTAAAGAATGAAGTATTATTTGACAGCATAGATTTGAAGAGAATTACTCAAAATGTTTCTTGTTGTTTCTTTTTGTCGTTTCAGGCCAAACCAGCGAAGCGAGGCTCGGCTACAGCGTCATTTGGAGATTTATCAAAGATCAGACCGCAGACAGACACAAAAAAGTCATAGAAAAATCTGACCCCATCAACACACTGCAGACTGTATATAATATTATATTTTATTTAAACTTACTTGTTTTGTCTAGAACAGAAGGAGATGTGTTGTAATCTGTGGATTAAAGTTGACCAACTTGATACAGCTTCTTGAGAATGCTGTGCTCTGTTTTACAGGAAGTCTAATTTTAGAGCCTTAGATGATGACTTAGATATAGAAAAAGTGTCATCCGCCCAAAGAGCATATCAGGCTGAGGTCAGACCAGTATGGAGACCACATATACAGAAAAAACTGAGAGCTAAACTAGAAGCTGTACAACATGAGAGGGTAATAAAGAATTTAACCACATGAAGGAAAGGGGCTTACTTTTCTCAACATAATGTCTTTAAAGTTCTGTTTTATTTAATCTTAAGATCCTTATCCTAACACTAAAAGCACAACTATATCCCCCATCCTGATGCTTAGAGTACTAAACAAAATGCTCCTGTGAGAAGTTTAAATCTGCGAATGGGGGGTCTGTCATTACATCAGTAACTTTTCATAGCGAGGGATACTTTAAATGTTAAAACACTAAAAAGACAAGAAAACAGCTCACTGGTTTACACGGAAAGAGAGGCAAAGATGTAAGAGTTTCACCTTTTCACCAATTTTTCTCCCCCTTGGTTGCAACGTTGGCATGCAGTTATTATAAGACTGGTTTGTGATCAAGTCCTCTTTTTTTCTGCGAAGCTCCGTTTTTAAGTTATTAGGGGTTCATGTTTTTTATGATTGACACTTCATACAGCCTATTGGGGTACGAAGATTGCGTATCTCATCCGGGGGATACGTTGTTTAAGCGGAGCGTCACCACAGTGACTCTCCTGCCGAATAGGTACACCGCTACTGTGCAAGTGTTGGTTCCGGGAAGAGGAGAAGATCCAAGAAATACCGAGAGCAATTAGGCTTCAGATTTATGTAATGGCGGAAGGCAGAGCCAAGTTGTCCATAGTATATACAGACTATGGTAACAACTGAGAACATCAGACTTCATGGACACACACACACACACACACACACACACACACACACACGCACACTCACACTCACCCTTACTGAATATCACTCACTGACTGGATGCTGCAGTGATTCAAACTTCTATAACAGAAAAAAAGTCATCCTTTAAAGAGACACTAAGGAGGGACTTTATACAGATTATAAACAAACAAAGTCTTCAAAACTCTTAGTATATAAGAAGAGATAAAGTGTTTAATAGAAGAAAAGGCCAGAGTGTTGCACACAGTCTTGTACTGTTAAAAGGCTTCTTGCTTCTTACAGGCTTTTAGGACTTTGAGAAAATGCAGAAATATTAAATGGTGTTCTCACACAGAGACTCTTATCTTAAATAGGAAGTTTGAAACAGCCCACACTCTGTATGTGTGAGTCAGAATAACTTCTTCTTATTTCACGAGACATCATAACAAACTTCCAGAGATATCGCACACTGAGTTTTGTGCAGAAGCTAACTTTTCCCCCCAGGAAATAATGAATATTTCTTAATGTTGATGTGTCTTCTACCTGTAAACCAGATAAATATGTTTTTTTATTATCTCTTGATACAAATACAAAAAGGCTCTGGAAATGCTGGATATATAGCCGATCTGTGTGAAGGGTAAACCAGCATAAAGGGCTGCTGGGCCCAGAGTTACTGTCACACCCTCGTTCGTCAGTCCTTCCACATAAAGTGAGAAGAAAGCGGAACTTCAGTCCTGTGTCAATAAATGGATAGTTCACACGCTGTCAAAATGAAGCTGCTCTTAATCTTCTGGCTCCTAACTGCAGATTTATATTCCTGCTACACTGGTGAGTAAATATTACTGATCTTTATTAATTCAGTATCACTTGTTATGCATGTGCTCAGCTTGAGGTCACAGTATTTTAACATTAACTTTGTAGAAGGAATGATTATACTTCAGCTGCTTTCAAGACAGACCAAACCATAACAAGAACACAAATCATTTTAAGTTTTTTAAGAAATGGATGACCAATTCTGAGAAACAGTAACAAAATATATTCAGAGCAAACTATCACCAACCACAACACACCAAAGATGAGAACACCTGTATCAAAACGCAGACAACCTGCCTTCATACGTTCACTCAGACTGACCTGAACCCTGAGATAGAAAGCACAAAAACATTCATGAGGAAAGTCATTTTAACAAAAAATGGTATGTCTTTATATTTCTTTGATAGATTATTAAACACAAATAAACTGTACTAACGAAATAAATCATGAAACACAAATAGTTTACAAATTACATAACAAAATGCAAAAGTATGAAAAAACTCAAAAAATATTCCACAAATTGACAAAAATCCTTCAAGTGTTTTTATTTGTAAAACAGTGTGTGATGAATGTTTTTGTTTTTGTTTTTTTGTATTTTGTGATAATTTTTGGAATGTAATTCAGTTTTTTAAATGTTGTAAATGCTTGTGTGTTTCACAAAATGTTTTTGCATTATGGTGAATGCTTTTGTGTCATGAAATATTCTACATTTTGGGAGGGTGGGTGACGCTTTAAAAATATTTTTGATTTTTGACATTTTGAAGAAATTGTGTGAAAAAATGTTTCAAATTTTTTGTTGTTAAAATCTTTGTGTAGTTTGTTTGTCAGGGCATCTGTAAATATAACCCTTTCTTTGTAACATTAGCTTGGTAAAAGCTTTTAGTTCTAACTACCGTTGCTAGTGTGCCAGTTTTAGCTGTTGTTTACCATAAAAAACACAGTCATACTAACATTTAGCTAATAGAAAACAGCTTTAAACTACACTGTGTTCTGTCTTCAGATTGTCTTTTATAACGTGCAAACTTAAAGTTAAACATTTCCAAAGTTTCTTCGGCACAGTCTTGTCAATCACAGGTAACCTCGCCACAAACCTTCCCCTGCTTTCTGGTCTCTTTGACTCTAGACAGGATCATAATTAACCAAAAAACATTGTAATTTTATTAAAGAGATTTCAAACCACAAACTGACACCACAGGGTCATGAAGAAAATGAATTCTGAGGGAAGAACTTCTGAGGGGGAGGATTCACTGACTTTTACACTATGATGTTTACTGCTTTTGGCTACTGAATCATTTTTTTTAATTATTTCTTTTCCTTTTACAGGTGTTCCAGAAATCTACGCAGAGCTGAACGGAATAGCCATACTGAAATGTCCAGAGAAGGGAAATGTAACATGGCAGTGCCTTGATAAAGGCGGTCAAAGAAAGATCCTCCTCACCATCACAAATGGCCTGGAAAAATCAACTAACAAAAGCAAATATGGAGCCCAGGCAGATAATGCACTGCTCATTCTAAAAGTTCAAACGTTTGATTTTAGGATGTATTTTTGTAATAATAAAAAAGTTTATCTACGTGACATAACAGATATAAACAGACTGCTTCCCAAAACTACAAACATGCCAGGTCCTGATGGACAGGATTTTGGTGATGGATCAGGACAGGCAAGGGATCCTGCAGAGGATGAGCCAGGCTCAGGGATTCAGGGGTCCTCAGGTGACTGGAAAATCTTTGTGGGTGTAGTCACTGGAGCTGCCTTGGTGCTTTTTGTCCTCTTAACTCTGAGATTCTGCTCCAAACGGAGAGCAATGACAAACACCACCATGGAAAAGACAACACAGGAGGCAATTTATGAGGAGATCGACGATGTGGAGCATCAGCCAAGGAGGGAGTCTGTAGTGGAGAGTCCTTCCGACTGGAGCAGCATTGCTGACACGCCGAACACGTCCACACCAACCAACAATAACCTGTACAGCACAGTGAACAAAACTAAAGGTCAGAGCAGGGAGGAATGTGTGTATTACCTTGCGCAAAATCCTGCAAGTGTTGGCAGGAAGTAAACTTTCAGTTTCAATGCTAACTGCTGCTGTCTCATGGAACAAACTAGCGCTAGTTCAGGCAGGCTATGAAATCCAGTTGAGCCCATGGCTACTTAGCTGATAGTCTGATGACCAAGTACAGAAATGCTCAAATTTTTCAGCTGTTTTACTCTCTGTTTGCCATGAAACTTTAAGCCATGGTAAAAATATTTTCATGATCTTGATGAAACCCCACAGAAAGTGTGTCATAGTCTATTTCTGTTTACAGGAAATTTCACAACAGCCTTTCCATCATACCATCTTTAAATTTCCCTCTTTATACTATCAGTCTTTGTCACTTGGGTTTATCTTGCACATTCCTGCACAATGACGCAGCTGTGCCATTAAACCTGTTGCACTTTTGAAGAGGATTTTTAATCTTATTTTACAAAACTTATAGTATTCATTTTTGAGAAAAAAAGTCTGCTCTGTTTCTCTGAATTAATGAGAAAATTATCTCAAACTCATGACATTAGTGTTTATAAACAAAAATGTTCTGCCCTGTTTTTATGAGGTAAGAAAGAGAACAATCAAAGTAATTCAAAAGTGTAGATTCCACAGTTTCCAATGTTGTTTAATGGCTTTTTCTTATTTTCTTGACCACGTTCACAATTTTTGTACCAAAACACAAACCAGAGTTGCTCACATGTATCAACCAGACTTTTTTTGTCAAGTACAACACAAAATGCTGTACACACAAAAGAAAAAAATCATATGGAGGGACCATGAGCCCATCTACGAAGTTAACATGTCATGAATGAGAGACTGCACAAACAGGAGCTGAAAAAATTGTGGAAATCTTATAACAAAATCTTAATTAGGAAACACTGGAGGAAGAATAAATGTTCAAACTCAAAGACAGTATAGTGAAACAGCCAAAATAGAGGTAATGAATAAAACAGTAAAAGATAAATCTGGTTGGAGGACATTAAACCAGAATAAAATTTCAGGATAAAAAAGTAAGGAGAGTATAATAAAATACGTAACAGAAACCACATTTAGTTAGAACCCTGACTTACGTATATGGTAGTTTCTTGAGTTTGCTTTTGAAAATATGGAAAGAAAAGCAAAAGTAAGTTGGCCTTGTTTCAGATTGATCAAAACTTAATTACAACCATAATTATGGGACAATTGAGTGAACCTCAAGGCTCTGTACTCAGTCCATTACAATGTATGGTTTACTTATAAAGTACCTCTCTTCCTATCAGCGGGCGGGGTTCAATACTTAAGATCTAAGACATGTTTTTGTGCATCATATTTTTGCCATTATGATATAGTTTTACTTTATGTAACTATTTTGCTTTTGCACATTTTTTTCTGGTGTTAAATAACTTTTTCTAGTTTTCTAGTTGAAATAGATTTAACTTCTGACATTTTATGTTTCATAATTCATTTTTCACAAAAAAAACTTTTGCATTTCATGGCTTTTTTTTCTTTAGTTTTCAGACATATCTTTGAGTGATGTGATGTTTTTGTTCTGTTTTAGTTTTTTTTTTTAATCATAAAGTGTTGCATTTCATGAAATGTTTTTGAATTTTAAGACATATATTTGCGTAATGTGATGTTTTGTTTTGCTCTAAGTACTGTGTTTTATGCTGTTTTTTTAGGTTTTCATGAAATATTTCTGCGTATAACAATATTTTTTGTCCCCATAAAACTATTTGGCATTTCCCGACAAGAATGAGTTTTATAACATGTTATTGTACTTTGAATTTTTTTTGTTTGATGAGAAATATTGTGCGTTTCCTGACATGTTTTGGGTTTAATCATGAGTGAATGCATTTTGAGTTTTTTTAAGCATTTATGAAATTTTCCTAAATTTCGTGGCGTTAAGTTTTATGTCATATTTTGGCATTTTATGTAACATGAGGAATCACTGTCAGACTTTGAGGACTTTTCCCATTTTCCCATTTCAAAGGGTTGTTTTTATTTCACCTTCTTTAATGTTGAATGTCGCTCGGACATTTTCAATAAAGAATCATTTAAAAAAAAAAACACACCTGCTGCTTTTTACATTCCACAGTACAGCATACAAGTCAAAAAGAGACTCTCCAATCACATTTCAGTATTCACAACTGAATTAATTGCGATACTCTTAGCCGTACAGTGGGTGCAAGAAAATAAAGAAAGGAAAAAGCATAATATCAGGAAAGTCGTTATGCAGACAGGACATTATCTATGACATATTAAATCTCCTTCTTTGCCGACATGTAGAAGGACAAGTTATCTCTTTCCTTTGGGTCCCTGCTCATGTAGGAGTCAAAGGGAATGAAAAGGTTGACTTGTTGGCAAAAACTGCAATGAAATCACAGGAAACATAGCAGTAACACTTTCCAAAACAGAAGTAAAATCTATTCTAATCACACTTTAAAAATATGTCAAGAATATTGGTATATAGCTGACACAGGAAGACATCTGTACAATATCCAAAAACATGTTGGCAGAATAGCAACGCAGGTCAGAGACACAAAGGAGGAGACAGTATTTACTCGTCTGAGAATTAGGCATACAGGACTCAATCAGAGCCTGTATTTGATTTAAAAAAGCACTCAACAGGACTTTTTGATTATTGTAAGACAGGGAAAACAGTAAAAAATGTACTAATTGACTGTGTTAAACACACACAAAAAAGACAACAGGTTACTCACCAACTTGAGAAAGAAAATCTGCATCTCACTGTAGAAAATCGGTTAGGGTCAGCATCTGACAAAGTATTCAAGGCATTAATGAAGTATTTGAGGGAGACTGGCTTATTGTACAGAGTTTGAATTTGGAGCCTAGTGAGGAAATATAGGTATAGGCCATAGACTGTATAAAGAATGGACAGAGTCTGCCTCCTTGCTGGGTGAAGCCACTCTGAGAACAGCACCCTCTGTTGATGGGCTGCAGTATAGGTCATAAATCCCGCCTCCTCCAGCAATCCCTATGGAGTTGTGGACAAACTTTAGAAATTAATTGCACAGAATACAAAATTTTATCCCCCCTGCTTGCGATGTTGACATGTAGTTACAGTAAGACTGGTTTGTGCTCAAGTCCTCTTTTTTCTGTGAAGCTCCGATTTTAAAAGTTATTAGGGGGTTTATGTTTTCTATGATTGACTCCTGATACAGCCTATGGGCATTCAGGGATTGCATAGCTCTCCCGTAGGATACACTGTTTGAGCCGAGCATCATCGCAGCGACTCTCGGCGACTGCGCGACCAGATACGCGCATCGCTACTGCGCAGCGCTGGTCTCAGGAAATAAAGAAAAATCCCGGAAATACTGAGAGCTTTTTGGCTTCCAATCCGTATACAGGCGGGAGGCAGAACCAAGTTGTCCATAATATATACAGTCTATGGTATAGGCATATCTTTTTTGTTTTTTTTTTCCTGCTTAATTTCCTGTGCCACACTCCAACCCAGTAGGTGGCGGTAATGCTCCTTAAGTCGGTTGAGGGGTGTGTGTTGCCATGACAACACACTGTGTAGTTAGCCGACTCTTACCTGTAACTAGACCAACCTGGTAGCTTTGTGAATTAAAACGTTTTTTTTTTCTGTGACTGGGAACATTTGTGAGCCCTCAGGATGGTGAGTAAACTCCGTTGTTTCATCTTGGTAATTTTGTTGTGTTATGAAAGTGTGAGTAAAGTCCTGACGTCCAGATAAAGCTGTGTAAAGAGGCTAATGGTTAAAAGCACGCTCAGCTAACGCATGATCGTGATGATTGATGATGTTTTCAGCCGCCGAAATCAGAAAAGAAAAAGACAGCTGCTAAGGCGAAACCTTCAGCGGTGGTGGACGGAGTTTCGACGAAGGAGATGTCCAAAGATGAGGTTAGAGCTGCTGCTGCTAAGTTAACCTTAGCATTTGAAACAGCTGTACTGTTTGGGGGGTTCAGACGTTTGAAACCGTTACTAATGAGATAAAAATTGAACTATAAAGCACTAAGTAATTGCACTAAAACTCTTCACTAAGCTCACTACTCAATCATAATGAGAAAGAAAGTTAACTTCCTAATTAAAATGATAATGATCTAATAAGACTAGTTTGTTTTGGGAAGGCATTTTGTTCTATATAAAAGCATTTATTTATAAAAACTAAAGGTACAAACAGAAAATTAGAATCATGACATGAATTCATCTGCAGCGGGATAATTATCTGACCCCAGTCAGGACTCTTCTAATGTCTGTGTAAAACACCTTGAATGTCTTGTTGCTGAATTGGTTATCTTGTAAACACAAAATAATGTATTTGTAAGATATATTTTTCTTATACAGTTTGTACACTGTGGACACAAAGGGAAATCTTATGTGCATAACATTAATACACTATGGGCTGCTTGATTATGGCAAAACTCATTTTCATGATTATTACATTTGTACATTGTACATTTTTTGGCATGTGTTGAAGGGCTGGGTTTAGGGTCAACACTGATACTCAAGCTTTTACTGTATACATCTATCACAGTGGTTCTCAAGTCCAGTCCTTGAGGCCCACTGTCCTGCATGTTTTGGATGTTTCCCTGCTCCAACACACCTGATTCAAATGATCAGCTCGTTATCAAGCTCTGTAATGGCTTAATAACGAGCTGATCATTTGAATCAGGTGTGTTGGAGCAGGAAAAAAAACAAAACATGCAGGACAGTGGGCCTCAAGGACTGGACTTGAGAACCACTGATTTATTCTAACTTCCTCATGTGTCTGTTGACGGGCAGCTGTGGGAGCACGCTCTCCGCTTGAGGGAGGAGCTGGACAGAGTACGGGAGGAGAAGAGCTACTTCAGGCAGGAGAGGGACAAGAGCCTCGAAGCCTGGGACATCAGTAAGAGGGATTTGGAGGAGACAAAGGCCAGAGTGAGGAATAAAGAGAGGCAGAGGGAGGAGGCGATGGAACGCCACCGTGTGGAGATTTTTGTGAGCTTCACTACCACACATAGCACCAGTTTCAGAAAAAAAGTCAGGACACAATGTAAAACGTTGATTAAAACATGTTTTAATAGTTTACAAATCATTTGGCGTCATCCGTTGCAAATAATGCAAAGACAAGACATCAAATGCTGAAATTGTGACATTTTAGTGTTTAATGAAAAACAAATGCTCATTTCAAATTTGATGGCAGCATTTATGATGTTTAAAAAAAAAAGGTTTCAGAGGAACAATCAAACAGGTAAAAGTTGTCAGAGGAATGACCAAACAAGTAAAAAGTGATGTAATGCTAAAAAAAAAAGAAGAAAATAAACATTTGTAGGAACATCTCCAATTAATGAGGTTAATTTCCAACAGGTTAGTAAAGTGACTGAGCATCAAAAGCAAATTCAGATAGGCTGCCTCACAGCATTACAGGAAAAAAATACAGAACTCATTTGACAGGTTGTGCTTCCCTGGAATACTTTCAGGGAGAGTTGCACCTATTTGTCATTTAAGCTGTCTTAGAGTAGAAAATAAATCCCTGGTTTAAGATACTTTTACAGAGGGTTCAAAGTGTGACAGATGATTAAGTGGATGTTGCTTGATTCACTTTCACTTGGGTCTGAGCGTTTCTTCTGATTATTGCTGTGGTCCAGGAGCATAAGCAGAAGCTGAAACACCTGCTGTCTGAACAACACAACACCATCTTTAAGCTAAAGATGGACAACCTCACCTCCACCTCACTGATCCAGAACCAGCACACAGAGGCCGAGCTTGGGCTGCTTGGAGATGTTCACAGCCTGCAGGCAGACCACAGGGAGAGGAAGCTTATGAATGAAAACCGGATCAGGGAGCTCAAAGAGGTCAGTCTGGCTTCTTTTTCATGCTTGAATTCATCTCCTGTTTTATTTTTCACACCTTTCCCCTTTTTTTTTCTTTTTTACAGAAGCACCAGGTTGAGCTGATGAAGCTAGTGAAGTACTGTGACAACAGAAATAGAGGTGAGAAAACTTGCTCTTCATTTTCCCCTGTGAAAATCTGTGAACTGTCTACACTGTCTTCATGCAACACTTCTCCTCTTTTGTATTTGAAATATAGAAATTACAATGGAGTATCTGAAGGAGGTGGAGAGCGTGGCGGAGGCAGATAGGAAGAAGTTTAGCGAGGAGATCCAGAGGCTGGAGGAGGGGTATAAAGACCAGGTGGCAACTCTCATGAAGAATCAGAAAAGAGAACTGGAAGTTGCTCAACACCAGGCTCTGGAAAAGCATCGAGAGCAGAAGAGAATGAAGGTAAAGAGCTCCCTAACACCGGACTGCTACAGCTCAGCTTCATCTAGACTTAACAACGTATTCTGTGCTGTTGGTGGACACTGTGCATGCTGGCTTTACAGCCATTGCTGTTTAGACTGTCCTTTTTTATCCCAACGTTGACCCCTGCATTTTTCTATTCTAATAACTTGACATGATTGATATTTATTTTTACTGTGTTTGTGCACTGTAAACCAAGTTTATGCAAGAGGATCAGGACCACTAAAAAAGGAAAATAAAGTTTAGAGGCAGAATTCCAAATTTAACCCAAGAATTCTGTGAAAAAGTCATAATTCTGAAAATTTCTAACTAACAGAATAAAAAAAGTTATTAATAAAAGCATGTTAAAAATAAACAAGAGTGTCAAATAAGAGCAGACTGGTCACTGAACATGTAATTAAAAGCTACAGTCAGAAGTACAAAAATGACTGGACACGGTCAAACAAAAAGCTGATATGATACTGTCAGGCAGACTGCAATAGTTAAGGTTTGATACTCTGTTAAACTATTCTGTGTTACGTGTTGTTACAAATAACAAGTTAATTAGTTATTGAGAGTCCTGTGCGCACACATGAGAACATAACAAGACTTGTTTTGTGTGTTCAGTTTTATGGTTGGATGTTGAACGGTACTCACGGTTCACTGCATGGACATGCTAGCTCGCTGTCTGTGCTTGAGTCAGAGGCCTCAACCTAACACAAAAGTGTTTCCTGTATACTTTCTGTACTTACTATTCTGTACTTACCAACTGAAGCTCAGTAAAGGCTGCAAACGAAGATTCCTTGTTGTGCAAAATACTTTCCACCCACGCACGTGGGATCACAACTCATCACAAGGTCAGATCGCAGCAATACGATAAGATGAAATACCATAAGTTAACATTTGATGGGATTTGGTAAGTTATGATTCAGTAAGATTTGATTCAATAAGAAATAATACAATATCATTCCATACCATAAAATACAGTACCATACAAACTGAAACCATATACAACAACAGCAAAAGATGTGTTAAGATCTAATGTAACACATGGTAGAATCGAAGATAAATATGGTACAAAGACATTCAGAAAAGATGAAATACAAAATAACAGGATAAGATTTGTGAAAGTAAATTGATGAAATATTACACAGTTCAATATCTGAAAAAGACGAATTTACTGGGTAAAAATGAGACGAGAGACAATGAGTCGGTTTCTTTTGTCTTCAGTCAGTCCCCATAGAAAAGTGAAAGTTTCCATGTGTTCAAAAGTCATGAATGAATTTCTTTTTCTTGAGTTTTTCCATGAATGTGTTTGTCTTTCTTCAGGATGAGTTGTTGACTTTGGAGAAGGAGAAGACCAGAGCGGCCAAGAGGGCTTTAGCTGCCCAGCAGAAGAAGAAATGTCTGGAGGAGTCTGTGCAGGAGGCCCAAAAGAGGCTCGCAGAGCTCAAGAAAGAGAAAGAGGAACGTAAAAAGGCCGGGACTGAGGCTTTGGTGGGTTCAGTGCATATAGTTCAGAATCACTCCATTCAGATGCGTTCCAGTTACTGACTTAGACTTTCCTGACTGTGCTTTTTGATAAGGTTGATTTTTTTAAACTTTCCAGTCAAACAGCTTTATTAATACAGCAAAATTTAACAAACAAGCGCTGCACAGTAAGAAAGCAGAAATAATAAAAATGCAAAACTTCATAAAACAATGAGAGGCTGTGAAACACACAGAGGGACAGTAAAAGACGAAAAAAATGTCAACATAAAACCACAGAGACCAAACAGCTCTCATACTGGGTCAAAAGCAGAGGAATCAAAGTCAGTTTTGAGCTGTGATTTAAAAGTTAGTACAGTCAGGGACATTTCAGTGGGAGGAGGGGCAGCAGAGAAAGTCTTGGGCAGATCAGCAGACCTCAGAGACCTCGAAGTAAATAATTAAAAATAATTAAAAGCCTCAGATGATAAAAATAAGATTTAAACAGCAGAGTTCATCTGTTTGTCCACTTCATAACCAAGTCATTACTCACCGTGGGTTTGAAATGACTTTTCAGGGGGCCCAGGTCCATCAAAGACTCATCACGGGAAGCACTGGGTCCAAACACAACAGCCTTAGACCTTGAGATTAAAAAAAATCAAGGTCATCTGGAGAGACAATCTAGTAAGGGTTTCAGGGAGTTTTGGCTATTTCTTTTCAGGGGTATGTAGATTTGAGTGTCATCTGCAAATCCATGGTAAGAGACACTAGGTTTTTTAGAAATCAAACCCAGGGGAAGGAGGTGAAGTGCAAACAGTATGGACCCAAGAAAAAAAACCCTAAAAAGTCAAAGCCTGCCGCCTGCTTCACAGACCTAGTGTTACGCTGAATTCTGACCAACTCATTCAAAGGCTTATTTCCCTGAAAATTCAAGAGTGATATTAAAATCGTTTAACACCTGTGTCTCCTGCCACAGTTAAAGGGGTATTCCAGCATAAATGTAAGTTGTGGTCAAACACACCAGAACACTGAGTTAGACACTCCCTCGAGAGATGAATTTTGCTGACTGCTTGCTTCTCTAGTTTTATCAACTTCAGCAATGACCGCACGATAACAATACGCTGTGGTCTATGTCTCCACGCGCAAGCCGCAACCAAAAAGCCACTCGTAGCCACAATAAATGCTCAGAACAGCACCTAACTTCATCAACAGTACATATAGGGTTCCAGCACATAGTACTAGCCACCAAACATCTTTTTAGCTTTTTTCTTTGGAAAAGAGACCAAACACAACTCACCCACTCTCCACCAGCAGCCACTTGTTTGTGGGGGAGCCCTGATGGGACCCCATCTAAGTTAATCTCAAGACTATTCAGGCTTTGAGAACCAGCAGCATGATGGGCAACACTGTGAATCTAATACCCAGATAAAATACTCCTCACACTGCTGATAATGTGTCTGACAGAAATACATGGCTCGAGTGAAGGTCATGAAGAAGCAGATCAGAGAGCTGGATATAGGGAATGTGGGACTGGAGCAGGCCTGTATGAAGGTAAGACCCTCACATCTCAAGTTTTAGCTCGGCAGGTTCCTGTAAATCAATAATTTCATATTTTTATTTCTGGCAGGTTCAGAGAGAGTGCGACGAGCTGCGGAAGAAGCAGATGGAGACCATTCTGGACATACAGCAGAAGAGTGTACGGAGGGATATGATCCTTGAAAGGAAGATGGCAGCCATGTCAAAACTTGAAGAGGAGCAGGAGGCTCAGCTCTCTGCAGCAATGGCATCACTAAATATTAACCGAGCTAAAGATTACAAGGCTGCAAACTAACCCCAAATACAATTGAACATCTGTTATATATTTTTTATATATATATATTTATATATATATACACACACATTAGTGTCAAACTTGAAAGTATTTTGAATACTCGTGAATTGTTCTTATCTCTGTTGTCCCTGTTAATCATTACTTCTTGCTCCCTAATGTTGTATCCATTTTTTTTTTTTTAAGCTTTGCCAATCTTAATTCTTGAGAGCTGCTGTGTACATGTTAGCTTAGATTCTACATAATAAACAGAAAAACCTACAAAACAAACATTAAAACCTACAACATATTTATATGGTAGCCATCTCACTGTGAAACTTATATCCTTATTTATATATTATTTTGGCGTTCCAAGTAATAAAAACCTCAATATTCTGCCTGATGGTGATCATTTTATATTTTACAGCTCCCTGACTGATAAGCAGCCACAAAGATTAAAGACAGAGATGTTCAGGAGACGGATCAGGTCTTTTCTTTATTTTTTATTTGAAGAACCCATTTTACAGCTCTTTATAGATGACACATGCCCATAGATGCCCACATGCTTTGACAGAGGAAATCTCACCTGCTATGTATGGGTGTTTTCAATGGAGTAGACTGGCAGGTAAGGCCGGTTCTCATTAGTCTCTAACACAGAAGCTTGTGACTTTATTATCATCAGAGCAGCTCTCACACTTCCCTTTACTACAGCGAAATATGTTCTTGAGACCAACTGACTTCCCTAGCTGCTCTAGAGCCCTCTTAAGGTCTTCTTCGGGGATGACGACCCCATTACGAGGTTGGAACACATTAGAAAACACCACAGCATAGTTTTTCCACTTCTTAATCTCCTTAATGCTTTCCAGAATATTCCAGGGATTCTCTGGGTTTGCACATCTTTTATCACATGGTGAAGCTAAAACATAGAAAAGCAGAAAATCATTTTTGTTGGGTGTTTTGAACATGTGTTTGAGAGCCCGGTACTCTGCGTGATCAGCTCTGCCATCACGAACTTTATCAGAGCATTTCTTTTGGACGTCCAACCAGGTCATTTTGCTTTCACCGCAGTTTTTCAGGACATCACGCCACTGCACAGGTTCTTTAGGACACTGTTCCAAGACATTGGGCCACCTCAAAACTGTGGCAGCCACCACCCTGGAGGTGATGTGGACCTTACACTGTAACATCGTTTTCTTCACTTCCTCATCAGAGACTTCGACTTTGCTGACGTCGAACTTTTCCTTTTCTTCATCGTACGGGATGCTCACAGCCAGGCTGAACATGGGCTTTTTCCTGTCAAAAGAAACAGACACACAAAATATACAATCAGTCAACTTAAAAACACTGTATTTGTTTCCAGTCGAGTGATGGTGGCGGTGGCGCGTCATATTTTAAATTACATGGCGTGATTCATCAGGATTTTGATCTGGAAAAATGGAGGTAATGTTAAATGTATGCTGTGTCTGGTTAAACTGGCACTTGAAAACACCACTTCAAGGAGGACTGTGTAGTTTGTATGTAGGTTACGCAGTTCTTTTTAAGGAGTCACTGAGCTCCATCATGTCGTAGTTTTCTCTGGTTCACAGCTGCAGATGTCCTGCTGTTGTGGACCTGCTTTCCAGCTGCTTCAACAACAAGCATCAATCTCACCTCTCTCCATCTCTCTCTATCTCCTCTCTAAACCCAATGCAGTCTCACATGAGTCTGGTTCTGCCTGAGGTTTCACCCTGTTAAAGGAAGTTCTATCTCTCTGATGTAACTTGATTATTGCTACAAAGTGTTTCCCTCATGTGGTTGAAGATGGGATGGGGGTGGGCCTGATCTAACAAGATGAGGTTCAGTCTGATCCCATCTTTACATTAGGCCTCTGTCAAGACCAGCTTCTTTGTTAAGCATCTTGGGCTTACACTTGTTGTGAATTTGCACTATAAAAATAAAGACTGATTGATTGAGGACTGGTGGTGCTAGCTCTGCTGACATCTGTCATCTGCTGTCTTTGTTTAGAGTGGCTTTTAGATTATGTAAGTTATTCATACTTACTCAATGTTGTCGAAGATGTAGCTTGGTCTGAACCTGTTTAAAAAAAGGTATGAGATGTTAGTGCTGTGGTATTTTTGGCCAGTTCAAGATGAGAAAAAGTAAATATTTAATTTTGGCATTTCAAAGGAGCTTATCTACATTTTGGAGATTATTGACTCACCTGTTCAAGGTTTCCTTTACAAGTCCTGCAAGTTCGTTTGGGTCCGTGTCAGCCAAACTGTTTCCAACAGCCAGCAGCAGGGTCAGTGTTAAAGCCATCCAGCCCAGGGAAGCCATCTGACTTTAAAACATCATCAGTACAGAGGATTAAATTCAGGGTAAATTTTAGAGACACAAGAAAAATAATGGTCGATATACATGACATGAACTGTAGAAGTCCCACCTTGACAACCTGATTTTCATACTTACCCTTTCACTTTCAGCAGCATTTTTTTGTTAAATCGCATCAGATTTTTTTGCCAGCAGAAAAATCCGATCAAGAGTCAACAATTATTTTGATTTGAGACACATTATAAAAACTTGTTGCAGCCAGCTCATGGGCATTGTCGGAAGATCTTTAAAAAAGTTACTGAGCTATGGGAGGGATAAAACTCAAAGCAGCTGGCAGGTTGTTCTGCCATATATGCTGAGATATACGAAGAGTATTCAGGCCATAAGTTAAAAAAGTAAGATTTCAAGCAAAAAGAATTTTTTATATTACAAGAATAAAGTCATAAGAAAATCTAGTTCTAGTGTTACGATATTTGATGTTCTGTACTAAATCAAGAGAAAATCTTACCTGTTTTGGTGGGGAAAGAGGTCTTACCGATGCTGTTGTCTGTGCTTGATGGTAAGTGAAGAGAACGACTGAAAGAGTCAGTGGAAGGTAGGATCTTTTTAAAAGACTGCATTACCATAGCCAAACCCTTGCCCTCATTTGATTTTGTCTCTGTGATAATACTTCCAAGGAGGAACCAGATAAAAACATTGTGCAGCAACTTACCATTTATTTCCAAAGGCTGTTAAATTATGGCAAAACTTATAATCATGATTATTATTGACTGATATTGGTATCCTGATTTTTAAAAACCATGATCCATGATTTGACATCTGCATCACACACATGTATGCAACTAAAAACCTCCTTAAAACTGAAAAATTCACACACAGTAAGTTAAAAACATTGTGTAGCCATCTTATTTTGTTGACCAAAGCATTTTTATTATTTTATTTGATTTAAAAAAGTCATACATCCTACTACTGAAAGGGACGATTCATCAGTTCCTTACTTGACTTTATAAGCTTTGACCTTACTTTGATAATAGTCACTAAACTAAATGCCCCATTTTGCTGGTAGAAAAGTAAACATGAACCCCCTAATAAATTTTCAAAACGGAGCTGTACAAATAAAAAAAAGGACTTGAGCACAAACCAGTCTTACAGTAACTACATGTCAACATCACAAGCAGGGAAGAGGAAAAGTTATATTCTGTGTAAAAATGTTCTTAAGTTTGTCGACAGCTACATAGGGATTGCTAAAGGAGGCAGGATTTATGACCTATACTGCAGCCCGTTACCAGAGTGTGTTGTTCTTGGGGTGGCTTCACCCAGCAAGCATGCAGATGGCATCCATTCTATACACAGTCTATGGTCTGAACTTACTTAAAATAAACTTAAAGAGCTGAAGAACTTAACACTGGAGCTGCATTTGATGCTGCCTATAGAGGACATGGCAGAACAGTTGGACTCATGATAACCTCTGGAGGTTTAGGGAAATTCAGAGCATCATTATCTTCCAGTTCATACTCTTAACTACAAAATAAGCTGTTCAAATGATATGAAGTCTTGACAAGTGAGACTTCCATAAAGCCTCAAAAGGACAAACTCTGAATTAAGGTGAAACAAGATTTTGCAGTTCCTTTGTATTTCTATTGGTTCTTCTTTTAGAGGGGTTTCCAAACTTTTAATAACAAATTCAGTTTTGCAATCAAAATGTCATAGCCTTACCATAGCCAAACCCTTGCCCTCATTTGAATTTGTCTCTGTGATAATACTTCCAAGGAGGAACCAGATAGAAACATTGTGCAGCAACTTACCATTTATTTCCAAAGGCACAGAGCTGTTAAATTATGGCAAAACTTATAATCATGATTATTATTGAATGGTATTGGTATCCTGATTTTTAAAAACCATGATCCATGATTTGACATCTGCATCACACACATGTATGCAACTTAAAACATCCTTAAAAAAAAAAATTCACACACAGTAAGTTAAAAACATTTTGTAGCCATCTTATTTTTTTTTATTTTAAAAAGTCATACGTCCTACAACTGAAAGGGACCATTCATCAGTTCCTTACTTGACTTTAAAAGCTTTGACCTTACTCTGATAAAAGTCACTAAAATAACTGCCCCATTTTGCTGGTAGAAAAGTAAACATGAACCCCCTAATAACTTTTCAAAACGGAGCTGCACAGAAAAAAGGAGGTCTTGAGCACAAACATCGCAAGCAGGGAAGAGGAAAAGTTATATTCTGTGTAAAAATTTTCTTAAGTTTGTCCACAGCTCCATAGGGATTGCTGGAGGAGGCAGGATTTATGACCTATACTGCAGCCCGTCACCAGAGTGTGCTGTTCTCAAAGTGGCTTCACCTTGCAAGCATGCAGGTGGCGTCCATTCTATACACAGTCTATGGTCTGAACTTACTTAAAATAAACTCAAAGAGCTGAAGAACTTAACACTGGAGCTGCATTTGATGCTGCCTACAGAGGACATGGCGGAACAGTTGGACTCATGACAACCTCTGGAGGTTTAGGGAAATTCAGAGCATCATTATCTTCCAGTTTATACTCTTAACTACAAGATAAGCTGTTCAAATGATAAGAAGTCTTGACAAGTGAGACTTCCATAAAGCCTCAAAATGACAAGGCGCCAGATCTAATAAATCATTCAATCTGTTCACACTTATATTTAACGTCCTTTATAATGTTTAAACGACAGAGTAGTAGGGCCACATTTAGATATTTTATCCCAATAGATCAAAGTCATAAATTTATGAGAATTAATAATATTACAAGAATAAAGTCATAAATTTAGGAGAATTAAATCATATTATCACAAGAATAAAGTCATAATAGTCTAAACTGTTGTTTTAAAGGAGAGATGTTAAAATGAGGGTGGACGTGGAGCATTTCAAGGAATTGTACTTTAGTATAGGTTTAACAAACAAGGAGATACCTGATCCTTTGCCACATCAGTACCACAATGTCATAAGTATCAGAACCTAAAAAGGATGCCATGCTCGCCAGAGCTTGACCCTCTCTGGATCCAAAATCGTAATTATTTGTCGGGTTATTTTTTGAGAAACAGCAAAAGTCCTCTGAATGGCCTGCTTAAGGTTAATGATAAGATAAGAACTTAACTTATCCTTGAGGGGAAATTCGATGCAATACTGTGAGAAGTTGAAAAATAATTGACTGCCAGAACAGAATCAATGCTGAGCTAAGCTTTAATAGCGCTGGTAAAACAGGTACTGCTTTACAGAAAAAATACTCAAATTACAAAAGTAGTCCAGGTACCAGGGACAAGTAAATAATTGTATGTCAGGGTAAAATGAAATAATCTGCATTTAAAGAGAGAGTGAAACAGCTTAATACAGACAAAAATTGATTTTTTTTTTTTTTTGCAGTGGGTGTTTCAGATTGACTTGAAAGTCACATGTAGTATTTGTATAGCAAGAGAGACAGCCAGTTAAGACATTACTTTCTCTGTAGGATTCCTCACCTTCCTGAAAAATCCCCAAATTCTTTTGTTTCTATAATTTCCTTTGACCTTAGATCCAATTTGTTTATATACACAATAGTAAGATAATTACATCCTCAAATTCTCACACATCTTTCATTGTAAATAATACATGTCTTTTTGAACATGGTGAAGATCAGGTCTACATCTTTTCAATATAGCCATGTCAGCCACACTGCAACACTTCTTAAATGAAACATCTGAAAAACAACTGAACATAGGAGACTTATATTTTAAACACATTTCATTACCCAGACATTGCTGTTTTGGTTTAGGACCAAATATCTCACTAAAGCATATTTGAACACAGATAGTCTTTTTTTTGTCAAGCAAATAGTCTGTGCAGGGGTTTCGTGAGCCTACACTGCCTAATTTTTACTATGGACTCTGTTCCTTTTTATTGTGTTTGCAATGGCAACAATGACCATGGTGGCCATGACAACTGCATTTTGCTCCAGTACAACCTTTGCACCCCTCTGTTCCTTTGACGTGGTCATGTCCATAGTATATTTCTTGACCCTCTTTTCCTGTCATCCAGCCATATCCACTGCTTCCACCTCCTTTGGTCTGCCAGCTGGATTCTTCATGACCTGAATGACCTCCAATCGAAACCCTCCATTTATGCCAACTGCTGCTACTCCCATTGCCCTCTTCTACACTGCTGCCTTGATGTTTACCTTTTCCTCCACTGCCCCCTTCACCTCTCCACATACCCTTACTGCCTCCTTCACCTTTTCCTGTTCCTCCACTGCCTGCTTCACCTTTTCCTCTACCTCCAGTGCCTCCTTCACCTCTTCCTTTTCCTTCACTGCCTCCTTCACCTTTCACTTTCCCTCCAGTGCCTCCATCTCCTCTTCCTTCTCCTTCACTTCCTCCTTCACCTCTCCACATTCCTTTATTTCCTCCCTCAACTATTCCCTTTCCTCCGGTTCCTTTTTCACCTTTTCCTTTTCCTCCAGTGCCTCCTTCACCTCTTCCTTTTCCTTCACTGCCTCCTTTACCTTTTCCTTTTCCTCCAGTTCCTTCTTCAACTTTTCCTTTTCCTTCACTGCCTCCTTTACCTTTTCCTTTACCTCCAGTGCCTCCTTCACCTCTTCCTTTTCCTTCACTGCCTCCTTTACCTTTTTCTTTCCCTCCAGTGCCTCCTTCACCTTTCACTTTCCCTCCAGTGCCTCCATCTCCTCTTCCTTCTCCTTCACTTCCTCCTTCACCTCTCCACATTCCTTTATTTCCTCCTTCAACCGATCCCTTTCCTCCGGTTCCTTTTTCACCTTTTCCTTTTCCTCCAGTTCCTTCTTCAACTTTTCCTTTACCTCCAGTGCCTCCTTCACCTCTTCCTTTTCCTTCACTGCCTTCTTTACCTTTTCCTTTACCTCCAGTGCCTCCTTCACCTCTTCCTTTTCCTTCACTGCCTCCTTTACCTTTTCCTTTTCCTCCAGTGCCTCCTTCACCTCTTCCTTTTCCTTCACTGCCTCCTTCACCTTTCACTTTCCCTCCAGTGCCTCCTTCAATTCCTCCTTTTCTCCCAGACCCTCCTTCAACTTTCCCTTTTCCTTCACTGTGTAGCAATCAAGACAACCCTGGGTGTGAAACCCACACATTCCTCACAGGAAAGTTCCTTATCTGGTCCCAGGAAACAGGATATAAATCTTTCCAGACTCATTTACACTTTCAGGTTAAATAAGTGACCCAACCGGAGGTTGACTAAACCTCCGACTCTTCACGATTGGTCAATTCGGAGAACAGAGACAGAGTTTTATTACCTTTCAAACTGACTCCATTTGCTGACCATCTAAATAAACATTAACGTCTCAACCCAGATCTCCCATTTGAGATTTAGTGTCTTAAAGTGTGTGAACATACGGACCCCAGGAAAAGGGGGGACACTGACCTCCAGACCTCGGTCGTAAAACCCTGCTCGACCATGCACTGATAAAGACTGCATTCCTTTGGTGAAAGAATACAAATGACTGATCATGACATCTTATGCATTCAGCAATGTACTAATCTGTCTAATCATGAAATTTGTGTTAAAATGAGATGTTTCCCGTTTTTCTATGTGCTTCAGAAGCCAAGTTATCTTATCTGACAGAATAAATCCTTATTCTTTAGTTCTTTAGACCAACAGCTTTTCAGACTGTTTCATGAACTTTTAAGAGTTAAATTTATCGACTATGAATCATAACTTAACTCTAGGTAACAGAAACAGTTTAGAAATGTTTGGTTTATATTGTAGATGTTTATTTAGTATTTTCAACCATTAGGTGGTTATAATGTCATTGAATAATCTGAATGTGAGTATTTAGAATCCATTATTAATCATGATGAAGTTCATTCACATGTATTTACTCTTTTGTTGTTCACAGTTTCCATGTGTTACTATCTGTTTCATTTCAGAGTAATTCAGCATGTTTAATGTGATACTTAAAACATAATGAGAATGTTTGATGTGATCCTACACTTCATTCATATGTGTTTAGTGTCAAATTATTTATCATGAAACCTAGCATTCAATGATATTAATCATAGTGAGTGAGTATCAGATCTGACTCTTTTACCAGCCAAAAGTATAAGTTAGATCAAATAATCAGAGATCCGAGTTCATCTCTGCTTGGAGACCACACAACCCCTCCTCCTCTTTCTCCTCACACCCACACGCCGGAGAAACACCCAGTGTGAGAAGATAAAACCAGTGAAGTGGGGTTGCTCACTCTCTCTTATGCTCTATTCTCTCTTATGCCTCTTATTCCTCTTATGCTTCTGCTCTTCAGCTGACTCTCTTGTCCCCGGCTCTTATGCCCCTTCTCTTCTGCCCACACCCTTCCGTGGTGCGTTTCTTTGTTTTCTCTTAGAACTTTTTCTTAGTCTTCTAAGTTTTACGCCACGTGTTGATTCACGTTGATTTTTCTTTAACGTCGTCTTAGTTCAAGTTTTGAAACTTCAACTTTTTGTGCACATAGCAATTCAAGATTAAGCCTTTGATTGATTTTCTTTAATTTCGCGAAGCCATTTTTGAAAGTTTTCTCTGCTCTTCGAGCCTTGTTTTTCTGAGTTTTCTGCGTGATTTCAAAGTCACCTCCGAACGCAATCCAACAGGCCCAGGTCATCCTCTGTGCCAGAGTTTTTGAGTGAGACTAAAGAAGTACCCAAACGAGCATCCACAGGATCCACAGGCGCTGGTTTTTGCTTCGGGCCTGAGTGCTGCAACTCCTGGCTCATCCTTCGGCTGACTTCAGTCGTCTTCTGAGCTGAACCGCTCGAACCGCCAGTAGCCCGGACCTTCGGAACCTGCTCCATCTTCTCCAAGGACCAGTCTCACTTAAGTATGCAAACCTCCAGAGCTCTAAAGAGGGCTGGTGCTGTCTCATGCGTTCATAACTCAGATATCCACCTATTTCTGGTGATCTTAGATTCTTCCAAATCCACATCCGAGTTTATCTCGACACCAAAGTTAGTGTAGGTTAATATGTTAGCGCATATTCACTCACTATCATTAACTTTAGTGCTCCTAGTCTGACTCAGAATATTTATTTATTCACCTATTATTATTTTATCCTCATTATCTTATCATCATTTATTACATGTGTGTTGTACCATCATTTATCCTGTAATAAACAGATCATTATTTTTCTAAGTTCCTGTCTGTTAGTGTTCTTCCAGAAGTGGAGTCCCTGAAATTAGAATTTCGACTTAAGATATGAGACTGATTAATTAAGACTGATTAATTAAGACTGATTAATTAAAACTGACTTGATGTTTGATTTCTGAATTAAACTTTTGTTTTCTTTATTTTCCCACCATTAAGGGTGGGTGGTGCCCCTTTCAACGAGTGCATAAATGTCATAATTTGAGATTATTAATCTTCAGACATTTATTATAAATTCCAATCGCCAAGTATTATTTTGGTGCGGCCTTGTGAGGCTCATTTCAAATCGCTACATATATTTTGGTGCGACCGTATGAGGCTCATTTCAAATCACTACATATATTTTGGTGCCCCGTGTGAGGCGTTTCAAACAAAACTTCTGGATACTAACAGACAACCTAAAACTTAGCCTTCCAAATTGATGAGAGAAACTTATTTCCAGGCTATTTTAGACTTAATCACAATCAATGCTATGCTTGCTGAAGTTGCTTGACTAAGTTCTGATGTTTTCCTGATCTATGCATAAAAGCTTTATGCTCTGTGTTTCACACACTCTTGTACTACATGCCTGTAGTCTGTGTTTGAGCTGGACAGCGTGAAATGTTGTTCTGAGTAGCAGTGAGACTGACTCCTCTGCTCTGTCTAGACTATCCAATATTTAAGTGCACGATTGTGGCGTCGCCGTACGCTTGTATTTAAGGCCTTTGGCTGAACCCAGTGTTCGCGATGCTCCGAGCTGTGGTTTCAAGCCCCTGAAGTCTCTGTAGTCTGCTACGAGGTTCTAGTAACTATATGGGATTCAGATTTTCCTCCTTTCCCCTGACAGATTAGCTATCTGTCACAGGAAACCACTGTAACAGTGGGAGGTTGTTGTTTGATTGAATTAAGACAAAATTTGTGTTCACAAATCGCCGCATTTGTGATTTTAAAGTCTGCAGTTGAATCTGCTGTTGAGGGATTTGTCACTTTGATTCTTGTCTCTATAGTCTGCTACGAAGTTCTAGTAACTATATGGGATTTAGAGTTCCTCCTTTCCCCTGACAGATTAACTACCTGTCACAGGAAACCACTGTAACAGTGGGAGGTTGTTGTTTGATTGAATTAAGACAAAATTTGTGTTCACAAATCGCAGCATTTGTGATTTTAAAGTCTGCAGTTGAATCTGCTGTTGAGGGATTTGCCACTTTGATCCTTGTTCCTGTAAATGATTTTATTGAACCAATCTGCCTGAGCAGATGGTGTAAAGTTCTATGTTTGAGGGTGCAGACGCAGCCTGCTGTGAAATATTAACCCTTTGTTGTCAGTGGAGAGATCGACCATTTGGCCTTAAGCAGATAAGGCCCTTCAAGGAGGCAGAGCCTAAAGGCCCCTTCCTTCATACTTCCCAACTCCGCACAGCCACAAGAGGCTAGTTGGATGACTGTTTCCTCTTCTCTTCTTCTTCTCCACTTGTGTTGAGCTTGTGCAGTTCTCCCAACTCCATACTGCCCCACATGGTTGCTTTTGGTATTGAGCTAACACTTATCTGCCTGCAGCATCAGCCAGCTGTACTGCCTCTCTGTAGTCAGTGTGTTACACTCTACAGACATAACTCAAGTGATTGACTTGGTTGATGAAGTTTGATGTGCTTATTCTAAATCATTGATTATTGATTTTTGATTTTTATCTTTGTTATAAGAGCCTCCATAATGTATTGATGAAGTAACTCCTTGAATCAATCACCTGATCTGTTGTTACTTATCACACCATTGAGCAGTTTTACTGTTCCCTATAATACATGAATGTATTAACCCTCCTCATAAGTTTAATTGATTAATGAACAAATTAATTAATATTTTAAATTTCTTTTAACATTCCAGATAGATTTGGTAGTTGAATCTTTGGATTTATTGCAATTTGTGAATTAACTTTAGAGTTAATTCCTTAAATTGACAATTTCATTGGTTTCAGATTCATCCAACTGCATCAGGCAGTTTATTTAAGCTTTGCTGATCTCTGCAACACGGAGACAATTTGAACCCTTTATTCAATGGTTCTGTATCTGATGTTAAATTTAATTTAACATTATTTCACCTTGTTGTATTTCAATTTTCATTGAAATGAATTTAACTTTATGTTATTTTTCTCTCCATTAGAGATCTACTCAGATAGGCTCTTCCTCTTTATCAAGCACTGATAAATTAAGTCGATTAACTCACTTAATTTGATATTTTGCTTCTTCTTTTCATTTTAAGCCAACTCAAACTCATCAACCAACCAGCTGCACCTCTTTACCAAAACCAAACATGCCTAACACAAAAGAGTCCAGCCAGGGAGACCCCCTGAGGGACATACCCACAGTGTTGGCAAACTTGACTAGTCAGCTGATACCTCAGTACATGACTAAGATTCAAAAGGCCAAACCCTCCAATCCGGAGGATGAAATGGCTGACTTACTGGAAACAGCCTTAACCACGACACTTCGTGACAAAGAGCTCACTAGATGCATGTCTGTCGTGATGTCTTCTCAGCTTGAGTATAAAGACTACTTGCTGGAATGCGCTTTAGCAAAGATAAAGGCGCAAAAAGATGAAAACAGCGCTCTGAAAAAGACGCTAGAGGAGACTAAGAAGTCTTTAAGTGTTTTAGAAAAACACAGTGCCAGATGTGAAGCGTCAAAGCTTCCCTCACTGATAAGTCATGAAGAAAATCTTGATCTCAAAGACAAGATTGAAAGACTTGATAAAACTCTTAACCAAAAAGAGAAAGAACTTGACAAAGCCAATAAGCATCTTGCTAAGACCACAGAGGATCTGATACAGTCAGAATCCCTGCTAGAGCAAGCAACAGAAGATGTAAAAACTTTGAAAGCACTGGTCAAAGTGCGTGCTGAAGCTCTTGAAGTTAAGGAGAAGCAAACTTCTACCTTACAGCACCAGCTCCAGATAGCTCAGAGACAGTTAATTCTTTGTCAAGAACGGCAAGAAAAGACAGACAAAGAACTTGAAGATGCCCAAAGAGAGTTACAATGCTCCCTCCAGTCAGGTCGAGCCCAAAGAGAACGCATGGAGCAAACTTTTCTTGAAGAAATGATAGGTGATCAGCCTCCTGAGAGAGCGCCATCACTTCCTTCCAAACCAACTCTTAAGTATCTCTCTCAGCATCATGACAGGACCCTGCTTGACCCTGAGAGGTCATCCTTAAACCAAGAGTCCTACTCTCCTCCCCATGATGGCTTCTTACCATTTCCCTCAGATAGGGATCTTGACAAAATTGCTCGCAACATAGCACGCTTTGAACCTGAGCACCAAGCTGCTATTGACACCTGCACCTACTTGAAAGACATTGACTTTTACCTGCGGAAATTTCCAGGTGCAACCATTGATGACAAAATCTACCTTATTAAGGCAACGTCAAGTCGAGAGGTTAGCAGTTTCCTTGAAAGACAGCCTTATCATGTCAGAAATAATTATGACTTGCTCTGCCAAGCATTAATTGAAGAGTTTTCTGACTATTTGACCCAGACAGGCCTTTCTGCTGCTCTGTCTATTAAACAAGGGAGATCAGAATCTCCCCAACAGTATTACAACCGCTTACGTGAAGCTTACTTTGGTTTCCGAAATGAACCAGAAATGGAGGAGGACTTGAACTTCAAAACGCTGTTCGTCCAGAACCTCCACCCTACCACCAGTCATCACCTTGGCGTCTTAGCTTGTCCAAACACTTCGACTAGCCGACAGCTTCGTGAACTTGCTGTAAAAGGTTTTGCCAAACAACGACAAACTTTGGCTAAGAAAGCAGAGCCCGTTACTCTCTTGGCTATGGAGACAAAATCACTGCCCATGGAGCTGAACGAAGCTTCAGACTGTGTATTTTCAGGCTCCGATAAGCCTCCAAATGAGTGGTTAACCAGGCCTCCAAAACCTTTTCGACCTCAACACATTCACAAAGGTCAAAGTTACACACCAAGGCCCGGGTCTGATACAGACCAATGCCAGGTAAACTTTGAGACCAACTGTTGTTATTCAGACTCCCGTCACGGTGGGTTTTGTCCCAGACAAAGGAAAAACCATCAACACCGCCAAAGGGGGGTGAATGACTGGCAGAATCAGAGTAAATCACACTCTCAGAAACGACGATCTTATTATCCACCTCAATCGGTTTCATCCACTTCGAAGGTGAATAAACATGACAACTCAGCTAACCACTGAGATTAACACTGTGGAGTCATGAAGGTGTGAGTCCTGCGAAAGCAGAAGTCACCTAGCCAAAGCTAAATGACTCCAATAAGATATCCAAATGCTGTGGTGATACATTGATGACTGCAATCCCAGTTGCTGCTTTCTTTGTTAGCATTTGTCTCTCCTCTGTCAATATGGTCAGCTTGTCAGCTGTCAAATATCCCATGAACAGATTAAAAGCTGAAATTTCTGTCATTAAGATTCAGATTGACAAATTTCAGACTCAACAGCAGATAATTAGTCAAACCGATAAGAGCATCATCCCCAAGTTTAACAGACAAAGTTTAAGAGAAACTCTGTGCAGTAAACCTTTGATGTTTGTGATTCAGGTTGACTATGCTCATACACAGATGGTTAATATGTCTATAGCAGACATTTCTTTTCCACCTAAGTCTTAACCATTTTTGAAACTGAAATTGAACTTTCAGACTTCTCCAGCAAGCATGAAAAACAGCTATAGCTTTAGATCCGGTTAGCATTCAGACTAAAGAGTGCTTTTCTAAATCTCATTAATACTGAAAATTAGGAGATTTTCTTTCACATTAGTCTACCAATAGTTAACTGAGAAAAGTCTAACACCTAGACGATTTTATTTGATAGCTTAATGCATGCTTGATGTTATCTTAAAGCAGATACTAGTGATTCACATAGTGATAATGAGACGCATCAGTCCTATTTGCATACACCTGCTGCTGCTTCATGGTTGTCTACTCGTCGTCCCGATGCTCCATGGACAGGACCACCGTGACGAAGGGGGGACTGTAGCAATCAAGACAACCCTGGGTGTGAAACCCACACATTCCTCACAGGAAAGTTCCTTATCTGGTCCCAGGAAACAGGATATAAATCTTTCCAGACTCATTTACACTTTCAGGTTAAATAAGTGACCCAACCGGAGGTTGACTAAACCTCCGACTCTTCACGATTGGTCAATTCGGAGAACAGAGACAGAGTTTTATTACCTTTCAAACTGACTCCATTTGCTGACCATCTAAATAAACATTAACGTCTCAACCCAGATCTCCCATTTGAGATTTAGTGTCTTAAAGTGTGTGAACATACGGACCCCAGGATAAGGGGGGACACTGACCTCCAGACCTCGGTCGTAAAACCCTGCTCGACCATGCACTGATAAAGACTGCATTCCTTTGGTGAAAGAATACAAATGACTGATCATGACATCTTATGCATTCAGCAATGTACTAATCTGTCTAATCATGAAATTTGTGTTAAAATGAGATGTTTCCCGTTTTTCTATGTGCTTCAGAAGCCAAGTTATCTTATCTGACAGAATAAATCCTTATTCTTTAGTTCTTTAGACCAACAGCTTTTCAGACTGTTTCATGAACTTTTAAGAGTTAAATTTATCGACTATGAATCATAACTTAACTCTAGGTAACAGAAACAGTTTAGAAATGTTTGGTTTATATTGTAGATGTTTATTTAGTATTTTCAACCATTAGGTGGTTATAATGTCATTGAATAATCTGAATGTGAGTATTTAGAATCCATTATTAATCATGATGAAGTTCATTCACATGTATTTACTCTTTTGTTGTTCACAGTTTCCATGTGTTACTATCTGTTTCATTTCAGAGTAATTTAGCATGTTTAATGTGATACTTAAAACATAATGAGAATGTTTGATGTGATCCTACACTTCATTCATATGTGTTTAGTGTCAAATTATTTATCATGAAACCTAGCATTCAATGATATTAATCATAGTGAGTGAGTATCAGATCTGACTCTTTTACCAGCCAAAAGTATAAGTTAGATCAAATAATCAGAGATCCGAGTTCATCTCTGCTTGGAGACCACACAACCCCTCCTCCTCTTTCTCCTCACACCCACACGCCGGAGACACACCCAGTGTGAGAAGATAAAACCAGTGAAGTGGGGTTGCTCACTCTCTTATGCTCTATTCTCTCTTATGCCTCTTATTCTCTCTTATGCTTCTGCTCTTCAGCTGACTCTCTTGTCCCCGGCTCTTATGCCCCTTCTCTTCTGCCCACACCCTTCTGTGGTGCGTTTCTTTGTTTTCTCTTAGAACTTTTTCTTAGTCTTCTAAGTTTTACGCCACGTGTTGATTCACGTTGATTTTTCTTTAACGTCGTCTTAGTTCAAGTTTTGAAACTTCAACTTTTTGTGCACATAGCAATTCAAGATTAAGCCTTTGATTGATTTTTCTTTAATTTCGCGAAGCCATTTTTGAAAGTTTTCTCTGCTCTTCGAGCCTCGTTTTTCTGAGTTTTCTGCGTGATTCAAAGTCACCTCTGAACGCAACCCAGCAGGCCCAGGTCATCCTCTGTGCCAGAGTTTTTAAGTGAGACCAAAGAAGTACCCAAACGAGCATCCACAGGATCCACAGGCGCTGGCTTTTTGCTTCGGGCCCGAGTGCTGCAACTCCTGGCTCATCCTTCGGCTGACTTCAGTCGTCTTCTGAGCTGAACCGCTCGAACCGCCAGTAGCCCGGACCTTCGGAACCTGCTCCATCTTCTCCAAGGACCAGTCTCACTTAAGTATGCAAACCTCCAGAGCTCTAAAGAGGGCTGGTGCTGTCTCATGCGTTCATAACTCAGATATCCACCTATTTCTGGTGATCTTAGATTCTCCAAATCCACATCCGAGTTTATCTCGACACCAAAGTTAGTGTAGGTTAATATGTTAGCGCATATTCACTCACTATCATTAACTTTAGTGCTCCTAGCCTGACTCAGAATCTTTATTTATTCACCTATTATTATTTTATCCTCATTATCTTATCATCATTTATTGCATGTGTGTTGTACCATCATTTATCCTGTAATAAACAGATCATTATTTTTCTAAGTTCCTGTCTGTTAGTGTTCTTCCAGAAGTGGAGTCCCTGAAATTAGAATTTCGACTTAAGATATGAGACTGATTAATTAAGACTGATTAATTAAGACTGATTAATTAAAACTGACTTGATGTTTGATTTCTGAATTAAACTTTTGTTTTCTTTATTTTCCCACCATTAAGGGTGGGTGGTGCCCCTTTCAACGAGTGCATAAATGTCATAATTTGAGATTATTAATCTTCAGACATTTATTATAAATTCCAATCGCCAAGTATTATTTTGGTGCGGCCTTGTGAGGCTCATTTCAAATCGCTACATATATTTTGGTGCGACCGTATGAGGCTCATTTCAAATCACTACAACTGCCTCCTTCCCCTTTCACTTTCCCTCCAGTGCCTCCTTCACCTCTTCCTTTTCCTTCACTGCCTCCTTTACCTTTTTCTTTCCCTCCAGTGCCTCCTTCACCTCTTCCTTTTCCTTCACTGCCTCCTTTACCTTTTTCTTTCCCTCCAGTGCCTCCTTCAATTTTAACATTTCCTCCAGTGCCCCTGTCTCCTTTCCCTTTTCCTTCACTGCCTCCTTCAACCTTCCCTTTTCCTTTAGTACCACCTTCAATTCCTCCTTTTCTCCCAGTGCCTCCTTCACCTCTTCCTTTTCCTTCACTGCCTCCTTTACCTTTTTCTTTCCCTCCAGTGCCTCCTTCACCTCTTCCTTTTCCTTCACTGCCTCCTTTACCTTTTTCTTTCCCTCCAGTGCCTCCTTCACCTCTTCCTTTTCCTTCACTGCCTCCTTTACCTTTTTCTTTCCCTCCAGTGCCTCCTTCACCTTTCACTTTCCCTCCAGTGCCTCCTTCAATTTTAACATTTCCTCCAGTGCCCCTGTCTCCTTTCCCTTTTCCTTCACCGCCTCCTTCAACCTTCCCTTTTCCTTTAGTACCACCTTCAATTCCACCTTTTCCCCCTGACCCTCCTTCAACTTTCCCTTTTCCTCCACCGCCTCCCTTACCTTTTCCTTTCCCTCCAGTGCCTCCATCTCCTCTTCCTTCTCCTTCACTTCCTCCTTGACCTTTTCCTTTACCTCCAGTGCCCCCTTCACCTCTTCCTTTTCCTTCACTGCCTCCTTTACCTTTAACTTTCCCTCCAGTGCCTCCATCTCCTCTTCCTTTTCCTCCATTACCATAATGTTCCCAGATAGCTCCATCCCTATCATTAACTTTAGGGTTTCCTCCACTGCCTATTACACCACCCTCACTGCCTCCTTCAACTTTCCCTTTTCCTCCACTGCCTCCTTCACCTTTTACTTTCCCTCCAGTGCCTCCATCTCCTCTTCCTTCTCCTTCGTTTCCTCCTTCCACTTTCCCTTTCCCTCCAGTGCCCCCTTCACCTCTTCCTTTTCCTTCACTGCCTCCTTTACCTTTTCCTTTACCTCCAGTGCCTCCTTCACCACTTTCTTTTTCTTTATTGCCTCCTATAACTTTCCCTTTTCCTCCACTGCCATAATGTTCCCAGATAGCTCCATCCCTATAATTAACTTTAGGGTTTCCTCCACTGCCTATTACACCACCATTTGAATTGTCTGAAATACAGTAGTGAGCTATTTGATTCCCACAAAAGCAGCAGGTGCACTGCATTGCATCACCTTTCCTGTCACATCGGAATATATTTGATAGACCATTTGGACCCTGGATACCCTGGTAAGCTCCAAAGGGCTGCAGGGTTCCATTCCACTCTTTTTCGGTATTAAATGGACGAAGTCCATACCTAGATAATTTTGAAAACACAATAGCGTAGTTCTTCCATTGTTGAATCAGAGCGATAACTCCAACAATATCCTGAAGGTGTGTGTTGCTTGAATGTTGTCTAACACATGGGGAGGCATACACATAGAAAAGCAATAAATCTGTTTCATTACGACATTTGAACAAGTGGTGCAAGTGGTCTCCAACGCGTGACTCTGCATGATAGTACCCTCTGTTGGGGTGACTCAGAGTCTTGGCTGCAACCACTCTTTTGCCAATGTACACCTCATCTTTGTTGATCGCCTTCATCACATTATGACCAGGATCACTGTCAAAAACTTGCTGAAGGGTGTCTACGGTATTCTGGTCGTGGGCATGGGGAATCCGTACAGCAAGACAAAACACGCCGTCGGTTTCGTACCTATCAATAAAAACAAGAACACCACTTTGCAATCATTTTTTTCTTGGCACAATTTTTTTTTGAAAATTTATGGCTTTAACTCAGGTTAATTTCCAGCCCCTTTCTGCATGTTGATCCCCATTTCTCTCTTAGTTTCCAACTCTCTCCACTGCCCTCTTGCCTCAATAGAAAATAAAAAACCCTAAAAATAAGCACATAAAAAAGAAAGAAATTTAACTCACTCCTTTGAAATTCCATGAACAAGTGTCGCCAGCTTGTGTGGGTTCACAGCAGCCAAACTGTTTTCAGTAGACAGGAAAAATGACAGAATCACTGCCATCCAGCAGAGGCCAGCCATCTGCACACAGACAAGGTTAATGGAGATTAAAGGACGTTTAAAACTTGGTAGTAAGAAAATGAAGTTCTAATGTTGACTTGGAATATTCCCCTTCTAAACAGCATTATGTGGCTATGACTTCACAGTATTCTTATGAAAAAGAGATGTTAGTGAGACTTTATTCTCATGAGATTATGACTTATGAATTTGTATTTTTTAAATGTGGTCCAGTCAAAGATATTAACAATCACTTATAGGCACAAAATCCTTGATGTTTTTCACACTAGAAAATTTGGTCTCATCTACTTTGTCACAAAAATTAAATTTTTAGCTTGACCTACTGAGCAAATTTATTTCATTTGGCTTTCAGTCGGGATTTACTAAGTTTTAAAAGTTTATAGACTTTTGGTGAGACTTGATGACTATCTTATTAACCCTTGCCTTCTTTTGAGAAACTTGTTTTCAAGCTTTTATCCCATTTGGTCATCTGAATCCAGTCAGATTACTTTTGCAATACTGGGCCCTGATTTCTACCAAAGACATTAAGGCAAAAATAAGATTTGGCCAGAATGTGTTGCTAGATGCGATGATCATACTGTAATCCAATCACCTGTTTATACAGAATCAGCTGCTTTTTTGCTTTTAAAGTGATATAGTGCTAAAAACTAAAGCAGGTTTACCTTTGTAGCCTCTGCCTTCATTGTGGATGGCAGCTGTGGTCAGCAGCAATAAACAGCACAGTAGTAACAGCTGTTTCCAACATCAACTAAAAAGAAAATGTAACATGTTAAACTGTTATGCCTTTCTTCATTTCTACCTTTGATAAATACTTTCACTTATCACCTGGAGAGCATTTGTTCAGAGGTTGTCCAAATCATCAATCACAGATGATTATACTCATTGAAAAAAGAAAAAAAAATGTAAAAGTGTTTTGCAAATATAACCCCTTAGGTATTGTCTATGCACAGGGGATGCTGGGTCATCTAATATACCTGTATAATATCTGTCATTATTGGTTTAATAATATTAAAAATAATAAAATTAATTTTAATAATAATTAAACCACAAGAGTTAATAAGTGGGTCCTCGCACCTTTGCATAGGTTTGTTCCTGTAGCAGCTGTAGTTTTGCAACACAATGTGCCTGGGCAGCAGCTGTGAGTAGGTGGTACAATCACTATGAGCTAAATGTGTTTGTAGATCTGTTAGCATGTATATTTTATTTATAACATGTAAAACAGTGTTCTAGGAATCTTCCTGACAATGTAAATTAATGTGAGAAGATTGTAGGCTGAAGGGTATATTTTAGTTAATGTTGCTTGTGCCCACTAGATGGCACTATTACTTTGAGAAAAATGGATATGCAGCTGAGTTTTGGCTGGGACCACTATCACCTGTCAGAATGGAACAATGGATGTGAAAGCTAATGCCATGTTTTTCTACGGGTTGGTGCCATGATGGTAGTAGAGAAATTAGCATATAGATGTTTTTAGGTGTCAACCTTGATCATGAATATGAAATATCAAGTAGTTGTCAGACTGTATGAAGGAGTTAAAGAAATTCCTGTCGCCCCTTTTTATGTCAGTGACACACTGTATGATGTAAAACAAAAGCTGCAGGTAAAATTCATTAAAATCTGCAGCCTGTGAATCATGCCATCAAACATTTAAATGAAATCAGTGGACTCTATGTTGGGTTTAAGAGGATTTTTCACGCCTTGGCCTACACCCAGGAAAAATCCTGCATGTAAGTTGAACCGTTCAGTAAGGCTAAAAGTATGCAAACTGGTAATAGAAAGGTGCTCCATGGAGGTATTTGGGGATTTGTTTTATGAAATCGATGACCAAAACCAACCAGCTTTTTCACCAGGCCCTGCATGTGTGAAAACAATCTTTGGGGCATGTTAAAGCCTCCAAATCTGCTATCATTTGGCCAGAAAAATTAAAGAGAGACAGAGGAACAAAGCACAAGAACCTGACAGAGAAAATAGCCCAACAACATTTTAATATCAAGAACTAAAAACAAAAATAATAACAGAAAAGATCAAATTAACCACAACATCATAAGAAACCATAAAGATTTTGATAAATATTTAATAAGCTGGATAAATACTAACCAACCGCCCAATGAGGATGACCATTTTTTTAATTCAGAGCAAACATCCCAGCTCTTTGCTCCTATGGGGGTAACGTCCCAAAATCAACCTTTTTTTAAGGAAGTGATTTTAAATACTTTTTTTTTCTTTTTCAGATATAAGACTCCATACAGACAGTAATACATGTATGAAACAAGTATAAATGTAAACTTAAGCTTCATTTTGGGTTTCTCTTTGAATTTAGCAGCCAAGTGAAAAGCCTTTACCTTCTTTGATGGAGAGGAACGAGGGATGGAGGCTGTCCACTTCTGCTTTCTCCTCAGTGTTCAAAGTGAAGGTGTTGCTGCAGTGACTATGATCTGACGGAGGGGAGTTTTTATAGAAGAGGTAATAACCAAATTCTGGGCGTGTGACCACGCCTTTATTTGATGATGTTTCAGAAGAATCGGGAAGAATAAGATGATGATAGACATCCTGCTGATTGTCTGAGGAGGTTGAAACACTAAATATGGTATTTTCTCATCTTTGTCATTTAGCTTTGAAATTAAACAGGGAACTGAAGGAAATTCAATTTCTAATGCTTTGGTAAACCATAGTTGAATTTTTCAATACCACTCTGTTGCCTCTTTTTATCATTAGATGAATCCATGCATAAATCGCTGCATGGAACGAAAAACATAGCTTTAGATTTTTTTTTTTTTTTATCTACTTGCATGAGTCAGGTTAGAAGCAGGTTTATTGCAAGGTATGTTAACACATCCATAGAATTTTTTTGGGTGTTTTTGTACCAAATAAATAAGATTAGGATTATATCAAGGTAAACTAAGTTTTTAACATTTATAAATAAGCAGATGCTTTTTTACAGTGTTACTTTTAATGTCAAGGAACCTTAGATAGAGATAGATACAATTATCAGTACAATATACATAAACTATATACAGAATCTGAAAAAAAGAAATTGCCATAAGGAGCTGTACATTTGTACAGGGAGGAGCAGGATGATGTGAGTGCAGAATATCCCTTTACGATATTCTGTGAAGGTTTAGATAAACCAGAAGATGCCATGGCATAGATGGTAAAATCCAAAGTGTTTATGTTCTAGTTTTCAAATTTAAAAAATGGTGTAATTTGCACAAAACCTGATAGTGATCAGCACAGCAGGACGAGAGTTTCTTTTTATTAATTTGTACAAGGTTTTCTTACTCGAATGAATCCCAAAAACCATCTCACTGAAAATTCATCAAAAATCATAAATGATTCTGAAAACAAGACACAGCACCATCATTTTTATTTTTGTAGTTTTGATTTGTGACCATTATTTCTCTGGTTGTTTCACCTCAAACCAGCCATCTAGTCTGACTTTACAATTTAGCCTGCCTTACCTGAGGCATAAAAGTTGCACCCGGGTGCTACACAAACCAAGCTTTAGTCTAACTGGTCTAACTGTAACTTTCTGTTCAGGTGAAAGCTCAGCCACTTTTTTAATACTGAGAATCCTGAGGCCCACACGGGTTCCATGTAAAGTCTGTGTAGTTCTGTGAAAGAGAAATGTGCTTCATCATCATGATGGGCAGATTGAGAGAGATCAGAAAAACAGAAGAAAGAAAGTGTGCTGAAGATCTGAGAAGAAAAAGAGGAAGAAAAATTAGACTGATGTTACACCCAGCAGATATTTTTTAAACATGATTTCAAAATGAAGTGAGAGTTATACCCACAAGACCGCAAAACTTTTGAAATAATGACGTTAAAATCCTTTTTTAACCATTCTATGTAGAGGTGCTTCTTAAGAAGTCTACTTAAATTGATTCAGAGAAATGTTACCTAAAGCCACCATAGCACACCTGCACACATATTTTTACATTTTTAATCCCAGCCTCCAACAGCCAGCATGTTGTTTTCCCTGTTTTTCACCAACCCAGGTTCCTGCAATCTTTCTCATATCTCTGAACATAGTAACACACTTTCCTGAGTTTCCATTGGGGCCCAGATTTACTAGAAATACAAATGTATCTGCCCACAAAGGCTCCCATCCATTCCCGCCTGGTGTTTTTGTCTATATTTTAATTGCAGTCAAGAAAAAACCTTGAAATTTTGCGAAGTCTTCTTTACAATATGCACGGCCAGACTTTTTGGCTGTTTGTTCAATAGGAATGTTCTTATGAAAAAGAAGACGAAGAAAAAGAAGAAGAAGAAGAAGAGCAACAACAACAAAAACAACAACAATGACAACAACAACAACAACAACAATGACAACAACAACAACAACAACAACAACAACAACAACAACAACAACAACAACTACAGCTTTATTGATCCCCGAAGGGAAATTCAATATGGAGGCATCCTTTGGTATTGCTGGCCATATATTAAATGCCCCTGTTGCAGCAGTTGCTAGATTGACTCCTGGATGTGACACAGAGAAACAGTGCTAACCAACTGTCAAGTTTTTTTTTCAGCTGAAACACTTCTGTCTGTTTATTTAAAAATAATGTAATCTTACTTCAACTTCTGTCTCAGAAAGACAGTAAAAAGATGACTCCTGCGCTGTGTGAGGAGGATTATCAGTCGATCTGAGGATAATATGTATGAGTTAACTTCAAGCACAGCTATAGCAGCTATAGCAGCTGGCCACTGGTGGATTGGGATGAAATTTCTTGAAACTGAACAAAGTTGCTGGTTGTGGTGGCTTTATGTGGAAACAAACATCGAAACAACAACGCTGAAAACATTCGCTGTTTCTCCTCTGTACATGATATATTAAAAAGCCTCCTCACACATATTCTTAAAACAAATGAAGTGCACAGCAAAATGGTTAGACAGACAACCTTAAATGTCTGTAAACACTGTTATTTCAAATGATATTTACAGTGATGTCTCTTTCTTTCTCCCTAAGTTCAGCAGGTTGGTGCTGATACTGAATTAAAACAAATATAACGCCAACTGTTCAAAATGATTCGATACGGGAAGTTTGAAAGTCTGTTTGAAATTTCGAGTTTTAGCTTCTTTGTCGGACTCATCATCTGCCTTTTCACCCTGACTTGCAAATTTTACAGTTTTACAGAAACTGAGCAGGAAGGTCAGACTGTTCAAGAAAAGAGGCATCTCAGATGAATCATCTCAAACTACTACAGCTGATTTCATAAGACTCCGCTTCAGAGACTTCGACAGTTCAATGTTTTCTTCCTTTTTGCTGCATCAGAGGGCAGGGTGAGCTGTGGGTCAGAAATGGAGAAGTAAAAAGTTTAAAAAGATGTGTGTAAACATCAATGTCTTTATATTATCTAATGTGAGCTAGTATCTGGGCCTAATTCAGAAAAAGAATTAAGAATAAAGTCTATGTTACAAGACTAAAGTCGTTATATAAAGAAATTAGAGTCATTACGTTACAAGATTAATGTTCTTATGTAACAAAGTAATTTTGTTCTGAAATTCAAGTCCTGATGTTTGTGGGTTAAGACTTAAATTGTTCGATTAGCGATTAGCTTTTTGAAAGGGGAAACCACACACCTTTTAGCAACTTTTAGCACAGTCCTGGGACTTATAACAATATTGTATGATTTAGTGCTGAGGTGCACATTTCAACAAGTCATGCTCTTCATTTTAGTACAGACAGCTGGCTAAAATTAAAACTATGACTTCTTTAGTTACGGAACATAACATCTTTATTTTCCTGAGAAAACAGCTTTATTCTTGTAACGTAAAAAATTCATTCTTGCAACAAAACGGCAACTTTATTATCTTTAACGACTTTAATATCATAATTCAAAGTATATTCCTGTATCATGACTTTATTCTCATTATATGATATTTTTCCTTTTTCATAACAAAACAACTTTATTCCTGTATCATCATTATTATCATCATCATCGTCATCATCATCATGATATAACTAATCAAAATAACAATAATGCATTTTGTTTAGAGGCGCCTTTCTTGACACTCAAGGTCATATTACATCACTGAAACAGAACTCAAATAACAAACAATAGTAACATTCAATTTAAAAAGTCTTAAAAGAACTGACTCTGGAGTTGTGGTCAGACAGTTTGAACAGATGAGTTTTGAGTTTGGAATTTAAATGTGGGAGTGACTCAGTATTACAGACTTCAGGTGGGAGAGGGTTCCAGAGCTGGAGAGGAGGGCGGCTCAAGACTCTGCCCCCCCATGAGCAGGGGGGACAGGGAGGTGGATGGAGGAGGAGGATCTGAGGATGCGGACGGGGGTGCCAGTTTGGAGAGAGAGTCTGAGAGATATGGAGGGGCGTGGTTGTGTATGGATTTGAAGGTGAGGAGAAGTATTTTATAGTTGATGACATGGTTGATACAGGAGGTGAAGGAGATAGTTTTGTCGAGGGTGACACCCAGACTCTTAACCTGAGGAGAGAGAGAGATGGATGGGTTATCGATGGGGAAAGAGAAGTTATAGAGTTTATTTAATGTAGATTTTGTTAATTTAAAGGAGTTCAGTCTTATTATTTAAGTCTTATTTTTAATTTTTAGGAGGTTTGAGGTAAACTAGGATTTTATTTCTAGGAGGCAGTTGGTTAGGGAAGAGGGTGGAATTGAGGATTCAGGCTGGGTGGAGAGGTAGAACTGGGTGTCATCAGTGTAGCAATGGAAGTGAATATGATATTTGCAGAAGATATGACCAAAGGGGAAGAGGTAGATAATAAACATCGGGGGCCCCGGGATAAAGCCCTGGGGTACACCTGTGGTGACAGGGACTGGATGGGCGGTGAATGATTTAAAGTTTAATGAACTGAGTACAGCCTAAAAGGTATGACTGAAACCAGTTGAGAGGTGAGTTAGTGATGCCTATGGAGGAGAGTCAGAAGAATGGTGTGTGAATCTGTGTCGAAGGCCGCACTCAGATCAAGCAGGAGGAGAATGGATAGTGAACCAGAGTCAGCAGTAAGGAGGTGGTCATTAATGACCTCCTCATGATGACTTTATTGTCATTATATGACATTTTTCCTTTATCATAATATCTTTTTCTAGGAACAGAGCACTTTTATATTTGTATTAACTTTATTTCTGTGACACAAGTTGATTCTTCTAAAATCATAATGTAAGTTAATTCTTGCAACATTACACCTTTATTCTTCTTTTTGCTCACATATCTTTATTCCAGTTTATTTATGTATTCCGTAAAAACCTTATTTTTGTGACAAATGATGACTGCATTCTAATAACATAATGACAGTTCCTTTTGACTGTACCAACTTTATTGTTTTATAACTTTATTGTCAAACTGTGAAAAAAACACCTTATATAAAGTGGCTTCAATACTCTGTCTTGACTCGTTGCAATTATAAAATCTTGGTGACCAGCTTATAGATGAGTCAAAGTTTTTATAGACACAATAAACATATTAAAATTCCACTGAAGGACTTAAAAAGAAAAAAAAAAGATTTAACTGTCAGGAATTTATTTCAGACTTAAACATTCAAATGAGCGAAGGTAAGAAAAATCTTTATCTTCAACAAAAGCCACATTTATCCCAGACAGTCCCTGCTGTAAAGACCTTTTCTGAGGAAATGAAACTCAGTCTGGGTCCTGCTCTTTTGCACCATTACTAACAGTGTAATACTTTATGACCCCCATAAAGCATGAGTAATGGGAAGCAGGGTGAGGTGGAGGTGAGGTAGTTTCTACACACCCGTGGTTCAGACGATCAGCTCGGTGTCAGTTGACAGGTTTACAGAAAACGTAACGGAGCTGATATGGACACCGGTGGTTTTATTCAAAACTGTCTCCTTGTTGTTGTTTTCTCGGTTTGTCTGTGTCTGACTGCTGGAACCCCTATAGGTAAGTGGGTTTACATGTCTGTGGCCGCCCAACAAATGCGATGCTGATGATGTTGACTACTTTCTTTCTGTGATAAGTGATTTTAGTTACATTTGACTGAACATGTTGTTAGTACAGAAAACTTTTAACGACATATCTGATATTAAGAGTGGGCCAATGATCGAAGAAAAGGAGGCCATGTCCTAGAGAGGACCTATGAGACTTTTCCTTAATGTGAACTTTTATATTACACAGGGGCGAGGTGTATAAAGTAAAAGGATTGCTGACTAGCAAGGTCTCAAACAGCAATGGATAAACACGTTTAAATGCTTTTATATGTGGCTCAAGACAGTCTCAGATGGCTGATGCTTGATTTTGTTATGCTAGCCCTCAGAGTACAGAGCTATATCCATACACCACCTCTCTGTACAGGAAGTTTTCAAACCCTTTTGTTCGGGATATTCAAGTCTAGAGTTTTCAATTGATGCTCATGGAGGTTGTAAATGCTGCTTGATGCTACCATGGATGTACTAAAAAGATGTGACGATGGGGCAAGGTGTGGGATATATTGAGATGGTTGTTAAATTTATCAAACAAAATAGTTCTGTTACATTTGACCTCAGATATACAGTATATGTCTTTCATGATTTCCAGCTCAAAGGTCATAAATTCATTAAAATAGTTCTTCACCAGTGGATCTTTGCTGCTGCTCTCCCTGCCTTAGCTTTGTATGCAAACTCATGGACAGAGGGGAGGTGAGCTCTACCCACCTCAGGCTTTGGTAATCCACCTACACGTAGAAGGGCAGAGACCTCTCAGAGCAGACCCATACTGCCCTAACATTTATGATCTCTGTGGACTTGTATTTCTCTGTTTCTAAAGGTACTTCAGTCATAAACTGTAATTCTGGCAGCAACGCGGAAGTGGGCCAGGTGGATGAGGAATATGTAGGTAAGCAGAATCAGTGTTGCTTGGATAAGAATGATAGATCCATGCTTGCGTTACAAAAGTGAAAGCACGAGACTGTAGAAAACATTTAAGTCAAACCCATCTAACAGTTCTCCCATGATGCTTCAGGGGATGTCGAGGTGGTGACTGGGATCACACCAGGGAGTAATGTGAAGCTGGTCCCCTTCCTCTTCCCCGATCAACTTGAATTTCTGGAGCTTGGTTTTACATTAGGAGACACTAGTGCAACCGTACGCACAAGGAAGCCGCTGGACGCAGACAATACAATCCTAGCATCTGTGAGTCAAAGCAACACTGTCCACTGGAATTTAAGCTACTTATAATTCATTCATCTTTTCCAAATACATTTTACCTGATTAGTGCTTTAAGAAAGCTACTGCAAGATTTGACCCATTCCAATATGTTAATCACAAGGTTGTGTTATGGGTAAATTAAGAGTCTGGGTTCACTCCAGCTCCTCCTTTTTACGCTCTATAAAACCAGTGTTGTATGAATCGTCACTGATGCCTGCTCTGTTCTGTACCCTTGGGTCTTTGCCATTGACTGTATATAGAATGGACGCTGTCAGCCTCCTTGGTGAAGCCACTCCAAGAACAGCACCCTCTGGTGACGGGCTGCAGTATAGGTCATAAATCCCGCCTCCGCCAGCAAAGCTCATGGGGCTGTGAACAAACTTTAGAAATGTATTACACAAAACATAAATTTTTTTATCCCTTGTTTGTGATGTTGACATGTAGTTATTGTAAGACTGGTTTGTGCTCAAGTCCTCTTTTTTCTGTGAAGCTCCGATTTTAAAAGTTACGCTGTTTGAGCCGGGCGTCATCACAGCGACTCTCAGCGACTTTCCAGCTGAATGCGTACAACGCTACTGCGCAATGGTGGTTTCAGGAAATGGAGAGAATATGCGGAATTACAGAGAGCTTTTCGGCTTCAAATCTGTATACTGGTGGAAGGCGGAACAAAGCTGTCCACAGTTTATACAGTCTATGGTCTTTGCTGTTGCTCTCCCTGCCTTAACCCTAGCTCCTCCTTTTTATGCTGTGTCTAACTCTACCGATGTCATTTGTATTGAACTCGTGAGAAAAAGTCCTGATTTTTTCCTGTGTTTCTTTCTTCCAGAGAGACAGAACGTTGTATTACTCTGTCATGTGTGATGGTGTGATAAAGGTGGGTAAATGTGCAGTTTTCAGTATTTACAAGTGTTACAAAACAAAGAATTTCAACTTAATTTTTGCTGTTGCAGTACAACAACACTCGTAAACTAAGACTCAACGACCTGAATGACAACGGTCCAGTATTTAGGCAGGACCACTACCACACTACAGTCTCTGAAGTAAGTCAGAATGAAATTAACAAATTATTTAACCAACAAAATTAAACCCTAATCATAAGATTAGTATTTAAACAGGTCCCACCAGGCGTTAATGGGCTTAGATATGGGGCTTGTAATACTGGGCCTCACCATCATAGCTCAGGCAAACCCTGAACAATGTTTACAACCAAACACTCATCATACAGATGAACCAAAACAAGCGCTTAAAGCTCCTTTGAGGACCTTTTAATTTGTGTCAATTCTGGCGCCCCCTGTGCCAATTAGTAATCGTGCTCAATGAAAGAGACATGCTGTTGTAATTGTGGCTATTTGGGGTCAGATTTTTATCCTGACCCAGGCTCTTCTGGCAGGCTTGTCATTTTTGTTTGTTCAATCAATTTTTCACTTGCAGAGAAAAATGAAGATTCGTAACCATGGATTTGATTCATCAAGCATCTCCTTCCTCTTTTAGGCAGCATCCTTGGACACAACGGTTCTTCGTGTGGATGCAGAGGATGCTGACAGCACCCCAACGAACAGCAGGCTCACATATTCCTTTGTCAGTACATGTACTTGCATCAGGAAACTTGTTGGGTCAGATTGTTTCTCTCTGTGAAAAATTCATAGTCGCTTCATTTTTAAAGGTACCAGCATCAGAGGACTTTTCAGTGACAAACTCAGGGGCTTTTCTTTTGAGGAGACGTCTGAACTATAATGCAGTCGCAAAGTACGACTTTATTGTAACAGCCCAGGTAGGGGTACAAAATATTTCCATCTTGTAAGGCAGGCTTCTTAGCCAAAAACAACAGCATTGGATAAACTTTTGAATTTTAACAAACATTTATTTATTCCTTATTTATTTATTTTGCTATTTTCTCTTCAGGATATCGGGGGGCTAAATGACTCTGCCACTGTGACGATTAGCGTAGGAGACTTTGATAATTTAAATCCTTATTTCAGCCACAACATGTACCGAGCCTTCATCCCAGAAAACCAGGTCAGTTCCTCTACTAAGTATTTAAGCCTTTTTTATATCAGGGACACTTTTCTCAAGCACTATCTTGAAAAGCAATGTAAAATAATTAGCAAAAAAATCAATATCATTGTGGTGTATTTCTTAGATTTATCATGACAAGTATGACTTTTGTTAAACTATATTTAATATTTCTATGTAAATTTGTGGCTTTTGGTGAATTTTACATACAAATTTATATAAATAAGTCATAATTAATTTATATATTTTAGGCTGGGACTTTTCGAAATATTGAGCCAGAACCAATAAAAGCCCAAGATGGAGATACTGGAATCAACATGACTGTATCCTACAGGATCAGTTCAGGTAATCAAACAGAAAATTCAACTTACCTCAGAGTTTTATAGTTAACTCTGAAACCCTTTCTGCAGCTCTCTGTTTTAAGCATCTTTAGACCCATCTCAAAACTACTGTTTTTATCCAAGATCTCAGAAAAAGTTGTCCACACCGCTCATTTCTTATATGAAGGACAATCGGATCTTGGAACAGCACTGAAACTGCTCTGGTCTCTGATGACTTACTGCTTGCCACTGATTCTGGCTTCTACTCTGCTAATTCTTCTTAACTTCAGCTCAGCTTCTGCCACAGTCAACCACACAGTCCTAATCAGCCATCTGGAATACTAATTAGTGATATACCACTGGGACTTACCATCCCTTGGACAGGTTTTTCTGTTGTGCTTGCTGCCTGCTCCTCTTGTGTGCCTTTATATGCGGCGTTACGCAGGTGTCTATCTTGGGTCCCCTTTAATTCACTGTGTATATGCTTACTCTGGAGCAAATTCTTTGTAGGCATGGTATAGACTTTCACTGCTATGCAGATGACACTCAGCTCTATGCTATGTCAAAACCTGGCAACGCTGATCTGTCTAACATTATGTCTTGTCCAAGTGAAATCTGATTGACTCCAAATCTAGAGTTAAAGTTATTACTCCCCCCACCTAAGTTCTAGCTACATAAGCAATCTGTCCCTACGCCTGAGTGCCTTATTTAAAAAGGTTCCCCAAGAGGCCACAACTAAGGAGTCATTTTAGACTGACTTTTTCTGACACCCAGGTCATTTTTATCAGACTGGATGACTGTAATGCACTTTATTCTGGCATCAGTAAGCACAAAGACAGCAGGTAATTTAAACACTCAGTAAGAGAAACCATCATACATCAGAACTAATTTTAAGATGTTACTGCTTGTTTTTAACGCTTTAACGTGAACTCATTCAAAACTCACTTATATCCTTTGGATTTTATTGGTCATTGACTTTGTTATACTTGTGTCTGAACTTGATCTGACATAGTTGTAGTTGTAATAAATTTTTTATAAAGATGTTTTTAACCTTGTTTAGTGGTGTCATTAAAACACACACACACACACACACACACACACAAATACATAAGCTGTTTTATTTGATTCTTTCAGTCTCTCCAGACAAGTATGCGGGAAACTTTGGCATTGATTCCAGCAGTGGAGTTGTATCTGTGCTGACTGCTTTGGACAGAGAGGAGATGGACAGCAGTGTGATCTCTGTCAGCATCAAGGTGAGCTTTTAAGTTATGAGAAGAGCTTATTTGACACAATAGCTAAAACAGGTAAAATATCATAAATACAGTCATCAATGCTGTGAGGACCATAAAAATGTAAACCCTGACTCCCTGATTATTGGTTATATTTGTCTCTGCAGGCAGCTCAGACTGACGACACCTTCAAAACAGCAGATACTGTAGTGTCTGTGACTGTTGAGGACGTCAATGATAACCCTCCAGAGTTTGACCAGCCTAACTACACCGTATCACTTCCAGAAAACTCTCCTGTTGATGCTGTTGTCTTTAAAGTCATTGTCAGTGACCCCGACCAGGTAGATATCGCTCAAACCACACTGATAGAAAGTTAGACATAGAAAGTGTGAATGGCATGGACACCATTCAGTCCAATGTTTAGTTTGATACTTTTCTTTTTCATGCCCCTTTGAAAATGAATAAAATGCCTATTAAAAAGGAATGCAAAGTGACTTCCTCTGTGCTCCCTTCCTCAGGGAGGGTTTGTGGGGACGTTGCAAATCCTTCCAGAATCTGCTCCTTTCTCTGTCGATGCTGATGGGACAGTTCGAGTGAAGAACTCCTCAGCTCTGGACAGAGAGACCACCGAAGATGTCACATTTCAGGTTAACAGGATAAAAAAACAGGCCACAAATTACAGTATTTACCAACATGCTATGAAAAGGACTGCTTCAAAGCTGTGTTTTTTGACTTATTATACTATAAGCTGTTTCTTTGTTTATTCCCAGATTGAGGCCAGAGAGTCAAAAACACCCAATCATGTCGTAACAGCACAAGTAGAAGTGACTCTTTCGGATGTGAATGACAACAGTCCTACTTTCACGACTGACAAGTACGAAGGAAAAGTGTTTGGAAATCAGACAGTGGGGATGCTGCTTGTGCAGGTGGGTCATTTAAAGAAAGGTAGTTTTAGGTAAAGTAGCAGTTTTAAAGCAAAACATGTCAGGGTTGATTTTTTGTTTCAATGTCAGTATTTTTCTTTCTTTCTTTTTTTTTTTTTTGTTAAGCAAGTGATCAAAAAGCTCTCAGCTCACATTAAGAATACAAAAAAAATCGTGTTTATTTTTTGTCTAGTCTAGTCCAGGCAGGCTGTAAAGTGAAGCTCTGCCAAAAGTACATCGGCTGATCTCATATTTCTGTAAATATACAATATTTATGAACTAAAACTTTACAACTTCACAAACCTTATCCAAAGGCTTTTATCTACGTCCTTTTATCTGTGATCACGTCCTTTTAGACATTGAGCTTGGTGCTAGTTCAGGCAGGCTGTGAAGTCAAGCCCAGCCCAAAGTACATCAGCTTATCCTATATCTGTATGAATATAGGTGTATTTATAAACTTAAAACTCAAACTTTCTAAAACTACCCTTAAATCAATTGGCTTCACAAGCCTCGATTTGATATCAAGTAACTCCTTAAAGCTATGACAAACATTAAAACTATTATAAACTTGACAATTTACTGTTGTGTATTTTAAATGTTCAATTCTTGAGGTGCTGTAAATCATGATTTCTATATTTTCACTCAAAGGTAAATGCAGAGGATCCAGATGCAGGTCCAAATGGCCAAGTCAGATACTCCATTGAGTTTGGAAACAAAGACGACTACTTCTCAATCGAGGAAACCACTGGAGAGATCACGCTGGCTAAAACCATTCCTCTGGTGGAAAACATGATTCAAGAGTTTTCTCTTTACATAACAGCCAGAGATGGTGAGCCAGAGATTATAATTCGACACTGTGATTGAAGACATTTTCAAGTTAAATCACACATTAATATCAGAGGGTGGCAAAGCAGTCCTACCGCAGATAAACACATCTTTAAATCAGATTATTTCTGTTCCCCTGCTGTCTGTGCAGAAACTTTTGGACTTCGGTCATGTGAAGCGCCTCACCTTTGGTAGTTTTATAATCTTATGATCATAAAATTGATATCATGACACAAGAATGAGTCAGGCACACTGATTTAATTGCTCCAACTTATATTTGATCAAAAGTCTTGACCTTCTCAATTTCTATGTCCTGGGCGTCTTAAACACAGGTTCATACTTTCTGTTCACCGGGGGGTCTTTTAACATAACTGATTGTATTTTAATTTTTGGTAAATTGGAAGGAGTCCCAGTTTCATGAGCTTCGTGTTCAATGTTCTTGACGCAGTGCTATAAAACAAATATCCTTATCTACAGCTTTTTTCATAGCTACAGAAGTCAAGAGTTATGATACCTCTACAGTGTGTGCCAAAGGGAAGAGCTGTCAGACACAAAAACACACAAAAGTAAAAGGGTTTCAGGATATGTTAGGGAGAAATGAAGAGAAAACTTTCTGATTCTGTAAAGGTGGAATTATGCAAGTGTGATTCTTTATGAGGTATCTGTGAGTAGGGGATCACCATCAGCTTGACCTCTTTGTAGATAAGCAATGAAGTAAATCAGAGTTAGAGACTAAATTAATGATCTGTTTCAACACTAACAGCGTGATAATGGCACTAAATATAAGCAGCGTGAAGCTCAAAATAAAGCAGCTGTCGATAAAGCGCATTTAAGAAGGCTACAGTATATGAAAAGGGTTGAATTCCACTGTTTTACAATCTAAATATGTTTCTGCTTTAATAGTTAAGCATATCTATTGCACAGGAACTATGAAGGCGCTAAATAAACCAAAACCACTGTTATTTTCTTCTTCACCTCTCCTGTAGAGGGCCTCATACCTCGCTTCAGCTCAGCACAGGTGAACATTCGAGCTCCGGGTGACTCAAATGCTCAGTTTTTACAAAAAGTCTACCACGGCACCGTCGAAGAAGAGCAAAGCCCAGGAGTTTTGATTGTCAGGGTGAGTTAGCAGAGGTGGTCACGTCTTGAAAATTGTGCCGATTGTTCATAAATCAAAAGAAATTCCTGTTGAATAACTGAAACATCCTGCTCTTCTTGTCTTCAGGTTAACTTCCTCCCAGCAGCTCCAGAGATTCCTGTGACTTTCACAGTCGATACAGAAGCCGATAAGTTTGACATTTCCTCTAAAGGTGAATTAATCACCAAAGTGAAGCTGGACCACGATGAGGCTCCACACAACTACTCTGTGGGGATCTCCATTTCTGACGGGGTAAACAGGGACAGTGCTGTGGTGGAGGTCCAAGTGACTGACATCAACGATAACAGTCCTGTTTTCAGCTCCAGCTCTGTCACAGCGTCAGTCTCAGAGGGTGCAGAGGTGGGCACCAATGTTACTGCTGTTCCTGCTACAGACAAAGACAGCGGCTTCAACAAGCAGATCAGATACTCTCTAAAAGGAGGAGAGGGCAGGTTCTCCATTGATCCTCTGTCTGGAATGGTGAGTGTGGCAGGCGAGCTCGACAGGGAGACCAGAGCAGAGTACGAGCTGCTGGTGATGGCTGAAGATCTTGGTCGTCCAGCCAAGTCAGCTACAGCATCACTACTGGTGCAAGTGTCCGACATCAACGATAACTCCCCTGTGTTCTCATCGGCTGAGTATCTGGTCGAAGTGCTGGAAGAGGAGCCAGTGGGTACGAGTGTGCTCACTGTGACAGCTGCAGACTCGGATGAAGGAGCCAACGGCAGAGTTAGTTACAGTATTCTCCAGCAGAGTCCTCCATCAGACCCTGCTGTATTTCAGCTGGACTCTTCCAATGGGACTCTGAGGCTAGCTCAGACTCTGGACTACAGCAAGGTGAAGATGTACAGTCTGATAGTTCAGGCCTCTGATGGAGGGAGTCCCTCTCTGACAGGGAACAGCTCTGTGGTGATAAAGGTGAAGGACGTGAATAACAACCCGCCTGAGTTCAGTAAGGAAAGCTACGACGTGGCTGTGACTGAGAACCTGCCCGGGGGATCATCCATCTTGACCCTGGAAGTCACTGACAAGGACGAAGTGAGTTACACGACGACGACACATCACCTAATTGAAATTATACTTACAGCATCCAAACTTGGACTGGTGGCTTAAAAATTGCTACACATTACAACATTGAAATTAAACGTTAATATTTGATGTTGAAGGGCTGAATTGTTCTTATGGCTGATTAATAACCACAGGCAAAAACATTCCTTCTATTTCAACATTCTTGCTTAAAATTCTCAGGGGGCATGACATTTTTTGAAAACTATCATGGGGGGTATCATACTTTTCCACATTTACAACAAAAACTGCAAAGTTTAGCATCCGTACTTTGTGTATGCAAAGTTTCCAATCACAAGGTAAACGTGTTTTGTCATAATCTGATAAAGTTTATATGAACTGTTCAAATCTTGGACAAATGCGCGAAAATGCAAGAGAGTAGTTGAAGTGTGAGATTTACTTAAATTTGATGCGAGAATTATAGGCTGTGTCCGAAATGAATCATTTAATCCCTAATCCCTAACCCCCATATGGGATTTCACTATATAGTTGATTATGTAGTGAGCTCAATCACTACATGGCATGACGGAATGCATGACGGGATGCCCACCACCAGTGAGTGACCATCGGTTGATCACTACATTTTGCAATGCTTTATGGGAAATTTTGAGTCCCCTTCATAGGGCACTGGAATTGATCACCGAGGTTTCGGACACCCCTCAAAATGGCGCTAATCCCCATGTAGTCACTGATATAGGGGCTGGGAATCCATTTCGGACACAGCCGTAGACTCTCCTTACTGGTTGATGTGCTTCCGGCAAAGCAGAACGGCCTGCCTCCATCACTGTGCGTAGTGACACCCACAGCAGAGCGGGTAACCATAGACATGATAATTGATTAGGGTTAGGGGGAGGGCCTTAAAGGGACAGCGACTAAGACGAAGCGTTTCAGACGGAGGCTGAAATGATACTTCAATACACCACTATGAGAATTTTTAGACTTTTTTTGATCTGAAAATCATGTAAAGCTTTTAAAGAGGTATCAGACAGGAAATATAAGGTCTGAAAAAAATTTATGATACCCCCCCTTTAACTTCAACTGTGATTCAATGTTTTGATCTTATCTTCTCCAGGGCGGGTTCTCCAACGGTCTGTTCATGTACACCAGCGATACCTTTGAGATAAACAAACAAGGTGTGGTCTCTCTGAGAGGGGACGTTAGCTTGGACAGAGAGACAATAGACAGCTACATAATACAGGTACAAACATGTCCATTCAACCTGCTTAAGACTCAAAGGGGTTTTACTGGTCATTTTATCAAACACAAGACCAGAAATCACCTTCACTTCACTCTCTGTGTGCAGGTTCAAGCGGTGGATCAGCCCACTGATGGTTTGACATCCACAGCTCAGCTCAACATCACCGTCCTGGACTACAATGATAACACCCCAAAGTTCCCTCCAATCCCAGACCCCCTTCTAATTCCTGAGGGTGACTACTCAGAGGAAAGTCCAGGAGAAGTTATCACCATCCTGCCCACAGACGCTGATCTTGGCATCAACGCAGAGGTCACACTCACCCTCCTCTCCCTACAAACCCTCTTCAAATTCAGAGAGGTGAGGCAGAGTGGCATTATTGGGCAAACATTTCCTGTGCTGAGACAGTTTTCTGAGGGGGTTTGCTGTGTTTCAGGATGGGATGCTGCTGGCTGTGGGACCTCTAGATCGAGAGAGCAGTGAGACGTTTGAGCTTTTTGTTAAGGCTTCTGATAAAGGCAGCCCGCAGAGAGAGGTGAGCGATACAACCCTGACAGACACTTGAACTTCTTCTAAGAAAGTCGGGGATGTTTCTGTTTCTCTGTCTGTTTTTAGTAGGTAACAGGAGAAATATGAAATAATTTTGGTGCACCGAGCTTTAAAAAGTCACATAATGTTCCTTATTTTAAAGTAAGACAAAAGGCTGCAGTAGAGCAGCTCGAAGTTTGATTTTGGAGTTTTTAAGTTTTTTGTCTGCTATGGTTTGATAGTTGACACTTCAGTTTGATTGCACAACCTGAGAACATGTCTCACAATGACACAGTATGAGTTGTGAGAATTGCAGATTAGATGTTCCTCTTAACAATGTGTCAGGTCAAACGGTCAACCAACATCATCAAAGGCCTGAAGATGTTGTTTTTGTCATCCTCTCATTATTAACTTTAAAGGAGACATAGTTTAGCTTTCTTTTGTCTGTCTGGGACACCTTAAGAGTTGATCTGTATGATGTGGAGCTCCTTATTTATCTCAAACTGGTGTCTGGGAAAACTCTCATTTCAGCTCTGCTTGAAAATGCTTCCTTTTTGCTGCTTTTTCTCTGATATAAAGTTAGACGCAGCTAAGGGTCTTATTTTTACACAGCTTTGCGTCCAAAAAAGAACCTGAAGTTTATACCTTTGCAGAAAACATCTGAGGCTCGCTGCGAGGGGCCACCTACTGTAGATCCCCATTTAGCCACATTAGCATACCTTTGCCATTGTCACATAGCCTGCTGTTAAAAAAGTGTGCAAGCCAGGGGTTCTGAGTCATCATAAAGGTCTTTATGGATGAAGAGTTCCAGTTTTCAGGAACAGCTGAGACTCAAATCCAGCTTTTATTCACTGTTATGTACAAATGAGTCATCAGTGAAGTGGTGTGCACAAACAGGAGGAGGCAGGTAGAGGAAGGAGAGCAGGGAGTGGAGCAGGAGGTGGCAGGTGGAGAGAGGAGAGCAGGGAGCGGATTACGAGGAGGCAGGTAGAGGTAGGAGAGCAGGGAGAGGAGCAGGGAGCAGAGCAGGAGGAGGCAGGTGGAGAGAGGATTACCAAGGATTACACCCTTTAGTACGTCCTTTACTGAATTAGCCCTGAACTGTCCCCTGTGCCCCAGAACATCACCACTATCAGAGTGAGTCTGACAGACATCAACGACAACAGACCTGAGTTCAGCTCCAGCAGCTACGTCAGCAGCATCCTGCTAAAGGATGCAGAGGAAGGGAAGCTGCTGCTGACACTGTCCGCCACTGACAAGGACGCAGGGAAAAACTCACTGATCAAGTACAGGTCAGTCCAGGCTGAATGAATCCACATCATATCTTAGAATATATTCTCACTTCATGTAAAGTAACTTTTTATCACATAAAGAGATGGTTCTTCCCAAACTGTCATTGGTTTTTTTATAAGGAGCAGAGGTATTTGTCAACAAACCAGCTTTTTGAATCTCTCTGCTCTTGTAGTTTTTCTGCAGGAAGTTCTCCATATTTGGCTTTGAACAGCGAGACGGGGGCAGTGACTCTGACCTCTGACCTCGCTGACATCACTGAGGACACCACACTGGTGCTGACAGCCTTGGCTGAAGACCATGGCCAGCCTCCTCTCAACTCCACAGGTCAGTCTGACAGCATCAACTTCATATGCAGGAACGACCACAAGGCGGCTCTTCATAACCATTTTGCCCTTCAGCTGGTGGACTGCAGCCCTCCGATGGTGTAGTTAGGGTTATTGTGTAACTTTTTGTGTGTCTGCAGCTCGTGTTGTAGTAAACCTGAGGGTCGCGAGTCTGACAGAGGGCGTGGCCTTCAAAAGCTCCTCCTACAACTTCAGCTTATCTGAAAACCAACCAAAGGGGGCAGCAGTGGGGACAGTATGGGCATCTGCAGGTAGTGCCATTTACGATGTTTCCTACGAGGTGAGAACTCACGCTGACCTGTTCTCCATCGATGCCAGTGGAGCCATCGTGACCAAAACCCCTCTGGACAGGGAGGAGCAGGAGTGGTATATCCTAGATGTGGAGGCAGTGGACACCAGGACCCCGCCGACGTCAGCCTTCACACTAGTATGATTTCAGGCTGCCACAAAGAAACATCCCTTTTTGTACAGTTGAAACAGTGTGACTGGGAATTTTCTCTTACTATCTCAGGTCAGAGTTCAGGTGGAGGACGTGAATGAGCCTCCTGAGTTCCCCTCAGAAGATTACAAAGCTTCAATTTTTAGCATTGCTCCATATAAAACCTCTGTCATCACAGTCAAGGTAAACACACACACACACACACACACTCACAGACTCTGATAGTCAGAAAACGTCCTCTTCACTTCCAGAGACTCTGAGTGTCACATAAGGACAGGCTGTTATTGTGTTACTGTAATACTCATAAACAGCAGGTGTATGTTTTGGACCAAACTACTGAGCAGCCTGTTTATTCCATGACTGATATGGTTAATGTGTCACCAAAGGGCAGTAAAACACCTCACATCGTCAGCACTCTGCAACAGCAAACAGATCATTCCTGTCACATGTGGTGTTATCTGACTCTCACTGGAAAGTTTTCCTCCTTTAGAGTGTCACATAGTTAGATCTGGTTCAGGTCTGGACCAGCTCTTAGTTACGCTACTATAGGTGTAGCCTGTCAGGGGGCGCTGGCACAGTGAGATCCTTTACCTCCTTCTCCATCCTCTTTCTGTCTGTGTTATTAACTTTAAATCATCATGTCCCGTTAGAGTCACTAATACACAGTCTTTCCTGGGAGTCCCTGAGCTCCATCATGCTGTACCTTCCTCTGGATCGCTGCTGCAGACGTCCTGCTGCTGTGGACCTGCTTTCCTGCTGCTACAACTACAAGCATCAGTCTGTCCTCTGTCCATCTCTCTCTTTCTGCATCTCCCTCTGTCTCCTCTCTAAACCTAATGCCGTCTCAGCAGGTGACTGTCTAACACTTATAGTCTGATTCTGCTCGAGTTTTCTGCCTGTCAAAGAAAGTTCTTCCACTCCACGGTAATTTGCGAAATGCTGGGTGGGAGTGGGTCTGATCTTATAAGATGGGGCTTAGTCTGATCCTATCTTTACACTGGGTCTTTGTGTACAGAGTCTGGTCTAGACAAGCTTTTCTTTGGTATGTGGTTTGGGATAATACTTGTGGATTGGTGCAATAAAAAATATTGATTGATTATTGATAACTTACTGGTGAGTACACAATGATCCTTGCCAACCATCCACACATCCAGCTCTACTCGTTGATGACCACATGCGATTAATAACCAGCTGAACCTGTTTGTTTGTTTTCTGCCTGTTGTTGCTCTCCGCTGACACCTGATTGGTCAATACTTCTCATGTTCTGCAAACATACTACAGCCAGGAACCTGAACACACCCTGGACTAAAATACAGATACAGAGTCTAGCAAAGTTACGGTTAAACACACTGTAACACTGAGTTAGACACCCCCTCGAGAGATGAATGTTGCCGACTGCTTGCTTCTCTAGTTTTACCAACTTTAGTAACGACCGCAGGATAGCAATACAGAGAGCCACGCGCTCAACCAAAACGCCACTCTATAGCCACAAATAATGCTCAGAACAGCACCTAACTTCATCAACAGTACATATAGGGCCCCAGCCATAGTACTAACCACCAAACATCTTTTTAACTTTGCCTGATTTCTTTTGCGAAGAGACTAAACATAACTCACCTACTCTCCTCCAGCAGCCACTTGTTTTTACGGAGACCTCCGGGGCCGAGTCCATCACCAACTGCTGTGGGGTGACGCAGCTCAAGGAAGAACATTTATGATCATTTCTTAATGGAAATGCAATCAGACCGAGACGCTAAGGCAGAAGAACTACTGCGTCTGAAGAACAAAATGATTAATATGGTGATTATTACTTCAAGGAAATGATAAGGTAATGATCATAAATGTTCCTTCTTGAGCTGCATCACCCCACAGCAGTTGATTGACTCGCCCTGAGGTCTCTGTACAAACAAGAGGCTGCTGGAAGAGAGTAGGTGAGTTGTGTTTAGTTTCTCTGCTGAAGAAATCAGGCAAAGTTAAAAAGATGTTTGGTGGCTAGTGCTATGGCTGGGACCCTTTATGTACTGTTGATGAAGTTAGGTGCTGTTCTGAGCATTACTTGTGGCTATAGAGTGGTGTTTTCGTTGAGCACATGGCTCTCTGTGTTGCTATCTGCGGTCGTTACTAAAGTTGGTATAACTAGAGAAGCAAGCGGTCGGCAACATTCATCTCTTGAGGGGGTGTCTAACTCTGTGTTACGATGTGTTTGACCCTAAATTAATTTTACACCAGAATATCCCTTTAAATTAACATGAATCAGCAGAACTTTTGGCAGCAAATTTTCCAGAACTTTCCTCTGACCTCTGCAGGCTTCAGATCCTGACTTTGGTGAAGAGGGTCAGCTGGTCTACAGTCTACAGTCAGGTGGGCAGAACTTTGACGTGGATCCATCCTCAGGTGAAGTGTATGTGGTGTCAGTGGTGGATCTGGGTGGTGAGGAAGTCACCATGAAGCTAATGGCCACAGACCCCAGAGGACTTCATGCTACGACCGAGGTGAAGGTGAGAGTGTAGGACTGAATGAAGGAGTTAAAACTGGTGGATGCACATTTTTATCGGGTTTAGAGAGGTGAGAAAAAGCACGAGATCAGTTTGAAGAATCTCGCTGTGTACCAAAGCAGTTTTTCTTTGCCTCCAGGTGGAGGTGCAGGGAGGTGCAAGCAGCAGCGACGTGGTGGTCATTTCTCTGAACCTCCCTGCCAACACGGTGGAGAAGAAAGTGCCTGAGTTGGAAGAGTAAGACAAGTTCCTGATTCATTTCTGGTTTTCGTGTTTTTTTTTGGGTCTGTCATTTATTTTTTTCCTCTCAGGTCTTTAAGTTCAGTTCTGGGCTGGACTGTGAACATTATTGAGGTTTCCTCTGCAAATGGAGGATCATCAGTTTCCAGATCTCTGAGAGCTGAGACCAGGACTTTAGTCAGCTTCATCTGTGAGGATGATGATGAGGAGATGGTGTCCTCTGAAGAAGTCACTGAGTAAGTTTGAGATCATCCAAAAGCTTTTCTTCTCCTCCCTCATTTTTACAAACGTATCCAGCCAAATAGTGGTGTGCAGTTATTATGAGATCAATTAGCTCCAATGATGTCCAGGAATCCGTGGTTAATAAGACATTAATGAGACTGCCTGGCAACAGTGATATGTCCAAACATTTCTCACTGATATCCAGAAGTTCTTTGATAATGCAACAGCATTTGGACTTTGTCTTTATAAGGGGGAATGGTTTAGTTGTAAACAGGATCACGTAAATGCACAGACAGAACTTTGACCTCTGATCTCCTTTGTGGGTGACCCAACAGGAAACTGCAGAGCCAATCAGCTGCTGTGATGACAGAGCTCTCCAAACTGTTTGGAGAAGACCTTCATTTCAATATCGAGGGAGAGCCTCACAGCGCCTCTTCCAACCAGGCTGCTGTCATCGCTCTGGGCGTCCTGTTGGCCCTGAGCATGCTGGGATTGATCGTTGCTGTTGTCTTGATCTTCAGGTGAGATCTCTAAACATTCAGATCAGATTTTAAAGGGGAATAAAACCAGCTCCCAAACATGTGAATTAAAGTTTGACCTGATCTCTTTTTCAGGTTCAGGAAGTCAGAGAAACTTGACAAGGATTCTGACAAAGAGAGTTTTGATATCAGCCGATTTGATGAAGGTTACACGTAAGTCCTCAGAACATGATTTAAATGTCATCAATGCCCTGAATCTGCAGCCTGGTCATGATGAAAATCCCTTTCAGGAACAGGCCTTCAGTGATGACCGAGACCTCCGAACAGGTATGAAGATAATCAAGCTTAGAGAAATTCATGTGAGTGAACAAACAGCTGACGAGTGATTTTGTGTTGCAGAAGGACAGGAAGAGTTCAGAGGACGAGCAGGTGACGGATGGAGAGAAGTCTGAGAAGGACAACGATTCTGTGGTCTGCAGCTTTTAGTCGACTGTACTGAGTCTGCAGAGTCACTGAAACAATCAAAATAACTACATCCGCTCTGAAATTTTAAAACAAGCAACTTATTACTTATTTATAAAAATAAACCTTTTTTGGCCTTACACAAACTGTAATAAAAACATCTTTCAATCTTTCAATTTAAGCAGCAAAATGGGGTAAAATCTGAACAAATGTTCACCTTCTTTTTTATCTGATTTGAGAATCAATTCGATCCATTCTGGAAACTGTGAAACTCTTTTATATATTGTGTGAAGTAAAGGAGAAAAAGTTTCATATGAACAAAAACTCTCCAGTCCAATATTTTTCAAATTCAATAAATTTAAATGTTGAAATTTATCTTTGTTTCTCTGTACATATGCACTTTATTTGCAAATGTAAATACTCCTATAAAAGTCTATGAAGGTTCTTATTAATCCAGATCATGGTATTCGGGTAACTTCTAAAATGACAGCTGGACTTCTTGGGTTATCTTGAAGACGTTTCGCCTCTTCTCCAAAAGGCTTCTTCAGTTCTAAGGGGGACTGGGTCTAGAGCTGAAATAGCCGATGGTGGCATCGTCAGTGTAAGGGGGCGTGGTCATCAAGAACTGAAGAAGCCTTTTGGAGGAGAGGCGAAAAGTCTTCAAGATAACCCAGGAAGTCCAGATGCCATTTAAGATGAAATCCCAGAACTCCTATAAAAGCTTAATACAACAGCAGTCTGAATGCTTTTTAATGTGTGGATCAATAAACAGTCTGTGAAAAAATATACTTGAGTTATTGTTTAGTTGGGACTTTCAAAGAACTCGTTTTAAAAATTTAATTGTGTAAAAAATATCCAATCAGAGCTGATATGGGGTGGAGTTAAACTGAGACAATGTTGATCACTGGACTTCAATGAGAGATCAACATTATCTCTTTTCCTTTAGTGCAACTTTTGTACATGCAGGAGAACAAGAGGTCCAGTGTCAGTATAGAGTCAGTTATTCTGAGTATAATGGCGGTCACTCAGGGATCTCTAGTTAATGTAACTTTAGGACATATAGAAGTGCGTCTCACTACTTCCTGCTCTCTAAATTTTCTCTGGAAAAAAAAGTTTCTCTGGAAGTTAGAGGTCCTCTTTGCCTTCGCCATGCTTTGCTCATTCTTCACTCGGCTGAGGCCCAGCCTGCAGGGACCAAATCCATGTAAAAACACCTAACTGCCTGACATACCCCCACCCCGCACAGGTGCCATTGTTTGAGCCAACCAGCGTCATTCACTCCACCTGTCAGCAACACTTTCTGAAAACAGTTACAAAAAACTCTTCTCACTTACCGTTTTTATCTGCTGCCGCCTGGAAACAATTTCAACCTTCAGTTCCTCTAAAACCGGGTAATAAAAAACCCCAGAGGTCCACATGGTTTTCAGTTGATATTCTTCATATTAAAAGTGTTTTTATTAATTTATTCTCTATTAAAATAAAATCAGGAGGAATCAGAACACAGCAGAAGAAGCCAAAATCAACAATAGATCATGGAATGTACTTCACTAAATAAAATAAAAGCTTCAGCTGGTCCAACATGGCGGCTTTATTTCAACCACAGTCAAATAAAGCACCGCTTTTATATATTCATATATATATAAAGATATTTATATATATATTTATATAGTTTTCATATACACCTTCAGGCAATGACTAGAGAGGATTCTTTACAGAATCAAGCTTCTTGTGGTTCTCTTAATTTACAGGTAAACTTAGTTTCTGGATAATTAAACCACAGAAAAATTCAAGGCAACTTTCTTTTGCCTCGTTCATAAAGTACAAAACTGGCACAGAGGACGACAGTTTTTATACACAGTAAAAATGCAATAAAATTAAATTACATACAGAGGAGACAAAAGTTCAGTAAACCTTTCCCCATTACAGCAAATAAAATCACTATCAAATAAATTCAAATCAGTATAAAACACACAAAAAACATCAAACTCAACTTTTTTTTTTGCCCTTTGAAAAAAATGTGCTATAGCTTTGAACGACTTTTTCTGGTTTCTTCTAAATCAGTCGAGCGAGGGGGTCGGCTGTGCACGGAGTCTGAGTTCATAGAACAGAAACAGCATGGCGGGAGCCACTGAAGCTGGAAAACTGACCGACTGAACATCAGCAGAAGGCAACGAGCAGCAGCACGAAGAACAGCAGCAGAACAAGAAGAAGAAGAAGAACAAGAAGAAGCCAGAAACAGGAGAGGCTTTTTTTCCTCCGAGCAGTTCTCAGATTTCCAATGAGGAGAAAAACAAACAAGAAGGAAAACAAAAGTTCGTGAAAGATCTCATGGCGGCTCTAAGTTGATGATGTCATGAAGAGGGGGGGCCCTTTACAGACAGTTTGGTAACTATGGCGATGGTAGCCTCCACTGTCCTGTACAGCATGTCCAGCATGTCAGGTGGGGGGCCCGTGCTGGCAAACACCGGTGAGGAGGGTGTGTGGCCACTGCAGCCTTCTGACCCCTCCCCTACCAGGCCAAGGGCTGATGGGAAAGCAGTGTCTTCTGAAAGGGGTGGGGCTGAGCTGTTCTTAGAGCCCGACTCCTTCTCGTCCTTTACTTCCTCTGATGCAGGAGGCATCACCTCCCCCCTCCTCCCCTCCTGCTGCTCCGCCTCCTCCTCACCTGCTGCTTCGCGTCTCTTCAGCTCAGGCTGCTCCCCCTGTGCAAACCCCTCCCCTGCCTCCTGCATCAGAGAGGAGAAGGAGGAGAAGGAAGAGGACGATGACGAAGAGGCCTCCATCTTCTCCTCTTTGGGGGAGGAGTCCAGATTGCCAGAGGAGGTGGGGGCGGGGTCAGGAGTGGGCGGGTCCTGCTCAGTACCCGGGTCAATCAGTGAGGAGGAGTCTCGTGTCTCTGTGTCCGAGGTGCTGGCGGGTGTCAGCGCCTCCTGGTGGTCCTGTTTCTGGTCACTGCAGGGTGGTGGGACCGAGGACGTGGAGGCCATGCAGAGCGGCGCCGCTGCATCACTGGCTCTGTCGTCCTCGCTGCTCACCCTCCGCCGCTTCACCGGGGTTGCTCCTTCTTCCTCAGCTGACACACAACAGACAAAAAACCTAGATTAAAACCAGACCGACTTCACGGATGATATTTATTTTTAAACAGTTTAAGAGAGTCGCAGGTTTTGTGGAATCTATCGATGGATGGTACATCTGATCTTTTCACTGACGGTATTTAAAACTCATATTTCATTTGTAAGGGTTTGTGAAGTGCCATGGAGGAACTTAATTCTTTTATCTAAAGTGTCTAAATGAGTGAAACTATTTCATGTGTTAAGAGGAAGAGGAGGCGATAACGATTTAACCTTCATCTTTATCTTTTCTTGTGTGTTGTAGTTGTACCTTTGGCCTTGTGGTCCTTGGCCTCGAGCTCCAGAGCACTGCGCTGCTGCACACACACTCGACAGCGAGCCAGCAGCTCCTGCAGGGCGGGGCAGAGGGCGGAGTCAACGGCCTGAAGAGGCTGAACAGAGAGGAGGAGCACCAGAGCCCTCAGGTCCTAAGAGGAGGAGAGAAACACTCTGAGGTTTTAGTCTGAACCTGTGCAGGAGAAGACATGCTGAGTGTGTGTTTGTGTGGAAGTGTTCATACAGCGTTGAGCAGGCCGCTGGTCTTGCTCAGTTCCACTCGGTGGGCTGCCAGTTCAGGCTGCAGGCTGCTCTGCTCACTCAGCAGGTTTGTTACCAAAACGCCGATCAGGTTAGAGCAGCCGGGACCCGACAACACCTGGACCTGCACACACGCACATTACGCACAAAGATCAACACACGCAACATCAAAATATCCAGAAGAAATCTGGTCTGAATTCAGTTTTTTGTCTTTACTTTGTGCAGGAAGCAAGTGAGGAAGGAGTAGGCCACGTTGTTGTTGAGAAACGTCCTCTCGTCCATCATGATGCATTTGATGTACTCGCTGAAGGCCGGATCCTCACACAGCAGTTTCACACATGTTTTAGCCAGAACAGACTGAAAAACAACGACAAACACAACGTTTTATCCCTGAACATCTCCTGGTTCTGACTTGGCTTGAACAGTTTATCAGGTACCGTATTTTCCGCACAATAAGGCACACCTGATTATAAAGCGCACCATCAATGAACGCATCTATTCGCGTCTATTTTCATACATAAGGCCAGTGGTTCTCAAGTCCAGTCCTCGAGGCCCACTGTCCTGCATGTCCTTCCAACACACCTGATTCAAATGATCAGCTCGTTATTAAGCCATTACAGAGCTTGATAACGAGCTGATCATTTGAATCAGGTGTGTTGGAAGGACATGCAGGACAGTGGGCCTCGAGGACTGGACTTGAGAACCACTGCATAAGGCACACCGGATTATAAAGCGCATTAACCCAAACAATACAGTCAGATAAGTCAAACTTTATTTAACTCATTCAATAACTCCGCGAGGCTACGGTAGCTGCAGTGCTCCGACAAGCCAAAAGCATTTTAAGTGCGCCTTATAGTGCGAAAACTACGGTAATACAACCATGAGGTGTTCCTGATGGTGTGCAGTACCTGAGACTGACAGAGCTCCGTCCACAGTTTGGGGAAGAGGGCGAGGTGAAGAGGGAGTCCTTCATATGCTATCAACACACCTGAACGACAAAGTTAATGAGTAAAAACCCTCCACTGACAGCAGATACTTTATATGAAGCTTAGATTTTCAGTGAAGACGTACTCAGTTTGACAAGCGTGTCTGTGAATTTCTCACAGTTGATGGCGACGCGGCATAGCAGGTGGATGAAATGGTGATAGGACAGGAAGTAATCCAGCAGCATCCGGTCGTACACCTCGTCTTTACCCTGAGAGAAAAGGAGCGACGCACATGTTCACAAACATCTGCAGGATACAAAGAGTCAAAATCCTCCGAGGATGTCCTAACCCCAAAGTTCCACTGCATGCAGAAAAGCAGTGATTTTCGCCGTCCGCCATTTCCTACCAGATGCATTTGTGAGGCAAATTTCATGGCGAATTTTGGACAGTGGGAATCGCAAGGACTCATAAGAACCCGTGGATTCACATGCGATTGCGCGAGTTGTCCCTATAAAGACGTGTCCTTCCAGAGGAGGAAATCCACTCTGTCCAGACCGGTAGATCAGACACTTTTGTGGAGACTGGGAATTAACCACAGGTAGAAGAAAGATTCATCTTTATCTATGAAACAAACCACGTTTGCATGGTGTGAAATACAATCTGCCTTAAACTCGTAGTGTTTTATTTTGAAAAGAAGCCTGATGTTTTATTTTGTGTCTTTGCCTGACTTCCTTTCCAGCACAGGTTAATCTGTTCTGAATTTATGCAGCGGCATCCGGGAAAAATAGAACTCTGGGGATCGGCTACAAAGCTTGCTGAACCACAGGGGGGCCAGAAAGAAGCTGGTGGAATTTGACACATTAACTTGAACGGAAACGATCAGTGGCGATTGGTGGTGATCAGTGCTGATGGCCTTTTTGCCGCCGTTCTGTGTGCAGTGGAAAAAACGCCAGCACAATTAGTGATTGTCATTCCTGTTGTTCCGTCTGCCTGGAGGGTTCAGATTTCTAGATTTCATCCGGATGATCATGTGGACGACTGTCTGCCAGACTGTCACCTTTATATTGTCCTTGTGAAAGTGAAAGTTCAGTTTTGTTTCAACTCATTCTTTAAAAATAAACAGATTAGATTTGGTTTTTTTTTTTTCCTTTTGTTGCTTTTGTCAAGGTCCCACTGTCTTTGTCTCGCCTTTTTGACTGGGGTGGCACCACTTAAATACTGGCATTAGTCAGGCTGGCCAGAGTATTATCAGCCAGACAATTCCTGCACTTTTTCTGCAAACTTACATCAACATTGATTGATCATGAAATCAGCTGCTGGTATATTTTTCCTGCTGATTTGAAAATAGTCTGATCAAATTTAAGGCTTAGAGGGAAGTTTGGTGTCCCTCGTGTCTTGATGAGTGAATGAACTCACTGATTCATGAGTTCATACAAACACTGAGCTGCAACAATGAATAGAGAGGTAAAAGGAGGGGAAGTTATTCCACAGAGCTGCAGGTGTGTGTCAGGTGTACCGACCTTGCTGCTCTCCACCATAGAGGGCAGCAGACACATGTTGAGCTCGGGTCTCGGGGGCCTGATGTTGTTCTTCGCTCCCATCAGTTTGATGTTTTCTCTGCAGGGTAGGTAGGGACCGAAGGACACTGAGGACACAAACACATAGAGACTCAAACTGAGCCCTGTACCAGACTTTCATCAGTTCATTACATTAAATGTTAAGATTGCTCTGTGTTACAAGCATCTTAGTAACGAAGAACCAAACAGACAGGAGAAAGAGTTCAGTAACTTTTCTATGTGAAGAAACTATGAGCAGTAAAGATGAAATGATAAAGAGGAAGAGGAGACTCACTGGGGATGTTGCTGTGGTGGTAGGTGCAGTGGTTGTGCTGCAGGAAGGGGACCAGGGTGTGCAGAAAGTCATGTGGACTCAGAAGAACCAGCTCCTTCAGGACATCTGCAAAAAAACAGAAAATGAAGACACAAAACATCAGAGCAGAGAAAGATTCTAGTTGATTTTACAGGAGGAGAGACAGTCATACAACAGTTTGTAAATCAGTGTATGAACGGTGTTTGCGTGTGTTACCCAGGCAGGCGTTGCGCAGCTCTGGTGGGCTGTAGGAGTTGAGGAGTGTGAGCAGCTTGTGGGCAAAGTCGATCCTCTCCTGCCACTGGATCAGAGCCTGTTTCACATCTGGACGAGGAGGAGAGCGGGATTAAAAACAAGCCTCAAGACTAACCTCTCAGTCCAATGTACTCTGAATCCCTAATATCATGTTTAGATCTTTGTCAAAAACTTTTTCAGAGACAGCGTGGAGCCTCACCTTTGCGCTGCAGGTACGGCTGGGTAGCTTTGAGGATAGACAGGAAGATGGAGAGCAGCTCCACCAGGTCTCCAGTGACGTGACACGCTGTAGCCTCGTGGTACATCATGTGCAGAGTGTTAAAGGACTGAAAAAGATCAACAACAAAAAGTTTGAGGGTCTAGTTTTTTAACTGGATCAATAACTGCAGACAGATTTTGTCCTGTACAAGTCTTATAGGAGTCGATGATATTATGGCAGGTGTATTACGGCAAATACTGCGCCATAATATCATTAAAGCAAATAGGCAAAAAAAGACACCAACTAAACATCTCTAGAATATTTAAGTTCTCTTCTCTAGAAAACACAAACTAAGCTTAGGCAGAAAAATGTCCAAAAGTTTGACTTTCTGACTCCCCAGCGCCTCTTTTTTGTGTATCGAGCTGATCTCAAAACATTTCACCTCAACATTTGAGTTTTATTTTCTGCAGGAAATATGAGCTCCTGGTTTTGAAAGTACCTCAGTCATGAGGATGAGTCCTCTGTTGAAGACCACAAGCAGTCGGTCCTCATCGTTCTCCAGCAGAACCCTGAAGGCACTGAAACAAACAAGAGCAGGTGTGAGGATCCAGGTTAAATAAGTGTGCAACAATCTGTGTGAGTGTGTGTGTGTTTGTGTGTGTGTGTGCTAACCTGATAAGGGTGGTCCAGCAGGAGCGTCCGTCCAGGCAGCGCAGGTAGCAGCTGATGGTGGTTTTCTTGAATTGTTTGACATCGTCCAGCTCTTCTTCTCTCATGTCAGCTCGCTGAGCAACGAACAGCTGCATCAGGTTGAACAGCTCCTCCACCGCCTGCAGGGGGCAGCACACAAATATATATCATTTTCATCCTCTCACTGATAAACACTTGAGATTTTTAATATCTCTCAGACTTCACTTAAACTTTGAATGAATATTTATGTTGATCTACGTATCAGATCCTGGGCTCACCCCGGGGTACTGGCTGGCGTGTGGCGTCAGATTCTTGAAGGCCCACTGGATGTTCTGGTGCGAGGCGAGCTGGCGGGTGAAGGCGGGCGACTGCTCGCAGCACATGCGCAGGATGCCGTAGTAGGCGGGTAGCATGCTGCGGTTGAACAACACCACTTCCTGGTCATCGTGGTCGGCCAGGATGTAGTTGAAGGCGATGTTCTTGGTCACCACGGGGTTCTGCACCACCAGGCGCACATTCTCCGGACAGTCCACACACACGTTGTACCAGAAGGATAGAAGAGCCTGCTTGTTGTGGTTGGTGGCGATGGCCGGTTCAGATAATTTAGGCTGAGGACAGAGAGGAAGAGGAATTAGGAAGAAGGGAAGGAAGGAAGGAAGTCACTGAGGAGCTGAAATAACCAGCGCTCTGCTAGTTTAAGGCATAAAAAAAACAAGTGAAATAACAGAGAGAATAAAAGACAGACAAACACCTTTAAAGCTCATTTTTGGCAAATTCAGAAGGACCTGAATAATCAGTACCTGGAAAAGGTTCCAGAGGTCCATGAAGTATCCAGAGAACATCAGTTTTTCAGTCTTTGAGATGAGGCAGTAGGTCATGAAGCTGAAATACTGGACCAGCTTGGTGGTGCCATGAACGCTGGCATCCACATAGAGTTTGGCGCGTCCAAGCAGCCCCAGCAGCAGGTTGTAGACCTGATGGAGGACCACGGTGGTGTCAGGGGACAGCGGCAGCTCCCGGGTTGGCAGGTGGAGAGAGCGTGTGGAGCGAAACATCTGACGGAAAGAGTTGCTGGGAATGAGGGAGACGAGGAGGTACGCTGCCGCTGCAGGAGGAGAAAAGGAGACGGTTCGTGTCAGGATGCTGAGTAAGTGGCTTCATTTTAAGGTAAAGTCGATCCTGTCAGCGGAAAACTGTCATGCACTGAGCATCCAGTTTCTCCAATACAACCCTACTTCAAAAATGGTGAAACATCCCTTTAATCCTTGTGTAAATTACAGGAGTACAAAGTCATTGTCTCACATGTGCGGACTCGTGGATAGTTGTGGGCCAGTAGGAAGCGCTCCACCCAGTTCTCCATGTTCTGCAGCACCCAGCTGTGAGCCAGTTTGTTCCTGGGAGTCTGAACCGCCAGCCAGTCCAGACACTGAGACGGATTGTACTCGATCACCTGAGGGAGAGAACAGAAGACGAGCTTGAAGGCGAGGAAAACAAAGAGTTGATCAAGAGTGGCCCAACGTTTGAGTTTTTGGCTGAAGATCTGAAGCTTTAGAAAGGATAGATATATTCACAAGTTTACAAACTGATACAATAAGTAAAAAAAAAAAAAAAGGTCCAGGTGAAGATGTTTGGAAGGATTTTACCTCCCAGATCCTCTGAAGGATGAAGGATGCAAAGGAGGGCATCCCCGGAGGTCCACCTGCAAACTCCATCAGCATGGTCAGCAGCTTGAAGAAAGGATTAGCAGCCTGAAGAGGAGGGGGGACACCAGAGATAAAAACATTAATGTGAGCTGATTTATACTGCATTCAAGGTTCATGTCGTGCAAAGTTTATCTTTAAATAATTGGTGTAGTTATAAGAAGAAGAAGATCTAACTCTAGAGCAACAGCTAATGATAAAAAAAGAGCAAAATAATAAACAGGATCATACAAAATCTTGTAAATTTTAATCTTAGAGTCTCATTAAGGATTTCTGCAGTTTTTTCAAGTGTCTTGTGTGTTTGGGGGGGGGTTGGGTTAGGGGGCAACCATTTCTCTGCTATGACGCTCACCTCAGGAGTCAGCTTTGCAATGGAGGTAAAGAGCATTGACACGATCTGGAAGAGTGAGAAAGACACAGTCAATATCTGGCATCTATTTGTGCTGTTAGCCGCAAAAAGAAGTGGTTTAAAAGACAAACGAGGAAGCATAACATTCCACATGCTGAAGAAACTGCAGCTCTAGAGCAGTGGATTGTGGGTTTGTCCTCCTTCTGTGAAGACTCTGTTCCTTTTCTGTGTTTTTTTTGTTCAGACCTGAAGACGGTCTGCACAGCTCTAAACTCTAAAGTTTGATCTGTGAAGCTAAGACTGTAACTGTGAACTTAGTGTAAACCTAACACTAGCATCATCCTTCGTTTGTGTTTGCGGTAAACTCACGTGTTCAGCCAGCCGGTTGTTATAGCGACAGAGGCTGAAGATGAGGTTGCAGGTCTGCCTGATGTTGATGCCGTCTCTGATGTGCTGGAAGAGAAAAGGGAAGCTTTTCCCTCCGGTCAGCGCCGCCATGTCGCTCTGAGACAGAGTCAGATGTCTGGAGAGTAAAGAGAGGAAGAGGAGGATGAAAACTTCTTCAGGAGAGAGGAAAAGCGTTTGAATCAAACCGGTGAGCTGCTCTCGAACCTCTCCGAGCGAGACTGCTCCACCAGCAGAGCGATGAGGGCGATCATCTTCTCCAGGGCGGCGGGACGATACTTCTCCTCTGCCAGAGACAAGATGTCCTCCTCCTCATCCTCCTCTTCTCCTTCCTCCTCTGACAGCACCTCCACCTGAGGCTGAAGGAGGACACTCACAGTTTAAGCCTCTCATAATGAGTAAATATCATTCAACTACAAGATCATCATGAGCTCAAGTTTTCCATCCCAAAAAAACACAAAAGACAACAAAGGAAACTGACACGTGGATGTTCACTGTCACCAGTGAGGGAAAAAAGTCAAACTTACATTTTCAGGTCCTTTAGTTCCCATGTAGAAATGCACCATGATGGAAATGGCTTGAAGAGACAACAAGAACTGACTCTGCAGAAACACAAAAAAGACAAATGACTTTTCTTTATTTAGCTAAACAACAACAACTGCTTCAAAAATCATCAGGAGTAAAAATCCTCTAAAGTCTGACTAAAGATTTAAAAAGAGAAGAAAAGAAACTCTGAACTCTTCTAACGGGCTCTCAGGGATCATCAAAGCTGAGATACAGAAAAAGAAGACAGATCTGTTAGAGGATTCCAGACCGACCTCTTCCTCTCCCATCTTGGCGAACTCGTAGAGGAAGGCGAAGTACTCGGTCAGGTGTTTGCTGTGGGGTTTGACGCCATGCTCCATGATGGACAGAAGGGTCTTAACAAAGCGAGTGACACAGGACCTGCTGCCGATATCCTCCACCGGACCGTCCATGTCATCAGAACTGAAGAACAGACAGGAGAGGGTTAGTTTCGAGAAAACTGAACGTTATCTGCAGAGTTTAGACTAAAGTTTTACTTGATGTGTCAGTGATGTAGAGACGTAAATCTTTCTCAGAGTCCAGAGCAGCAGAGACACTGAGCGACAAACGGCTCCTGTTTAAGTCTCTGTAGCCGTCAGATTTCACAGACACAACACTGAAAGTTTGAGCTGCACACCACGACCGGCTCAGTGAACGTGTGATAAAGAATGAATTTTGTAGGACCAGTGGGACCCTCATTATGAGGTACCCCACTCATCTGACCCACAAACTGTCTGAGCAGGAGACTGTGGACCATTAAAGGTGGGGTAGGCAAGTTTCCCTCGCTCTATCAAGCCCCGCCCACAAATAGACGCTCCTGCTCGCTCATATTGTTTCACTTCAATTCAGATATAATGCAGTTCAATACTTTAAAGCATTGGTGCTGCTGAAGATGCCAACAGACTACCAGCAAACACAATGTTTGCAGGACTTCTACAACTAGGATAAAGTGACATAGTCCAGGACCCGAGGTCAACAGTTTAGCGGTGCTACAACATGCAGCAGGTCCCGTTTGACAAGAAACACTTCTGTTACAGACTCTTAGCTTACTTTGTTTAACCTGTCCAGCAGTAAGGTTACAGGATCCGTATGATCCCGAAGCGACCCCCATTGACCCAGCTTTTTAGCTGTTGCCCAGTCGATCTCCATTTAAACGCCTGCTATTCCACCAGAGTCTCCAGTATTTACGTTGTTTTATTGCTTTTGTTTTCCGTACTTTCTGGTTGGTTTCTACTGTCCGGTATTGTAGCACGCTAACTTTGTTTGGGCTCACGAGCGATATTCAAGGACGTGGAGCGTGCCTCACAACCAATCAGGCGGGGGGAGGCGGGGGATGGCTTTGTTTACAGTCAGAAAGAGCAAGCCCTCAAAAATGTTCAAAATGTTGACTAAACAGACGTAACAAAACACAACGATATCGTTATATTACCAAATGTCATCAATAACTAACAGCTATTGACTGATATTAAAAGCTTTTTTGTATAAACACCACAAAAGAAGATGCTTTTTTAACGTGATCCTGCCTACCCCACCTTTAAGGTCAGAACCATGAGGTACAAATGCAGCTTCTATCCAGAGGCTGAGCCGAGTGAACTCCAGGCCTCCTTTTATACTTCTCACATAAATCAAATTTTAAGGTAATTTCTGGGTTTTTATGTCATCACTGAGAATTAGGACTGTGGATACAGTAAGAAAGTGACAATACAGTAAGTGACTTGCTCATCAGACTTACCCGTCCTCCATGCCCGGCTGCAGGTACAGGTGAGCATGAACTGGACGAAGCCTCTGGATGACATGAATACACAACCTCTGGAACATCTGTGAAACAAAGGTGGACAAAAGCAGCTCAGACATTCAGCCCAGTTGGTGGTTTGGTTTTTGTTCTGGTTGTTTTTGTATCCAACACTCTATCAAACACTTCAAGAAATCACACACAAGTTCTACAAGATGTTTGACGATGAGACCTTCTATGCTGAGGAGAGCAGGAGCAGGACTGTGTTTTGGTCCCAAAGGACTTGGCTCTAAAAACCAACTCTAAGAGCCATAGGGAGCTGAAAGAGCCGGTTCTTGCTGAGCCAAATGATCCAGAGCATTTACACCAAGGTAGTTAACCTGGGATAGAAGATGAGTCCAAACCCTGCCCTGGCATGAAGAGATGGATCACAAACAACATAAACAAGCTCACGTGGCCTTTGTGGTTTTCAAGTAATTAATAGATCATAATGGATGTTATCTTTGACTGGATCTGGGTCGTGGGAATCCTCCTCATAGCAGCAGGAAGAGGGTTGGACCATCAGACTTTAAACAGGTTGTTACTTTGAGGTTGACTTCCACTGATGAAGGTTTCCTGGGTTTACTCGTATCTATTGTTGAATTTTTGAAACACTGACTTTCCATATTCTCCACCAGACTGTGTAACAGCACCCGTCTGTCTCTTTCAGAGTTGGGTTTGGCAGTTTGAGCAAAAGCAGAAACTCCAGGGAGTCAGCATGAGCTGCTCCGACTCTGTGCAGCAGCTTTGACTTGAGAGCTGAGTTAAAGCTTACTCAGAGAGACCTCAAATTTGGATCCCGCCACGTTAATATCACAGCAGGTTGTTTTGGGGGGTTGCCGTGACAGCCTGACATCAGAAATAGGTGACGTTTTACAAGAACGCGAAATCAAAATTCACTCACCTGTCTGACAATCTGATTGGGGCACTTTATGAGGATCTGCATCGGCCACCAGTTATCGTCAGCCATCCGATCCAAAAACCACTGAAACACACAAGATCATCAGTTTGAACTAAATTCAAGATAAAAGCAACAAAAACACACTACCGCTCTGTTTATATTTGTGATATTTGACTCGTGGTCTGCAAAGAACCTTCAGATGGATATGATGCACCAAACAGTCACATCTGTTTAACACTGTGTATTTTCTCATTACAAAGAAAATATCAAAATAATGTTGAATGACGGAGTATATGAAGTGTAACCAAAACGACCGACACCTTTCACACAGAGTACAAACTGTTATAAAGCTGAGCTCAAACCTCGCAGGCCGCCTGGCTGTTATTAAACTGCTTAGTGAGGAGTTCAATCCACTGCAGCATGGTGGGCTGGAGGAGACGAGACAAAGGCAGATGTTCGTTTTTCACTGTTCAGACTCACCACAGGCAGAAAAATCTAACTTTGTGTAATAATGTGAGAGAGTCTTACCTTCTCCTTGGAGTGTATGAAAGTTTCGAGGACAAATGATGTGCTGAGCTGCAGAGAAAATAGAAGAGTTAGACATTTGAAAATGCTCATATATCAGATTTTAAAATCCCAGTGAGCCCTTACTCTGCTTTTAACTGTCACAACAAGATTTGATCATTAAGTTTGAATGTAGATTTTCAGTATGGAGTAAAACTGACATTAAAGAGTAAAAGTATTTCATTTTTCTTACTTTGGCAGTCATTAGAGAGACGGCTTTAGGGTCAGGTAATGTGCTGGGGATACTGCTGCAGAGCTGCCACATGAAACTTCAAAAAGACAAAAAAAAAAAAACAGTCATGAAAAGTTGTTTTAAAAAGAGGTAAAAAGAGAGAGACTGTGATTCATGGAGCCGAAATGTGCAAGTAAGAAATGATGAGGTGATTCCTACCCAAAGTAAGTGTGTTCAAATATGTTTTTATCCTGGAGGAACTGCATGTTGTCGTGCCAGATCCACTGAAAAAGAGAGAGGTATTAGATTTCAGTGTAGATGTCTGTAGATGGTTTTTCCATAAAGAAGCAGACGTGCAGTACCTCCAGTAGATCAGGAGAGACGTCAAAATTAAAATCCTTCCCGTTCTCCTCCTCCAGTTCCACTCTTTTATAGAAGAGCATATAGGCACTGTGTGTCTGCAGGAGCAACCAAATGTTCATCAGTAACCCTCTGCAGCATGCATTGATAACAAAACAGGTAGATGATGATTTTTTTAAAAGCTTTGAAACTGTCTTCACCTTCTCAAAAGAAAAATCCATAAATTTGTCGGTGACAGAGTCGTACGTTTTGGTCTGAAAGGTAAAAAAAATTGAGTGTGAGTTAAATGCACATTTAACAGGATACTTCATGTTTTATCTCCTCTCGTCATATACCGTCATTTCTCCACCGAAGCACTCCGAGGCCAGCTGTGCCGAGTCAAACGGCTTCACCTCTGCGTCGTTGAACAGGTACCTGCAATCATACCAATCCCTTTAGATCTGAAACCTCATTCTGATGAGCTTGTAAAAGGTTGATTTCAACTTTTTAGCAAATATTTTGAAGGTCTTGGTGAGTAAAAAAGTTGTTTATCAGTGAAACAGGCTGCGATGATTTCATACATCCACCAAACTTGAGTAGAGAAAGTGTCCCAGTTTTAAAGATGACAGAGTGAACCTCATCATTTCTGCTTGAACGTGCGTCTGTCCTCACCATTTGTTGTTCTTGTAAGCGTGAGGGTTGATGATGTCTCTGATGAAGCTGTAGTAATGGCCGCCGTCTGCCGTGCCTGTGTGCACTGTGACTCCGATCAGATCATACTCGTAGCTCTCTGTAACTTTTGCCTCGCCTTCTTCCCGAAAACCTGCAGCAGGAGAAAAAACACTTTTGAATAAATCCAGAACGCTAAATAATTTTGCCGCCTGTTATTTTAGGTGATTTGTGAAGTTTGCACGAACCTTCTTTTCGCTCTCCTTTGCCCATAAGGAAGTCCTCAGTGTACGGCGTCATGTCGAGGCGCAGAGGGAAGGAGAAGTGTGTGTTGACCTTCTCCTTCATCATCGTTACCATGTTGAAGGTGTACCTCATGGTGTTGAAGCTCAGGATGCGGGGCAGCTTTTTGAAACATGCTCTGACAAAAAAGAGAGACAAAGGTCAAAGTCAGACTCAGATTATAGAGGCAATCTGGAAGCTATCGAAGCTGCTGTCTTATTCACTCTTTAAAAAACTTAAGTCTGGGTAAGTTCCAACCTTTTCTCCGCTCGGACCTTCTTGCCACACTGGGAGCAGGTGTACATGTTGTCACCCTCCAGAGTGTCCTTTATCGTCACCTCATCCAGAGATTCCTGAATTAAAGCAACAACAACAGACGTTTGAGAGGTGCTTCAACTAAATCAGCCACTTCAATAACTTTAGAAAACTTTTTTTTATCCCATCACCGACTGAAAGTGATCATGTGTTTCTTCACTTACATAGATGTTCTTCATGTCCGCCACTTGGCATCTGACGGTGTAAAACTCCTCTGCAGTTTGACTGACGTGATCACAATCCTTAACAAGACAGAAGAGAGTCACTCTGACTGTAGAAACAACAATCAAAACAACAGTGGAGACCAACTACCTGTAAACTAAGTCAAACTCTGCTGTATATCTGAGAAGACAAAGCGGTTAGATGATGTTTTCACAGGATATTTCTATGATCCTCCGTTTAAATTCACATTTAAAAAGGTTGAGAACCGCTGGTCTAAATGGCCAAATGGTACAAAATTCTGAACAGGATCCAGTTGCTCAATATGTTAAGTGTCTGACAAAATCGCAGAGAGGATCCATAGAGACTCAGAGCTTCGGTTAAATAAGAACATCTCTATTTTTAACCAGAAACAAACAGTATATTCCTCTCTTCAAAACCTACACTTATGAAAACAGTCATTAAAGCAGAGGTGGACTGCTGCCTTGCTGCTACTCTGTGACTCTTGTATCCAACATGGTTAGTCTGGATCCAACATAATGTAAAGCAAACAATCAACTCAATAACAAGCAAATCTAACAAATCAAGAACCTTCAAACCACTTCTACACCCCAAAATACACAGAAGAAACAGTTGTATTAAAAAAAAGTGAGCCAGGTTTAGAAACACATGAATTATCCTTAAAAAAAAAATACAAATATGAACAAAATTTATCTCCTTAAACTCACCAGAGAAACCACATTATTGGTGATGACTCCTCCAAACAAAGTCTTCACTGTGTTTTTCTGCAAGGAAAGATAAAAAGAAATCATTAACTGACACTTTCCCCTCAGATTTTAATCTACTCCTGCACTTCAGCTATTTATTTTAGTAAATTATGGAACAAACAAATCTGCAGATTGACTCCTAACATTTCATTCATATAAGTATCTGGATATATTAGAGTTTTCAATGACACACTCCAGCCAGGTTGGATAAATATCAAACCAGAACACTTACTGTCTGGTATTTAACTCTAAAAATGTTCAAATTAGACATAACAGGGTAAAATAAACTCCATCTATCAGTTATTAGAAGTTAAGTTAACAGTTGTAGATTTTGTTTTTTTGTACCAGCTCCTGGGACATCTCCTCAATCTTGGTGATGAGGTCGGTGAAGAACTCAGTCATGTCTTTCTGCTCCCCGGTGTTTAGAGGCTGTTTGTCCATGGTGTAGGTTTTACAGAAAGGCCGAGGGTTGTACGCTTTCCTCTCGCTCTCCTGAACACAGAAAGCATAAAGTAGAAAAATGAGACAACGATAGGACCATAATATCATTGTGTCATTCAAGGTTATCATTATTATTACTACTAATGAAAACTAACAACATAATGAAAAACAAAAGTTGTGTTATTGGAAACAAACATAAAGAGGAGCCTTTGCAGTTAAACAATAACTAAAGGGTCTCAGTTTCTGGCTTTGATACCAACAGACTGACTAACAAACATCCTCTCCGTTTTCCTGACGAGTAGTCAGGGGGTCGATTTGGCAGGACCTCTTCACCGGTTTTTGAGTTATTTTTCTTACAAAATAACTTTTCAGGACTTTTTGGGGATTCATCCCGACCAGTATCGCTTCTAAAACCAGCACTTGAAGCGACAAGAAGTGAACTATAATGAAGTCTTTTCGAATAAAGGGAATAAGCAAACTAAAAAATGCACCAAAACTAGACTAAAAATGAAAACGGAAAGTTTACAGCTCTTTCATCCTGGATATGTAGTTGCTTTATTTCCTCCTCTCTGCTCTCCTCCTCTTGAGGTCGATCTCAGACAGCTGGGTAAATTCAAAAGCAGAACTCACCATCAGATATGTAAACATCTTCTGGAGCTCCAGCAGTGTGGTTTTGTGTTTGATATCCTCAGCGTACTGTGATAAAAAAAACACAGACGGATTAGATGAGGTGCTTTTTTTAAATGTTGGTTTGTTTCGGTTTTTTTCTGTCTCTGACCTTGGCAGTGAAGACGGCCTGGCGGGCCTCAGGGATCATGTAGAGCTGCTGGATGGTAGAGGCCAGGTAACAGGTGGCTCCCAGGTTAGTCAGACCCACAAAGCGACATTCGGCCCGGACATCATCGTGGGGCCAGTAGTCCCACTTATACGCAGCATGAGAGGCTGAAAGAGGGAAAAGTTACATCTTCATTTCTAATGAAGTTCAAAGAGCTTCTCACCTGTACCTGGTGACACATTCACCTCAGAGGAATTTTTGTTTTGATGTTTAATCCTGAATTAAAGTCACGGTTGATCTTAAAATCCAGACAGACAAAACCCTTTATTCCACTCAGGAGCTTTAAATAAGTTCATAGAATAACAGAGATTTAAAAAAGGTGCAATGAATCAAAGTGTTTATGGTCGTTCTTTATAACTTTATATGTCATCGTCTATTATGGACTTTTGAATTTTCTTCATAGTTAAACTTTTGTCTCCTTATTCTCTGGACTTATTCTCTGTTAAGGCATTCCTGTACCTTCATGTTCGGAGCTTTGCAGCAGTTTTTGCCTCAGTATTTCAGCTTTAAAGCACATTTACTATCAGTCTGTCCCCGTGTGTCTGGCATTAGCCTCACTTCAGGGACAATGTCCGACAGAAACACACCGGGGTTGTTATAGCAAGGCTTAAATTGAGCCAGATCATCGTCCCAGAGGACTTCTGACACAGAGTGTAGCTTGCAGACAACTTTCACAGGAATGATGCGCAAACATGGTGACGTTTTTCATTCATTTTTAAGCATTTCTTATATTTGACTTGGGTTTCTTGTTATTGCTGCTTTTTTTCCATTGATTAATCACAACCCAAAAAAAGGAAAAAATCTGACTTGACCTGATAATGACCAGCTTTCTGACATTTATGACGTAGAGCGAAATTGAAAGTGATGCCTTTTTATTACATCAAGAACAAACCAGACCATCAGTGATGAGCTTTAATACTCTTACATTGACATTTCTAATGCCTGAAAGTCGGCATGACCCAGTTCTGAAAGTTTACAGGTAATTCATCAACTCTGATTAGATGTTTTTTGCAAGAATAGCACAAGAAAATCTCACCCTGCATGTGCTGCGACATGACCCAGTTGTGCAGCAGTCGGTAGTTCTCCACGGAGCCCTTCACTGTCTCCACCAGCAGGTCGTAGGTGGCAGCTCGTGCAGCGTGAGACTTACATTTGGGCTGAGCGCGGTCGGCCAGGCTGGGCAGGAGGAAAAGTAGGTTGTGGACGTCCCGCAGAAACTCCTGGCCCTCACGTGAGAACTTGAAGGGTGGTTTGTGTTTGAGGACGCTAGTGGCGAGGCGCAGGAGGCCGGTCAGCCCGTCATCCTCGATCATCCCATCCTGCTGGTCCAGGATCTCACGGCTGCAGACGGAGGAACACAGAGGTCAGGATGGACCAGTGTTTCAAGAATAAATCCAAAATGAATCATTTCATTTCATTTAAACTGGATCACAAGCCTTAGAGGTTTGAAAAAGTTGCCAGTTAATTAAATGTACCTCACAGCTGATGATGTACCCTCACAATATTCCACGAAACTTGCGCTATGATTATTTGTAGTTGTTTATTTGCTGCTGATTCTTATGAACTTTCAAAGTGCAAGGCTCTCTCTTTTCAAACATCTAAATATTCTGCATTTTCTACTCGATCAAAGGCAGAGTAAAGCAGCAGTACGACAGAGTCTGACCTCCTGATGCAGTCTGCAAGGTGTCGAGCAAGAGCGTCCAGGTCCAGCAGGGTGGTCTGCATGGAGCCAGCCAGCGACAGAGAAGGAGAGACCTTTAGTGAGTTCAAACAGACCAATACTAGCAACAGTTCAATGAAACATCACAGAAACACTTCAGACTGGTCAATTATTATTAAGTACAGATCAATGTGATCATCAGTGCTGGGCTCTGAAGTTCTCACCTGACTGGCGTCTTTAACGTGGATGTTGTCGATGAGTTTGCAGAGCAGCCAGAAGTATTCCTTACAGCCTGTCCTCAGCAGAGGCTCCTCTTCGTAATCCTCCACCTGAAAGAAGAAGCTCACGGTTACATTTAGATACAAAAACAGCACGATGCTCCCAGCAGGATCTTTACAGACTGAAGTCACTGAGACTCTGTAAGACGACTCATACAGTCTGAACTTGAACCTGGAATCTTATTCAAATGTAAATCCTGTATGTACTGTAAGAGTGTAACCTGCCGACCAGCTCCCGGTCTGTTAGTGTGAAAGACTCACCCTCAGCGGTTTAAGAGCCTGAGCGTCTGGCAGGAACTTGAGGAGCGTGGACGCGGCGAGCAGCAGGAAGGACCTGTTGATGGACTCACCTCCCTCCAGACCCGAGAGAGAGAGTTTGTACAGGCCGTTACACGCCTCGTGTCTCACAGCAGGCTTGAGTGGAAAGAATAAAAACAATCAATACAAAAAAAAAATGCTGCTTTTGTTCCATGAGTCCAGATGAGTCTTGATTTTTCTTCCAGCTCACCTCAGGCACCAGCAGAGTGAGTTTCTTCAGCCAGTCGTGGAGGTGGTCGCTGTCAGCCAGGCTGGACTTCACTGTGGAGGAGCAGTGAGCCCAGCTCACCAGCAGCCACATGGAGTAGTGGGTCACTTTAAGAGGGAATAAACAAACATAAGGGTCTGTTTCTTGGTTCTGTTATTCAGTCTGTTATTGTCAGAGGACCTGGCTGAAATTCTGAGGTGAGAGATCATCAATCATCTAGAAAAATAAACAAGTCCTGTGAATCTCACCTTCATGACGAGACCTGTGGTCTGACTGAGCCTTCAGGACTCTGGGGGACACAGAAACAGACAGAGGCTGAGCTGTACCTGGTGAACTCTGCTTTAAAATGTAGTAAGTGTTTCATTTTTTAATCCTGTTACCTGTGTGCGAGGTTGTCGTAGGTGTAGGCCACGTTGATGAGACGCTGGATGAGGTTGGTCCCCTGAACGAGGCTGAGAAAGACCTGCAAACCAACACACGGATCAGCTAATAGTCGAACACAAACTGACAAGAACGACGTCTGCTGCTCGGACAACCTTTACCTCAGTGAGCCGCGGGATGTGCAGGCCTTTCCCGTGCTCCCCAGTGGACTTGCGGGATTTGCCCGGCCACGCCCTCTTTCTCTGGCTGTCAGCAAGTCCAGACCAGGAGAAGACGTCATGGTAGGCAAGATCCAGGTCTGCAGGGTCTACTGCAAACTGACAGATCAACTTCAGCAGGCAGGCCAGGCAGTCCAGCAGCCACTGCAGAGGAGACGGATGGAGAACTGAGTTAGAAATCACACCAAATCAGACAAAAATAACGTCTCATCTCAGTCACAGCCACATTATCAAATCAAAGTTTTCATCTTTTAACCTGCAGCGGAAACGTTCCCCCTTGAAGATACCCTCAAAAAGAAAACAATCCATCTCACCACAGTCCAGGACTCCTGGTCTTTAGGTTCCAGGATGCCTGAATTAAAGATCTCCAGAAGCAGCTGCAGACCTCCAGATGACACAAACTGGAGGAAAGAAAGAAAAAGACTGAATCTAACTTCAACTCTTTGGAATCTATTTTTGCGTTTCATGTTTTTAAAACCAACCAAAGTGCACAAAAAACTGTTTCATGTGCTTTTTCTGGACTGCTGCCCTTGTCAATCTCAAATTTGCATTCTTAATCTAACCCATTTTTTGGTCACAGAAAATGTGATGTTTCTGCGATGTACCTTGCAGCTCCAGGTGTTTTTGCTGTTTTCTATCTGATCCTCACTGGAGTCATCAGAGTCTGGATACAGATCACTGTAGCTGCCCTGGAAACACAAAAACCCAACAGATTAATCCAAGAAAAGACAGAGAGCGTTCATACATCCTGGTCAGGCACCTGTTTGTATCTCTAGGAGACAAACACTGATCATAATGCCTCTTAATATCAGAAGATCCAGCGTCAGCTCCCTGAAAGTCTTTGGTATGAGCAGTTAACATGGTGGATTTCACTTTTATAAGAGTACAGTATGAGTGTTTCTTTTTCTTACGGTGGACTCTCTGTGGATCCGTCGGTTGGGTTTTCCCAGAGCCTCGATTATCTCCAGAGCGTACAGCAGCTTGTGTGCACTTTTGATCCTCAGCAGCTCCTTCCAGCACAGACCCTCCCCGTTCTGCAAACCCACACACACAAAAACACACGTCCTCAAATATTCTCTTTGTTTCTTCTCTCTCTATATTTGTGAACTAAAACACTCTTTTTACATATAAAGTCAGAAGAATCCTGCAGTGGAAAGTTTTTAAAGTTTGTTGAATTCTGCTGCAGATATTAAGCTCGAACGATGCTCTCTGCAGCGGCCCCCCGAACTGTAGAGAAAGTTAAATCTCCCACACGGATAGAACAAGTTTCTGACCTTTAGACCTTGTCTCATAAGCTTAGCTGCGTGGACTCTTTGGTTTCACTGTGATTTTGTCTTATTCTTGATAGAGTTTTTCTCCAACCTTCATTTGTTTTGGTTGTATGGCTTCAATAAACTGTAAGTGTTTTTATTTCTAGCTTTTTCTCTCACTGTGCAGCAGTTTTAAAAACTTGAAGTGAACTTTTACTGGGTTTTGATTCTGGGAGATGTTTTTCTCAATAACTGGAGGAGATTTCTCGATAACAGGATCTTACCGTGTCATCGGAGATGTTCTGAAAGGCCTGTAGCATCTTGGGACACGTAGGCAGCAGCATCAGCAGCTCCCAAACCCGCCGAGACAGATTCTCTGCATGGAGGTGAAGCTCCTCACACCGTGCAGTCTGGAGAAAAACACACAGAAAGTATTTGTTTAAAGTCAAATCGAAGCTTCTAATGACTTTTTGGTCCCTGTTCTGAGAAGAAATAGACTTAAGCCACATGTGAAAGGGTGTTTGACTTTAGCATTGTGACATTTATTACTTTATGGAAGAAACTAATTAAAAACCAGGAAAATAAAAGTCAAACTCCTGACCATTCTGACTTTAATCTCATTGCTTTGTCATGTTACCTAAAGAAGTCTGTGAAATTTAACTTCTGTGATCAGAGACTTCTTCACAGGAGAGAACTTAAGTTTACTGATCCTGTTTGTTAAATGAATAAAAAGAAATGATCACTTCAATCAGTCAAAATACGAGAGTAATTCCAGGGTCATACTTCAATCCTAAAATACTGAATCATCACTTTTTATTCTCGTGTTTATTTAGCATCAGATTTTCTTCTTCTTTAACCTCTCTGTATTTCAAAATATTTGAAGAAGAAAATCTGAGGAAAAGCTCAGCAGAGTTTTCCAGACGTGGTTTTGAATGTCCCAGTTTTCTCCATCAGTCTCACTCACCTCTGGGTTCTCGTGGACCTTCTCAGTGTTGGGGCTGGGAGGTTTGAAGCAGGCCAGCATTTCCAGAAGGTCAAACAATGTAGTGAGGTGAGGCTCCTGGAGGAGCAGCAGCATGGGGATGTGCTCCTTTTGAGGGGGAGGCAGACAGGAGGCTGGTAGCTGGATACCCTCCCCCTTCCTCTCCCTCCGAGGAGCTCCCAGAGACACAAACACCATCTGGGATCAAAGAGAAAATTGATCCAGATCTGTTTCTGACATCTCAAATGACACTTGAACTGAAAGTTTTCAAAGTTCTCAAAGTTTCATAAATATGCTCACGAATGAAAAACCTAAAAACAGGATCAAAGACTCACAGCTAAAGGCTTCATTCTGTGGACTATCAGGGCTCTGGTTTGGCTGCATGTTTCCTCAGCAGTGTGATTGAAGTTGGAAGAAGAGGCAGCTTGAATCTGTGACTTCTGCCTGAGTCTACGGCCTGGTCTGACTGCAGAACAGCACCACCTGAACTCAGTTTGTGAATTTTCTTTTGTTCATGTGTCACCTTTTCTTCTTCATCATTTCTCAACTTAGAGAGTGACACGCTTCCACACCTAACATTTAAAAGCTGTACTAATGGAGCATCCTCACTCACTCTGCTCGTATCTTCTGTTCTGCTGCTTCACCAACACCAGTTTTCTGAGGAGGACCTGGCTGCAGACACAGCAGACCTCTGTCCACGCATGCGCAGTTGAAAGTCTGACTTGGTTTGGATCAAAGCTCTAAAAAGGAATTTAATGATCTCACCAAAGAAAGTTGTTCTTTTACTCGTTTTCTCAAACTTTACAAACAGACTTTTTTAGTTCACTGTTAAAACTGCAAAGTTTTAGTGATAAATAATTCATGATTTCTGCAGAATGCATTTTTAAAGTTACTCATTTTTGGTTTGTTGATCAAAAGCAGATTAAAAACATCATTTCTATCATCTTTAATGGTTTACGATCTGTAGAGTTCCCAAATATAAGATACTCCTCATAATCTGTGCCTGATTCAGGAAGTGTGCAGGTCAACTGCAGCAACATTTAACATCCTTTTACCTTCAAAGAACTTCTGAACTTTCAAAGATTGATCAAAGACACTTGATATTAACCATCTTCTAAGGTCTGAAATCACAAGTTCTCGGTTCAAAACTGTTTCTAAACTTTGCAATCTATTTTTAAAAATGAAGACAATATTTGCTATCAAAATGAAAGAAAATAGAATGAAGGGAACAAATTTCATGCTGGTGAGATTGTTTGACAATGGCTGAGACTGAAAACAGAGCTAAACTTCAGATCGAACATGCAACAATGGGGTCCAACTGAGCATGTGTGGGGTTACGTGGGTCACATATCTGAATTGATTCTTCACCTTGTGTGTTAAAATATCCAACTCTGAAAGTTTGATTACTTTTCAGCTGTTAAATTTCACGAAAAATAAAGTTATTTATTTCACAACTGCTAAGATTCAACTTCCAACTGCAAACACGCTTATGGAGCTCCGCTGTGTCTCCAGACAGGTGCTCTTGACTGTTTTTGCTGTACTGGATTTCATTTAGTTAGCAGGCTGCACAGAGTGATGGGTGGGTGTGGAAAAATAGTCTCTGTAGTTCCCGTTTCCCTCCACTTTGATCCACCGCAGCTAAAACAAAACTGCACTTTCTGCCTGGATATTTGCTGTGAAACAGACAACATCATTATATCCCTTATCGGAGCTAAAATGTTTTATTTGATCTTTCAACGATACGAAAAATGACTTTTTCCGTCAGTGTAATGCAGACTTTGAACACGGGGTCAGGCCTCTGCATTAAACATAAATAAAGTTCCAGGCAATTGCACTCAGGGGAACGGAGCGTGAAAGTGTTTGAGTGTGCTCATGTGTCCAAGTAGCTTTTAATCTTGAGTTTATCCACTTTATATTTGATTTGTGCATAGACCCATAGGAACATGGTGTCAAACTATAGGGATCCTGATATATTGTTAACAAACTGACTGCAGTATCCACACTGGACATACACATTGCACAGTGATCATTGCTTCAATCAGGATACACGTCTGAAGCCAGCTTGTACGTCACTCCTCAATCACTCATTTTGGACGTAGACAGATAATCACCTGCATGTCTTTAAAGCCCAGCTCATGCAGAGTCTTCTCGTCATAGTCTGTTGTCAGCTCGTGGCCAGAAGAGATCATCCTGACCGGTCCCATCAGTCCACCTGCAGGAGACATGACAAGACAAGGCGTCACCCACGAGTCCACAAAGTCCTGTGAGACATCAGGAAGAGAGAGCGTGGAAGTGACCCTCTGACCTGGGAAGTCAGCCGTCTGCCGGCCGCTCTGTCCAAACTCTTGCAGCTGAGCCTGCTGGTTCATCTGCTCCTTCTGCAGGTTCTCGTACCAGTGCGTCACCTCAGCGCGCAGGTCTGCCACCTGGTCACTAGGATACATCTCTATCGTCATCTGCGAACACACACATGGTTTACTGTTAGGCAGAATTTACTGAAAAACAGCATCAATATTCATGAACATTTAAACTTTAGCTCCAGATCTTTATCAGTCCTTTCACAACAAATCAGAATGATTTCAACATGAAGGGGTGTCTCTGAGGTGCCACCGGTTTCTATGCACAAAAATTCTCTGTAGTTTTTCAGACCAAGAGCTTCTTGTCAGATTAAACTCCTCCTCTGCAGAGTCTGGGGTCTGCTGTGTCAAATGTCAACGTGTCACCTTGTCAGGTAGTCCAGCGGGCTGGCAGACGATCCTGAGCGGCAGAGACTGTTTGTCACTCAGAGCCTTCAGGTGGCTGCTGATCCCAGTTCCCTCGATCTGCCACTGACGCAGATGATATGCAAACCTGACAGAGACGAATGGGACAGACATCAAAGTTTTACTGTGATGTTTTTAGAGATTCTCAATACAGGAACCTTTTTCCAAATATTTCTGGGTGGTGTTTACCTGCGTCGAAACGCCTCCAAGTGTGTTTTGAGCATGAGCAGTCCCCTCTCGATGCTGGTCAGGCTGGAGTGAGGCTCTTTCTCTAGGTTAGCTGAAGCCATGAGTAGACTCTCCATACACTTCCTGATGAACTCCTGCTCCTTTTCCAGACCTGTCTTACCAGCTGGAGACGCAAAAGAGAAAAAACATTAAGTTCGAAATCAGTTCAGAATTCAAAGATGGAAAAAAAATGGTCATTTTCCAAATATTAAAAAAAGGTGCTAATTTTTGTGCACACTATTACCACAATCAAAATGTGCAGAAATTCAATGTGAGTGTAAATACATCATGTTTTCATGTAAAATAATGTTTGATTAAACTTCTGCATGCAGCTATAAACCCGCAAAGCTTTCATGTGCAATACCGTAATGAAAAAAAATCCATGTGCAAAGAATTACGAGTACATTTTTCATGTAAATAATGTAATTTTCTAATTTGCAAAAATTGAACTGCAAATTTTATACGTTCAAAAATTTAAAGAAAAAAAAAACCAACAGTTTCATTAGGAAAACATCAAAAGTTTTCTTGTGTAGCTATGGCTGTCCAGAATTTTTATTGCATCATTATTTTGTGTTATTTTCTATGTTTGACACTGAATGATTAAATTCACATGCGCATAAAATAAGCGTGAATAAAATCCATGTGCGCAGATGCATTTGAAAACATAATGTGTAGTTTTAATGAGGCAAAAATTTGAAGTGCGATAACAAATAGTGCACAATACACATGTGGATTACTAAAAGTATATATGCATTATTAAAATATTTTAGACACAGAAACAAACTTAAAATGCTTCTATATGTGACAATGTTTGTGCAAAGTTTACAAGTACAGGAAAACTAGTGGGCCAGTTTCTGTGAGCAGCAATGCACATCAATGTTTTTTTTCTTGTTTGATTATTAACAGGCGGATATTTTTATTATAAGAAAAAAACAAACAAACAAAAAAAAAAAACATGACCAATGAGATATGCAGAATATGAGAAAACATGAGAAAAATCGAAAGAGCTTTTTAAGTTTGTACAAAGTCAGTGTGAAAAACCGTTAAAGACATTAAAGCATTTGTGTTTTCTCTGATGTCAAGCTCACCATTGATGTAGTAAGAGTTGATGTACTGGATGGCGGCTCGGCTGATGTCAGCAGACTGAGCTCTCAGAGCGATGCCCCACAGCTGGTCCATCCCACACAGCTGTGCACACACACACACACACAAACGCACACACATTTGTGAGGAAACTATCCATACTGCTTTAACGGATAGCTGCTCTAGTAACAGACACCAAACCCTTACTAAGAGCATCACTGACAAAACCCTCTGCCTGTTTGTGTCCTTGTGTTAAGCAAATCTGCCTCGTTTGAAAATGTCAGCGTGTTATTCCATCTGTCTATCTACATGCCATATTCCAGTTACTGAAGGTCTCTTGCTTTCACAGTAAGCTTGCACACCTTTGTAAATAACTGTTGTTCGAGTGGGAGTTTGTTGCAGCAGTTAAAGGAGTTTATTTACCTCACAGCTGGAGGCGTTGTCCAGAGCGCTGGTAGCGAGGCGGGCCAGGTTACACAGGTGCTGGAAGAGGTTCAAACCCGTCATGCTGATCGTCTCTGGCTTCAGCTGGGGCATCTAAAGTGACACACACACACACAAAGTTCAGTGTGCTGTTATGAAGCTGGCTGACCAGGAGCAGAGAAAGCCCTGAAACTAAAACTAGTCCCCCCAGACTTCCTGAGCAGTTTTCTAACAGTCCGAGTCTTGTATTTTGTTGTTGTGTGCGTTTGTGCTTCTCTACCTTCTCCAGAAACAGGTGTTTGTAGGTCTCCATGCCCATAGCATGCTGGTCCTTGCTGCGGACCTGATTGAGGAACCAGTGTAGAGCGTTGTCGTAGCACTCCGAGTCCTCCACCAGGCAGTGCCACAGGATGTCCACCTGCTCCAGACTCAGCCCTGAAACACACAAACAAACTCCTACTGTTACACACAGGCAGACGAACAAATGTGGACAGATTTCTCTCCATCTGCACTTTTAAAACACAGACGGGTGTGAAACTGAGGTGTGAAGTTTTATTTCCTTCATTCCTCCTCCTTTAATCTGCTTAGTGCTGTTTCTGTTTCTATAATGGATCCAGACTAAATCAGAAATCATCAAAAGACCAAGTGAGTGTGGGTTTGTAGAGAAATCTGATACATTAAAAGAGATGAAAGAATGAAAAATCAAACGACCTGGCTGACTCTAAAGGGAGATTTAAATCAAAAGGGAAAGAAGAGGAAAGAAGAGGAGAAGAGAAGAAGACGGTGATAGAGGAAGAGTAGTAGTGTAACAATGGTAAGAAAAAGGAGTGCAAGATGCAGAAAAGGCGTGAGAGGAAGAAAAGAAAATTGGTGAGAAGAAAAAGGGGGAATAAGGAATAAAAGAAAAAAGACAAGATCAAGAGAAGAAAATAAAGATGTGAAAAGGAGCAGCTGAAAATGTTGCAGAGGAAAAACACTTGATGAAGATGAAAAGGATGAAAAAAAACTACTGATGATGCAGAAAACGATGCAAAAGAAGCAGAAGAAGGAGATGCAGAGAGTAGCAAGGAGAAAAAGAGATGTGCAAGAAGGTGCGCAGGATGATGCAGATAAGGACAACAGAGCAGAGAAAGAGGGAAGATGATGCAAAAGACCACAAATGAATAAGCTCAAAAGAACGTCGCTGAAAGAGAGGAAAAAAGATGTCGACTTTGCAGACACACATCTTGATACTGTGTCCTTATCACCCTTAGATAAGGCACGACAACCAGGATGGAAAACATGCAGAGGAAGTAGAAAAGAAGAAGATGATACTGAAGAAAAGATGCAAACTTGTGCAAGATGCCCATGATGATGTGGAAGAAGATGCACAGACTTCACAGAAGAAGAAAGAGAATAGAAGAAAAGGAGAAGAAAAGTGGGGCAAAAGAGAACGATGCATGAAAAAGAGGATAAAAGAGAAAAAAAGTCTCAGCGAAAGAAACGATGATATTGTGCTTGAAGTGGGCTCACAGGTCTACAAGATCATGCTCCTTCTGACTAGAGTCAGCAAAGACCCCATGGCTTGATGGTTCTAAAGACTTGTTGTGGGGGGGAACCTCACATATGGACAATACAATCATGTATACTGTCCTTTGTCACATTGAACAACTTAATAGCTGAAAGAGAAGTGAGCTGGCGAGTTATGCAAAGGATCTGAAAGACTACCCTTTTGTAGTCTGTGGGAATAAAACCTTTAAAAAAATGGAGGAATTAGGTATAACTCATATCTGTGCACAGGCTGCAGAGGAAGATCAATCAAATGATGCAGAAGACGTGGTGCACGTTTGGTCTAGTGATTAAAGCGTGTGTCCCGTGCAGACGCTGTAGGCCACAGCAGCAGATGGTTCATTTATTTTTGCCTCTTGCAGCAAATGCTTTATGACTCGCAGCCTTACAATACTTGGCTCAGCACAGGTTGTCTTTGGTTTAAATCTAAATAATTGCTCTTAGTGATCAAAGTGGACTCAATCTGGTAAAATACTATCAGAAAAGCAGGCTGTATTTCCTCCTCTCCGGCATTACGTTCCTCAGACAGCAGCGGCATTGTTCTTAGAGGGTCTGCTCAGGTTGCATAATGAGGTCTATTTTAGCGCCATTTCCTTCAGACTCAGAGGAAACCTCACACTTATTCAGAGATCATTCTCAGACTGTTAAAAATGTTTCAACAGGGATGAAAATGCCAAATAAAACAGCTGCAGACCATTTCCTGCGCATTTGGAGCAGTTAATCCAAGTTCACATCGAGGTGCTGTTGGTGCTCAAAATCTTCTTTAGCTATTCTGAGAGGAAACTTTTGAATTCTCCAGTCCAAAGTTCCCTATTTAAACCGCACTTGTTTAAGTTTCTGAACATGAGTTGAGCATCAAGAAAAAAATTGAGTAATTTTTCTGACTTGACATGGCAGAGGAATAGGCAAGAACGTTTACATGCATTACTAATATCTTTGCAAAGCATGATTGCTAAAAGTTGGAGGGATACTACTGCTACAACTTTAAAGTTTAGAGTTAAAGCTAAAATTTAAACTCTATTGTTCATTGTCCGTGAACTTTAAGAATCCTTAACAATGAAAATTTCCTTTTTGTTCAGAATCAGGCAATCAGGATCTTACTGAAGTGGTCGGGTGATCCCAGCGTAGAGAAGACACAGGTGAGGAACTGCAGACGGACCTGGACCTCAGCGCTGTGACTGTACCTGCAGAGCAAAAACAAACAAAATGAGTCTTTTGATACTTTTGGAGAGACTATTTCATTGAAAAAGTTGTCAGTGTGGTCATCAGCCAAGCTGTCAGCGTATAAGGGTTGGTGCTGAGATCAGCTGATTCACTGATGGAAGAGCTTGACTTTGTGCCCTGCCTGAACTAGCGAAATGATCTATGTTTGTAAAAGAAAAAAGAAACTTAACCAGTAGTTTAAGGCCTTCTGATGAGGTTTGGAAGTTTGAAGTTTTAGTTCATAAATATGGTAAATAGTCATACAAATATGGGACCAGCTCATGAACTGTGGGCTGAACTTGATTTCATGTCTTGTCTGAACCAGCACCATGCTCAGTTTAAACTATGATGTACTGCATCACATCAACAGCACCTGGATATTCTCAGAGTGTGTACTTCAATCAAATTTAACTACCTCTTAGTTCACTTTAAAACAACCTATTTAGTCCCAATATGTTACTCTGTAAGGCGCTTTATGATGAGCTCCACTGGTGTCCTACAGAGTAATAGAGAGCTGACAGACTTACAGTGCAAACTTGTGCATGTGCTCACGGACTTCCTGGATGTAGTGCTGCAGGTTGTCGAAGAACAGCTTCATCATGTGCAGCTCCTTCTCCGCCCACCTGACGGAAATAACAAAGAGACTTTTTAAAAAAAATTTTTTTTAACTTTTTTGAGCAGTTTCACGTCTTAAAGGTGGGGTTGGCAGGATCTGAGGAAGTGCCACTATTTGGGAGAAATCTTGAATGTAAACTCTACCCCTCCCAACCAGTTTTCCCCTCAGCTCCTATTATTTCAATTCAATTCAGATATAATGCAGATAAATACTTCAGATATTTACAAATGGGGTCCAGTCAACGTGACAGTAAAAAGCATTGGTGCTACTGGAGAGAACAACAGACTACCAGCAAACACAATGTTTGCAGGACTTCTACAACTAGGATAAAGTGACATACTCCAGGACCCGAGGTAAACAGTTCAGCAGCGCTACAACACGCAGCAGGTCTCCTTTGACAAGAAACACTTCTGTTACAGACACTTGGCTTACTTTGTTAAAGTGGTTTACCTGTCCAGCAGAAAGGTTACAGGGTCTGTAAGATCCCAAAGTGCCCCCCTTCTTTTATGCTTCATTTAAGTTGACCAGAGTTTTTAGCTCTTGTCCGGTCTACCTCCTTTTTAACCGCCAGAGTCTCCGGTATCTACTTGGTTTTATTGCTTGTGTTGGCAGTCGTGGCCAAAGGAGGATTCAGACAATTTTCCGTACTTTCTGGTTGGTTTCTACAGTCTGATAATGTAGCACGCTAACTTTTTTGGCGGGTCGTGCACATTATGCGAGGACATGGAGCGTCCCTCACAACACAAAGGAGCAGCGTCTGCCTCACAACCAATCAGGTCGGGGAGGTGGAGAATGGCTTTGTTTACAGTCAGAATAAGCTAACCATTAAAAAATGTTAAAATGTTGACTACACAGACATAACAGAACACAGTGATATCGTTATATTACCAAATGTCATCAATAACTAATAGCTATTGACTGATATTAAAAGCTTTTTTGTATAAACACCACAAAAAAGATGCTTCTGCCTACCCCACCATTAAAGAGTTATTATAGAAAAAAATGGACTGAAGAGGCCGCAAGTGTACACCAATACAAATGCAGAAGCTGTTCAAGACGTGTCTCAAGTTTCTTTTAATGTTCCTCCTGCTGCTAAGTGTTACTTACATGGTGATCCAGTGAGTGTCATAGCTGGAGCCAAACTGCTGGAAAGTGCCAAATAGCTTAGGTAGTAGACGTAGGGAAACCACAACAGACCTGGAGGAGGAAGAAAAGATGACAATTAGAAAGAGAGGAAGAATGAATCAAACAGTTCTTTAAGTAATAGTTTCACTTTTCCACCGGGAGTGAGGGAGCTCTGCAGCCAGAAAAACCTCTCCCTCTAAGACTGGCTAATTTCCAGGTAACAGTCCCCTCAGTTTTCAGATTTCCACTCCGAGCGTCTCCTGAAAACTTACTTATCCAAGTATAAATCCAGTACAACCTAATTTGCCTGGTCTTGGTCACTCTCACCTGTGATGAGCTAAGTTGTCCAGGCATCCCTCAATAAAACGCATTCGTATCTGTCGGTCGGTGAACCAACAGACAAGCGAACACAGCAGCTTCTCTGCTTCATTAATCAGACCCTCAGAGAGATGAATCTGATGAAAAAACACAGACAAAAAACAAACTTAGATCACAGATGACTCTGGTTAGTTCTGGCAGACCCTGAGCCTGTTAACACTCATGTTATGTGCAAACAGATCACATTGCCAACATTTTATGATTTTATCATTGAATAGTTGTGCATAGATCCCCTGAACCTTTGATTTTAGAGTTAACATTTGACCATCACAAAGCAATTTAAGCAACAGGCATGTTGTCACCATTTTCTCACTGTAAAAGAATAATCCACATCACTTTACAGCAGCCCCTAACTGAAACACATGAAGAAACTTGCTGCTGTGCAGGCAGCAGAGTCCTAAATTAACACCCACCGGTAGTTTTCAGACAGATACGCACTACATGGCAGCTAAATGTTTTCACCTCCACAGAAAAAAAGCTGTATCTGTTACTGCACTTGATTCCTACCATTTCTGCCTGCTGCTCCTCTGCTGTCTGCATGTCAAAGCCTCATGGGGTTGGGCTGACACATGAAAACACAATGTGCACAGAGTGTGTGATGGGTTCTTTTAAATATTCAGCATATATGAGAATTTATGATACTAACTGCCCGCCAAAAAACCATTAAATTTATGGTTTATGCAGATTTACGTGAATGTGGATGACTAGTTAACTCCTTTATAATCCAAATCTGTGAATATGAAAGGATTTGTGCAGGGCCATTTGTAGCCATAAGTTAAAATATAGACTGAAAGATCCAAATTATTCATGGTATATATGTGTTATTGAAAATATTGTATCTATTGATTTAAGGTACACTGCATTCATCTGGTATTACTGCTGTTTTTCATACTGCTACATATATTGTATAAAAGGGAAAATTTAAACCAAAGTAAACATCGATATCAGAAAGTCAGAGATCTGGGTTTGGAGTCATACCGCGTCCTCGTCCTGGACAAGGTCCCACAGCAGCGTGTTTCCCTTCTTACAGACGTTGTCCAGGTTGATGTCAGTCACAGCGTGGCTGCTGGAGTACTGGTGTTTATGGACTGCTGGACCTGCAGGGACACAGAAAGCATGCAAACTTAACTTTCTGGTTCACTGGCAGACTATACTTCAAATGACCTAAATGAAGTTAAAAAAATCAGAGTATCTGAAAGACTGGGGCACACCTTGCACCAGGTGCTCGTGGTAGATGGAGGCCAGGTTGGGGAGATGCTGCTGGAGATGAGAGCTGAGCTCAGCATGCGAGTTGATCTGGACAAGCTCCTCCTCGCAGCCCGACTCTTCCCCGTCAAAGTCAGCCATGTTCTTCTCTGACTTGGCACTGACCTGCGAGCTGCTGCAGCTCACGTCATCGGCACTTAGCATGTCCTCCACCATGGGACTGTGGAGCAGAGGACAGAGAGAGAAGAGACAGGGTTAAATCCTCCTCATGCACTCTTGAAATTTCAGCAAGAAGTCGGGGCGAGTAAAAATCTAAATAAAAATATCTAGAGCTAGTTTAGCAGTGTGGTGCTCTTTACCCTTCAGGATGATGGTGGTGATGATGATGATGGTGGTGCTGAGGGCCAATGAAGTGCCGGCAGTTGAAGAGCTCACTGCCCATGGCCTCTCCTAGGAAGTCCCCAGGCCGTGGCAGACATGTTGGCTCCTGCGGCCCCTGGACTATCTGAGAGGGCCCGATGTCAGAAGGCTGCTGCTGAGGCTCCGCCCCCTCAGGACGGGCGGACGATGACACAGAACAAGGGTCCAAAATCCTCATTCGTCCCTCTAAAGACGACGATGCTGCCATGACAGCAGAAGGGTCTGGATTAAAGGGGAGACCTTTAGACTTGGCTCCACCCACTGAACCACTTGGTCCCGCCCCCTGGCTTGGCCCCTCCCCAAGTGCCTCCCCTGCTTTCCTCTTCCTGGACTCAGTCTGCTCCCTGTGCTCCTTCTGCTGCCCCCCTTCTGTCGCCGACCGACTCCCCTCATCTTCATCCTCTTCATCCTCATCATCATCTTCCTCATCGTCGTCCTCTTCATCATCCTCCTCCTCCTCCTTTAAGGCTTCGCTGTCCGCCATGTCATCGGAGTGCAGCTCGCTCCCAGGACTGCCTGCTGATTGGCTGGCTCTGCTGGAGGTGGCCACATTGCTGGAAGCTTCACTGCGGCCGCTGCTACTGCCCGGCCCGCTGCTGCCCTCCTCCACGCTGTTCGCTGTCTCATCAGAGCTGCCCTGCATTGACTCCTGACGCCACACACAGACACACAAATACACTCAGTTACTTTAAGCTCTGTCTGTCTGCCGGCCAGTGACAGTGAGAATAAAAAACAAGATGTACAGATGGATCTTGGCAACATTTCTAACTCCTACTTGCTGACAAATTCATCGCTTTTAAGTGTTAACGTGGCACCTTTTGCCATCTACTTGTTTAATTTTCCTGTTTTGGCGTTTGTTTTTTCCTCTTTCATGCATGCAAGCATCCCCCTGAGAACCCCATGTTGCACATCACAATACTTTGAATTTTGGGTGATTCCTTCACACTAAGTCTGCATGCCCACTTATGGAAATGGTCCAAATTGGCTTGAAAGATGTGTTTTTACCTCTGTGTCGGATAGCCTCTGCTGGCTTCTCTTGCTGCCGGTCATCATCTGGTCGTCCATCTCTATATCACTGCCCCCGCTGTGCTGAGTGTCGCTGTTGTCGCTGCTGTCAGGACTGGCGGCTGGTGAACCTGAGAGCAGAGGAGGAGACGGATTGAGGACCAGAAACTCAGGCTGACAAATGTGTTAGAAAGAAAACAAACCTGCCACAAGAACATTTAAGGAACTAATTCATGTTATTCAACAAATACACTTAAATCTACTGTTTTGGTTAGAATAAACAGAAGTTTATTGAAACCTTTAGTCATGTTATATATTGAAAGTCACAGTATTTTGATGCTTGGATGTTGCTTTGGTCAATCTGAATGAACTCCCCACTCTGTCCATTTTCAAATGAACAAAGCCTATCACTGGTTAGCTGCCACTAAAACACTTTATATGTGGTTTGAATTCATCTGTCTTTTTTTCCTTGAGCCCTGCAGGCGTCTAGACCGACCTTTCTTGTTGCCCATTGGGATGTTCGTATTGAGCAGGGAGGCGAAGGAGCTCTGTTTGGAGAGCTGGGCCTTGGCTGCCAGAGTGTTATTCCATAGAGCTTTAATCAGCATGGAGGCCAGGTACAGCGTCTGAGGAAGGGGAGGGGAAACGAGATTACGCCTTCATCATAAAAAACAAACACCTTAAAGATACAGCAACCTGTTAACAAAATCACAATGTGCATTTTAAGGTGATTTTTCAGGTTTCATGTGAGTGTACCTGCTCTGTGTGTGCGCTCGGGTGCAGGCCTGACACCAGGTTGAGGACGTGACGGAGAGGCACTGGGTCCAGGTTTTTGATAAGTGAGGGGAAAAGGTCATGGATGAACCGGCTGCAGTGTTTCAACTACGAAAAGAAACAATAAGCAGAGTTACATTTAAATTTAGAAAGCAGAAAATGTAGAAGTAGACTTCACACAACAAAACATCAGCAAGACATACACCCAAAACCCATTAATTACAGTAGGCTGGGTTTAAGTGTAAGTCTCTATTCTGTTTGATACATTTAACTGTCCGATCAGCTGCACAAATTTAAAAGCAATTATATATTCTGCCAAGTGCAAATTAAAACCCAACACTGCATCAACTGAACAGAAACCTCTTAACTCCAAGAAGAGAAAGCCAGCCAACGCTGCCTTTTTCATCTTTGACTTATCACAGACGGTATCCCAGTAACAAGCTGATAAATGAAGCCTAACGAAGCTGTGCACAGTCAGGTGTAAATCTGCCAATTCTCACCTGAGCTGCAGCCCAAATACAGTCCACATGCTGCGTGCTGAGTCGGCCCTCTGCAGCCAAGAAGTTCAGGATCACTTGGCACTGTTTAATGATCTGTAAAACACACACATACACACACTTTAGACTGGCTGTGGAAGGGAAAAAAAATGCCCTACAATCTTGAATTTGGTTAAGCGTGTTTGCAGTGAGGCTCTAAATTTTACTTTAATACTTTGATTTGTCTATGTTTCCACAATAGAGCAAAAACAGCTGAAATTTCCACCCCGACTGACAGGATTTTTTGCTGCTGGCCCTCTGGTAAAACCCATGCATGAAGAGTCCGCTGATGTGTGAGCACTCTTAGGAAAATTTCAGGTAAATTAACCACAAGCTGGCAAGCCGTTGCAGGTGGTTCAGATCATGTGACTTAATGGTGTAAGCCCAGGGGAGGAGTGACATACGAGTGACTACAAACAACCAAGGTTGAAGAAGGTAAAACATTTCCAAGATGGTCTCTGTTGCTTTTTACACTATCGTCATTGCAACTGTTACACTGCAGCTTTCACGGCCCCTTATCGATATCACGCTCTGCTTCCTAAGACTCATGATCCTAGTCTTAATCCCTGATATGAGGGACGTGGAAACATGCAACTCCGTAAACTTCAGGAGCAGAGTGTTCAACACTTCTCCAGTCTTTCGTGTTACCAGATGAAAGTTCTCACCTCTATGTGCAAATTTGGTCCGAAAATGTGCTCTACCACGTTGTTGTGGATCAGCCAATCAGCTAGCTCCTTTGCAATGGACCTGGAAAGACATGCAGTCACAGTTTAGACATTTAGAGACACACAGTGACGTGACAACTCAATAGCCAGCACTTCAACTGTCATTCATATTATAGAGATATATCTGCTTTTCAATGACATCACATTAATAAAATAAAGCGTTATCTTTCTCCTTGGTTTATTTTCTCACACTCAGTTCACATGTTACATGTTGATAGGCATATGGGGAACTAGTAAGATTGATTTTGGATGAAAAAAATATCAGAAAATACCTGATTCAGATTATTTCAAGATGAAAACAACAAGCCTTTTTGCAGATTTATGCCAGAGCATATCGATAAAAGTTAATTATTTCATGTAACGTAAGCTGAATATGTTCTGAAACACATGAGCAGGCATCTTACGTTTCTGTGTCTGACACTAGAGACTCGTTGTTGCAGATGTCATTGAAGGTGTGGAGCTGGTTCTGAGGAAACACAGACACAGAAGATGAGTGAAGAAACAGTTTTGACCCTCAAGCTCCAGCAAATGAAATGCTCGACTTTCAACAGTGAAATAAATTCACTCTAATATGAGAAATACAGAACCAGAGGGATCCCCGGGGTTTCAGTGGGAACATTAAAATGTCACCGTTAGCCTTGGTTGTGTTTAACGTGTGACTGAGTTCAGTGGTGTTTAAACTCACAGTGATTTGGCTGAGTCCTGCCAGCCTCATGGTGAGCGTGGGGGACATGAAGTACTTGAAGGCGAGGTCCAGGCTCTCCTTGTCGAAGCACAGCGCGCTGTCCAGCGGCTCCTTCACTGTGCTCCACATCAGGTCGGCCATGTTGCGTGCTGCACTCTGCCGCAGCTCCTGGTCGGACAGCTTACACAGATACCTGCAAGACAACGCCCAGGGTTTCATGAGATCAGTCATAATTATATTGAATGAGCATGAACATTTTTAGCCCAGCAGCTTATCTTTGTAAAAAGAATTACAGAACAGGAGTGACTGCACACAGATTACAGGAGGTTCTGCACTTCGAATGATAGGACTATTAAGCAGAGATTTCGATATCGCTTCAGTGTTTCAATCACATCTATTTTAGCAGGAACAGCGCCCCAATCCTCTGAGCTCAGAAATATTCCCCAGCAGCACTCATGGCAGGAAAAAAATCCACCAGGGAAGATTTGGACTGCTGTTGTACATCCATAACAACCATGACTACTGAGACAACAAAAAAGACACGACTCCCAAAAAAAACATCCTAATGCAATAGATTTCAGGCATCAAGTTGATTGTTGCGACCAGCTAAGAGGCTAAAATTGCTGTTTTAAATGTTTTTTCCTGATTTATTTTGTTCTGAAACCTGAGACTGATTTTAAGGATAAACTTGCAGTAAATCTTTGTGTGGACTGTCGCCCGAAAACATTTTTCTAAAATCTGCTCCCAGCAAAAGAAAAGCTGCATAAACATCAGCCTTAAAAACGGGATTATTACTTTTATTCAGCATTAAATTACTCTAAAAGCAAAGTTATTAGAAGGGCAGACAATGAGTGATTTTCAGCTTCTACTTCTTCATGTTCAACCAGCAAAATAAGGAATGAGAGGTGCAAACAACGTGGAAAACATTTCATGAACGAATAGCAGAGACGCTCACCTACTACTCAAAACTGGTCAAAAGTGTCTGTGCCCATCTTCCTGTGCACAGTATTTCTCATCAACTGTTGTTTCATGTTTCATGGCTTCTTGTAAAGTATTATTTTGAGATAACCTAACCTCTCAGCTTCAGAGTCAAAACCAGAGGTCTGGTGTATTTTTGGTGAGCTCACAGTTTGCCTCCGGTGCGTGCTGCCCTTTAGAGTCCTGTCAAGCTGCATGACAAAGAGTATTTCCCTCCACAACAAACACTCCCAATCAAGTGCGCGTGAAAGACAAAGGCTTCTTGTTAAATGTATTAAAATCTGCTCAGGCTCTGTAACAGCTCAAATGACAGCATCAAGTTCATCTTTATTAGCCTCTTTTATCACCTACCCAAACCAAATGCATTCTTCTTCTTTAATGACTGAGTACAGACACTGTAAAGCTGTATTTTTTTACATATGTACATGTGTGTGTGCAGTGAGTGATCAGATCTCATTGCCTCCTCAGAACATGTGGAGATGCATTTAAACCTGCAGTCAAGGCTGTCTGTTTGCGGTCTTATTTTGAAAGAGGGGAAAAAATGACACGTACTGACTGTGAAAACGAACAAAAAAACAAACAGTGAAATCAAAGGAATGACCCTCTTATCCTCATTAATAACGGTAGTACGAGTAGATTAGTCAGTGCATATGGCCGCTGTGTGTCTCTTCACCCTGTGAGACAGCAGCAGAGCATCAGTCTGCCTGCATCACATGACCGAGCCTGCTTCTTCTCGGGTCATGTGAGGAGAGGTTCACTGGAGGCCTGGCAACTGTTGCCATGGTGACAAAAGCTCTTCCTAGCAACACATGTGAGGCACTTAGGTATTTGGGGAAGAGAGCACGAATGAGTGAGGTGCACAGACTGAGCGAGCGAGCCAGTGAGTGAGAGACAGACGGAGGGAGACAGGACAGGGGAGAGCTTGGAGACTCAATCGATCACGTCTGACTCAGACAGCCAGACAGTGGAGCTTAAACCGTTTACAAAGCACTTAAAAAGCCTAATACTGCATTTATTACTATCTCACAGAACATTCAGGCATACATCGAGATCTAGTCATAATGCACAGGTATCTATTTTGCTCTGACTTGAATCAAAAAAATCACTGCCGCTTCTCTGCAGAAGTTGCACGTCTTTCAGTGCGATTTGGGTGGAGGAGATGTCGGATGCTGCGCTGTCAGGGAGAAAAGGTGTTCCACAAAATGGCAGCGACTCAGTCATTTACAAACAAGCAAGTCAGACAGACATGAGGCAGGATGTAGACGCTCTGAGTAATTCTGGGAAAATGCTGTCGCTTTGATTTTTGGTCGTATGTAAGAAGATTTAAGACTGCACAGGCTGGTTTTATACATGACTTTAAGAAGGTGCAGAAGAGCTGCATTTTAGGAACATCAGAGTAACATTTCCTGATCTCTGCTGAAAATGACCGTCTAAGAAACTGATTTTCTTATGATGAATATGTCTGAAGTTTGCTGAAATAACCACATCATGCAGATTGGTAAAAAGTCAAAACACAAGCTTTCTCAGGTCTGTCCTCACGAGGAAAAGAAAACCAAATTTTATAATGTTTGTGCTTTTAAAATAATCTTAGACCTAACATTTATGATGTATTTAAGGAAGTCAGAAATTCTAAAAACTAATTGTCTTTAGCGTCACAACATCAAGCAGATTAGTGTATATGCCTTTGATCTGAAAAAGACTATCCGCTGTTGTTGCATGCAGATATGCATTCACAAAAAATGAGGATAAATGGTGTTCTGCCTGTTTTTGCTCTCCTTACAGGCTGTAAACACCAAGGCTTGCAGGCACCTGATTGGTCAATACCATTTAAACTACATGTGTACAACAAACCAAAACCAGAACACTTCTCAGTCTGAAATTGCAGACATGCAAGCACAAACTCTACACTTCAATGTAGAATAAGGTGACCAGATTTCTGTAATGAAATACGGGGACATTCGGTGCGGCAGCGGCGGCGAGGGGGGGGTGGGCTGCATGGGCTGCATGATCACAAACAACATCTTGGTACTATTTAGTAGCAGCGCACGCCCCGTGTAATAACCCCTGTAAGAACTGTTGTTCAGAACTGCTTACTTGTGCTTCCTACCCATACGGCTACTGGACTAACCATTGTTCTAGCCTACACACAACATTTTTCTTCTCATTCATGAAATGCTTGAATCTGGGACATTTTCGGGGGGACAGGTCATCCAATTTGGGGACTGTCCTCGGAAATCGGGGACGTCTGGTCACCTTAATGTAGAACCTTAATGTTAAGTTAAGTTCAGATCCAACACTAGTAACGCAACAAAATCTCTGTAACGGGGCCCGAAATCTAACTATAAAGTCGTCATACAATCAATTAATAACATCTGTGAGAATTTTGACAGGTAGTGAACTCACCGTATTACATAGGTGCGAAACGGTATGATGTGCTGCATTACTGCAGGTATGTGCAACCATATTCGGATCTGTGGGCAGAGAAAAATCACAACATTAGAACCAAACTGATATATTAAAAAGGCAGATAATCTACATTTGATGTCTTTTGAACTACAACAATAAATGACATTTTTAAAAACACAAAGTGCTTAACAAAGACAGCTAAATAGAAGAGACGAGTCGTAAAATCATAAAGTCAAGCAAAACAAAAATCATGGATTAAATATCAGTTTAATCCAGGAAATATTTTGGTTTGTGAACTCACATTGGAGACGATAGTGATGAAGGCGTGGGCGATGGGGAAGGGGAGGCTCTCCGGTGTGCCCAGCTCAAAGCACTCCTTCATCAGAGAGAGGCCATGCTTCCCGCAGAACAGACAGACGTAACGCAGCAGGTGCAGAGGAACCTCCACGTCCTGAAGATAAAACACATCATCAGGTGCAAAGATACATACGAGTACAAAGAGGTACATACAGGTACTCACAGACATGATACACTACCAGCAGCTGGTTAGTGTTAGTCCTTACACTTCCAAAATCTGAACCTTCATTTAAACTCTATGGAGAAAGTTCATATCCAAACCAGTAATTCAGCACATCAGGCTGCCTAAAGCAGACTTCCATGAGATCGAGCAGAAGGTGCTCTCATTGTAACCTGACCACTAAATGTTACTCTTGACCTCAGCAAACTAATACAGTCAAGTTATTCTACAACAATGGAGGACAAGGTCGAGAAAAGCCACACTGAGCAGACAATCACAACACCTAAACACCTGAAGAACAGGGAGGAGGACAAGGAGGAGGAGGAGGTGCCACCAACAAGGAGCTGGCAGGAATAGTTAAAGCCTGTATGACTGCCTTTTTAATGGCAGGCCCTTTGCAAGAAGCTCAGTTCTACCCTCCGTTCCTTTTCAAGAAAATGATCTGTGACCCTGTCGTGACAGAAGAGAGTCGCCAAACACAACGCTAGTTGTTTTTAAAAAAAGACAAAGTTGCTAGGGATCGGTTAAGTCTCTGGATTAGTTCGGAACAATGGAATGACAAACTTGGAAAATGCTCCAGTCGATGTTAATACTTTGACATCTTTAACGCTGATTCGCTCATTTTGCTGTCAATCAAAAAGGGATTCCAGTTTCCTGTTTCGCACGGTGGAACAACCCACTCTAAGATTCCCTACTGAAGTCAGTAGATGCTCAGCATCCAACTGTGTAAAGCTCTGTGGCGCTGCAGGGATGAACGAGAAGGAAGTCGTGTCGGTTACCTGCAATTAGTAGCGGATTCTGAACGAAACATAAATGCGTTCTAGTGCATATTTAGTCAGTGAAATATACACAAAGCAGTACACGTTTCACTTTTTTTTTTTTTTTTACATTTTAGGGAGAAGCTGAGTTTTCCTTGCATTCTTAGAGCAATCGCCACTACAGGAACACGGTTAAGGCAAAAAATAACTTTAATGTGCATAGAATAATGAATCTATACATTAATTTCTATTTCAAAAAGATGGCTGGAAAGAAATCCAAAAGCCCCATGTGGTAATATTCTACTGGGCCAATTGTTTTTCAATCAACATTAATTTGATAAACTTCACTCACTTCAGCATTTTCATCTCATGATCTAATATTATTGATTTAATTTTTGTGCTGTAAAATATTAGATTTTTTTTCATTTGATCACAGCTCCAGTTGATCTTAGCTTAGTTTCCATGTCTTCTCCCTGACAGTGAAACCTGGAAGTTTTTCTTTCTTTCCGGCCCAATTGTTTTCTCCATTCTTCACACAGCCCGTTCTGAATTCCCTCCCAAAAGCCCCTGAGCTCAATGAAAACTTTATTACAGCAGGAAGGGAAAATTCACAGAGCTAGCAGATCATCAAGGGGCACATTACAGCTCTCTGAGGGACACTGGCTACATCTGAAGGAACCCAAACTATATCCATTAAAACCGTAACTCCCATTTTATGACCCTCTCAAACACTAAGGTTCAAATCTACAAATCACATTATCCTCATGAGCTCATTTAGCAGTTTGGGGTGCAGCATTCCTTCACAAAATAACTCTATTCAACCGAGTGTGATCTGTTTGAGTTTTCATCTCTGAAGACAAAGAGCAGTGGCAGGAGCTCAGACCGATGAAACCCTGTTACTGCAGACTTTATGTGGCTCAGAATGCTGTAAAAACGTGGGCGTTGATTCAAAAAAAAACCTCCACAGAGGGCAGGAAATGTGGACAATAGTTACCCAACACAGATTTGAGCGCACATTGAAAAATGTCACCACACTGACTGACCTGAACTGGAACTATAAAATAAAGTTTGCATGAGTTGCGTGAAAACTTTGGTGATTATCGAGCACAAGGAGACAAATAACAAAATCCTTCTGTTTTTATTGTTTTAGCATTGGCTGCCTCTGCAAGCTCCTCTCCTTTATTTTACATGTGATTTTCCTCATGACTCTTTCAAAAGGTTGAGCTCATCTGAAGCTTTTATGCTGAAAATTTAAAATCCATCCATGGTTCCCATTACAGAGGAAGAAAAGGAGCAAAACTCCCCTGTAATGGGCACAAGCTTCCCTTAGAGCCTCCCCTGAGACATTTGGGGGGGCGGGGGGGCTCTAAAAAGATTACATTACATTCTGTACATTTCGCTTCCTGTAATATACAACAACAGTATGAGTGTGTTAATGTGGTGTGCTAAAGGAGTTTTTAACAGGTGATGAAAGAGCCTGAAATCTACAGCTTTGCCTTTTTATGACCCGCAAATGAAACCATCAACAACAAGCCAGACAATTTCTTTATTGTAGTTTTTTTTGTGTGCAAGAAAGGACTTTGTCTTTCATAACTTCAGTAAACTCAGCTGGTAGCAGGACTTTGAATGTAACTGCACAATTTGGAATAAATATACTGTAAACCTGTGTACCCCTACCTTCATCTATACATTTAATCATCCACTTATCAATCATCCATCATTCCATCCAACTGTCAAGCCATCCATCCATAAACTATCATCCATCGATCCATTTGATTGTAGATTTATACAGTTATCCATAAACCAACCAACCAATTCATACATTCAATCAGTCTATCCATACATGTATTTATCCGTCTATCCTTCCATCCATCTTTTCCCCCCATTATCCAGGATCTGTGGAAATATATCCCTCCAGTCCATTCTTGGTCCTCCAGGGTCTAATTCTATTGGGGAACTTCCAAAGGGTGTTTAGGAGGCGTCCTTCTAAGACGCCTGAACCTCTCAAACGGTCTCTTTTTCATGCAAAGACGCAAAAGCTTTGTTTTGAGCCAAACGCAACCCCCAGCACTTAAGCTCCTGATGGTGACCCTTAAGAAGAAACTAATTTCAACCAGCTGTACCCAGGATCTTGTTCTTTTAGTCTCTTCCCAAAGCTCACGGCCAAAGATGAGAGCAGGAACATTGATCAACTGGTAAATCTAAAAGCTTTTCCTTCAAGCTCAGCTCCCTCTTCACTACAGTGGTCTGGAACAGCACCAACATAACTGCTCATGCTGCACCAATCCATCTGTAAATCTCACAATCCTTTTTACCCGTCCTCATGAACAAGACCTTGAGATAGCTGAACCTAGGGGAAGCCCCAGAGAGAGCGGACCACTGACTCCGGCAGAAGAACCATGACCTTCAACATGAGGGTGCCGACACTTGTCCCAGACTTTTTTCATCTGGATACAAACCACCTTTATATGTGCATAGCTCTTACTTTGGTCATACAGAAACCAGGGACTTGTGGAAATGGCCCTGTATCACTGTACTCCCTCCTTATTTTCTAAAATCAACTAATAAAAAAGTAGAGATATAGTGAAAAAAACAAAACAGGTCAGGCAGAATATGACAGATCACTTACGTTCATGTCGCAGAAGGATCCAAGGATGTTGCTCTCATGAGCAGATATGTCCTGAAAAAAAGAGGCAGGATTCTCACATTAATGGAGGAAATTTGTGATGACAAACTTGGTTTATTTTACAGCCGAGTAATGACAGAGATTAGTTTTGTTTGGTTAATGATTTCAATGGTGTTTCATACATTTATTTTTCTATAAGGACAATGCAAATTAATTCATGTTTGTGTCAGTGTGCTGGATGCAGCCAGTTGACTTATTCACTGAAAACACAGGTTAGTGTTCAGAAAATCCTGAAATTTGTATGAGCAGCAACAAAAGTGGGATAAACTCCTGCTTAGGAAACATATTAGGGACTTCTGTGATTATCTCCTCTGGATTTTGAGTGGATTTTGAGTTTTGTGGTGTTAGAGGGCTTGTAGAGTGTCCTTACCTCTATTGTGGGGTGTGTGTTGTGTTTATAGGCTGTGTAGAGGGGGAACTGGATCTGGAAGATCTTGGCAGCACACAACAGAAGTTTCTCTCTCTCCTCTGTGCTCCAGGAACTAAACGGGTCTTGACTGTCAGTGTTGCTGTTTGCTCCTGCACCACCACTACTTCCACCCCCAGACCCACTGCTGCTCTCCTCAGGTCCAAGTGCTTCCATCTGGGGTTCACACGGCTGGTTGGCCCCCTGACCCTGGCCCTGGGTCTTGTTCTGGTTAAGGTCGGGGGCGTCTGCATCCTCTTCTGCAGAGTCTCTTTCTACATTCACAGGTTCATCCTCCCCAGGTGAGGACGGCTGGGGGAGGGACCCGGGTGCAGCCTCACCCCCTCGCCATTCAGACCTCTCATTTCCAGACGCACCCCCTCTAAGGGTGTGGTCCTGGACCCGGCAGAGGCGGTCTCTTAGGCTGCTAATCTGCGCGATGACCAGGTTGATGAGGGCATAGACCAGCTGGTTGAAGACCTCCAGGTGCTTGTACTCCTTGAAGCAGCAGAGACATTGTCTGCAGAGACATCACAGGGGAAAACTGTGTTAGGAAACCAAAACACTTTTTAAAAAGCACTCATGACCCACGAGAAGTCTGTGGAGGTATGAATCTGTGGAGGTTTTTGTGATACTTTCAACACATCACATGTTCGACATCAGCTACACATTTTAAAGAAGTTGTTACAGGCTCATGTTTTCAACTGTGTAGCATCAGCTCTTTATTTAACAACACTCTGTAAACACTAGTGAACCCAAGAGACCAGTTTCTGCAGTTTGAAAGTGAAATGCTGTCAGCTGCTCAACAGTTCAGGGTCTCCTTTGTCCTATTTTTTGTGTCATGATGCTTTAAATGTTTTCAATGAGGGACAAGTCAGGACTGCAGGCAGGCAAGTTTAGCAGCAGGACTCTAGGGAATCTACCCATGACATGGACACTGATGATCCCCATGCCATTAGGGCAGCTGGCTTTGAACTGTGTGGTGATAGCGTGCCAGGTGATCCCTCTCCTCTACAAAGCCGAGGATGTAGCTCCCATGATTCCCAAAAGGAATGTCAGATTTTGATTCATCAGACGACAGACAAGTTTTTCACTTTACCTCAAACCATCTGAAGTGAACTTTGGCTCAGAGAAGTTGCCAGTAATTCTGAACCATGTTTTTATATGATTTACTCTTTGCATGGTAGAGTTTTGACTGGAATTTGTGAATGTCGCGACAAACTGTAGTCATAACTGCATGAACTATGTGCTCACACAGTCTCTCACAGAGTGGTGAACTTCTTCCTCCTATGAGACTCAGCCTCACTGAAGTCATGTTACTAACCAGTTGATAATTGACCTCATTATTTGGGAGGTATTCCTCCAGCTGGACTGGTCACCAGCTATTCCCTCTAGCTCTCTCACAGATGGAAGAATTACACACCAACAAAGAAAACACAGTAGGCTAATAAATGAGTCTTTTTTCTTGCTAACTGTAAAAAAAAATGAGTCAGCAGATTTGAAATGTTTAGGTCAGCTTTTTCCACATTGTCTTCCGAATCCAAATATAAAAACATTCCAGCTGCATGAATAAAAAAACCCGCTTTACACAAACAAATGAGAATCACCATTACTCCCAACCTTCACATCCGTTAACAATCTTGACTCCTGGAGCAAATTAAACTAGAAAATATAAACAAATCTGGTTTAGGAGATAGTTGTTAATTCAGAAGGCTGGCAGAGTTCAAGAAAAAAAAGCTCATCTGAAGCCTCACAGACCCAGAAATTCGATGATTGTATGAACGCAAGTTTTGAGAAAACTGTGTAAGAACTTTATCATTTCCACAGATCAGATTATCCAGGTTGACAGGGAGCCAAAAAGGGCTGGAGTCGGTTCTTCTTCACAGGATTTTTACTCCGCTTTTAATCAACTTCAAGATGTTTTTCCTGAATTTTATAAAATCACAGTTTCAAAAGGTTCACTACTTAATGCCTTGAAAAAGTCACGAGGGGTCAATGTAAACTTAAAGTGATTAACAGTGATGAAATCCTGCAAAAGAAAAGACTGAAAGACACACTAACTGTTGATCAATGAGACTTTTTTGATATAGCACTTTAAACACAACGCAGCTGATCAAGAGTGCCTTACACCAAACACACACGGGACAAAAGCAAAAAAAAGAAGAGGAGACAGGATGAAAAAAAAAAAAAGAAAACATCAGAGCAGTGATGAAGAGGCACACTGCTTCCAGACCGCGCAGGAATTTATGCTCAATAAATTTATTTCACGCCACTGTTTTTCATCACAAGTGTCTCCGAATGTGGGAAGTGATCCAAACAGATCATGAATCATCTGAGATCCACTGTATGAAGACTTGAAGAATACTGCTGTGACATTAAACTGAAAATCCTGCCAGAGTCTTGATTTGTTTCTCAATTTTTTCAACGGATCATTCTTGTATAAACTAACTAAGCAGCAGGGGACGACAGTTTGGAAACACTTTCTACAGACTGGATTCAACAGAAGCCGTTTCCAACTATGCTGGCGGGTTGATCTCAGCGGTACTGACCTCTGTGTCCAGGAGCTGATGTAGCCGAGCACTCGTAGGGCATGTTCCTTCTTTAGCTGGAAGCCTCCTTCACTGCTGTCTGCATCCGATACTGAGGAGAGAGCAGAGGAGAGATTCATCAGAGAACAACTTACAAAAAAACACCTCAGAATATCCCCTTTTTTATTGCCCATCTATGTCAAATTCTTATTAGTCAAAATCCCATAACAGTGACTAGTTTTAGCCCATATCGTCCAGCCTTATATCAAGCAAAAATTTCTGTCAATCAAGATACAAAAATACATTTTTATTAGGGGGATGTTGAAATCGCTCAACAGCAGCCACACTGATGAGGCCGCCTGCAGTGTCTGCAGATGTTATTTTTGCTATCAGCCTCACAAGCCTGATCTTTAAAAAAGACAAAAAAAAAACCATCAGCATCACATATTGGCCACCAGATGAACTGCTGTCACCTGTCAACTGTTGACCATTTCAGTCAAAACCACTTCAGAGTGTCGAGCTGGAGTCATGCAAAGACAGATGGGATGCAGACATGCAGACAAAACACCAAACCAGCTACATGACTCGAGGAACCCCGTGAGCTCTGCAGGAAGTAAGTTTTCCCTCACTGAAACTGATCAGAGGCTCGTCTGAAGCCACAGCGGCAGACTTTGGTGTGTTGGGGTATCAGGCTAGCTTGGGGGTCTCTTTACTCTGAAGATGTTGTCTGGGAACAGGAGCACAGGTGCGAACATTAAATCAAGTTTATGGCAGCAGCAGCTAACTTGTGGATATAAATACAATGAGGGGGAGGATGTCTCCTGCTCTGTGTGATCACACAGCTCGGCTCAGCGGTGACTGTAACGTTCAGACAAACTGGGGGCGTTTTAATATGAGTGTTCCAGCTGTGACTCCAGAATAATCAACTTCAACTAAAATGTGGTTTTCAGAGATGGAGCAGTCTGCAGTAAGAGCTGACATGCACAAAATGTAATGGCGCACAAGGTATCAGATTGTGCGATGAGTGATTGTTTTGAGCGCTGATGTAAATTTCTTGTGCGAGCTTTGATATTGAGCATGCAAGATAGGTTTGTGTACAGATATCAGTGTTGAAGAGATGGTGCAGCCCTCATTTAGAGACCCTTTTCCTGGACTTTAAACCGTTTTTTACACCCCAGGAGTTGTCTTTGTTTGTGCTGGTTGGTGTTTACATCATAACTGAGGCGCTACAACCAGCTAACAGACGTGGAGAAAAAACATCCGGACCTCCCTGCTCATCATTCTTGAGGATTTTAACTGAGCCTCTCTGATTTAGGAGCGACCTAAATATAGACAGCATATGAAGTGTCCCACCAGGGACTCGAACACTCTTGACCACTGCTACACTGTTTTAAAAGACACTTATCGCTCTGCCCCTGCGCTGCTCTGGAACTCTGATCACTGTCTGATCCATCTCATCCCGACCTACAGGCAGAAACTAAAAACTGCTGAGCCTGTAGTGAGGACTGTGACGAGATGGACGGAGGAGTCGAAGCTGGAGCTTCAGGCCTGCTCCGACTGCACTGACTGGACTCAGCAAACTCACTGAAACTGTGACATCTTACATCAGCTTTTGTGAGGACGTGTGTGTGAACACCAGGACAACAGCCAGTGTCTATTGTAGATTCATTCTGGTTCCTGGAGCAGCTGATCCACTTCTACACCACCATCATCCAGTCTGTCCTCTGCAGATCCATCACTGTTTGATTTGAGTCCACCACCAAGCAGGACAGGAACAGATTTTAACAGACAACCGGGACTGCAGAGAAAATCCTCAGGGCTAACCTGCCCTCCATCCAGGACTTATACTGGTCCAGGGTCAGGAAACAGGCAGGTAACATCACAGCACTCCTCACTATTGCACGACTGTCTTGTATATGTAAGTTACATGTCGAGTTCAAGCTTGTACATTTTTGTAGCATTTCATGTTTAATGTTTGTACGTAGAGGGTGAAGTTTACAAGAGTCAAATTCCTTTTATGTGTACACATACTTGGCCAATAAAGCTAATTCTGACATCATAATATCTTGTGTGTTCAAGACATATTGAGTGAGTAAGATAATACTGTTTTCCTTACAAATTACACTAACAGACATCAATAGTAGGGCTGCAGCTATCGATTATTTTAGTAATCGAGTACTCTATCGATTAATCTGTCGATTAATCGAGTAATCGGATAAGAAATGTTTTGCTCTCACTGTAATACTTTGCATTGAATCACGTTTGCCTCATTAAAAACCATCAGTAACACACAAAACTGAAATAGGCCAGGTCTTTCAAATGAATATTTTTACTGCATAAATCAGGAAACAAAAGTTTTACATTTTACCATGTAGTTCACATGAAACTACTGAAGGCAAGGTCTGCAGATGGTCTTTTAATTGCTATGGTAATGATCTTTGCAGTTTTCACTAAACCAGTCACAACTATTTCCAGGCTTTGGATCTAATTTTACTTGTTTAATTAATAGGCTGAAATAATATAATTCTTGGATACTAACATAATTTGACAAGCAAATGTACATTTATTCAATATATAAAAGTGTTACATTTTTATTTACATGTTGTTGTGTGTTGGTCATTTTGCAGCCCTCTGCTGCTCATCACACGCCTAGCAGGTGGTGTATAGCATTATCACCATGGATACACGGATGTTTGTGTGATTTTTTTCATCCACTGCCGCCCGGTTTGTGTCGTGTAGATGTTGATTATGAAAACACTTCGCAATAATTTGGACACGTGAAGGGGGAGCTGCTGCTGCCCGGTGTTTACGGTAAATAGACGCAAACACCGACCAAGTGGACGCTTCGGTCTCCGAAAACGCCGAGACAAATTTACAAACAGCCACTATTTCAAACAACTGGGCTCATAATCGTGATGTAAACACTTACTTTCTCGCTAGAAAAAATATTATTATTGAATGAATTTATGTAATTTGTCCGGTATGCAGTCGTTCTATGTAGCTTGTGGTAGGACTATTTAAATTTTCCCGGCGCTGCGTCCGGCCGGCACGAAATGCATTCTGGGGTATTTAGTATGTATGTGTGTAAACGCTCGGGCAGCCGCGGCATACTCAAATCATCTTTGAGTAGTCAGTAGGCAGTAGCTACTGCTTGAGTAGGTAAGTAGATAGCAGGCAGTCCCTGAGCCCCAGGCCTGTGATAGTTTGTACTGTCAGACAAAAAGTCTCAAACACCCTCAGTCTACATGACACAGAAAAGCATCAAGTCCTCTCTGCTGAGGGAACCCTGTGGCTCAGTCCTGCTGTGAGGAAAGACCAGCTGAATACAACCCCCCTGTTGTTAAAGGGGATTCTGCCTCTTACATGCCAAACACACACAGACACATGCTGCTGCAGCAAATCTGAGGTCAGAGGTCACGCACAGAAAGAACACATGGACCTGCCAGTCTTACAGACAGAGCTGTCACAGCTGACAGCTCCCTGCTGTCCCATTGCAGCCCTTTGTAACAATCATGGAGGTGCTGAAAGACCTGATCCTGCATCGTAAACACAAATACTGAACCAGTTTTCACATGTTTCTGATGAATAAACACAGAAGTGAGTAAATATTGTGACTCTTCACAGAATGAGTGCACAAATCAAATACTCACTTCATTTACACCACAACCTCCTAACTCAACACTGTGGATCAATGCACGACAGATTTTTATAACATTGTGAGTAATTTTATCGAACAAAAACATCTAAGGCCAGTGTGAAACCCTTGTAGCCATTTTTCTGACTTTGTAAAAAAAATTTGAATTTTGCTGAAATGGCGAAAAATTCTCCAGTTTGTTTCCATACAGATGAAGTCAAACATGCTCAGTATCATGAGAGGGTTTTAGTCTTGGGTCATGCAAATGTTGAAGTCTGATAAAGTGATCTAAACCAAGAAAACTGGAGGGAAGAAGCATTTGATTCAGAGGCGGAGAGATGTATCATTAAAATGCAATAGTCACAATGTCGGTCATATGACCTGAAGGTGTCATGAAATCCTGACTTTCTCATTGATGCCTGATAACATTGATCTGAAGTCACTCCAATGCAGCCCCTCATTTGAACCCATGGAGAAACTGATGGCTGTGCAGTCTGAGTCTGTGTCACATGACAGTAAAATGTAAACATGCATGTGATTCACGACACTGCCACCATCACAGACATCAGGAAAACACTTGATAAAGCCATGAACTATGACACTGTTAACTATAAATAAGAGCCAAGTATACATATATTGAGAGCTATATGTATATAGTTTAAAATATTGGTTTCACATGAAATATTGTCAGGCTGCCCACTTATGGAACAAACACTATGTCCACTATGTTCTTATCAGCCTACTGACGGGTAGAAAAAGCACCAAGAACATTCTCAAATCATCTGCGTTACCGTTCGAAATCACATTAAAATGGAAATTTTCACATTTTTGTTCTTGATTTTTGGAATTTCTGTAATGTGTTTGTTTAATAATCATTTTCAATTTATTTTCTAAAGAATTAGTTTGAATAAGGTTTTTTTTAGGCCAACTGAAAATAAACAATGAGGTCAAAGGAGAACTGAGATTTTATGTGTTTTTTCTCTGAGATGAGGGGAAATCATAAGAGTTCAGAGTACAATGATGCACAAACAATGGTTTCTTCAAAGTTTATGTCAACTGTTTGTTTTGATTTTTTCCAGATTCAACAGAACAAAGCCGTGACACACAACGTCAGCAGAGGAATTAGTTATCTAGATTTTCCTGCACAGAGCCCTGACTTCCATCTCTGATGACTGATAAACTCCAACTGCAGGCCTCACCGCCAGCCTCACTCTAATTCATTCAGAGCAACAGGGCTGTCCATCTTGCTCATTCAGCTGCCTCCCATAAGAATGGAAAATTAATGGCAGTGACCTTTAAACGTCATTTGATAGACTCCCAGACAAGAGCCACACAAAGAGGGACACGGCCAAACAGGGAGCGTGCACACACGTGCCAGACAGAGGCAAGACCTATTTGGACATAATGTGCTGAAGCGTCCATTTATTTGTGATTTACTGTACACAACACTGCTGGTTGGAGTCTCCGTGAAAAACCTAAAAACCAGATCTGACATCCTCGTGACTGTAGCCTCATATGAAAAGGTTTAACTGAGCAGAACCGGGTCATGTGTTCAGGATTGAAACATTTCCCTGAAACCAAATTCTGTAAATCTTGTGGGAAATCTTCACAAAGGACAGAGGGCTTTTATACCCGTAGCAGAACGCCCATTGTTTTCCTTATGGGTGACAAATTCATGGAGAAAAAGCAACATACAGTGGCTTTGTCAGTTTTGGGGTCACCAGTCTCTGAGTAATGGTCCAGAATCTTCCATTAAAGTAAGGAGAGCATCTCGAGTCTGTGGCAAATTATTACATATATTTTTAATGTACATCAAACCATTCGGGTTCTAGTGAGGACCAGTTTTGTCATTGGTTATTAGTGCTAATTTACAACATCTTTGGACCGGTTTATAGAGATTTAGAGACCTTTAATTCTTAGCAATGACTGTTGGTCTGACTGAAAATTGCATTAAACCTAACTCCTTACAGCCAGACCAAAACAATGCAGAAGGTGAATAACGTAAATGCATTGTCAAAAAGCTGGACACAAGCTCTACACAAAACTTTGAGTAAAAGGGGCATGAAAAGACAAAACTGTCATATCTACCTGCCAAATACCTAATATTGCTTCTCAGCAATCAGGGGAAGGATGTGATTGGGGCTTTTTGGCAGTAGTGGAGGTGGTAGTAGCAAGGTAACTAATGATACATGGTCCACAATGACCATAATACCACAGTACAGTAGTGGTATACAAATGACAAGACAATCATCAGTTTTTCCAAGCACATAGAGGATACCTCATGCCCATTCTCTTAATGTGTGTATGTGCGGGTGCATTGGCGTTTGTGCGTGTGTGTAGGTGGGGGGTGGGGGGTAAGGGGGCATCTGGGATAGTTTTTTGTTTTTAACAAGACTGTAAAGCACTTTGAGTCACATTCCTGCAGGAAAAGTGTTTTATAAATAAAGTTTGATTGATTGATTGACCTGAGCCAGCAGCCCAAGTAAACTGAACAAACTTTTTCTTTATTTATCTGTTAAAGTTTACCATCCATGATCAATAAAACAACCTCTTGATGCTCTGCTGTTTACAGCTGATAACACACTCTGCTGATGATCAAAAAGGCTCCCTTTCACAACCTTCCTCTTCATACACTGATTGAAATGCAATGTTGGATGTTAAATGTGAGCCTGATAATATCAATATTGCTTAGTTAAAAGTTGTGTGCAGCTGGGCTACAGGTTCAGCCCAGAGTTGAGTTGGTCTATACAAAAGGCTACAGTCCTCAACGCACTGGTTGCAAGATTAAGTCTCAATCCAAACATAATATTGTGTGTGTCTTACTCTCTACATTTCCTGTCTCTAAAGCTGTCCTACATAACAAAGGCTTAAAGCCTTCGGTGGCTAGTACATGTGATAACTGCAACGTTACTCACAACATGACAGAAGACTAGAGCTGCACCAGGCCAACATTAAAGTTGACTGAAAAACGCGTATGCTCAGCTCTGTTTGTTGGGTTTAATTAATGAACAGTACAGGTTACAGAAAAGTTCACATCTAATGCACTTGACAGCTTCCAGGCCAGCCTTTTTTAATATGTTCTTAGCATGTTTTTTAGGTTTGTATATCTGTTTTTAATTCTGCTTGCATCAAAGTAATTGTAAATGCTCATTGACTCAAATGCTCATGTGTTAAGGGGACATCTGTCAAGCTTTTCTCACTGCTTTGCATGACACAGTATTCTATGGTATGACGATACAATACAGTACGATATGACACAGAACAAAACAATGGAAATTTTGTGATGTAGTATGCCGATACGCTACGATACAACACGACATGATACAACAGGATAGGATATGATGATACAATACGGTGTATAAAACGATGCAATATCATTTGATTTGATATGATAACACACTAAAAAATCCAACACACTGAAATGCATGGCCTATAATAACAGTAACATTCCAATAGAGCGATTCTGCAACAACAACTACAATTCACAGTCAGTCATGAGTTGATAAATTTTGATAATGTATTTAGTGGGGCTGCATGAATAATCAATTTGAAATCATAATCAGCTTTATTCATTATGACGATGTTAAACAAAATTACATTTGTCGAATTGATATTCCTCTCTAGCTAGCCTCCAGGCTACCGTAACCTTCCCAGTCCTGCGAGACCGCTACCCAGTTAGTACACACCGGTGAAAACAATTATGGCATTTGCATAAGACGATGATATTTTTGTGGCCAAAAAGGGCAAGAGCTAGTCAGTTGTGAGGAACTAATACGGCTTTGCAGTTTTGGAGGAAGAGCAAATCACTCCACTCTCCACAGCAAAGTTTGTCTGAAGAAGATATCAACTCATCCACATGGAAACAAATTCAGAGTAACACAAGATTTTTACGTCGTATAGGCGTTCCAAACACGCAAACAGTGTTTCGGTTGACTGTAAATGATACTTTTGGAAAACAGGTCAGAGAGTGCAGAAATCCGTAAACGACTACCATTTCGATTCCGTGTTTCTGTGTCTCTCTTGAAACAATTGCGTCACACACAGCGTAACTTTTCTGAGACGCCAGCGTGAGTCTGGCCAAAACAACCTTTATACGCAGGCTCTGTACTCTTCTTCTGTCTTCTGGTTCATTTCCTGGGCAGCGTTACAAAGCCTCTGACAGGCTTGGCATATACACTACATTGTTTAGTTGTTTTCAGTGGTTTCATGTTGAGAGATATTAGGGAAACCTTTTATTTTTACAGTGAAGTTTGGTGAAGTTGTCACTCAATTCCCAAATAGTGGTACTTCCTCTTTGTTTATAAAGAACCTGTTTAATTTAAAATTAAGTTTGAAAATGAGGTTTTCCCTTTAAAGGGATTCATCTTGTTTGGTTAAGGAGATTGTAAAGGTTGTCACTTTTCTAAACCTAAGGGGGATGTATCTTTCAATTGCACATCAGTCCCAATAGGGAACTTTGTTTGCTACTTTCTAAACTAAAAACAATATTTGAAACCGGTTATTCTGTTGTCTCTTGTAGTTTTTACCAAAACAGCAAAAATAAAAATGAACTTTCAGATGAAAAATTGGACTTTATCTTTAGCAAAAATCGTGATGCCCCAGTGTTAAGTAAAGAATACAAAAGGACCCCTGAAGCTAGAGTGCAGGATCGATCACATAATTTCTACCATGAGGAGTCATGAAGCAGTGATGCAGAGAGTCACACTGAATCAAAAGTCTTTTAAGATCACCACACCAATATTTTGCCCCATCCTTTGTGCAATTTGCCGACATTATTTCGCAGTAACTCTTCTTTCAAAGGCTGGACACCAACTGCAAAAGTTCAGGAATATTTTAGCCTGACTGCCCCACTCAAGAAACAAGGAGAGAATCTGGTCTAGACCATTGGTGGGTACCTATGCTTTGGTAGGATGACCTAGTTGTGTGAGAGTTAGAAATCAACCTGTCAGCCCTGAAATTACTCACACAACCATAAAAAAGATAAAAATTTCGAACTGATGACCATGTCAGAACCTCCCAAGAACTGAAGCAGTTAATTCACAGCAAGCAACATGAACTGCAGATCAAAGAGAGGTCTGTGAAAGGCGGATATTTTAGACCTCAGGCTTCTGCCAGTTAAAACACAACTGGTGCTAAAACGCTAGAAAAATCTCACCTTCAGCTCCAGCAGAAGAAAAGAGTTTATGGCTCCTTCCTGAATTTTTCCTCCTTGTAATTTTTTCAGCTCTCTGCTCCTGTTTTCTCTTATTGCCAAGCATCACCGCAGCAGCTTGTAGCTGTCTTTTTACATCTGCTGCCCTCTGAGCTCATGTGAAATCATACGAGGTCACGTGCAGTGGCACACTTTTCCCTCTGGTACACACAATCATCTAAATAATAATCTGAAATGAGTGATATGTCATGCATGCTATTAGAAAGGAGAATAACTGTGAAGTTATACTAACGTATGTATGACCTTTGCATTTAAATACATCCAAAGTGCTCATGTCCTTGTGGACAGTTTCAGATCAAGATATTAAAAGCAAAATAGCGAAACTGTCTCTGAATTTCTAGAATCAGGTGCAGGACTGTCTATATGAATACAATCTAATTGTTATAATAATTTATTCTTAAGTGTGTGAAACAGGATTTTGCTTTTGTATTCCTTTCTCTCTTAGACTGCCTTTCAGATCCTTTGCTGCTGTTGGCACTAAAATTCCCTACTGTAGGATGAATAAAGGTTAATCTAATCTCATCCAATCTTATCTTATCGATAGAAGTTTTATCACCAAACCAACTCACTTATGATGAATTTGCTTGACTATTTCTTGCTGCTCTTTTACATCAGGTCTCAAAAATGTGTTGAAGAAATTTCCCCAGAGGGCTGTCAGGAGAAAAGTCTGAGTAGCATCAGGGTGAAGAATTTAGCCAATTGCATTCACAGATCCCGTTTTCTCTGAGAGCTTTCTGAGAGATTCAGGCATGTAAATGCATGTGGGAACACTGTCTTTTGACCAGATCAGACTGTGGTGGTTGAGGTTAGAGCAGCTGGGTTAGGACATCTCCAAAATTGCTGCTCTTGTTTCTGTGGGATGATGAGTTTGGGGCCTTAAAAAAGTGCATGCTGGTTCTGACATGAAATATATCAGAACACTCAACAGGTTGAGTCTGTGAGGAAAGTAATCATTACACCTCATATTTCCAACTCTGTAAACCAACTTTCTCTACACCACAGACTCACAGACAGGCCTGTCCTACAATGAACATATTTATCATGTGCTACCTGTCATCCAGTCACAAGCCCCATAAATGCATCATTGGCTCTATATTCTGCTGAAACACATCTGACTGTTGTTGAGTTGGCTTGAGGTGCCAAAATTATGGATAAAATAAGGATAAACCAGCTAAAAAGCAGAGGTTTAATGCTACAACAACAAATTATATATGGAGCTGAATCCCAGAACTGAAATACACTGAAGGCCTCTGAATTTGTCTTTTTTCTGTGTGTGTTTGAAATGTTGTTCCTCGTGTTTATATTCATGTGCCCTGTCTTATAGGTTGTAAATAGAGCTGCTGTGTTGCAAGACAAACTCAAACATTGCAGTGCCACTTGTCGTGCAGTCAACAAGAAGAAATGAGAACCAATCACAGCTCGATCAGCTGCTGTAAACTTGCTCAATGATATCCTGGCATGTCCGAAATTCTGGATCATCTTGCATGGAGAAGGCAGGACTATGAGCAGACACCCTAACTTGATGTCCTTTTCCTACTAATAGCACCTGAACAAAACAGGCAGCATCTTCTAAAAGCACCATGGATGTAGACAACTGGAATACACACAGATACACCAACCAGCCATGAAGTCATGACCACCTGTGCAAACTGATGCAATTCAACACAACAGCAACAACATAGATTCTACTTCTACAAAGCTTCTACACTGTCAGTAATTGTTGACGTGCCAGAAAAGCAATGAGTGAACTTCACGTTTAAGATCAGATTTAGACTTTCTGACTTCATTTCTGTGTCTGAATTTATTCAAAGGCAACTTTATCTACAACGATAATTGAATACATGAAGGTTGAGCACTCAGGTTGGACCGTACACTATGAACACATGATGCGTTTTTCAAGGTGGGCTGTAAATATTTTTTTTTAATTGTAAAATTTTTCGTAAAATTTCAGAACACGTACACATTTCTTGTTCATACGCATCCTTCATTCTTATACCCATATCTCTATAACCCTGAGCTAAAAGCTTCATATTTTGGCTGCTTTTTTATTATCATTATTATCATTATTTATTTGGTAATGAAGTTGGCAGCCTTGATTATGTCTCATCGGTGTATGCTGGTCGTGTATCTGCTTGTTTTTGTTATATCTGGTGTTATCAACACTATAAACAGTGATGTGCAAAATAATCTCGGACTAATATTAAAATAAAATGTGGAGATAGTCATCGGCCGAAATACAGCTACAATCCACCGAGGATTAACAATGTGCTATGAGCCAAATCTGCGCCTCGTTGCAGCCATTTATTTTCCAGGCTAGCTTAGCTGCCGCTAGCTTCGACCAGCTCCAATAGATTTATAAAAACACACAAGAAAGCTGCATTAACACGCTTAAGACAGCATTATCAAGTCTGCGTGCATAGTTTTAACCCAGCAGGCAGTTTCGAGCTGTAAATGTGACATTTTGTAAAACAATGGAAAGTGGTAGCGGAGTGGACAGCTAGCAGACTGACCTGACAAACACATCAAACAAAGTCGGGCTGCTCGCTAGCTTCACCAGCTAACTTTGCTCACTTCCAACCCCGAGCAAGCTGCCCTTAGGCAACGACTGCAGCCTTTAATACTGCTCCTGTTCACGCGTTTTTACAGTGTATATATTTTACAAGAATTGACTTGAGTGTCATGTGCAAAACGGACAGAGAGAGTGATTATTTGACTCAATTAGTAAGCTAGCTTCTATGAGTTCTTTAAGGAGTGTTTGACAGGTAGGCCCAAAACTGACTACGGCACTGAAGTCAGTATCTCATTCGTCGCTTCGGCTTTTGCTGTAAAGGAGACGTTTTCAAAACGAGGTCTTGATCCCACTATTGCATGACTTTTTAGATGTTGGTTAACTTGTCCCAGAAAGGTTTTAAGATTACTTCAACGAAGTTTTAGATTTGTAAAACTATTACTGTAGTTGGAAAAAAAACAAGAATGGACAATTTCTCTGCCTTTTTATAACCCCAAGACCGCATGATATCTGGTGCTGATCCAAAATTACTACACTTGAATTGTAGGATCACACATAACTATTTCATGGAGACTTGAGATTTATTAAAACAATTTACAGATATTTAAAGTATTTTGTTAAAATATAATAAAGGGTAATTTCTAAAATCTAAACCACAAGAAAACAGGTGCCGAGATCTTCCTTCTTTGAACTTAGACGAATAGAAAAATGGTTTCAATAAACAGACACACTGTTTTACGAAGCCTTCAGACTCTCTCAGCATGATTGAATCATATGTACAGTCTAAGTATTAAGGTTCTGGATCAGGACATAATGCAATGTTGCTCAGAGTTGAACACACTGTTTGATTGTCCTTACTTTCATTTCTAAAAATGAAATTAAGATTTACAGATCCAGAGCTATGCTTTACAAAGCTTGTAGCCTCTCTTAGATGAATCAGTCTAGATCTGACAAGTGTAGATAAAAAATGATGTGGATCAGCCTAGAAAGACAGATAATATTAAAATTATCCTTTCCTGAAGTCTCACCATGTATTGTTTTCAGAAATCTGAAATTATGTTTTGATAAACTGGTAGCCTACCTTAGATAATCTAGTTCTGAGCTGATAATTCTAGGTGTTCTGTTTATGGATCAGCAGCTGGTTCAATTTTCACAGGTGTAGCAAATCCACAAATCCGGAGCTCAATATAAATAAGTGGGTGGACACTCTTAAATGGTACAGCCCTGATATTAAAAGTCAAAGTAATGTGGATTTTGAGCAGGACGTCTTCTCTCTCACAACAGCAGCAGAATGGGGAGCGACGAATCAGACACTAACTTCAGCGTCGTAAACTGCCTGCCAGTTTTGAGAAGAAAAAAATGCATATGCATTCATATCAAAGAGACAAATTCTGACACGAAGGCACAGCTGTCAACTGTATGCAGAAATAAAGTCAATACTCAAACTGTCTTACAGCTGCAACTTATCAAAAGACATGCAGGCCAGCCAAGAATACACACAAAGTTACATCAGCTAGCCTCGATGCTAACATTCTCCCATTCAGCTTCAGTGGAAGGCGATGCTAACACGAAGCAGCTAATTCAGTGTCAATAAATGGAATTATGTTTACTTACTTTCATTTAAAACCTCAACCAGCTCGGCACAGTTTTCACACATTGTTCATGTAGAGGAAAACTGGGTGCACCTCCTCAAACCATGGCCCTGGAAACAGTTGTAGGCTGGTAGTTGGTTGTTTTGGGGGTAAAAAAAATCGGCCCAGTGAAGGGAGTGATTGGTGAAGGTTATTCCACTAAATGAAAGTAGGGGAAACAAAAAGGTGTAAAACGTGATTTACATCCAAGCGACGTTGATAAACACCAAAAGTCAAGAGGCACTGAGCGGCAGAAATCGAGTCAGTCTCCAATCTCAGCGTTACTTGAGAGAGCAGACACAGCAGCCATGTTGAAAAAGGAGGGGGGCCGATAGAAAGTGTAGATAGTTCGGGACTTGTCGGGTTGTCTCCTCCACCTGTTCGTGCGTCTTCGGAAGTCTCGCGATGTCTCCTGAATGTAGTTTTGTTTACAACCTTTTCTTTCGATCTCAAGGGCAAATGTGATGAAAGATTTATACAGAAGTTACAAAATCGTTATCTTTCTAAGTTTGTTTTTTTTCCTATATAAAAAAAATCTACATAAAAATATTTACCATTTAGATATTTGATTTTTTTTTCTACTATGACGAAATTTACAAAAAATAAACATCAAGATATTTCTGTAAAATTTAATTAAATTAGTATTTTTCTTTCCCCTGTTTATTAAGTTTCAAATTAAAAAACGCACTTGGTCATGTTAACCAATTTGTTTCAGAATGGCCAACAACTGAATAGGTGACATCTTCAAAGTGTAAGCTATGTGAATTGTTGTTAAAAACAAATATGATTGTTTGCAAATTGTTTGATTCTTATATGAAGCTGGAAATAGTGCAAAGACAAAAAATACAATACTGACTCTGAAACAATGTTTTTGGTTGTTTTTGAAATCCATGCTTATTTTAAATTTGATGCGAGCAACACGTTTAAAAAAGGATTAGTTTTGATTAATAAAAGTATCTGGCTGAAAAGCACCAGGCTATCCCAGTCAATTCCAAACAGGTAAGTAATATGACAGAGTATAAAAACTGGCATTTTAAGCCTAAGTCTCTTAGGGGCAAAGATGAAGTTGAGGCTGACCATTCTGTGAGAGACTGTGTGAGGGATCTTTAAGTGTACAAGTTCTTCTTTGAAAATTATTTCAAATTAATTTAGCAAGTTATACTGTCCTTGTTCTTAACGTAATCATGTTTAGTCTGGAAGCAATTTAAAATCACTTGTTTTTGGACCCATCCTTTCTCTGCTGTTTTAGAGCAGAACTTCAGTTAGATAAAGCTGCTGAAAAGACATTTTCCCAACTAGTAAAAGGAGCTTGATACGAAAAATATTTAAAGACTAAAAACTTATTTGCATTAACCCCTCAGGTACTGGAAAACAAGCGGTGACATTCCTTATCTTTTCCAGGCTTCAATGACTTTTAGGACTTCAGAGAAGAATCAACAGTCTTTTTTTTTTTGTAAAAATAGCCAACTTTATATTCTCAGAGTACTCAGACAGCTTTACAAATATGATATGCACAGCGCCTTCCTTCTTGTCCAAACGCAGAGCAATCCAACTAAAGTTCTGACTCTCAGAGAGTCAAAGTGAAAGAAAAATAAACACAATGACAAACCAAAAAAAAAAAAAAACAAAGAAAACAAGATAACAAAGGAAGCAGGGAGGTACACTTCTACCCTTTCAGCATCACATTCATCCTGCAGCGTGAGCACAGCACATCAGGATCCAGAGCAATCTGTAAACTAACCATAACAAGACTTTCATCGTTATATATTACATATTAACAAAGAGGAGGAGAGGTGAATCCAGGGGGTGAGCAGGGATTTAAAATGAACTTTCTATCCTTTCAACTTCATGCAGGTGTAAAAGTTTGCAAAAAATAAAGCTTTAATAAGCAAAAAATTAACAACAGGTGGCATGTTTCACAAAAAAATCTTCATATAAAACAAAATGTAGCAAAAAAAGAAGAAAGAATTCACACCATGTTTGAGGGGGAAGTTCAGGGACGATTCTCATTTACATATTGACAACGACTTGGTCGACGTATAACCTGGGGTCTGTCCTCTGGCCCCTTCATTCTCTTTTCAAACACACAGTCACACACAAACACACCAAAAAGAAAACTATTCTCCAGTAGGAAGCATCTGTGCTCTCTCTCGTGACCTTTTCCCCCTCTCAGAGCCATTTCTCACACACTGTTTAAATGTCGATGATACTTCAGTCGCACATCTCCTCGGGCAGCTCATGAGGGTTGAGGATGCCGGGCACGGACATCTGGATCTTGTGTTTTTCCTCCTGGGCTTGGGACAGAGCCGTCTCCCTTTCCTCCAGGAACAGGTCCGATGTGTCCTCGCCAGCAAACTCCTGCAGGGACCACACAAGCAGAGGCTCAGCGGTGCTCAAGCCAGGTTTTCAGGCTGAACTAACATTTTTCCACAGAATGAGACCTGAGCTGCTCAAATTTTCCACAAAGTCCCTCCATTGAAAAGTTCAATAATCTGCATAGCTGAAGCGTTCTGTTTATCTGTGTTACCTTCATCCCTGTAATACTGGAGTTTTTCTTACATTTGGCACCACTGTCTAATACAAGAATAGCTGCTGCACCAATAGATGTACACTACAGCTTAATTATTACCATATCAATTTGGAAAACTCTTCTGCTGCTGGAAGTCCAATAATGGTGATAAACAGCTGACATTTTCAGCAAGTCAGACATGAGAATAAGCACTCCATCACTTCTTAAAGACAAAAGATTTTCTGTGATTGGCTACTGGAAGTGTCAACACCATAACTGTGACAATATTTTGGTTAGCTTCGACATCTACTAGATAAGATGAACTTTTAAGTCTACATAGTGCAACAAAAAAAGATAAAACTTAAGTTACACCTTCACTAGTTTCAACTAGTTTAGTGTGGATTTAACACCCTAATTTTATACACAACACACACAGAGACATATCCTGTGTCTTCAAAATCTAATGCAGTTCATTCAGCTCATCACTCACTCCCTCAGGATGTTTTTTACAGGATTGCACCATAAAAAACTTTATTAAGCTGTCAGGAGTTAAAAATAAACAAATGATTTCTCTGAAAACAGCAAACACCGACTCATATTCTTTACTGTAAATTGACTTCTCAAATAACCCAAGGATCACTTTTTATCTGCCATCTCGTGTTGTGATGTCTTCTAGGGTTTAAAATACCAGTTTTTTCCATCAGTCACCTCCTCCCTGGTCTGTTTCCAGGAATAAAAGACCTCCTCACACTCACCTTGATCTGCACGAGGAAGTCCCTCAGGTGCTCCTTGAAGGCGGGGATATCCTGATTCAGGCTGAACAGACCCGTTACAAACACCTTCACCTGGGCACTGAGGACGAGACAATCAGTTAGCACCAAGTCTGTAACCAGCAGACTGGATTTCCTCACTCTCAGCTCACAGAAAGTATCACCATCTCATACTGGTATTTCCCTCAGTGTTGTTGAACAACTTCCACACCCGGATGAAAAAGATGAATGTCAGTCTAATCTGGGTGCATATGCTGTTTGATTAGCAATGCTTGAAACAAACTGGGGAAGTATGCATCAGTGCTGACTACAGCATTAAAATGTATGTGTGTCAATTTGTAACAGGATTTATTTATAACATGAGAAAAGGACGAGACTCTCTGCCTCTTACAGACGACATGTTTACAAAATATTCACTATTCGCAAGATGAAACCCTGAGATCAGAAGTTCTGACGTACTTTCAGCTTTTAGGACCACAAACTAACATCTGAGATATCTGTTTTGTGACATTATTGGTGTAATGTTTGAAATCATCAGTTATATTCCTTGGTGTATGATCTCTTTCACAAAAAAAAGACCAAGCACATCAAATGCCCGATCTTCCCAACCCTGTGGTACACCTGAAGAACTGAGGTCTACTTACTCCTGCAGGTGGGGAAAGGCTGTCTTCAGCAGGTTGGCGATGTACTCCTGGACATGCGCCTGGTTGCTTGCAGAACTGGCAGCGTTCAGCGCAATGCTGACCTTCCCTTCCTCCACCAGGTTGAACATGTAAGCCAAGATGGTGGCGTGCATGGTTAGACCTGCAGACATAGAGTAGACAGAGGAGTTTACTGACTTTGTCACACAAATCTAACATCTCATTTGAATGACTTTGTGATGAGAATTCTTACACCAAGGTATTTTGACTCATTAAGTCCAATTTTAAAAAGGGTCAATGTTTCCTGGAGGTGAATATGTGCCAATAAGGCCACTTTGCAGATGCAGTTTATTTTACCTGCAGTGTGAGAGGTGTCAGTGACCACAGAGAAGATGTGCTGCAGGATGTCACAGAAATATGTCTGGTAAAAGCTCTGTGCCGCTGCTTCTTCTCCAGACACATTCTGCAGCAGAGTGTAGAGGATCTGGAGCCCTGCGGGGGACCAGAAGACGCTTGTTGAGGACTTTTGCAGATACTGAATTCATTAGATTTCCTACAACATTGTTCTTGAATACAACACTGTATTTTTGTGTTAACTCTATCGGATCAGATGAGATGATTCAGACCTGTGTCAGCCACATTCCTCATTGTGTGCTTGAAGGCCCAAATGATGGAGTCTAGGATCAGTTTAAACTGGGCCGGAGCAATGGATAGGAAGGCTGGGAAGCACTGGGAGGTGGCGGCTTGTAGGAGGTAGAAGAAATGAGTTCTGTGTTCTGGGAATTCCTCAAAGTCCTGACAGCATGGGAAGAAAACATGAACAGTTATAAAACCTGTGACTTTGGGACAATAATGTTAAGTTTTATTGCTTTCTCTTGTGATTTTATCGACTTAGACAGACCTTGTTGATCATGTTCAAAGTGCACTCAAAGACGGCGTCAAAGATCTTTGGGATTTCCCCTGTGATGTGGGCCCCCAGCTTGTTGACGATGGTTGCCATGGTGCTGAGGACCTCAGGCTCTCTGGCAGCTGGGACATTTCTCTGATAGTCGATGAGCACCGCCTCCAGCAGGGGGGGCACAAAGTTTTCTCCCACCTGAATCACACAACAATATATTGAAAAGGCTGACAGACCCCAAATGTTCTTCCTTTTCAAAACTTCCAAACAGAAAAGTTTTCCAATTTCTGATTTAGGATTGGATGTATCCCTCTATGTAGATAAAGATGGTTCTTTAACACTAAAAAAAAGTCATTCTGAGCGTATCTATGTGCCAAACATACGTTTCAAACCTGTTTATGTTACAGAAAAGTCTGACTGACTCACCATTTGAGGGTCGTTGGAGCGGCTGACCCAGCCTGAGATCAGCTTCAGTGTCTCTCTCTTAACTGTCCTCATACTCCTGATCAGAGGCTGTTTGGTCACCATCTCACCTGCATGAACAATTGAAGACAATTAAAAAATAAACCACCTTAATTAAGCAGCTTTTGGGTCAACATTGAAAACCTATTAGAAATGAAAGTCTTATTTCAACATTAAGAAGTTATGGAGCAACTCTGGCATTTGTTATGAGTCTATTTTTCCCCAGCAGTCACCCTCCTCTAACTGTGCTTTAGGTTTCTGCAAAGAACAGACAATACTCCACTAATAACATTTCCCACAGAAAAGTTTTTTCAAAGTGTATTAACATTATATTCAAATGCAGGATGTAGGAAGTCTGCAAAAACAAACAAAACCTGTTTAAACTTGATAAAAAGGATTTTGTACCGTAAAAGCAGGGATGTCCTGATAGCTTTGCTAGCCTTAGATCTTAATCTGCTGGTACTGCATCTTGATCTGATACATGTACTTGCCTCGGTAACACAGCTGCAGGCTGTGCTTTGAGTTTTGTTTGCAAAATAACTGAAGTAAACAAATTAAGTATAAGTCCACTGCTCTCAGTAAACTCAGTAAGATATCATGCATTTGCGTTCCACTACACACCGAGCACAGCCTGTTAGTCAGTCACAGCTCAAATAAATGATCAGCTCACATTGCTGATCCTTGATTAGTTCAAAAAAAAAACAAGATCAGCCCTAGCCTATAAGTCAAAGTCAAAATGAGGACATCTCGCCAAAAAGGATTTGTCTCACCCACACTGTGTTTTATGTTTTGTATTTGGACTCCTGAAAACCAGAGGATTCAAATGAATGAATTTACAGACCTTTTTTCCTGCTTTTCAAATAAGGCGTGCTGGTGTTTATTTTAAAGTACTAAACAGTGGCCTGATTTATTTACATCAGAGGAAATTTAATGCTGGGTGATTTCATTCGGTCCAAGCTGAATGAAATCAGTCCTACTTCTGGCTCAGCTCTCAGTTATATTTTCTGTGGTGGGCTGGAAGAGGTTTGGGTGTTCTGGAGTTCAAGACACACACTCAATAAGAGCGAACAGGAGCTAACCGTTGGTCTGGACAGCTGAGGAGATGTTTTCACTCAGGCACTTGTAGACATTGAGCATGTCCAGGTAGATTCGTCCCAGCTGGACAACAAAAGGATGACCCACAGCTTTACAGGCTCTGACGTTTGTCTTCAGGATACTGCCCAGCTGGCGCACCGTCTCTGCGTCCTTCAGGATGTCCACATTCTGCAGCAGAAATTTCAGTGTGAACAGATGTTTCATTCTTAGAAAAACTTGAGTGGAAAACATGTGGTTGATCAGTCCTCACCTTTGTGGCTTGCTGGATGATGCTGTCCCACACTTGGTTAGGCAGCAACATATACTTCTCTATCAGGAGCTCCTGGACCGCCTGGTCTGTCTGCGCTCCGATCATGTAACCAACAGCCTCATAAAAGGTGTGAACCTGAAATAATGAGGCACTGGCTTTAACTTAGACCATCAGGAATCTTTAAAACGGTTTGTTTTCTCAGTTTAAAGAAAAAGTTGACACAAAATGTCACATCCAGAAATGAAAAGACATGACTAACCTGCTGTGGCTGCAGGTCGCAGATGATGGTGTTGATGTTGTTGAGGATCTCGTCGATGAAGGGCATCACCTCACCCACCTGAACCTGGACAAAATGACGCCGGCACTTCTGGGCAATCTTGATGAAGGTGTCACACGCCATGTCCTGCACTCCATCATGAGTTTCTGTGTCGAAAAGGAAAATGAATGGAGGGTTCAGGTGGTAATAATTACTATATCACAGTGTCACTTCAAGGTGACATCGAGCTTAAAACATCATTGAAACATTAGTTTGTAACGAGACTAAGGCTTCAGAATTAAAATGTAGTCAATTACAGACCCCGCAATGATGTCTGGATTTACTTAGTGCGGAAGATTTGATGTTTTCTCACCGTGCATGAACTCAAACAGCTTGTTGACGACGGTCTTCAGGAACTTCCAGTGAGCTCGAAGGAATCGAGGATACTGACCCACGATGTACATGATGTTTGAGGCTATGATGGCCTTGTTGTCCTTCCCCCGTTTCTGCTCACACAAGCCCAGCAAGTCCTGAGAAAACAACACATACCCAGATTCAGTTAAGACTGGTTACACTCAAACACACAACGCTGGTCAATGACTGGCTCTAGAAAATGAGTTTTGATTACTGAACAAGCAATTAGGAGGACTAAACTGCACTCAAAGCGAATAACAGACGACACACACAACTTCTATTTGACTGAATTTCATTGAAGGACTGATCAGGTTTGACGCTGATATAATACTGTGTTCCACCTTGATGACGGTGACCAGGAACCTCTTCTCGTCCTCCTCGTGCATTGCTCCGCTGATAGAGCCGATGGCCCAGCAGAGCATGTTCAGGTTCCTCCACGACCACTCTGTGCCATTCACCTGGTTGTGGAGCTTCTCAGTCATGATGCGTTCAGTGTCAGCGTAGTCCAAATGGGTCAGGTACACTGCAGGCACAGACGGGGAGGACAGACAGACAAATTCATGAAAAAGGACTGTGTGGCACATGACGCAGGTTTTTTCTCCAATCCTATGAGCCAGCTACCACTTAACAGTCTAATACATTCATTCTCCCCACTCACTATAGTCAGTTTGGATCTTTGACAGTATAAACCAGACGAGAGATAAATGAGTTTCTGTTGTTTCATTTGAATTTAACAGCATTTTCTGAACCAGATATTTTTAAACTTGAACCATTTGAGACATTTGTTAACTCACCCAGAGTCTCCCTCATGTTTTTGTAAAGGTTAATGGCATCCGTGTCCTTCATGAACTCCCTGACCACCTCACCCTGGTCATTCTCTACCACCAGCACCTCCTCTGGTTTGGCCATGCGGCTCACCATCAGCAAACGCACCTATGAGAAGAGTGGGAGGGAGACAAGAACTGATACTGGATCCTGCTGCAACCCCCTGATCTACAGTGTGAATTATACAATGTAACAGCAAATTACAAATGTGCATGCAGCTAATTATTTAGTTGACTAGACAAACCATTAGTATGAGCATAAGAATCATGACTTCAACCTTGAACTAAATAAACACTCTTTGTATTTGGGCTTATAAGTCACTGAGTCCTACATCAATTGCTGAAAAAAAAAAAGCGATATGAATATGTTGATGATCCGAACTGTGTCTTGAATGGCGGTCTTACCTGTGAGAGTACAGGCAGATAGAGGTGTCTGCGTGGGGGGACATCAGACAGCAGGGGGGTGCTAGAGGTAGAGAAAGGACTCTCCCTGTAGAGCTCTGCTGCCAAGTGGTTCCAGTACTCCAGACAGATCTTAAAGATCTCCGTCTCCTCCACCTCTGACACCAGCAGCATGAAGTGCAGGGCCTAAGGAAGGGACAACACCGCACAAAAACAGACGAGTTTAGGCTCCAGACATTTTTTCAGGTCATTCGACAGGGGTGCAAAGATAAAAGAATAATTTAAATCCTTGATGGGAAAAGTTTTGTCTGCTAATAAGACACCTGGCTTCATGTCAGAGAGGAGCTTTTCTGTGGCAGCCGTTTGAAACACAAACTTTGTTTTAAATAATAATATAATGCCTTGTTGAGTCCTCTAAAGGCACTTATTTGTTTAGACAGTACTTCATGAGTAGTTAATTTAACTGATTTTATTTCACTCTGTGTCTCTCTGTATATCTAAATCCGAAAATCACAGTCTTCTTAAATGACTTACTGAAGACTCTTGCTCTGTTTTCCTCTTATGTTGTAGTCATCTCCTCCTGAATCAATTAGCTCTGACTGAAACACTTATACAAGTGGACACACAGTCACTTTAATCGCTTCCAACTGTGTATCCCTGTAAAGGTGTAATCAGGACACCACATGCAAAAGAAAAGAGGAGCCAGGCAGGAGAGCAGACACTAGATATGAGGGGGAGGTTTCTTTTCATCAAGCCTGAAGCAGAGGCGGAAATGATGAACAAGACCAACTGAGCGTTGAAAATTTGTTTACTCGAGCAGGCCGACACAGTTTCATGTTTACTTCTCTTGGTCATATTTCTCGATTTTCTGCTTTGTGAAGAAAACTGTCTTTACCTCCATGAGCGTCTCTCGCAGATTGGGTCTCTTTTCGATGAGCTGGCCGTGTTCTTTGAGGAAAGTGCAGAGGAACAAACTCAGGTTCTGGATGAAGTTCTGTTCGTCGTCCTTCCCATTGGAGTAGGCCAATCTGATGTTTGTGTTCAACGGCAGCATCTGACCAGAACAGATGACAAAACAGCGCTTCGGTCTTAGCTTTATTTATGTATACCTGAAATCGACTGTGTCCGAAATGCTCGCCCATAATTGCTTCCTTTGTATGTTTAGACTTTGTTCTTGAGATACGTTTACTTGTAAAGCACTAAGCCATAAGACCACCCAAGATCACTGTTTCTTCTAAAACTAACAAAGCAGCCCAGTAAACCAGAGGCGAGTTGTACCATGAGAGAAGGCTCTGAATGTCTATCGTGACTTTTTTTTTGTTAAATCAAAACATGGTGCCCAAAGACCAAATTTCAGTTTTATACTCATGATTTAAACTACAACCCTTATTCCAGAAAAACTGGGACACCAAGTAAAATGTTATCAGGAACAGACATCAATGAAACCCTGTATTTAATAAAGAATTGTGAAAAGATAATAAATCAAATTCTGAAACTGATGCATGCAAACCATTTCTGACATTTGTTTCCAGGTTCTTTTACTTCCTCTTTCTCCCCTTTTCCTCCCGAACACTCTAATGATGTCTGGAAAAAATGCTTTCTTGTAAACAAAGCTGATCAAACATACAGAGGCAGTAAAAGCTGGTTTGTTTTCTTGTATGTAGTTTAGTCAAATTTCTCTAAATAACTCACACTGGACTAAGTGGGCAGAAAATAAACAAATACTAACAATAAAAAAACTGCACCAAGTGTTCAGCACAGGCTTCTGCATTTTGAGATTTTGCTCCGCTTTGTTGTTCATTCCGATTTTTTGTAACAAAACAAGTGTGCATGTGTGTAATGACAGGCTGACAGTTTGTGTTTCATGCAGACTTTGGGTTGTTTGTTTGTGGCAGGAGGAGGTGGGCAACAAAAACTGTGTTTGAGTGTTCACATGTGGGTGTGGGTGTGCTTGTGCTTAATCATCCTGAGTGCAATTAAGTGGAGAACCACTCAACTCTAGGTGGTATTTGTGTGTGTGTGTGTGTGTGTGTGTGTGTGTGTGTGTGTGTGTGTGTGTGTGTGTGTGTACCTGTTTGAGCTGGCACATGGTGAGGGTAAACAAGTTAACAAACTGCTCCTCGTACTGGTTGACGCTCACGCCAGCGATTTCTGTCAAACATTTCAGTGTCACGTTGCGAAACATGGGCACGTTCAAGAACTGAAAGACACAAAGAAAATGAGTTTAACTTTCACATCTGTATCAGGAGTAAACAAGTGCTGCTGGCCACTTTTCCTTTTAGTGTCCCATACATGTAAAATGTTGTTTCACATAAAGTGATTCCCTGTTTTTCACCCCTACCCTTTGTTTCAGAAGGAAATTTAAATTTCCAAGTTTGAATCATGTGAATTTTTTCCTCTTAAAGCTACCCTCTGTGTTTGCAGCCATCAGCACACATCAACTGTTCAGTTTCAAACAGGGTAGTTCTTGAACATGCATTTTTTTATCCTAGTAAAGCTTTCACACAAAATTCAGTCTTTATTCTATTGCTAACATATATATTTTTCCTGATGAGAGCAACAACAACAACTCACTTTCATCACTTTTTGGTCATCAGTAAATATGACCTGATTCTGACTCAGCCTATTTTAAAATATCCTGACTGAACATAAGCGGCTTTACCTTGTAGACCAGAGTGCTGATGAGCTTTGTCTCAAAGATGTAACCTAAAGGAATCCAATTCAGGAAGCGGAGGAGAGTCTCCAGCGTGGCATGGACCAGTGGAGCATTCTGGGAGTTTTCCTGCACAGAAAAAAAATACAAATGAAAAAAGGTGTGCCATTTATTCAAAAACTGAGATGATTGAGCTGACATGCTTTGAAAATGAATTCATCTTACCATCACAAACTGGCACAGCTGGAATATTTGGGAGAACTCGTTACACATGCTGAAAAACAGAACAGAAACATCAGGATAGGAAGAGCTGTGTCGTTAGCCAGCAGACCGTGATTAGGCTGTAAATGTCTGTGCTTTCAAACAGAACAGCTCATCATTCAGGCTGCAGAACACTAAAAAGGTAAAAATGCCACAAAACAGGGCAAAATGTCTACACAGAACGAGGTTTAAAATTAACTGTTTGCAAATAATGGTTTCTGTGTCACTTTGAAAAAAAGTCTAAGGACATGTTAATGTGATATTAAGGTGGTATGATTCATACAAATCTAAGGAGGAGGCCAGAGCAAAATTCTGAAGCTTAGGGGCCTTTCTCACCCAAATTCTGCTTAGAAGGTCAGGAGCACGGACCAATCGTTTACACTGTTGCATTTTGCATTTGGTCCAGTTAGCGTTCACATGGGACTTTTGCTAAGCAAACCAAAATGGTTAAAAAAAAAAGAGGGAAAATTACAAGGGAAAATCACTGTCTGTCACCTGCTCCTTTGGGGCACAATCTTCATTGTCCCACAATGCACAGAGTAGCCAACCAGTGAGAACAATAGGGGTCTTGCTTCATGCATTTCACCAGAGGTGGTGGAAACATTGTTCTACGAGAAGCCAGGCATTAAAGGAATGCAAAAGAATGTCTAACACATTGTCAGCATGTTTGTTGAACAGAAGAACACCCAGGTATGTATTTAATATTTATCACCCGACTATCGTATTAGAACTCAAACCCTCAGCCATTTGTCCAGTTTTATGGACAGTCCAAAGTTTTGACCGGCTGTTCTGTCTGCTGCAACCTGTGACCGGGCATAATCTCCAGGCTTCATTACAGTGCAGGGCTGCATTCACACCAGCCGCGGACCAGACCACGGTTAGTTTGGAAGGGGACCAAGTGCTGCATTTTCAAGAGGACCATGGTCAGCTTGTTTGATCCGGACCACGGTTCGCTTGCGCGTTCATACCACCCAGAACAAAGGAGTAAGGGGACCATGGTCCTTTTAAAATGATCCAAACAGTCCTGGTGTGAATGCGTCCTTAATTACTTCAATTTTTCAATAGACCACATCCCCAAAACAGTTATGTTCTTGGGACGTCACCCTCAGGTGTGAAACTTGTCATAAATCAGTATCATGTATTATTAAAATGCTCCAGGTCTTACGTTTCTCTTTAAAACTTCTGGCCTTCCAAGTCTACGTAAGTTAACTTACTTAATGATATTATCTAAGAAGTAAGGTATAATCTTATCTCAGTTACCTGTCTTTGAGGTGCTTGGCCTTCACCTGGGTCATCTGGCCACTGGAGAAGTCAAACACTTCCTCACTGAGCAGTTTGAGGATGATCATGTTGTTCTGACAGAGGCTCTCGCTTGTCCGACTTGCTCCCACGATGTCGCTGATGAAGGTGGGCCAGTGTTTGGGCCACTCCTGCTTCAGGATCTGAACAAGAACAGAGGACATCTAGTGTCACCAACTTCTTCACATCACGTTAACTACTGTTTCCATGCCTTAGTTTTAAATGTTGTTACCTGTACGAGGATCATGTTGAGTTTGGAAATGTACACTGCCCCTTTCTGTAAGCGAACATAAGAAGAGTCACATGACTATCATGCAGCACAAATTTTTTTTTTTTAGGTGCTGTATTTTACAATAATTCAGCCTCACCTCCATGTTTGAAGGATCTGAGGAAGTCTTGATGATCAAACCGACGACATATTTCTTGATTCCTAAAAATCAACCCAATTGTCTCAATGGAAAATACATTTTTTTTATCCAACATGTGACATATTCCAGACAAAATCTTCTCTGCAGTCGATTTGAACTGACCTTCACATTGATTCCTGGGAAGAATCTTCCAGCGGGTTTTGATGACTGTCTCCAGAATCTGCAGCGCATAATACTGAGGGAAGAAGTGAGACATATTAGAGTTACATGTCAGATACATTTACAGAACAACCACAGTCAGGTCACACATTTACTGCCACCTGCAGCTAGAAATGTATGACCTACACAAAGCAAAGACGACACACACAAAAAGATGAGCTGTCAGAAAGTCTGTACGTGCAGAGTCCAGAATATCAAATGCCCTTCTGTTCTTGTTTGTGATTATTCTGGCACTTTCAGTAATTATCGTTCTTCAAAAATCCTAATGAAAATGAAAACCAAAATGAAGGAGAACCCCAGTGCAATAATGAAAAAAATCAACTCTTCATGAGGCAGCTGAAGTCAGAATTCATTGCTAGATGTATTTAATATATATTGTCTAAGATGATATCTTAACTGCAATTCAAAAGATGTATAAAATTAAAATATCCAGCGAGTCTGTAAAAGGCCAGTGCTCTTTAAAACACACCTCTGGAGTCCACACACGTCCACTAAGCAATACAGCTGACTAGTCCGTTTACTTAAAAAGCTCTCTCAATGGTTTTTGTCAGTTTTTGTGGAATATTTGACAAAGTAAATCTGTAAGCTGACTTTGGAAAGGTTTACTCATACTGTTTGTTAAATCATAACATCAGCAAAATCCCCCACGAATATACAGATAATTTCATTTATCAATATCACACACCCCTGTTTGTGCTGTTCTATTTCCATCATCTAGAGCCTGCTTGATGTGGGTTTTAAAGCCACAGCAATTACAGGAAAAATACTTATGTCATCCGAAAATTATTTTGATGATGATGAATTGTCTTGATGTTCATATTTTCTGTTTTGCTGTCACATACAGAAATGGTGGAAAAAAATTCTTGAAGATGCAACTTGAAACTTCAAAAGTTGCCAGAGCACTTGAACTATTTTTCTTTGAATTTTCCTGAAAACAAGATGTTCATTTGAATAATCCTAAAAAAGGATCCAGATTAAACTATTACAAAAAATAAATGACTGATGCAGCCTTGGTTGATGGTAACCACTAACACCAAATGATATCATGTCCAGGCAAATGCAAAGATGAACAAATACACTTAGATAGAAACCTACATATGAAACAAAATGATCTTTTACACAGAGATGAGCAGTGATGATGCTGACATTATCACGTGATGTAGCTCACATCAAAGATGCAGTAAAAATGGAGAAAAAAAAATACTAATTCTGCAGATCAGCAGGGATTTAATCACACTAAGCTGCCATTAACTGGAGAAAATCCTGTAAATACAGAGAATCAAACCTCACTGCTCTGAAAGCCTCGGCCTGATGTGGATAAACTGATAAAATTACGCTCTGTCAATGAGGCGCTTAGGTTAGTCTTAGTTTTTCTCTTCAACACAACCAGTTGTACATTAAGTCTGAACATACTTTAGTTTTCATGTTCTGGGAGAACTCCAAAATTGTATCGACCCTCGTCCAGGCGTCTGGATGATCCTTGAGGTTGGTGAGAACCTCCTGGGCCATTCGTTGCTAAAAGACAGAAACAGTGCAAACCTTTTACATGCTGTGAATCTGATGAGGGAAACTTTAGGTAGGTTTCCCCTGAATATACACACCAAATTTGACTTCAGCTCTCTTTTTAACCCTGATGACTAAGCTCAGGAACATTTTTTTCATCTACTACCAAACAAAAACACACAAGGGGCTTGTTATGGTCTTATCCTGAGTCTTAGAGAGGAAGCCCACATTTAAAACTAGTTATCCTCACCTGAGATCCTATGTCATGGTACATGGAGTTGACAACATTGTCTAACAGGTTGATGTCAAGCTTTTGATTGAAGTCCAGCAGCTGTCTGGCTGGGTGATCGGCCAACATCGTCATTTCTGCTGGCATAGAGCTTCTGAGGAGAGGGGGTGAGAAATTACTCATACATCAGTCACAGAGGCATGTGGATATACACAAATCTACAATCTACTCACAAAATTCATTGCAAAAAAATTGAAAAATTAAGCTTTCAATTCTAAGAATACTTGACCTTTCTACTCTTATTTTATACTGATCACCCATGACATTATAACCACTGACAGTAGGCCTAGGTGATTTGACCAAAAAGATGATCACAATATACTTTGTCATATTGTCTGATCTCGATTATTATCCCGATTTTTTTTTAAACTGCCAGTTTTAAACCATCTGTACTTAAAACTAAAAAATAAATACATAAATACTACATAAGACATTAAATAACTTTTCTTCTCAACAATAATATCTTTGGAGGATGACTCAAAGATAATTAATCACGATCATATAATCGCCCAGTCCTAACTGACAGGCTAAAAAAAATCTAATATATTATATGTCTATATGTAATATGTGAGGCACTAAGAGAATATGTTGTCCTCAAAGTAGATGCATGGGGAAAAAAGTAAGGATAAGGATGTAAGTAACTTTGACAAGGATCAAACTGAGATGGCTAAACAACAGTTTGGAAGCATCTCCAACACTGCAACTCTTAATAGGTGCTGCTGTGGTGGACACTGAACACCTGCTGTGGTGAGTGGGCCAATAAAGAAAACACCTGTGACCTTAAGTCATGGGTGGCCAAGGCTCAATAATGTAAGGGAAGGCTGGCCTGTGAATAATCCAACAAAAGAGCGACTGGGGATTTTTTATTTTTTTTTAATGTTAGCTCTGGTTAACTTTTGGATAAAACAGTTTTCAGGACTTTAAAGCATGCGGGGCCTCCTAGCTACAGAATGCACAAATCTCCAACAATGAACATGGATGAAAATGACCTAGAGCATCTACTGGATGTGCTGGACAACATCAGATCTATGGAGGCCCTTTCTTGTAATTAACAGGATCTACAGTGAGTGTTTTGGAGCCACATGCAACAGTACACTAATATAGGTCAGGTGGAGCCCACGTCATGTCAGGTCAGGACCGTTTTGATCCTGACCTGATGAAAGGGGCCCTTCTCAAAACAAGGTTGGTGATGGTAATACTGTCATGTCTAATCAGACTAAGTACTGTAATAACATAAAACCTAGAGGTGAGTCAAGGAATTACAAGCATGTTAAGTTTCAGTTTTACGTTGGGCAGCGGTGTGGCAGCCTTCGTGGTCTAATTATGACACCCATTGGAAAAATGAACATGTTAAACGTAAAACAGCGCCTCCTGCTGGCTGACCGGGTGCTCGTTTTACTACAGCTCGTCTGTTAGACCCCGGAATAGGACTATTGAGGGCAATTTAACACTCCAGCAGTAATATTAAACTGATAAAGAGGGTAGCAATATCCTTGTTATTGTTATAATATCGTGTGTAGCTCAATGAAGTGTTTGTGACTCCCCTCATATACACAAACAGTACTCTTCAAACTGGCGGATGCTACAGTTAGCCCACGCTGGGTGAGTTAGGTTACTGTTGGTCGGGCTGGACTTACCTGGTGTGTTCTGTCCACTCGACGAAAAAACAAGTCTTGGCTGGTGGTTCAAATCCGAAATATTTACCGTCTCGACGTGCTTCGAGCAGCAGTGCAGTATTATCTCATGACACAAGTTTTAACTGCCGCTGCTAACCTTTGGTAGCCAACTGCTAGCTTAGCTTTCCTGGATGACACCAATAGCGCTGACTGAACAGCACAGCTACGTCGGGTATTTAACGGTTGATTCCTCTAAACTAAAAGCTTCCCGCAGTCCTTTGCTTCTTGTCTTTAACTAGCTTAATATATCTTTCTCTAACTATCAGAGATCACAGTCGACTCCCACTAGACTGATAACAACTTAGCATGCTAATGAAAAGTCAATGATGTTGCGACTCTGCCGGCTAACCTAAGCTAAGCTAATAACACAACGGAGTCACACTAAGAGCAGTATTCCGGGTCATAACCACGAAGCGAAAGTCTCGTTTTTATTTCTGAGTCTATTCGTATTCACTGATAGAGAGCAGAGATTTTTTTAATGCGTGCAGGTGTGTTCTTCCTCTTAGCTCATGCTTCCAACCACGGACCGGTTGAAACCGGTTAGGACCGGGATATTCATTCTCGGTGCTTCGGCCCGTCGCGCGCCGCGTAAAATTTGGACTATGTATCCGCCCATACTGAAGCTGATTGGTTCTGTGGATGTGACGTCATTCTGTGTCATTGGCTGGGTGCGGCTGTCAATCTGACTCAACTCCCTCCCTCTGTTTTGGCTCCAAATCTGATCTCTGACAGGCTCCAGACTATGTGCCCCAAATTCAATGTATAGGACATGATATTTTTTACAAAATCAAATGAGTTATTGTTTTTGAATGTGGCTTTATTGCAGATGGCTCGGTGACATAAAAATGCCCTTAGTAACTTAAAATATTATGTAAAAGAAGCTTTTTTTATATCTGTGTTTATATAGTTTTCTGCTAGATCTTTGGTGTCTTCTCATAAACTTTTGTCAGAAATTCAATCCAACAACAATTGGAGTTTATACATTTTAAATTACAAAAATACTGCTGCTCTTTTAGCATTGTTTACTACGAATCTGACTTTATATATAGGGCACAGACTGTGAAGCACACTGAAAACAACTGCAACATTCACCTTTAAAACTATTGAAAAGCTTTGTTATTTATCTAACATAAAGGAATTTTTTTATCACTTTGTCATATTTGTTTTTTCGTTGTGAAAAACTTAATATAGACATATAGAAAATATAGCTATTGAGTTTAAATGCTAAAATCTTGATCTTCAACTCATACTGATATAAATGCAAACGTGAAGCACAAAACAAGATGTAAAGTGTTTAAGATAAGATAAGAAGATAAGAAGAACTTTATTAATCCCCGAAGGAAAATTCAATATGCTTCCATATTGAATCCAAATGTTTAATATTAATAATGGTTATGGTCAATTTTAATGTTTTAAACAAATTTGATTTATATGAATGTGTGATATGAATCTCAATGATAAATGTGAAGCAAAACATTTATCTTAACACTAACTGTGAAATAAAAATGTTAACTGTAAAACTTCTGCTCTGGGTCAAGAAACAAGCTCAGTGTTATTAAATAGCACTACTTGTCTCAGGTATTAAACCATTTCACAGTCAAGATCCTCACTGTTTTTTTTTTTTATTTCATTGTGTTTAATGAATCAGAAACTGCAATAGATACGGTGAAAGTAGAGTGACATCACTGAGAGTCAACATTCACATGTTTGATATATTTTTACAACAAAAACAAATATGACAAAGTTCACAATATTGCTCTGAATGCGATAAAAAGTGACTCATAAATATTTACACAATGTTTCTGAAACACTGTAGTGCTAAAAACAGGGGGAAATTGCTGTAATTTTAGGTTTGTACAACTTTGTGACCAGTGCTTCATAAGGACTATGCACAGAGTATTTATTACTAAACTCTTTTAAAAATTTGATGGAGGACATTTTCACTGTGGTAAAAAAGCATGTATGTAAAAAACAAAATCGCAATTGATGGTCTTTCTAAAAAGACAAAACAGTTTGCAGTGCACATGATCAATGACTGTTACCAAAATCTCTTTACATGAATATTCTACTCATGAAAAGGTACACCTGTCTGTATGTTGAAAAACTAATAATTGCCAGACACCTGATGGTAAAGATATCCTATCTTACATCCTTATGTAGGCTACATCATATTTACAATAAAGTATAAGATCTTATCAGTCTAGGAATAAAAAGCTCCCTCAGCAGTGTTCCTCCTCCTCCTTATGTGTTCAATTTTGTTCATTGCTGCCCACCACTGTGTAAAGCCAAAACATCAGACACTCATATCATGTTGTTAGCTGACATCACTCTCCAATTTCCTGCTGTTTAGTGTCGACATCGTGCTCGCTGTCCTCTGAGTAACTCTCATGATCATCTGAGTAGTGGTAACTGTCATCTGAGTAGTGTTGATCCTCCCCCTGATCCTCCTGGTCTGAGTGCTGACTGCCGCCATCCTCTCCACCACACTGGTTTGATGAGGCCTCATCACTCCCTGCTTCTCTTTCCTTTGGATCACCCTCTGAGTCTTCATCATCCAAAAACACTTTCCTGTAGTGAACAGGTTGATGTCCAGTGTCTGACTCATCTTGATCACTAACAACAGAGGCAAACAATTTAATTAGACCAAAAAATGTCTTTACTCTTATAATAATGACAGAAGGAACTTCTTAGTTTTTCCTCATAAAAGAAAAAAAAAACACCTAAAAACATATATAAATCACCTCTTGTTAAGAACCAATGCTTATAAATCTGTGACAAACATACCCTGATGTCAAAGTTTCTGTTATTTAAACTTAATTGTTATTATGTGCTCTCTCTTGTGCTTTTATGAGTAGACAGCTGAAGAGAGACAGGAAATGTGAGTAGAGAGTGGAGGAAGACATACAGCAAAGGGTTTTGGTAGGGTGTAAAACCAAGGACAGCAGCAACAAAGGCCACAGCCTCTGTATATGAGGCCCTTCAAAGTTCAGACGTGTCTCACCTTTCTAAGCTCCTCGACCCTTTTAATCATTTAGACTCTAAGTAAGTAGATTTCTCTAAAGAGTTTTTAAAATACTGGAGTTCCCTTTGAATCATCAGTCTCGTTCGGTGAGAAAATGTGAACACACAGAGCAGACTGCCCTACAATGGTCACATATTTACCTCTGATTTCTGCTGGAGGATGAGGAGTCTTTGCGTGCAAACCCTGATTTTCCCGCCTTGCTGCTGACAAACTCCTCAGTCAGATCATAACCATGCAGGGCGTCTGTGTAACGCTTCTCTGCTGCCTGTTTGGCATTCCTCTGTTATCAAAGCAAATTTAAGAGTCAGAGTAAGTATAGATGAATCAAGAAAAAACACACCCAGATACCAGTGATTTAAGATATAAAATTCAGCAGATTGTAGTTTATCAACTTTCTCTCAAAACTATCCCAGTTTTGTTGTGATATTTTTAGCTCAATGTTTCCTGAATTTACATCTTACAAGCTGCTTCTTTTAAAAATGTGCCTATGCTCGACAACATCTCAGCCAAAGTCGGTGGAGGTATTTGCAAATTTAAAGCTGTGGAGTTTTTAATTGGTTGTGAAACAGACTGAATGGCATTGATGAAAAAACAGTTGTCACATTGTAGATCTCTGCTGCATTGTCCTGTTGAGAGGGAAGAACCCACAATGTGAGGGGCATGTGAGCAAACAGCTGTGGAAAATTTGGGGGGTATATGCATTTGAGGCTCCACAGTCAAGGACCCTGTTTCAACAATCTAAAACACACACTTTGGTAGTTCAGTGGTGCAAAGTCTGAGCACTAAATAAGGTGCAGGATGCAGAGAGGTTGAATTTCATGTTTTGATTATTTGTATGTGTATAAGTTTACACTGATCAGCGCCTCTGCTTCATTCCCATTAAAAGTCTGGTGTGCTTACAGACAGGGGTGTTACTATGTACACAGTGAATTTCAGCCACTTAAATACACCAGGCTTTAGTTGGCACATTGAGCCTCTCTTCTACTACTGCACCTGCAAATACACTGAAAAATACACACAGCCCACTGTATGAGTTGTGTCACTGCATGAATTTCTGTTGAATCTACTGAAATATTTCCTATAAAAGGGACACATACATTTATTTCCAAGTGGACACATACATGCATTTATACGCATGGACCAGCAGCGCTAACTACCTTACTCATAGAAAAGTCAGGACTTGATGAGAGTTCTGGATGGGATCTTGTTTGTGATGATCTGCATGCATGTTTTGTACAGCCAGCCATCTGCCCTTTAAATGCCAGTACAGCCCTGTGCCATGGGCATCAGATTTTGACCCTGGTTTTTGTGGGTCTAAGTTGGTATTTGACCATACCCTATTCAAAACCAGCATGCCCCTGGGTGCTATCTTCGGCACAAGCTAATTTACTATTTACATAACAACAGCCTTGGGCGTGAGATTAAAAAGTAGACAAGTGTATTGACTGGAAAATGATGACCACTTTGCTCCATGTGTACAATAGAGTGTGTTGTTTTTATTTACTTGTGCAACCTGCTCCAGCAGCAGTGGCCTCCCCTTCACTCTCTGCTTCATCTCTTTAATCTCCAGCTGATACTCCTTCTTACGCTGAAGCTCTTGTTTCCTGTGAAAGACGAAGAACCACTGAGTATCTTATTGTACCTCCTACAGTTCACCTCATGGTGCAGTTATGTGGTTTTTAGGGTACCTGAACTCTCTGAGTTTGTTGTGCTGCGTCTGTGAGAGTGCCTGGTGGGGGTCGTTGGCGTGGGCGCGTTTCACCACCACCCTCTGCAGCTTCTTCTCCCTCTGCTTCTGCTTCTCCTTCCACCGCTGCTCCTCCTCCTCTGCCTTCTTCCTCTGCTCCAACACCTTTCTACTCAGGGAGACAACCTGGTCACAGATGCAGGAAGGTGTGGATGAAGTAGGGGCTTCAGGAAGGCAGGATGAGGAGTATGGCTACAGGGAACTGAACACGTTGGAATGGGTGTGGGCGTTGTTAGGAGAAGGAGATTTGTTAGGGTTCAAGCACAGGGCATGTTGAGATTGAGGTCTTGATGACTGAAAAGGGAACTAGAGTTCTGGGGATCTTTCTATCTTGACCAGAATGATGGAAGACTTTGAAGACCTCAAACGATACCTCACAGCCTCGTGTCGCTTCTTTGTAGCATCTGTGACTTTTGTGGGCAGGACCTCCAGGCTGCCAGAGAGTGATGAGCAGAGGCTAGAGTTGGGTGTCCGAGACGATCTAGGGCTAATGTACGGCCATCTCATCATCCGAGGGCTGCTCTGCTCTTTCTCGATGTCGGCCAGGATTCGATCCCGGTGTGAGGAGATCTGGGACGTCCTCAGCTCAAAGGGTTCACATGCAGTTGTGGGCCTCACTTCCTTTTGTTTCTCCAAGTGATTCTTGAATCGTCTGTAGCTGGCGTCGAAGTCGGGTACCTGTTTGTTGATCTGGGGTTTATGAGGAAAGTTGTCCCCTTCGGCTGCACCGCTGTCTTTGGTCTTCTTGCGTTCGTCGAGTCGTCGTGCAAGCATGCTGGGAGGCATTGAAGCACTGTGGAGCATCTCCTGAGCTCTCATCTGGATTTTGATGGAGCGGTACAGCTGCTCTTCCTTCATCTGCTCCCCTGATGCTGCTGCATACACTGCTTTGGGGACTGCTTTGGCCTTGAAGGGTTTGGTTTTCTCCTTCTCTGCCTGTTGTGCCTGACGCAGCTGTTTCTGTTCTTTCTTCAGTCGCTCCCTCTCAAGGAAGCTGAAAGGTTTTGGGGCAGTGTTATTTGCACGATTTTCTCGCTCTTTTATTGAGTGCCGCCGCTCCTTGTCCTTCTCCAGCAGCTCTTCATAAAGCGGGAGGTGAACATGTGCTGGTACAGGGCTTGCTCTGAACTTCCTCTGGCACTCCGTCAGTTCCTCCAGCTGTCGTCTCAGCTCTGCGTTCTCCAGCTCGATCTCTGAGCGTGTCTTTATGCCACGCTTTCGCTTCTCAGCCTCCCGCAACATCATCTGGAAAGGTTTGGGTATGGTCACCCTGTGTTTCCACAGATCCTGCTCCCTGTCTTTGTGGCTGTGCCGCTTCTGTCTTTTACCCCTTCCTGGTCTCTTCTGGTCCAGCGACAGACTGTGCAGCGAGGAAGAGGACAGGTGACGGCTGTGAGGGGACATTTTAAAGTCCTGCCACATGTTCTTGATGTGTTCTTTGGGGGAGAAAAGCAGACCTTTCTCCACATAGTTACCAGCAGCTTCATCTTCTTCGTCTGAGGAGTCAGACTGACCAGAGCCTCTCCTCAGTTCAAAAGCAGAGTAAGACTTCCTCAAACAGCGAGATGTTGCTGGGCTGCCGTCTTTCCACATGAACCTGATAAAAACAAAATAAGTGCAGTTTTTTTAAAAGCCCCAGCTATCAAAAATCTACACATTATAGTGAGATACACTGTAAACTATTTTAAAGTCCTTTTGAGGAGCTTTTAACCTGTTATAAGAGACCAAAATTAACATTAGCATCTACAAATGTAAACCAGACCACCAGGAAGAACATTTTCTTTTAAGTTTGCTTTTAGTTTAAAAAGAGGTTACCCGTCAGCTTTTATTTTGAAAAGACGTTATCTGTCTCAGCTCTATGCTCATGCATAAACGCATGCTAATGAAGTTTAAATTGAAACACTGAGCGCTCTGACACTGATCACATGCTATACACATAGACTGTATATACTAATACTTTTGACCTCGTGTTGTAGCTCATAGATACCACAGTTGATGTATAAAACAAATTTAAAATGATCTTTTTTGGTCTGAACACAATTCTAATAAAACTTATGACAGACTAAATTCACTTTCAAGAGTGAAAAATGTTTTTTTTTTGTTGTTGTAAATAAATGTATAACACCTTCACCCATGTTCTTCTAACCTTCACAGATTCCATGAATTGATGCCCATCTCCTAAATATGTGGTCATATGATCAAATCCATTTCCAAGCAACAGGGGTTGGCTCAACTTACCCTTTGGCTCAACTTACCCCAGTCTCCCCTACAGATTAAATCAGCTTAAAAAGTTATTTTGGCTCAGACGGACTATTTTTGTCGTCTTCATTTTTTAGGACTGTGTTTTATAAATGGAGATATAAGTTTAATTGCACTGGTTAGTAACTTGCAAAATAGTCATGTATAGTTTTGATGTAGCCCCCTCTACAGGCGAGGTAGAGTAAGCAAGAGTTACTGAATAAATCAACAAGATACAGACACACAGGCTGTGAAAGAAGAGACAATTGAACTTAGGTCCTTCAGAAAATCTTGACCCTACCTGTGCCCTGTGTCTAGCGTTGCCATGTCCAGAGGCTCCATGGACTTGAGCTGCAGCTTCCGCCGGTACATGCTCTCTAGCTCAGCCATGGTGCGGAGGTGAGCCCTCTTCAGCTCCTCCAGCTTGCTGTAGTACTCCTCGTTGGAGAAGAAGATCTCACTCAGGTCGAAGCGGTCTCTTGCTGCTCTAAAGTCTGTCAGCATGAAAGAAGCGTCCTTCCCCAGACAGTCCTCGTCACAGTAATCAGAGCCTGAGTCCTCGTACTCCAGCTGAAAAGGCCACGAGTACTTTAAAGCTCATTTTCTAATCAGTGATAACTTTCTGTCCAAATCTTAATGAATAAAGTTGGCTCAGTGGAGTGATTCAACAGCATATAGTTTCACTTGTGCACAGTAAATGACTTTAGCAAACGACTTCTTTATGATTGATGAGGACGCCTGGGACACATTTATTAGTTTCATACATTGTTTTGAACTCTCAGTCCTCCTGGAGCAGAGCCACCCTGCTCGGCGGTAGTCAGTCTCCTCCAGGACTAAGCCTATTACCCTGCTGCAGCAGTGACGTGGGCCATATGGTGAAGCACAAAAGGAGGGCTTACCACCACTAAAGAGCTCAACACACACACACACACACACCTTGCATCAGGTTAGGTGTCTGGCTCTATTGCTGCTAACATCACTATGAAGTGTTTGTCAAAACCATCAACCAGTGAGGTGGGGAAAAGCTGCATGCACGGGGATGAGGGAGCAGAGTTGTTAAATGGGAGTAATTAATTGTTTGGGATTATAAACCAAATGTGGAGCCAGATAAGCTATTCAAGACGGATGTCCAAAAATAGTCCAGCTAACAAATTATACAGGTCAAATCCTTTCCACCGGGCAGACTGACCTGGAAATGTCAGCGGGACAAGATCAGACAGTGTTTCTCTGTTGATCTAAAAAACAAATGTGTGTTGGGAAAAATGACAGTATCACAAGTTTATCTAATAGGAAATTAAATGTTGAAAGGACCTAAAAACAAACGCTAGAGGCTTTAACTATTTTTGTATGGGTGGGGGACCAATTTTAGGTTTCATTATTCACATTTTAAGATAAACAGAATCTTTGTCCTTCACAATATTGCCAAAAAAACATATTAAACAACATTAGAAATGTGTAAAAGCAAGAAGAAGCTAGAGGTACCTCAACTGTGTTTCCTCTGTGGTGCTTGGGAGGATTATGCTCGTTTTGTCCTTGTCTAAATCCATGTTTGCAGGACTAAAAAATATATTTTTTAAAAACTTTCCTTTCTCTTACTCTTTCCCGGCATTAGTTGTCACCCCAATTGTATATTGTATAATGTTACAAAATCATTAAAAAGGACGTTTTATCTGACAATGCCTAATAGTAATTTGAAGTATTTGACGTGTTGTGTCTCGGTAAAAGGAGTGTTAATGAGGTGTTGACTTTTTAAAAGTTGGTTTTACCTAATAGCTGTCGTAATGTTGCTCCACATCCTGGATTCTACTACAAATGTGATTTTTAGGTAGTTTTTACCTCCTTTTCGTAGTCTCGGTTGTCCATATGACCCGCTGTCGTGTATGGGAGCACTCTCTCCCTCTCGTATGAGGCTAAAGGCGCCTTGGTGTGCGGGTCCACCGGCGTTTTCAAACACGAAGTCACCAGCACATTTGTCCGGTGAGGATTTGCCATGATTTCGAAGTTTTCGTCCTAGTTTTGAGGACAATTTAACTGTTTAATTGTCGGTTAATTAGTAAAAAGTTGTGAAAGTGGATACAAGGTCGCTGTCCGCGTGCTGAAACCCGTATTCAGGCAGCCGCTGGTTGGCTGCCAGGCAACGACGCTGGGTGGGAGAGGAAGTGACGTTAAAATAAGAAAAAGGAAGTTTTTTGTTTGTTTTTTTTAAAGAAAAACTTAGGTTTGCGTGAACTGTAGCCTAAACAATTAATGTTAAAAATAACGGATTTCCTTGCATAATTATTGTATTCAATTTCCTTCAATTTACACTTTTTAAATAATTATTTATATAAATTAAATAGACTTTTGGTAATCGTTTGCTTAAAAAAAGTTTCTTATTTGTATTTATTACGACCTAAGCTATTTTGACGTGAAATAAACCAATTCAACAAGAATATACGTGTGTAATATAGGTGTTTCATGTTGTTTTACATTTTAAATTTGGCGCTCCTAATTCGTCTTTTAAAAACTAAATTAATTCGAGTTTGCAGTTATAAGTTACACGTTTTGAGGTCTCCTACATTTCTTCATCTATTCACCCAATTTATATTAGTTTCTTTTTCATTATCCTTCAATTATATTTATATTACCTTTTTTATTGCCACATCATATATTCATATAATTTCATTGATGATGCTAATGATTTAGTGTAAAACCATCTGAGTATTCAGATGTAAGTCATACAGAATGTCTTGTAAATTTTAAGACCTGTAAAAGTAAGACCTTTTTAATGCTTTACATCCTTAATGCTAATATAAGACTCAAAAGGGATCCAAAGTAACCGTACTTCATTAAGATGTGGCATGAAATTCTTTGAAACATGAGCAAAAATCTTTGAGCAGGCAAAGAAATCACACAGGCAACAGCTGGAGTGTTAACAAAAAAAAGCCTTTTTTTTTATTAAATTATGCAACATAACAACTACAGTGGAAATCTGAACAGACTGATGTTGATAGAGTCCTCTGATCCCTCACAGTATGGGCAGGCTTAGTACAGAACTCAGTGGACAGACACAAATCTCTTATCGGGTGTTCACCTGGATCAAAACAAACAAAGATGATCAGACTCAACACAGAGAAACATTACTCTAACTTTAAAATAAATTCAGACAATCCTGCAAATTACAAATGCAAAATCTTACCACGTCGTCGATCTTCAAAATGCTGCGGACAGTCTCTGTGGCCAGGGTCAGTGCACTGATGGAAACCAGTAAAGGCTGCACCACCAGCTCCTCTAGGATGTTGGAGATTCCTCCCTGTGAAACACAAAGAGAAAAACAGCCAACCTGTTGTCACTACCAGCTTTCTAACAGTGGTTGTATGTCAGTTTATCCAGATACAGCCTGCATACAACTTAAGTCTACACCTTACGTATGAAATACTAAAAAATAAAAGTATACAATAATATACACTTGTTTAACTGATCAGTAATATTCTGGTGATGTCTGTGAAAGTGACAGCATTTAATCTTAAAGTAGACTGAATTCACAAATCCCTAATTTCTAGAATAAAGTCGTATCAAGAACTGAGACATAATGCATAAAGATTCAAATGATTATGTGGTGAAAATCAAGTCCTTGTATCAGGTAAAAAAGCCTGTAATTCAGGGGAATAAAGTCATAACAAGAATTCAGTCATATAAGCAGCATTAAAACAAAATACTGTGAAAACATGGTTGTAACTCTTACATTCTGACAAAAAAAATTTAATACAAGAATAAAGTTTTGATATTAAAAGAAAAAACGTTTGATTTTAGTCCACGGTTAGCCTGTATGTTATTTTGGGGAGGAACAGCAGAAAAGCAGCCAGCCACCTGCACTTAAATTAATTAATGAAGGTTCATAAATAACAAAAAAAATTCATCTTTACCAGGCTTTTTTCTTATATGTGACTTTAGTTTTGCAACATTAAAACAACTTGGTTTGCAAATTTGCATGTTTTTTGCAAAAAAATAGAACTTAATGTCATAATATTGCAACTTTATCGATGAAATGTGAGATTTTTTTTCTTCAGTGTGACCCTGATATTCCCTTACTAGTCCAAAAGTCAGAAAGAAATCGAATTTTTAAAGTTTAATAATTGACTTCAAGAGTTCATATTATCTTCTGATCCATGCTTGACATGTTTTAAAATCAGCCTCTCTAAAAGGTAGAAGGGATGCAAACCTTGCGGACGTTGATGCCCGCCACCTTGTCTCCCTGAGCATGCCTGTTGCGGAGCTCTGTCACTGTGGAGATTGGGTTCAGACCAGCGTTCTCAGCCAGAGTGGAGGGGATCACCTCCAGGGCGTCACTGTACGCCCGCACGCAGTACGCCTCCATACCACCAAGTGCGCGTGAATACTCTGCCAGACGCACCGCCAGCTCGATTTCAGGGGCGCCACCACCGGCGATCAGAGCCCTGAGTAGCAGAGACGAAGAAAGTGAGGAAGAGAATGTTACTTAAAGAATCACACACAGTTAATGGAACAACTAAGCCCGTACTCACAGGCTCAGTAAATGCATGGCGCAGGATTAACAAACAGTAGATTTGAGTTATTTGGGATTATTTCAGAGTAATCCTGTAATGTGTGTGTGAATGCTCCCTGTCTGAGCTGCTGAAACAACCAGAGAATAAAGAGAGCTTTCCACAGTACTCTTCCTCCGTTTGTTACGCTCCTGCAGGAGCAGCTGCAAGAGCGCCTTTGTCAGAGGTCAACACAATGATTTTTCCCCAAAGGTTTAGTGATCTTTTCTCATTTATTCAAACAATAATCTGACCTCTTCTTGACCAGGCAGCGGATGACACACAGGGCGTCATGAATGGAACGCTCGGCCTCCTCGATCACCAGTTTGTTGGAGCCTCGAACCACGATGCTAACCGTCTTCCCGGGACTGGAGCAGCCTGTGATCTGGAACAAGAACAGTTTGTCACACCAAGATGTTCCTTTTCTCTGTCTTAGTTTTGTAGTTTTTATGTCATTTTCAAAGCCCCTTTTTTTAAAGTATTCAGTAATCAAAACTGTGACTCTTACCTTGATAAGCTTGCCGGAGCCATCCAAGCTGACCTCCTCAGCAAGCTCTGCTGTGCCGAGCATCTCTGGAGTGAAGTGGTCGATGTGGGCGATGGGCTTGGTGCCAAGAGTCTGCAGGGGAGGGGAAACTTTCAGTTTGTGATAATTTTGTGGGCCTAACGAAACCTCTTATAAAACTTTTCTGATCTCTTCCTATATGTTTATAACCAGCCAAAAACTACAAACAGGCTTCAAACTACAGCTCTGGGTTGTCTGCTGTGAAGCGAGCCAAAACACACACCATAGCTAATATAAGTGTTCAACTATAAAGACGTTCATTTCGTGCCATATCAGTCAGACTGAGTGTTTAGATGCAGTTAAAAGTTCAGTTTCAGTCAGACTAAAGCAATAAATCAGTTTCTTTAACGATACAAACACCCTGGGTCTTGTTGTGAAATCACTGAAGCTCACCTTGCAGATGAACTCAATGTCTTCTCTTTCGATCTCCTTCACCACCATGATCTTCATTTTGTTGAGGAAGTGCAGGGCGAGGTCACTCAGGGCATCTCTGTAAAGAGGAAACTTTGCAGTCAGTATGAAACCTTTTCAACATCGATATATGAAGTCCGACAGTAAAACACAAGCGTCGAAGTCTGTCTGTCAGCTGTGATTGTTCACCTGAGGATGGACTTCTGGATGAGCAGCACATTGCAGCCAGCCTTCTTGATCTGTTTCACCATATTTAGGATGTAAGCACGCTCCTCCCGCAGCACACGGTCCATCTGAGCATAGTCCGACACCACGATCTGATTGTCCATCTGCAGGAAAAACAAAAGAAAATGAGACTTGTGTAGTTGTTAGTTTGGCTTTCAGTGAAAACCTCATGACAGAAAAACTCTAGGATATCATTTTGAGGCTCAGTTTAAGAAACCCAAAGTCTGCCATATTGTTCTGTGTGTTAATAAAAGAGGGGCAGATTTTGTGCTTGTCTCTCAGTATAAAGTCCAAACTAAAACACAGCTAAAAGTGGAGCTGATATTTAAAGATATCTCACATCAGTTTTGGGCGGGGACAGGCAGAACTGAATCAGGCCGATCTTGGCTTTCTCCACGCGGGTCACTCCGCTGTTGGCCACCCTCTGAGTCAGCACCAGACCTTCAACAAGCTCACAGTCATCAATGGTCCCTCTATTAACACAAAGAGCAGCGTAAGGAGGCAAAAGAGTTAATACTTTCATTCTTGAATCCACACTCACACCAGGTCCAGGTTTCTTAAGGTTTGTCTGCCGGCACACAGCAAAAGTTGACACCAACATTTGAATGTGGAACTCACCCAAGCTTCTTAATGATCTTGATGTCTTGTAGGTCCACACTGGTGGCAGTGGTGGGGTCGATGACTCTCATGACGGCGTCCACACTCATGGGCGCCAGCAGGCTTGAGTACTGCGACACCACCTTAGAGCACAGCGACGTGGTGGCGCTGTTGAGCAGCGTCTCACGGTCACTCAGCTGCACTGGCTGGCTCATGGCTGTCAGCACCTCCACGCCCTTCTCTACAGCTTTCTGGAACGACTCGGAGATGGTGGTCGGGTGGATACCTGACAGAGAGTGAGCAAACATTAGAGCTGGAATTGATGAACAAGATCAGACAATCCAGATGGGAGAAAATGGAAAACTCTTTGACAAACTGAATAATATAAACAAATAATGAACAATGTTGCTGAATTTTAGTGAACATTTCAGCAAATTAATGTAGACAGGAATTATTTTGCTCTGTAAAATATCGCTACAAAAGAATGTTAGATATCTTTCCAGCCATCTTATTCAAAAAGCAATAAAAACACAGGGTAAATTCTCTGGATTAAAGAAAAATGAAGGTTATGTATAAATTGATTGCACCATAATTATCATGATACCATAACTCTACATTAATTCACTTCATTTCTGCTTTTTTTCTGTCCTCTGAAGCTCTCACCTTTCTGCAGCAGTTTGTAACAGGCGTCCAGCAGTGCTCCAGCAATCACAACCACAGAGGTGGTGCCGTCACCTGCCTCAATGTCCTGAGCTTTGGAGAGCTCCACCAGCTGAAACACACACCCCCAGATTTTAATCCAGGCTTGATAAACATGTCAAATCAGTTCACAAACACTTACATCAAATAAAACCTCATCAGAAAGTGTCTGGAGAAGCATACCATTTTGGCGGCAGGGTGGAGCACCTGCATCTGCTTCAGGATGGTGGCGCCGTCATTGGTGATGGTCACGTCACCTTTCTCATCCTGGATCTGGAAAATACAAACAAACACAAATGCACCTGCTGTAGAAAAGTGTTTGATTCAGACACTTAAAGACGTCAAATCTGATGCAGAAACCTGTTAACTGACCATCTTGTCCATTCCTTTGGGCCCCAAGCTTGTTCTGATGGCATCTGCTACAGCTGTGAAACAAGAAGGTGATGCATTAATACGGTGACTTTCATCAATGCAACATCCATGTTTTTCTAAGCAAAAAAAAACAAAATTCTTCTTTTTTGACAAGGATCAGGGGTGTACATTACTGGCAGCAACACAACCATACCATTATGACTGTAACAACAAAATAATGACATTTGTTTTTGGCACCACACGCTACATACGGCAGATAATTTGCTGGTGCTTTCACAGTAAGTCAACAGTTTCATGCAGCAACATCTTTTCATTTGCAATGCATGCATCAATCCAATAGTTTCTGTGTGGGATTAAGGTTATCCTTTTAAAGTTACATGTTCTTCCCTTTATATGTGCAACAATTTGGGGATACAAATTTGGTCTTGTGTTAATTGAACAGGTTTCATCATGTTAAATCAAGAGCATGAAATTACCAAAGCTCATACATAATTCACTGCATCAGCAACACACAACAATAGAAAACCGGGCTTCTATAAATACTCAAGTTACAACGCATATTTAAACTAAGTGGTTCTTGCTTTATGATTCAGTCTATAATACAGTCTTTTCATCTTTGCCATATATAGTATGCAGATGTGGGCTAACTAATGCTGAGATTGTGTTGAGTCATGAGCAGCTTGCAATATCAGACTGAACCAAACTCCAGTTTGAAAACGTAGAAAACTGTGGAGAATACTGTAGCCCTTTGCTTGCATTTCAAGCAGCATCGGACCCCTTGTTAAGTGGGAATTTTAACAAATAAACAATCCCCTGGTGCAAATAGCTAAGCCGAATGTTAAAGTGGGTTAATATAGACATATTACCCGCTCTTAGCTACTGTTACTGTCATGTACATATTTAAAAATGAGTACGGCTGTAAAATTATCAATTCAAGAATGGGAATTCTGAGCGGGTTGAGATGATGCTCTGACTACAATCAATTAAGAAGCCTCGTTCAGTCAAAATGAATGAATCCCATTGACTAAGGTTGTTTATGAACATTTTAGATATATTCATCCTACCTTTGGCCGCAGAGATGTTACTGAACCTGATCTGGGCCGGCTTGTCGCGGTCCACATACGCCCCTCCTTTGTTTTTGCTCATGTTTGCAACTCTCGGTGCCGCTTTGGCTTCGGGCATCACGATTTAGTAATCGATCAAAAAGGTAAAGATGGGTCTTTAAAACGGAACAGAGTCGTCCCGGGGCTTGAACAACGCGGTTCGGCTTCGGATGGACTCAGATTATAGGATCTCCACCCGATCCTGTTTGGAACCTTCCAGAGCCGCCGGCTGCTGCAGAGGGAAGAAGGACCCGGCTGTCAAACTGCCCGGCGCTTAGAGATGACATAGTTAGACAGGAACTATCGATTACCGATGACAGATAAACCCCCTTTCCCTGTTTATTCACATTCACAATTCTAGAGTTACGCCTCGCTTTATTTATAATAATAATTAAACATGCAAGGTTGGTTTAAATGGCGCTGCAGCGAGAGATTTCTGTTTAACGCCAAGACAAGTTGATCGTGTTTGATTAGTTTTGTCTTCCTGGACTGAAACAGCATTGAGCATGGTTTCTGTTGAACATGTTAACAGACTTTAAGTGAACGCTTTCTGCACCATTCAGTATTTATCCCAGTGGATTGATCACCTCTGTGTCCGGTAGGTTTAATATAGTTTTGTGCAGCAGATTACTTTGCTTTTGGTGGTTATATCGTTTTCAATGTAGCCTCCAACAAGCTCAGTGTTAGCTAGATTAGCTAAACATACAGCAGTCTGTAAAACAGGCATGATGAAGCGGTGATTTTGAGTTTCTGCTTGGACTGCTTTAAAACTTTATACTAACTATCAAATCTGCTTGTAATTTTTTACAAAATTTGCCGATGCTGTAATTTCAATGTCAGATGGTTTTCTTGTAAAATTGCATCTTGAATGAGGTCCAAATGATAAGAAACACAGCTGATCTATTACTGCGTCTAATTCCTACTGTTTAAGTACAGTTCTTATTATTATTAGGCCAGAATTTCCCTCATTTTTGTGGACCTGTATTTTTTAAAGAGTTTTCCCACGTAGTAAAATAATAAAGGTTTAATTCAGATTAAATAAAGTTAGAAAACGCTCAACAAACAGTAATAACTATTATTGTCATTACTATTATTCTTATTATTACTGTTATTACTCTCCAACTTTTGACCCACTTTTTATTATGTCTGCATGTACAGGTGCTTTGTAAATGTCATGAAGCTATAACAATAGTTTCATTTTCCCTGGAGATGAAATGGACTGAGGTAGATATGGACTTAGCTGATATCAGGCAAAGGTTTTGTTCTCAGCCTTCTCTCCAGCTATATCAACAGTAACCTGTGACAGAAAGCTTATTTAACATGTAAACTGTATTGCATTTCCCCTGGTGACCTGCTTGTTTAGTTAAAAATGCAAAACTTAAGAATAAAGTTTGTTTTTTTTAAATAATAAAGTAAATCTAACCTTCATTTATCCCACATCTGAGAAATGTCCAGTATTGAGAAGCAGCAAAGAGCAAAAACTAGAATCAAAAAGTTCAACATCCATCCTTCATCTTTAACAGTCATCCTTATCATCCTGAATTTTCTTTGGAAAGCATCTTGGGATAACGACTGTTGTGAATTGGTGCTATGTAAATAAAATTTGATATGATTAGAAAGTGATACGTGTCTTTGCTCCTCCTGCAGATTAAAACATGCTGTCACTGAAGGACAAAGACAAACCAATCATCCAGAAGCTTTTGTCTGCCGGCTGCTGCTCTCGCTGTGTGCTCAGGTTCTGCTGTGTGAGCGTCCAGGCTGCCTACAGACGACCCCACCAGGTGTGTGTTTGATTGTAAAAAGCTGTTTTGCCCTAATAATATCACTTTCTGATTTGTTGTGTTATTTTCTGTGCGTCACAGCACACACTTCAGGCACTTAAAGCTTTTATCAGCGACACAGACAACAGCAAACCAAAGGAAACAGTGGCATCAGGGTGCGAACAAGAAAACAACAAATCCCATGATGTAGCAGGGCCAGAACTACCTGAAGACCCACCTGTGAAAAGAGCCAAACTAGAGCCTGGTGCAGCTGTTGGTCCATCAGAGGAAGAGGCTGCTGCTGGAGGTGGAATGAAGGATGAGGAGTCCAGAGTGTGTGTGGTGTGTTTGGGGATCCTGCAGGACCTCTGTGGCACAGCGCAGGCTGCGAAGGTTTGTGTTTGCTGTGAAATATTCACTGGAGTGTATCAGATGAAGAGAAGAATGATGTTTTTCTGTTTTGGTGTTCACAGATAGCCGAGGCGGTGAAAACAGAAAAATATGAGTTTGACACTCTGGTTCTGTCCGTTTCTCTGCCTGCTCAGCTGTGTGTCAGAGAGGTCAGTCTCAGTCTGTTTGTACTTCTTCTTTAAATCACCACTAATCATTTAATTATTATTTTATTACCTTTTAAATTAATTGATCAAATATTTGGTTTGTGAAATATGAGAAATTTGTCAAAAAAATGATGAAACATGCCCTGATGCACATAATGAGTTAAAATGTGAGTTAGAAATACTTTCATGTTGTTAATATCGTGCCATATTGTATCCTATCATATTGTATCCAATCATATTATCATTGTCATATCATATTCCTTCTTATCGTATCATATCAAATTGTATCCTATATGATATGATATCATATCATTTTATTTTGGTTCAATATTATGTATCTCATTGTTTTCTATCATGTCTCATTGTTTCTGATCCCATCATATTGTGTTTTAACATATTGTATCGTATTATATTATTAAATGTGATATCTAAACATTCTGCCCGATGTACTGACATTGTATCCTTTAGTGATTTAACATGTTGTATCCCTCAGTTGTATTTGAGGGTAGCGTATGGTTTCTGTACTGGATCATACTGTATTGGGTTGTTTCCATTAGTATCCTTTTGTGTGTTTTTTTATTGTGTCTTACCATCTTGTATCGTCCTGTTTTGTATCATATTGTACAGTATTGAGTTGTAGTTAATCTTGTTCTGTGTTGTCATCCTGGCTGTAATATATCATGTCTTACTGTAGTATACAATGTTGTTTCATAGGCTCTGATTCTCCTCTTTCATAGTAACATGTACCTTTTTATCCCACAGCACTCCTGTTGGCTTCACGTGAAGGGAGAACTGAGGCAGGTGACTTTTTCTGTGCGTTCAGCCTTTAAACATCTGAGTGTGTTCAGTCATGCTCAAAACACATTTACTTTTTTGATTGTTCAGAGAGAAGAGCATCGCCGTTGACAAGGATGACGTCATCCAGGTGAAGGAGGCCTTCAAATGGATCATGCAGGGGCTGGTTTCAAAGGAGCTGGGGGGCGTTGGTGTGGTAACCAGGGTGAGTAATACACCTGAAGAAGGAGAGAGCATCACTTTTGTGGTGGGGATGTCAAGTCATTCTGTAATTCTGTTTTTTTAGAGTCCGTTTGAGGTCGGTGTCGAGTTCACTCACCCTGAAACAGATGCTGACTGCCACTTTCTGTAAGTCCCCATCCTGAAAAAGATCTTTTAAAAGATTTTATCTAAATTTTATGAAAGACAAAAAGGAACTTAAACATAGGAGCAGAGTTTAGGTGTGTCATAATAAGTTCTTGTTAAGTTTTTTCCTTTTTTTAATTTAGTTTTATTTTCCTTGTGCTTATCAGTTCAGTTTTCCGTTTTTTTTGTAGTAGTAGTCAAAACTCTTTTTAGTGACAAAGTGATGTTAAAAGAAGATCATTTTCATTTTATTGTTTGAAGTACATCAGAAAGAGGTGAGTTCGGCAAGAACTAGATGAGCATCAGTTCCCGTATTCCTTTTAATATTATCACCAAAGTATCCTTTTGTGTGATAATGGGCAAGGATGGACCCTCACATCGATAAAATTAAGCATAGAATCTCATCTTATGAGGACTGTGTAATTGTAAACAATGTTTCACATAAAAGAAAATATCTGTTAAATGAATGGTAAGCTATACTTTAAAATTATCCTACAAAATGTGTGAATTTCGGCCTACTTGCACAGTATTCACATAGTGATGGTTATATTTATTTGCTTATATTAATTTCCATGCTGGTAATTTTTGCACTTTCAACTTTGAACATTTCAACTCAGTTTGGTATTAACGAGGGTAAAATGGCTCAGCTTTCATCAATGTCTGTGATTGCTGACCGGCTTATAAGAAGTAGTATTGGTTGGCTTTCATGTTGGGTGGTATTGCATTGTGGCGTTGGGTTGGAGAAGTAAGTGCATCTATAATGAGATCAATCACATATATGATATCTGCACGTTCCAATCTGTAGTGTTTCATTAATTCACTGTCATCCAGTGTTTGGAGAATATCTCTCCTGCCTCTTCTGTCCGCCATTTTGTCCTCTGCTTAGGGAACTTCTAAGCCGCTTAAAAGTCCTTTTCCCTGCTCTTAACAGATCTCACCTTACGAGCGCACCTAAGAGCTAGGATTCTTTAGGAATAGCTTTTATCTTTACTAAGATCTACTCTTCACTTTTAGGGGGAATTCTAAGAAAACATTATGATTCTAAGAATTTGGCCACTTGAAGCAACTCTTTGCACTAAAAATCTTTAGGAATAAGGCCCCAGGAGTTTAACCTATGAAGATGAACTAACTTAAGTCTTTTCTGTCCCTCCAACAGAGCATCAACATGTCCTGACTGCTTCAAACCCACCAAGAACAAACAGGTGAGAAAACAGACCCAGAAATCTATTGAAGGTGTCTGGTTTTGGGACACCTTTAACAAAGAACTTTCTCCTTATGTGAAACCAAAACACTGAGAGCTACCCATCTCATCTTCAACCACATGAATAAAACAATTTGCAGCATTAAGCAAGTTACAGAAGAGAGCAAACACTCCTTTAACAGACAGAAACTTTGAGCAGAACCAGACTCATGTTAGACAATCATCTGCTGAGACTGAGAGGGGACAGAGGCAGATGGACAGAATTGACAGTTTAAAACCAAATTTTCCCCATCATTGTCATCATCATCATCTTCTCCCTCTTCATGAGTCGTTTTCATCCTTTTATTCTGCATTTTTCTGCACGAAATGTTATTGATGTACATCGTCTCTTTGTCTGCAGTCTGTCTTCACCAGGATGGCGGTGGTCAAAGCTCTGGAAAAGATTTCTGAGCCCAAGTTTCTGCAGTAAGCCTTACCTTCGTTTCTCTGTTCCTACTCATTTTCTTTAAGTTCACACTTATGAACCCGTTAATGTGTCGTTTCAGACGTTACCCATGTCCTCCTGCACAGCCTACCAGCAGCTGCATCCCACAGGACATCCAGTGTCTCCACGTGTCTGTCTTTGTGGCAGGTATTCATATCACAATGAAGGATTTGTTTCATACCTGTTTTATATCCTGACGTTGTTCCTGTTGTTCAGGGAGGTACAACAAGTTCTGCCGCAGTCTGCCTCAGACGCCCTGGCTAATTGATGGGGAGAGGAGGATGGAGTCCTCAGTGGAGGAGCTGATCGCTGCACCCATCCTGTCTGCTTTCAGAGCTGACGGTGAGTTGACATTCTACTAGAAACAAACTGGATGATCAAACATCTCAGCTCAGGATGTGATGAACTTCCTTTTTTTTTGGTTCCAGGGTTTAACTTTTCTTCCTCCGGCAGAGAAGACGTGGATGTTCGCACTCTTGGAAATGGTAAAATGCGTAGTTCACTTTATAAGTCAGAGCAAAAGATTTAGTCATTGAGAAAACAAAGAAGTTAGAGTTCATTCTTCTGTCTGTTTTAATTTGCAGGTCGTCCGTTTGCGATGGAGCTGCTGAATCCTCACAGATCCAGACTCAGCAAAGTGGAAATGAAGCAGCTGCAGGAGGTCGGCCACATCAGTTCTCCTCTGAAATAATCACACACAGCTACACTTCAGTTAGTTTGCATCAATGAATTAAAGAGAAACTTTTACGAGTGTGTACCTTCATGTTCAGATTTCTGCAAACGTAGCTGCTGTGTGCAGATTTTGCCCTGGAAATCTGACTGATTTTTTTGTGTGTTTTCAGGCCATAAACGCATCTTCAGAGAAAATCAGAGTGAGAGACCTGCAGATAGTGACCAGGTGAGGAAATGTGACACTCGCTGCATCATTTAATCTCAGAGAAATGATGGCAAAGACTCTTGTCTCTGTTTGCGTTGAACTGTAGAGATGCCATGAGCCGAATGAAGGAGGGAGAGGAGGAGAAAACTAAGTCATACACCGCACTCATCTGGACCCAGAAACCTATCCAGAGAGAGGACATCACCTTCATTGACGACATCAAGGTCACTATGAGTAGAGATGCCACATTTTGAACATGTCAACAAATATGCCGAGATGACTTTATCAGTTTAGCTTTGATTTTTACAGAAAATAAATCAGAATTATTCAATTTTAGCCTCTGAAATGTAAAAATCATCTGCTGCCTTTTGTCCTGTGACTGTTAACTCACTTTCTTGTTATAAACTCTGTCTGTCGTCTTCGTCTCATCAGGATCTGACTCTGGACCAGAAAACTCCTCTCAGGGTTTTACACCGGCGAGCACTGGCCGTACGTCAGAGAGTCATCCACAGTATGACCACAAGATACCTAGACTCTCATCACTTCCACCTGGGCTTGAAGACGCAGGCGGGAACGTATCCTCTGTATGTTGTCAGTGGTTTGAGAAGGAGTGCTTTCTCCAAGAAGGGTGCAGGGCTTCAGTGACCTAGCGATTTAAGTGTTCCCTTTCCTGCATGTCACTCTGTTGTCTTTCCCCGGTTTCCTGCTTTATCCTCCATCCTCTCCTCTGGCCATTATGACCAAAAAGACCCCAAACAAATGCCTGTGCAAGTGGAAACCTCTGCTATTGAGAAATGAAGCTGATATGAAAGTTCCAAAAACTGCAGTTCCCAGGGTGTCCACCAGAGGCTGACTTTAGAAGCACCAGAAACCACATACACACCCATTCAAAAAGTGCCAGAATAAACGTGATGAAATGTAAACTGTTCAGAGCTTCTGCAGGGTTCTCATCAAGTGGAAATATAAAGTTTAAAATGAGCTCTATACTGTCCCTTAAAGCTCTTTAACATCAGCTGACAGATATATCAAAGAGTTTGTTCATGGAGACTTCGGGCGCACTAAACCCAACCTGTGTGACCTGCTGAAAACAGACACAGACATCCTGGAGCTGGACGTGGAGGTGAGACCAGGTTTCCTTCAACTCCCTTTTACAGAAGGAATGACCAGATCTTTGCTCTTTAAAACATGTTTAAGAGTTTTTATATTCATTTCATAGAGTCTGTTAAATCTGTGCACTTTATTTTGGGACGTAATAGTTGCTGGAGACATTTCTGGTTGATAAACTATTATTAAAAAATATATGTAAACTCCACAGTACCTTTACGAGTTCTCTTGTACAGGGGTCAGAAAAACCTTTTATGTGTCCCCCTTTTAATTTAATTTTATTTACGTAAGAGACCAGACACACAGAAACATTTGATTCTTGTTCTGTTCCTCTCAGTCTGTGGATGTGGACTGGCCTCCGTCCATACCTGAGTGAACTCTGACCCTGGCCTCGTCCTGTACATAAGGGGGTCAAAGGTTTGACTCAATGGGACAGAACTGGTTCTGTCTGCAGTTTGGGACCAGGTCCAGAGGGTCTGACCCTGAAAATAAGTTGTGGACGAAAGAACTGGTCAGAAGAGGAAACCCTAAACCTGCTGACTACATGGGGATGCCAAACCTGGTTCTGTTGGAGTCTGGATCTGCTCTTTTTGACGGGATCTTCAGTTTTTAGAACAGTGATAACTCTGTTGTTATTAAAGGGAAGTTATTTACATGAAGGCTTCAGCCTGTAGAAATGAAGAGTGAAAATGAAGCAGTGATGCCCGTCACAGCACAGACTGTTTTCTGTTTGCCTGTTTTTTGTATCTTATGGCTCAAAAGGACGAAAATAAAATTTTGGTTCTGGTTTTGGTGCCACCAGTGAGGCAACATTTGTCCTGTGGGTGAGTCCATTTATTACTTCTTCTCTGGAAATAATCCGTTTCAGGAGGGGTTTTTTTTGTCAAGTTTCTTCAATTACTGTCTCAAAATATTTTTTTCAAAATTGAGTAGCATCATGTGCCAAAGAAAAAGGTGGGGAAAAAAACCAAACCTACAAATATACTTTAAAAAGGGTCTATTACACCTGTTTCTGGACTTTAAAAACCCTTGATACTGTAAATTACAAACATATTACATAAACTTCAAAAATGCAATATGCCAACTGATGAAATAAGGTGGTTCAGATCATGTTATATGTTCCACAAGGCTCAACTTCAGGCCTGTTATTATTTACTTAATATATGATTGATTCACTTCCGTTGAAGCCATGAAGACACTCCTGACATTAATTTTGGGATTATTTCTGCTACCCACTGCAGACACATAAATAACTATCATCTGCATGCATGGTGATCAGGCTGCAAATGAGTTGATTACAATGTACGCAGATAATATAATTATTTACGCAGCTTGCCAAATTACAAGTAACTGAATTGTACAGGATAAACTGAGGATGGACATGCAATGTGCTGCTCGGTCCAAAACAAAAAGGTTTCTGCTGGAGCTTCAAATAAGGAAATAGTCATCTCTAAAAGTTGGAAAACTTCCCCGAAGAAATAAAGAGTCCAGACAGCAGAAACCCTGAAATGTATTTCTTTTAATTTAATTCAAAATAAATACTACCACGGCAACGCAAGTCCACTACTGGGTTCTTGCCCTAATGTTTTGGTAAGAAAACAAACAAGCAAACAATCCAAAAAAAACAAAAAAAAAAAAAAAAAAAGAAGGAATAAAAAGAGACTTCAGTTAATGCATCCATCATCATCATCTTCTTCATCATTATCATCCTTTAGCGACTTTACAGAGGTGCCTTTTCAACAACATACAAGGTAACACTGCCTAGAATGACAAACATAAATAAAACAGATACTATGGTACAAAAAAATGAGGGGTGGGGAGGAGCAAGGGATGATGGGATTGGAGTAACCTGATGGAACCAGCACTGCAAAAAAAAAAAAAGTCCGCCATGGTCCCTCTTCTTTTCTTTTAAAAGAGCTTGAAGGGAGACGGAGACAACAGTGAAAACTCCACAGTTACAGTCATGTCCTCATAGAAATCAGGAGTCGGTCCTTTTTGGGAAACCATGGCGTCCAAGAAAGGAAGGCAGGGGGCGGGGCTTGTTTTTTTCCCTGGACAATAAGTAGGTGTACTGTCCCGTAGAGAAAAAACAACAGAAGGGTCTGGCTTTAGACATTGTCTTTATTTTTTCTTCCCTTTTTGATGTTTTTTGATGCAGTTTTTTAAGCAGTTTGTTGTTGTATTTTTTCGGTCACTATTTTCTTCAGCAAGCTTGAAGTACTGTCACACAGAAACAGAACTGTTTATGTTTCGTTTGTGAAGATGCCACGAAAGATTCAACAAAAAAAAGGCATTGCATATTTACACCAAGAAGAAGTTTGGGGGCGACTTTTCTCAGGCAGTCCTCACAGTTTTCTCTCATGAGTGTCTCACGGCTCAGTTTTCTCGTGATCGGTGACATGATTAGTGATTTATTGATACTCTCAGTTCAGACTTTTCAGCGTGTGTGTTTGTGTACATAACTTTAAAATCACAATACTGACAGGATAGATGGGGACTGAACTCCTGCATGTGGAGCTGGAAGCCTTGTTTCTGTTAGTGTCCATGTTTGATAAAGTTCTTCACTCTTGATTTATAATCTAAAAACAGTCTTTGTATATCTGTGTATCTGTGTGTGTATTTGTATTTGTGTGTGTACTCCAGAGTTCCCACATGATTCAAACTTTATCTGAATTTTCCCTGACCTATTTCATCATTTTTACACATCAGTTTCAAGAGTTTAAGATGCTTAGGAAACTCTTTTGCATTTCCAGTCAGCTCAGTCATCACATTTCAAAACCTTTCTGGATGTGTGTGCAGGAACTCTTAAGTGTTAAAAATATAAAACAAGTTGGCAAATTCCTCCAGTAATAAGTCAACTGTTTTTTTCAGGGTCTGCAGGTCAAGTAGTGTTATTCACCTTCCACACCACTAGAGAACGACGCTACCTAAGACACCAACACTCGAGCTGAAGCCTGCATGTGGTTGATGCATCGGATTTGGATTATAAATTCACAGATCTGCATGAAACTTTAAACCAATCGGGGCCACGATGACTCATTTTCTAATTGTTTACACTTTACAAAAACAACCTTTCAGTGTTTCTCATCTGAGTTGACACAAACCTGCTGCGCAAATCACAGACTACATCCTGTTTCAAAAGACAAAGTGGTTGCTCCCAAAAAGTAATTGACCTGTCATGCAACTCCCTGACATCATGCATGCCATCCAATCCGTGAAAAGACAAGAAAATATCTGAGTCACTCTGAAGAAGGGAGAGAAAGATCTACAAACACCTCACGGGGAAACCAAGGACTGACTCTCATATAATTTGCACTCAGATTAAGGGCCTGTGTCCTCTAACAGCATTTTCCACATCTATTTTCATTTCATACTCAGTGCAGTTCAGTGTTTTCAAGCCCTCGTCCAGTGCACAAAAATGCCTCAGTTGATTTTATGTTGCCGCACTCTTGTTTGCTCAATTTCTGAAACACTGATGTGCTTGTTACTCCTCTAACACTGATCAATAAGAATCAGGAAACGGCAGTACAGGTGATATCACTTTGTCAACAACAACATGAGGATCATATAGAGGACAAAACAGTTACACTTGTTTTTGTTTTGTTTTTAGGTACAATTTCCAGATTGAGTTCCTGTAAATGTTTTCACACAATTTTACTCAGCTATATTTATGTGCTGGGCCTAAAATTGAGGTTGCTGTCTGCACAAAAAATGGACTCAGCCCCTGACTTTCAACTTGCTAAATTCCTTCACACTCATCAAAGTCATTTCTCCATCATTAAAAAACTGAGAGGGAGGGACTTCTGATATGAACCTTGTCAACAACAACCATATGGAGAAAAACTTCACACACTCGATTTTTAAGGCGCAACTTCCAAATGCAAAGCTGCTCATGCTACAACCTAATTTATATCCACTGTTTGTACAATTCCCTTGTAAAATTCTAAAGAATAGAAGAAAACAAGAGCATACAGAGCCGTTTAGAGCAGAGAGGGAGTGAAAGCACAAGGGCACATTTTTTAAAACACGCAACAGTGAAGTAACCAACAGTGAACACCAGTGAAGAGTTCACTGATATTGAAGTGGTGGGTGTTCTCAGCACACAAAAAATTGTTCTAAGTGGACACAGGCCCTTACATGCAAATATCCTTGAGACATAGTAGCTATACTCTAAAGAATATGGTAAACCCTTAGGTAAATGGTCACAAAAGAGAATGAAACGGTTGGAAACAAGCAACAGCAAGCACCAGTGAGGAGTGCACTGATATTGAGGTTGTGAGTGTTCCCAGCATAAAAAAATGCATTTAGTGCACTCAGTGGACACAGGCCCTAGCGTGCAATGTATACTTTAGACATAGAAACTATACTCTAAGCAACTAATCCTGACTGCCTCTTTAACTGCCTCTCTGTTGGGTTTTGATGAGCCTTATGTGGACTTGCAGGAGTCATCATGCAAAGCCATCATCAACAGGACTAGTCAGGTTTTTTTGTGCCTGCTGAGGGGCCTCTGTTTTAGACATACTGCTGCTGGAATAACTGTTTTCAAAATTCTCCATACCGGATATCGTGATTTGCCCATTAGACCTTCAAAGTATCACAAGATGAACTTTTTTTTTCTTATTTTTTACAAAATCCTCATCTTACACATACTCATGTCATAAAAAAGACCGGAGGGGCTTCTTTTTGGTCCACAGGGAGCACTGAAATCGACACAACCAGATATTTCCTGACAAGACTTTCGAACAAATACACCTTGAGCAGCAGGTCTATTTTGGAAAACAACAACTTAGTTTGGAGAAAAGTGCCGACTTGATTATGATCTGTGTGCAGGACTCCTACCTGTATGTGAGTGCAGAAGTATATACTGTATATGTTGTAATATGTGTGTGTGTTTGTGTGTGTGTGTGTGCTATGACAGCATATAGTTGACCCCATGTCCTGCATACATACAGTACATACAAACATTACATACATACAATAAGCCACACGTCCCTGTGTAAACACCCATTCCACTAATCCTACAGCTACGATGAGGAAACAGAAGAGCGGAGGTGAAGAAGAAGAGGAAGAGGTGGAGGAGGTGAAGCGGTGAGAGAGCAGAGAAAGGCCTCGTTCCCCTGCCGGCTGTGGAAAGCTGGAGCGGTAAGCTGAGTTTGAACGCGGTTGTGCTCTGTGGCGCCTGAGTGAACTGTGCAGTTTCTGGCAGTTTAGCGTTTCCTGTTATAAAATAAAAAGTCCAACTTAAGAGAGTAAAGCGCGAGAGAAAAAACACATGGGGTTGAAAAAGAGCAAAATCGCAACACTGCAACGATGACAGGAATGATACAGACTCGTCCATCCTCGTTTTAGGTCTTTCTTTTGTTGTTGTTTTTTTTCTTTTTTCTTGTTTTTTTTCTTGTAGACAGTGATTTTCATCGCCATGGGACTGGGGAATGTGCGCTGCCATGGCATATGGATGAGAAAGAAATCTTTTTTTTGTAGATTTTAAATTTTTCTTTTGAGTGAACCACGAGCCATGCACTTATTCTCAACTAAGAATGACCCCTCACATCCCCGAAACCCGCCCGCCCTCTCCCAAACAAACAAAAATCACCCTGTCGGTATGATACGAAACATCTGCACACGTAAGGCAACATTTTTGGTTTTTTGTTCCCTAAAACGGCTCTTTCAAACCAAGTGCAAAAAGTCAAAAGAAGAAGGGAAAGGGCAGACACAACGAACAAACAAACAAAAAAAAGATGCAACCCGGGTCAACGACTTAATACTGACGGAGAAAAAATAAATAACAAAAACATTGCCTTCTGCAGTAAATAGCGCTGAAAATGTAGGAGACTTATTTTTTTAATGTGGGGAGACCGGCTGGAGTCCATCCCACTGTGCAAAAACCTCTTTTAAAGTCCCTAGAAAGACTTCTCCCCGTCTGTGAGGAGGCAGAGAAGGAGAAAAAGAGGGGAGACTGGTATATTTTTTTCCTAAAATGGCTACGTGTTTTCCTCAAGATGGCCACAGATGGGGACGATACTGGCTGGCCAGGCCGGAGCGCTCACTCCCGCCCGCTAGCTGAGTAGGAGAACTGTGGGAAATGAGGCCTTCGCTCGTTGTCTGCTGCATCCATCCCGTCCTCGTCATCTGTAGGAACAAATGGAGACAAGACAAAAGATGTGAAGATCAACAGATACCTGACAGTCAGAACTAAGAGCGCAAAGTTCTCTTGTGGAGTTCCTCAAGGGTCAGCGTTAGGATCACTGCAAATTTATTCTTTTTATTATGATATCAATTAAATTGTGTCCAATGAAAACTCCAACTTTATGCTGATGACACTGTAGTGTACTGCTCAGCAGCCAATCCAGACTAAGCTCTTTACCAGTTACAAGTTTGCGTAGTCCTGTGCCCTACGCAAAGGCCACGCATAGAGCCGACACGCACCTTCTCAAAAATATAACTGTGCCTTATTTAGACGCGGCTCGCGAGCCCTGTCATCGGTCTGCTCAGTGACAGACATTTCTGGTATCACCGCTGTCCCCATCCTTTTCCTCAGCAGCAGTATTGCTGCTACATACTTCTGACACAGAAGTGTCTGACACAGAAGTATGTAGTGCTCATGATGTTGTAGGTACGACAATGAGCTTTTGAGTCTAAGTCTTTTAAAATCAGCTTATTTAAGGACAGAGTCATAACTCTGAAGACTCAAATTTCATTATTATTATATTTATTTATATTGGTTGTATCTTTTTCAGCACTTCCGTTTATGTAAAAATTGAGCAAAAATTGAGCAAAAAAAACCCTAACCCTAACCCTAACCCTAACCCTAACCCTAACCCTAACCCTAACCCTAACCTTATTTGCACTCTTTAATTTAAATAAAAAATATGATTAAAAAAAAGAGAGACATCCTTACATTTTTCTGGCGGGGTGATGGTGATGGTCTGTGCTGTGAACTCCTCATCGAAGTAGCGTGTGTCTGTCTCTGAGGTGACCTGTGGCTGGAAAGGTGGGACCAGCTGAAACAGACGGGGAACAGGCAGGAGAGGTGACTTTGGAGCCTCAGGTAAAGGGTAAACGATTTGTTAGATCAGCTGCCTTTTTTTTTTTTTTTTATGAATGAAGAGTTTTTAAATTTGAAAGATGTTCTAATTTGCAGAAATGTGTGTGATGCAGAGGTTAAATATGATGTATCACTTTCATTAATGTTGATATTATTATCAACAGAAAAATCATGATTATGACTATTCTCTGGTCAGTTACATTCCTTTGGTAAAACAGGGATGTGTCTGAGTTCCCATCAAGGCATTGTGTCCTATTAATAAAGGATTCTAATACAAAACCAGACTGACATTTTTCACAATAAACTTTGTACATAACCCGGACAGTCCTTCATTTATTTGGTATTTATTTGGACTTTTTCCTGACTGCATCTACCTGGGGGAGCTTTGATTTTCTTTATCAGTAAGTTAAACTAATGTTTTGGTTAGCGTACAAACATCAATACTGCAGCTTCGCCAGCTGGTTCCTACTGCCCAGACTGCGACTCTGAAAGTCTACTAAATCAGCACTCGTCAAAGAGTCATTCTGGCTTCAGTTTTACAGAACAGGAGGTGGAGACACAATGTCCACCTTCATAGACAGTCAAAACATAGAGACAAAAATCTTGTGAAATAAAAATCAAATAAAAATCTGTCCTAAAGATTGTAGAGATTGTTGAAAAATATGATTTATTTACAGTCTGAACTAAATCCAAAAAAGCAGTGAAGGCCTGAAGAATTATAACATGATAGACCAGCAGGAGTGACGGACTTTGACTGACATGTTGCTGAAAGTGTGATAGAAGAAGAAAAAGAAAAATATGTTTCTTTTCAGCAGACGTGTTGGTGTTTGGACAGCTTTTTGTTGCAAAAATGAAACAGATATGAGGTAATTTATTTCTTTTTTGTTCTATTTTTGAGTCCCAGCCAGACGTCTTTTGAAAATTAGGTAACCCTGCTACAAGAATATCTCAGGTGCGCTGTTTAAATAAATCACTGCTGAAGACGGGATGACGTCTCGTAGCTAAATCCTGCTCTCACCTTCTTGTCGTAGACGTCCTGCCAGTCGATTGTGCCAAAGAAACTGTGTCGCATGATCTCCTTAGCGTCATCCGGCCCGCCGCCCAGCCTGTCAGAAAAAAGCAGAAGAAGAAGAAGACGTCGAAGTCAGACATCAGACGCTGCTCTTACAAAGTCTCCATCAATGGAACCAGAATATCCACCTGCTACTGATCCTGAAATAACTCAGCCGAAGTGAACGAGTTCACCGTGTGAAGCTGCAGCCGCCTCTTTTTTACCAGTTTCTTCATTAGAGACTGAAAAGGCCTCCAGGATAATCAGAGTGGGAAATTAAGTCAGCCAGTTTTGTCTAGCTGCACTTTTTCCAAATAATTATTATAGTATGAAAGATTTCTCTCTTTTTAATTATTCAAGTAGCAGGTACACGGCAAAAACTTCAACATATCCTGTCCTTAGAGGCCAAAAATAATGGTGGATTTCCTGAGAGTGACTTTTCTATGACACACAACCGCTGCTTATATCTGTGAAAGAGCCCAAATTTTTAATCTAAACTGGGGGGATTATATTTCATCTGGAAAAAACAAAACAAAACAAGAGATCCTCCAGGAATAGGAGTGAAGCTGCCACCAAAACAGACAAATTTGTTCTCTGACCAATCCTAAATGTCCTCCTGTGAGTTTATTTTGTGCACTACAGCTTTACTTGGGTATTGACACATAAACAAAACAACACAAAAGTAAAGAAAACCAGGAAATAACGGTGCAGAAAGGTGCTAAACTAACACTTAACAGGCACACTACAATCTGTGCTCAGCTCCTCAGTGTTTCCACACATAGACGATACCTGGGCAGGTCACCCGAGTATGTTTGTCAATTATTCCACATTTTCCTCCTTTTTTCCCTGTTTGTGATCCCCACCTCAGTCTGGGGTTACACTAGTGTATTTTTTATTACTTTATTATTTTTATTATCACCCTGAAAATCGACTGCCTTTACCTAGAAGGCTTTTTCATACAGCGACATACTGAGCACACTTAAAAGTCTTGGTTAAGATGCACACAACTCCACATTATGAGTGTGTGTATGTGTACCGTTTGTTAGGGTCCTTGATAAGCAGTCCTGACAGCAGCGACTTGGCGTCAGCTGACAGGGTTCTTGGGAACTTGATCTCCTCCATTAAGATGAGCTCAAACAGCTTCTCGTGGTCCTGGTTGTAGAACGGCAGACGGCCGCACATCATCTCGTACGTCACCACGCCCAGACCCCACCAGTCCACCGCCCGTCCGTAGTCGTTGTCCTCCAACACCTGAGGATGTAAAGTTACAGTTTAATCATTATAAGTGAACAGTGATGATTGTAAGTTTTCTCTTTAAGAGCTGGAAGACAAATGACTGCCTCTGTTGCTCAGTGTCTGTATATCCAGAAAGTTCAGCCTTAATAGGAGCATTATCTTTCTTTCATGATGTGATAGAGTGTATTCAAACCCAGACAGTCTGCTTTAACCTGGTGAAAACACTGGCGACTGTTGTTCCTCTATTTTCAATTCTGACATCTCTGATATCCTCTTTCATTTCCTGTTAATCAGAAAACCACTTTCAAAATCTCTTCCAAAGTCCACGGTTAGAAGAAGTGAAATTTTTTCTGACATTTATCGTGGTGCAAAAAAGGCTAGCTGCGGTTACAGGAAGTACAGCCTTATAGTACTTCCACATTTCATTGAACGAACAAAAACAGACAACCACAAAGGCTCAGTCTGGGTTTACACTAATGGATGGATTGTTGTCAGTGATGGCACCTCGATGTTTGCATCATTTCCTGATCTTTCTGCTCTGTCTCAAAATCAGATTCACACAGCATGCGGCATCGAGCACAAAACTGCCCAGACAGGTTTGCAGTTTGCTCTTGTTTAGCATCTAATGGTCAGGATCTCCCCTTCATCCTGACAAAGCTCAACATATACGTACAGCTGATGAGCTGAGTGTGAAAGGGACACTTCCAACTAGTGTATTACGAGGACAATTCCAACCAATTATAAGTCCATCTAGAGCACATTTAAAACAAATGCAGCTGAACCAACAAGCAAAAAAAGCAAACATGAGTCTGAGACTGTGAAAACACAATAAATGATGCTCAAATGGTAACTAAAGCTAACCAAAAAGATGTGGTCTAAGCAGATCTTATCAAAAAAGGGAAAAGTATTTCACAACGTGAGAGCAACCACTCAAACGGCTCTGTCCGTTTTTAAGCCTGGATCTTGGGACAACCAAGAGTATCTGGTGTGTTGACTTCAGCGCTCTGGCTAAAACTTGTTGATGCAACAACTCAGATTGCAACTAAGACAGCTAAGATGGCAAAAGCTTAAAAAAAGAAAAGTGTTAAATTGGATCAGAAAAATGACAGTGGTGTAAGGTTTAGACAAGTGTGTGATCTTTGCATCTAAATACAAGAAGTTGAGCTGTATCCATGATATAATGTCTGACACAGTTCAGTGAGGCCTTCAAGGGGAGATTATTTGTTTTTACTGGCAGATCAGTTCGCAAATCATCAGCAAAACAATAGAGAAATGGACCAAAGAGGAAGCATGTATACAGACAACAAAACAGGACCTAAAATGGGGCCCTGAGGAACACCACAAACTTGTGTGGCTGCCGTTTAAGAATACTGGCTGAGGATGTGATGTGATTTTCTTAATTTAAACAAAGCCACTTCCCTAAAGCAGCAAGAGCAGCTCATTCAAACAAAAAGGCAAATACATGACCTACAACAACAACAACGAGAAGGAAAGTGAAACCTTTTAAGTCTAAATGGAGAAGCAGATATGATTTCATGTTTTATGGTTAAAGATTCTGCAGGTTCCTGACCTCAGGAGCAAGATACTCAGGTGTCCCACAAAAGGTCTTCATGGTGGCAGTGTCAGTGATGCCTTCTTTGCAGAGGCCAAAGTCTGTGATCTTAATGTGTCCATCTTTGTCCAACATGAGGTTCTCCAGCTGAAAAGGAAAAAAAAAAATCATCAACTTTAAAGACTTATCAGCCATCAAGTTCAAACACCAACTGCTGATCCAGCATGAGTGGCAAATACTGAAATCTCTCCAACCTCGACCTGGATCAGTTGGTTTACCTTCAGGTCTCGGTAGACGATCTTTGCAGAATGTAGGTAGTCTAGAGCAGAAACGATCTCAGCGCCATAAAAACGGGTCCGGTCCTCTGAGAAAACTCTTTCTCTCGACAAATGGAAAAACAGCTGCAAGAAGAAAAAGGCAAAAATACTTCATACACATGCAAACCAGATCAAAGCGAGGGTAACATCTTTCTGTAGTGAAACCAAGGATGCACTAAGATGTAGACAGTCCAAGGTGCACTCTTGCTAGAGGTTAGGAAAGGTGACAGATGCGTTCACACGCTTTGCCTCTTCACAATAAAAGACTTCTGCAATGTTGACTTCTAGAGACGAAGCAACGTGATGCAAGATAAAGGCGCAAAGACACAGAGGATGACAAGACTAAGAGCCTCTTTTCAGCACAGAGAAGGGCTGAGGAAAATGATTTTCTCCTTAAAACTGATGAATATTCACATAAAAACACAACTTGCTCCATTTCCACAGTGCTCCACATCACTCTTAGACCATAATAAGAGGAGCTTTCTGTTGCTGCTCTTAGAATAAACGCTGTTATTAATCAAGATTCTTCAATAAATCTTAAAATAGTTTCAAAGTCAGAATGAGACAGAACGACTGCCGGCATCAAAAGCCTCCTTAAGAAAACGACTCATTGATCTCTCACCTCTCCTCCGTTGACGTACTCCATCACGAAGCACAGCCGGTCCTTAGTCTGGAACGAATACTTCAGAGACTGCAACAGAATGTGTACAGATGTTTAATCTCAGCACCCATCAGCTCTTTGTTTCTGCACATTAACTCTTAATAACAGACGCTCCTGTAAATCTCCACATTTACCAAAAAAGGCTTAGTAGCTCAGGAGGTAGAGCGATCTTCTAATAACTGGAAGGTTGGCGGTTCAATGCTCCCCAGTCCCTAGTCTGTCTATTGTGTCCTTGGGCAAGACACTTAACCCACCTTGCTGCCAGTGTGTGTCCTCCACTGGTGTATGATTGTGAGTGTTGTGTGGTGGTGGTCAGAGAAGCCGAAAGCGCAAACTGTCAGCCATGTTTCTGTCAGTCTGCCCTGGTGCAGCTGTGACTACTATGGTAGTTTACAACCAAGAGGGTGTGACTGTGTGAGCGAATGAATGATGTATCTAATGTAAAGCGCTTTGAGGGTCTGTGATAAAGCGCTATACAAATCTGATCCATTATTATTGTCGTTAAAACCTGCACAGGTGTGTCTGAATTTGATGTTTCGTGCAGCTGCATGCTCATACTCACAGTTAGGAATGGATGCCGAGTGTTTTTTAATACCCTACTTTCTGTGAGCGTGTGAGCAACTTCATCCTGGAGGAAGAAACAGAGAACAGAGAGAGACAAAATGAGCTCACCACAAAAGACTTTGTTAGGAGGATGTTCAAGGTAGCTGTGAACATCAGGCTGAAACCATTGTGACATTATCTGCAAATACAAAACTTAAACACCAACAGCTACATGCAAATTTCTGACATTTAAGGTGATTTCTCTTGATTTCTTGGGATATGCATGAGGTGACAGAGGTCTGGGCCTCAAAATAAGACAGAAAAGACTTATACAAATGAACATATAACAGGTTAAAAGGCTTTTACTTTGAAATGACTCATAAAGAAATGCTGAGTAGTCATGCCTGCTCTACTCTGCCTCTGATTGGCTTGGGCCTAGGGAATCAGGTTGAGGCATTGCAAGACTCATTATAATTGATTACTAGATGAGAAGTTGACGAGTTCGTGTTTTTGTGCATCAGCAAGTTCAGGTATTCACTTCTGATCTCCATGATAGAGAGCCTGGCATGCTGCTAAGGTCTGCCCAATGAGAGTGCCTGTGTGGCAGACACTCTTCCTTGGTTGTGCCCCTACGTGTCTTTTTCACTAACAAGATATGTTCTCACTAGACATCAGACAAAAACTCTTGCTTAGTTTTAAATTTTTGCATAGAAAACCCAAAGAGTCATCTTCAATGTTAGCTAAAGGAGCTAATGGGGAAGTGTAAAAACTGCAGTTATCCCGGTGTCCACTTGAGGCAGCCTCAGTAGAGCCCATAATAAAATGTTTGTTTTTACAGCAAAACTCTGGCATAGCCCAAAAACAGTTCAGGCTCATGTCTATATTTGTTCAACTGTACAGATGAGGGTTTTTTTCATACATAATTAGGAGTAATTAAGGCCGTAGCTGGTTTGACTGACAGGTGGGCGTGTTTCAACTATTTGCCAGTGGTCCAGGTTCTTTGCTTTTTTATAAATTCACTGTCAGTTTGGGTTGAGACAAGATCTCCAATGCCACGACTGCCTTCTTGGGGCTTCGTAACTCCTCTTCACCAACAGGTGACGCTACTGAGACTACATCCATGTTTTATAAAGTCTATGTTTAGACCCCAAACTGTGTAAAAATAGAGCTCAGGTATAAAAATAACTTGATCTGCTTTTAATGCGGCGCTCACTACGATTGTGTTGTGAGACGGGATGAATCAATGCTTCAGATTTAAAAAAATTGAAGCTGGTACACATGTAACAGACCTTGGCTATGATAACTTCCTTCTTCAGGATCTTCATGGCGTAGTATGTGCCGCTTGCCTTCTCCCTCACCAGAATGACTTTCCCAAATGTGCCTTTGCCCAGCAGCTTCAGATAGTCAAAGTCATTCATTGTCTGGATGGGAAAACAGGCATGGTGTGAAGAAACAGCTTTAATAAACCAACATCATGTTTTAAAGTGAGACCTGAAGGATATTTCGCACTCACCTTTCGTTTGTAGTGGCTGATGGAGGTGTCCATCTCCTCCTCATTGACGATCTCGATCTGGGAGGTGGGGCTGCACAGGATGCCCTCCTCCTCCTGTTTGGCCAGAGACTCCGCTACCATCTGGATGGCCTCGGCCCACTCGTCCCTGCAGAAGATTAAAAAACAAGCAGGGCAACAATTTTAGTCTAACCTTCAGACCAACCAGACATCTTTAAAAAGTTTAACACTTAAACCTGTAGGACTGCCAAAGAATCCCCTCTACTCACATATTTACTTAAACCTTTTTAAAAACAGACCTTCATGTGTTAAATAAATGTTTGACAGTTTAAGAAGGAAGAGAACACTTTGGTACAGCTGTCTGTCATTTGAGTTCTGTCATGGGCTCTACATGAGGACAGTCCCAACATCACTAATGATGGCAGAGACTTCACAACCAAACTAAGACAGTGACTTCAGCTGGATTTGCTCTTGCTAATAATTCCCACCATTTGGTCAGTTTTACATGTCTGGCAGACAATGATGGGAAAATGCCAAATAAATAACTACGATGGTCCTGATAAATATAGGAGTTATAAGAAAGCAGTAGGACCTAAATACTACCATACTGTCAGGTCTGCCCAGCTAAGGTAGCAGGGTCACATAACTGGACGTAACAAAGTGACTCTTGTATTGGCAAAAGCTGAAGGATTTATGGTTAGCTGGAGCACAGCATCGATCAGCATCACGGTCTTTATAAGTGAATCAACCCATCGAACCCGTATCCTGGCAATACAAGCGTTCACATCAGCAACATTTTCCCGTCCTGCGATATTGCGGCATTTATTTTTTCGGTTAAAGGGTCAATTTTTCTAAAGTTTCGCATACTGTGTGTCCACTTCTGACCAATCAGATTTCGTGTTGTTGCGACATCAGACTCACTGGTATATCCAACATGGCCGACTGGCTGATGGTTTACGTGTCGGAGAACAGAGTGCTTTTTGATAAAAGACACAAATATTACAAAGATAACGACCTGAAGGACAACTTGTGGAGAGTCATAGCGTCGGATCTCTTGTATAACGATAGTTTGTGTGCTTTAACAGTTTGCTAAACGTCTTAGTTTTAACTTTCATCTGTGCTAAGTAACTGTAGCTCGTAAGCTAACCTGTTCAGATACAACATACCATATGTATTTTCACTGTCTCAAACTCAATCGCGTTGCTGGCCCCGACTCAGTACATGCTATCATGACAGACAGCCATCTCAACACTAGTGTCTAATCAGAACTGAAAAACAGTCAGTCTGGTGTTGTGTCAGTCTTCTCGCTTCCACCTGGGACGTGTCTTTTTTTGCAGAAAGTTGCAAAATTGCATCGGGCTTGATGTGTATAGTCAGACGTGTCAGAATTCGCCTCCGAACATTTCGTAATTTTGCGTCGTATATTTGCGTCGTTCCCAGTGTGTAAGGACCTTAAATCACAACCTCACTGAGAGACAGGACAGCTCTGCACTGCTGATGCTAGCTTCACAGACCAAAATAAACAATGAAACAACAATGGATCTATGGATCTGCACTGAACTTCTGTGTATCAAAATGTCATTTTTGGCCATTTGTAACAGTCCTAGTGAACAAACTGGCAGTTCAGTCCCTGAGCACAAATAAACAGTTTTTATAGTTATATTAAGATAAAACTGAGGTTTGAATTCTGGTATCTGGTCATCCCTTGTGAACCCATTACTAGTGATTAAAAAATCCTATTTTTACTCTCTACCTGGTATAAAACAGTCAGTGTAAACTCAGCTACTGTGATGTTAAACTTGATTGACACATTTAGATTTTTGTTAGTTAAGCTCTATAATCTCAAAAAAGACACCAGAATCAGTTGTTACATTAAAATCTGAATGACCACTCCGTTTTCGCTGTACATTCAGCCTCTCCTCTCCAAATGAGCAGTTTATAGAGGTTACATAGAAACCTTCAATGAATGTAAAACAAGACATTTTTTAATGTTGCCAACTTAGTTCAGGGGAACTTTACATTTCAGGTCATACACCAATGAGAGAGACTAAATAAACAGCTCAATCCAGCACAACATCTGCTGCTCATGTGCCTGTACGAGACTGAAGGATGTTGTGAGTGGAGTCTTGTTCCTAACGACCCATTAAGCATCAGGTAACGAGCCATTATGTGTACATTTTATTGTGTTTGCAGCAAAATCCGTCAAACTTGGCGTCCAGCCTTAGCTCCACGCCCCTACTTCCTGTCTTTCTTTTCAGAGTATCGACAGACTCCTGGTTTGTGTCAAAAGAGGCTTTAATACATCAAAAACCCTTGTCTCGTTCAGGACTGAGAGCTGCAGTTTTTGTCCTTTTGGTTCTTATTCAGCTTTATATCTCACATTACCCCTTTTTAAACTCCTTGACAATGAAGAGGTCAAAGGGAGCCGATACAAGAGTCAGACAAGTGATTAACTTGTTCTATTGTAGGCATATACTGATATTTAAAGCTCAAGTGTTAAATATGAGTCAAAATCTTGCTTTGGATCTTTCTTCTTTCTGCATTTCACATTATTAAAAGTGGTATACAAATATCATAGAAAATGCAGTCTGATTTTGAGAGGAAAAACAGGTCAGAACTGTCTCAACGAACCCTGATGTGTCCACAATGTGTAGTTTTTGTGCAGCTGTGTAGCTCTTCTCATGTCATCTGTTTTTCGCATTCAAAGTTTGCAATCCTTTAAGTTTCCAGTTCCAGTCTGTCTTAGCCAACATTACCTTTAAAGGTCCCATATTATACTCCTTTTCAGCAGGTTCACATAGGTCTCAGAAGTCCCAGAACAGTCAATTTGAAGTTTGTTGTCTAAAAACCCAATTCTTCAGCCAGCCTGAAAACTCTCTAGTGAGCTCTACCAAGAACATGCTGTTTCTGTGTGCTGCACCTGTCCACGCCTCCTTCAGCGCAAGCCACGCCCCTCCCTGTCTCTCTGGCAGAGGGGGTTGTGACTTGCACTACGGTACCATGCACCACAATAACCAAGAAACTACGTCGCTCTTACATAATAAAGACGAGACACTCTCTTCTCTCCACTTCAGACTGCAACATACAGGAAAAACTCTCATCTCACGAGACAGCTTAGCCTTGATTTCACAAATACTTAGATCCTTTGGTATCATAAGATCTCATGTGACCCCCAATAGAATATTAAGAGAAAAACTGAGGGCAAAGGGAGACTGCTGCTCACCTCTCATCAGGAGTGTCGACATGAAAAGTCCTCTCGATGACAGTGGTCCACTGCAGACAGCGGATAATGAAGGTGTTGGGCTTGGGCCTCTCTGTCTTCATCAGCTGACATTCTGAGAGTCACACAGAGATGGCAGGGGTGGCGTTACAGGGATGACTGTTTGTAGTGTTTATGAAATACGTGATGGAGGTGTGTGTCCGTGTCTCACTTGCTACAGAGAAGTTGTTGAGTGGGTAGGCCAGGTCAGAGTCCTGCGGTTTGTCCTTGTAGCCGATGAAAGAGCCGTCTGTCTTCAGCAGAAAGTAACGTGGTCGCCAGTTCTTGATGTACTCACCTGGAGAGAGAGAGAGAAAGAGACAGTCTGAGTGACAGGTCACATTTTGTCACAGTCACAGGTGATCAGAGGGTCCGGGTGATTTTTCAATGAATGAAAAAAACTGATCCTAATCAATCGATCAATCAGCCAATCTCACTTCTTAATTACTCCCTCTGGATTAACAGGTTTTTAAGCAGCCTGAAACATAAATACACAGACAGACATCTAAAAAATGAGATAAATAGTCCAATAAATAAACAAACCAGAAGACAAAAGGACTAGTGCACCAAAAAATGTAAAACAAATGTCGCCTTGAGTACTCTGTTTACTTTCAAATACCTACCTAATTAACACCGCAAGCCTTTCACTGAATAACTGGCCCTAAAAAACCTACTTTAAAACCTAATCCAGTGTCCTCAGAGGCTGTGATCACGCTTTTACTGCACATTAAGTATAAGAGGAGAGGACAGGTTGTGGTCATCACTAACCGAATGTAAAGGCTCTGTGAAGCGATGAGTCACTGTAATGGTCAGACTTTATTTTGTGGCTTTTTTGAAGTGATATTAGGATTTGAAATGCTTCTATTTACACTTTTTCTCTCGCACAGGATCTGAACTGCCCTTGGTGAATATCCCCAATGTGATAATTATTAGAAGGACAGTGCTTTTCAGTCTATTTAAAGCTGAAACTCTGAACATAACCTGGTCCAGATCAGGTCAGCTTTACTAAGTGAGCATAGTGATCTCATCAAGTTACAGAGAGTCATCTTTGTCACACTGAAAACTCTGACTTAATAATGAACTGACTTAATAACAACAGAACATTTCTCCTTTAAGGGTTGCTTTGTGATCAAGCTTGGGTATCAAAATCAAAATCATCCCAACTTGGAGTAGGTGTTGCACAAAGGTAAGTGTCCTTCACTGAAACTAAACAGATATCACCTTTTAGCTCAGTTTTCACCACATCTCTGAGCTGAAAAATCACAAAATCTGAGCTTTTATGAATGCCTTTTAAAACACCTGAAAGCGAGTTATTCAGAGCTCAGGGTCACAGAGAAAACAGACTCAAACAAGAACACTTTTCAGAGCTTACAGTTAGTTAAACTAGCAAATCACATCTGCTGTATTTAACAATTCATCACTGTGAACCCTTTACTCTATTTCATATTGCAGATAAAATGCATATTATCTTTTGAACGACAAAAGACAAAAGTCCTCCCCATGTTCTCGTGCTCCAAACATGTACCAGAAAAATGCAGTCAAACATCTGCACATCTTTCACCTGAGATCCTTAATCTATGAGTGAGAAACTGTCCAAACACTGCTCTCATTATCATTCAGCAGACATGAAATGTTGGCTTCCTGCTGTGCTGACTCATCAATTTGTGACAGGATAAAAATAATAATTTGGAAAACACGATCATGTCCTGGAGAGATGTTGACGTCCGTAAAAGTCGTGTTTTCACCAGAGCCAGAGGAGAAGAAGGCGGTGTAAGCAAAGCATGTGCGTATCAGTGATCAATGACTAAACTGGACCATCTCAGCATCCGTCCGTCAAATCACACTCTGATGAAGCTCTCCTCACACATCCGATGACTCACTCTGTTTCTGGACAACACTGAGATGAAGATGACAAAGACGGAAACGGGAAGAAGAGCGAGTCAGACTCTTCTGTGTGAGAGCCGGTGAGCAGCGGAGGAAAAAGTCAACAGCACGGGGAACTTTCAGGAACATCTAAATCGTTTAAGCTGCGTGTAAACGTACAGTCAGGGCTTCAGGATACAGCAGGATGTATAAAAGACCCCCGATCTGTCTTTACAAGATCATACACAGGACTGCGGCTCTGATCAATGCTTGCTCAGGCATCATTGTTGTGATAAAACAGCCCAACAATGCTAAAAAAAAAGTCGAGGAACAGATCAAAAGACAACTTTTCAGCAGAAAGGGAACAAACTGTGCAGCAGGAGACTGAAAGCCCAGTCAGAGCAGTTTGTCTAAATAATACACTCAATGCATCACACTGACACAGCAACAAATATGAGACTTTTACTCAGGGCTGAACAGTTAATAATTGCATTTGCAATTACATCCTGATATGTTAAAACGCGATTTTCTAACCGCAAAGGTTGCGGTTTTGACTGTTTACACGATCTGGTCATGTGACTTGCAAGCAGGCAGAGCGAAGTAGAGCAAGTAGAGAGAGAAGTCAACAGTGTACTCTGTCGTACTATGGCCTTATTCCACTACAGAAGCTGACACTGCAGAAAGATTAGTACCAGAGAGGGGCAGCACGGCAGTTGTGGGGATTTATTTTTGCGAAAAAAAGATGCTGCTGCGCAACGTGTGCAGAACCTGTCGTGCTACTGTTGCTACATCAGGGGGTAACACTACGAACCTTTATCAACCGCAACAAAGGTATGTACGATAGTTGAATGGCTAAAACACCAGCGACCAGAGCTCCGATTTCAAACTACGTCTGCATAAAGACAGAAAATGTATCCAGTACGGTGATGGCAGAACAGCTGAATGAACAGACCCGACTCCAGTGTAATGGGCACCGATTACATCTCGCCATGGGTACGTAAATTAGTACTATGGCGTGTATGAGGGCGCGTGCATGCGTGTGCACAATAGTGTGTGAGCAGAGAGAGTCTAGGAAAAACAATATATTTATAACTATGTTGTTTACTATAATACAGATTGAATTATTGTTTGTGTTTGTTGAAAAATACATTAGAAGAGGGCCTTAAAACATAATCGCATATTGAATCGCAATCGCAATACTGAGGTAAAAAAAAATCGCAATCAGATTATTTTCCAAAATCGTTCAGCCCTACTTCGGCAACGTCTTGTGATGATGATAACACTGATCATCACAGCAGTTAACCTCAATGTCCCAAACATGGTTTTGAGGAGAAACACGGAGGGTCGGATTCACAATAAGAATATGAAGCTTTTTTTCAATCTGTGCAAATGACACAAAAAGATATCCTCTAATCCACAAAGCACACACAATGAATTAAAGCAGTACACCGTATGCTGCAGAACAAACTGCATTTCTGTGTGTCAGTCTGTTTGCATATACTGTACGCAATGGGGCACGTGTGCTTTAATTCAAGGCAAAACTGGAACCTTTCCCTTACAATAAACCTCTGATTCACTTACACAGACACTAACATACAGGTAAGTTCAATCGTAGGCTGAAAGTTGCTGCAGTATTTATAACGGGTGTCATGCTGAAATCTTACCAGTTTATTTCTTTTCAAATAACTAAAAAAGTCATATGGAAAAGAGCTGAATAAATAAATCACACGTGCAGGAACTAATGGAGGACTTATCCTATAAAATAGTGATAAAGACAATATTTGATGATGACTCTGAATGATAAGTTGAAATCACCACCCCCTTTTCCTAAAAGCACCCAATGTGCATGTTTTGTTTTGTTTGTTAGTTTGTCCGTGTGCGTGCATGTGTGTGTGTGTTGCAGGCTATTGGAGCTTATTGCATCATTGATAATTTTAGATAACCTAAAATTAGGTTATTTATATCTTTTATTTTCGCTTTTTTCGTGCAAAGAAGTTAAGAGCAGTAACTTTTTAAATTATCTATAGGTTTACAATTTTGACACATAATGGCGTCATGTCACCAAACAATGATAACTGCATTAGATGAGATCATGAAGTCTGAAAATAATAACATTATTTTGGACACTGAGTCCACAAGAACAGGCTTTACAGGAAACTGTTAAAAAAAACCTCTGGTGCTCATATGGTAGACCAATCATCCCTACAGCACTGTAAGCATCTGAAACAGGCCAAACAATCAACCATCCTAAACTGTAAACTGGTCATTCAAATACAAAAATGATGAACTGAGTCAAGAGTTTGACTTATTCATTTGTCCTAAAATGTTCAGCTTCCTCCGTGTGTCCAAACCTGAACTGCGTGTGAACCCCGAGGTTTGATCTTCACAAGCGAAGAGAGCTACCGAGGCTGTTAGGACCTGAATTAAAAGAGCACACAGAGGTGCAATAAACAATTGAGGGACTTGTGGGGGCCAGAGAGGAAGGAACCAGAGTGTTAGGTCATCCTCTGTATGCTCATAGTGCCACAGAGAAACTTCCCCCTGACTGCCAGCCAACAGCTCAGAGCTCAGACCAGACAAACACACCTCCAGCACACACTAACACACAAAACACACAAGCACTTAAATCACTGTGAGAAAAAACGCACCAGCCAAGAGCAGCTCAGACTGGGCTGCAGCCCTGCAAAGCCTGCCCTCTCTGCTCGCCGTCTGGCAGGTAAACAACCATTGTTTGGAGGTGCTGTTCTTCAAACTGGCAGACGGGCTCAGACTTAGTCTACACTGAGCTGCAGAAAAAAACACACTCTTTTCTGACTAAGGCTTGTGTTTAAAAAAAAAAACAAAAAACAGGAAAATGTGTTTGAGCTTAGCCCCTTTAAATTCATCTGAAAACACTTGATCTTGTGTTAACTTCTTAGCCAGTTTGATACTTTAAGAAAACAATAATGTAGACAAGGTTGAACACTATTGGACAATGTGGAAGAAAAACTAAAAAGACATCTACTGGAGCTTTTCCATGAGGTGTGTGTTTTGGAGTGGTTATTATTTGTGTGTCTACAGTCAACAGTGGGTAAAGGTTTCCAAATAACAGTCCAGAACTGTCCTGCTTTATTGACACCCTTCTGCTGGGTTGATCTGACTTCAATTTCACTGACTGACAAAGAGGAGAGGGTTGAGAGATTGTACAGTGAATACTGAGAATTGTCAAGAGGTGTCAGTGTGTTGTTGACTGGCTGCAGAGGGGACATAAAACAGCTCTGCACTAGCTGTCGTAAACAAGGCAAACAACTCCTTACTGACAGGCTGATGAACTTGACTTGTACGGCCGGCTAAATATTGGCTCTTTATTGACGACTTGATGAATTTTTCTAATTTTTCTAAGCATTAAAAACATTGCAAAGCACTACAGCTGCATGTAAAAAATACAGAATATGTTCCACCTCCACTACAGTAAGTGGCAACATGCCCCATTTCAGCTCATTACAGCTTGGCCGTCTCCCAGCTGTCACTTACCAAAACAATCAACAAACATGCTAGCAAAGGGCTAACGGGTTACACAGCTCCATACAGGAGATGATGACATGACCCCTACCTCTTTTCTGCACCCAGCCTTCCTTGACGACGTTCTGGTCGCTCATGGTGGCTTCTCCTCGTCACCAGTCCTCCCAGTTCTCCCAGTGTGCTGATGGTGAAGGGCTGAGCAGCTGCGGGGGCTGGCAGCGGGACAGTTTGTTCCACTGAAGCTCAGTCAGCCAGCTTCTGTCTGACCACCTCCGACCTCCAACCTCCCTACCTCACCTGACCTCAGAGCTTGTTTTTGCTGGGATGAGTGTCTCTCTTCACTTCCCTCTTTCTTTTTCCCACATTCACTTTCACTTTCCTCCTCTCACCCGCCGACCCGACCTCACTTCTTCTGTCCTCTCTCCCCTCCTTGTCTTCTTTACCTCTTTTAGGTGTATTTTACTCTCCTCTTTCTCTCCCTCCCTCTTTGCTTTCTGTTTTAGTTTTCCTCTGCTCCCGCGGAACTTTTTCTTCTTCTTCTTCTTCTGCTTCTTCTGTGTTCAGGCGCTCCGGCCGTTAGTCAGCCTGGAAGGAAAAGCAGGCAGAGAAAGAAAGAAGGGAGAAAAAAAGCACACATACAGAGCAGGTCAGTGGATAGTTTCCCTCTCACAGCAAACACAGCATTGTTCATGGACTTGTTCAGAGCCTTAACACACTTCCTGCCTCCTTACCTCCTTCTGTACTTGCCCCCCTAATTACATCATCACAATTTCTCCCTCTTATTTCCTTCTCTGGTTTCCTGCCCTTTTTAACGACCCTTTACCCCCTCCCAATCAATCAATCAGTCTCCTTTACCATTGGCTATCATCTCAGTTGACGAGTCTCCATTTCACTGTAAATACACAGAGGCTTCACTCTGGCTCACTCCCTTGCCTCCTCGCATCCTCTCCTCCCCTCCTTATTTATTGGCTTTTTGTTTACTAGTCTATTCTTCCCCAACTACAACCCTAACTACATCTCCTTTATCTCCTTCTCTGCCTCCTTTCTTTTTTTCCTGGTACCTTTGCTTAGAGGGGAGGAAAGCACATCTCATCTCTCCTCTTTGTACTCCCTCGTCTTTTTCTCCTTCTCTCCTTCTGTCATTTATTTATCTCTCCTTCCCTCTATCTATCTATCTATCTATCTATCACTAACCGTCTCCTAGGGCTGGGCGATGAAACAATAACGATATATATCAAAAATTTATTTCCCTCAATATCAATATAAAACATGGTCAATATGATTTCCGATAACCGGCATTCTGCCATGTTTTGGTAGACATACGAATAGCCAATGAAAAGGGCAGTTGCTCCAGATCCGCTTTGTGCTGAACTAATCATGCACTGAATTAGAACCAAGTAACAAACAACTGCGTAGTAGCAGACTACAGCTACACGCAACCATAGCACTTTAACACGTGAAGCCGACAGCACTGTTGGTGAGAAAAAAAGGAAATGAGTGCTACCCTGGGAGAAATGCACAAAAACGTCAGTGGTGTGGAGGTATTTTTTTTTTTTAGGTCGGACACGACATGTTCTCGTAAAGTCGGGGAATACCTCAAATCTTTTTCACTACCTGAAGCAGTGCCACGCGGCAGAGCACGCGCAATGCAAAAGGTTACAAACCCTTAGGCAGAGCAAGGAGCTTATGGCGCCTGTGCAGCCGAAACAGCCGACCATTCAGTCCACTTTCTCTAGCACAACGCCTTACGACAAAACGTCAAAGAGACACTAAGACCTCACAGATGCAGTAGCTTATTGTATTGCAGAAGACATGCTACCAATAAGCACTGTTAAAGTACATTTTTAATATCGTGATACATATCGATATCGACACTTTTTCCCATATCGCCCAGCCCAACCCTCTCCTCTTCATCTTCCCTAGCAGCCTTCGCCTCCTTTTCTCAATCAATCCTTCTTTTCTGCCTCTCTCCCGTGAGTCTTTCTCCAAGTTTTTCTGCAAACATCCTCATCCCCCACTTCTTTTATTCCCAGACAAAAAATCCGCTCTCCTTCTTTTCCCCATTTCCCTTCCTCTCCTTCTCACTTCCTTTCCTTTTCTTTCCTCTCTCCTCAAGTCCCAACAACACATATCTCTACATTTCTTCTTCCCTTATCCTCCCTCCATGTCTCCTTGCTGAGTCCTTTCCTTTTATTCTTCCTCAGTCCTTTGCATATTTCACAAGAAGTCCTCTTACCTCGTCTCCCCTTTCTTTGTTCCCTCTTTCACTGTCATCTATTGTTCCCTTATCTTTTTCTACTTGTGTTGTTCTCTCTTTTCTCAAAATATCAGGGAACCACACTTTATAATTCCCCTCCTTACTTTAACCTTTAACCTTGACTCCTTCTCTATTCCTATTTTCCATTTCTTAAAGTCAAGCTCCCGTCACCATTTTCCTTGCGTCTTCACACCCCACCTCATTTACTTCTTCTCTTACTTGCGCCATTCATTACTCCTTCTTGTATCCTCCTTTTCCTTCCTTTCCTCCTTAACTGCTTCTCTATAAACTTTAACTTAAATGTCTTAACCTTCTGCTTCCTTCCCCCTGGTCTGACCTTCTGGTAAATTCTGCTCCCTCTTCCATCCTTCCTTCCTCCTTTTTTTAGTGCCCCCATACCCCGTCTTATCTCCTTCCCTTTCCTGGTTCCCCCATTTCTTCTTCCTTCTTTTGTATCCCATTTTCTCCACCTCTTCTTCCTCCTCTCCATCCTATCTACTCCGTTAAAATCTTTTCAATCACTTCTTTCTACAAAATTTGTGTGTGATAACCACAGATGCTCTGAGTGGAGCTAAAGCTGCACTCAAGATGACAAACAAAAGTCAGAGGTGCTGCATTTTGGGTTTATTTGATACTCTGTTGTCTCAATTCACCATTAAAAGAAATTACTTTACTATTATTTCTCCCCCTTCTTCATTTTTGGCTTTAATAAAATGAAACCAAACTTCGGAGTTCTTCCTCTAAAATTCTCTGTTGTGTAGCTTAATGCTTGTCAGCTCGCGATCACCTCTAATCCACCTCATCAGCGGCCAAGTTCTGCCTCCCAGAAGTCCACTCCTTCTCCTCATCACATCACCTGTCTTTCATCGTGATCATCATTGTTTCTAGACTTCATGAGTGTTGAGGAGTCCTGTCCTGCTGTCAGCCTCATCGCCTCCTTCAATACATGAAGACGTCACAAGGGGGTCTAAATGCCAAAAACATGAATATTTTAATCTTAACTCACTTCCGAAATAATTCATTGTTCATCCATATTGAAGTCTTTTCACTATGTTCTTTTGATATTATCTGCAAAATAGTAGCAATGTGATATTTTCTTGCATCGTTGGACAAAATACGGATCCAAAACTTTCATGCCAACCTGCTTTGTACAAAACAATTGTCATATCACTGTCACCAAACACCAACATTTGAATTCAATCATGATTAATAACTGTGTGCAGATAACAAGCACTGTGTGCATCTTCACATCTGAGAGACTCGGCCTCTCTGGGATGTCCTTTTTATACCCAGATGTTTTACTAACCTGTTGCAAATTAATCTTCATAGTTAGATGTAATTATATTTTAACGTACAGCATCACTGATTCATGATCCTTTACAGTGGCACTCATGACTTTAATCCTGCACTTAGCCTTACAGGGATCCTTTGAATCCTTCATTCTGTCAGGTATTTTCATGAATCATCATAAATGTTGATACTGAATCATACATTACCCTGTGATTCTCACTCTTACTGTGCAGGGTTTTGTCCAAAACATGTGTATTAGGATGAATATATTTTTACTCCTGGCCCTAAACCCTCCTAATATGCAGTTTTTCAGGACAACTTGTCTATTCCTTACAGAAACCATGTTTAAGGTGAGCTAACTTGAGTAAATGTTTCCCTACAGAGTCTCAAAAATACCAGAGAAGTCATGTCACTGTATTTGATACATCATGGTTCTAATAAAAAGATAACTGGGCCAAAGTGATAGCATTGAATTGTCATTCTTGGTGTATGGAAACAGTATGCTTTTCCTAAAGAGACAGGCCATCCTGGTGAGGTTTAATTTTCCTTTCAAAGTAGGTATTGTTCACTTCAAAGCATCCAGCATCTGCCTCTGCTTTGCTAGTAAACATGTATTTCTTTCTTTTCATGTCTGTTGATAATTGTGAAATAATCTTTTCACAGTCGAGCAGCCACTAAAGAGCTAGATGCTAACACGTTTCTCATATTCATCCAATAATATATTTTTTCTCATCCATAACCACATTCAGTGAACATCATCTGTTATTTCTAAATCAAACATGTATAAATTGCAGAATATTTCCAAGTTTTTAAGGCCGCCTATGTCCCTTAGATGCACATCACGCACATACACCATCGATGTAAAGATCGGAGGCTGGAAAACAAACGCGGGTCCTCCAATGACAACAAAAACAATGGCTGACAGGAGCAGACGCTGTACATTTCAGAAGCCGGTTCACAGCTGCGGGCCTCGCTGCTCCAAACAGCCCCAAAACCCCGTCTCTTATTCATTTCCCAGCATGTTTGAGTCCTGCGCCGTGCACAAACAAACAAATACTGAAACAACAGCTTTTGTTTCAAGGGCGTGTGGTGTCATCATGTGTTACATAACAACATCCGCTCGCGTGCTCCATTCTCATTTAACGGTCCAGGCGAGAATTAATATCCGGAAGCGACTCTTTCATTGACTGATAATGATAAAATAACTGGCTCCAGGTGTAGGGAGGTAGGGTCAGTGAGACGGTTGTATAAGCCGGGTTTGGCCTGTGATGGCTCGACTAAAGGATGAGAACTAGCCAGGGATGCTAGCGGGAGGGGGGTGATGCTACTGCTAGTGTTAGCCGGCTTGCTAGCAGAATGGTGGTCTGACGAAGACATACAGACAAACGGACAGTCTTTGGCAAAAGAAGGAGCAATTTAACGAGAAACTGTTTCAATCTATGATATGAATCAACTTCACCGTCCATCATTGTTTTCACTTCTGTATCATAGAAAGAGACGTGAGGCTGTGTTAAGAATAAAGATGGGCCGTTCGTCAACGATTCGGTTCTTTGAACCAACTCCTTCAAATGAAGAGGCGAACCGATTTCATACCTTTCTAGAGTACAAGATGTGATCACATGAAATACCTGGCATTACAAAAAAACCTTTGTCTAAATAACAAAGACTATATTATCTTTTGAAATCAGTGGAGGCGATGTAATACATGTCTGAATACTGGTACTAGAAAATATAAACCTAGTTGTTGTCTGACAGCTCCTATTAGTATCAAGTAAGGCTTTTTAAAGCTGAGTGATGCCAATCACCATACTGGAAAGCCTAACTCCAACTAAGGGTGGGATACAGCAGCCTTGACACCCTCTTAAATTGAAACACCAACTCAGAGATCAGAAAGGACTTAAGTGAATCCCAGCCCAACATTCAAGATGGCTACTCCATGTATCAATGGTAAAAGCTATACTTTTCAGAGGGTTTGTGACTTACTCTATCTTACTTTGTATTATTTTGTACAATCATAATCAATACAATAACCACGACTGCATAGAGCAGTGTAGATCTGTAAAAAAGATGTCATGATGCTTTTGCTAACAGGAAGGGTGTTATTGTGCGACCATGCAAACAACAACAGCTACTAGCAACACCACTTTCTAACAAAAATGTGATACTACTCACAGCTATGACATCAGACATCCAAAGTAAATAGAATGCACTATAACCATCAACCTAGAAAACAGGAATGGAGTTGAGTTGAGGACCTAGGCTTCCTGGCAGATCATAACATCACTCCTACCTGTCAACACAGCCTTGCTCCTAAGTATCCAAACATAAACCCTCCTCTCAGCCAGTGAGTCATATTCTAGCTCAGACCGATTCTTATTCTAGTTTACTGTTGCCAAAATGAACATTATTATTACAGAGCATAATGGAGTCTTCTCAACTTTTGAAGCTAGTCTCAAGTGGACCTGTGTTGATTTACAATTGTTTGCTTCAGCTTCAGAATTCAACACTGGTGGGCTTCCAAACAGTCACAGCCATGCCTTCTGCAATATTCCTCTATATATGTGTATGTTTTGAAGTCTAAAAGTAGAACCGAAAATAGAGCCGGTTCCCGATGCCAAGCTCAGCCAAATAATCCGGCTCACTGAAGAGACCCGAAATTCCCCTCACTATTTTTGAAGGGGTGGGAGACTGGGGAGAAGGAGGGGGAGGAGGGGAAGAGGGGGGTGAAACGGAGAGGTTGGGGGGGATGTCGTTCATCACAGAAATGGGCCGAGGCCAGACGGACGGTACCGTTATCATTACAAGCCCTCCCCTCCCTCTTGCAGCAGCATCCCGGCGCCGCATCCCTCCATCCCAAACTGGCGAATGACGAAGCAGTAGCAACAGACCGCTAACAGCAGCTAGCTAGCGTGCTAACCCCCGCTCCCACCCGCTCCGGCTCGCGACAAACCCGCTGTCTGTGCCACCAAAACCACGACCCCCACCCCGTCTTCTTCTCTCCCGTATCCTCCTCTCCCTTACCCCACCAACAACACATGAAAGCATATAATGATAATAATTTCACCTGGTAGTCAAAGAATGATAGGGATGCCCCCTCCTCCTCCTCCTCCCCCTCCTCTATGGGCACTGGAGCATCCGACGGAGTAACGTCCCTCAGCGGTGAAAACGGGAGGAGGACAGCGATGGATCCATAGCCGCGGGTGCCGCGTCCAGCCGAAAAGAGGAGGGTTTTTGTGTTCCAGACAGACAGACACACGGACGGACAGACAGGCAGACCCGCTCGGCTCCTGCTCCCTCCGCAGCTCCGCCAGGAAACCTCGCTCGGCTCCGAGTCGGCACGTCACGTTCAGCCAGATCTGACTGGGAGGACTCCTGCTGCATTCAGGGGCGGTGGGAAAAACGACATGTTCGTACACTCAATGACCTATCCAGCTGGGAGATATAACTGAAGCTGGGAATTTGGAGTGCGTCGATATTGTTCCTAAACTAAGCCCGTGCAATGATAACATTAAGGTCACGCCCATGGTATCAGAAATACCTTTTATGCGTTTAAATTTAACTTTTAGTAATGTATAGATTGTTTTTAGGCCCAGACTGTGAAAAAAAATTATACGGTGATATAAAATGTAATTGAAGAGACCATTTGATAACTTTTTTAAAAGCAAAAAGAGTTTAAAGAGAGAGAGATTTCTATCTGCAAAACGGACTGAATTTTCATTATTTATGCAAAATCAAATAATAATTGACTTGTACGCACATGATAACTATCATGATTTACAAAATAGTTAACTTGTTGGACACAAAATAATTAACTTGTGCACACCACACGTTTAATCTGATATGTAAAATAATAGACATGATATACAAGATAATGAACATGTGTGCACCCAGTACTGTAACTTGCAATCAAGAATAACCTAACCAACAAGATATCACAGTGCACATGTGAACTAACATGAAAGATAATTTAAAACTGCATTCAAGATAATTAATCTGATACACAAGATAATAACTAGTGCACACATAACCAAAAGAGCAATACAGCCACTTGTGAGTACTGAAAAAAAATCATTCACCTTCATGAGCTGTATAAGGAGCTTTAAAATTCTCTTTATAGCCAGCACAGGGTGTAAATGTAAAAACAAATGTATTCTCAATATTCTGCATCAAGTCTCTACATTTTATTTTTATTCTCAACATTTTGCCTATATATCCAAAATCCAAAAGACATTTGCATTCCAGTAGGACCAAAAAAAATCGAGATTTATTGTACATTCCTCAAAGTGTCTTAGTCTGTGTGCTGCGATACCGGAAAGCAGGACTTGACAGTGAGTCCCTGAATGCAACATCTCTCTCCTCATGGCATCCAGGGCTTTTGTTGGTCCCCAGCTTTTGTTGTCTCTCTCTCTCTCTCTCTCTCTCTCTCTCTCTCTCTCTCTCTCTCTCTCTCTCTCTCTCTCTCTCTCTCTCTCTGTTGGATTTATGTGTCCACATTCAGTTCAGTTATAATTCAATTTCATCTGAACCTCAGCAGACATCAGTCCTTCTTCTGTACGCACAGCAGCCCCTGAACCCCCCATGCTGATATTCAGACTACCATTTTTTACCTCCAGACTATTTTTCAGTGATTAATTTGCTCCAGCTTGCCTAAATGTATATATCACCCACCTTCTCCCCCTCTCCTCCCTCCTCAGCTCTCCTGTGAATGGGGGCTTTGTTTGGGGATCCTGGTCCCAGTCTGGCTGCAGGCCTATACAGACGGGACTGATGCTGCTGCTTTGCATTAATCAATTACAGTCTGTGACAAAAACAATTCATGCTATGAGACGAGACGGTTTGTGGATTTAGTTCAGGGGTGTCTGCTTACTGTCAACACATGATCACACTGTTCTTTTTTTACAATCAATCAAATTAATAAATAAATCCACAGATATTTACTATTTATGAATTCAAATCAGAATTTATCCAGTGGAAAACTTGGGCACTCCAGTTGCTCTTACACAGAATGTAAGCACAAAGAAATAAAGTCAAAATAAAAAGACACCAGAAATATGTAACCTATGTGAACTCTAAGTGAAATATGAGTGTACAACACAATATAGACAGAAAACTGTACAAAGACAAAATGCGTAAAAACATACTAGCCCCTTTCCCTCTTTCTCCTTCCTCTTTCTGTCTGTGTCATTAACTTTGAATCATCATGTCCCATCAGAGTCACTAATTCACAGTCTTTTCTGGGGGTCTCTGAGCTCCATCATCTTGTAGGTTCCCCTGCTGCAGACGTTTTGGTGCCGTGGACCTGTCTGCTTTCCTGCTTCTTCAACTACGAGCATCAATCTCACCCCTGTTCATCCCTTTCTTTCAGCATCTCCCTCTATCCCCTCTCTAAACCCAATGCAGAAGCGGCAGATGACTGTCTAACATAAGTCTAGTTCTGCTCAAGGTTGCTGCCTGATATGGGCAGTTTTTCCTGACAACTGTAACTTGGTAAATTCTGCAAAGTGTTTCACTCCTGAGGCTGAAGATGGGATGGGAGTGGGTCTGATCTTACAAGAGGAGTCTATCTGATCCTGTCTCTACATTGGGTCTTTGTAAACAGAGTTTGGTATATACCTGCTTTTTCTGTTAAGCATCCTGGAATGACACTTGTTGTGAATGAGAAGGTTTTATACCTGGACCCTGGGTTACAAATATCTGCATTTTCCTTGAGTCCTATACTATCAAGGTTTTTTTTTTTGTATTAATATCCAACTTTTTTAGTTGGACTAGGAAATCAATAGGAATGATTTAAAATAGTGCTGACTGACAAAAATCTTTTTAATAGGATGATTTGATTGTTTTGGTTTATATATTTTGAAGCTATTCTTTGACCGCTAAATCTATGGAGCACATGATAATGTGTTTAATGACTCCTGCAGTAACCATAGCAGCAGTGAGTGTGTTACAGAGATCCCAGTTACTCGTGTCAGTTTGCTCTGTTGTTGGAGGGCAGTGTTGGATTTCTCTGTCCTGAGTCTCCCGCAGAGGACAGGAGAATAAACAACAATACAGATAACAGAAGAAGAGGAGACACTTTTCTAACCATAGAGTTATTCTGTAGATTCAAGTTCAGCTGAGTGATCCAGTGTCTCCAGGTTGGTGGTCAGGAACAGACATTTCACTAAATTTTAGGTAAGACTGTTTAAAGTTTTTCAACTAATCAGTCAATTGAGCTTCATGGTTTATTTTACTTTGCAGCAACTGAAACCAAAAAGAAATGTAAATAAGGTCTGAAGGTAGCAACTCGGTGACAGTAATAAAAATAAAATACAAGAAGTTAAAACAATAAAGGGCAAAGAGTTAAGATAACTTAAAGCGTCTCAAAATACATGAACTAGAAACAGGTAAAAAAAAAAAAAAGTTAAAGACAAATAAAACACTAAAAAAGCAATAAAAATAAATAGTTAAGTGGTTAAGTTAAGATGACAAAATTATAAAGCAATACTTAAATCAGCAGTGCCAGAGCCAAGGGGTGGCTCTGACCGCCTTTAAAATCTAACTGGTCACCCTGAAATCCTAAACCATGATTGGTCATTAGTCTTGTCAGTGGTGGTATTTATACTGAAATCAATTCTTTGGTTTGTTTTTTTAACAACTGCTTGAAGATTTTTTTTGGCATTCTAATAGAGAACATTTTCACTTTGTAGTAGATATAAACGCTGACCCTCTGTTCAGTCACTTTTCAAAGCTAAAAAGATACAAAACCATGTTTGTACTCTTTATTGTTATAAATTAAAGATAGATATGTTTACTGCAGATAACCCAACTGAGATAAGTAAGCCTCTAATGTAAGTAAGTAAGCAAGTAAGCCTCAAAATATGCTTTCTGTTTTGGGTCCCAAAAAAATTGAAAATAGGGTCCAGACATTACAATATATATCAGTATTTCCTCTGACCAATATGCCAAATATTCCATAAGCAACAGATCTGGTATGACTTGCGATGCATTAAAGTAATGTACTAATCCAATGTTGAAACTATCTGACTCAGTCCCTCCTAAACAGAGACAAATCCAAGGTTTCCTGCAGAGCTGAGTCTGCACTACACTGCATGAACTTCTCATACCTGCATCATGGTCTTAGTCTGGATTTATTATCAGCTCTCCTCAGGTCCAGGTCTTCAAGTGGACTCAGCCTTGCCCCCTTAGTGATGGCAGGACCTGGTGTGGCTCTGAGGCTGCACAAGTTCAGAGAGTCTCAGGACTCCACAGAACAAGTTGGACCAAACACATCGAGGACAAAGTGAGCGAGGGGAATCACTGATAGAAACAATAATGATGTAATTTAAATAAACCTGAAACTTTTATTAGAGTGATAAAAAATATCAGTGAATCAAAAAATATTGACAAGAGATGTAAGTATGAGGATCTTGAGCTCTAATTATTGTTTCTGTTTTAGACCTTCACGTATAGGAAGGGACGTTAATGGCTTATACCCAGGACAACTTGGCAGAGTCCATTTAAGACACTCAAATGATTTGGGGTAAGAATATAGACGGTTAGTACGAGTGAATTTAAGATCACTCTAGTTTTAAGTAATATTTATATTTATCAAAAGGAGACCCTGGCCTGCTGAATACTGAGACATAATCAGGATTAAATAAAAAGAACCTAAATCAAAATATATTTCATTAGAATATATATGCATATATATTGCATTCCCATATATGAAATATACTGTATGAACATATGAGGTGGAAGCATTTATGTACCTATTTGGAAAAACTTTATATGAAACCTGTTGGAAATTATCAGAAAAAAGACAAAAGTCAACGTGTGTCCAATATAACAATACCTGGCTCTGTCCTTTGTCCAATCACAGTTCTGATCCTTACAGAAGAAGATCACAGCCCCTCCAGGAGTCTCCTCAGCCTCCAGACCCTCCATGTGAGACCTACCAGCAGAGTTTTGACCTCCTCACCCTCAGAGCTCTGAACCTCCTCGGTCACAATCCTGCAGTCATGGAACAGAGCCCCCCTCAGACAACTTACCAGGAGCAGTTTGGTCTGCTGTCTCCTCTCTTTTCTAAATAATCAAACGAAAAGGACTTTTTAACTGCACAAACATTCAGTGTGTGGGAGTGTTTGGAGATAAATAAATACTTCAAAATGTTAACATGCTGCTCGGAAAAAGAGTTTGTGCACTTATGCACACTTTTGTTGTTGCAGGTGCAACAAGAACACAGATACAATATTCTATTACAGGTTAAGTGGGACTAGACTTGTGTTTGTCACCTTCGAATAAGTCCTGTTTTCATTTGAAGTCTGCAGTTACATTAAGTGGCCACAAGAGGGAGCTTTTATTCAGATTATTGTGCTGGTTTAACAGCAAATGTGATTCAAATTTTTTTTTTCTAACAAATGGAACAATTTTATATTGAATTAATAAAAGCACCCGTATCCTATTTAGAGACATGACGTGTATGTGCTTCTTTTCACTCATGATGTTTCTATCCATTTTCTGTTGGACAGCGACGCCTTCTTGTGGTTGTATGATGTAACTGCAGCATTTTAGTGCTTGCTGGAAAAATACTAGGTCATCTTACTACGTAAAAAAAAACTGCTTTTAAAGGGTGTTAAGGCATCATGATGAAACTGGAAGTGCATGTGTGTAAAAGTAGTAAAATAAGTGTAAGAACAAAACAGTGAAGATTTTGCTGACATTAACATGTTCAAATCAGATTTAATTACCCTTCTCAGACCAAACCAAAGTCACTTTCAAATAATTTTCAGTAAACTTACACATCATGTGTTTGATTACAAGAAATCACTTTTTCTTTTTTTTCCCCCCAAAACAAATCAACAACAAATAATCGATGCAGAAGAGTGTTACACTCATAAATCATGTCTTTTATTGAAAGTGTGACTCCAGCAGTAACAGCTGAGCTCACTGGGTCAGTGTGAGGGAAAACATGAGATCATCAGACTAATTATTAATGATGGCTTCACATGTTAAAGATGAGTCAGGCCTGGTGAGAAAAATTCATGACCGTGTTGACATCACCCTGACATCATCACCAATGTCATTATAATGCAGCAGAGGCTCTCCGGTGAAATCAAACCCGAGTGTGTGATCATTGAAGTGAGCTCAAACCCTAGTTTGGTACAGATGTTTCATTGATCACTGTTTCTGATCATATCCTAGCACTTACAAGTCAGATAAAAGTATTTAAACAGGAAAAAAAATCACGTCTGAGATTTTTCATTCAGTCTTATTTCATCTAATAAACAAATAAATCAAAAGCATAAAAAACTCAGATCACACCAAGTCTCAAAACCATAATTCTTACAGGTCTGTGACCCAGAAATGTAAAGAATAGAATGCACAGATTTACAATCTATCCTGAAATAATTGGATTATATAATCTTTAAAAGTTCCAAGTTTAAACCGACCAGACAAACAGCAGTCGGTTTTCTCTTCGGCAACAGAGCTGTCAATCATGCTGCTTTTATTGCATTAAATGACTAATGATGGCACAATGGTACTGCAGCCAGTCAGTTGTAGGAGCTCCCAATGTTTTGCCTTACTTTTATGAAAGCAGTTGTGTCATCCCTCTTTAAATGCAGAGGTATCTATTAAACATCAATGCAGTCCATCAATTCGATCTCCATGACCTGGTTGACCGGAGATATGATCAGCGGTGTAAAGTTTCTAACACCGCTCAGACCAGGGTTGAAGTATGGGAAGAGTTTCTCACTGAAAGAGCAGCCAGTGAAGGAGTAGAGCAAAGCTGGAGTGTGAACATCATAAAAGGAGACTACACCCTCCTCGTAATCCACAAACACGCCCACCTTCATGGGTCTTGATCTCAGAAGGAGACGCACTGGAGGGTCATCGAGGGCTCTGTACTGTATTCTCTTCCTCAGCCAAATTGACCAATAACCCTCCTCAGGACACAGGGGGGTGTCGGCCTTCCTGCTGATTGACTCACTAGCCACTCCTAAATCCCACTCAGTCTTTCTTAAAACCTGGACCTCGTAGTAAAATCTACCTGAAGAGAAACTCTGCTTTCCTAAAACACAGGGATTGAGAGAAAACCTCTCTGGGTTGTCTGGAAGATTCTTCCCCACATCTCCATCACTGACTTCTTTTCCATCATCAGACAGGATGAGTCGAGGATGTGCTGTATCAGGATCCAGAGTCACATCCACCTCATACTGTTGGATTCTATTCAGCTCGGCTCGAACCAGCTTCTTCATCTCTGTAGTGAGAGCCTCCTCCAGCTGAACCACAGCTCTGACCACAGTCCCTTCATATGAAGGGGGATGGACATTCACCTCTGTCCAGTTTCTGGTTGGTTGTCGGTGGTTGATGATCATTGACCGGACACTCTGGAGTAGTTTGAGGGAATCTGTAGAGCATGAAGGACTCTCCTCCCCAGAGCTCCTTTTCATCAGCTCAGAGATTTCTCCCTCCAGTTCCTTGATGAAGTCTTGGGCCTGTTTCTCTGTTCTTTTCTGCTTCTCTTTGATGAAGTCCATGAGCTCGGCCTGGCCTCTCTCAACAGACTCCTTCAGAGCGCTGAAGACTCGAACACCTTCGGCCATCTCTCTGTCTGCGTTTTTGTTACTAAGGTCCACTGAGTGTTTGATCTCCTGGATCTTCTCTTGTCTTTTCTGGATCATCTGCTGAATTTCAGCCTCTGTCTCCTGGGGAACTTCTTCTGGTTTGGACTCTTGTTGCTCTGAGCTGCTGCTGCTGCTGCTGCTGCTGTTTTCCTGCTGAGTTTTATCTCTGAAATGAGCCACCATCTGAGCGATGACAGTGTTGGCATACAGCTCAGGTTTGGTGACAAACACCTTCTTGCACGTGGGGCACAGGTGCTGCTCACTTGTACTCCAGTGTTTGCTGATACAGTTTTTGCAGAAGTTGTGTCCACACGGTGTGATGACAGGATCAGTGAACACATCCAGACAGATGGAACACAGAAACTGAATCTCAGGTGAAAGAGCAGAAGCTGATGCCATGTCTACAGACTGGGAGAAAAAGGGAAAGTTTGTTCTTTCTCTAAAATGTTCAAGATTAGAAATAGCGGATAGCATTTTTAAAACAATCAGAAAAGTATCAAGCCAAACTGTAGACCTCAGGCCCCTAACTGCTCTCTTCTGAATCTCCTCCATGTACAGTATAATGTGCCTATAGCTCCACAAAGGCCTTTGCTTTCTCTACCTTACTTGCTTAAAGGTTCTTAAATACAAGATATGGCTGCCCTTCCAAGTATAAAGCCTCTCCATAACCATTATTGCAGAAACTGAAACTAGTTGGGCACCCCTCCTACTGCTCCCATTTCATCTTTTTATGGTTTCCCTACAACTTATTAGTGCCAAGTTCTTTCTTTAATGTAAAACGATCGCCTTTATTCAGTTTGCCTCCTTTCTACCGTTAAAGTAACCCTTTGAGTTGACACAGACCTGCTGTCTTTATTTTTTAAAGCTATTTTTTGTGAATGGGGGTGGCGCCCCAAGTATGAAGTATTGGTGTCATAACCAATGAATCTTAGCGGCTACGAAATCTGAAATCTGAAGAGATCTAGAAAGGTTTAAGTTTCATTAGCTGTACTTACTTTTGTTGTTCGTCTGTCAGACTTAGAGCTTCGTACTGAAAGAAGATGAGACGATCACAATGACTGTCTCAGCTCTGTGTTTAATGTTTAACCTTATGCTAAGCCTCTCGGGCTTTGTTGTAAAATAACGCCTATAAAACACTCACAGGTAGACTGTTTAGTCCAGCTGCATATCAGACACTCCTCTTTTAATAGATCAGCAAAACCTTTGAATTTGTAGAGTTGGACCTTCTATCCCAAAGTTCTACAGGAACTGACTTACCGTCAGAACCACCAAGGCTTGCTGGCTGAAATATTTAATGTCAGAGGTTTTAACTTGACTTTGACTTTTCCTGACTTTTAAAAACATCTGTGTCATGAAAGTATCTTTTTGTTTGTCATAAAGGTAAACTTTGTAGAGTACTGCCGGCCAGATGGTCCAAGTATTTCACCCATGTGTGTAGATTCTGCTTCATGTGGACGGCCTGGGTCCTATGGCACCTCTTCCTCATGTCATCCCCTGCCCTCTCTCCCCATATTCTGCTCTATTCACCAAACTATGCCCTAAATATATAAAGTGCTTCAAAATTAACAACATTTAAAGCTCCAGTGAGCAGATTTTGACTGGTTATGAAACAGACCAACATGAACAGTTTTTTTTTTTTCTGAGATGAGACCACTTCTGACAAAATGGGAAATTTCTGTGTTGTTATTCTTACTGCCTGTAAACTGTAAATATTCAAAATTCAAATTTTTAAAATCTCACTGTAAAAAGACAACTAATCAGAATTCAGCTACAGTTATAACTCAAATTAGTGATTGAACCGGACAATCTTTGATCAAGATTTAAATTATTGACATAACTGAAAATTACTTGATAGCAAATCAAGATAAATTATTCAAGAGCCAAACACCAAAACTGCAACCAGAAAAAATAAAACAACACAGCTGAAAAACCTCAAAAACAATCAAAACCCACCAGTATGCTGACTTAACGTTATAAGAACAATATGATCAGAGATCAAGAGGAATGAATATGCAACATTATGTTGTATAAACGCTGTAAAATGAGATAGCAGCAATAACATAAAGTGAAAAATAACAGCAGATAGCTGAATCACAAAGAGATGAAGGCAGTAAAAACAGATAAGAACAGAATATGCAACGCACAGAAGACTTTTTAGAGGAGGATGCAGTTGACTGCTTATCTTAGAGCTTGGAGACCATTCAAAACTGGCCATAGATAAAAACCTGCACCAACATTTATAATGAACTTTATAAGCTTGAAGTCAACTCAGGACAACTCCTTAATGATGGACTTTGGTTTCACTTCCAGACAACCTTCACACAAAGACACACAAACACCTCTCTAACATGTGAGCAAGAAACAATGCAGGAGGGACCGTTTGCTGACACCCAACCACAGAACACAAGAACAGGTGGAGAGAGGAGAGCAGGGAGAGGGGCTGGAGGAGGGAGGTGTGTTTATCTGTGTGTGTGTCAGAAAAGCTGACAGAGAACACACAGGGCTAACTAAAAATGAAGAGTCAAGCCTCGCCTCTTGACACCTGACATACATTCAGGTAAAATATGTCACCTCACCAGTCAACATTTCCCAGCAGAAAGACAAAGAGGAGGGCGTGCTCACAGAGAAACAAACATGCCTCCAGCTATGACAGATCAACATTGTTAATTGTCACCTGTATGTAATTAAAGTTTGTTCGGTTGATTTATCTTGAGACCGCAGGCGTCACTGCAAAGCATGGTTAAGAGTCTGAATGTGCAGAATGAGGAAGCTAACAGGTTTTACCACTGTGTCAGGATGTAAACTCAGATCTGCCTTATAAGAATCAGGCCAAGGGAAACATTAATTATGTCTTCAAAACAGCCCTGTGAGTTTGTTTTTAAAAATGAGGAAAGTCGGCGATGAATATTTTCAGACATGTGCAGGGGGAGTGTGCCTAAACATCAGATATACTCAAACTTCGACCCCTTCAAAGCCACACCAGAGACAAATCAAAGTGGGAAACCTTTTTATATCTTCTGATGAACACAGCCTCTCTGGAACACTTTTTTAACATGTTATCTTGTGAATCTCATCTGTTGCAGTTTGACCTTATCAGTTTGGAGTCTCTCCAGGTGTTTTTTTTTTTTGTTTGTTTGTTTTACGGAACTCTTTATCCGTTTAGTCATCTCTGTCAGACAGTTATGCAACACTTTGCTGGCACGAAATGTAAATGAGAACTTTTTTGGAAAAGCATCAATTTTTTTTTGTTCCAACTTTTGATATTTTGTCTTGGTATTATTTTCAGTTAAGGGTTAAGATCATTTGCAAACGGACAATATCATTCAACAAACAGAGAATTTCATTATCATGAGCAGTACTTTTCAGATACTGACTTTAAAAGTTACTGTAGCTAAGAAGGGTTACTGTGTTTCAAGATATACAGTACTTCAACCGTATGTATTTATTTCACTGATTATTGTACAGGAATTAGAGGCCAAAGTACTCCACTTAAAACATACACAGGTTTTTCTGTCTGTGAAAACAGAATAAGAGAATCTTGGGAGAATTTTCATCCAGATATTTTGGATCAGACTTCCTGGAAACATGAACGAAGAGTGTTTGGTATTCATGTGCATGTGATGAATGACATAGCCATTAGGCAAAACAACCATGACAAACTGGTTGGGGCTGGCTGTACAGCTGAATGAAACTCGTCATAGCGTTGGTGTTTAAGCAAGAAAAAGTATAGTTTTGTTTATGTTTTTATTTGCTTAAACAGATATATTGTCAATGTAACAGTAATGAATGTAGTCAGCCTAATATCGAAAAACCCACTGATGTTCTTCTCAAACCAGGAAACGACCATATTTGGATATCATGTGTGCACTGTTAAAACTGAATTGACACGTAGTCATACCAACTTGTCCATCAAAGGTACCTACACACTAAATCTTTGGTCCAGTCTGACTCTAAATGGGACCACGATTCATAAAATAACATTCAAGCTGCATTGAAGACAACTTGAAACTGGGGCTTAAGACCATGGGGTCATTAATGGGGGTAATAAATTGTCTTTTAGCTGTGTTGTTGTTTGCATACATTAGAACTAAGTAGTCTGCATTCAGAGCCCAATCTGTATGGATGATCTCGCATTGATGATGAGAGTCTGACCACTGCACAAAGCCTTCACCAGCACATCCCAAAGATTCTCAGTGGGGTTAAGGTCTGGACTTTGTAGAGGCCAATCCACGCGTCTCATACTTCCTGAACCACTCTTTCACAATTGAGCCAGATGAATCCTGGCATTGTGATTTTGGAATATGCCTGTGCCATTAGGGAAGAAGAAATCCATTGATGGGATAACCTGGTCATTCAGTATATTCAGGTAGTCAGCTGACCTCATTCTTTGGGCGCATAATGTTGCTGAACCTTGACCTGACCAACTGCAGCAACCTCAGACCATGGCACTGCCCCCATAGGCTTGTACAGTGGGCACTGGGCATGATGGGTGCATCACCTCACCTTCCTCTCTTCTTACCCTGATGAGTCCATCACTCTTGAACAGTGTAAATCTGGACTCATCAGACCACATGACCTTCTTCCATTCCTCAAGAGTCCAATGGTTATGCTCCCTTTTTTTGGTTAGCCTCACTGATTAGTGTTTTGTTTTTTAAGGCTACACAGCTGTTCAGTCACAATCCCTTGAGTTCCCTTTGCATTGTGCGCGTGGAAATGCTCTTACTTCAACTATTAAACATACCTGTGAGTTCCACTTTTTCTGATTTGACCAAAGCGTTTATGTGATCTCCGATCACGATTATTTAGGGTTGTTTTCCAACCACATTTCCCCCTGGAAGACAATGGTGCCCCACTACCCTTCCAGTTTTTAATAATGCGTTGGACAGTTCTTAACCCAATTTTAATTGTTTCTGCAATCTTCTTAGATATTTTCTCCATTTGATGCATGCAAATGATTTGACTCTTCTTAGACAGACTAACATGTTTTCCACGACCACAGGATGAGTCTTTCGAAATGATTGTTCCAGAAATAAGAAGCTTCTCATTGCATCGGCTGGAGTTGAATAACTTGTTGCCAACTGAAAGACAATTGTCCATGCAGTAATAATGCAATAGGAGGCTTGAACCTATTTGCTTAGTTAAATCCAGGTGGCGACTTTTATTTTGGCCAGGCAGTGTATTTCAATGCTAATACAAAAACAAGCATTTACAACTACATAAACAAATCCCTCAGTGATCATAACAACAAGACCCTCTGGGATGACCCAAAAGTGATAAACATGTAAGTTTAGTTTGTTACTTTTACTTTGATATACCTTTAATTTTAACTATCAGTGAATAAAATTGGTCTGAAACAGTACCGAGGTTAACCCCTACCTATACAGGCGTTTTTAGCTGAATGATTGACTCTTGGTTGGTTCACTCCAAAACATAAGTTGGTTGTGTAATTTGTGTCCCACTTGTCATGAATTGACTCTACAATAAACTGCTTAGAAGTGCCCACTCCCCGTCCATATCATCATCTCTATGTGCACAAACCTGTGCTCAGTCAGGATGAGGGTGCACAGCGCAGCCCCAGGCAGCACAGAGTGGAGATGCGGACGGCTTCTCTCTGCAATTCCACACAACACAGGAGAACACTGCACAGTGCCACAAAACTCAGAGGGTGTTTTTGTGCCTAGATATGACCAGTGCAATATGCTTTGTAGAATAGAAAGGACTAATGACATGCAATTATTTGTGTTGTCAGTGGGTACAAACACTGATCAGGATGCTTTCAAACTGAGATCATTTGAAAGCAATACAGGCTGAAGGTCCTGTGATTGGTCCGGTTGGTGGTGGGCTGCAGACATGAACTGTTGACCAGTATGTATAACATTTTTTTGTAACCAATCAAGGTTCCCCATTTTGACAATAAGAATGTTTGTTTATAAAGTAAACATATTTGAAGTTTGAAAAGGTCTTTTTGGGACATTTTCTCAAATCCTCAGCTTGTTACTGTAGTATCTTACTGTAATGGCTCTGAATTCCCCCTTCATTCAGCATCTCAGCCTTGTTTCCTTTTGACTTTTACTGTCATTTGATCTGCAAGTCTTTATAAGCCCCAACGTCATCCTTACATGTCAGTGGAGCATTTTTTAATGGCTTTGTGTTTTAGGAATGTAGTCCAACACCTGTAGCAGTCTCTGTACTTTTTAGCTGTGACTTTGAATGTTTCCTCGTTCCTTAAAGGAAGTGATGGTAAAACCGTAACAGCTGGTCCAGCTGGTTTTTTCATAGGAGGAGATCATGATTATAAACTCTCTGAGTATTTTTACAAAGAGCCAAACATCAATCAGCAAAGTCAGAGAGAGTGAGAGAGAGAGAGTCTGGTCTGTAGGTGAAAGAGAAAGGTAAGAACAAGCTTTGCTTTAAATATATTTTGTTCACATGACATTGAAGTTCTTTAATTCATATTTAATGAAATATGAGATATTGCTGGAACAGATTTCATGAAGACAAATCCCTTTTCTTTGAAAACTGAGTTCTTTTTCAAAGTGTTTAATCCTGACATATCCTTTTGGACGAAAACTTTTATTTCTAAACTTCAAGATTAAAAAGTTGTTCATAGAATAGAAAACTACCCCAAAGATTTGTCAAGGTTTGTTATTTAATGATTTAACTGCTCTTAGGATAAATGATACTTTATTAACATTTTAGGTGGCCAGCAGTGGTCTGAAACACGAGCTGATTGTGGTTGAATTATGTGTGAAATGAATTTAATCGGGGCAGCCTAAGGCCAAAAGATCAGCAGCAGCACATTTTAACAAAGTTGCAGACACGAATTTTAACCAGCTTGTACCCATCAGCTCTTTTTCCACCATCATGTTCCAGATTTTTAATATTGAGCATCTTTAGAAAGATAGAAAGTCCAATGCAATACTTTTATTCCCACAGAACCCTTTGCCATGAAGTTGGGTTTGCTGCTGGCAGTGGTGGTTGCCGTTCTGGTTTCCAGTCTGTCTGAGGGCCGGGTTGTCTCCAAATGTGAGCTTAGAAGAAAACTGTCGGAGCAGATGCACCTGCCCAAATGGTTCAACCCAGTGTTAAAGGACCGTCTCCTGGCGGCGGGTAAGGATAATAAAGTTTCTGCCTACAGAAACAAATCTTTAAAATATAAGTTTAGATACAATTTCAAGTTTTTATGTACAACAGGCACATGATAAAGGGGTCAGGGACTCCTGTTTTAAAAGACAGTTACATTTATTTTGTGCAATTTCAATCAAGTGACCACAAAGTGATTAAAAATAAAAACATCATAGAGAAGTACAATGACGTAAAACAATAAAACAGGAATTTTCTCATAAAACCAGAGCTTGAAAATATCTGTCAAAGAAACAGTCAGTCTGATTAAAAAACCTGGAAAGGCTGTAAAATAAGCACGTACCTTCACCATGAATAACATCTTAAAATTTATGATGGAAATCGAAATTGAAATGCACTCTTGTTAAACCCTCCTGCCGGTAAAGCTAAAGTGGCCCTTGAGGTCACTATTCTGTAATGCATGATAAGCATGATCCTCCATTTGTCCGGTTTTAATATCAGAAATGTCCATCAACACAATATTTTGCACACAAAAACAACTTTCCTCAGCAAGGTAAATAAAAAAAAACCTGTGTCTGTATAAAAGAACATCTGAGTGTAATTTATCAAAAAAGACACAATGAACCCAATCCAAGAACTTTCCTCTTTGATTAATTTTTGCACTATAAACAAAAATTCTTATGTAACCAGATTATCCAGTCCGTTCTACTGCAGAAAGTCAGTGGCGCAAAATGGTGGACTCCATAGTGAGGAACCTGCTCTTATATTGCCAGTAAATGTAGGTTAAGCATGTGAGGCTATCCAGTGTTCATGTTTGATCGTTGTGATTGCTGGAATTCATGGCACATCACAAAATACAGTGAGCTGTAAAGTTGTTTGAATTCAAACAAAGCAGATTTACCTCTTTGACTTTATGATAATCAGGTTACTTGATTTAATCAAGGAAACATTTCAGCCCGAATTGCTGTTGTTGTGGGATTCAAATCAGGACAGAGTATCTAACACAGTTGGTACTAACAAGAAATAGAAATGACTCCGAAGAAATTTAAAACAACCACAAAGAGCCTCAAAATAAAAACAGGATGCAAGCATTAACCACAAACTTCAGACAGTCAGAATAATGGAGGGGGGTGAGCTGGGGTGGGTCAGGGGATTGTAACAACCTGTCTTTTAATTCACTCAGACAAATGTCATATTGGTCATGCCTTTCTCCTCTTTTCTTTTCATGCCTAATTTGCTGCAGTGATCTGTGAACTGAACAGGACTTCTTCTCTAACCACCGACATGGTTGACGTATGGGGTGATGAGGAAACAACAACAACAACAATTACTCCAAATCCTTCAACATCTTGGGTTGATGAAATGGAAGAGGAACCAACAGCTTCTTTTGAAGAACCATCTTCAGATGAAATGACCAGTGAAGAAATTCCTGAGGAAGAAACAACCACTGAAGAAATTTCACAAGAAGAAACAACCCCTGAAGAAATTCCAGAAGAAGAAACAGCCCCTGAAGAAATTCCAGAAGAAGAAACAACCTCTGAAGAAATCCCAGAAGAAGAAACAACCACTGCAGCAATTCCAGAAGAAGAAACAACCACTACAGCAATCCCAGAAGAAGAAACAACCACTACAGCAATTCCAGAAGAAGAAACAACCACTACAGCAATTCCAGAAGAATTTCCTGAAGAAGAAACAACCACTGAAAAAACTGAAGTGACGACCCCTGCACCGTCAACCCCTGAAACCACCCAAACTCCCCAAGCAGCCAAGAGACGGCGAAAGCGGGAGATTGAGGTATTTAACGATGAGTACATCTGGACACCAATGGAGTTCAAATTAGAAGAAAGGGTGAACAGGTTGGAGAGTGAGTGTAATGAGGAGGAGATAGAGATGGCTGAAAGCGGAATGGACATTGTGGACAGTGACAGCAGTCAAGACCAGCTTTTGTCCCTCAGAAAACATGGGATCTTCCAGCTGTCTGATGGCTACTTCTGTGATTCTGGTCATCGCCACTCCCAAAACAAGTGCAAAAGCAAGTGCAGTGGTAAGTTTTTGACCTGACAAGCCCACAGAAAGTTATAGCTTATCAATCGCTCAAACATTTTCAGTTGATTCTCATGGATGTGCTTAACTATGGCAGAAATCTAAACTATTATTATCATAATTTTCATCCATACAAACATCTTGATTATTAAATTTAAAAGAATTCACAGAAATTAATAACGCTTGAAAACTTAAATGCTCTGAGATCTTTCAAAAACAAAAAAGTATTCAATAATAAAATGAAGTGTGCAATCTAGATATTTATATCCGTTTGTGTCTCTTCTTATTCGTGAAAAAAAAAAGTATTCAGTTACATTTTCATTGTGCTCCTAAAATTCTTCTCATCAGGGGAAAATATCAGTGCTAAGTCTTTCTGTAAATATTTTTAATATACTGTCTATAAGAATCTGTTCCTTTTTTCTTCCTGCAGACTTCACAGATGATGACATCAGTAACGACATTGACTGCTTTGTGAAGATTGGTTGCTGGAAGTAAGTTGACTTAAAATCTGCTTGTTACTTTGCTTGTTACTCTAGATGTTACTCAGTAAATGTTACTTGGAGGCTGGGAAGAAACAAAACCTTGGCAGATGAAGAACGGACGTAAAAAAGACTCAACTTTAGTAACGTACAAACAAAAAGTACAGAGCTGAAAATGTAACAGTATTTTAATCAACTCATGTACATCCTGTTAGTCTCTTGCCAACGTGTTTTGTAGAAGAGGCTGTGAAGGTATTTTTGTACTGTAAATGTGTCTGAAATTAAGAACTTCTTGTGTAAGTAATTCTTGATTTATACTAAATAAATATCAAAATTCTGCACTTTAAGCAGTTCTCATAAGGTTTTGTCCATTTCATCAATAACATCAAGCTCTCACAGGGTAATGAAATGCAATGCAATGGGGATGTAAAAGAACAATAATTATGAAGTGGGTTGATTTCAGTCACAAAGAAAAAAGGGCAAGAGTGAGGTCAGTTTAAGTTTTGGCATTGTAGCAGATAGATCAGGAAAGTAAAAGTTTTTTTTTAAATTCAGTCACTGAAGACAGTTTTAAAGAAAGTGATGGTATTAAATGTAAAAGGATCAAAGTTGATGATCATAATAATGGGATGCTAGATCATGAGACTGTGTGTTTATGCTGCTAACTCATAACCAAATGTTTTCTTTCTTTTTTCCTTTAAACAGGAAGACTTTCCAGAATCGCTCGCCCCAGTGCTTTAACCTCAAGAACTTCTTCGATGGTTGTAACTGAGCTCATGTTAGTCTGTTTTTAACGCTTTATCTTCAGAAAATTTGCATCAAATGTTACACGTAAACTCGGTGATTGAGAACCTTTTCTTGTTTTTTATGAAGCCCTTTCGCAGTCATATGTTCCTGGAAACTGGACTTTATTCTTAAAGTGGCACAAGAGTTTAGAGATGATTATTGATTTTGTGTTTGTTTTTATTCACACTTTTTATCATGATAAAATATGATGATCACTGTATTCTCCTCTATTCAAAATTTTCAATAAAAGTTCATTGATATTTGATTGTGTTGCGTCATTTACCCGAAAGATGGCGCTTGAAGAAGCAACAGAGATACTCGGTTAGATGAGTAGATAAACGTTGAGGGGAGCTGGTTTAATAAAAAAAGACAGATGATGTGGTGAAAAAGTATCATCATGGCTGCTGGAAACAGAGTCGTAATGTCAGTTTTCATGTTGGTGATCAAGGCTAGTTTGCAAGTTACTGACCACTACACCTAACTAATTTGCACCAAATGAAGAATAGATCTTTTTTGCCAAAGTCACTTCTCAGACAGATTAAATATATGTGCACAATCTCGCCAACTCATGCCAAGTACAGATGACATTAAACCAAATTTATAAGACTTTAAGTAAGTAACCCTCATGCTACATTACAGCTAGCTTAACTAGTTAGCAAATCAGCATGTTTACTTTCCCTCATTTAGGGCCTGTGCAGTATGTAAGTGTTCATTTTAATAATGCTGCTCCATGAATGGATTTGATTTCCAATAACATTTATGAGAATATAATTATTATGGTAATATTATAGAATAGTAATTAAAAAAAAGAAAAAACTTACTGAAAAGAGAAAAATAAAGCATCAGCTAATAGAGTCTAAATTCTAACAGTTCAGTCTCCTCTCCTTTAGATCGTTTTTACATCTAATATAGTTAATGTCTGACAGAAGTGAGCATTTAAAAACAATCTTAACTAAATCTAAAGCTATAAACTTGTCTCAAATGATGAACAAGTAAGAGTCAGTAATGATTATTTTTAATACAGAGTGAGACTCTGTCTTTGTGTTTGCCGTCTTTACAGTGTACTGTATGTGTATAACGAAACCAAGAGAGATGGGGGCTGCTGCTCTGTTAATGAGTGTTCACAGTACATCTCATAATAAATCTTCAGAGATGTACTTTGTTCTCTACTCATACTCAATGTACAGCTTGATAATGCTGTGGATTCCCTTGATGTAGCAGGCATACAGAGCAGTCTGTGCATTATGAACTGTCAACAGATTATGACAGAATGAGTGGATAAAATGATCTCTATAGATTTGCAGATCGTGGTCATAATACAATACTGTCCTACCATAAACCCCAATACAAAAGACAGCAGTTTTAGTCCAGTTCCAGGTCATATAATGGACTTTTCTGACACCTAGTGCCTCAAACACAAAACTACAAAAGGGTGGGGCAAAGAAGAAACAAAATTTGAAAAATTTCTACAGCTGAAGTTTTCTATCACCTCTTGTTTGGAACCCAAACTCTAAAATGTACAATAATTTTTCCAACCTTAAATTAACTTGAACTGTTTATTCCCCTTTTGTGATCTCTTTGGTATGAAACACTGGATAGGTGAACGATATAGAGCTGAGCAGCTTGAGGATTAAAAGTTTTACAAAACCCTTCTTGGAGGACTCAATCACTGAAAGTTAAACTCTGCTCACCTTCTCTTTGGTATTGTCGCTCCTTTTGTTGGGATCACTGTAACACTGTCCTGAGGATATTTGTGTCCCCTTATCTACCACACACTCTTTATGCAGAGCTGACGCTGACATCTGATCCTCTAATTTTGCTGAAGTCTTATAATGACCAGGGAGGAGAAGATGTGTCGGCCTCATGTCTCTATCTCACGGCTCGGTCTTTTCAACAGGGTGAAGGCGTAACCTTAAAAAAGAGAAAAGATGTTTTCAGGTAGACAGATCATTTTTCCTCCCTCGACCTCTTTAGGGCTCAGATACCCAGAGTGAGACGTGAGATTTGAAGCATCTTTTGTCTGAGGAGAACAAAGGATGTTCTTCCTCTCTGATTGGTCCCTGCTTTCTCTGCAGACAGTATAAATACTAAATCACTGATGATTTCACACACTTGATGTGACAATGAGGGTACTTGTGGTGTTTCTTTTGGGCCTCTGTTGGGCTGAAGGAAGACTTGTGTCTAAATGTGATCTAAGGGACAAACTAATGACGGAGATTGGTCCCCTGATGAACAAGAGAGGAAAGCATGGAGGGCTCAGTGTGGACTCAGTGGCAAACTGTGAGTTCTGGTTGTTACCTTTCTATCAAAAACAGTTTAATCTGCGACAATTTATGTGCAATAATTCACGAACTAAAACAAGTGATAAAACTTCTAAGGCCTGCACATTTGTTTAATGTCGTTTCTTGTTATGGAGAAGTTGATTGTTATTTAGACAACTGAAGACGTTCGAAAGCTACTGGACTGAAATCATTTAAGATCATGAAAAAGCTAAATAAAAATCTGTGGTGTGGTTGTGTCATTTGTTTCATCCCTCTCTTGACTTCAGTCGTCTATCATGTGGAGCTGTCGTCAGGTTTTGACACCAGTGCAGTGAATCGTTGGGGCAAAAACCCCTCAGATGTGACCAGCGCCCAAAAGCGTGCCAAGGAACAAAGTGAGCCTACAGAGTGCGCTCCTCCACCCCCTCCACCCAGCAGCCCCCAGCACCCAGAGAGGGTCTGGAAGCTTTATGGTCTCTTCCAGCTTAGCAATCACCTGGTCTGCAGAGACGATGATGATGATACAGATTTATCTGAAACCATCTGTAAAATAAACTGCAAACGTGAGTTTGGATATCAGTTTGGCTCAGCTGAATTGTAAATCACTCTGATTCCTCCTCCTTATTGAGATGTTCCTGTGAGTTCAAACAGTTTGAGCAGCGTCTCTGTTTAATCCAGCAATCCTGTCTCTCTTTTCAGAACTGGTTGATGACGACATTAGTGATGACATTGAGTGCCTGTGGAAGATCATTGAACCACTTTTGTGAGTTGACCTCTAAATTTCTTTACACACTTTGCTTTAATAATTGTTTTATGGCCCAATTTCTCTACCAAAAACACTCTAATTAAATTCACTAACAACCTGTTTTCAGCCTTTGATTCAAACAAGCCAACTGGTGCTATTTTGATCAATCTAACCAGGAATTTTGACATGGTTGATCATCGATAACCTTTACCACATTGGTCTGAGTCAAAATGCTCATTGTTGGTTACATTTTCACAATAGACATCAGTATATTTTACTCAGTGACCAGTCTACAGTCCAGTTCTACAGCTATTTCATCCGATGTTCCACAAGGATCTACCTTAGGTCCACCTCTTTTTTTTTCAACTTTCGTTAACGATCTTCAATTCCACTTATCTATCCCCCTTTCAGCAGTCTATGACTTTCACTGGCTTTAAATCTTGTTTATTTTCTCATCCAAAAAAGCTTTTCCTGTATTTAATCTTAAAAGTAATTTGAAAAAAAAAAAGAAATATCTCCTTCCATCTTTGTATGTTTGTGCTTTATCCAGTGTGTATGTTTGCATTCAAATAAATTCAAATTTAAAATGAAGATGAAGTTTCATTTAGAATTTTCCACTTAACCTGGTAAGTAACCACTTGACTGGAGCAAAGTGTAACCAGCACAGGTAATGTGGATGACTGAACGCTGATGGTGCTAGCCCTGCTAACATTAGTTTAGCTAACATTAGCCAAACTCTCCAAACCAATTCAACATCGTTTACCTGCAGACTCTGTGGTCTTGTGCTTAGCCATGTTTGATTTAGTACACTCAATTTAGACTGTTTTTTAAAGAGTTTTCCTCTTCTCAGTTTGTCAGAATTTAATCTCTTGTTACTTTGAAACATCCCGGATTTAACTCATTTAAATTTGCACATGACAAATGCAGAGAAGTCATGGAAAGTCACATTATGTGGTAAAGAGAAGTGTCACAGAAATGTGCTTAATTTATTTTTAAACTGTAAAGGAGGTGTGTTCTATTGCGTTTTATCAGTGATGGAATGTCACTTAATCTTCATCTTGGTTATGCTTACAGCAAAGAAGGTTACTGGAACTTGAAGCCAGATCTACGACCACTGTAAGTTATCAGCTTCATCATCTTTGAATAAGAGTTTGGTAATCTACTTTTAGGTGCAATAATTCATACAGGAATAAATCAATTTATGGCATGAAAATCAGACTAATTTAGAGATGTTGGTTTGATCTGTTTTCTTCCAGGATCATGCTCATCTTCCAGCCACGGTGCGGGGATGTAACGGCCTCAGAGTACTTCTCTGACTGCCCATCACTAAAATCAGTTTGAGCACCTCTACAAAGACTTGCTCTCCCTTTTGAATAAGTGGCTGATGAGTTATGAAATAAAGTGAAATATGCTGCACTTGTTTGTGTATTCTTGCTTCTACAATTCAAAAACTTAATGACTTACTTTATTTTTGAGTGCATCAATTAAACTTAACAGAGCTGTAATAGTTCTTTTATCATCACAACAGCAGCACATGTACCTGTTCAGGTGGTGAAGAAGTGTAGAAATACAAAGAAACAGAGTATTTTTATGACTCTTAAACATTGTGATTCTAGGCATGAGCTCTTTAGAATAGTCTCCACCTTCCTCAGTGTAGATCTCTCCACCACATCTTCCACTGAGTCCAGCTTGAGTCCTACCACAGAACCAGCCTTTTTCACCAGTTTGTTCAGACGTCTTGCATCTTTGTGTTTGATGCTTCCTCCCCAGCAGACTGCAGCATAGAACAGAACACTGTAGACACCACAGACTGATAAAACATCTACAGCATCTCACTACAGATGTCTATTGATTGCAGTCTTCTCAGGCAAAAGAGGCAGCTCTACCCCTTTCTGTAGATGAAGTCTATATTCTTAGACCAGTCCGACTTATTATCCAGATGTACATCAAGATATTTATATGATGTCACCACTTCGATGTCCACTCCACAGGTGTTCACTGGCTAAAGAGGAGGTTTGGATCTACGGAGGTCTATGACCATCTTCTTTGTCTTTGAGGTGTTGAGGAGGAGGCAGTTTTAGTGACAAAGTCCGTTCATTAAAAATGATAATAATTTATGAGAAAATGACTTAAGAAAATACGTTTCCTTTAATGTGACTGCGTTTGCATGCTAGTCCATTAAAGAAATGTATTTTCCATTCACAGCTATAATTAAAAATCAAGATGAAGAATCAGAACATGCGTGTTCCTTCTCTGTTAATAGCGTCAATCAAAAGGATGAATATTTGTTTTAGCAAATGCTGATGATCATAATAGTCTTTCTCAATGGTAACACAAGTTCTATACCCAGTGATATCACCCTCACTTTTCCTAATTTAACTGCTTTGACAGTCAAAATATTCAATAGAAGACAGGTTGTTGTTTTTCCATCTTGTCACCACCAGAGGTCCTACTTTGGTTTGTCTCTCAGGGTAGGAGTCTTCACACTGTTGCATGGCTACAGTAATCCCATTGGTACTATAATATTTTAAACTTATTGTGCATATCATTGTTCTATATTAATCTATACTCTATCAAACAAACGCCATGTAACGCTAAGGCACCAGCCCAAATGACTTCAAGTTGTCAAGAACACCCTTATAGGAGACGGTGATAAAATGCAACATGCAACTCAATTAAAACTACGTTTTATTGATGTTTACACACTTAGGGCAGAAGTCCAAAACAAATAGACTCATGAACATTTACATTTGAACACATCCAACAGACACAGATAAACATTATCAACCTATTGAAGGAGTGTTTACACTGCATCCACTTGATAAATCTGAGTCCAATGATCACTTTTCCTGCTCTGTGAGATCTTTACTGACAAACACAACTGTTTGTTAAGCTGCTAGATGCTGTTTGGTCATATGAGGGTAGAAGATAACGGGTTTAACAGAGCCTGTTTGAAGAAAAGTATTGCCTGCTTTGCTGAAAATAAGGTTTATGAGAGTGGAGAGAGTGAACCAAACATACCAGAAATATGAGAAAAATGGGGCTAAAAAGCTGTATGGAGCCGCAGAGTTCATGTCTGAGTGATACTTTCTGACAATATCGTTTTAAACTGCCAAATATTGGAGTTGAAATGTCTGAAATCACAGGAAATTGTCACACTGTTAAACAAATCTGCCACTGCATTTCAGCTCTGGACACAGCTTGGCCTCCAAGTCCTCGATCTTTATCGACTCCACATCTTTGGAACTGGAGAGGCTGGCGGCTCGGGTAATCTTGGTAAGAGTTTCCTCATAGGGTGGGGGCAGGTACACCATGACGAAGACCCCGTCTGATCCGTCCGAGCTGGTGCTGGTGTGGCGTTCTGCGTTCCTGGTCAGGGAGGCGAGAAACTCGGCACTGCTCTCAGCGTCCTGGAGGTCCAGGGCAATGATGTCAGCTAGGCTCAGTTTGCTGTGGGAACACCGGCGGTAGATCAGACCCACCAGGAGAGCCAGGAGCAGAACGGAGACAACTGGGAGGACCACGTAGATCACCAGCTCTGTCTTTCTGTCATCTGCAAGGTCTAGCTCATTCCAGTTTCGGCCCTGGAGATCAAACAAGGAAAGTGGATATATATTAAATAAAGGTCACACAAAAGAAATGATAAACCTGGAGAGGAAAAAATTTGGAGCAGTCTCTTCATTTTCTCTGGAGCTGCAGATGGAGATTAAACTTAAAAGATGCTTAAAAATTTTCAGTTGATATCTATTTTGTGTCAATAGTCTAAATCCAACATTCAAGCAGTAACAGTATGTTTTTAAATGACTGTATGACTGAGACTGCAAAAATCTAACAAACAAGGTCTTCTTTAAACATCAGTGTGAACACACATGAAGGCATCATTCCATCCAGAGTTTTATTCAGCAAAACTGAACGTGTCATGGTCTGCAGCTACAAATCTGCGGTGCTGTTTATCAGACAGAGCGGTAAGTAAACAATACGCTTAGTGAGGCCCAAATTCCTTTTTTTTTTTTTTAAATCAATTAGTAAATGATGACTGGATGACCCAGCACGATGCAGACTCTGCACTCCTGCAGGACAGGACTGCTGAGATTTTCAGCCAGTTTGAGCACTATGAGCAGAATACCTCTGTCCTGAAATTCTCAAATTTGGCATTAAGCTTGGAAATGGTTTAAATGAAAAGAGAGTAAAAGATTTAACTTCACAAAATCTCTTTTATTTTGGTTGCATTGACCCCCTATTTGGTAAAAATGGCATCATGGTTACAAAAGTAATTGTCCAGGTTTGATGAAGAAAGAAAACACTTGGTACCATCAAACACCAGAGCTGTTTTTTTCCTTCATATTGCTTTTGTAGCTGCTGTAGGTGGAGCTTGTTTGACCCTCTTCATAAACAGTCAGAGGGATTGGTCCAGGAGTTCCCACCAAAGAAAGGAGACCCTCTGTGCACCGTGACATCATGACGACATCGTCTAATTCTAATTCCAATGAATTCTATCCTGTTCCATTCTTTTCCAACCATTTTCATTCAACGATTTCTTATTCTATTCACTTCAACTCTGTTCTAGCCTACTGTTTGTATTCTACTCTACTCTATTTGATTCTACTTTACTCATTTAGCTCAATTCTATCATTCCATTCTTTGCCATTTTTTACATTCAAGTCTTTTAGTTCTAGTTCTTTTGTTCAACATTATTCTATTCTTTTCTATTCCATTCTGTTCGACTAAACTGTATTCTTCTCTGTTCTAATTTACCAGCCAACATTTCATTCTATTCTACAATTCCTTTCTATCCTTTTCTATTCTACAAAATTGGTTAATGTTGTTTTATATTATTTTCTAGCAAATTAGTTCTATTCTGTTCTTATGATTTCTCTTTTAATCCACTAAATTACAATAATCCTAATGGTATTCCATTGTATCCTTTCTGTTCTATTCCACCACCAACCAAACTATATTTTATTTCTTCTGCCATAATGTGTACCGTGTCCTTTTCCATTTTTTCAGTACTATCAATGGTATTTTATTTATTCTTTACCTTTTTTATTTCATCTTTTTTCACATTCTATTCTATTTTTCTTTTCTACGCTACTCTATATGATAATACTTTGTTGTGTTCTATCCATATGAAACTTTATCAGAGACTAACTCAGTCTTAAGTTGTGTTTATATAGATTTATGCTCATTCTGAAATGATTTTTGAAATGACTTTTTAAATGTCACCCACCAGCCCAAAAATTTAAGGTTTCAGAGACAGTTTGTCTCAGCTGAAAGTAAAGCACTCACCTGTTTGTCCTGTGTTGATGGTGCGCCTGTCACCCAGTCATATGAACCCCTGCCTGCAGGTCCAAACTTCATCCAGCTGCTCTCCAGAAGTGACCGCATCCTGCTCAGTTGGAGGCGAAGGTGGCTGATGTGCTGACGGAGGAATCTGTCTGTAGAGTAAATAAACAATGATCAACTACAGCTCTGGATGCTGATGATGTTGAACAGTGGAGTAAACAAATCAAGGAGCAGGGAGAGGATGGATGCTGTACCAGGGATGCTGGGTGGGGGGTGGGGGGTGTCTGAGGAGGAGGGGGGTGATGGGAGACATGGGTGAAGTGGGAGGAGGTGGAGTCTGATGTAGGAGGAGCCATGAGTTAAGAAGCAGCTCACATGCCGGCACATGCAGCAGCAGAGCAACAGGATTCAGGCCAATGATGGGATTTAGAGGCCTGCAGCTGCCCTATATCATTGTGTGTCTGTGTCTGTGTGTGTCTCTGTGTGTGTCCATAAATGTGTGTGTGTAGTCCTGTTTGTGTGCCAGTAAAGCTCAGTGACAGAAATAGGCGGGGCTCCTCTTCAGATCAAATCGCTGGCACGTGGAACAAACTTGAGGAATAAAATACAGCAATAGTGAAATTACACAGCTGGGACATTTTTGGTGTGTGTGTGTGTGTGTGTGTGTGTGTGTGTGTGTGTGTGTGTGTGTGTGTGTGTGTCTGTGTGTCTGTGTGTGATTGTATTTCACTATTTCACTTTCACTTTTCATTCTTCTGGATGCTGGGACACATAATCATAAAAATTGAAGCCTTTTTTTATGTGTACTGGACTTTGACTTTCCTCTTCAACAAAGTTTTCTATATCTATTCAGACAAATATTCAGAATTTGCCTCAGAAAACCACAATAACACTCTCTTGGTATAGATCAATTCATAAGTCAATCACAGACTGATGTACTTTTTGAGATAGGCCCTACTTTCTGTGGCCAGCAGCAAGCGATTCATCTTGTTGCAAGAATGAGTGTGACAATGAAGGTCTACAAGTCCTTCCTCTCAGGGGATTTAGTCCCTCTGTGGTTATAGCTGATATACCTCCACTGGCTAACTTCTTGCCAGTGTCACTCTCTTGTTGCTTTCAGGTGAATTGCTTTTAAGGGGGCCTGAACATGTACTACTCACCAAATTTTACAAACCCATCATGCCAAGATTTAGGCATCTTTAAGGTCTTGTGTAAAAACTTTGCAAATAGTTGCTCAAAGTGCCCTTCAGAGCTTTTAAATAAATAACCCTCCCAAACCAACAGACAGTCCACCAATTTGAATTTGGTTAAATTTGGTAAAATTACCCAAATTCAGGGTAAATTCAAAGTAACCCTTACCAAAAAGAAGTACTGTTTTTAAATGAAGTATGCTCTCAGTTTACTGTTAATGCACTTTTCAGAGATATACTGAACAAATCTAATTTTAAGTATACTTGGCTTGTACTAAGATTTATACTTTAAGTTTAAATATATTTAACCTATACAACTACATAAACCTTTGACCAAGATATACTCAAGTATGTATTTATGCCTTGGGTTTAAGTATACTTGGTCAGTGAATACTTCCATATATCTTTTCAAGTGTATACTTTCATTTACTCTCATTTACTCTTAAAAAAGATAAGCAGTACAAACCAAGCATACAAATATGTATGACAATTGAAATAATACCATAGCAAAATGTAATTTTAATCATGCTTCAGAGTTAGCGTGCAGATAGCCAAGTAGATTAAGGCACATCTCATGTAAGGACTGTGGTCCCCACTGTGGGTGTGGGTTTGATTCCCCTCCTGACCATTTGCTGCATGTCACCCCAATCTCCCACAATTTCCCCCATAGAAAAAAAAATTGTATTAATAATAGGCAAATATATAAAGGTATGCTTCAGAGTGTCCTTTTATAAACTAAAAAGGGGATGAGAAGTTTATAATAGTATGGGCAAATATATAAGGGTATGCTTCAGAGTGTCCTTTTATAAACTAGATTGGGCTAATTTAGTCACAAGAAGTTGAAGTACACTGGAAGTATTTTTGTATCAGTGTACAAAGCATACTTTGGGAAGTACACTAAAATGAACATCAGCATACTTCATAAAATGTACTTGAGGTATACTTTTTTGGTAAGGGACCTCATTTTTGGTTCACAGATGGAAGAGACCTTGTCAAAGATCAGCTCTTCCTTTCATTGTTCACATACAGCAGTCATGCAGTGTTACTAACTGATACACTTTCAGCAGTGCTCTACACAATCGTGGTTAGTGAACATGGCAAGATATTTTTACTGTTTTGGGTTATGTGTCTGACAATCCCAAATACTGGCACAAAGAGACGTTTTTAGTTTGGTAAGCTTTTCTGTTTCTCTCCACTTGCTTTTAACAGTTTCTGCAACCACCCTGCAAGTAATTATAATGCCTTTTTGTTTTTCACCTTCTGGCTTTTTTTGGATCTCGTATTGGATAACCCAAGAACACTTCAATGTAAACATGCTGAAGTATTAGTTCACCTACATCAACTCGTGGTTCTGGAGTAAAAGCACTCCTAAATCTCCAGACTGCCATCACGTTGTTAATTAAACAAAAAGCATCAGGTGAACAGGCCTGTTAGGTCCAGATGTTTCTCATGACAGTGCTGATTTGGACGCTGATCAAAGACGCTGAGCTTCAACATCTGTCTGGATTCGACCCAGCGGGATGCCGGGTGCAGGGGGTGGTGGTGGTGGTGGAGGAGTGGCAGCGGGTGGGATTTGTCCCTGCAGGATTACCGTCCTGGGCGTGCAGGCAGCAGCTGTAATTACTCCTCACGTGGCGAGCGGAGTGGTCAGGGATACGCGGGCCGGATCAGAGCCTATACAGAGGTGCAGAGGAGGATCATGGGTAAAGTGAGGCCTGTCATGACACCACAGAGTAATCCCACTGCCCTGCCTGACACCACATCATTTTAATTCTGTACATCTACCAACTGTTACAACCTCAGTGGTGACGCAAGAGGCTTCAGATTATTTGGTGAAGTAAGAGAACAAATATCATTGCAGAGCTTCTGAAAGTCCTACAGATAAAAATAAGAGTATCATCAGCTAAAAGATCCCAAAATATCACACCCTGATACATTACAGGAACTGAGACAACAACAGTAAAGCTGTATCTTACATGCTGTTGCAGGTTGTGCTTGTGTTTGATCTTCTCCAGCTTTTCCAAATAAATGCACTGAGGAAAGTGACATAGTGGAGAAAACCTTGACAGCTAGGAGAAGAAGAGAATTAATAATTACAAAATTAATTGTAATTATGAAGGCAGAGAGTTGTAAAGTTATTCATGGTTTCCCTCCTGCTACTTGGAACTTGGAGAGAAAAGTTCATATCCCAAAATGTAATAAACTGTTGAAATTAAGAATATACAGTTAATCAGACCAAAAAGTTGAGTTATCATTCCTTGACCAGTGAATGGCACTCTTGACCTTAACAATGATGTTTTACAAAGATGGAGGTCACCACGCCGAATCAGTTGAACATTATTTTTTGAAACAGCAACGCCACTGTCAGCTGATTAGGCACAAACCACAGCATGACTTAACTGTGCATTTAAACTGACTGTATAAAAGTAATGTCAGTAATGTATCAGCCATAGACCAAAATATTGTTCATCAGAGTCATAAAAGACATTTTTTACTGTAGAATCAATTCTTTCACGTAAGTATTTGGTTTTGGGGGGACTTTGAATTGTTTTTGTGAAGCTGTGCATTATGATATTCGCAGTTTAATCAATATCCCTTTTATTTACCATTATAACAGTTTTCTCTAGACCTAATTAAAATCATGGATCTGTACTCCTTTGAATCTAACTTCAATTTATTTTAGAGATACACACCACAATTTACTATCAGTCACTTAAAATCTATAAATAGTATTTCTTTTTTTTTGGTCTGTTGTGTTGTGAGTGGTCATTGCTCCTCTCTTCTTTTCTCTCTATCTGATTCAGTAAAAGACTGCAGCTGTAATCTCATAAGAGGCTTTGCTTTTTACTCTGTCGGAGTTAGACGCTGTATTCGCACAGCGCGATAAACATGCTTTGTCACAGCAGCTTAGGCTGAAAATAAAAACCACTGGACAATAGACTCATCATGTGAGGCAAGATTGTTCCTGGAATGAGGTGAAATTGAACCTGAACATACCCTATAACAAATGCTTTAGTCAGGGGACTCTATTAGGATTGTGATTACACCCTAAATGCTCTGTTATTATTTTCCACATCTATTTATTTATTTATTTTTTGACTTTGCACTTGCTGGAAAAAAATCCTTTCTAATGCGCATTATTAAGATACAAAATCTACAAATATTCACATTATTATACTACATTTGAATTGGCCAGCACTTCAGGTATCTCTAAATGATAGATCTTCACTCTTACATGCTGATAAAACAGGATACACAAGTTTTTGCCTCTCTCTGTTGCTTTATCTACTTTTTGTAGCAATAAATATTTTGTCAAACTAAGGCTGGATAAGAGTTTGTCCTGTGTCAATGAACTGGCTAGAATAGGATCAGTCAGTAGTCTCCCAACTACACTTTTGAAGGCTGAACGCTAACCAGCTTGGTGAGCTGCACTGGTAATTCAAGTTTACCAGAACATCATTGGCTACCAACTTTGTACAAAATAAAGAGCCATTTTCCCCAGTGTCTTAAGATATGATCAGTGATAACCGAATAAGTTAGCTTTTAAAATGTAAAAACAAACTATTCAGTCATTGTGACTGTAATCTAGAAAAAGTTTGCAAATGACCTCACAACAAGTAACTACACAAATAGCCAAACATTAAAGTCTCATTGTCCATTTTTGACATCATCTTATTGGGGTTTTTTTGGAAGTAGAAATTACCTAATAGAGACCATACAGGTAGACAGGCTATCAGCTAAGAAAACAGACATTTTAAATCAAAAACTGGTTTAAAAAAAAATCAAAAAAACAGAATAACTAACTTCTTATGATAGGATTGTTAAAATAGGAGAAATATTTCATGTAGGGGTGTGATCTGTAGGTGGTGACATACACCACATTTCTCATGAACCCTACTCACCTGTGCAATTTGCGTTACAACACCGAAAATTAAAGTGTTTTGTTATTATGGGCTTCACAATAAAAGCATCTTTTATGACACGCAAGACAAGGCGTTAAGAGAAAAAATCAACTTCCACAACATTTTGATGAAGTAAAACTGAAAATAAAATCCATTACATCTGGTCTATCTTTTCAAGAACTCTTCGATGTAATATCTATCTATCTATCTATCTATCTATCTATCTATCTATCTATCTATCTATCTATCTATCCATCTATCTATTTTAGGCTTATTATTATTTTGAAAAGCCCCTTCTGCAGCAGGTATATCCGCATACGTCATTGAGGGGTGTGTCTCAGGTAAGTGACCCATTCATCATTGTTCCCCAGGAAGATGAGTTTTGCTCGTGACTCACAGTTTTCGGACGTTTTTCTGTGGAAAGTCTGCTAGAAATCCGGAGCTGCTGGGAAACCACTCACTGCTGTTGCGTCAAATCTGAATCTCTTTCATTCTGCGACTGGTGGGAGTCTGGTTTGTTTCAGTGTATTTAACTTTTTCTCAAGCGTCGGGATTTCAACGGTCGTTACTTGTACAGTTGAAGCCTGAACTATGGATCTGGATGGTGCGCTCGGGGCCCTCCTTCTCCTACTGATAAGCGGGGCTTCTGTCGGGACCCGTGAGTACTCAAACCTCATTTAAAGACAGATTTTACTGACTTAAGTTTATTTGACACTTTTGAACTGTTTTTTTTGTTTTCTGTTATGCCAATATTGAACATAAAAAAGAAGTTCAAACTCATGACAATCAAAGTCTGCATTATTAATGGGTACGAGTAGTGAAAATGTGTAATTTAAGCCTCTTTTATTGGTTAATTATGTGAAAATAAATAAAACACTAGTTTTAGATAAATGTAAGAAACGAGAGGTGAGGGCACAGAACATGTGACTAGACAATATTATCAGATATCCCAAGGAAACTGGGTGATCTTAATAGTCTGTCAAACCAGTTAAACCAATTTAACGAATCAATGAAACTCTAAAATACAATCTATCAATGCAAACACTTCAGTATCCTAAAACAAAGTTATTATTGTTGTTGTGATTATTATTATTATTGTTATGGAAACAAAAACTTAGTGTTCTTGAGGCTCTTCACAGAGATTTGTCAGTGGTGTCAAGATCAAAAAGTGGCCGGTGGCTGATTATACAGGCTTTTCAATCAAACAATTAATCAGTCTTTGTTTATATAGCACTTTTCATACACAACCATGTAGCACAAAGTGCTTTAAACAGAAAAAGGAATAAAAGAAACAAAGAATACCCAAATCTTCCCCAACCCAACCCTCATTCCCACCCCACTATCTAAATGCATCGGAAAAAGTATTAAAGTAGATAAACTTAAAAATACCTTGATTTCGAGGAAACAGGAGTGGCTTTTTAGTCTGTGAGACTTTTGAATGTTTCATGATGGCAGGATGAGATTATTGTTTGATCTGAAAACTACCCGCACATATAGAGAACAACATCAGCAAAGCATTGAGAAGCATCACTTTGTATGCTGGGCACGCCAAAACAACAAATGCCAAGTGATTCATGTGACTCTTTGATTTGTATGTTCAGGATAATTAGACATGCAGGTTTAAAGACACTGATTTAAGTTTTGTCACATCCAGACACTTAAACGACTGTGTTTTTTGCACATATTTCTCTCTCATTTCATCATATTGTGTTTGAGGAGGGTCCCTGTTTCTTTCCTGGAAATTGTACTGTATGTGTAATCTGGTTCCTGAGTGGATATGAGTAAAAGTCCTAAAATAGAAACAGTTTCTGTTCCAACTCCCATACTGAGACAAACACCATGTCTCTTCTTCTTTCCCTATACCTTAAGGAACATAAAGCCAGTCCTCTTCTGTGTCATGTGTACCCTGAAAATGTCTGAATAATTTATCACACTCTGATGGCAAATGTGGAGATGTTTGCTGACTTTATTGTAAAGAAAAGAGGGAAGTTTTTGGATTGGGTAATGATTTAACTGCCGAGTAATTCAAGGTAATTCAATTCCAGGCAGTGACAAATGACCATGATTTGCTCTTAATTCAGGAAGAACCAACTCTAGCCAAACTCCTAGACATCAGTGTAGCATTTGACCTAAACTTTGTGGTGAAAATGTGGGCGTTAAGTTCAGCTTGAGTTTTTATTTAAGCTACTTGAATCCATGGTATTAAAGTTTCCACTGTAAGGGCACCCAGTGGGGCCATAAACAGTGTTTTTAATCTGCAGTTCAAAGCAAAGGTATGGTACACAGTTGTCTCCACTTGAACAGGTACCAAAGGGAGCCCTGGATCACATTTTCACCACTAAAGACACCTTCCACTGCAACAAATAGTCATTTTTAACAGTGGTGTGTCATAAGGAGCTCTGGGGGGTGTTCATTTGACAGAAGGAGAACCAAATATAAAAGTGGACCATATTTGCTCCACTAGAGGTTTCCCATTTAAAGTGCACATGTTAAGGGGACCTGTTGTGCCATTGTGAGGGATCTTTGAGGGCCCTAGATACAAGTAGGGTTTTCTTTTACCTGAAGAGTGCCATCGAGCATCTTGTGTTGTTTCCTATACAAGTTGGGTGTCAAATAAGGTTTTGCAGCACATTTAACAGCTAAAAGTGCCCCTTAGATGGGTCCTTACTCAGCTGAGGAGGACAACTGAAAGCTGTAGGAAGTCTTACAGGCTTGAAGGAAAGCCTGGAGATGTTGTTTCTTTTATCATTCTTGGTCCTGAGATGTGGGTCAGCTTTACTTTGTCACAAACCTTCAAATCAAGAAACTACCCCCCAAACTTTGATGACACCTTGTAGTAGACAGCTTGTTGTACCGCAGTGGAACTTTAAATCTGTAATCCTTAGTACAAGGGGGGTTTGATGATGCTGATTTCTGCCTCTCACAAGATTGAAATCAGGTGATCACAGAGATTAAAAATGGCACTGAAGAATAGGAGCTCACTCAGGTGGAATGCTGCAGAGCAACCACAGAGCCTCTCGGAACTCCATGTTGAGTTTCCTTATTGCCTTCAGACCTTTCACCACAGTGCTGTTATCATGCTGTACAAAGGGTGAAGCATTAAAGCAGCATTACAGTCCTGCCCAAAGCATGTACCACTCCACTCCCTGGTTCACACTTGATGATGGTTAATATGTCATCTTAATGCCTCGTTCAGCCCTGCCAGGGTGCAAAGTTGATATTACTTGATGCACAGAAAAATAAGTGAACACGTGTCATTCATTGTTGAATTTTTTTCCTTTTATCAATTTTTAATCGGTCCCTTGTTTTTCAATTTCTGCAGTTCTGCCTCCAACAGACGTGACAGTGAGCTGTGATAATTTAAATGTCACCGCCCGCTGGAAATACAGGGAGCAGCATCCAAACACCAGGTTCAGGGTGCACATCCTGAGTGATAATGGGTAAGAAACAACACACATAACCTGAAGTATGGAAATATGTACATCTTTAAATGATTTGAATTGATCAATTGTGAGGCAGTGGAGAATAAACACTGATAAGACGCAATATGATAAGATTCAACACAATTAGAGGTAGACGGCTTTTTATTTTGAAAATGCAGTCTGTCTCAGTCACCAGGTTATATGAGAAAAGGTTTGACTGACTCCTTTTCTGTTTTTGTCTGATTTTTCAGTACATTTGAAACCACTGACCAGCACTTTGATCTAAGTCCTTTCGTCTGGAAATCTGAAGAGAGCTACATGCAAGTCTATTACATCACTGTCACAGCCATACTGGGAAGAAACCAGTCCGAACCAGCTGAGTCCAACACATTGACCTTTAACGATTTGAGACTGAGTCATTTAAAATGTGTGTAAACAAAAATCATTTAAAAGAGTTTTAACTGTAAGAAGTCTGTACAGTAGGACTCAAATCTGAACTCCTCTCCTCAGGTATGTTAGCTTTTCCTCCAGTGGAGGTGAAAAAGGATGGCTCAGACGGTGCCATGGTGACTTTCAGGAACCCTTTCCACTACTACAAAGACCTGCAGCGAGCCACCAAATCAAAATCTGCTTACTTCAAATTCACCGTCACCACTGCAAATGATGCAAGTACCATCATGTTGACCTTATTAAACATATAGACACTCTGTATTTAGAGGATTTGTGTAGTTAAACAACATCTCAAACAGGTCTGGTTTTATTTGCTGGATTTTTACCAAAACAGGTTAAGTTTGAACACAGAGGGTTTTTTGGTTAGGGTTAGGTTAGTCAAGGTCCCAGGTGTGCTCAGGTGATCAGATTGGGTCTGGGTCTGAAGCGGTTTCTCAGTATAATGGGCTGTATGTTTGTATGATGACATTTACTGGGCTAGCAGGAGACCAACAAATGCAAATTTTAGGAATCTTCTATCTTTCTGGATCATCTGGGGAATGTGAACTTGTGTGAATTTAGGGTGGCCACTTAAACTGCACTCAGATTTCATCTTGTTTCCGCCCCTGTTAAGATTTCTGTCCCCAAACAGAACAGTCAGATGCTTCGTCTCTTTTAGTCTAAATATTGCTGAATATGTAAATGATTTAAACTTTCTTTCCTCCTCGACTCTCAGAAAAGCTTTGAGAGCAACTGTCTGGTGGATCAGGAAAACTGCACGGAGAAGATTTCTTTCACTGAGGGCGAAGATCAGTGCGTCACACTGAGGGGAAAGCTATACGATGGAAAGGATTTTCGATACATGGTGGTCAATGAGACGGGACCCATCTGTGTTGACACCTCTGCAGGTACGTCTGAGCCGGAAATGCACTCAGAGACTCAGAGAATGCAGCATGTTATAATGATGTGTCCGACATGAATATAACCTTTACACTGTTTCCCTTAAAGCCCCCAGACTCCATTCACAAAGATGATCAGTTTAGACGGCAGGTCATGATCCTAACCTGACTTTCCTGTCTGAATTCATCAGTTTGTCTGTGTCGTTGTGGACACTGTGAGAGACTGTGTGAGCAACAGTTTCAGAATAATGTTGCTGAGTGTCAAATGTGAAACAATGAGTGATTTTTTTTCATCTACAGAACATAATATCATTAAAAGAATCTGTAGAATTCTCTGTACAGAAGGGACAAAGACAAAAACCAAGACTAGATGGTCCTGATCTTTAGGCTCTTAGGCAGCACTGCATTAAAAATCAGACAGGACTGTGGAGTGGAAATCACTGAATGAAACTTCTGATCACTTTGAGAACCTGTTGTCAATGAACACAGTCACAGCATCTACGAATACAGGTTAAAACTGAACCACTAAAACTGGTTCTGGTGCAGCCTGTTTTTTTATGGCCATAAATCTGCTTATTTAGTTCTTTGAATGTAATTCTGATGAAGACTCTCTGTAATGTATCACTTTCTGTATCCCAGATCTCTATGTGGTGTTTTTTGCACTGCTGTTGGTGGTCTTCGTCGCTGGCATTGTGATTACAGTCGCGGTCTGTTTAACAAAGTCCTGGACAATGAAGAGGGAAAAACCCACTCTGCCGAAAGCTTTGGTAAGGGGACAGAAGGTTTTAACTATCAAATAATTCCTGTTTTTCTTCTTCGGTTGGTTCTGAACACTTTTTTCTGTCTGCAGGAGCCGTCTATGGGCAGCAGGAAGCTGTATTTTCCTGAGCAGAAGGAGGACTGCTGTAATGTCACGCTGATAACTGAAGACACCTGCAGAAGCCCCTCAGTCACCTCTGAGGAGGATGACCTGCAGGACAGGAGAGAGAGGAGGGATACAGGAGACACCACAGGCAGATCTGAAGCCTGCGATAACTGCGGCTATGGAGAAGGGGGACTTTTAGAGACCAGCGGCACCGACAATGACTCTGTGAACGACTCCGTGAAAACAGAGAGTTTTACGATGGATTCGGAGGAAGAGAGAGAAGAGAAAAAGGAGAAGAAAGAAGAAGAACAGGAGAAGGGAGACTGTTTTTTTGAGGGGGAGGATAAAGAGGAGGATGTGGAGGAAAAGATATCACCCTACGACTGCCCACACAATCTGTCTTTCGACAAAAGATGAAAGGAGTGGGTTTTTTGGATGAAAACTTTGCTGTGGGACGGTTTTAACTGAGTTGATCCAGCACCACTTGGGCATGTTGTTGTGTCCTGGAAACCAAGATGCTCAAATAATTTGCACAAGAGACTTCTGAGAGAAGTTTGGAGCAATTTTATACCATGTGTTTGCTTTTTAAACATTTTTTGCTGTAAAAGTGCAACAATCATATAAATTTCCCTCCTTGAAAACTGATTTCCAGGACAGTAGCTTTTAACAGCTTTTACAGCAGAGGAACAAGGAACACAGACCTGTCAGCGACGGACCTGTCTTTAATGAACAGTTTTTTGTAAATAGATTTAAAGGATGTTGTTGATTTGCCTTGTCACAGTTTTCAGGGAAAAAATCAGCTTCATCAAACAAAAAACACAGCTTAGAGGAAACTGAAGCTGTGGTTTGACCTCAGGAGAAAAAAACAAAACTGTGATCTTCCAGTCACCTGTTTACTGTCCGGCCTCAGGTGAAGCTGCTCTGCTCCAGTATTTATTCAGGAGCATCTGTGCAGGTTGTCCTTCGAAAAACAGCGACTTCAGGGTATAAAAGCATGATTTTTAACCCCAGAAAAAAGGTGAAGGAAATGTATTATCGTCCCTTTTGTCAGCTGAAATGGGGGTTGGTATGCTTGGCTGTGAATTTATGTTTCTGTCAGAAATTTTTGAAGGATGGTTTATCACAGTGAGAAAGGTATTTTTACCAGGCTGTGTGCTGAAACCTGTTTTTGTATTTGTGTCGGTAAGCCTAATTCTCTATTTTCTATCTTTGAAAGCATTTGTGTTTGTATATTTTTCTGGGTACGGTTGGACAAATACAAACTACAAAATCTCACTTGCATTTGATCACTTTTTGAATGTTTTAGCTCTGTTTGCTCAGATAGGAAAATTATCAGACGTTTGCTTCCATCCAACTTTTAATCAGGAATAGTTATTAAAAAAGCAAAGACAAAATGACCAAAACAACTTTTTCAAATGAAAACAATCTTGTATGAAGTATTTTATCCAAAGTCTTGGTGCCATTTTTTTTTCTGAAAAAACAGTTCAAGACGATGACAGCCTCTGGAGTTTGTTTTGAGGTCAGACCTTTTTCCTCTGAATCCCAATTGTGATCTCAAGTTTACGCTTAAATCTCAGAGTTCAACTCTGAATTGAATCTTGGAATTCTGACTTGAAACTTGAAATACTGACCTTTAATCTCAGTAATCAGACTTTTATCTCAGATTTCTGACTTGAAATTTGTACTTTCTGCCTTTAGTTCTGAAATCTTGACCCTGATCAAAGAATTCCCACTTTCATGTCAGAATACTGAATTTGATTTTGTAATTTTGACCCTGACCATGATATTTTAGTCTGGATTTTGGAATTGTGACTTTTATCTTACGAGTCTAGCTTTGGTCACATTATTCTGACCGTGATCTCAGTATCCTGACTTTTACCTTGGAACTTTTACTGTGATCTTGGAATTTCCTCCGATTTTGGAATTCCAGCTTTGATTCTGGAGTTCCGATTCAGAACTTGGGATTGTCACTTTGATTTCACGGCTCTTACTTTTTGGTTGTATTTTAAAGGATAATTTGAGGAATGTTTTGTGTGTGTGTGTGTGTGTTGGAAATCTATCTTGTATCTTCCCAGGTTTTAAAAAACTTGAAGATTTAAGTCTCTAGCCCACCTTTTTTTAAAACTCATGGATTCAAAAAGTGTCTCCTCTGTTATTCTGTAAATAATTATGGTAGTCTTAATGAAAAGTTTCCATGTAAATGTTTCCTCTCATTCCACTGAGGAAGCCTCATTTTTAACAAGATAACATAAAGTTAGCATCTTTAGCATCTTTTTTGGCCGTTTCAGCAGCTAAAATTGTTAACAGTGGATTGATATCACAGATATCTCAAACAGAAGGGCAAGTAAACCTGAAATACTCCACATTGAGGCCCCTCTGAGTCTAAGTGTTTAGTCATTTTAGAGCTTTAATACTCTTCCTGGTTATGACATGGCCTTTTCTGGACTTTCACCTCTTGCAAACAGACTCGCCTGCGATTACATGTGATAAATACCTTTTACTCAAAAGGCAGTGCCACGCCTCATCGGGACAAACGTCATTTAATCTTATTTTCTGCTGCGGACGACCTATGAACGACCTGCAGAACAGGCTTTAAGAGCCTGTTCTGCTAGAGTGTTTTTCTGTTTGTATGAAAGGGCGTCCTACAAGTGTGTTCAGTCGCTACAACAAGAGTAAACTAAAAACACAATTCAGACTGCATTAAAAGTGTTTCTAATTGAGAGATGAAAAATATTTATATTCTTACAACAGAAATCTACAAAAATTAGTCGCTTTGGGACATCTCTTCAAAATATCAGTAACACTCCATCTTGTTTGATTTATCTGGTACAGCGCATTGATGAAACACAGGAAAACTACTATCCCTCATGGGCTGATTGAAGTTCGATGCACAGATTAAATGACAAAGGTGTGAAAAGTTGCTTTATTAGCCTTGAAACATGTCAGTAGGTAGGGCCCTCCCTTTAAATGGAGCCTGAAGGAAGAGTGAGTCCATATCAGTGAAGAAGGTAATCAGTATGATACCCAGCCTCCTGTAGTCCCAGATTTTAGACTGTTGAAACACAATAACCTAATCTGGTATCTCACAGACAAACATCTGGCTTTATTTACATTGAATACATTTTATCTTGTGTTGCCTCTGTGGACCTATCAGTCCTTTTGTTTGTGGTCGTTCTTGTTGTCCTCTCAGCATCCACAGATGGAGATCTGACAACAATAAGAAGTCTGTGCAGACAGTGCGGGCTGTCAGATGCTAAAGCTTCAGACCCTGAATGTTTGTCCTCAGGTTCAACATCTGCTTCTCCTGCCGAGCTTTCTCCTCCTTGAACGCCTTCTTGTTTGCTTTCTTCTCCGATCTCCTCTCCTGTTCAAACACAGAGGTAAAAAAAATGTCTTCATGCCTGATAGTATTTGTTTAACACATTTGTTTTTGTTTTTTTTACAGTCTGACATCTCTACAAGTGTTAATTTAAGACCTTTTTAAACACAAATATGATGCTATTCCTGGCTTATTTCCTAAAAGACAAAAAAATCTGTAAAAGAATGAGATAGAAACATAAAAATACAAATAAATTAATAATTTAAAAAAAAAAGGGATCCCAGGAGGGAGCAGAGCATTCATCTGGACTATTTTCAGCAGCAGATTAATCCATATTTTGTGCTCCGATGAGTTTTGGGGGCAGAGGAATGGTCCATGAGCACACAAACAAACAACGTTACGTTTGTTCGTGATGAAGAAGAAACTACAGAGGAGTACCATGGTTTGAGAACACAATACTAATCTTATTTTTAGGAATTTTTTTTGGTGATTATGTCCGAGTAAAAAAGCACAGTATCACCAGTTAACTTCAAAAATCACCTTTACATTAAAGCTGCCTAAATGGGTTTCTCTGATCACAAGAAGCAGAAACTCTTTGGCTCCTACCAGCAGAAATAAAAGCGTTTATTTACACAAACACTGCTGGTTTTGTGTTTTGGTCTCTCTCCTGTCACAGGTTAGAAGTGTGCGAGGCTCAGGCAGAAAAAGCTGATTATTATTAAAGAGGATTTAGGAAGATTGGACCCAAAATGTGATGACAGGTGAGATTGTTTGTTGGTGTTATCAGGTCACCGTCGATCAGGAATGATCAAAACACACGTGAACCGTCCTGATAAAGAGGATTACCAAGTTTTTAGCTCTTTTCTTACAGCTCACAATATTCTGTATTATTACACAGCAAATAAAATGAGGGAATAATGATAGAGGAGCCACATCCAAGGCTGTTTTTACTGTTTTTTTATATCTGAAGCGTCGTATTACATGAAAAGATTAATGAAATAGAAAGAATAAAGTCATAAAAATGTGAGAATAAAGTTGTTACATAATCAGTATAAGTCACAGTTTTAGCGGCAAGAGAGAAATGTTCTTATGAGGGCTGTCATAACAAGGACTAAGCTTGAAAGAAAGTTGAAATTTTGCAAGAATAAAGAATTACTGTTTTATCATATAAATTTTATAATAAAATATCACAAACCTAATTCTCAAACACTTAAGAAACTGAAAAATGTCAGTAAAAATTATATTTCCTCTGTATGTTGTTGTCAGTTTATATTTTTCCTCACCTTGCGTTCTTCCTTGACAGCCTGTTTTCTCGCCTTCCTCTCCTCCTTGCTCTCCTCCTTGTCCCGGGGCTGGGTGGAGACTCGAGGCAGGTCCGAGTCGTTGATCCTGGTCATGCGCTCCGACTGTTTGGCAGTCAGACCTTTGGTGGGAAGGACGTCGAGAGGGATTCCCGTCTTCTGGGACACACGGATCGGCTTCGTCTGGAAGAAACATGAACCTGAAGGAGTCCGTTTCAAATCTCCTCGAATTCTCCCACAAACTCTTCAGAGTTTCCATCCACCAAATGAACGCACATCTCAATGTTTTACAAAGTTTCATGCTCACTTCCAGTTTATATCTCAACTCTGGAATATTCAAGAAGAAGAAGATGGCATGTCATTTGTCCCTGTTTTCTCAGATTCACAAAGCCTTTGATGAGTCAGCTGTGGTGGTAAACCTCAACTCAACTCAACTTTATTAGTTAAGCACTTTAAAACAACCACAGCTGAACAAAGTGCTGTACATAACTAGACAAAACAACAAGATAAAAAAAACAATCAAAAAACAAAATGGATAAAATAAAGGCAGAATTAAAAGTAAAATATAGTTTCAATGTTTTTAAAAACTAATTTAAAAACATAGAAACAAATAACTAAAAACAAACCATAAAACACTAAAACCTGTCCAGATGAATCAGACCTGAAAGCAAAAGAAAAACTAAGGGTGTTTTCCTACCTTTGGAGGCTCCTTGATGATTTTGGGTCTGTTGTAAATGTTGGAATATGTGCCTGGAAAGAACAAGCGACAAACAAATAACACATTTATATAGTCTTTCACCAAAGTAAAACATTACAGCCGTTTTAAAGGCTGTTATGTGTCGGACTTTTATCTTTGATCCAAGCTGAAGTAAAGCATTTACCACGAACTCTGTAAAACACAAGGACTGTCTCACTTTAGGCTCCTCTTTGTAACAAATCAAACTGAAATTATAGCTGAGTGTTTAAACTGTTTTTTATTACTCACTGTATGAGTCAAACACTGACCCGCTAAGTTTTATCACAACAGTAAAATCTTAACCTTTGGCTCCTTTAAAAAAGTTATTTGTTTCCAGTAAAAGCAAAGAGATCTTTATTCTGCGTTTTAACCTTCAGTTCAGCTGAAGTTAAGTGACTAACTCAAAGTCAAAGAGATCACAGGATGAGTTGTTGGCCAGTCAAAAGCATCAGCAACGCTTTGGACATCCAGAAGTAAAGCTGCTTTCTCACTCCAGCCACATGAGACCGGGCATTATCGTTCACCAGAAGGAACCTGTTGCCCAGCATATGGTCTGCAGTGGGTCTGAGGGTCTCATCCTGGTACCCAACAGCAGTCAGAGTATGTCTGGTGAACAAGTGTCCCTATGTGTCAGTAAGGAGTGTTAATAATTGTGCCCTTTTCTCCACTTCAGGTAAAGAGGACTGTTATTTCTTTCATTTTGGGACTGGCAGATAACTCTCTTGGTAAATGTTGATCTTTGGCTGCTCCAAACAAACAAGGGGAATCTGGTTGGTCGACAGAGATGGAGCCTCATTCTACGTTTTTAGCGTGAAAATGTAAAAATAATCAGCGAGTCCATCAGTGCTTATAGACAGTGTAGAGTCTTAAAGTAAGCGCTGCACCTTTAGGCTGGGAAGGCGAGTTAAAGCAGAGAAATGCACGAGATCGAACTCACTGATGATGGTTTCACAGTCCCACTTCTCTTCTGGAGCTTCAATAACAACAGTCTCCATCTCCTCTTCCTCCTCTTCATCTTCCTCTTCTTTTAGGACGGGGAGTTCTTTCGGACCCAGATCCTCAGGCCTAACAGACCTAAAACCAAAAACAACACAACATCATAGAAACAGGGTTGGTTCAAACTCATTCCCTAACAAAAATGCACCAAAATCTGACACCAGGTCAATAAGGATTTGCTGTATTTCAACCAAACAAGAGAGGGATGAAGATAATGAAGGATGAAACGCCCTCACTCTTTCTCTTTCTGGATGAAGTAGTCCTTGATTATTTCTTCCAGGCGAGCGCTGTCCGGTTCGATGAAACCTTCCAGCTCAGCGTTGTCCAGAGCGCCGATCTCATCATCGTCAAACTGTTCGTAAAACTGAAACCAAAGACAAAAAAAAAAGTCTTGACTGATTTGAAACACTCGACAAGGAGGGAAAACTTTAACAGGATATCACTTGTAAAAGAATGATTTTCATAAATAAATAAGTTTGATACTTGTTCTTCTCTTCATTTTCAGCCACATACAGTCTTAAAATGACCTGCAAACTGACAAAAATCTTTACTTTAAAAAGTTTGCACTGCAACTTTTCTTTTTGGACGCTTTTGTTTGTAGTTTGAGAAATGGAGACCTGTCACGTGTCTGCAGGAAAAACTGTCTGGATGGGGAGCAAAAACTGGATTCAGACACTTTCAGTGCAAAGTTGGGGGTAGAAAGTAAGCACTTCAATTTCCTGACTTCCTTGAATGCATCAGAAATGATAGCGCCGACCTCTCTCCTACAGGCAAACACTTTAAAAGTTGTTTTCTTCTCCTCTTGAAGACAGGCCTGAGAAAGCTGGACTCCTTAGTTTTTACTGTAATGTGTTATTTCAGTAAACTTTGACCTCTTAATGATGAGAAAATCTGTTTCTTTTCCAGGTTCATACTACTGAGGTGGGCCTGAATAAAGCCTCAGTGTAACTTACTATCTACAGTGAAACTGAGACTCTCCAGAAACGTCTGGTGAATACCACTAAGGCTTCATTATTGTGAGTCAGAAAGTACAAAAGTCACAGTGTTGATGTTTCACCTTTTCAAAGCGGTCGTCCAGCAGAGTGAGCTGCTCGTTTCTCCTCATGACGGATGACGTCATCGAGTACTCAGTGAACCGACTCTTAGTCTCCTCGTCCATAAAGAGGAAGTCTCTGTCCCGGCCTCCATTCTCCACGTCTGCATCACCTGAAAACCCGCCCTCAGAGTCAAAATCCCCCTCATCATCCGTGTCTTCCCACTCATCATCATCGTCATCATCCTCCTCCTCGCCACTTCTGTCAAAAGTTAAACAGACATAGACAGTTATGAATGAATTTCATCCAAAAATCGACTTTTCTGTTAGTTTAAGTCTGCAGAGCTAAAAAATTCAAACCCCAACCATTATCAGTCCACACAGTTACCCACCGAACTAACAAGTTCACAGACAAAATACATGATGGACAAGAAATATTGAAATTGAAATTGAGGTCACAGGAGCTGCCAGCCAGCACCCACACATAAAAATGCGTTCAGTGGACACAGGCCCTTAAGACAAAGGGTTACAGGTGGATTTTTCAATAACTGCATTCAATTCAGCGTGTAAATGCAACGACAACATGAACTCACCCTACGTCCACTGCTCTGCTTGCGCTGTTTGCTTTGAAGATAAAATCGTCTTCCAGTATGTTGTCGGGATCGTCAAAGTCAAAATCTTCGTCCAGGGCGGCCACAATATCAGGGTCCATATCCAGCCGAGGTCCTGAGAGAAAAATACCAAAAATCTGATGATAAAATCTTCGATTACATACACCCTCCAGGCTGCATTATTTAATTCAATCAAGCCTACAGCCTTGTTATTCAGCTCAAGAGGATGTTGTGTCCACATCTATCTGAAATCATGAATATGTCACAACCCATATTGATCCTGATTATCATGAAGACAGTCAAGCACACACTTGGTGGATTGCTGTCAATTCTCTCAGCCAGTTGTCCGCCATGTTTGTTTACTCTAAAGTCATGTTGTGAGATTTCCCTTTCAGAGAGTGTGAGTTTGGGTTGTTGGTGAATACATCAGTGTGTTGTTTGTCTGTCACCTCACACTACAAAACTTCTAAATCTGCCATCTCTCGCACTGTCATTAAGGTTTTAAAAATCTGTAAGTGTGGACTGGCTTTTACCTGAGATGGGAGCAGCTTTATTCAGAAGTCCAACTTCCTCTTCAAACTCGGAGGCGAACACTGAGGAGGGCAGTTTGATGGAGGATGCCTGTTCATCAGACACAACAGGAATCATTTCATAACATTCTGTTCACTCGTGCAAACAAATATGAATGACACCTGGGAAGAAAAGTGGTTGACACATAATTTACAGTACAAAGAACCTGCACATAATCTTTTCTTTCTAATCGACACTCTAACAAAGCAAAGACGTTAGTGATCACATTGGTGATTCACCACAAACAGCCCGAGTTACATGTGAACTAAGAAATCCTGGAAACATATTGTACTTAAACTGTTTGAGGATTTTAATGATGTGGACTGTGAGCAAACTGACCAAAGCTTTAAATCTGAGTGTTTTAGACCCTCCCCAAAACCACAGAGAAATCACTCCAATGATCCTGGAAATCTGCTTTTTTGTTTGTATATTAAAGACTGAAATTTCATATTAATTTTTTATGTCATTGATAAGCAGCATACAAGATCATCATTAATAAGATCTTTGAATTTAAGATCATAAATTTAAATGTCTGAAACCGGTGCAGATGGGGTAGTCATGAGCTGAGCAGCTAAAGAAACAGCCTTTTTTACAGTTTACACATAAAATATTCACAGTTAATAATACATTTGACTGCATAAAGCCAGCAGGGTGAGTGTTTTTTTTAATCAGATATCACTACTTGAACATGAAAAGACTTGATGAGCAAAAACCAAGAGTTCCTCACAGGAGTTTTAAAAAACAGACATCAAACCCCCTCAGTTGAAGAGACAGAGGCATAAAAAGCTTGTACCAGGAGTGAAAGCTTTTCGTCATCGCCCTGAGTTCCATGTCCTAAACAGTTTCTTCTCCAGGATAGTAAAAGTAAAGCTCAACTTCTGGAATTAACTTACAGGAACAGCCTTGTCTGTGTCCTCCTTTTCCTCCTCCTCTTCTTCTTCTTCATCATCGCGTACACGTATTTGCGAGGTTGGAGCTGCCACCCACTCAGTCGCGGCTGATGCCTCTTTCAGGTGCTGCAGGTAATCGTAGTCATCATCAAAGAAGACGCCGTACTCCCTCTGCTCGGCCCGTCTCTTCTCTGTATCCACCTGAGGAGCATTAAGAACAGAATCAAGCTCATTACAGGGTCATAAATCTACAGCTGGGTTAAGCTAAAGGGGCTGCAAGGTGAGTTTACCAAGGTTTTAGATATGACAGAGACAAAAGAGGACTCAAGACATTTCTTACACTCCATGGGATCCTTTAAATACCTTTAATATAAGTATTATGAAAAGCAAACTAAATCCTTGAGGACAGTGACTTTGTACCTTAGCAGCAGGCAGGAGGACATGCTGAGGGGCTTTCTCATCTGCAGCCAGAGGGTCTCTCTGACTTCTGTGGACGAGGTGAAAGGTCACGGCCTTCTTCTTCTCTATGAATGATTTCTTCTTTCGATGAGGCTGAAACAGACAAACACTGCCATCAAATGATCACGCATCTCATTACAGAGAGACCCAGAATCCACTGTGCTTGTGGTCTAGTGTGACGCCTTCACAGTCTGTGATGGTTTGGGGTGCCATGTTATCTAAATCCAGATTATGGCCCTTGCTGTGGTTAAGTTTGACACCCCTGCCCTATGCTATTGCTATTAACAGCTGTATTGACGGATTTAGCCTCTATTCAGCCATTTTCCCCTCCATAAAAGCAGTGATTCCCTCAAAGTCCACCTGTTTTTTTCCTGTGGAAAAGATGCATTTCTCATCTATACTTACATATATACATAAGTTCTGATGCTCAGGACAATGTAATGCTGATGTACCAAAGGATTAAGTATCTCCTTGTTTGTGAAACCTATATTGAAGTACAATTCATCTAGATGTCCCACAGCCCTCATTTTAACAACTCTCCTCCACAACAGGTAACTTTACATAAAATAATAATAACTTTATTCTCGTTAGTAATTACTTTATTCTCATGAATAATGACTTTAGTCTCATAAGTAATCTCAAAGTTTTAAAAATGTGTTTGTATTTCTTAATGTGGCCCTTATACTCCGTTGTATTCATAAGATTATTACACTAATACATTATCTTTAATTATCCTTGCCATAGAGTGAAGTACCACTGTAACTGCTGTGAAGTAAAAAGCAGATCCAAGAGGTGAAAATGGAGGAGAGTAAGGGACAAAAATCACTTTTAACTATACCTTTGAGTTAATTACAATAATCATATAACTTTGATTGAAACTGACATAAAGATATGTTCATGATTTCCATAAATACAGAGAGAAACTGGTGAAAAGACTGCACTGAAGTTAGCCCATGTTAGCTCACAAGGTTAGCATACGTTAAAATTGTTGGCTCACCATCTTGACACACGATCTTGGTCGGTTTTCCTCAACTTATCCGATTAAAAGGTCAGCAAACCTCCAGCTCAGGGTGGCTGTTGAAACATATAACCGTACATACAAAGAAGTTAGACGTTGTTATTGTTTTTCCACGTTGAATCCTTCTTCACCATGCTGCTGCCATCACCGGAGGGAACCATTGGGGACACGGCGGGGGTATAAAAAAAAAAAAAAAAAAAAGATGTAAATACAATTTAACGTCAAGGCAGAATATTGAGGATCCTGGCAAATCATTGAAAACAAAATTAAAGTTTTACATGTTTTTGTTACAGTAAATGAATTCATTTTATCTTAAAAATCCCCTATAGCTTTTTTCTTTAACATGGGCGGTTGTTGGTTTAGTCCAAATCGCTCTTTCTCTCTTTATCGACTGTCGGTTGACTAACTACTTTCAAAGTGCAACAGTGCCACCTGCTGGACGTGTTGACCTGTAAATTGACAATGTGAATGCAAATGGTAAATGTGATATTTGAAAAATTTCTTATTATATTATAAATAAAGATTTATCTTGGCTTAACAGAAACCCTACTGCACATCGAATAAAATAAATCGTGGCAATGAAAATGGAAGTCAGATCTCCAACCACCAGTCAGAATGAGGATTCCAGAAGTGATTAGTTGCATGCCTCTTAAAAAGATAACTTAAGTAGTGAACAATAGGATAATTTTTTTAATCACAATTTGTTTATTGACTTTTTTCACCGTTATGAACATGCATTCACAGACAGACCAATACAGCACACAAAGAACAGGAACCCTTTCACCCCCCTTCCCTCCCTCAGTAAGACCTACTCTAGATGAAATGTATACACAAGTATGAATATGCAGATACACATTTCACACATCTCAAGTCTATAATTCAGTCCTTGTCTTCATTTCCACACTACACAATACCAACGTTTCAGACATGGAAATGGTTGCAAGCCGTTGCGAGATTATGAAGTCAATGATAACTGTCCTTGTCCAGGACCAGGCACTTGCCCATTGAGGTTATTCATAAAGGAAAAGAAAGAAGACCACATCCTGTTGAAGTCCTCAATTTTTCCTTTTGCCATGTAAGTCAGTTTTTCCAGTGCCAGGTTAGATGCCATTTCTGTAATTGAACAATAGGATTATTATCTCCAACAAAATATGGCAGCCATTTCTACGCTATAGGCTACGGAGAAACTATCACCTCATATGATTCAGAAATCACCTGTGTTGTCTCTCCACCTCCTCATGTTTTACTCTCAATAAAAAAGACCAAACCATCAAATCTGTCTTCATAAACATTTTTCACTGCATCCTGACGCTTCTGAGCGGAGGGTTGGACTAATAATAGGGAGACGTTTGTGATGCAGGGCCCACCCACACACTCGGGTGTTTTTCCACATCTCACTTCAAACTCTGATGATTGTGAAATGTTTCTGATCCAGTTTTTCCAGTTCGATCAACATTCTCTTTTCTTCAGAACAAATCTTTCCGCTTGACTTACAACCTACAATCAAAACTCTACAGTTTACAGCCTCTAAAATGAACACTCTGATCCTCCTGTACGAAGACTGTTTTCATAGATGTCATCGTGTTGAGCACCTCAGTGCTGGTGGGGGTCGCCTCCTCGCAGGCTTTGACTGTCACAGTTTAGAGTACACAGCCTTCTTGGGATCTCTGGTTGGGATACAGCTGGGGACTCCATAGTTTTCCAAGGGACTTAGACACCCACATGGGCAATGATGGCAATACTGGATGAAGAAGGGGGATAGAAAGGAACAGCCTCCCTGATCTGAACATGCTGTATTTGACTGCTGTGCTACTCATAGATTGGCCGTGATGAACATAGTATGAAACATAAGGTGATTTTATAAGTGAACGCCCTATTCCTGGTACCAGGTCCACTTATGAACCACCCTAACTCAGTCCAGTCTGTGTGTTTGTTTGTCTTTTACTTTAATTTTCTAAACATACCATACTTAACCTCTTCTGCAACTTTATCATGATTCAGACATAGATACTATACTTTTTACTGTGTCATATTGATGCAAGTCCATTAAAATGTCCATTAAAATGTACTGAGCACTGCAAAAACTCTATCTCAGTGAGAAATTTAGCCCTTTTCCTATCAAAAATGTCCATATCGGCTCAATTTGAACTGTTCATCATTTACATGTACTGATCTCTAGCATTTATCAAAAACAAAGCCAGAACTTTTATTTCAAATGTATTTTATTCATGCAGAAAGCTGAGAAAATAAAACTCTCTTTGTCCAAAAGCTCAATCAGTTAAAGTTCAAATTTCATCCCCATGTTCCAACACTTCAGCACAGAGAATATTTCATATTATTTCACTTAAAAAAGAGATAGGTGTAGAGAATTTGTTGTATGAAAAAGAAAATCCATAAATGCACCATAACTGCCGGCTCTCGCTTTGTTCTTCTGGTGGCGTCAGTCCGTTCTCCTCAGACATTCATCGACAACATCAGGAACTGAAAGGAAAGGATAAAACAAGCTCAGTTTATGAAGCTCAAACTGAAAGGTCACAACCATGAAGCAAAGCAAAGCTCTGGAACTGCAGTAAAAAACACACTGGAGACTGTGGGGATTAAAAGACACAAATGTGGTTTTACCTGCATTATGTTCATTTTCACACGGCCCCTTTTCAAGGTATCCATGGCCTGGAAAACTCCTGGTGAAGAAAATAATTTTTAGTCAGCACAAAGTGACAGGAAACTCCCGGAAAGTCAGAATCAAATGTCCAGATTTGCTGCAATCTGAGCTGAGAATCTGGATTTTGTATTTTGTTTTTTTGTGACTTACTGAACATGTTCTCCAGTCGGACGATGCAGGTGAGGTAGTCGTCAAAGTCAATGTCGTATTTGGAGTCAGAAAACCTGAGGCCGACCAGCTGCAGGAGCTTGTTGTTCAGATGCATGCCTGCAGGGGAGCAAAGCAGCGGTGTGAGCATACAGACCATAAAGGTATGAAAGTAAAACATCGAGTCATTCACAGAATTTACAAATCTTCTGTTTCTGTTGAGCTGTAACAACATGAATACTTGAGTGAGAACTTTTACCACTTTTGAATATCATTCATGTCTCGGTTTAAAACCAGCACAGAAAAAACTTTTACAGCAGTTTTCAATTTGAATAAAGAAAATATATACAACTCATATGCAGAAGTCCCGCTAAATGAATTAATGATGCTGAAAACATGTAATTACATTTAAAAATATATGTTTGAGTGGACTGCACATATACTGTCAAAGAAGTTCATCTGGGTTAATGATGATATCCTGTTAAGGTACAACTTTTTCAAAATTCTATAATAAAAAAAAAACAAAAAAAAACAGAATTGTCCAAAACAACAACAGAAGACAATTCAAAAGAAATAACTAAATTTTTAATTTTATCCTGTGATCAAACTCTAAATTCTGGCTTTAATCTTGAGATTACAAAAAAACATTCATTCAGTCTAAATTTGAGGACTCTGACTGATTATTTGGATCTGGGATAAATAACAGAGTTTTGACTTTGATCTCAGAATTCTGTTTTCTCTAAATTTTCTTTTTTTCTGCAGAATTAAAAAAAAAAAAAAAAAAAGAAATCTTGAAAAGTCAGACTTCACTTCTCATGCACTAAGTTCAAACCTTTTTCAATTCTCACCTGCAGCTTTGAGAGCGATACGAAGCTCGTACGACGACATTTTCCCTGAACGATCCGTGTCAAAGGACAAGAAGAGCATCTGCAACAAGAAGAGTTTAACATCAACAAAAGCTGAGGCGCAAAAAATACACGACCACACAACAAACCAAACAGCTAATTGGACCAGAACTATGACTAAAAGAGTGTTTATAAAAAGACATTAAAAAAAACAAGCTGTCCACATTTACTCTGATTTTGCATGACAACATTATTATTGTACAACACTTAAATGTAGAGTTTAATGCTGATAGTTTTTGTATTTTAGTTTCACTACAGAAGCTTTGTAAGAGAGTATTTCATCCCTGATTTATAGTATCATCACATGAAACTTGACTTACAATCCACTTCTTCATCTTTTCCCAGAAGACCTTAAACTCCTGAAACTCCATCATCCCTGTGTTGTCCACCTGGTTCTCTGTCAAGGAAAAAACCTCCTCTATCTGTGGATTTCAAACCCTCATTATAAGACTGCAGTGGAGAGAATATTACAGCTTTTATTCTGAAATCTTTTTGGGGTTTCCTCTGAGCAGGTTCATATCTCACTCTGAGTGCCACAAACTGCTGCTGGGAAGTTAAGACCTGAAGTTCTGATGAAATAATGAAAATGGTTTTCTAAAAATCAAGTGGTGGGCACAAAACAGAAGCCCTGGCATTACAATTATACTCAGTTGATGTGAAAGGATACGTCCATCAGGTTCATAATACTGTGGCAGGTGTTCAGACTCAGGCCGTCAAATTTGATTTCTTTTCCTGCAAACAGAATTAATAGAGGAGTGGAGGTTATACAACGAAATATTTTTAAAGAGGCATAAAAATCACAAATATGCTGTCAGTATTTTCATTTGCCCCTTTGAAATAAAAAAAAAACAAACAAACACAAACTACTTTTTTTATTTTTTTTATTTTATCAAAGCTGTTCTCATTCAGCAACAGTCGTTTTTAGATGAGTGTGGCATTCTTGAGGTTTTCCAGTCTGGTTTAGAGTTTTTCAAAGCACAGATTCGAACCTTTTAACACTGTTTTATAATCTGTTATTGACCTCAGACTCTGGTGATTTTGCCTTGAACTTTGTCTTTTCTGTCAGAGAGAAGTTTCTTTAGTAAAACTTGGGGGCTCTCTATCATATCCTGCCTCCCCTGACAAGTGGCCAAGGTTCTATTCTTGGGCCAATTCCTTTTGCACTTAATCTCCTCGCTCTGGGAAGAAACAACAATAACTCGGCATAGTCATTAAAAAGATTAAATAACTATTTGCTCCTGGTAGAAGACTAAAAATGCAAACTGTAGAGGACCTCACACGAAGCCCAGAGGAACGCCATACTGTACAGCATGCCAGATTTACCAGTCAGTGTTTGTGCCACAAAAAGTCTCAAATGAGGATTCACAAAAGGGTAGTTGATCGAACTTAAAAAAGGGAGAAAAATTTAACTGTAATCAGACCAGAAAATGTAAGGATATTTCAGTGTTTCTTGTCACTTACTTCTGCTGAGGACACCATTCAACATCTGCTGTAGCTCTCTGACATCGATTGCGTTGTCCTGTGGAGAAGACAGAATTGTAGGGTAGAACTTTTAGGGAGTTGTCTAATCACACATCACACCTCTAAAAGTTAGTGTGACTCACACTCATCCCCTGAATATAAAATGTTGTTCCTTACGTCTCCGGCGAGCTGATCGAACAGCCTCCTCAGGCCTTTCTCCTCGTCTGTTTCCTCCTCTGGAGTGCTGGGCATGGGCGGCTAGTGGGAACAACACAGCATCAGTACGATCAGCACACAGGGGCACAGTAATTCGACGGATGACAGGTTATAGGTTTCTGGAAGATCTACTTACATCTGGCAGGTCAGCATCAACGTTGCTCCCCATCTCCCTGTTGACCAAAAAAGTAAGGTCAGCAAAGAAACATTTTCTGGTGCAGCAGCTGTAATCAAACTGCCTTTAACTAGAAAGGTAAAACCTTGACTTTTGGAGCCATTTTTAACTCCGATTTTGACAACAAGGGGGCACAATAGGATAGCCCAGAAACTATAAAAAAAAAGGAGAATGACTTTGTTTTTTTTTGTTTTGTTTTTTTGCGCCTTTCAAAACAAGGATTTAAAACAATGCTTCTGAGGAACAAGTAAAGTAAACCAGTTAGGACTCACTCTACAGGTTCCTTAAATCAACACCAAGAAAATACTTTTGTTTTTGTGCTCTAAATACTGTTTGCTCTACAAAAACTCAAGCTTACGACATGAATACCAGCAAAACAACCTCAAACACTAATTTCTGATCCTCCTTATTTTAACTGTCTCTGCTTTAAATATTTTATCTCCTTCTGTTGTCTTTGATTTTTTGCAGTGATTACTTTTTACAAAACTTTACCGACCTTTTGCTGTTTTCAAATGAAAATCAAAAATCAAACAAAGTCATGTGGCCAATTTGTTTTGACATTTCTTAATGCAAAGCAAGTAAAGCAAGCCCATATTTTTTGCTTTCTCCATATCCCTTTGATCATTTCTTATTTCGGTGCTTGCCAGAACTGACTGACTCTAACAATCATAAATGTAAGTTAATACTCACAGAGCATTGGCTTTCTTCTCAGAGAAGATCCTGACGAGGAAGTCTGCCTCATGGTGGGGCTGGAAGGTGGTGGGAACCAGCAAATATTTCCCAGGGGGGAGTGTAAAGCGCTCTGCCACCTCCCGCATGTTGATGTAGGTCCTGCTGCGAGCCTTGGATGCGTTGTAACGGAAGAAATCTTTTCCCTGCTGGTCATCGTCCTCTTCTGGAGCCTAAATGGAAAGATAATACTTTAAAAAAACTTGAATCTAATTCTTGATAAAGGTGTCCCCCTGGGTTCAGTACTCAGCCCCTTGCTATTCAAGCTAACACAACATCCAGTGGTTTTGCAGCTTTGATATCAAGTTTTTAGGCAAATGGCATAATGTTGAATTTGATATTGAACACAGAGCTATAATTATGAGAACAATATGGTATAAGTGTCAAATTAAAGCTTCCATTTGGAGTTTTTAGCTGGTTATAAAACAGAATGAAATCAAAATTGATGTCCTTTCATGACCCTAAAAGATCAACAACAAAAAAAGTCAACAAGAGCAGCGACCATGACTATTTTAAACGTCTGAAACCATTGGCTGGCGGTCAGTGTGAGGTCAAGTTTTTTAAGAAGAATAAACTTTACAAAAATAAAATTTGGACTGTTGTGAGAATAAAAGTTGTAAAGATACTTGAATTAAACTGTAATGTTACTAGGATAAGGTCAAATGTTTAGAGGACAAAGTTATCCTGGAATTTGTCATGAAATTAAAGTTTTCACGTGTCAACTGTCAACATGAGGAACTTGGGTCATCTGATTAAAACCACCTTCGCAGATCATGCAATACTTCATCTCTTGGCACGTTGTTCATACCAGGAAAAGACTTTTGATGTATCTCACAGTTTTGTATGTTAAAAAGAGTCGTTACATACATTAAAGGTGAAGCAAAGCAGAGAGAGTGTTTGAATCCTGTCTGACCTTGTACACTGCAAAGCCGATGGTCTCCAGGTCCAGGCCTTCCTTCCTCAGCTGTCTCCTGTTTTTCTGCATCAGAGCAATGACTACGCTGCAGACATCGTCATCGTCATCGGCGTCCTCCAGCTGCAGCTTAAACTGCGGGTTTGTCCAAAATGTGTCTGCAGATCAGAGATTCAAAATTACAACCCAAGTCAACCAGCTCCCTTTTTTCTGTGTGCAGTCTGTAAATATCTTCAACAGTGCGCTTCTTATGCTGAAAGAGTTTAATCTGGTTGACGTACCGATGAAATTCCTGCAGCCTCCAGCAGTAGAGCCACGGATCCAGCTGCCCTCAAACATGTTGACCTCCCAGTGGCGTGTTGAGTTGTCAGTGAGGGAGTCAGGGGTCATATTGCAGATCTCCACTTTGTCGTAGTTTCTCTTGAAGTCTTCAAACTCCATCCTTCAAAAAACGTGCACAACTTCATGAAAATGATACTTCTATGAGAACAACTCTGTTAAAATCGACTTGAGGGGGAGAGGATTGAAGAGTGAGGAGGGAAATCAGAGGCGCAATGGGACAGGATATGGTTGAGATTTTCATTGACAGACACTCCCCTCAATCGAATATTGCTCACTGATTGGGTGCTGCAGACTCACCAGAATTCTCCATCGTCGTTTGATCTCTGCAGGATGCGATTTTTTTCAGACTGGTCGACGTAATCCCACTCTCCAGATCTGAAACAGCCGATAAAATGATTAGAAGAAAAATCCGATAATGCTTCTTTGTTTGAACTCATTTGCCATGAAGTCAAATCTAAGTCTCAAGTCATACGACGGCAAAATTTATAACCCTTCTTTTTCAGCTGTTTAAATAGTCATTTTGAAATAATCACTCAATGCTTACTTGTCGCTCCAGGGGCCGTTCCACTCCACCTGACCCCAGGGGTTTCTGACCCGGACCAGCTTGACCTTCCTCCCTCTGTAGTTCACCTGAGGATCAAATGAGAGTTCAGTTTTTATCTATTTGAACTGAGAATTCAAACTAAAATCCCTCTACAGCTTAAACCTCAGCTTGCACATTCCTGATCCATTATAAATCCATTTTGAAAGTCGTTCATTGTGTGTCGATGTGTCCCCAGTTGTTCCTTGTGATTATTTCCCCAGTGTCTTTACTTGGATTTCTTTTGGTTGGACATTTGGAAGTAAGTTTTTGCTGCTTTTTATTTCATTCTTTTTAATAAATCATTTTTTGTTCTGCATTTGGGTCGTTTTTTCTTTTGTTTAACCCTGGCATGTGACGGAATGAACCAACTAAGAAACAGAGGAATACAGGGACTATATATACACACAGGGAAATGAGAGGCAGGTGAGACACTGAGACACAGGTGTGGACAATTACTAAGGAGGGAAAACTGAGGAAGTAAAACAAGACTATACACACAAGGATGGACTACTACAAAAATAAAACAGGAAACAGTGAAAACTGATCTAAAGAATAAAAGGGAACATGAGGGAAGCGGGGTCAGACACAAACTGAGAACTCACAAGACAACAGGTACAATAAGGAACAGAAACACTAGGGGAAATACATGGAAAATACACACCATAAACAACACGAGGAGAAAACTAAACTAACAGAAGGTTTCATGACCAGGAGAACTGGGGAAAGAAATTTGGACTGTCTCAAACTGGAGTATTCTGGTAAATATATACAATAATTTGGAGGAGATTGAAATGATTATAACGGACAATTAGGAGGGACATCTGAAAGGGAACTTTTTATCCTGTTTTATTCTCTCAAAGGACATAGGGCACGTTTTAGATTTTATCTCATAGAAGAGCAGCTTTTAGTGCATTTTTTCATGTCTTCCACTTAAATGGTGCCACAGAGAGTATTTTATAGTTTTTTTTTCTGTTAGTGGAGGATGCTTCTGCAACATTTTTCATCTGTGGCATGACCACACCACAGCCTCTACTTCATATACAGTACATGTGTGTCCTACCTCTTCCACGCCTGTGATGGAGTAAGCATGTCCTTTCACCAAACCAGTGGACGTCTTGGCTTCAGACTCTGCAGAGCTGGAGATCTGGAGAAGAACAAAAATCACAGAAAGCTGTAAAACAAAGAAGCTAAAGTGTTGTCTGTATCTCTTATTTGGGGGCTGCGGTAACAAGTATCTTGAGACAGTATATTCTTTTTGACTTGTTGGTTGGATAAGGCTCAAATTAAACTTGAAAAGACTTTGTCTGGAAAAAAACAAAAACACTTGCTGAGATTTGAGTTTTTGAAGTAAATCAAAAATATTTTCTTTAAGGTCAAAGTTTTTACATCAATAGAGCAGCCCATCATAGAGCCTCTGTCCAGAGCCTTCTTCATGATGCCGAACAGGTTATCTGGAGAATTCTTGGTCTCGTACACTTCCCCTACACCACCAGTGAAATCCTCCATGGCCTCCATGGTGCTGCCGCCCTTCAGGGACTCGTAGCTGCCGTGCAATCTGGAAAAACAAAGGAAAATGAATAAAACTGTTTCGCTTTCATTCTTAAGTTTTAGATTGTGTTTGTCATTAATGAACCGAACACTTTAATTCTGGTTCTAGTCAATTTAAAATTTACCACTCAGGGCTGAACAAATCGGGGAGTGAATATCTAATCCCGGTTCATTTTTAAAGACCCACTCCAATGAAAATCGTGTTTTTCTTGTTTTTTTCTTGTTGAAAAAAAAAAAGTTACAGCATTTTTCTGATGCTACAGGACATATCATAAGAAAATAAGTGAGAAATTGAATTTCTGAGTATTTCTGCATTAAAACTGCTGTGAATCTCTGCCAGACCCAAACGGCAGGCTCAGATACAGTGAGATTTCTTACATCACAATTCCAAGCTCCGCCCGTGGAGCTCCGATATGCAGGCCAGACTGCAAGAAATAGAGAGGGCGATCGCAGAACAAGTGTGTGTGGTAGTGGATTGCAATGCTCGTAAGAAAGCTAATTATGATATTAGCTTTCATCATGTCCCATTAAGACATTAGTGTCTGAGAGCTGAAAAGCTCCCATTTACTTGCTACTGTTACAACACCGGCAATGTTAGGATGCAAGCTAGTGTGAAGAGGAGTGGGCAGAGCACAATGTCTACATCTACGACTCAGAGGTGAATTGCTAATGATCTACTGGAGCTCTGCAGAAGAAAAGTCCTTGAAAACGACACAGGTGAAGCTATTTTGGCTAAAAACTTCATAACCACAATTTAAAGACCACTAAGAACACTTTAAGTAGTAAAATGATCAAAGTGGGACTTTAAAGGATCTTTTGCAGCAAAGGTATTTCTTCAGGTGCTTTTCTAGGTGAATATGTTGGAATGATTTTTATGTAATTTTGTCCTCATTAAAACCTGCAGTCTGAAATTTGCCACACTTGACTGAACTTTAGGCATTGATACTCCAATCATACTTGAAACTGCAGCTGATCACTGCACATGTGCCAGAGCATAAACTTTCAGATTACAATTGTTCAGTGGATTATGAAAGTTAGTTATTTTATGTTAATTATTTGTGACTCTGGGAGGTTAGAAATAAATTGGTGTTGTTACTTGGCATAGGCTTTCTCCAGCAGGGCACTCCAGAACTCGTTGTTGGAGGCAGAATGAAGCATGATGAGGTTATCTCTCACTGACGGCAGCCTGTCATCCACCACAATGTCCAGCCATTTGTTGTGCTGCCAGAACTACAACAGATACACATAAATCTGTCAGAAAAACACTCTTATCCACTTTCGTAACCGTGGCACACAGAGGGTCAGTTAAATAACTGGGCTGCTGTGGTAAGGCCTTGATGATAAGACATTTACAGATATTTGTTTCCAAGAGCAGAAAAAGAAAGTGGTCTAGTAGTTTGAATCGGGGTAACGGATTAATGCATGGTTGTATGAAATAAACAGTTAGCCTAAACTAAACATTGAGTTAACATTCGGTTGGATTAAGAGAAGCTCACTGTAAATGTAGAGTTTGCATAAAGTTTGATGCACAGTTGACATACAGTAAATTTACAGTAAGCTACAGTAAAAACACAGTAAGTGGAGATTTAGCTTACAGTTGATGTACAGTTAACGAACAGCTAGGTTGTAGTTAATGCAGTTATAAGACAGTTAACATTCATGCATCATTCATCTGTGTGATCTATTTTTCTGTTTTCAGGTATAATTTGGTCCCCTTTTTGATTTTGGAGCCTATCAGACTTAATCAAGAGAAGCCGAAGTCAACCCCTGAACCTCCTCTGCTCAGGCGTATTATCATCAATCAGTTTGAAGTGTACCTGGAAGTGGAAGATGCCAGCATATCTGCGATCAAAATCCTGATCGTGGGGGACAACCCGGGCCAGGGTATCTTTTTTGAGTGTCAATGATGCAATGGCTGCCAAGAGCCAGCAGTCCCCTATGATGAAAAACAGGTGCAACAGGTGCATAGTGGGTAAACTAGTAAAGTATAAGCATATAAGAGGCAAAAAGATGCAGATAACTTGAATACTAACCAAGCTGTCCTTGGCAGATGTCCGTCCGGTCAGCACCGCCGACGATGAACTTTGGGTTTTGGCAGATCTCCTGGAGAACAGGAAGAAAAAAACAGGTTGGTTTATTTAGTAAAACACAAAGAATGACTGTTAAGAGGTGACACAGGTGCCTTTAATAGGTGTGTTCACATTCCTGGCATATTAATCAGCCTGAAATCCCAGTCAGTGGAACAAGCACAACAAAAAAGACTACACACCAACTGAAGGCAGCTGAAGCATTTACTCTGAAGTAACGCCCAAGACAGAAATGTCATTGTAACGAGTATGAATGATTAGTTTTTCAGTTTACTCAGTGTAGGTCAGCGCGGAAGGCATTTCAACAATTTAATGTGCCAGCTGTGAAACTGTCATTTTCAGAGTGGAGTGGTGTCACACAACAACTTTGGACAGAAAACATCTGCAAATCTAAATGCTGATCAGCTGGAACACAATAAATCAACTTTTCAATCAGCTGCAGAGTGTCCCACGGCAGCAGATAACAGCAAGGTGTGGGGGGATAAAGTCTGCATAAGGAGCTCAGAGTGGAGACGCTGTCCCTGCACTTGGCTTTATTTACACTGTTTTCCAGCAGAACTGGTTTTGCAGCAAAGACTGGATTGACACTTATAGCTTATTTTGTGTTAAAGTAATAAAACTAAGTACAAATAAAAGTTAAGTCAGTACAATAATGCCACTGATTGATCTCTACATATGTCAGACCTAAGAGGAGGCTTTGGTGTTGGTTTTCATTTATCAGGTCATACCAAACCGTACCTTTCAGTGCCTGGAACATCAGAAAATTAGAGCGATTTTATACCAAAATACAACAATGACTTTTAAGAAAGTGGTGATCCATCTCTAAAGAGTCAACAGGTTTGAAATAAAACCTCATTAGATTCTTACTGCTTTGCAAAATCTCAACATTTCATTCATTCATCTGATTCCAAGTCCCATCAGGGCATTTAAACACTGCCCTCCGTCACAACCCGTTCACTTCTTTGGATTAGCGATGACCAGAGCATCATCCAAGCCTCCCAAAACTTCCAATACAAGACTTAAAGATATGAAACTGAAGCAGGGCTTACCGGGGGCCTTTTCCATTCAATGTTGACAGGTACATTCTGGCTGAAGAAGAGAGAGGAATCGACAGCTGGGAAGTCTGGATCCTCAAACAGCACCCCATTCTGCAAACACTCATTTCTCAGCTGATCAAACGACTTCCCATCCGACTGCGTGTCCAAGGCCTTAGTCGAGTTGGACCCCCTGCCAGACAGAGAGGACTGGAGAGGCATCTTCTTCACTGAGAGAGCAAGAAGACGTGATGTGGTGTGATGGAGCGAGTCGCCTGCTGTGTGTCTGGGCCAGGGACGAGCCTGTCAGGTCGGGCAGGGCTGGTACACACCCTCCAGACAGAAACTGGTTTGTCCTCCTGCAGCTGGTGAACCTCGCCCCTGCTGACTCTCTCTCTCTCTCTCTCTGTCTCTCCTGCTCTGTTGACTCTTATCTCTCTGTTTGGGTTTGGCCTGCAGGAAACTTCAAGAATTCATTTGCTGACACTTTGACTACAAATGTTAAAACACTTCAAGTCTTGTCTTCATTCAAATCAACATCTGCAAACCGGACTGACCGGGTTTCAGGGACCATGAGAGTTCAGGGATCTGTTAGTGTAGAGTTTGAAAGTTGTGGAGTATAACCAAGAACATTTAGCCAAGTTCAAGTAGAGACACTCACTTTCAATATTAATTAATTAATCCAGCATAATACACTTTAAGGTATAACACAATATGATATGATTCAATATGATACGATATGATGTGATGCAATATGATGGAATATTATATGATGTGTTACAATGCACCGCAATAGGGTATGATACAATACAATACGTAACGATATGATATGAAACATGACGATATGATACAGTTTCATGAAACACACCACGGTTTCTTATGACACATTATGATACTACATTACGATACTATGTGATACATTGTGATAGGAAGCCTTTGGGTACAGCGGAGTGTATGGATGCAATACAGTACAGAATGATGTGAGTCAATGCATTTTCAAACAATATGGCAGGTCGAATCATGATACTTTATGGTAGGATTCAATACCATACCCTGTAAGTTAAGGCAATATGATATGATATGATACGATACGATACGAAACGATACAATACAATATATGATAAGATGTGATACATCAGGTACAACAGGTAAGATACTCACCATAATACATTACACAAATTTTGATCTGATCCAATAGGATGTGATCTGATATAATATGATGACAAAATACAAATGGAGGTGATTTGTATATAAGTGGCATTAAAATAATAGAAATTTAGCATATCAACATATTTTGGGAAGTTGGAACTGCGTTTGATGTAAAAGTAACTTTTTTTAAATTAGTGTGTAGCTGATGGTTGTGTTTTGTATTTCTAACAATGTGACTGTCAAATTGCTGTCCGAGACTCTTATCTCACAGGGTAAATTACTCACTATTGCACCTTTCAAATTGCACAAAATAAAGTTTTACACAAAAATAACTGCCAAGATACACAAAATGATCATAACAATATACAAGTGACCTCAGTCATTAACAGGAAAGGTTACCAAGACATGCAGAATGGCTCCAAGGACTCTCGATCTGTCTCCCTCCCTCTCATTTTTTCTGTAGGTGTCTCTGAGCAGTTCAGACAGAGTTCGGGTGTGCCAGCATCACCCCTGCTACACCCTGCCACCCACTCACATCCCAGCCAGACTCTGTGCTGGTTTCTGTCAGCTACAACATCCACATTCCTGCAGCACATTCTCAGGATTCCTCACATAGCTGAACATGTGTTGTACAGTGTGATTAACATTTATCAACAATTACTTGTTCTTGATACATTCACTCTTTTCTAAGTTTGTTAAAAATCACACAGAAGGGGTTGTTTGGGGTTTATCTGGTTTGTGTTTCGCTCTTGTGCCCCCTGTGGAAAAGCTGTAATTTTGATCCCTCTCCTGATGCTGGGCTGTAAATTTGTTGATAGTTTTTCTTTTTTAACCTCCTCCAATTTTGCCGCCCCTGGCTTTGATGAACTCCACATCACTTACCATCCATCCACTTCTTTCTCTTTCATATCTCTTTCCAGTTCCCCCTCTGGGATCCACAGGTGCTTCCAGGGCAGGCAATTCCTACAGCAGGCTCTCGGCCTACCCCGAGGTCTAGGTGTGTTACACCTCCACAGGGAGGCATCCTCATCTTGCTTATCTTGCTTGAACCACCTCAATTGACTCCTTTGGACATGAAGAAGCAGCGGCTCAGCCCTAACACCTTTCAGTAGAAACAGTTTTATGTGCCACTCAGTTAGACATGTTATAGATTTTTAAATTGTACATTATTGTTAATGTTTGTGATTTAATCTTCTGTGAATGTCTACTAGTTACTCTCTGCTTAAATTAAATCACCTAAAACTTGTTTTATTGATCATGTACCCTTTCTGATTGTGTCCCTACTTGTTTATTTTATAGAGAGCAGCACCTGTAGGCATGTTTTGACCCCTTACTCTGCAGCCCTGGAAGAAAGGCTCTTAATCGGTTGATCCTCTGGGTGTCTCAAGTCTTTTGAAGAAATTCACATTTGAAACCACACTCTGAAGAGCACCAGAAAACTTCTCTGCACCTTCTTCACACCCCTGCAGCACTCCATGCCTCTGTTTACTGACTTAGTTCGACAAGGTAAAGAAAACAAAAATGTAGAACAAACCAACAACCTCATTTGCTTTTATGGCTCTAGAAGCTTTAAAGGCAACTAGTATTAGGGTTTCCCCTAATCTGATATTGATATTGGATATCTGTCCGAGTTTATCCAAAAAACGAATATCGGATTATATCGGCTTGAATCTAAAATCTCCGACATCAGCACTCTGATACAAGCAGTCCATTCCTGACTCCACTCCAGCAACTCTATCTAACAGCGCCTGGATCCAGCATGTAGAGCCCACATGATCACAACAACAGTGTGTACTAAGGTACGAACAAAAACCAAGGAGTAGGAGTGATGTCAGCCATGTGGCAGTATTTTTAGTTTAAGTCCGAAAAAGGTGTTGCAGCTGAGTGCAAAACTTGTCATGCACAAGTTTGTGCCCCTATTGGATCAAAATCGTTATCGGCCATTATTGAAGGCTACAATATCTGCATCATATTGGAAACAGTTGTATCTGGACACCCCTAACCAGTATCATTTTATCCAACAGGCACTTTCAATAAGCGGCTTATGTAGGCTGTAAAGAGTGTATAACAGCAGAGTAAACAGTTTTAGACAACTGTGGCATGTGAGGAACTCTTTAATACTAACATCTATTGAAGATGCTTCTGTTTTCTTAATACAACAACAAAGACATGTTGTTTTGTTTCAGTAAATCAACATATAAAGTACAAAAAAATATATCCAGCATCTTTCTTTCGATCTTAAGAACTACAGAGAAAAACAAACTCCTGCTTCATGTGCAGGTGCTGACATTGAATGTTTGTGTTTGGCTCAACAGTCAGACTCTTTAAACAAACATTTCCACACTTTCGAACGCAGACACCGCTCAGGTCACTGCTCCGTTTTCTCCTGTGCCGTCCCCGTCACCAGCAGCAGGTTGCAGGCCATGAACTGGACATTCAGCACATTGCTGGTGTTCCCGGTGTACAGTCCCACCAGCTCGCTGGACGAGCCGTCAGCTAGCGTCCCTCCGTGGGAGTTCCGGATGTCCCAAACCCGGACTGAGTTGTCCATAGACGAGGACGCCACCAAGCTACTGTCCGGGCTGAAGGACAGGCTGGTGACGCTGTCCGTGTGTCCCCGTAAATCTTTGAACAGTGTCCCAGATGATAAGTCCCACAGCTTCACCCTCTGGTCCTCGCCAGCGGATGCTAAGTACTTCCCATTAGGAGAGAAAGCGAGCGACAATACAGAGCCTCTGTGTCCAGTGAAGAGGCGAACAGATGCCCCCTGCTGGGTGCTCCACAGGCGGACAGTCTTGTCTGTGGAGCCAGAGGCCAGGTAGTTGGAATTTGGATGGAATTTGACACAGTCCACATCAGAGAGATGGCCGGCGTACAGCCGCAGCGGGTAAGAGCGAGAAAACGTCCAGAGGCGAGCGGTGCGGTCGTGCGAGCCGCTGGCGAAGTAAAGGCTGCAGGGGCTGACGTCCACGTCCCACACCGGGTAGGCGTGTCCCTGATAGAGTGCCGTGTTGGTGAAGCTGCCCAGGTCCCAGTACCTGATGGTGGTGTCCTCAGAGCAGGAGAGCAGGCCGGAGCTGTCTGTCAGGAAGGCAGTGCGAAACACAGGGCCACTGTGACCCCGAAGAGTCTTAATCTCACTGCCTGAGCCGTCCTCTTCGTCCACCTGAGGAGGAACGACAGAAAGAGAGAGTCAGTTTCAAAAACCAAACATCACAGAGATTAGCTCCAGATGAACGGAAGACGAGCTGTTTAAGTGAATGCAAACGGCGTGGAGAGACGCTCTGTAGTGCAGTTAGTGGAAACTTATTGCACGCATTTGTGAATTAAACTACATCTTTGTGGCTCAGTTAGCTTAGAGTTAGTGGATGCAGAAGCCACGCGAACAGTGTGTGAACCAGACCCTCACTTTGAACTGAGATATAAACCAGCAATAAAATCTAATTCCTCTACATTTGAAGATTTATGGTTTATGTTCATTTCCCTCTTAGTGAACTTACTTCCTCCTCCAAAACGTCACAGACCAGGTGAATACGGGACACGTCAGCTTGATGCGGCTTGGCCTTCAGCTTTCTGGCCCGGAGGCTCCACAGCTTCACAGTGGAGCTGTTGTAGCCGGCGCTCAGCAGCCGGCTGTCAGCTGAGACCTCGGCAGTGTTCAGCATCTGCTCTGTGTGGTGAAAAGCGTAAAAACACACAGTGGTGAGCGTGGGGGGGCCCTCACGCACTTTCTTTATGCAGTCCTGTAGAGCCTCCAGGGCCGCCTCGTTTGGAGGGATCCCAGCAGGGACCTCCACCCCCTCACCACCCTCTGCTCCATCTACTCCTGCCCAGGACGAGGTGGAGTTAAGAGTTGCTGCTGCCCCTCCTGCAGCTCCATAAAGCTGGTAGTCTGTCCGCCTTGAGGCAGAGACCTCCACCTGTAGGTGTACACTTATCGCCCTGCAAAGGGCGCTGTTGTCCTCACTCTGCAGGTACCGCAGCAGGTAGTTGTAGGCAGGCTCTGTCAGGTGAACCACATACTTGTGTTCCAGGAAGGCGCTCAGTTTGGGATTTGCTGCAACGTCCTGAGCTGTGAGCACATGGCGGAGCTGCTCTATGATGGTGCTCTGCTCGCTGTCCTGGAGAAATGCGCCGTGGAATCGACTGTAAAAGCCATCCACTGCCCCCTTCAGGCCACACTGCACCATGTCCAGGTGGAGGTAGACAAAGAGCGGGTATAGGATGCTGCTGACCTCCTTCGCCCAGGATATGTCTGTGTCTGATTGAGGAGATATGAAAAGCATGAAAGGTTTTTGTCACACAACAACACAATCACCCAGAACACAAAAAAGAACTCTAAAATGATTTGGGTGATTTCTCAAAAGACATGAAAGAAAATATTTAAGTTGCAAACTTTTGGTAAATTATCTCCTGCTAAATTATGCAGGGCCAAAAGGTAAAGTGAGTGTGATACCTGACAGGAAAGTGCGCAGCCTGGAATACTGGGTCTCATACTGCTGAGGGTCAGACTGACAGGGTGCTGCAGAGACAATGTTGGCACATCCAGACTCTGTCTGCACTGCTCGCAGGACCAGGATGAGAGAGAAGATAGGAGACAAAAGCAGCGAGGATTACATGGAGTAGTCCACTTTGTAAAGTGTTTCATTTGTTACCCAACAGCTGTGATTTCGGAACACCCAGAAAACAGGAGAGGCACATTAACGAACCTGGTTGTATAAAGATAATTTCAATGATTTTCAAACCTGTTAGGCCATCTCAAAGAGCTCACACACCCAAGCTCACCTTACTGGTACATTTACTGAGTCATGATCTCTGAAGGTTTGAAAAGCTGTTCATACACTTTGATAAAGTCATATGATTAATGCAACTATTTGGTCATCTTTATATTTTCACAAGAAAGATGAAAGACACCAGAACAAAAACACAGATGAGCTGAAGGAGCTATCAGAGTAACCTGGATTTAAATAAAATCCCAGCAGAGACACAGACAGATCAGCTCCATGATGCGTCACAGTGATAAATGCAAAAAGATCCCCAACCAAGCACTGGGAGCAGAAATGAACTGAATTTTGCAGTAGACTGACATTTTTATGTTATAAATCCTTTATTTGATTGCTGTTTTGTGAAATTCTGATGTTTTTAGATAGCGGAGTTTTGTGAGATGTGAGCTGTGATCAAGATTTAAAAAAAATAAAATAAAATAACATCTTGAAATATTTCGCTTTGTGCTTGGTGGATCCAGACAATATGAAGTTTCCTTTTTTGAATTGAGGAACTTTTATTTTTCGGACATTCTAGTTTCTTAGCTTAACTTGTACATGACAGGTAAATACAGTGAAACATAATGATAAGAGCCTATTGCGTAGAAATGTGTCCTTTAACTCAGAATTCTGTCTTTCTTGCATATTTTCTGGATGTATAATCAACTGCGTCTGGAAGTTCAGAAAACGGCACTTTCAGTTGTTTCTTGCCACCTCATGTTAAAAGCACTATACTCAACCTTCATTATCTTCTTTCCCCTGTGCTCACCTGTAAGGCCGGCAGCCATCTCCTCAGGTGACTGGAATAGCTTGGCCCCTTTCAAGGAGCCGTCAGTGTCCACATACTGCCTCCTCTTCAGGTACTGAGCCACTGCATACTGGATCTGCTCAGTGCGAACCCGCTTCATAGCCTGAAAACAACATTTACACCGAGCGTCACACACCTGAGACTGCACACAGTTAAAGGAGGCACTTGCACGTAGTTTTCCCCCTTATTCTGTCAAACTTCATGACCAAAAGAACTTTAAAAAGCGAACTTCAAATGGTTACAGATGATAACGCATGTCTTAGTAGAAATCATTACTTCCATGACAATATCAACCCTCTGAGCACAGCATCTGAAAGTACATAATTGGCAAGTAAAGTAGGGAATTAAAGTGGGAACTGAGGTCTGAAACAGTTAAAGCGCTCAAACTGTCAGTTTAAACATGTTAGACAGGGAGAGAAACGTCTTTATTCAGCAGGTTTATACATTTACATGAAATACCTGCATCAAGCTAACCGGTGTTACAACTAAACAAGCGAGTCTATGATATGGCGACTTTCAACCGGTTACGTCTGTGTAAGCAGACGGACGCATTCGGCTACAAATCTCCAGTTAACACGGTCACCAGTTTCAACGTAACACCGGCTAAGCTAGCTCTAGTAGCAGTGGGCCTGGCGGTTTCAAACTTTTAGCGGGATGGAATTGTTTCTGTTGAAAATCGGTACTCACTGCATATCGTTCTTCCCCATTCACATTTACTATAAGCAATATAAAGGGATTTGAGGAAAAACTCCGTGTCCAGATTGATCTACGCTGCAGCTTGTCTGTGCCATACCATCGTGGTTTTACGCCCACCGGTCAGCCTCCATCAAATCGGGTTGGGTTAGCTTGGCCTGTTAGCTTGCTGTAGCAGCGGTCGGTGATCTATTAGTCAGCCTGTGCGGATACATCGTACATTCAACGGTACCGCTATTTTTTTTCGATACAACAGTGAGTTAGAAAGAGTCTTCCCCATCCTTAATTTAATACTGAAGGGGCCAAAATTTATAGTTTTTATTTTACTGCGACACTCATTGTAGTTTTGATGCCAGCAACGTATTTTTCAAAGATGAGACAGGCAGAGCAAAGCGAATTTTTGAGTAATGCTAAAATATTACATGTTACAGAAAATATATTTTCTAATTTAAAATCTAGTTTGATGGTTATAGCACAGTTTTCATGCATCCTGGCAGTCTTTTTTTTTTTTACATTTTTAATCAAAACTTTTGTTATTTCGTTTTCCCGGTGGGCGGGATTTTCCACGGACCCATTGATGACGTACATGTGATGCGACAGCACCGCGCGCTGTTTGTAGATGAATTTACGGTGTGGGTTGGTAACGTCGTTGAGGATTTTTACGGATAAAATTCATAATTTGTACGTATATATACTCTCTTGAGCTGTACGGGGTCTTACAGCAGGCATGTTTAGCCCCCGCACCGCCCCGAGCTCGGGTCGCAGACAGGCTGGCAGGACCACCGGGAGGAAGAGCGTCTCCGGGGCGGCCAACAGCCTGCTGTTCTCCCCGCGGAGGACCCCGCTGTCCGTCAGGTGAGAGGAAACACCGACAGTCCTTTTGTTCAACTTATTTTTGAACTGTTGCATGACTGCTGCTCATAGATAAGGAGTAATTGTTCTGCTGTCCTTCTGGTATCAAAACACACTTCTCTTTCCTCACAAAACTAATTAACTAACTAATTTGGATACCAGACTACCTACAGGTTTTGATCCTGATGAGGATTCCCTAGACCACAGGTGTCAAACTCAAGGCTCGGGGGCAAAATCTGGCCCCTGGAACAATTATATCTGGCCCACAAATTCATATCATACTTGTATTAACATTGGCCACCAGTATGAAGTCTGCAGATTTCCTCCAGTATACTAATGTAAACTTTAGCACCATTATTTGAAATGCCCTTAATAAACCACGAAAATCTGGGAAATTAAAGAGTAAGGAAGATTTTACAAATAGTCGAGAATGTGGGAAAAAATATTTGGTGTTTTATTTCTTTTTTCAATTCTGCATTTCAAGATAACAAATCAAACATGATTGGATTTTTTATTTCATGCTTTGATTTTGTTCAATCAGTATTTAGACTTGTGTCATTTTTATACTTTAGATTCCAAATTTAAGTCATATTTTGACCTTTTAAACCTGATTTCAACGTTCTCCTTATGTATTTGCTCTTTAAAAGCATTATTTTTCTATTTTTTAATATCATGCTCTGATCTTTTGAACTAATAAATAAAAATATAATAACTTTTTCTATCTCAGATTGCCTTTAAATATATCTATTTATCTTTTTTGAATTACCAAATGATTTATAATCATTGCTGTTTTTGTTACATATTTTTTGAAAAGGAGGTTGACAGTTTTGGTGAAATGTTGACCCTGTTTGGCCCTCAGGTTAGACCTAAATCCAGATTATGGTCCGTGCTGTGGTTGAGTTTGATACCCCTAGACCTCCAAACAACAAGTCTGTTTTCTGTATCTTGTCATATTTACTCCTTTATCACATTTATTGTTATTAACTGAAAAACACGTTTCCCCATACAGATGACACCATATCATAAGGCTGCTCAACTATAACAAAACTCATAATCGGGATAATTTTGACTGAAATTATAATCACGATTATTAAAAAATGACTACCCTTGATTTGGCACTGGCTTCACACACACACATTTATGAAACTTTAAACCTCTTTAAATCCTACAGAAATAAGTGGAAACCATGGTCTAGTCTACCTATTTTGTTTAACAAGGTATTTCTTCCATTTTGTACATGCTGAGCAAGTAAACAATGTAATAGTACACAGTTACCAATGTCCCACTAAAACATTGGATTTTGTGCACTGTGTTAATTGCAAATGCTCCTTGTAAGATACCCAATTAAAGATTAAACATATACAGTGCATATAAAACGTCTACACACCCATGTTCAACTGCCAGGTTTTTGTCATGTAAAAAAATTTAATCAAGATAAATAATTCTACAACTTCTCCCACCTTTAATGTGACCTATAACCTGTACAACACAATTGAAAAACAAACTGAAACCTTTCAGGGAGGTGAAGTAAAAATAAACAACCGAGATCACGTGGTTGCATAAGTGAGCATACTTATGTGAAATGTGAAATTATTTGATTTGATTTAATTTTTTTTTACATGAAAAAAACCTGGCAGTTGAACAGGGGTGTGTAGAGTTTTAATATCCACTGTAGACTAGCTGCAGCTCATTATGTGTCTCTGTATCAGGTCAACACCTACCAGAGGGCAGAGCCATGCAGCTGCAGAGTCCATCAACTATGACGTGCAAACCTTCGGCTCCTCGCTGCCTGTCAAAGTGATGGAGGCTCTGACGATAGCTGATGGTAAAGAGTTAAAACCTTTATTTTGTTTCACTGTTATCGTTGAATCAGGGTTTGTTGCAAGCCCTGGATCTCATTCCAGTATCACTGATGATTTTGTGTGTGTTGGTGCCTCTAGCCGATGAACAGATCTCAGTGAAGGTGGATGAGAGCAGCTGGGCCTGGATGGTTTGTGGAGAGAGATTAATCATCTGGAAGATCTGCCAGACTGCCGTTGCCAAGGTACGGTGCAGAATCCTACAGCTACAAGGTGGAAAACAACTGATTTGTAGTTGGAGAAAGAATGAAATACTAAGGCATAAACATGTTGTGAAGAATACAAGTTTCAAAACAGTAATTTCAGAGGTAGTATCACAAGAAGTGTTCACACATCTGAGGGTAGGACAAACTACTCTGCAAAAATGTGACTTTCTTAAATGGATCTGGACCTGAATGGTTGTTCTGGACTCTGCTCTGTGTTTTTCCTCCAGCTTTCGGTGTGTAAGGAGCTGCAGCTGCCCAGCAGTGAGTACAACTACACCGCGGACCTCGTGGCTGTGACGTCTACAGCTCCTCTAGAGACGGCAGCTGTTCAGTCCATCTCTGTCCTGGCGGTGGCTGCAGAAGGAACGGCTCGCTTGTGGCCCAGTCTGTCCCAGGAGGGAAACTACTCAGAAACAGAAGTGGACCTGGGAGATCTGTGCAACTTTGTTGTTGCTGTCAGAGTGAGTACATCTCATTTGTTTACAGCTGAAATAACCCTGCAGGTTACCAAACCATCACTGACACATTTGGCATGAGCTACAAGTGCCAAAACGACCCAACAGTTAACAACATACGGAGTTTTTCTGTCTGGTTTGAAACAAGCAATTCAAAAAGGACAGAACATTACTGTGCTGTTTTCCTCATGGCTTTTTCTCTGACTATTCTCTCCCCGCTCAGGGTGGAAGCTTCGTCCTATCGTCAGTGAAGAACCGCCTGGTGAGAGCGAGTGCAGATTCTTCTGGAAAGCTGCAGTACAGAGCTCTGCTGCAGGGTCAGGGGATGCTCTCCGGCATTGGACGTCGAGTCTCCAGCCTGTTTGGCATCCTCTCTCCTCCAGCCAACGACACAGTGAGTCAGACGGAGTAAAACAGAGGAAATGTCCTTGGCTTTACAGAAAGACCTTAACAGCAACACGCCAACATTAATTTAGTCTGATGGCATTCACACTAGCAGCTCACCTGCAAAGAAGACAACAGCACATTTCAAGAGAGATACATGGCCTGAATCACCAAGATTTCACTTTAGAAAATCACATCCCAACCAGTGTTGACACAGTTACTTTTAAAAAAGTTTTTTGATTACTGATTACGGATTACTCCTTTAAAAAGTAACTTAGTTACTTTACTGATTACTTAAGTTTAAAAGTAACTAAGTTAGATAACAAGTTACTTTTTAAGTTACATTTAGCAGTCTCAACTTATAAATGACAACCATTTAAACCACCTTGGTGTTGTTATCTTCAGCTGACACAAATGCGCGTCCCTCTCCTCCCTCCATTGTTGTTTATGATTGTTTTGCCGCGGCTGCTTTATGTGTGTTTACATGTATTACACATGAGCGGTCCTCGTGCTGAAAACATGACTTGTCGTCTACATGACTGATTTAAGATTAAACACAAAGTAACTGTTTTATGCTTCTCAATTAGACTAGTTTATTGACACTTTACTCCCCGTTGTTCTCTGCAGCTCCACAGTGTATTGTGGGTGGGCGGGGCCAGCTGCCTCTACTCACTGACCAGCTCCAGCCTGAGTAAATGGGAGCTGGACGACAGCTACGAGCATCAGCTCCTCAGCTGGGACACACAGAAAGCTCTGACTGAGAGTATCGCAGACGCAATCTGGGTCAGTAAATAGATTATAATTTGTGTATATGTCTAATCTGGTATCATACAGAGGTTCTGAAGTGCTGCAGGAAGGTTTTAGGTCCTTTAATCCTTGAGTAATTAAGTTTAATGTTGTTTTTTTCTCCCCCTCAGGGTTCAGAGAGCAACTACGAGGAGATAAAGGAGGGGGTCAACGTGACGTACCTGGATATGAAGCTCAGCCAGTGAGTGTTTTATTCATTATTTGTGTCAACATGTTTAATTTAGACTTTTAATTTTCACTCAGCAGTTTGTGTGAAGGCTCCTTTGTGCTTTCTGTACTTATGAAATGTGAGCGCATGTTTGTAACTGTCACTACTACAAACTTTCACATCCTTTACCGTGAAATGGACGTTAAACCCACTAGAGGGCGTGATTTCTCCATCACTGTCATCCAATCGGACCTAAAGAAACATCAGCCCCTGAGACAACATCAGGAAAAACTCAACTGCCGTATCTTTTTAGAGCCGGTCTGGTGGTTTTGGCTGCAGCCTGGCACCCCTCAGACACCCCCTGCCTGGCTTATTTCTGCCTGGTCACCCTGCAGGACAATGGAGCCGCCATCTCAGACCAGTTCACCGTGGAGGTCACCAAGCACAGCGTCCCTTTCCAGGTCAGACTGAGCCACAAAAGTCTTGATTGCTGTGAAGTGAGACTTTAATTCACTTCACTGCAAATATTCTGGGTTTGTCTGTTTCTCTCTGAATTTTTGATGCCGTTTAAAACTTTGTTTAGAAAATGTTTTCATCCTTTCTTGCTCGGTGAAGCATCTTTGGCTGCATCTTTTTGATAATAATGTTGTCATCTTTATTATAAAAAAACATGCTTTTCTCCTTGTCTGCTCTGATTTCTGTCCCTGCACACACTACAAGTTTTATCTGATGAGGTGTTTTGATGGTTCCCTCTTTATCTGCACAGTGTAGTTAAATATATCATAAAAACATTCAGCTGCCTCCAAACTTCTCCAAATCAGGGGACCGGGTTCAGATCAGAAATGTTGTTTTCATTTCACCATATCCTTTAACCTTTCATTGATTTAACGTTAGTCATCATAACTCTTCCTCTAACTGTCATTTGAAATCAAAATCGTCAAAGAAAGAAGCTTCATTTGAGCATTTTTCCCCCCTGTCTGGTTTTCTCAGAGTGAAGAGGCCCTGCAGACGACCCGGCTGGTACTGCCACGCTCCCCCGGCACCACCGCCTTCCTCCACAACGAGGAGCTGGTGTTCGCCTGCTGGACGGGAACCAGCAGAGGAGGACTACCAGACGAGAAAATCAGCTTTAACTCCTCAGGTGGGGAAAGGAAATCTACAAAAACATCTCTACACAGCTTTATAAGATTTTTTAAAGAGGGTAGTGAAGTAACGGTGTTCAAGGCTGGATGTGCAGAGAGCAGAGGCTGCAGGATAATAACAGAAAACAAGTAACAACAAGGAAAATACGATAAAAAAAGAAAGTGTGGCATTTTAACCTGCAAAGATTTAAGACAGAGGGAGCGTTTTGTTCACATCTTGTGGAGGAACTCACCAAAAGTAAGAGTTTTTGAGGTATGATCTAGAAACAATGATGTGAACTTACTCTTTTATGTGCTTTCCAATAACTTATTCCTTTTTTTGTTTGGGTTTTGAGCTCGTATGATGGAGTACCGTGTTAGATTAAAGATGAAAAAAGATAGAATTACGTCAGAATAAAGTCCATATTATTACAGTGAAACAATTGTAAAGTCCGAGTTTTGGTCAACGGTTGACTTATTTGGAGGTGGACAGACTATAAGAAGAGCAGCTCAATAAGGAAGTTCTTGTATTAAAGTAAACTCCAGTTACACACTCATTTCCTCGTTTCTGTAAGGAAGCCCCTGGCTGCTCATCCTGTATCGTACTTCACAACAGCAGCAACATGTTTGATGAGAAACAACTTTATTCTTCTAACTTCAGTCACATTATTAAAACTTGATTCTCATGATAGTTGTGACTTTCCTTCCTTACTGGGCAAATCAAATGTAACTCTGATATAAATACCAAACTTACTGTATCTCTGTGTCTGCTGCCTCTCCAGGTGATGGTGTTCGTGGAGGAGGCTGCTGCGCCAACCTCCCGGTGTTTTTCACTCAGAATAGCGGCCTGGTGGCGGTCGTGGCCCGGGAGAGTGCTTCCATCCTGCCGGAGACCATGGAGGACTCCCTGTGCTCCTCGCTGGCTGCAGCTCCGGAGGTGAAACTCACAAACAGCAGCAGCCCAGTTTAAAAAGTTTTCGTACCTTTTAGTCATTAAGACATCCAAAGCAGTCCGTTACAAACAGGGAGGGTATTGTGGAGGTTGATAAGACTGTGCTGTCAATTTTATGTACAGATTGTGGAACAGATTCTGGAACATAAAAGAAAAGATATCTTAAAAAAAGTTGAAATCAGGGTCAGAAATTGTGCACCAGAATTTCTGCAAACATTTTGAGTAAATATTTATCTTACACAAGCAGTCACAAACATACAGTTCAGCCAAGTCAGCTAAAAGGATGGTGAGTTTGTAAGAATAATATCAATGGAACCTAAAATTTCACTGTTGGTCGTGGCTGAATCTTAAGTGTTTCTGTTTTTGTGTTTAAGGTTTCAGCCATGGAGACTCCCAGAGCAGAGCCTGTCGCTCAGGAGGACAAAACCAAACTCCTGAAGGCTGCTTTCCTGCAGTTCTGCCGGTAAGACCATCATTGAACGGTTTTACGTGGAAAGAGTTGACACGTTGTTTGACATTGGCTTCTTGCTTTGTCCTTTTGATTCTGGATCCGGTGCTACATTACATTTTGACTATGCCAAGCAGGGCTATAACTGGGGTGTAGAAAGTAGGGAGGTCCAGCAGTCATACTTTACGTAAGACTTCATGATAATTTTTTAATTGATTCATTATTTTATTAATTGAATCATTTATAAGATCATGCAGCAAAAAAGAGCTGCACTGAGAGAAAGAGAGAGAGACATGTCTAATCATGTTCCAGTGTTGAGGGTTGTGAAGCTGTCTACTGTATGTTTTATTCGTTATCATATGACACAAATGTCATACTGTAAAATGTTCACTGAGGGGGGAGAAGAGGTGTCAGTTTTTTTAATGTCTCTTCGATGTTTATCTGCATTTATAAAGCCGTTATAGTCAGCAGAGTCCTCCTCGTCCCTCCTGTAGATCAGTTTGGAGTAAATTTATCTAAATTTCCTCCTGACTAGCTTCAAGGAGACAATAACAGCAATACTTTGTTGTGCTTGTGTGCATGCATAAGCTACCGTCCTGTGCTAAAGTCCACCTCTTCTAAACAGCTAAATTGAACCTCAGTGATGATGGAAGGTTTAACCTAACCCTTTTTCTGTCAGGAATGATCTGGTCGGAGCTCAGACAGTCACTGATGAGCTGTTCCCCGCTGATGGTGACAGCGAGGAGGGAGCCAAGCTGGATGCTGTGGTGACTCAGATCGACCTGGACCTGGTGGATGATTACCCGGCTTCAGACCCCCGCTGGGCCGAGTCTGTCCCTGATGGTGAGGAGGGGGAAGGAGAGGGAAAGGGAGGGGTCCATACTGTAGTCAGAAAATACAGTGAGCCCTAAATTGAATCCAGAGGCTGCTTCATGTCGCTTTTTTAAAAATAATTGTAATTATTTTACGAAATTAAGAGATCCCGACTCTAACTTTGCTGTGCTGGTTTGAGTTTTGGATTTATTTATGTTTTACTTTAAGTAGCTGATTGTACGTCAATAATAAGATGGCCCTGAAGGTCAATGGCATGAATATGTCAGGAAGGCAAAAAATAGAAATTAAACAAATAAAGGAAAAGAATTCATGAATTATGAGAAATATATGAATTAAAAAAAAAGAAAAAACTTTGAACAAAACACAAAGTATTTCACATGAAAAAAGCACAAATAAATTCAAAAACAAAAATATACAAGTAATTCAAATAAATTCTAAAACTTTCTAAACATTAACATTCTAAAATTTTTTGAAAGCCCTTAAAATATTTTTGATCACAAAAATATTTAAAAAAAAAAACAAAATTTTTTAACACACTAAAAAATTTAGAAAACACAAATACAAATTTTAAAAAATCAGAAAACCCTGTTTTTAAAAAAAATATTTACTGTAAATGATAATTTGACTGTCAGAAATCAGCTGAATGAGATCTGTTGTCATAAATCACCACTCAAGCATGGAGCTACTTCAGACAAGCAAAGACCAAACCAAAAGTTCCTCATTGAAGCTTTAAATGTAATTTAAACAAACACATATGAGTAAAACACAACTACACATTCAAACAAACCCAAAAAACAAAGAAAGTCCCGGAATAAATATCACTATAGCTTAGCAGCAAGAACAAAAACAGGTTTGTAAACGTGACAGATTTTTGCATCATGCATCTGCCGTCATACCAACGTTATGCTTTTTGCAGAGAGTGCTGGTTTTCCTCTCACCTCCCTCATCATCCTCCATCAGCTGGAAGACAAGATGAAGGCCCACGGCTGCTTCATGGACTTCCTGCTCCAGGTATTTGAGCACCACACTCTCACAAATCCAGCTGGAGTGGCTTCTGTCAGGGCTTTACTATAAAAAGTTAGTGTTGTATGAAGATCCTTAAAAATCTCCTGGACACCATCAGACTAACTGAACCAAATCAAATCCATGCTGTTCAAATAACAACTTTCCTAGTCACTAAATAGATTACACTGAGCTCTGCTGAATACTAAAAGCATCAAACAGATGTGTCTAACTCCACTGGGTGTAAACATCAACGCTCCACTCATGACAGTGAGTCTGCAGTGATTGTTTTTCCAAAGAGGATTAAACCGACACCATGAACCAGCTGGACTCCCGCAGTCAACTATCCTTGAAATGACCTCTGTGCTCTCCTGTCAGGTGGGTCTGTTGGACCGGCTAAGCCAGACCACAGCGCGATCATCTCTCATGGCAACACGCCTCCTGCTGTGCGAACACGCTGAGAAGCTCCAGGCAGCCATGGTGCTAAAAAACCACCACACCAAACATGCTGAGCTGGTGAACCGGGCCATCAGCATCGCCCTGCAGAGGAACAACACCGCTGTGCCGCCCAGCCTCACTGCCACCGACGTCTTCTTCAGAGAGGTGTGTGTCCACCTGTCTGCTTTAGTTGACGTATGCAAAGCAGAGGTTTAATAAAACAATCGTTTTGGTGCTCTCACAGGTGTCCCAGATCTCCTCAGTGTTTGATTGTCTGCTGGAGGAAGAGGAGCGCTGTCTGAAGGAGAACCAGGTGGACTCGGTGCAGTGGGCAGAAGTGGTTCTCACCGTCAACAACATCATTAAGGTACGAAAACTTCATATCATGTTAGGGTGAGATTTCAGTCATGCAGTGATGTGAAGTCTGGCAAATAAAAGAAAAGTTCATAAAATAATTCAGTATTTTGTCTTTGGTGTTTTTGCAGGACATTCTGCAGGCAGCCGGTCAGTACAGAGAGACAAAGTCGTCCATGTACAGAGCTTCAGAAAACGCTGCAGCAGAGCCTGAGTACATCCCATGGACAGGTAACAAAGTCACTGAACTGACCCTTTTACACAGCCTAATGAATTCAAGACTGTTAGTTACTTAGGAAACCAGTTTCTGAAGTTGCAAAGCAAACTGTTGTCCCACTGTTGCCTGATAGAGGAGGCAACATCAGTTCAGGGTCTCTGTTTTTGTTTCATGATGCTCTACATGTTACAATAATTGGCAAGTCAGAACTGCAGGCAGACCAGTCCAGCAGCAGGACTCTTCTACTACAGAGCCATGCTGTTGTAATGCCTGCAGAATGTGGTTTGTTGTTGTCTTGCTGAAATATGAAGGTCTTCCCTGAAAAAGTTGTTGTCTGATTTTAAAGGGTTTTGCAGAAAGCTTATCTTGATAGGAGTAAATATTTCATAACTTATTGTCTGCCACCCTCCTCCTCCTCCTCCTCCTCCAGCATCAGGTGGTGTTGGTGGCATCCGTACGGTCATCTCACGCCAGCATGAGATCATTCTGCGCTCTGTGTATCCTCATGCCGACTCTGAGCTGCGCAGCGCCCTTTGTGAGCAGCTGGTGGCGCTGTTGGATATTTATTTAGGCGGCTATGTGGCCCAGCTGACCTCCCTGCAGCAGCAGAAGCCCTCAGGAGCCCAACAGGAGCGCTACAACAGCCTAGAGATGGAGTACAGCCGGCGCCGTTGTGAGCTGCTCGCACCGCTGCGTAAGTGGATGATTATACCGATCTGACCGTGAGATCTGAAATTAGAAAGACATCTGTAACCAGAGTTCAAAGGATGAAAGAAATTAAGATATTTTTATGATGACATTTTTTCTTTATTTTCATTTTTCTTGATTGTTAACAAATTCTGACTGAGAAAAAAAAAAGCAAAATATACTGAACTTCAAGTACCAGAGCTTGAAAAATTATTTGTTGAGAGTTGGTGCTGAACAAAAAAAGACTGATTGGTAAACAGCATACACAACTACAGACTTCAAACATAAACACTGGACATTTGACTTACGATCAGTCACAATAAACAGCAGCTTGAATTCAACAACAAACAGAGAAAAGCTTGAAAATGTAATGGCACTTGAGCAGCTGTGATGCGCTTCACTGATATAAGCCACATGTTAAAGCCTATAGCCAACGCTGATGGATGTTTTTCTGCAGGTTTGTGTTGTCGTTGTACTAAGCTTGTTGTTTTGTGTTGCAGTGGAGCTGGGTCAGTACCAGTGGGTGGCAGCGCTGGCTGAGAAATACTGCGACTTTGACATCTTGGTTCAGATGTGCGAACAGACCGACAACCAGAGCCGCCTGCAGCACTACATGGCCAAGTTTGCAGACCAGGTACGCAGACAACCAGAAACAAACTCTGGTTTGTATAAATGAGATCACAGTAGTATTGACCAATCAGGCGTCTGCAGGAAAAACAGTTTGTGTGGAGAGCAAAAGCAGGAGGAACACAAATCACCTCAATGACATCTTGTCTCCCATCAGCAGTACTCTGAAGAGGATTTATTTCTCTCTATAAACAGAAACCTGTGCTCAAGTCAGCTAACAATCAGTTCTAGAGCAATATTCACACTGAGACACTAAAGACAACCAGGGCTTAGATTTCTTGACTGCTTTAAATACATCAGAAATGATGAAACTGATCTCCATTCAGCGAACCATCAAGTTTTTAAACTGTTTTCTTTTTCTCCTCTCGAGCACAGACCTGACAAAGCTGCTCTCGCTTCATTTTTTCTCTCTCCTGTCAGAACTTTGCGGACTTCCTGTTCAGATGGTACCTAGAGAAAGGGAAGAGAGGGAAGCTTCTGTCCCAGCCCGCTGCTCAGCACCAGCAGCTCGCCAGCTTCCTGCAGTCCCACCAACACCTGAGCTGGCTGCACCACATTCACGTCAACGACTACGCTAATGTACGACTCACACACACTCATGCATACTCACAGAAAAGCCTCCATGCATATAGTGCATGTAGATCTGAGTCTTGAGGCTGATTGTTTCATGTGTCTGCAGGCTCACAGGACGCTCTACAATCAGGCCAACACAGAGACTCGGTACTTTGTGAAGAGGAAGACGCTGCTGGCTCTCAGTAAGCTGACAGTGCTGGCCTCCAATCTGCCGGAGGACGAGCTCAACAAACAAGTCGAGGGTAAGAGAGCAAGCTGTTCATTAGAAGAAGCAAATTTTACTCTGAGATGAAACTCTTCTGTGGTGAAATCTTTTATCATTTTCAATCTGCAGCTTATTTTAACTCGATTCTGGTGTTTTTCTGTCCACTCAGATATCGTGGAGCAGGAGCGCTTCCTGCTGCATCAGGAGACTCTTCCTCGTCAGCTTCTGGAGGAGAAGCAGCAGAACCCGAACACCATGCCTCTGCTTAGCGCTCACAATCTCATACAGGTGACAAGTCTAAGTTTCTCTTGCATGTATACACCTCAATCAGACCCAGAGTGGCCCAGGCGTTCTGTAGAAATAAAGAGAATGAAAGTAAAAATGAAACAGTTAAATCAGGAAGATAAAAAGTAAAAGATGGAATTTGCTTCATGGTGCATGAACCTGTAAGCTATCTGACTTGAGATACTGTAGCTGTGAGCAACATGTGTGTGAGTAGTCTGATGATAACGGGGTAATGTTGTCTTTTTCTACTGTTTGCCTCTTGTTAACTTTTCTGGTGATTGTTTTATTCTGTGATGTATGAGATCAACTGAGAGCAGGCATACCTTTTTCAATAAACGGCTTCTCATCCGGTGCTTGTAGACCTAGAGAAGAATAACTGTCCAGTCCCACCACCTAGTAGTGACATAATCATAGCTTAACACCCTCTGCTCACTTCAGCATCCTCTCCTCTCCTCAGCTGTACATCTCCGATGACAACAGGCGAGCCAACGAGTATGACTTCAAGAAGGCTCTGGATCTGCTCGAGTACATCGAAGAGGTCAATCGGATTTATTGATCTCTGCTCTGTTTGAGGCTTTTGCAGGTCGGGGTTGTTGAATAAGCAAACTTAAAAACCTTTTTTATGTGTTTGCAGGAGGATGATGTGGACCTGGACGCTCTGAAATGTGAGATCTTGGGCAAAGCACTCAAGAGAGACGAGTAAGATCCATCTTGCTGTTGAGTTGTGGAAATTTTAACAAGATCATGTTTGGAGGAAAGACGTGTAACCACAGCTGTTCATTTGTTTGTTATTGATGAGTCTTAGATGTTGAATATGTTCTGTGTATGCTTTTATCTCAGCTGGTCCTCTGCTGATGGCACAGACGATCCCCTAGAAGGTGCCAAAGACAGCATCTTTGTCAAAATCCTCCTCAGACTCATCCAGGAAGGTGAGACACTGACAGCTCATAAAGCTGAGTTCAGCTGTTGTCGCTTGAATTGCCTGAAAGAAAATGTTACCGCCTCTAGTTTCTAGTCAAGAGAAGGTGAACGCTTTTGAAGATGTTTGCTGACAGTTGATTGGTTGTTCTTCTTAGGAGTTCCCCTGCAGACATATCTCCCTGACGTCAAAGAGCTGCTGGATCTGGACGAGCTGAGCAGCCTGAAATCCAAACCATACTTTGAGTTTGTGCTTCGAGCAAATTATGAACATTACCTCCAGGCTCAGATGTGACGGCTGCTCCTCTCCTGGTAAACACCTCCTGCACTTCAGCTCTCCCTCACATCCTTATGCTTTAAAAATGTGTTTAATGGGAGAAAAGTATAGTTCAAAGTTTATTTAAAATTCCAACACCAAATTTGCCAAATACACAAATAGTTTCCCAATTTAGGGAAGTGTTCTCAAGTATAAAAACATCTGTTATATTGGGCCCCTTATAAAAAGTTCTTATAGCACAAAAAGCTTATTCGTGTTTTTCAGTGGGAGTGCAAGCAGTTCATATTGGAGTTTTCTACAGGCGACTCTTGAATAGTTGATCTACGTTTAGGTTTATTTTGAAATAAAGAACTAGAAACTTGAACAAGAAGTGTGACCTAAATGTGAATAAGGTCTAAACAGCTGTTTTGTTGTGATATAAAAGTCCATTTATCCCACCATAGAGTGACTCAAACACTGTAAATGCACAGTTTCTGCTCAATTTACTGTTTTTTCTTTTTTTTTTTTTGTAGAAATCTGAAATTCATAAATAAATGTATCAACATCTTTGTTAAAATGTTGTGTTGTTTTATCTACCTTTGAGGGTTTCTCAGATTTAGTTCCTATTGCCCCGACTGAACCCAGCTCTGAAATAGGACCAGGATAATCAAATTTTAGATTAGAGTTATCCCAATCCTTTCTAAAAGCGCTGAAGAACACAAACTGGGAGTTAATCCTGTTGAAATGTGATCAAATCTGACTTTCTTATACATTTTTCTTTTGAGTAATTGGATTTTGAGTTATTTCCAAGTTTTTTTCAAGCATCAAAAACTTGTGATTTTTCTCCAGAAGAATCTATAAAACAAAACATTTCTTGTGCTTATGGTAGGGTCGTGATCATGCCTGTAAAAGGGAAGCTATTTTGTCACCAAATACCGCAGTTGCATCAACTTCCCCCCTCAGATTGATGACTCCAGCTTCCAGTCGTACTTTCAGTCTGGTCATGTTCCATTTAAAACTCCCACAGCCTCTCTGATCTGCGGCTCCGTGAATCCCAACACCTCATGGAGCTCAGTGAACAGTTGGATAAACACAGGCGGGTCTGTGGGCTCAGTGTTTGTCCCAGAGGGATACTGTCTCAGTCCTCCGCCTGCAGCTGTCCGATGTGCTGGAGGTCCCGACCCCCTCATTCAAGAAACTGAAGAGTGATGCTTTTGTTTTAGATTCAAAGCTGAAGAAAGTCTCAGGCTGTTTAACAAAAATCTACCAGATTGATCAGATTTAAGATAACGCTCATCACAGTTTCAGATAAAACATATTAATCTATTGTAGTTGATTACATGTTAGAAACTTGGAATTAAGCAAACCATGCAAGAAGGTAAGATAGTGAGAAAAAAGTTGAGTCTTTATGTCAGTATTCCAAGAAGCGTCAGAATTCTGAGATCAGAGACAGAATTCCAAATTTAAAATCAGAATTCCTAGATCAAAGTCAGAATTCCAAATTCAACATAGTAATTCTGAGAATAGGGTTTTGTTGAAGAAGCACTCCAAGAAGGGTCAGAAGTGTGAGATTATAAGCAGTATTCCACATTTCAAGTCAGAATTCTGAGTAAATCAACAGTCAGAAATCTGGGAATAAATTCAGGATTTTGTATGCTAGAATTTGAAGAAGAGTCAGAATTCTGCATTTAAACTTCATCTGAGGCCAGGATTCCAAATTTCAAGTTTATTATTTATTTGGGGAATAAGGTCAGGATCCTATGTGCCAGGATTCCAAAACCGTTTAGAAATTTGACATTTAAGTCAGAACTTCAGACTTCCTAATAAGAACTCAAATACCATATTCACAAGTGTGAGATTAGAGTCAGACTTGTTGGATAAAGTCAAAAACCAGACTTTAAGTGACCCTCAGTTTTCTTTTCGAGTGTCTTCACTTTCAGTTAGGAAAATGTGATCTCAGGTCGTTGTGTCTAGTGGGATATAGGCTCCAGAAGAAGTGAGTTGGTGAGTGATTTTTTATGTAAGGGATTTAAATGCAGATTTGTAGCTACTCTGTTCAATTTTGCTGATGTCAAGGACAATATTAAACTCCCTTATTAACTGAGAAATGCTACGTTCTGTGCGCTTTCCCGTCCTTTCTGTTAAAAAAAAGTAGCTCGAACCAACAAAAATAAAAAACAAACGCCTTCAAGATTTAAGAGTCAATTTTAAGCCTTGACCTAATCTCTTGAATGGGCGTGTGTGTGTGTGTACTATCTGTAAACTAAAGTGTGTATGGTTGTAGTAGCCCTTCACACCCGCCTTTTACGGTCGCTGTGTAGCTCCATACACGGGCTCGAGCGCTCAGACACGGCCTCGCGGGGGCTACCTCTCCATATTTGGCCCGCCCGGCGCGCGAGCCTCCGTGTAGAATCTTGCGGCCGCCCTCCCGCGCGACCATGTATGGTCGACGGGCCGGTTGAATTCCTGAGGAATACTCCGACATTCCTAACGGCTGTCTGGGGTGAGGAGAAAAAAACCCTCCCCGGGTGGTATGGAGAGGACACGGGTATATAAGGACCCCGGTGGTCGCTGTCTGTCACCCCTACTCAGCTGGAGCCAGCAGCGGTTAAAGCCCCTCAGTGACAGCCGGAGACAAACGGAGGTAAGCGGCTTGACTGTAGGAGTTGGATGGGCGGGCGGAATGAGACCGTTTGAATGAATTGTTCAGTTAACAAACTTTGATGATGTGTGATAGTGTGAAACAGATTTGAACTGGCAGTGAGCCTTGGCCTGATTCTGTACACCTTCACTATTAAAGAGGAACGAGCTTTTGTTTTGACAGGCAATAGTAAACTTCCTGCGAGGCAGATAGACTTGTTGCATTCAGGTGCTGTTGGAGGTAGACACCAAAACCCAGGTAATTCCTGGTATTTCTGAAATCACCACTTGTTACGTTTGGATCGGGGTTACCAGTTGTGTGGTACATATTCTTTTGGTCAAATTTTGTAAAAGTACAGGAGAAAAAAAACTCAGGGAGCAAACTCTGGTGTGTAATAGCAATCTGAAGTGAAGATGTAGGAGTTTATGAGGAGTACTTGAAAGCATCATTCCTCTAAGGAATTCCTCTAAGGCTGAAAGCATTTCTGTTTGTCGGCCAGGCCTCGTAAACTATATTCGGGTAATTGACTCGTATTTGATTTATTGAAGACGCTTCAGCTATCCGAAGCATTTAAAACTGATGGAAAGTCATGAGATAATTTTTGCACTAGAACAAGGACAGAAAAATAATGAAAAATCACTATATATTTATAGTGATTTCTGAGTGTTAGGGTTGCTCCACTTGTAGAGGACTGAGAAGAGTAATGATAACATAATAGTATTGTCTGTAATTATCTGTTACTAAAATAAATATAAAAGTGCAGCGTCAGAATAATATTGGGTATTGCCATAACAAACTGTGACTAAAGCTACAATTGTATCTTGTGTAATTAGAGGAATTACCAACATATTCCTTTGTGGAGTCATTTGTGTGTCATTGAGAGGTAGTTTTAGGACTTTTCTGTCAGTATCTTTAAGGAACCAAGTTGGCAAAAATATTTTAGATTTCATGATAAAACTCCAATTCAGACGAATTTCCCATCAGACGAATCTCTGTGTGCTGTACAGTGTCTCACCTCCGACTCTCCACCCTTAGAATCACCTGCAGACATGTGTGACGACGATGAGACCACCGCCCTTGTGTGTGACAACGGCTCTGGCCTGGTGAAGGCTGGCTTTGCTGGAGATGATGCTCCCAGGGCTGTGTTCCCCTCCATCGTTGGCCGTCCCCGTCATCAGGTAAACCACAGGAGCTCCTATCCCATTACTGATATCTCCGTGGTCACAAACACAGCCTGACTTTGGACCTACTGAGTTTTTTAGCTGCTCCTGATGTAGCTTTATTGAAAGTACCCTTACTCCTGTATTGACTGTATTTGTTGATGTTGGAGATGAATAGAAAGAAGGAGCTATACTAAAAGAGATAACCCAGTCAGTAATTATATAAAATGATAAGCTTCAATGCAACAAATAAGCTGGATTTAGCTGTTATTTACGTTTTCTTGATGTTAAACCCTCATTTCTCTCTCCTCAGGGTGTGATGGTTGGTATGGGTCAGAAGGACTCCTACGTGGGTGATGAGGCCCAGAGCAAGAGGGGCATCCTGACCCTGAAGTACCCCATCGAGCATGGCATCATCACAAACTGGGACGACATGGAAAAGATCTGGCACCACACCTTCTACAATGAGCTGCGTGTGGCCCCTGAGGAGCACCCCACCCTGCTGACAGAGGCCCCTCTCAACCCCAAAGCCAACAGGGAGAAGATGACCCAGATCATGTTTGAGACTTTCAACGTCCCCGCCATGTACGTCGCCATCCAGGCTGTGCTGTCTCTGTATGCCTCCGGTCGTACCACTGGTGAGTAACAATTTTTTTAACAGAATTTTTTTGTCCCTTTTACAAACTTCCTAGGACAGATTTGGGTCCAAAACATGAGGACTTAATGATTTGGCATTTTAAAAAGAGAAACACAACTTTGTAGCATGGCAACAGTGGGGGAGGCTTCTTGAGTGCTGAAAGAATTTTAGAGAGACAGTAGCTGAAATTAAGTGTTTTCAGATAGAGGCTGAAATGAGGGAATTTCAAAACACCAATCTGGCTACGTAAGGAATTTTTTTAGCTGTAAATCCTAAAGCTACTAAAGGCCATCTGAAAATTGGCAGAATACTCTCATTTAAGCTCGTGTAAAATACACTAAGGTTCATGTTGCTGTCTTTTTCTATGGTATAAAAAGGCAAAAATTACCATCAGGGACACGATTGAAGATTTTTATTCTAGGATGATTTGTCCACAGGGGCCCCAAAATTGGTATAGAGTTAAATTTACTCACAGTAACAAAGAGGTTTTAATTACAGTAATTCCCACCTTCGATGCTCATATTTAACCCTCCTGTTTCTGTCTCAGGTATTGTTCTGGACTCAGGTGACGGTGTGACCCACAACGTGCCCATCTATGAGGGCTACGCTCTGCCTCACGCCATCATGCGTCTGGACCTGGCTGGTCGTGATCTGACCGACTACCTCATGAAGATCCTGACTGAGCGTGGCTACTCCTTCGTCACAACCGGTAAGAAACAGCAGTCTGACTTTATTTTGAGAAAAATACAGAAACAAGGGAGCTTCTGTGACATTTAATTTCTCTTTTCGTAAGAAGTCCTCTGTGTGAGAATTTGGGACTTTTCTCAGAAGTAGCTCCAAACTTGTACATGTGTACTCCATAATAACCTTTTGATGTTGCTTTGCATTTATTTTTCTTTCATTTCGGGCACACTCTGACCTTTCCTCTGTGTTTCCAGCTGAGCGTGAGATTGTGCGTGACATTAAGGAGAAGCTTTGCTACGTGGCTCTGGACTTTGAGAACGAGATGGCCACCGCTGCCTCCTCCTCCTCCCTGGAGAAGAGTTATGAGCTGCCTGACGGTCAGGTCATCACCATCGGCAACGAGCGTTTCCGCTGCCCCGAGACCCTGTTCCAGCCCTCCTTCATTGGTGTGTAAAACTTAATTCAAGGAGAGAAAACTGTTTGAAGGTGGTGAATCGTCTCTAAATGTAATCTAAATCTCCTTTTGGTGCTTCTGATCAGGTATGGAGTCCGCTGGTATCCATGAAACCGCCTACAACAGCATCATGAAGTGCGACATCGACATTCGTAAGGACCTGTATGCAAACAACGTGCTGTCTGGTGGCACCACCATGTACCCTGGTATTGCTGACCGTATGCAGAAGGAGATCACTGCTCTGGCCCCCAGCACCATGAAGATTAAGGTATGACAAACACTGATGAACTATGAAAGGGTTAAAAGAGTTTACAATCATTTAATAAACACTGAAGGGTCAAAAACTGGTCCAAACTTGGTGATTATCATCAAAAACATCTAGTGCAATTTTTAAAAAGTCTGAAAAGAACCCGTAAATACCACTGACTCATCACCCTACATGTTACATATTCAACTTGTTGTGTTATTAGGCGTTAAAAACTCAACCCTGATTCCCTCCTCTCCTGTAGATCATCGCCCCACCTGAGCGTAAATATTCTGTCTGGATCGGTGGCTCCATCCTGGCTTCCCTCTCCACCTTCCAGCAGATGTGGATCAGCAAACAGGAGTACGATGAGGCCGGCCCCAGCATCGTCCACCGCAAGTGCTTCTAAACACCATATCCAAAAAACCAACTCAGGATCTACAAGACCCCGCCGTCACAGGACTTTGATACTCAGACCATGGCCTTATCTGTACATATGTTATTTATTCCTTCCGTTATGTGATATTTTTAATGTGAATGATGTACGGCGTGAATGTTAGAGTGAAGTGAATGTTGACTTTGAGGTACGACACACTCAAAAAGACCAAAAAATTAATAAAATACTCTAATTTTCACTTTTGGCTTACTGTTGTTTTTTGTTTCTGACTCTAAACCTGATCCCAAAACCGTGAAAACATTTAAAATAGTTCAGCCATTTCCAGTTTGTAATTTTCTTTCTTCTCAACAGTTAAAACCATCCACATATCTACTGATAAAATGGAGCATGTAGATCCTTTTCTGAAGTAAAAGAACAAACGATACACTGAAGAAATACTCTGGTACAGGTATAAGTCCTGCATTTAAACTCTTGCTGAAGTCAAAACACAAGAAATCAGAGTAAGAAAACACCTGAAGAACTGCAGAGCATATCACCTGAATACATAATTTAAGACAAAATATAGAGTGTTAATTTTAGAAGCATTGTGATATTAAAGTGGCTTTAAAATTGCTGCATATAAAGAACATAAAATGCGCATAGTTACATGGTGTATCTGAGTGCAATGCTAATTAGCAGGAAAAGAAAAAAAAAATGCAACAGGCTTTGTAATTATTACAAGTTTAATACAAAGGTAGCCTAAATATCATGGTCTGTACAAACACGACACCACCCACTGTTTTTTAGAGTGGAGTTCTGGCGCCAAAGATGGCACTCGCCATGTTGGAAATGTTTTCTCAGCCTCTACCTTGCAAAAAAAACAAGAGGCAACCTTGTAATCAAAGCCTGAACATCTAATAATTAAGTAAGCTATCCAGCTCTAACATGTTTTTTTTTTTTAACTAAGCTGTAAACTTATTTTGCAGTGAAGACACAGTTATTAAATTGGGGGTATATGTGGCCCAGCATGGACAGCCGCCTCAAGCGGGCGCTTTCAGGAACTACTGTTTCATTTACCACTAACTGCTATCCACTACTGCAGCAACAAATAGCCTATAAAAACAAACAATACTGTGATTATTTTCCAAAATAATCTTAAACACTTACACACCTTTTTATGTTTGTGTTATTTATTTTTTCATTCATCGACAGTGGCTAAAATTTAAAAGTGTAATATTCCTCAGAGGAGAGCAATTCCAGACAGCAATAAAGAAATCGTTCAGGAAAGATTAGAGACTAATGAGCTGCTTAAATGGATAAAGATGATAAACAGTGAGTCAAACCCTCCTTGTAAAAATATCTGAGACATAGACCATTACCCCCCCCCCCCCCCCACACACACAGTCCTGAATCCAGACAAACGAGAGAAACCAGATCCTTCATAACATTCATAAAGCTCTTACAGGTCCAAAACAAACACAGAGATCAAGATCAAGAGCTGTTTAAAGATCCAGCTGCATAAGTGCGCCAAACTAAACAATATAACACGAGAGAGGTTGACCTCCTCTTCCCTCTGCTGATAACTTCCAGGATTCATGGCTGTAACCTTAAAAAAAGAGAATACCTGTCAACCTGATCCCACTGTTATTCACCTGTTGTCTCAGCGCAGATGGAAGGAGAGCACGCATGCGCAGTGCATTCCCTGCGTCTTAAAGCAAAAATCATATTTCACTCTTTATTACATTTCTTCTCCGTCAAGTTCAAAGGAGAAAAAACAAAGTATTTAAAGGAAGTGGTATATGTGCATTCTTTCAAAGTAAGAGTTTTCAACATAGACTGTATATAGTATATACAGTCTATAGACTGTATATAGTATATACAGTCTATGGTTTTTAACACACTTTGACTTAGGCTGTACGTTACTTTCTCTAAGGCTACAGTGTCATTGATAAAACTTCTTAACAGCCGTCTGGTAAGCTATTTGTGCTTCTCTTTTAATATTTGCTACCAAATATGTCGCTTAACAAAGAGTTACATACTAACCATCTAATAATGATATGGATACTTTCAACTAACGATACTAATTCAAGTTTGGTTGTTATTTTTTTACAGGCTCCTGTTTAAAGGAGATTCCAAATGTAATTTTTGAAGTGAAGTTATTTTAGGAGAGGGCACAAATTAATCCTAAAACCCTGTCACCACAGATAAATCCAAATGACTAGTTCTGAAGTTGTTTTTTTCGTCTCATGGAAGTTTCAACTGTGTATTTAAAGCACATATTATCTTATATTATCTAAAAGATAGTCAACTTGCACTCCAAGTAGTTTTATCATATCTTTTAGCTTTTCGTGGTGTAAGTGCCTTTATTTTTCACTTTTGCTCAGGATTTTTCTAATGCCTGTATGTCTTTATGTTTGCCATGGTGTGCTGATGCCTGTTGCAAACCAAATTTCCCACGGGACGACATTAAAGTTGAAGTGGAAGTTAAATATTTCCCTGTGAGATTAAAACACTGCACACACAATATAACATGTTCCCACACTTATATCAGGTAAACAAGTTATTTTTCTTGAGTCACAAGTCAATATCTTGTGTGGACAGTATATTAAAAGAATACTTTCTTTCAAATCTTAGGACTCAGTAAAAATCTGTTTACATCCTCAAAGACAAACCATAAACTGAATAAATTAGTGAGTGTTTTTTTCAGAAAAAAAGTCTATCGTTAATGTCAAGGTCGGAAACAAGAGATATTTTATTAATAACTTTATTTCCTTATCGCTCATTTTTGAATTAACAAAATATGGTGTTGGTACATAATTGTTTAATTCAAATTCTAGCTTTTTCGTTTTCACTATTTTGTCATTTTTACGTGAGGCTCTGTTTTCGCAGATTTTATATAGTATTAACCATACATATCATACCATGTATTTACTCGCAGTTTTATTTTGAAACGCCACGCCGGAAGCTCTCGCTGTACGTCAGTTAGCTTCGCACCTAGCTGTGGCTGTTTGTTCGCTGTCAGTCTGGAGGGAGCGCAGCGATTCCTGTCATCTGACCGCGGGACTGAAGAGACGGACTGGGTTAAGATATTGGACGGAACACATTTGGAATGAGGTGTAGGTGAGTAAAATTTGATCTGACATTTATTATGGTGCAGTTGAAAGATGGATATCAGCGTCATTTCTTGGTGCTGGTGGTGTTTACAAACGGGGCTGAGCGTTAACGTGAGGTGAGGATAACGGTCGTGAATCTGGCTGAAGCCTACTTTAATACGATATTAATACCTGTCAAACTTCAAGTTCACACTCTAAACGGTATTTTCTATTTTAAACAGACAAAAGTGACCGATATATCTGTCTCCGTGGCACTTATATGGGGCAAAATTAGAGACATTCCCATGGTTTCAGGGTGTGACAGCACAATTTAAAGCCTCTAAATAACGCATTCACAAACACGGTAAAATATCATAATTCACTCGTCGTAATTAGCTGTAAGAAATAAATGGTATCAAATATTGACCTAATTTGTTCCTGGGATCACATGTAGGTCAGCTCAGACAGATAAATATTTAATTTGGCTTGTTTCCACTCCAGTTGACCAGTATTAAAAAATAAGGAGTAGAAAAAGGGAAATGTGTGTGTAGGTTGGAGGCATCCTGGCAGAAATAGATTGTGTGATATTGGCCGTGTAGTAGGAGGAAAAACAGCTCTGTAGTAAATCCATTATAGCCTCAATCCTTCTCTGCCCTGGCTGTAATCTGTTGAGAAGGGGAGGTGGGCGTGGCTTGCAGGTAGACCACACCTGTCTGAGTTACGTCAGCAAGGACTACAGGTAGGATACACACACAAATAGATAAGTGCTATAAGCAAAATTAAGTAATTTAAACGTGATGGAGCCCCCTAATCAAATAACCTTGCCAGTTTGATCTGCTGCATTCAATAATTACAATTGTCATGATGTATCATTCTGTGATTATGTGACAATTTATCATTTTTTTTACAGAATCACTATATCATGATATCATAGTTATTAAGGGTCATGTGCTAAATCCCAACTGTAATATTTTGTACTGCATTAGAACACTACATTGCTTGTGTTACATTGTATTGTGGTATAGTTAATTGTACAGTATTGTTTTATATCACATCATACATCACATTATTCCTTCTATTGATTGCATCATGTAACATTACGTTTCATGAAATCCCAGTACAATCCATCACTTCACATGGGATCACACTGGACAGTATCATGTTATATTGCCCTGCTACTAAACGTATCACATTGCATTTTCTCACAGGATATTGCATTGTCCTGTATGTTATCACATGATTGCTCTGCATCCTATCCTACTGTATTATATGGTATTGCATTGGACCATGCAGTATCATTGCATATGATGTCACATCGTGTCCATCTACAACAGTTGTTCTGGTGGCGTTGCATCGTCTTGTAATGCATTGCAAGGTTAAAGGTAAACTCCATTATCCCTGTGAAGGACAATTTGTTCTGCAGCCAGGAGTAAGAAATGCACAAGCAATAAACAGCCTCATAAAAATAATAAAAATACATAAAGAAAAAATAGGAAATGGAGTAAAAAAAAGTCAGGTGGGGAGTAAATAATTCAAGGAGTAAGTAATAAGCTGGTTATTTAAAGAGCTAATTGCAGCTGGGACAAATGAATTTTGAGTCTCTTAGTCCTGCATTTTGGAAGCTGTATCTGCGGGTTGAACTCAGAGAAAATAATGAGGCTCTCTGATTTTCTTCCTCTGTTTGTCTTCAGTGTTTCCAGAACCAGACAGGAGCAATAACAAGAACCATGGTGACCAAAAAGATCCGGACAGAGTACATGAAAAAGTTCAAAGATCCTCGATGGGAGACGTTTTCAAAATGCTACGAGGATTCTGTGAAGTACCGTCTGACCCGGCGGGTCATGGAGCACTCTCACAAGCCCTGGTTCTGGGAGGGATGGGACAGTGGCTCTGACTCTAGCGGTTGGTCCACTCCAAGACTGACCAGGAACAAAGTGGCCCCCCTTTCTCTGCCTCCACCAACATCTTTGGAGGGGAAACAGAGGCAGCCCAGCCCTGCACCAAGACCATCTTCTGAGGACGGAGGAGAGGTTGAGGCGGGATCTGGAGAGGAGGCAGCTGTAGATGCTGCTCCGCCCACAGGTGAGGAAACAGTTTCTGACTCTGACTACACCCGGGCAACAGTTTTGTACGCCTGAAAGTCACAAAGTATTTTGGTGCATAAACAATCAGAAACAGTGAATTTACCAACGAGTCAATCCAAACCTGTCCTGCTAAATTTATCTGACTGATGTAAGGTTTTAACAGAGACTCTCCACACTGAGTTTTTCCTGCTTTTGCTGTCTGCACTTGTTGTCCTGTTTTCTGTCCAGCTCCCAGGGATATTTTGGACAGTCTAACAGAACCTGAGAGGAGTTTCTTTGTGCTCCTCTCTGACAGTACGAGGGCCAGAGGCAGCAGCCAAAAATATTGGCGGATTAAAGTTTCAGTGATCAGTTTGGACTGTTTCCTCCTCTTCAGACTCAGATTTAAAGAACATGTCGTTTCTCTGATTACACTCAGGGGGACACGGGAATGAGTCAGTAGATGTGTTTTTTCATCATCATTATTTTCATTATTTTTTATTTTAGTCCTGAAAATGAGCCATCATCACAGTGCTACAAATTAAACACAGAGAAGAAAATAAAGTTTCTTATTCTCACCAAACTCAACTGATTTGGTGTTTTTTTAGATAAATGTCAATTTACAGCTCTTGTCAGCACAGTATGACCCCTGAACTCTCTGATTTTTGTCCTGTAAGTCATGTTTTTATCATACAAATCATATCCTGTTTTCTTTTAACAGACAAATGCATCGTTCATCAAGAACCTTCGCTGAAAAAAATGGTCAAATGTGAAGTTTATCACAGTATCTGAGTGTCCAGCGTTTAGAAAAGAGGGTTCCCTTTACATAAGGGTTTAAAAAAGGCTAAAAATAAAAATCCTGAAAAGAAATTTTCATTTTAGTTACTTTTAACTGTCTAATTCAGCACCTGATGGGAAACTCTGCAAAGTAAAAATGGATAAAAGCTCTTTTGTCAGCTGTTAATCTTTGAAACTCTGTTCTGTAAAACTAGAACAGCCTGGTAGGATAAGTGAAAAGTATTAAAAATCATAATAGCAATAACAAGAAGTTAACCCCTTAAACACTAGTTTCAAACAAACTGCAGAAATCTGAATTGTGGAATTGTTTCATTGAGCTGGTTAGGATCAAGTCATCAGTGGTTTGATATTTAAAGCTTGTGGCATAATGAGAGAAAAGCTGCTGAAAACACAATAACATAGATCAGTGGTTCTCAAGTCCAGTCCTTGAAGCCCACTGTCCTGCATGTTTTGGATGTTTCCCTGCTCCAACACACCTGATTCAAATGATCAGCTCGTTATTAAGCCATTACAGAGCTTGATAACGAGCTGATCATTTGAACCAGGTGTGTTGGAGCAGGGAAACATCCAAAACATGCAGGACAGTGGGCCTCAAGGACTGGACTTGAGAACCACTGAAACAGATGATGCAGGTATTTATTTACAAAAGTAGATAAAAAAAGGTTCTTAAAGCCACAATAATAAACAAAAGCTCCCGCTAACAAGAAGCGAAAACTCTTTACACAAGGAGTGAACTTAAACACGGTTCCTGCCACCACACTGAACCACAGAGCAAGAGAAAGTCATGAAAACCAAAATGACAGCAGAGGCAGTTTTAACACTGAGGGCTTAAAACTGAAAAACAAAGACAGCTCCAGCTGCCTGAAACTCTGAGACAGTGTTTCTTTAATGAAACATGTTCTTCTCTGACTCTAACCTCAAGCGTTTGTGTGTATTTGTGTGTGTCAGTGGTGGAAAACGGTGTGAATGAAGCCAGCGGGGGTTCGGTGGAGGTGGCTCCAGACAACAACGGACCATCAGACGACACAGACAATGGTCCTGCAGACACGCAGTCTTCAGACGGTGAGCTGGTGAACCCTGCACCGAGGAGACGCCACCGCCGCCGCACCCCTAGGTCTGAGCCTGGAAACCGGGACAGTTCCCATGATGATAAACCAGTTGTTGTGCGTAAACCACCCAGAGCTAAGAGCCAGCCTGCAATCAGCACCAAGGAAAAGGAAAACAGGAGGCCGTCCAGCCGACTGGACTGGACCGAGAAGCAGACTGAGGTCAGAAGGACGCCGAATGATGTGAGTGTTTAAATATATAGAGAATGACGCCTTTTCTCAGATACAAACAGGGACTGAAAAACACTGTAAAAGTGAAGTTATCTGCCGTGAAAAAGGTACTCAGATCTTTCATTTTAGTAAAAGTAGACATATAGTAGAGTCAAACTCCTTCACCACTAATTAAAGTCAAAAAAGAATCAAAGTTTAACTTGACTGACTGATGGAGAGAGCCCCCATGATCCAAATCTGCTAGAAGATATTTGCAGATGTGTTCAAATCTCCAAACTCTTCGTGCATCATGTGAATGAGAAAGTGAAGGAGAGGAAGTTTGGATGTGAAAGGTAGAAGTGAGAACCTTTTCAGAGTGGGTCAGGGAGGTTCAGTTTGGATCACAGGACACCAGAGAAGTGAAGCCGAGTCACCCAACACTGCTGTCATCAATAATAAAACACTGGTGTGCTTTTCGGAAACGACCCTCTGGTTTCTCCTCTCAGAACAACACGTCTGATGCCTGTGTCCAGACCCGCAGAGAGTCCGACAAACGGGGCTCAAACCTAGACCGCCGGCGGGCTCGCTCAGCCGATCTGGAGAAGGTAAGGAAGTCGCAGCTGATGGTGGTGGACGACCGCTGGATCACCGAGTACATGCGCTGCTTCTCCGCCCGGCTGAGGTAGAAACAGGATCCTCCAACTTCAGAACATGCTTCCCTACAGAGTCAGACAGTGGGGCTGGAGTTTGTTTATTTGTTTGTTTGTTTGTTTGTGGAGCTGAAGCAACAAGAAAAAGTGAGAGCCACCTTACAGTCTGTCAAAAGAAACAACAGTCTCATCTCTGATTGGACCCAGAAGGAGTCAGAAAGTGGGCAGATGTTCTCTAAATCTTAAATATCGTTAAATAAGCAACATGACCAGGTTACGTTAGGGTCAGAAAACATTCATTTAATTAATATTTTACCTAAAAAGACACATTTTATTCCTTTATTTGTCTATTAAAACTACATTCCCCATAAGCCCCAGTGTGTCTTCATATAACCCCACATCGAGAGAACAATTGCTGGAAAGAGGAGAGGAATTTTTAGGCTCATAAGAAGACTTATAAGAAGAATACTTCTCCAAATAAACTTCGCATGATTTAAACTATTAATTTTGGGAACGAAGCAGACAGGAATCTTTGGCATGTTGCATTAATTTACACTTACTTAGACAAACCTGTTATAATAGAGACAATATTGACACAACAGAAGAAGGAATGATCCAAATATTGAAGAAGCGACTGAATTTAAGAGTTGTGAGAACTGTATCTGCTCTAAATTTACTTGATTGATTATTTATGGCCTCAGTGCGCTGAGCAGTACTTTCACGTTTTTGTCCGACACCTACCTCTCCACTCCAGTTTCAGACATTAAAAATTACAGTATAAAAAATGTAAATCTTGTCACTGATGATCTTATTTGCTTTTGTGCATCGTAAACAGACATCAGTTTGAATTTCAGTCAATTTCGTAAAGGTTAAAAAATGCTTTCAGGAGCTTTAAGATCAGAGCAGAGTTCTAGTATTAACGATAAAATGTCACATGATTTAAAAGCTCTTAAATTAACAGTTTCAAAATTTTGACATCATGCTGACCTGAAATAACCCCACCCACTTTCTGACCTCTTATCTTATGGGGCATAATCTCCTGTATTTTTTCCTCTAAGAGAGAAAAATGACGGTTTTTGTGTTGCTTCAGCTTCCCCTTGGAGTAAATCGCTGCTGTCAAGAGAAACACAACACCAACTTTATGACTGAATCACATTTCTATTTAGGGAAGTTTTTGTAGACTGTGGTGCACCTTGATGTCCTCTTTTTAGTCATTCACCACAGAAATAATGATGAAGCTTCCAAACTGAGAGATTCACTGAAAAACAAACACATCTTTAACATCCAGAAATCAGATTTCTGATGGTGACTATTCTCTTTCCAGGGGACTCTCACCTCCTTATATGGCATCTGAGCAGATCTCCACTGATCATGTGTCAAAGATCTGATGCTTATTGAAACCATGAGCTCAAATACGACTGTTATCATCTAAATTTGAAGGATTTCTGAAGTTTCTTCCACTTTTAAAAGTTTGTTTCTCTCTGATGGCAGCGACTCCTCAGAAACAATGCGACAAGCTGAAGTCTGAGTTTCTGAGGAAGTTGAACAAACATTAAGGGAGTCTGGTCTTTCAGAGTTTTTATAAGGAGTTAAATATGAATATTTGAATGTCTTAAGTTTCTGAGCATGAAAGTCTTGATGTAAATGTTTATTTTCTCAGTCATTTTCAGCTTTGACTTAAAAAGGCAGCTGTGTGTGTGTGTGTGTGTGTGTGTGTGTGTGTGTGTGTGTGTGTGTGTGTGTGTGTGTGTGTGTGTGTGTGTGTGTCTCACTCAAAGGCAGCAGAAAGGACCAAACCGGAGTATTTTTGATATTTGACTATTTTGGATGCAAAGATTTGAATCAAGGTTACTTAGAAACATAAAAAAGACATTTATCAAAAACTTGACAAGTATTTAAGGTGTTTTGTGAGTAAAAACGTGTTTTAATCTGTGCTACATCCATAATAATCGCAGAGTTGACCTGGTTTTGCAGCTTTGTCATGTTGAAGTGCAGTCTCTTTAATAGTAAATGCTATCATGGTGCTTTTATTATAATCTGCTGGATTTATTCCTCTTTCATCAGCAAAGAACCAATGATCAAAACGGATCAATCACACAGTGATCAGAGCTTTTTCAGCTGATGCTTTAACAGGTCTTTTCAAATGCAGCTCTCTCATATTTTTCTGTTTTGTTGCTGAAGGCAGCTGAAGTGTTTTGTGTTTTATAATCCAGCTTTCCTTCCTCTCAAGCACGGGTTTAATACCTCACCTAAAATAAAAACCACCTCCAAAAAAAGAAAAAGAAATACTCTAATGAATTTTAAATATTCAGGGTCAAATGAGCAGAGAGTTTACAGTAAAAAAAAACTGAAATGTTTCATAGAGTTTGAGAGATTCTGGCAGACGGACTCGTCTGAACTCAAGATGATCATAAGATTTATTTTACAAGTCTGTAATTCCTCAATTTAACACCTTTATTTTCAACGTTTAACCACCTTATAAAGCTAAAAGTTCATCAAACAAAAAACTATTATGACTTTAAATAAGATCTGTCAGTTGTTTGGAGTTTAGCGCCCCCTTTGGATAGAGCGTGTACCTCATTTAAAACTGTTATTTGTATTCAATCAAGTTTATCTTTGACAAACTAACAGAAAAGAGAGCTGGATTTCCTGATCCTTGGCAGAAAAGGGAGGATTAATAATCTGGATTAAATATTTTTAACACCTGAGTCCATGATCTGTAGTTTACTAGCAGAAATTCAACTGTAAGCGTAAGATCTTTAGAGAGAAAATCCTTAATATGGAAGAGTGAGGTTTCAGAAATACAAGAATGAACTCCTAGATGAACAAGAGAAAGACCGAAAATTAAAAGAATAAAACAGATAAATGTTTAAATACTTCAGTTTGTCAGTCATGAGGATGTACACTTTTATAGTTGAGTAAAACATTCAATATTTCTCTATAATTATTTTTTTTAATGCAGACAGTCGGCTGCTCCTCTGACCCTCCCTTTCAAAATAAAACACTTACCATATTCTCCTAATACAGTGGTTCTCAAGTCCAGTCCTGGAGGCCCACTGTCCTGCATGTTTTGGATGTTTCCCTGCTCCAACACACCTGATTCAAATGATCAGCTCGTTATCAAGCTCTGTAATGGTTTAATAACGAGCTGATCATTTGAATCAGGTGTGTTGGAGCAGGGAAACATCCAAAACATGCAGGACAGTGGGCCTCGAGGACTGGACTTGAGAACCACTGGTCTAACACAATGATTTGATTCTGAATTGGTATATCAATGACTTTATGTTCCTTAAATTCAACTTTATCCAGATAATTAAGATTTGATCCTTTCTCTACTTAGTTTTAAAACTTCCTTGTCAAAGCCTGACAATTTTACCCTATTAATATTGGGGCAAATATTCTTGTTAATGTCTGATTTTATTCTCTTTTATTTAAATCATACTCATAATTTGAAACTTTTTTTTCACTCTCTTACCTGAGTAACAGGATTAATATTTAAATGTTTATTAGGGTTGAGATCGGTCACTTGTATTCCTTACCACCAAAGCTGTGGTGAGTAATTGAGGAGTTACAGACCTGTTTTCAGTCATTTACCTTTAAGTCTCAATTCACTCTCAGTTTGGTGTTTCTGTCCTGTGACGGGCCGAATGAGAAAAAAAAGGGAATATTTCAAACTGATAAAATTCACAAATATTTAACATTTATAATATATTGAAAGTATTTTGGACTAAACTGTGAGTGTTTGTGGTGAAGTTTACTGACTGTTTCACCTGTTTGTTTGTTTGTGTATTGACTGTGTCTAAAGATTGTAAATACATGTTAATGTCAAACTGAGGGCTAAAGTTCTTTATCTGTTTATTTTTCGTTAAAATCTGAACGCTGGTAAAATGAGAATGTTTCAAAATGATTTTCACCTCCTCACTCTGAATGTCAAAAAAAAGGGGTTGTCTCTTTTATTGATTTCACCCCTAAAGCTTCAACACCTCATTCTCACGTTTGAGATATTTGTTGTTTGTATCTAGAGTTAAATTTGATTTGTTTACTTGTAAGAACACAGGTCAAGTTACAGTTCATATTAAACATGTTCTGGTATTTAAACGTGTTAGCATTTGAAGAAACATGGATATGTAAAATGTTATGAAACCTGCAGGAAAAAACACAAAAAAAAATGCAGATTTGGGAGTTTTAGTCTCAGGAAAAGGTGATACTGTCTTATTCCACTAAAAAGAATACAGACTAAAACAATCTAAGAAAAAATTCCTACATTTCCTTTTGAGACTCCTTAAACTGAAATAACCCTGATATTGCAGGAAAAGCATCATCTCATTGGGCTCTTACTTTGACTCTCCACCATTGCTGTTTTTAATTCCTCTTTTTTTCAGCTAGTAGAAGTTTTGATATTTGAGAGCGTGTGTTTTAGCTCCATAATTAAATTTGAAAATGTGGTGTATTGTTTTAAATCTCTTTGAAAGTGGATTATCAAGACTTTGGTGACAGGAAGAGTTTGTAGTGGTTTGAATGTTCATGTTTTTGGAAGTTTTTGTTTTTCTCCACCTTTGTACCTCCTAAGGTCAAAGACATTCAGACAATCACACAGTGAAGTATTTTAGTGTTATTGAGAGTAAAACCCTAAAACCCTGTATTAAAAAGCTGAAAACAAACACCAAACTTAAGAATAGAAGGTGAGGGGTCTGTGAAATGACTGTTAAAAGACAGTGATGTGTTGTCTTGCTGTATCTTTACTGACGCTGTGAGTTGATATGGAGTCAGGGCAGGATGTGATATTAAATATGTATGTTTAAATACTTTATTTTATCCTCTGAGCTGGTTTACATTTTTGCTCACTGTATTTCTATCTGAAAACATGCACAACTTCTATTTTCATCCACTCTGCTGTGAATAAATCAGATTTGAATAAAACAGCATTTCTGTTTGTGTGTCTGGTCCCATAAATGTTGGAACTGCTCCTTTACGCCTCTTCAGCCTGCAGTCTAAGCTGGGTTTTAATGATATTTTCACATCCTTTTTGTTTCTCTTTAAACCCACAAAACAAAAAGAAGAAATGTCTCAAGTCTGTACACATTTTATTTACAGCATAAAAATGTCGACTTTTCAAATCCAAACTGAAACAGCTGCTGCATGTCACACATGACTGACGTGAAGGTTCAAAATTCTTTGTCAGTTTGAGGACCAAAATAATAAAATAAAAATTTCAGTAAAATTCTGTACAGATTCTCAGCAAAAATGAGAATAAAAAAATCAAACCACAGAAAAAAAAACTTGTTTCTGTTCAAATTAAAAATCATTGTGTGATCAGGAGGGGAGTCCTGCAGCCAGGATGCTGCCTAGCAGCGTCCTATCCTTCAGAGCGTTTTCAACATCTTTCTCCTCGATTTTCAGAAACACCTGAAGAGAGAAAAACATCCACCTGTCAGTAACACGGACGAGGAAATGCACAAAAGACAGAAACAGAAGAGTACAGAGCACTCGTATGAAGGTTGTTTTGGCAGGACAGGTGCAGGGCCATAAAAGAGTTAGTTACATCAAGGTTTTGAGAGATGCTGATAGGCATCCACATGGAGATGAAATGGTGGTTGTTTACGGATTTATGCACTCTCTGACCCATTTTCAAAAAGAACCATTTACAGTCACCTGAAATGCTGTTTCCATGTGGATAAAATGCCAATAAGACAAAAAAACTTGCGTTTACTCCTTAATTCGTTTCCGTGTGGACAGGGTGATACCACCTTCAGACAGACTTTGCAGCGGGGAGTGGTTTGCTCTTCATCCAAAACTGCGACTGACTTGCTCTTGCCCTATTTAGCCATGAAATTATCGCCTTCTTTTGTAAGTGCCATGTTTGTTTACACGGGTGTATGTGGGAACTGAGGAGCGCTCCCGCAGGAAGGGGGAGCCTATGGTGGCCTGGAGGTGCGAGATATGATCCGATTTGACGATTTAAATTTTTTTTAATAGTCACAATCAAATAATTTGATTACGATTTAAAATCGATTAACTGCGCAGCCCTATCCCAGGCCATATCGGAATCATCACTATTATAAGCAACTTAGTAAGAAACATTAAAAGCTCAGTCCAGTGAGAAAGACCTTTTTCTTAAACCTGTACCTTTTTAAAACTGCCAGATTTCAAGATTTAAATCTGAATTCTGACTTTTTTCAGGATTCTACCTCTAATGGTTTAAAGAAAAAAAAAAAAAAGTCTAAACTCTGAGATAAAAAAAAGTCAGAACTCTGATTTAAATTTATGCATTTTGGAATACAAAGGAAGGCAGAATCAGGACTTCTCAAATTTCTGGTTTATTCTTAGAAATCTGATTTTTATCCCAGAATTCCCAGAAAAAAATTCTAATAAACGTTCAATAATTTAGATTTAAGTCTCAGAATACTGTATTGTATTTTAGTATGATAAGAATTTAAGAAACCAAGTCTGAATTCTGATTATTTTTTCCTAAGAACTGTTTTTTCTTTTGAAAGTTGTTCGACTGAAATCAGGATTCTGCCTCAGGGTTCATGAAAAAAGGTCTGAGATCAGATTTAGAATTCTGTCCTTACCCTAAACTCCGATTTAAATCTAAAAATTTTAAGGAAAAAGATATGGGTCCAAATTTGACTTTAATCGCATAACTTTACTTTACCGCAGTGATCAACTGAGTTCACAGTATCAATCTGTTTTGTTGTTTGTTTGTTTTTTTTTACCTTGGTGAGCCGAGCTTCTTTGGCTTTCTTCAGAGCGAAGATCCCTCGACTCTCCAGCAGACTGCACAGAGACAAACACTCGCTCTGACCGACTGCTGACACCTGCCGCTGAGCACACAGCCGACTGTACACCTCATGGAGCTGAAACACAAATGCATAACCGGTTTGTTGAAGAGAGTGTTTAAAAAAATTAAAATAAAAAAAATACAGGTGATGCTGTGGCGCCTCCTGCTGGACGTTTAACCCCATTTTTTTTCAAATCTTCAGCCCTTATGATGAAACTCCATGTCGACCAAAGAGCTCTCTTTCTCAGATTTACCAACCAAGTGTCATGGCAACACTTGTACCAGGTGATGCTTTCAGGTGTAAAAACTTGTAACAAGTCTAATCTGTTCACACACACATCCTGAAACTATACTGAGCAGCCAAGGAGCCTCGGAGCGTCCTGCCTGAAGTCCACCTGAGAGAAACAAACCAAACAAAGATCATTTTAGACGCTCACCTTCCCCAGGACGATCTCTTTGCTCTTTGCGCTTCGTATGAGCAGCAGCAGGCAGCAGACCAGCAGTTTCTGCTGCAGGGGGAAACTCTCTCCGTCTGAACTGCCGCTCTGAGATGCCATCCGGTCACCGTAAACCTCAGACAGCACACGCGCCACCTGAGGGAGGCTGACCCGGGACACTGCAGGAAAAGAGCAGAATAGTTAGTTTAATCAGGAGCAGAAAGCGGTTTCAGTTTGTTCAGGGAGTCAGAAAAACAGCAAACTCACCTTTATTTTCAGATGTTGGATCTGATGCTTTCTTTCTCTCATCAGACTCCACAACCTCGACTGCTCTCCTGAAAATGTAAAAGTGATCACACGTTTAAAACTTCAGTCTCAGTGACTGAAACTTTGATCAGATCTAAAGGATTTCTTTCATGAAGAGACTTGAAATAGAAAAAAGGAACAATATGAGGCGCATTTCTCCTCTGCAGTTTGGACTCGTACCTGCAGATGTCCAGAGCTTTCCTGGCGTCCCCAGACACGGCTGACACTTTCCTAGCACAGAACTGAACGGCTGAAGCGTCGAGGATCCCTTCAGCTGATGCCTGAGACGAAGAAAAAGCAGGTTCATACGAGGATCTGGTGTTTGAGATTTAAAAGGGAGGACGCTCAAGTGTGTCGTTTTTACCTGTGCGAGCCTGTCCTGCACGATGGCGGCGAGCTCCAGGCGGGTGTAGGGAGGGAAGTGTAACAGCTGAGGGCGACAGTGAGGACGAGCCTGCAGTCTGGGGAGGATGCGGTCAGTCAGATCCAGAGCGTTGGCGATACCTGGGGGAATAACGCCTGGGTTTTAAACAGCTGTTTGGAGTGAGAGCCCTGAATCCTGAATCTTTGTTTGCTCTTCTAAAGAGAAAACGTTTCTGTCTCAGTTCAAATATTACAACCTCCACTAACAGGTGAGCTTCTTACCAATAAGACAGAGGCGGGAATTTGGCAGGTACGGCCACTCAAAGATGGTGTAGAGGACGTCCTGAGCCTTACTGTCCAGCTGGTCCATCTCATCCAGAACCAGCAGCCTGAGGACAAGACACAGACCAGGTCAGAGATCCAGTGAAGACCGACTGACTCCAAGATCGTAACTTCATCCTGAATTACTCACACAGCAGGCCCCGGAGCCGTCAGGAGCCTCTGCAGTCTGTTCTGTCCACCTGGTGCTTTAAGCTTCTCAGCCAGCAGCGGGAAGATGGCGTGGGAGCTCCTCAGGGTCATACAGTTTACCACCACGGTCTGAACAGACGACAGCTCCTCCTGATGGGTCAAAACACTCATATTAACATTTCTTTTTATTACAATTGGCTAAAGTTTCTCAAATTTTGAAAAGGTCACATCCATTCAGCCTTTAACTATTTGTATAAAAGCACCTTCATCTCCTGCAGCACACAGTTCAGACAGGCCGTCTTGCCGGTTCCCGGAGCTCCTGAGATGTAGATGCTGCCGGGGAGACGCTGCAGCACCTTCTCCTCCAGGAACGACTTTATGGACGCCCGCTCGGCCTCTCTGGACAGGAGGCGCTCAGGGACAGCGGTGTGCAGCGCCTGCTTCACGTTTAGGAACCTTGACTCTGAAGAAGAGCAGGAGGAATTTAGATGGAGAAGATACTTAGAGCTCTGGATTTTCAACTAGATTTAAAACACCTTCGTCTTTACAAAACTCTGACTCGAGGCTGCTGAGCCAATCACACAGGGGTCATTTTTCTTAATGATACGGCTTCAACAAGAAGAAGTCAAGAAGTCCACAGCTTTAGTGTGAGTGTCTCTATTTTAAGCTCAATGAGGTGAGCACCTGCTCCTCATCCTTTACAGATACATGGTTAAAAAAAAAAAATACTAGAAAACTTCAAAATAAGAGGGAAAACTTTCAAAATATGCTGGATCTTTGTATCAAACTTTCAAACAAACACTCACTTTCTGCAAAGAGCCGAGCGACAGGAGCCTTTTTCTCCGATTTGCGACTCTGCGGACTTCCTGTGGGCGTCTCCTGTCGCCTTGGTGACGACTTGTTGGAGGGTGAGAGCGTATGCCGCGGTGGGGACAGGACCAACTGTCGGCGAGAGGAGACAGGCAAGTTCTCGTCGAATCCCAGCTTTGAAGGCGAGGCCAGGATCTGCCTGCTCTGCTTTGGAGGTGAACCCAGGAGAGCGGGACCGAGGTTACAGCTGTTATCATCACCTGAGGAGAGGAGGAGGGCGAGTCTTTAGAAGGTTCTCTGTTTCAGGTGTTGACAGGACTTTATGATTTTAGCAGTGAAGGTTTCCAGAAGGAGAGATTTCCTTCCCCCCAATGTTTAAGACTCAATGAGACGTCCAGTAAAACCATTTTTATACACTAACACACCATTAAAAGCCCAAATGACACAATGAGGCCTGGATTCAGAAACACTGAAGCTTCTTTTTAAATATAATTGGAAAAAATTTTAGATTCTTATTTTCTAATAACGTTGGGAAATAAAGTGGGTAAAAAGTTTCACTACCCTCACCTCAGTGCTCCTCATTCAAACTCAGAGGTAAATGTTAAAAACATCAAATCAGATTTGTGATCCCCTCGTCCCGTCCTGTGTGAGGTCTCTCACCTGTACGTTTCCTCGGGCTCAGTGGAAGCCGTCTAATGCCGCCTGGTGATGACGGCGGTGGCTGTTGATGGGCTATGGGGCGTTTTGGCGAGAGCAGGAGCGGCTTATCTGCAGGACGTCCCGGGGAGAGCGGTGCGATCCGGGTCAGAGTCAAAGCTGTGGAGAGGGGTTTGGGTTTAGACGGCGATGGAGCCGGGGATTTGTTCAGCTGAGGCGTCTTGTGGCAAGAGGAAACCCTGCAGGATTTGCGGCGGGGGAAGGAGAGCATGGGCTGAGACTGGCCCTGAGAGCGAGTACTCGGCATCTTGACCTTTTATCTGAAACACAAAGAAAGATGATCCGTCGTGAATTAAAAGGTGCAGTGCGTAGAATTGGAAACATCTTGTATAATTATCTAGATTTAAACACTCCCATCGCTCAACCCTTTCATCTGTGAGGCAGTGGTGACCTTTATGGACAAAAACCTCCAGTTATCCTCCATTTGTCAAGCTCATATCGACAAAAACATACATCAATACTAATTATTTCGTGCACAACAGCAACAACTGTGTGCATTTAGTGCGACCGCCACATAAATTTGTTTCTCCTGCCTTTTCTCTTCGTATCTGCAAATAAAATCTCCAACGAAGGAGATCTCTCTTCTGGAACACAAGTTTTTCATAATCATCCAAACAGAAGAAATCAGCATTGATGGAGGATATTTTACTGAAGAGCACCTCACTTAAGTCACCATAGATGAAGACAACAAAAACCCATTCAACCTGCAAATCTCTAAAGCCAAAAGGAGTGTTCCTACATGCACCTTTGCCAGAAGGATCTTTGTCTTTTGGTTCAATTAAACTTGAAATAGTTTGATAAACTCTAACTATTCTTGATGGGACAGTATGTTTGTAGTTGTGGTTCACAGGATAGTTTATCAGGCCACTCTTCTTCATACTGAAAATGTTTCCCGATGGCTTCTTAAATCTGACAAAGTCACCTATTGCAGAACTTCATCAACAGGCCTAGGATAGACGTTTTTGACATTTCAATGAAGTTTTATTTATCCGCCATTTTAAGGATCGATTAGATTCCGCTTTCAACTGGTGGGTCCCGACCCAAAAGTGGGTCACGGACACGTTCTGGATGGGTCACGAACAGCAGGTCAAAAAGTAAATATTTAATGAGATATTAACTTGATATTTTTTGCACACGCAACTTCAGTAGTTGTCGTCCTCGTGTTGTCCCCTTCATGTGCTCTGAAATGCACTTTACTCAACAAAACAAGTGGATTTATGTTAAAGATTAGAGTCTTTAAAGGTTTTTTAAATATATATATAGAAATTAACTTGCTTGGTTTGAATTCTACAAAAAGTAGGTCGCGAAAGTTGATCTCTGAGGAAAAGGCAGCTAAGGTGAAATAAGCTTCAACTTTCAGGAAATACACATGATGCTTTTAAAAATGTGGTTTAAACTTTGTAAACTGCAATTCGTGGTCATTTTTACAGTAACCTGCCCGCAGAGGAAACAATACCATGATAGCTAAATGGCGCCAAGACAGCAGAGCTGCAAATGGAGGCGTCAAATCAAAAAACCCTGATTTTAACACTAATTTAGATGAATGTTCAAACTCTAACCTGGAATACATGCTAAATCCACTAATGTTATTTCAAAGTCGAAACTTATGGACACACCTTATGGTAGAAAGCCAAATGATAGTTGTACTTTCGGCGATTAAAAAGGAAAAACTATCAACGAAGATTAAAATATTTTACACCTGCGCATTGATATGAATGTCTCAAAGACGAGTTTACCTGTCTTGAAAGTTGAAAGCAGTCTTCTTAGTGAATAATAGAGTATTTCTGATGCCGGTTCAGCGTCCTCTGCTTCCTTCTTCTTAGCTCTTCTTGCGCCAAATGTCTTCCTCCTTCTCCTTTTCGATCAGCTGTGTTTCCCGCCGCTGCTCTCTGATTGGACCGTTCTACCCGATACAGACAGAGGCCTTGATAGTCATTGGCTCATTGATGCAGACGGATGTTGCGTCATGTTTGAGTATCCGGCAACGGGGCTGTGGCGGGAGATTAAATAGCTTTCTGTTTTGGCGGAATTTTATTTTCCCGGGAACTTGTGTTTGTTAGTGTTGTAAGATCAGTGTTTCGTGTCAGTCTTTGGTTCTAAAATCCTGTTGTTGAGATATTGTTGTTTGAAGTATTTTATTTGGGTCTGATCAGTACGATTTAAGCTTTTTACTTTTAGTGTTATATTGTGGGTCTACGTAAATACAACACAAAAAACTGGAACCACCAGAAAAAGACAATGGTGGAGAATTTGTTACAGATTTACACCGATTATAAAATATGTAAGGTACAAGAAGGGTCAGGCCCAATAACATCAAACAGCCTTAAAAAAGTAAAATTATGGATATTTTGATTTATTGGATTTATATGGATATTTCCATTTAAGCATCAAATACTCTTTAGAGTCATTTGATTGTGACTATTGTACCAAGATATTTATCATCATGAGCCATCAAATCATCTAATATAGTCCAAATATATATTTCCTATCCAAAAACAACCAGTTTTCTACTGAATGTTTGTAGCTCTTTTCTTGTTTGGTTTCTGAGTTTCTACTGATTCCTAATGCTGGTCTTTTTTAAAATCACTGAAAAGAAATAGAGCAGAGACATATGCTAAAGTTTTGGCCTGGATGAGGGGTGACATTTTGTCAAATTAAGGATGAATGGCCTGTGGTCATTCTAATATAACTAGTAGCTATTGATAGTAGCCCTACGTCATGTCATTTTGAGTCAACCAAATCAGAAAGAAGCAGCAGAGGTGTACCATAACATTAACCTCTACATAAGGATAGAAAAACGTGGAAGCAGAGATCACAAACATGTCTTCATCAATATTTTATTTGATGTTGATCTTCAGGTTGGGGCTGATTCTTCCAAAGATTGTAAAAATAGGAAGTTTCATCTAATGCCAGTCATGTCCACAAATACAGTAACCAGAATCGGCTTTGTTGGCCAAAAGTAAAGCACCAGAGACAGAGACAGGACAGGTTGTCTATCGGGCAGGGGTGGACATTTAAACCTTAAGTATAACTCCCAACAGTGAGTAGGACCGTCACAGTTTGTTATAAACCTCAGGGACACATATGTAAAATGAAATGTAACTGTAGTCCCTTTAGTGTAAAAAAAATAAAAATTAAGAGCTGCACTTGCTCTGGTGTTGTTTGATAATACTTAAGTTCCCTTAGACAACACTTTTCCAAACCTAATGCCATGATGCTTTACAACATAAACTAGACATAACAGGAGGGACAATGAAATTCTACAGAACTTAGAACAGGCAAAAACAAAAGTATTTCAACATTTATCTAAACAAAACTCTCATAATAAATTAAATAGATGCTACAGCTGGGTGAAAAGCTCAGGCCCAGTAAAATTGCACTTAAAGGAATGTGTTTTTAAAAGACTTTCAAAAGAAGAAAAAGGAACCTGGAAGTCTTATTTCCCGTTTTAAAATTTAAAAGGATAAAGGAACTTAGCTTTCTAATTTCTCTGGTTGAGAAAGATTGGATGGGGGGTGGGAATCGAGAACCGTTTCCAAATGGTTCAATCCATCGACATCATTTATGTTTTGTCTTAATGATTCCTTTCTTCCAGGTGCCTTGAAAAACGATGTCGCGAGTGCCAGTCTACATGAACAGGAACAGAGACAGAAGAAAAATCATGGCGAACGATACGAAAAGTCGGCAGAGATAAACTAAAGCGTGGCTTAACTTTACTAAGGAAGATGACAACAGTGCAACATTTGTCGAGCAGTGATAACGTGCAAAGGCGGAAACCCCAGCAACATGCTTCAACATTTGTCAACGGGACACGGCATCAAATATAAGGAGTCACATGTATTCGATGCTCTCCTCCGGTGTTGTGCCGTAGAATGCATCCCATCCGCTTATTAGCTTTTTAAAGTGGAAGAAATATGATCTCATATTTAAAAAACACGACTATTGGATCATGACAACACGTCAAATGGAGCACCAAACTGTCGTTCTGTGTCCCAAAATTCACACATAGCAGTGTACTTGGGTATATAAACTGTACAGTAAGCTGTCAAGGTAGAGAACATTATATTTTCAGGACAGCTAATATTCTGAATCAGAGGGTTATTGTTTTTGGCTTATCTAAATAGCCTGAATAAAATCATTAAAGGCACACGCTTTTGAATAAATCGAATGGTAAGGAAAACTTAGATTATTTCGCCTTGTTATGTAGTTTCAACCGCGCTACCGTCAGGGGTCCCTTCTACGGCAGGGGTGCATTCTACGGCACAACACCTGTTGAACACTGTCAGCTGCTGCTGCCCCGTCTCAGCACGGCATTGAAGGTACGTATGTTAGTGGGACCATAAGTCCTCTTTTACCCAGACATGACATCTTTTGGGGGGTTGTCCGGGGGAGTTAATAAAATTCTTAAAATGTCCGGAACGTGTAGCCATTGATTATACAGTGCAGCGCATCAGTGCTCTCTGCAGCTCTGCCCCTCCGCCCACTTCTAAGCAAAGCCACTGACGCGACACATGCATGCGCAGTCTTTGGGAATTCAGAATATGCCTTTAACTGAGTTAGAATATGGTCATCCTAACATATGTCTTGTGTTAACATAAGCACAATGCATGCCAGAAATGCTGTACAAATAGCATTTTTGTTTGATTATTTTAGTTTCTCACTAAAGGTGGCATACCTCCGTTTCTGTTATCAGAGACTGAGTTAAATTTTCAGTTAACCGGTGAAAACCCTTTTTCTAAATCGAAGAAAGGCATTGATAAGAGAATCGTTAAAGCATTGAATCAATAAGCAGAATCGATAATGACATTGATATTGATAAAATCTTGTCAATTCCCATCCCTATGAAGGCATCTGCTTTGGTCTGAGAGTGGAGGATTCCAGACAAGGAAAACTTTAGTTAACATTAGGCGGTCATGGTCACACATTCAGATCATTTTCTTCGTTGTGTGCATCTCCATCCCTCTCTGCTGGTTGTTGATTCAGTCTTTCCATCTCATGGCTTTCTGGTCCAGACTCGGCTCCTAGTGTCTCTGTCAGAAAACAGACTCTGGATTAAGAAAGCACTGCAGATTACAGAACCAGGATATCAATATGAATCATATTATGACTAATATGACTACAGAAAACTCTGTAGAGCAGCTTTGACTGTGAGACATATTTACTGGAGCAGAAGGAACGTTTGGTTTAAAGGTAGTTGTGAAGGTTTTACCACCTCAAAGTTGTACTCATATGAGTGTTTGAGTTAAACTTGACAACTGATGCTAAAATGCTCTGAAACCAAGGGTTTATAACTCACTTGTCGTTCTCGATTTCCACCAGCGATAGCCAACAACAAGACCAACAAGACCAGCCAAACCAGCAAGGGGAGGGACAATTTTCAAGATCAGATCTTTGTTTGCAGGATCAAAAAGAAAAAAGAGAAAATATTACAGAGTTGAGTTCACTGGAGGAAGACAAAGAGATGACCCTTGAGAACATCAAAGATTTCAGATATAAAAAGGAGATATTAGAGACAGACTGATGGGAGGGATGGGCGGGAAATAATGTGACATTAAAAGATGTGCACCACTACTTAGAGTGTTGGAGTAGAGTACCAAACACTGAAGAGAGAGGTTATGTATCCTGATAGAGTGACACTGTGCTCACACACATATCAATCTGTCAGATTACTCTTTAAAGAGAGTGTGGGACTATTAGGTTAATGAAAAACAAGTCTTTAGGAGATGAGGAAGACCTTACCTTGATGTAATGGCACAGTTGTGGGGATCTCAGGTGGAGGTGTAGTCAGGCTGGAAATATCCACTGAAACACAAATATAAGGGTACTTTTTAAGCATTAGGGAGCCAGGCTCTGCTGTGACACTGAGACACTTTAGAAATTAATTAGGTGGTTTGATAAGAATTAAAACATGCTTACCAACACTGAGGGTGATGTCACATCCAGTTCTTAGCAGCTTCTTGTCACTCCCCTCCACTACAGTTCAGAATCAGAAGGGGTTTTATTGCCATTGTTGATGAACAGGATTCACAGACTAGGAATTAGTTTTGGCATGATGGTGCAACAATAAACAGAGAAAAATATAAAATACTAGAATAAAAAACTAATAAGAGCATGCAAGAAATATATAAAGTATAAAAGTATAAAAATATAAAAGGTTACGTACAATAAGTAGTCAATCTGTAAAGTCCACTGTCATCCGGTGTCAGATTAGAGATGTCCAGGGTCACGTTTCCTTCTTCTAGGTGAGCACGATTTAAGGTTGTTCTGGTTTTATATTGAGGACTCTGCTGATGGAGGTAGTCCTCTCCAAGTCGATAGAGGTGAACTATCTCATTAGTGAGAGCTTTCGACACATTCACTTTGGCATACTTCAGGTTAACTGAGGGATCCACCCGTGCACTCAGAGTGACGCTACCTCCTATCACCGCATGTATAGTCTCTTTGGGACAGATGACCCGAGAGGCTCCTGAGGGTAAAGAAACACAAACACAAACACAGGACTTAAACAAAGCTGAAGGAAGAGACATCTTTACAAACTTTTCAGCTCTTTTACCAACCCAGACAGCTGAGAAATGCAATCATGTATAAGCACTTTAAACAGAGAATAATGGGGAGGATTTTACATCAACTTCAGAATTCGATATTATTTTGTTTTTTTAAGCTCATGAATAGGTGTGCCAGCATCATTTGGCTGGAAAAACTCTGGCTGCTGAAAAATGCTTCCAAAGTCATTTTTGCACTCTCTTAAGTCAGATAATGTTACCAGCATATAACTTTGACTTGTTTGATGTAGTATTTAAAGTTATGTCTTCTTAACAACAGCTGTGGATGCATCATTTGGCTGATCCACCTGCAAAGATACCTGAATTCATTTTAAAAGCCAAAACTCAGGGTATCATAACACATCTGCCAAGAAAAATCGTTCACACTATGATTTCCTTTCAGCCACATCTATTTATTTGCCCGTTTGTCTTTTAAGCTGATGCCTTATTTCTGCTCTTCACATTTGCAGCCGACAAAGGCATCAAGAGTTAACATCCACATCAGCTGACACAATCCCCACCCTGCTGCCAGTGTTGTGCCATAGAAAGCGTCCCCTGCATCCTATCCACTGATTACCTCCTTAAAGTGGAAAACAATTATCTCATGTTTAAAAAAAAAAAAAAAAAACACGAATATTGGATCAAAAATTCACATATAGAGGTGTACTCGGGTATATACAGTACAGGACAAACGTTTGGACACACCTTCTCATTCAATGTATTTTCTTTATTCTCATTACTATTTAAATTGTAGATTCTCAGTGAAGGCATCAAAACTATGAATGAACACATGTGGAATCATGTGCTTAAGAAAAAAGTGTGAAATAATTGAAAACATGTTTTATATTTTAGATTCTTCAAAGTAGTCACCCTTTACTTTTTTGATAGCGGTGCAAACATTTGCTGTTCTCTCAATGAGCTTCATAAGTTAGTCACCTGAAATGGTTTTTACTTCACAGGCATGCCTTGTCAGGGTCACTTAGTGACTGACTCTGACTCTGTCAGTCACAAAGTACAGAGTCAGTCAGACAGAGTCAGTCACTAAGTACTTCTGTCATCAAGAGCAAAGGGTGGCTATTTAAAAGAAACTAGAATATAAAACATGTTTTCAGTTATTTCACACTTTTTTATGAGTACAAAATTCCACGTGTTCATTCATAGTTTTGATGCCTTCAGTGATAATCTACAATGTAAATGGTCTTATAAAAAATAAAGAAAAGACATTGAATGAGAAGGCGTGTCCAAACTTTTGGCCTGTACTGTAAACTGTATAGTAAGCTGTCAAGGTAGAGAACATTATATTTTCGGGACAGCAAATATTCCAAATCAGAGAGCTGTTTTCGGCTTATCTGAATAGCCTGAATAAAATCATTACAGGAACACGCTTTTGAATCTATACAACGGTACGGAAAACTTGGATTATTTCGCCTTGATATGTTTTTAACCACGCTACTTCCCGCCAGGGCTTCATTCTCTAGCACAACACCGGTGACGCGCGAAATTTCGGAAAATCGCTGCATGTTCACGTGAGGATGAAGCAGGTTTGTTAAGGTTTGGGGACTGATCTCGAACCAGGGTCGATAAAGAATGACGGACTATGAGCATAGATCTAGTAACTTGAGACTTCACTGAATGATTGTGACAAAAGGTTCGGCTGTGAGTTTCAGCGGGTAAAACACACAGCCGAAACCTTTTTCCCCATCTATCGGGTTGAGTGTTTAGTTTGTAGACCTGTGTTCGTAGTTTATCAGTGTTATTGAAAGTCCTCGACGGTTGAAAGTTTGAAGTATTACCGCTAATGTAGAAAATAAATATCCCCGAACCCGAGCAATGAAACTTACCGGCAACACACGAGAGAACTCTCAGTAAGAAAAAGAACGCTGCAGTCACTTTGATAGCCATCGATCAAAAAAGAGGTCTTCTCCGTTTTGGTCAAAATAATAATAATAATAATAACAATAATAATAATAATAATAATAATAATAATAATAATAATAATAATAATAATAATAATAATAATAACACGACGAACCCACCACCTGTACCGCCGGTGTTCACACAACTGTTGCAAACTTCCGACTGTATCTGGGAAGAAAGAGCATTTGTCCACTGTTGACGGACAGGCGTGACAACCAATCCGGTGAAGGAGCAGTGTTCAACCCACTGCTCTGATCCGGTGTAGGCCGGCCCAGGACAGCCGAAAACGCACCACCTCTATGTGACAGACTGCATTTTGAAATTCCCGGTGTAGCACAGCGGGAAATTTAAAACATTAAATCGAAATATAAAACCTCTTGATGCATGTTTATTTAAGCGAATCACCAGAGTTTGACCGCAACCGCAGGAAAATGTTATTTCGTAATACAGATCTGTAACATAGTGGAAGCTGAACATACACAGTGCTTTGAAATAATCATTAAATAGGCTAAATCCTGATGCATTTGACTGAGTTTGAGTTCGTGAGGTGTGTATGGGGATGGAGGCAGTCTGCTTACTAACTTACAGGCACACTGTCCACTATTGATCACATTTACTTTCCCCATATAATATTTTCTTACATTTGTTTAGAGTCTGAAGGAAATTGATACCCTTTTAAAAGGCCAGAGTGCTGCAAATGCTCTTTAATTTGGCGACAGAGCATGGCGTGACACTACCCTGTTGTTGTTGTTGTGATGGCGTCAACCATGACGTTTCAGTGAGCTACGCCCCTGACCCCCGTGCTGCATTCACTTGCTCTTAGGTAAAACTTTTACTCTCTTCAAATCAGCAGGAGTTCAGAGTAATTCATGCAACATAACTACGAGGAATAACCTATACATACATATATACATATATATATGTACATATACACACACACACACACACACACACATATATATATATATATATATATATATATATATATATATATATATATATAAAACAAACGTAACTCCACCAGGCATTTTTCTAATCCAGATTTAAAATGGTATAGGCCTACTGCATAGTTTTTAGTATAAAATGTCTCCATTCCCAACAAAATTAAAGAAATTCTACATAGAGTAGAGAGAATAAGAATGATGCTTAGCTCTGATTTCAGTAGGTTGTTTTTACTGCCTTTTCTCCTTCAATACACATTATTTTTCATTCATGAAAGTAAAAAGTTTCCCTGAAACCAACTGAGATGCCAGGAAACGCTGCTGCAAAAGCTTTAGGTTTAAAAGTTCTGCTTTTCAATAGTTCTGACCTTGAAACTGCAAAAATCTGTTTAACTTTACAAGTGTAACTAAGTTCTACATACAACCCCCTAACCTTCTCATAAGTGTTGGTTTTTAAAAACTGATTACCTTAGACGTTAAAGTGGTCCACATGTGAAGGTAACCGTCTGCTCGCCTGGCCTGCCTGACTGTAATGTTCCATAGACATTATATACGTAGATGCCTCATTACGTGCTGGAGCGTAATCCGGCGTCGCTACCATATTGGATGGGTCTCCTCACTCCAGGTTCGCTCAAGGGCCAAATGGAGTCAATGGAGAACAAGCGACTTTGCCCATATTTTTGCGCTCTATGGTTGAAAAATCCAACGCAGTATTTAAACCAGATCACGTAGGATCACATTTCACAATAAGAATTTATAAGTAATCTGGTTTATTTTAAATGTGTGACATTGTCCTGTATTATGGCTACATCCCTGCCGTTGTAACAAACCGAGCAGTGTGAAAATCGGGCAGGAATTCGGAGAGTTATTGTCAATATGGTTTGACATTTCTACCTACCTTAGGCAGTGGAGACACATGGGGGACCCATCCAAGATGGCGGCCGCGCTGATACGTGAGCTCTGGTAGGCAGGTTTTGAGGCGTCTACGTATATTATGTCTATGGTAATGAATCAGGTGACGCAGTCCTCTATTTTCCCGGGTTTTTTTGCGCGGGTTTTTTGAGACCCTTTCGCTACAGTTGCGCGAATGAACCACCAGGTGGGAACAAAGTTACAATAATATTACAGCCTGCACAGTATTAAGGTTATTTTTTCTCTGACTCATATGTCGTTCACGGAGCTGGACATTTGGACGCGCACATGTTGTTGTTATTCATTTGAAGTCTATTTGCTGTCTATTTATACTTGTCCCTCATTTTTGTCGAGCATATAGCCTCAGTAACTTTTGACTCTGAGGCAAGATTATAAATAGGCAAGCCTACATAATTTTGTATTGAAAGATCTTGACATAAGATTATAAAACAGGCTGACATGAAAATGTATCTTGGTGACATACAGAAGCAAATCAAAATGCTGATGAAAATACTGACACGTTCAACACGCCAGAACAACACAGACAAAAACCTCCCCACGGGAGCTTTGGTGGGCCTACAACAGCAGGGTTCATTTTCACTGCTACCATCCCTCCCCTGTACGGAAGCGTATTGCTGCCACACCAAAATAAAGAAATACATAAATAAAAATAAAAAAAGGAAAGGCCCAATATCACGAAATTACGTGATAAGTATCATGTGATAGGAATGACGTTATAAGATAAATCAAAATGTTTAACAGTAATTTCAATGCTAAACGTTTGCAGAGCTTAAGCTTTACATAAAACCTAAATGTTAAAAGTTTATTGGAAATTTTTGATTTTGATGTTGGATAAAAAAAATATGTATATTTTAATTTCCCAGGAACTTGTGTTTGTTAGTGTTGTAAGATCAGTGTTTCGTGTCAGTCTTTGGTTCTAAAATCCTGTTGTTGAGATATTGTTGTTTAAAGTATTTTATTTGGGTCTGATCAGTACGATTTAAGCTTTTTACTTTTAGTGTTATATTGTGGGTCTACGTAAATACAACACAAAAAACTGGAACCACCAGAAAAAGACAATGGTGGAGAATTTGTTACAGATTTACACCGATTATAAAATATGTAAGGTACAAGAAGGGTCAGGCCCAATAACATCAAACAGCCTTAAAAAAGTAAAATTATGGATATTTTGATTTATTGGATTTATATGGATATTTCCATTTAAGCATCAAATACTCTTTAGAGTCATTTGATTGTGACTATTGTACCAAGATATTTATCATCATGAGCCATCAAACCATCTAATACATTTCAAATATATATTTCCTATCAAAAAACAACCAGGTTTGTGCTGAATGTTTGTAGCTCTTTTCTAGTTTGGTTTCTGAGTTTGTACTGATTCCTAATGCTGGTCTTTTTTAAATCACTGAAAAGAAATAGAGCAGAGACATATGCTAAAGTTTTGGCCTGGATGAAGGGTGACATTTTGTCAAATTAAGGATGAATGGCCTGTGGTCATTCGACTATAACTAGTAGCTGTTGATAGTAGCCCTACGTCATGTCATTTTGAGTCAACCAAATCAGACAGAAGCAGCAGAAGTGTACCATAACATTAACCTCTACATAAGGATAGAAAAACGTGGAAGCAGAGATCACAAACATGTCTTCATCAATATTTTATTTGATTTTGATCTTCAGGTTGGGGCTGATTCTTCCAAAGATTGTAAAAATAGGAAGTTTCATCTAATGCCAGTCATGTCCACAAATACAGTAATCAGAATTGGCTTTGTTGGCCAAAAGTAAAGCACCAGAGACAGAGACAGGACAGGTTGTCTATCTGGCAGGGGTGGACATTTAAACCTTAAGTATAACTCCCAACAGTGAGTAGGACCGTCACAGTTTGTTACAAACCTCAGGGACACATATGTAAAATGATATCTAACAGTAGTCCCTTTAGTGTAAATAAATAAATAAATAAATAAATACAGAGCTGCACTTGCTCTGGTGTTGTTTGATAATACTTAAGTTCCCTTAGACAACACTTTTCCAAACCTAATGCCATGATGCTTTACAACATAAACTAGACATAACAGGAAGGACAATGAAATTCTACAGAACTTAGAACAGGCAAAAACAAAAGTATTTCAACATTTATCAAAACAAAACTCTCATAATAAATTAAAAAGATGCTACAGCTGGGTGAAAAGCTCAGGCCCGGTAAAATTGCACTTAAAGGAATGTGTTTTTAAAAGACTTTCAAAAGAAGAAAAAGGAACCTGGAAGTCTCATTTCCCGTTTTAAAATTTAAAAGGATAAAGGAACTTAGCTTTCTAATTTCTCTGGTTGAGAAAGATTGGATGGGGGGTGGGAATCGAGAACCGTTTCCAAATGGTTCAATCCATCGACATCATTTATGTTTTGTCTTAATGATTCCTTTCTTCCAGGTGCCTTGAAAAACGATGTCGCGAGTGCCAGTCTACACGAACAGGAACAGAGACAGAAGAAAAATCATGGCGAACGATACGAAAAGTCGGCAGAGATAAACTAAAGCGTGGCTTAACTTTACTAAGGAAGATGACAACAGTGCAACATTTGTCGAGCAGTGATAACGTGCAAAGGCGGAAACCCCAGCAACATGCTTCAACATTTGTCAACGGGACACGGCATCAAATATAAGGAGTCACATGTATTCGATGCTCTCCTCCGGTGTTGTGCCGTAGAATGCATCCCATCCGCTTATTAGCTTTTTAAAGTGGAAGAAATATGATCTCATATTTAAAAAAACACGACTATTGGATCATGACAACACGTCAAATGGAGCACCAAACTGTCGTTCTGTGTCCCAAAATGCAAACATAGCAGTGTACTTGGGTATATAAACTGTACAGTAAGCTGTCATGGTAGAGAACATTATATTTTCAGGACAGCTAATATTCTGAATCAGAGGATTATTGTTTTTGGCTTATCTAAATAGCCCGAATAAAATCATTAAAGGCACACGCTTTTGAATAAATTGAATGGTAAGGAAAACTTAAGTTAACATTAGGAGGTCATGGATGTTTGTTGTTCAGGATCACACACTCTTTCAGATCATTTTCTTCGTTGTGTGCATCTCCATCCCTCTCTGCTGGTTGTTGATCCAGTCTTTCCATCTCATGGCTTTCTGGTCCAGACTCGGCTCGTAGTGTCTCTGTGAGAAAACAGACTCTGGATTAAGAAAGCACTGCAGATTACAGAACCAGGATATCAATATGAATCATATTATGACTAAAAATTAAAAGACGTGCAGCTCTGGACATTTTTGGCACACTTTGCATTTTTTTGTGTTTGCTTAGATAAATCATTACAGTTAAGGGGAAATTTTCCAGAAAATGTTCTCAAGACAGACAGATTTTCTTCTGCAGGCTAATCTCTCTTTCAAGGTTGAGAGATACTTCAGAAAACTCTGTAGAGCAGCTTTGTCTGCGAGACATCTTTACTGGAGCAGAAAGAACGTTTTGTTTAAAAGGCAGTTGTGAAGGTTTTACCGCCTCAAGGTTTTAGTCACATGAGTGTTTGAGTTAAACTTGACAACTGATGTAAAAACACTGTAAAACCGAGGGTTTATAACTCACTTGTCTTTCTCAATTTCCGCCTGCAATATATGCCAACAGCAAGACCAACAAGAACCAAACCAGCAAGGGGAAGGACAATTTTCAAGATCAGATCTTTGTTTGCAGCATCTGAAAAAAGAGAAAATATTACAGAGTTGAGTTAACTGGAGGAGGACAAAGAGATGACCCTTGAGAACATCAAAGATTTCGGATATAAAAAGGAGATATTAGAGACAGACTGATGGGAGGGATGGGCAGGAAATAATGTGACATTAAAAGATGTGCACCACTACTTCAAGTGTTAGAGTAAAGCACCAAACACTGAAGAGAGAGGTTATGTATCCTGATAGAGCGACGCTGTGCTCACACACATATCAAACTGTCAGATTACGCTTTAAAGAGAGTGTGGGATTATTAGGTTAATGAAACACAAGTCTTTAGGAGATGAGGAAGACATTACCTTGATGTAATGGCACAGTTGCAGGGACCTTAGGAGGTGTAGTCAGACTGGATGACCCCCTGAAACACAAATATAAGGGTACTTTTTAAATAATCACGAGTCAGGCTCTGCTGTGACACTGAGCCACTTTAGAAATTCATTAGGTTGTTTTGATATGAATAAAAACATGCTTACCAACACTGAGGGTGATGTTACATCCAGTTATCAGCTGCTCACTGCCACTCCCCTTCACTACAGTTAATCTGTAAAATCCACTGTCATTCAGCGTCAGCTTAGAGATGTCCAGGGTCACATTTCCTCCTTCTAGGTGAGCATGATTTAAGGCTGTTCTGGTTTTATATTGAGGACTCTGCTGAACGAGGTGGTCCTTTCCATCTCGATAGAGGTGAACTATCTCATTAGTGAGAGCTTTCGACACGTTCACCTTGGCATTCATCAGGTTTTCTAAGGGAACCACCTGTGCACTCAGAGTGACACTACCTCCTATCACTGCGTGTATTGTCTCTTTGGGAAAGATGACCTCAGAGGCTCCTGAGGGTAAAGAAACACAAACACAGGACTTAAACAAAGCTGAAGGAAGAGACATCTTTACAAACTTTTCAGTTCTTTACCAACCCAGGCAGCTGAGAAATGCAATCATGTATAAGAAATTTAAACAGAAAATAATGGGGAGGATTTTACATCAACTTCAGAATTCAGTAATATCATTTTTTTTAAAAACTGATGGACAGGTGAAACTTTTGAAAAGTCGACCGTGAAGCGAAAAAATAAATGCCGCAATATCGCAGGACGGGATACCGTCGCTAATGTGAACGCTTGGATAGAACTTGGATAGAGCGAGTTAATGCTCTTTTTTTCTTCCACACATTTCCTGTGTCAGATCATCAAACAAATTTCAGTATAAGTCAAAGTAAACACAAGTGAACACAAAATGCAGTTTTTAAATGAAAGTTTTATTATTAAGGAAGGAAAAAAATCTGAATCAAATGGACTGCCTCCCCCTGTTCAAACATAACTGGCTTATCACACCTGAGTTTAATTTAGCCACACCCAGGCCTGATTAACGCCACACCTGTTCTCAGTCAAGAAATCCATTAAATAGGACCTGCCTGACAACGTGAAGTAGACCAAAAGACCCTCAGAAGCTGGACATTATGCTGAGATCTAAAGAAATTCAGGAACAAATGAGAACAAAAGTCATTGAGATCTATCAGTCTGGAAAAGGTTGTAAAGCCATTTCTAAAGAGGTTTACAAAAGACCCACAACAACATCCAAAGAACCTCACTTGGCATCACTTGCCAGATGGTAGTTGGAAGTGTCAAGTTAACATTTTGAGAATAAAAGCCCAAAGGATTGTAAAATTCAGATGAAATTCAGGGTTTTCACATGCCACTTAGCGATTAAAAAAACACAATCTGCCTTCAGCTAACCAAATCTCCATTTTTCTCTGTTTACATCCAAACGTGCTAACGGAGTTTTTAAAAAGTATCTTTTTCAGGGGCGAATCCTCTGTTTGCATCCAAACGAAGGGTGCAAATGATGGTTAATGTCTTTGTTTTTAAAAATAACCGGGTACGTACAAACAGGACCCAAGTTTGAATAAATCTCTAAAGTAAAAAATATGCAGAAAGAAAACCAGAGTGCTTCTCATTAAGTTAGCGTAACTTTATATATCTAACTATTCAGTGGTATGAAAAAGTGTTTGTCCCCTGATTTCTTTTCTTTTTTTTTTCCTACGTTTGTCACACCTAAATGTTTCAGATCTTCAAACAAATCTAAGTGAACACAAAATCCAGTTTTTAAAAAAAGGTTTTTACCATTAAAGGAGAAAAAAAAATCTGAACTAATAGGGATTTCCTTCCCTGTTAAAATATAACTGGTTTATCACACCTGAGTTCAATGTAGCCACACCCAGGCCTGATTAACGTCACACCTGTTCTCAGTCAAGAAATCCATTAAATAGGACCTGCCTGACAACAAAGTGAAGTAGACTAAAAGATCCTCAAAAGCTGGACATTATGCTGAGATCTAAAGAAATTCAGGAACAAATGAGAGAAAGAAATTAAAATCTATCAGTTTGGAAAAGGTTATAAAGCCATTTCTAAAGCACAACAACTACTCATCCAAGAGGTCACGAAACAACAACAAAAACATCCAAAGACCTGCAGACCTCATTTTCCTCAGTTAAAGTCAGTGTTCATGACTCCACCATAAGAGACTCTGGGCAAAAGCAGCCTGCATGACAGAGTCACAAGACGGAAACCACTGCTGACCAAAAGAACATTAAGGCTCGTCTCAATTTTGCCAGAGAACTGATTTTAAAAGTGTTCACGTCTGATTTTAAAACTTTCTAACCTACTGTGCATGTTATCAAAATAAAAAACTGACCTCCAGAGAAAAGTTTTTGATTCCATTTAAACAAAACTTTATTTAAAAACAGTCAAGTTGACAAGTTTTACCAAACACAATCACGGTATTTCACCGTCAGAGAGTTATTGACTCAGACAAAATATGTGAAAAGTTAGTTATATGTGTAATACAAATGCAAAAAAACATGGAGCAGAGAGAGGAATAAAGCATGACAGAAAAATGAACAAAATAAAGACAAAGCAATATGAGCAAAATAGAATATGTGCATCCAAAAAGATGACATTTAAGACAAGCTTTGTGTACAAAGTGAGTTTGGTGGAGGTAGAGATGAAAAACCAGCTGGGGACAAATATTGCAGGAAAAAAAACCCCAGTGGACAAAAAGCTCTCTATATGCTGTCACAGTTTCAGCCTCCATTTAACAAAGTTTAAGCCATAAATGAAGCTCAGATTAAACATTTAGTTTTACAAATATAATGAGAAATCAAATTCAGTACAACACAAAAACCACCTGGTTACAATTGTAAGAAGACTCTACTAGCTGTAGATCTTACAGGTTTGCACCAAAGAAACTCAAATGTTAGCAAGTTTAACAACACATCATCTGGTCAAACAGATGAATAATTTATAATAGATTCATCAGTACAGAACTATCCTCTATGACCCTTGTGTCACAGACAGGTCATCCATCTTCATCACTGGGTCCTCAGTCGAGACTCGAGTATCCTCCTGTAAATGAAGAAAACTGTCATGAGTGAATATTCTGCCTCGTTTTCATTTAGTTTTCTATCGGTCAGAAAAGGTCTCAGTGATAATCCTATAATGTCAATAATACTGATAATGTCAGCGATATAAAGGTGGAGGAGATCTATAAAGTGACAGTGACATAGCAAAGCTTGCACTCTTCATGGGTTGTGGAGGTTTATCTGTGCACATCGAGTAAAAACATCCAACTATCATCATCTTAACGGACTCATCTGTTAAAAGGATTTAAGAGAGCTGCTCATGTGTGCTCCTCAAAGTAGAGCCTGAAAGAGAAAGGCGCACTCACCATGTCCTGAGTAAGGGTTTTCTGGGCGAGGTTGAAGGTCTATGGGCTCACAGTGAGACAGGAAGTCCACCTGCAGGGTGGTGACTACAGAAGGTAGACAGGGATCAGATCCAGTTAGTGGACTGTTAACATCAATTTATCACCGTAAAACTTTGACTGAAACAAGCAAGACCACTCGCAAAGATTGACTTACCTCCAATCAGGGGACCAAGTCTTTGTCTTTGTCTTCATTCTTCAGCCGGGTCCTGGAGCAAGAGGGGGTCATTGACGTCTCGGTGTAGTCCTAAAACAAAAGGACAAATTTATTCTTTAGACCGGCACAGTTTTTAACCTATAAGTGAATCATTATCTCTGTTTTATGTACCGGTTTCTTGGGGATGGTGCCCACGGCATCTGGTAGAGTCTGATGGTGTCCAGAGGCAGGCTTCTGTGCTGGTGCAGACTTCAGTTAAAGGGGTCCAGAATGAAGAAGATCCATCCGTTTTTTTGTAGGTGGTGCAATCTGTACTCCATGCTCACCTGTAACCCAGTATGCAGGAGCTCAGAGTCCAGCAGGTGATGGGGTCTGCCAGGATCTTCTTGGATGTAGACTGTAACAACACAAGATAGATTTTGGAGAAGCAGAAAGATGGGTCACTACATTGGAAACAGACTTAAAAGATTCAACAGACAGATTTAAAATCAATTTTCTCTTGGGCGTCTACAAACCCCCAGAAGAGCTGGAGTGTTTGGACCTCGGTGAAAACAACTACAAGAACTTTGAAAAGTTTCTCAAAATCATTAAAAGAGAACTTCAGAAACCTTCAGCTTGACGGTGACTCTTAAAAACTTCCCAGTCTGGATGGAGGAGCAGCTCATCGAAGTGGGGCAGCATCAGATCCTCCCAGGACCTGGTGGTGGTCAGCACATCCAACGCCACGGCTCGACACCTCCGTCATGTTTAGGGGAAAAGCAGAGACATACATGTGCAGCCAAAGGGAGGCATAAAAACCTCGTACAGAATAACAGGACACAAAAAACCATGACAAGTACAGATCTCAGATTTTCACAGAGACTGGAGGGTCAAAAAGAAACAAAACAACAACAAAAAAGAAAACCCCACAAAAAAAAAAAAAGGAAACAAACATCTTAGATTTTTACAGACTGGAGGGTCAAAAAGAGAGAAACAAACAAAAAAAAAAAAAACTCAAAAAAACCAAAAAAAAAAACCCCAGACATTTTATGGTAACAGTTCATTGTCCCCCTCATGTTAGTTGAAGCTGTAGAGGAGATGTGGGTGAGGCCTGAAGTTGTAGTTGACGTTGAGGTTGTACTTGTTGAGTTGGTTTCCTTTTGGAGAACTGAGTGAACTTTGCTGATTTGTTGTTTCCTTAAGACTTGTTGTTTTGCTTTTTGCGTATTGGATTTTGTTTTGTTTTTTTTTTACTGGTGGGCTCAGCAAGTATTTGGTAAAACTTGCAACTGACATTTTTGCAGTTTTTTGTGTCAACCAAGTTTCATGAAAACAGAAATAACCTTTTTAAAGTCATAAAACCCTTTTTTAACCTTGAGTGATGCTGAACCATTCTCTGGTTGGTTGTGAATCGTCTTTTTTTTTGGTTTGGTTTTTATTTAGTGTTTTCAGCATTTCTTGATTTTTTTGACTGTTGTCGTTAAGCTTTTGAGTTAGAACCACGTTTTGTACCTTGTTGGTGGTTTTCCCTTTTGTCATTGAAAGCACCATTTAAACCTTGTATTACCATTGTGTCCATGTGAGCACCATTTAAACCTTGTTGATTTGCCCTTTTGTCATTAAAAGCACCATTTAAACCTTGTTTGTGTTACCATCATGTCCCTGAAAGAACCTCATGAACCATGTTGTTCGTTTCCATATTGTCTTTGAAAGCATCGTTGTGAACCTTGTTGGTTTGTGGTTGTGTGGCTGAAAACACTTTTTAAACCTTGTTTTTGGTTTGATTGTTGAACCTTGTGTTGTTGCATCTTTGGAAACACTGACCCAGCCTTACATGTTATCAACATAAAAACAGGCAAAGATCGAGCTTAGGTGGGCCTTAACTTTGGGAAAACAGCTGAAGCACACCCACGTTACCTTGCGCCTTTGTGAAAACGATTAATGATCAGAGAAAAGTTGTTTCTGGAGTTGAAGCATTCAGACTTTTGGGTGACAATAGGACAGTGTGGTGTTCCCTGTCTCATCTTACCTGCAGCACAAGGATGTCTGACTTTGTCTCTTTAGAGGTGATCTAGATCCTTCCTGAAGACATTGGTGGTTGCCAGGTTCAACACTGAAGATGCTCACTTCTGTGATGGTTGGGGAAAAGGAGAGAGACACACATACAAATGCAGAAAATACTCGACTTAAAAACAGTGAAGGTGAGGTGCAGCATTAGAAAATCAGTTTTAAACTGAATTTGGATGAAGTTATCAGAATGCAGGACCTGGTTTCTTACATGCTTTCTTGTGGTTACTTTGGTGAAAACATAACGTTACCACAATGGAAAGTTCATCTTACCTTCAACAAGATGACCACCCTTGGATTTCCCAGACGGAACAGGAAGGCGGCACTTTGAGTTTCTGTGGCAACAGTTCCTCCAGGAAAAGGGTGGTCACCTCGTCAGACCTGCTTAGGTTCGGAGGAAAGCAGACATACATATGCACCCAAAGAAACATGGCCAAACATACAGAAAATAAATAAGTTTAAAAAAAAAAAAATGTACAACACATGCAGATCATGACAAGCACAGTTCAAGGATTCCATTTCAGAGATTCAAAGGTTCACAAAAATACAAAGAATAAATAAAAATAAGAAAAACTACAGTTAACAAAAACAGTTGGAGGATCTACACAGTTTGTTTATTGTCCTCATTCTGTTTACTGTTGACAGTTACATCTGATAGAAACAATGTGCAAACGTTGCTGTCTTGTTGTTGTTTCCGTTGGATCCTTTGGAAGCACTTTGACGGTTGTTGCGATGTTGGTAGTTTTGAAACTTAGTTTTGGTTGATAGTGATTTTGCTGAAGTTGCTTTGACAGACCTTTTGAGAGCAGACTTTTAACATACCGTCTTTGCTTGTTTAAGAACCAGTTTTTTTAAGCACCTTTTAAGACCTTGTATTTTGGGTTTAAGATCAAGTCCTTGGAAGCAACTTTTAAAACTTTTTTGGGGTTTGAGGTAAAGTATTTGAAAGCACCTTTTGAAGCTTTTTTGGTTTGAGACTAAGGCTTTGAAAAAACTTTTTAAAAAAAATGTTTTTTTAATTAAATCTTTGAAAGCACCTTTCAAACCTTTTTGTTTGTTTGCGATCAATCCTTGAAAAGCAACTTTCAAGCCCTTTTTGGTTTGAGTACAAGTCTTTGAAAGCACCTTTTTTTGACGCCTTTTTTTGAGAACAAGTCTTTGAAAGCACCCTTCAGAACCTTGTTTCTGGGTTTGAGATAAAGTCTTTTAAAGCACCTTTACGAACCTTGAATTTGGTTTGAGATCAAGTTTTTGAAAGCACCTTTTGAACCTTTTTTGGTTTGAGATAAAGTTTTTGAAAAGCACCTTTGTAAAGAACCTTTTGTTTGAAATCATACCTTGAAAAGCACCTTCTGAACCATGTTTCTGGGTTTGAGAACAAGTTTTTGAAAGCACCTTTTAAACCCTTTTGTTTGAGAACAAGTCTTTGAAAGCACCTTTTGAACCTTTTTTGTTAGAGAACAAGTCTTTGAAAGCACCTTATTAGAACCTTATTTTTGGTTTGAGATCAAGTTTTTTAAAGCACCTTTGGACCTTGTATTTGGTTTGAGAGATTTTGAAAGCACCTTTCAAGCCTTTTTTGGTTTGAGATCAAGATTTTGAAAGCACCGTTTCAAGCCTTTTTTGGTTTGAGAAAGATTTTTAAAGCACCTTTCAAGCCTTTTTGGTTTGAGATCAAGTTTTTGAAAAGCACCTTTTTAGAATTTTTTTTGTTTTGAAATCATACCTTGGAAAGCACTTTCTGAACCATGTTTCTGAGTTTAAGAACAAGTCTTTTGAAAGCACCTTTTTTAAACCCTTTTGTCTGAGAACAAGTCTTTTGAAAGCACCTTCTGAACCATGTTTCTGGGTTGAGAACAAGTCTTTGAAAGCACCTTTGGAACCTTGTTTTTTGGTTTGAAATCAAGTCTTTTGGAAGCACCTTAAGAACCTATTTCTGGGTTTGGATCAAGTCATGAAAGCACCCTTTGAACCATGTTTCTGGATTTGAGATCAAGTTTTGGAAAACACCCCTCAAACCTCCTTTTGAGTTTTAAATCAAGATGATCACATCCAAAGCAAGGTGCTCACCTACCCTCAGAAAGATGACCAACCTTACAGCAGAAGCCATGTCAATGTTGTCACGGTGTTCTTGAAGTTCTCGTCCTTCTTGTAGTTCCTCTGGATCTGTTGGTCTTAATTCGTGAGGTTTTTGCAGTTTTAACATTAGCATGATCCTGATACTATGAAAGAATAGAAGTTTAACTGGACATATCAATAAAGCACAGTCGAATACTGTGCACTTGACAAGTTTAGCTGGGTTCATTTTCAGCATAGTTATCCTTACAGTTTTGACAGCTGTTACTGCCTCTGCATCAAAGTTAACATTACTGGTTTTTCGTTTTCAAGTCACTCCAGAGTAAAACAAACATTTTATCATTAGGGTTTTTTTGGAGTGTGATCATCATATTTAAGTCAAATGTAAAAGGAAAAAAAACAGACCCAGTCCTGTTCAGAGGTTTCGGCGTTGACACAAAGGCCCACATCAGGTCTTCTTCTACTCCTTTGGTTCTTCTGAGTGGTCTTCTTGTTCTCCGTGATAGTGCTGCTGAGAAAAAGCGTTGATTGTTTGGTTTAGGCCATTTTTGATTGAGTAGAGGCAATTTATTTTTAGGCTTGAAGGTGCTCTTGTTAGATTAGGTGCTTTTGTCAAATTAAAAAGGTGCTTTTGTCATACCTTTTGAGACCAGACCTTTTAACATACCGTCTTTGCTTGTTCAAGAAACAATTTTTGAAATAAACCTTTTAAACCTTGTTTTTTGTTTTTAAGATCAAGTCTTTGGAAGCAACTTCTACAAATCTTTGTAGAGCTTGAAATCAGGTCTTTGAAAGCACGTTGAGAACCTATTTCTGGGTTTGGATCAAGTCATGAAAAGCAACCTTTTGAACCTTGTTTCTGGATTTGAGATCAAGTTTTGGAAAACACCCTTCAAACCTTTTTTTTTTTTTTTTTTTTTGAGTTTTAAATCAAGATGATCACATCCACAAACAAGGAGATGTTCACCTACCCTCAGAAAGATGACCAACCTTACAGCAAAAGCCATGTCAACGTTGTCATGCTGTTCTTGAAGTTCTCGTTGTCCTTCTTGTAGTTCCTCTGGATCTTCTCGTCATAACTTTTGAGGTTTTTGCATTTTAACATTAGCATGATCCTAATACTATTAAAGAATTGAAGTTTAGCTGGACAAATCAATAAAGCACAGTCGAAAACTGTGCACTTGACAAGTTTAGCTGGGTTCATTTTCAGCATAGTTATCCTTACAGTTTTGACAGCTGTTACTGCCACTGCATCAAAGTTAACATTACTTGTTTTTCGTTTTCATGTCACTCCAGACTAAAAAACATTTTATCATTAGTGTTTTTTTGGAGTGTGATCAATTTTAAGTCAAATGTAAAAAGAAGAAAAAAACAGACCCTGTTCAGAGGTTTTCTTCTACCTGGGTACTGGTCCAGGTGTAGCGCAGACATCTTCACCCTGCTTCTTCCATGTCTTTCTCGTGTCACCACGCTGATGCCGATGGCCACATCATTCTTCTTATATCTTCAGGTTGTACTTGCTGACTTAGCTCACATCACTTTGCACAACTTACAATCAATAGAAATGCTAAACTGGTCTAAAAGGTCAAAATAAAGCACAGCAAAATACTGTGCACTAGAGGTTAGCAGGGTTTGTTTTCAGTCTAATTATCCTTACAACAGCCTTGAATCCTTATCTTTGTAACAGCCACTGTAATTAACATTACTGGGTTTTCATTTTCATAATCACTCATTTTAAGAGTGAAAACAACAGTTTCAAAACAAATTAAGAAAAAAAAACAAGCAGTATGAAAAAAATCAACCTGGTCTGTGCACTGGGCATCCATTCCTTGTTGAAGATCTTCACACCTTTTGAGATCTTCTTATATCTTCAGGTTGTACTTGCTGCGCTAGCTCACAGCACAATGCACAACTTACAATCAATAGAAATGCTAAACTGGTCTACAAGGTCAAAATAAAGCACAGCAAAATACTGTGCACTAGAGTTTAGCAGGGTTTGTTTTCAGTCTAATTATCCTTACAACAGCCTTGAATCCCTATCTTTGTAACAGCCACTGCGGCTCCTGTTTCCATCATTAACATTACTGGGTTTTCATTTTTGTTGTCATTCATTTCAAGAGTATCAAAATAAAGCACAGCAAAATACTGTGCACTAGAGTTTAGCAGGGTTTGTTTTCAGTCTAATTATCCTTACTGGGTTTTCATTTTTGTTGTCATTCATTTCAAGAGTATCAAAATAAAGCACAGCAAAATACTGTGCACTAGAGTTTAGCAGGGTTTGTTTTCGGTCTAATTATCCTTACTGGGTTTTCATTTTTGTTGTCATTCATTTCAAGAGTATCAAAATAAAGCACAGCAAAATACCGTGCACTAGAGTTTAGCAGGGTTTGTTTTCAGTCTAATTATCCTTACAACAGCCTTGAATCCTCATCTTTGTAACAGCCACTGTAATTAACATTACGGAGTTTTCATTTTCATAATCACTCATTTTAAGAGTGAAAACAACAGTTTTAATACAAATTAGGAAAAAAAAAACAAGCAGTATGAAATAATCAACCTGGTTGGTGTCCTTCAAATGGGTCCGTGCACTGGGCAGCCATCCCTGGTTGAAGATCTTCACACCTTTTGGAGGTCTTCTTATGTCTTCATTTTCTTCTTTGACCAAAAGCACGTCGGGGAAATCTGAAGTAGTTTGGGGCGACGAGGAGGAGTATCCACTTGGACAGAGAAACACTGCTTTCCAAAAACGCATTGCCAAAATCAGACCTAATCCTTGTGACGCATCCCGACTATTTTAAAGCTTCCCTCAGGAAGTTAAATTTTAATTCGAGTGAACTCTCATTTTTGTTTTGGTAAATTTGTTGATTTACACGTTTTTGAGGACCGAGTTGCTATTTTGTTTAATTAAATCTGATAGTTGACTTGTTTTGGGGGTCTTTATTGCTGCACTGGTTGATCGTTAATGGTGGGGATTCTTGTTTTTGTGGTTTTGGAAGAGAACAGTTTCTCTCCACAATTGCATCACCAAAACAGAACAAAACTAGACCAAAACCTGCAACCCCAGAAGAGAACACTTTCTCTCCACAATTGCATCACCATAACTAGACCAAAACCTGCTACTCGGGCAGAGAACAACTTCACTGCTTGATTGTTCATGGTGGGGGTTCTTGTTTTTGATGGTGCGGTTGTTGTCAAACCAAAAGCAAACTGACCTCCAGTGTCCCTCGTTGATGGTCTGTCCGTGGAGTGAAGTAGTCAGTATCTTACCTTACAGGGTCCAGGCGTTGGACGGTCATGAGTTCTGCCTCAGTTTGTCTTGAGCCGGCGTAATTTCAGCTCCTGGTTAACACACAGAGAAATACACAACCATCAAACCTCAAGTCCTGAATATAAGACTTAGAATTAAAAACCTTGACCTCTTTGACCTCCTTCAATAATCAGCTTTCACACAGCCCTATTTTAAATACTTTACAATAACTACAATTTATAAATGGCAAATAATTAAAGTTTAATCATCATTTAAAAACAGCCTATAGACCAGTTATAAATGCCAAATAGATAGTTCATTAATGTAAGTTAATTGTTACTTCAATGATTGATAATTTTCATTAATTATTAATGGACTATTTATTAAAAGGTTTATATAGGGTTTAAATATTGGTTTTAAAACATCTAGATTAAAATGTGTGTCAGTATATTTGGTTCTTAAACCATCTATAAACATTACTTGATGGTTTATTGTAAAGTTGTAACTGATGTTTGAAATACTTTGTACATTGGTTTATAATTATTAATAATTATAAACCATAATAATTGATTAATAATTGGTTTATAAACCACCTATAAACATTACTTAAATGGTTATAGTAATGTTAGGGTTAGGGGTAAGGTTTTTATATAAATGTAAAATTTACTATTTATGGCCTATATGCTATTTATAAATTATTTAAATATTAATAAACTATCTTCTTACCATTCATAAATGGTCAATTTACCATTGATAAGTTATGGTTATTGTAAAGTGTAACCAGTCATTTTAAACAGGTCATGTTTGCATGATGGTTGGCAGCCATGCTCCAAATCAGACCATTTAAAGACCATTTTCAAGCCACATCTTTATTTTCTTTCTAGGCTTATAAAGTTGCATCCCTGTCTCAGTCTCACCTTTGGCCTATGTGGAGTGGAGTCATCTGAGAGGACATGAAGTCAGCTGGGGTCTGAGGAACATGCTGGAAAAAAACCAAACAAACACAGAAGCACAGTTAGTACACACCAACAACAGCACTTTCTACTGCAGACTCAGGGTACACTAAGACAGATCTGAATAAGCAGTTTTGCTTTTTCACACTGGGCTTTGAGATCTTATCATCTTTTAATACAGTCCGAGAAATAAGAATAAGGCCAAATGCAGTGTTCTGAACATTATATTCATGGCACCATCATGTAAACCTTAAAACAAACTTATTTATTAAAGTAAAAAAACACTTAGCTGTTTTTATAGGTGTCATGGATTCATGTTTAGGGTAGCTGTCAGAGGATTTTAAGGCCCAGTGGCCTGAATAACGCCATCTGCTGGACATTTAGTGTACACACACACACACACCCTCTGCAAGCTACAACGTGATGCCAGAGTGGAAATTTACTGTAAAATGTCTTGTGTTTAACTTGGTTATTGCTTAAACACGTCAGGCCTGTATGATAATCCCATGAAAATAAAAGCATTTTAAATATGAAAGCGTGCCTAAGACCATTTTGTTCAAACACTAGCTCAGTAGAGATTGTATATGCCTGTAGACTCATCAATATAAAAATCAATCATTAAGCTTTTAAAGCTTTGCATCATTTTGGCTCAATTTAAGGAAAAAAACAAAAACAAAAAAAAAAAAAAAAAAACAACAACCATATGAGTCGAATTTTTCGAGTAAATTTCGGCGAAGCGCGTATCGAAGCTTGAGTTGATGACGTATGTGATAACGTTTGAAGCCTCGCGAGCCGGTGTTATGCCGTGGAATGCATCCCCTCCACTCATTAGCTTCTTAAAGTGGGAGAAAATGATCTTATATTTAAAACAAAACACGAGTATTAGATCATGACAACGTGTCAAATGGAGCAGCAAACTTTCCCTCTGTTTTTATGCGTCTAAAAAATGCACATAGAGAGGTGTACTTGGGTATATAAACTGTACAGTAAGCTGTTAAGGTAGAGAACATTTTATTTTCAGAACAGCAAATACTCCCAATCAGAGGGCTGTTGTTTTCGGTTTATCTAAACAACCTGAACAAAATCATTAAAGGCATACACTTTTTAATTCATCCAATGGTACGGAAAACTTGGATTATTACGCCTTGTTCTGTACTTTCAACCGCGCTTCCGTCAGGGGGTGCATTTAACGACAGGGGTGCAATCTACGGCAGAACACCGGTCGTACCACGTGATTGATTCAGGAACCGGCTCGTGGTTTTGGCGGGTGATTTAAAATCTAACGGGCAGCGAAACGCGTCCGAAGAAGAACAAGTCCGAAGACTTGTCGAAAAGTTGTTTTTTAATGAAAATGAATGAAATATTAACGTGTTCGATGCTGTCCCCGTAACAAACGCACAGTCACAAACCGAGTTACACACAAGCACATTCACATCACAACTGTCTCCATTACTATTTATGTCCTGTTCCCCTTTTCACCCTGCTACTGTGTCATAAAGACAGACAAAATATCAATAACTTGATAATTTCTGTATCGATATCTCAAACACATGGCGTCACATCCATTCACTCATTTATTCAATTCAGAGATTCGCACACCAAAGGGGGTGTCTCTGATAATCACTCTGCCTGTTTTACATTTATTGTCCACGATGGCACAGTTGAGCAAATGCAGTTTCAGACCAGAGTGAAGCAAATGCGTGGAAATAATGATTCAAGAGGCTTCATGTCACGATCACCCACTGAGTCCTTACCTGTGCTCTGGACGAAGGTGTTGCTTCCTCTCAGTTTGCTGGCGAATGGAACGATAACTTCAGGTGACCCTCTTTTGAACCCTGTGACCACTCCCACGGGGCGTTATTAATTACATAATTTCAAACAAACCGAAATTTTCTCACCATCTAAAAGCAGTTTATTCCTCTAAACTCTTAATCCATCCGCAATCACTTATTTTACACTTTACTACTTTTACACTATATTCACTTAATTTCAACAATAGAATGTTTTTTTTTTAATCATATTTGTGTATCCCACTGAGCAAAAGACGTATATTAGACGTCTAGTCTAAATTCATACTTCATTTCAACGTCGGGATTCGGTCTATTTTTAGACGTGATTTAGACGTATAAATGTATGCGTTATTTCAACGTCTACATATAGACCGAATCTAGACAATCGATCTTAATCCACAATTCAAGAGTTGATTATTTAAAATGATAACTGAACGTTGCAGAACTGATCTCAATCTATGGGACTACTATCATACTCCTGCTGCTGCTGAGTACTCGACAACAAAGTTGGTCGCTGAAATTCAATTTAATTATTAGATTTCATGTGTTTTATCCGTCTCGGTAACACCGGCTGCCACCGTGACAATAATCCAGCCACCACATTGGTGGAGCACGCTCACGTGACCCACCGTGCAACCACTTCGGGTAGATTCTTATTCCGCCAAGAGCAAAGTAGTCCGTGATAAAAGTTATCGGCATAGCCGCAAGAACACGAGATGAGCGACAAAAAAAAGTATTTGGTAGCTCTGCAAGAGCCCAGCTTAACATCCGAATGGAGATCGTACCATAATCGGACCATAACATGAAAACGGTTTCAAATTGTGGACCGCACAACATCAGGCTGAAGCATTGCGCTCTGTCCACACTCGACCTCACGACCGTCGGAGTACAGCAGAAGTTCCAGGAGTCGCGGAGTTCGAGAGTTATACTTTCTGCTGCAAAGAGGTGGGTGCTGAGGGAGATATTATAGAAAATGTTTATTTTTGCAAGCTTTGGTCCTCCCACCGTCGTGCATCATGATGCGTGACGGTGAAATGCATTTACAGCAAATGTTAAACTCGAGTTCGCATGTAGCCTGGTTGCTACTACAAGGGCTAGCTTGTGGCTAGTTCAGCCAGCATCAAATAGTCCATGCTAACGTGTGTTGTCATGAAAGTAAATAAGGGCCTGCTCTCTCTGTTGGAGCCAAGTTTAAAAGCTGCTAGTTAGGCTATCCATTTAATTAGAAAATGAAGCCTATTTTGATGCCAGTACTATTGTTTTTGTTTATCCAGTGTTATTTTTTCATATAATTACATTTGTGTTTAACTGTAATTGTCAGAGATTGTGTTTTCACTATGTGTGGTAGAAATGGGACGCATTGGTTGAATTATTCCATTAGTATTTTGTTATTGCATTAGCAGTGCTATAGGTAATGCTAATAGTAAAAATCTAAAAGCACTGGTCTCGACATATTTTTTTACCAAGAGCAGAAGGTATTCATTATGCATTATGTCCTGCTTCACAAGTTGCCAATTGTACTAAAAAAACAACAATTTTATAATGGTTGATCTACAAGCTCACACTGTTATTAACATTATTGTTTTTCTACTTTCTTTTTTCCATGTGTTTTCTTTCCAGCCAAATTGAATATGGCCTCTAATTATTTGAAAGAGTGGCAGAGAGAAAGAGCTAGGGAGGGTGATTTCATGGATGAATTTTTGAATTGGGTTCAAGGTAAGGATTTATCAGGTTTAGCAGTGGTTTTTAAGTAGGATGGGGGCTATTTTAAAAATAGTGCAACAGCATATGATTTTGTGTTTAACAGCCAAAGTTAAGCACAACACTCATCATCCATTTATTGTCTCGTTCTCGGATTTTGCAGCGAGGAAGAGGGTTTATTCCTACCCAATGCCTGAGAAAAGTAAGAGTGGCTTAACTACAGTACAAAATGTTATGTAATGTATTTTAATTATTGAATTGAATGTTACTAAATCATATCTTTTCACTAAGAGTTCCAGCGAGTGGTCGTGGAAACACTTTTGGAAAGCCGCGATGAATTGAAATCGCTGAACCAGCAGGGGGACATTGAAGATGAGGGTGAGCAGATACGTCAGTTGCCGTTGAGGACCTTGGAGGAGGCTCAGCGCATGTTGTTGGAAATCAGTAGGCACCCCAGCATAAACGTTTACTGGTAAGTCAAATAGAGATGCTAAAAATGATAGAAATCTATACATTAGACACTCTTGATAATTTGATTATGTCCTACAGATAAAACAACTGTCACACCTTGGGGGGGAAGGACATCAAGACCTGCACACGCAGGATCCTGGACAGGTATGAATATGACAGCAAGACAATGTTATTAATATAATCATGTATTGTTGGTGTTTATCAAGTCTTTCTAGTGAATTGCAAGAGTAAGCAGTATTAAGGTGCGTTCACACAGGCGCTTGCACAACAGCAGCGAGGGTTTCTCTGAGGTTTTAGGGACTTGTTCCGCAAATAAAGAGCAGCGCTGGACACGGTATCCGACGAGATTGAGGGGAAACCTAGAGCGGGTGTGACGTAATGTGCAACGCGAATTGACGGTGGCAAAGTGACACAAGACAGGACAAGTTGCGTTGCCTGTCTGGTGTGAACGCACCTTAAGAGATTTATTTGTCTTTGATATCCATTTCAGAATTTTACACAATGACGTGCAGAGGAAGTACAACCTCCTGGGTGGAGGACGCCAGGGGAAAAAAAGCTTAAAGAAAACTGCTTTCTTCACAGTTGTTCTTGGTAAATGAATTATATCTCTGCAAGTTATTACTTATTCTTGGTCATGTTACTGACTCATTTAAAGCCTGAAGCTGTAAAAAAGTGAAGAATCCTTCCGGACAATACTAGATAATTTCTACACTTGCTATGATTCAAGTTTCTTTTGTTTTTTTATCTTTTTGCAGAGTCTGTTCGCACTAACTTCCCGACAGCAACAGAGGAACTGGTCGCAGCATCGATTGGGCACCATTTGAAACAGGCACCAGCTCGATGTGGTGGGAGGGGCATCACCAGAACACCACCCTGCTAATTAAAAAAAAAATATATATATATACCTTAAAATTGTTAATATTTATAGTTCATTTCAGTATAAGTATTAGTTAAATTTTCTTTATGTTGTTGTTCTTGTTCTTTACACTTTGTAGCTATGTTTTTATATAGATAAATAGATTTATTTCTTTTTTTAAATGTTCGTTTTACTAAATGTGAAATTAAAAAAATATTTTTCCCACTCCATGACTGTAATGGTTATATTCGGAGTGAAAAATGTACTGTGATTTCAATTACAGTGGACTGATGGTTGCCAAATGTAGATCAGTGTTAAATTATGAATGAGCATGACTGTAGAAGCTATTCTAAAAGGTCCAGAAAGAGAAGCAACATTGCCGAAATAGAACATCCTGGGGGTACGTGTATCAAGGTTAGCAGCAGGTAACTTTTGGTGTAGAGAATCTGGCTCCACAGATGGTGTTTCCTGTGAATATTTTCATCAATTTACATATATCAGATGCTTATGGTAATATGCATTGTTGATATTTAGTAAATTTATTAAAATATTTACATGACACTATTGTGCCTTTAAACTTGGGGTGCATTACCGCCACCTACTGAGTTGGAGTGTGGCACAGGAAATTAAGCAGGAAAAAATATAAATACCTATACGTAGAGGCGTTTATCCAGTTTCTACTTGCAACGCAGAGACTGGGGATGTTTTAAAAGCTCAACTCCAGATCCGAAGGGCCTAGCCTGCTCTACATCCAGCTTCTTTAATTGTGTGTCTGCTGCAGACACATCAGCTACACAACCATAATCAATTGCGGCTCTCATCATAGCACAGTAAATATTTAACATTGATTTCCTATGTGCACCCCAATCTTGGCCCTTCAGGCACCGCAACAAGTTATTGATCTTTTTGCATTTATTCTTCATGCTCTCAATATGTCGACTCCATGTGAGCTTCTCATCAAATATCATCCCCAGAAACTTTATTTCTCTGACCTGCTCAAGTGCTTGGCCATACAACTTTAATGACGCATGTTTCTGTCGTTTATGAAAACACATGACCTGGGATTTTGCAGTAGACAACTTCAAACCCCACTTACGCGCATTTTCTTTTTTAGAAATTCCAGATTTCTCCCTCTAACTAAGAGTGCACCATCATAAGCAGAGAGTGACCATCCTACTGTAAGGAGACACCTGAGATGATCTCAACATCACCTGAGTTCATCACAGAAACACCTGAGATGGAGGCCATCTCTCTGTGGAGGAGGTTCAAAAAGAGTGTGACTCCCAAACATCGCCGCCAATACCAGAGGCAGAGGCAGGACTGAAAATCTCTGGCTACTTGCCTAGCTAAAAAAAAAAAAAGAAAGAAAAAAAAAGAACTTAGCTATAAAAAAGAAAACTTTGCAAAAAGAACAAAGCAAAACAATAAAAAAAATTGCAAGAAAAAAAACAAAAAGATAAAAAATATATATATTTAAGAAATAAATATTTATATAAATAAATTAAAAATATTTTTATATAAAAAAATAATCAAAAGAAAAAAAATCAAATTTTTAACTCCGCCAAATTGTCTCAATTGGGACATTTTTGCCGGTCCCAAGCCCGGGTTAAGGAGGAGGGTTTTGTGACATTCAAAAAACCAAAACAAACAAAAAATGAAAAAACAAGAATTGTCAGAAGCCAGTTTGGTCTTAGTTCTAAACATATTTCAGGTGTCAACATGTTTTTCGGGTGTAAAAAGGCCATGAGTCCCAAACATTGCCACCAATACAAGAGGCAGAGGCCAGACTGAAAAACCCTGGCTTCTTGTTTTACTTAAAAAAAAAAAATTGCAAACAAAAATAAAAATAAAAAATTGCAAAAACATTGCAAAAAACAAAATAACTTAAATCTTAATTTTTCTCTACATAAATGGACTCTTCTCTCAACTGTTGAATGGGCGGGATTCACGATCAATCTTGAACATTATCTTTGAAAGTGTTTGGTTTGTTTATTATGTCTTGTATGTCTGAAAAACCCTGGCTCCTTGCTATGCTCCAAAAAAAATAAAATTGCAAAGAAAAAAAAAAAAATTCTTAAATGAGTATTTTTCTCTGCAAAAATGTTATTGCTTGACGGCTCCTCTCTCAACTGTTGAATGGGCAGTCAGGAAGTATAAGTGTTAGGTTTGTTAGTAACCTGTACAGGTAAATGCTCACAAGCTGTTTTGGGTTTCACAATCAATCCTGAATATTATCTTTTAAAGTGTCTTTTCATCTCTCAAAGAGCTGGTTTAGGCCTTATGGGACTAATCTTATTAACGCCCGATGAAAGGTGTATTAGGGTTACGTTAATGGCTTTTGAATGCTCCTCTTGCTGCTTATAACGCTACATTTCACTGGTTTAACTATGTCTTGCCTTGTTACCTCTCCATGTATGTTGCTGATTCAGTTTTACTTTGGGATGAGTTTGTGCATTATTTTCTGTTAATTAGCATAAAACATTCAAAGTCAGCCAGAAACGGGGTATTTGACTTACTTAAATATCTGCAAAATTTAGAGTACATAGGACCAAACCCTAAGATTATCTTTACTTACAGACCAACAGGTTTTTATTTTTGACAGATCCTCTCCATGTAAACTCCTGTAATTCATAACATCTG